CCCCCCCCCCCCCCCCCCCCCCCGCGGAACGAAGACCGCGGGTTCGCTCGCTCGAGGCAAAGACGCCACGAAACCAAAAGCCGGGGGAGATCGACTTCTCCGCATGCTTTCCCCGCGTTGCTGGTTGCGAAGCCCCACCAACGTCACCTTGACCACTGTTCGCCCGCAATTGCTGGCGCCACGAAGTCGAACGGGGTGGCTATCACTCCCCCATGGCGGATTAGTTTCCGCTTCGGCCGTCGAACGACTTCCGACGTGCCATGCCATAAAACCCAATCGCCTGCCGGCTCTTGATCGCGCGCATCTGCTTTCCCCGTCCACTTCGCCCACTGCAGTTTGTGCGAAGCGACCATGGCGCTGCACCACGACGAGGACAACAAGCCGACGGCGGACTTCGTCGAGTACCCCGATCCAGACAAGGACCATGGAGTGCTCCCAGCGCCGCAAAAAGGCGTCGATGCCGAGCAGGCCGCGCTCTACCGGGAATTCGAGGCCAAGGACGACGAGTGGCATCACTACATGAAGAAGAAGCTCATGCGGAAGGTCGATTGGCACCTGTTGCCGCTGCTCATCCTCATGTACCTGCTCAACTTTCTCGACCGGAGGTCAGCACCAAACCCCGTCCTTCTTCAGCTGCAACCCCCGGCTGACCGTGTCCCAGTAACCTTGCCCAAGCCCGCCTCGGCACGCTCGAGGAGGATCTGAACATGGTGGGCACGGATTACAATCTCGCCACCAGCATTCTCTTCGTGGTGAGTACCGGCCAGCGCGCGTGAGATGAAACGGCCGGCTCACTCGTCGCACCAAGGGCTATCTTCTGATGCAAATCCCGTCCAACCTCCTCCTCACGCGCATCCGTCCGTCCATGTACCTGGGCGTCTGCATGGCCATCTGGGGCGCCATCTCGGCGGCGCAGGCCGCGACCCAGAGCTTCGGCGGCCTGGTCGCCGCCCGTTTCTTCCTCGGATTCGCCGAAGCGCCCTTCTTTGCGGGCGCCATCTTCCTGATGAGCTCGTGGTATACTCGGGCGGAGCTGGCGCACCGCATCTCCCGCTTCTACGCGGGCAGCGCGCTGGCAAACGCGTTCGGCGGGCTCCTGGGCGCGGGCTGCCTGGGCAATCTGCACATGGCGCACGGCATTTCCGGGTGGAGATGGCTGTTCATCATCGAAGGTCAGTACTAGGCGGTAGGCGGTAGGCGGTCGGTGGTTGCGTGCAGCTGTCCATACTCACATCAAGCCGCCCGTCACAGGCGTCATCACCGTCGGCGTCGCGCTGGTCGCGGCCGTGGTGCTCCCCGACTACCCGGCCAACACGCGCTGGCTGACGCCCCAAGAGCGCAGCTACGCGCAATGGCGCCTCGTCGACGACACGGGCGAGGCCGACGAAGCCACGGCGTCCACGGTCCTCGACGGCGTCAAGCTCGCCATGCGCGACCCGAAGCTCTACATCTTCACCCTCCTCCAGCACGCCTCGCTCCTCTCCCAGACCTTCCAGTACTTCTTCCCCACCGTCGTCGAGACCCTCGGCTACGGCAAGATCGAGACCCTCCTCATCACCGCCCCCGTCTGGATCGCCACCTTCCTCGTCGGCCTCTTCGTCACCTGGACGTCCGGCCGCTCCGGCGACCGCAGCATCCACATCGTGTGCCTCAGCATGATCTCCTGCGTCGGCAACATCATATGCATCGCCACGCTGAACATCAACGCCCGCTTCTTCGCCATCTTCCTCATGCCGGTACGTGTACTCCCCCTTCACCTTCCCCTCCCCTCCCCCCTCCATCCCTAACCTAACACCTCCACCAAAACAAACAGATGGGCGCCGTCGCCGGCTACCAAATCGTCATCACCTGGGTCGCCAACACCTTCCCGCGGCCGCTCGTCAAGCGCAGCGCCTGCATCTCCTTCGCCAACATGGTCGGCAACAGCGCCAACATCTACGGGCCCTACATGTACCCCTCGTCGTCCGGCCCGCGCTACGTCCCCGGCGGCGCCGCCACCGCCACCGCCGCCCTGCTCGTCGCCCTGCTCGCCCTGGCCATCCGCTTCGTCTTGGCCGCCCGCAATCGCGACTTGGAGCGCGGGGAGGTCGAGGATGCCGAGGGAGTGGCCGCCGCCGCCGCCGCGGGCGCGAGGAGGGACGGCCTGGGCCTGGGCGAGGAGGCGAGGCCGGTGGGGTTCAGGTATATTTTGTAGATGTGTGTCAGACAAAGAGAGAGAGAGAGAGAGAGATAGGAAAAGTAGTCTTTGATTTCGCATATTGTTTCTATCCGAGTCTGAGCACAAATAAAAAAGATATAGAAAGGAAAGGCATGATGAATGAGGAAACACGCAAATGCACACATTCCCCTCCCCGTCCGCCGCGTGAAAAACGACACAGGGAAGAAAAACGAGAAGGAGAAGGAGAGGTATAAATTCCCAAGCTCACCGATCGAAACCAATCAACCAGATGAAAATATCATATCCCCCTCCCTCTCTAGATGTAGATAGGTGCAGATGAAGAAAGGAACAAACTTAGCTTGACAAGTGTTCGAATCATCAATGGTGATGGGGGGTCATCCACCAGAAAAGCCTCATATAGGATATCGAGAAAGGAGGGGCCCGTACACAGGAGATACACAAGCAAACGGACAGGGACAGCGACAGACAGATAAATGTTGGGTCAACATCAAAGAGAAGAGTAGTACATATCGAGACGACTGGACAGCATATTAGACGACAGTGATAATGACAATGACGAGTAGTTTATGCTTCATCCATAATTGCGAGAAAAACCGATCATTGATATCACAGGCTTTGGCGCGAAAGAGGATATGACGATGACATAGGATCCGGTTTCAATCTACGAATCATTTCGTACTGTCGGAAACGGGACACACAAGCCGCTGCTACTGCGATGGTAATCCCATTGTCAATCCCCTTAGGCCTTGGGGGCGGAAGCGGACTCGTAGCCGTAAACGCTCTTGAACTTGCGGAAGTAGACCTCCTTGTCTTCGGCGGCCAGGTCCTCGTATTTCTATTGCGGTACGAAGAGTTAGCAAGCTTGCCCGAGAAGGGAGAAAGAAGTGAAACATTAAACGAACCTTCTTGTCTGAAGCGCTGAGTGCCTTCCACTCCTTGCCAATCAGCTTGGCCGCCTCACGGATATTGATGTTCTTCAGCTCGCCGCTCGCGTAGCGCTCCAGAGTGAAGTGGATGTACGGGGAGCGCGGCTGCAAGACGGCACGATCGTCGTGGATCGGGGGCTTGGAGTAGGTGGCAAGCTTTGACTTCAGCTGGCGGCGCGCGATGTTCGCATGCCTGATCTGCAGCGGAGTGTAGCTCTCAACCCACTTCTTGTGGGCTGCCTTGTTGGCCTCGCTGTTCTCGATCGCAACGCGGTTGAGACGCTGTGAATGCATCAGTCCCAACTCCAATTCGAGCGTTCCAGGTCACGGCGCAAGGAAAAAAAAAAAAAACAGAGCAGACGTTGGACCGACGTACCTCCAGCTCGGACGGGGCCAGACTCTTGAGCTTCTGAGACACGGCCTTCGCGATCTCACCGACGCCATTCGGCGCGCCGTCCTTTGCGACGGTCTCCACCAGCAGGATATGGAAAGGCGATACGGCCTTGAGCTTAGGTTCCTTCAGAGCCGTCTCCTTCAGCTCCTTGATTTTATCCTTCTGCTTCTGCTCAGCAATGCGCGCCTTGCGCTTCTCCAGCCTCTGCAGCTGGACTTCTGTCAGCTCCGCCTTCTTGGGCTTGACGGCAACCTTCTTCTTAGGCTTGGCGGCAGGCTTCTTCTTCGCGGCAGGCTTCTTTTTCGCGGCAGGCTTCTTGGCCGGTGCGGCCTTCTTGGTCGCGGTCGCCTTCTTGGCCGGCGCCTTCTTGGTCGCGGCCGATGCGCGAGTCTTGGTCGCGGTCGCGGTCGCGTAGCCGCGGATGCGTTGGAATTGAGCGATGCTCAGAGGGGCGGCGGTGCCGGCATTGTTGGCGGCGGTGATGGTGGACGCGAGGGCGATGCGGAGCTGGCGCGAGAGCTGCGCGACGTCGCGTGCGGCAGCACTTGGTACCTTGGCTCTCAGGCGAGCGAGAGCTGTGCGGGCGAGCATGGTGGGCCGGCTGGTTCGTTGGCGACGGGCGATGAAGCTCGACGCGGATGACGCGATTGATGGGGCGAGCTCGAGGCAATGGCGAGTCGCGGGGGTGGTTGGAGAAGGGAAGCTTCGCAGGTGGTGGTGTGTGTTGTGGCCGCTAGGGCTACAAAGCATCGGCAAAACCCTCTCCGCCCAGCGCCGTGCAACATGGAACAAACGTCGCTGCGACGTCATCTGCCTGTGCAACACTCCCCTGCGCGTCGTGTGAATCCAACGGCTCGACAGGACGAATTGCGCAGCGTTTCATGCGGTGCAACTGCTTTGTCGCCGACACTGCGCCCGATTGAGCCACGCTCTCAGCAGAGCAGGGGAAGCTTGGGCGCCAGCCGCGTTGAAACAACTTCATCAAAATGCCCTCCCAGTCCCCCAGGGTATATAGTTAAGACTACAACGACAGTATTACTACCATGAACATTCCCCGCGCGCTTTGCCCTAGACTCCGCCGCCATGCCATTGCGCATGCAAAACAAAGTGGTATCCGATGCTGAAAAGGAAGACTTGACGTCTGCGTGTGCTCCGTCTAGAAGACAAGCGCATTGACGACGTGCCCCTCGCTGTAGCCCTGCGCAGCAAGACTGTCGTGCTCGCGAAGAATCTTGCCCAAGTAGGCGATCCTGACGCGGGTGGTGGCAGGTAACTGCTTGTTGGTCAGCCCCGACCTCCCATGGAGCGAATAGGCTTCTTCCTCCGGGCTCGCATGCATATAGCTGGCAGAGCCAGCCGCAGAAGAAGAGGACAATACCACTCACCTTCGCCGCCTCCACGATCCTCGCAACGGCCGCACTCACCCTCTCCTCCATCCCCACCTGAACCACCACGTCTGTCCCCCGATCGCTAAGCCTCGCCCTCACGTTGACAATCTCGCCCATCTTCCCCTTCCCCTTCTCCTCCGCAAGGCTCTGCTCCTCGACCCCGTCTTCTCCATCGTCGTCCTCTCCACCATCATCGTCCACCTCCACCACGCCCGCCGGCTCCACGACCGCCCACTCCGGCACTCTGTACTCAATCCCCCACTCGTCGAACACGCCCCTCCACATCTCCCCCGTCGGGCACGTCGCGCCCGCCGCATCCAGCACCCCCTGCGCGCTCGCCACATCCCCTCCCCTCACCAGCTCCGCCGCCAGCCGCACGGCGCCCCATATCTCCGCGTGGCCCGTGACGCGCGTGTCCCAGAAGGCGTTGCGCTCCTTCTCGAGGCGCGCCCGCGTGAGGACCGGTCCGCCCGCGGAGACGGCGCGAGCGCTGCCGCTCACGCTCCCCTTGCGGTAGCTCCCGCCGCCGCCGCCACCGTGTTGTTGCAGCGACGGTGACGCCGCCAGCCCGCCGTCCAGCACGGGGCCTTTGCACCTGCGTCCGCGGTCGATCGCGACCAGCGGCTTGTTGGGACGGCTGTCCTTCTTCGTCGCCGTGGATTGTGATGCTGCTGCTGCTGCTGCTGCGACGGCGGCGGCGGAGGATGCGGGGATGTTTCTGCTGCCCCTCCGCCCCATCAGTCGCCAGCCGCTGCTTCCTCCCACCCCTCCTCCTCCAGGAGTTGTGTCATGATCTACCACCACATCCGACGGGCGGGGCGAGTTGTCGTCCGAGGCCGACGTTGACAAGAAGGACTGGGCCGAGTGCGGCTGGGGCACCAGGAGCGACGAGGCTGGGTTGTTGATGTTGGCGCGCGACGAGTCGTCGACCGCGTGGTCGTGAGGCACAGCAGCGGCGCCGTTGGAGGAGGGGATAATGGATGTGTTATTGCCGCCGCCGCCGCCTGGAGGCGACGAGCCATTGGCGGAACCCCCGCGGCCGCTACGGCGTTGGGTGGAAAGACAGCAGCCCTGTTGTGCACCAGCCGCAATAGTCAGTTTCAGTGTGGACTACTGGGCATGCCGTGCACTTTGCCGGCGCAAATGCGATAGATCCCCATGGTTTCTTTTTACCGGAGGTGGAGTAAAAAGAGGCGAAGATGAAATTGAGGTGCGTCGTCTGAGACTGCATCATGCGCGGCAGAGCATGGCGAGGAACGGGATCTTGGAGAGGAATTGGAAGGTGGTCGTTCGGCATGCAAGCCGCGTGCGCATGCCTTGAAGCGCAACGAGAAGCACGTAATGTCGCAGAACGAAAGACATGGCGTTGACCAGAATAAATGCTCGAGCGCAGAGAACAAGAACGGGGTTTGCTTACCATGACTATTCCTTCGCGGGTCCTTCTAATCCATCAAACAAAGATGCGAGCACGAGAGCTCTGTCGCAAAAGTTGCAGGGCTGGCAGGCGCATCAGCGGGCGCGGCTGCGGCGCGGCGGGCGGTTGCAGCAGTTCCGATCGCGGCGGCGCGAACGGTGTCGATGCGTCGATCGCAGTCCAAAACGTGAGAGGGCTTCTTCAACGAGCGTGTGACGGTAGGGGTCAGTAGGCGGGTAGTGCAGATGTGCAGAGCTGGAAGAAGGCCAGGCGGCGTGCGGCGGTTCGTTTCCGCAAGCTAGCTGGAGGTTCAAATCAATCGCGCTCAATGGGAGAGGTCCTGGTGGAGAGGAACGAAGGCCGCGAGCAGAACAAGGCTGCAGTGCATGCGGATGATGCAACGGAGTCAGGGATTGGACAGGTACAGCGTCGCGGACCCAGAACTGCAGCGCTGACTTGCGAGCGAGCTGCGGGTGGAGAGCGGATGAGCTGGTCTTCTGTCCGCGAGCCGCGCAACCTTATTGTACTGTACGTGATCAAGTGCCGGATTCTAGGCCCTGCGCCGTGGGACACCAGCTGCTGAGCCGCCTCCGCCCGGCACATGCTGTCCAGTGGCTGCCCCCACGGCCCGTCGAGATACGGCAGCCATCGCCCTCGCGTTGCTAATCCTGTCGCCGCTCAATCTGCCGCCGTCTGTGCATACGAATAAGGCTTTGCCAACTCACTGCCCCGCCGAGCTTGGGGCAGGCGTCTGGTCGTTCTGGCGCACCATCACGGAGCACTTGGCACTGGGGAACCTGAGTTTGTACCAAAGACGATTTTTTTCTATTAGATATTACGAGAGTTTCGGTGCCCTAGTGGCCGCTTGTACATATCCTGATAAGGCTAGTACGCAGGGTATCAAGGGGGTATACGCAGTTGCCTCAAACCCAGAGCAACGAGACAAAAAACAAAAGAACCAAACGAAAAAAGTGCACTGAACACAAATGCGCAATGGTGGTATCAATCTAGACGAGGTAGGAACGAGAGACCGCCAACAGCCGCAAATGCAAAATAAGCATACCCCAAATGAGAGACGACGGTGAGTGGGAGAGAGTACTGGGTTTTGAGTGTACTGCGAAAGTTTTGGTATTTGTCGGTTAGAAGAGTGGTGGTAGCTCGCGTTGTGGTACTTCAACCAAGTGACAGCGGCTTGCGGTGCCCAACTTTTCCGTCATTGCGTCGTGGCAGTCGTCGAGGGAGGAAGAATCCCACCACACCTTTGCGCTTACGCAGTGGCCTGGACAGCGGGAGTCGAGGACTGGCCAACGGCAACCGCGTCAGGGACGACATCGCCAATGGCGGCCTTGTTCTCCTCGTCCTCCTTCTTCTCCTCCTCGCCCTCCGGCTTGGCCTCCTCGGTGGCGGGCGTCTCCTCGGCCTTGTTCTCAGCCTCCTCCTCGACCTTGGCGGGGGTCGTGGGCTCCTTCTTCTCCTTCTTGTCCTTGGCAGCCTTGCTGGGGTTGCGGAACAGACCGCCGAGACCACGCTTCTTCTCGCCCTCAGTCTCGCCCTCAGTGGCGTTGTTCTTGGCACCGAAGTTGCCGAAGAAAGAGGTGCGGCGCTTCTCCTTGCTCAACTCGGGGGCAGCGGGAGCGGCGGCGGCAGTGGCCGAGGTGCCAGCAGCCTCGCCCTCAGCGGCGGGAGCGGCCTCACCCTCGACGGGCTTGGCCTCCTCCTTGGGAGCCTCGGTGGCGGCGGGGGTGGTGGCCGGAGACTTGGCCTTGGCGAACTTGCTGAAGAAACCGCCCTTCTCCTTAGCGGGAGTGGTGGCGGTGGCAGCAGCGGGAGCCTCGCCATCAGCGGTCTTGGGAGCCTCCTCAGCGGGCTTGGCCTCCTCGCCCTCGAGAGCCTTGACGGCCTCCTCGTTGGCAGCGGGGGCGGCCTCGCCGTCCTTGGGGGGAACGACGGGAGCGGCCTCAGACTCCTTCTTCTCAACGGTAGGGCTGCGAACCTTCTCGAAGAAACCACCGAAGATGGAAGTGCGCTTGTTGGCCTTGGGCGTGGGCTTGGCCTCCTCGACCTTGGCCTCTTCAGGCTTGGCCTCACCCTCGGCGGGCTTAGCCTCCTCAGCGGGAGCGGCAGCCTCAGCGGCAGCCTCAGCTAAAGAACCGTTAGTATCAGGCATATCGAAAGAAGGTTGTTTCGTCGACTTACCAGCAGGGGCCTCAGTAGCAGCCTCAGCCTTGGGCTCCTCAGCCTCCTCGCCCTCCTTCTTGGCCTCCTCCTCCTTGGTCTCCTCCTTCTTCACCTCCTTCTTCTCGTGCTCCTTCTTGCCGAGAAGACCGCCGAAAACGGAGGCCCTCTTGCGGGACTGAGAGCGGGACTTGGTCTTCTTGCTCTTCTTCTTCTTGCCATCAGCATCCTCGCCGGAGCTGGAGGAGGAAGAGCCGCGGCGCTCCTCGCCCTCAGGCTTAACCTCGGTGCTCTTCTTGGGGGCGGTCTCCTCAGCCTTAGCGGCGGCAGCGGGAGCGGCGGGCTTGCCTAAGCGAGGCGTTAGCTGGATCCACATAGCACGATGCGGAAGCAAGCGAAGCGCAGCGTGCGTGCATTGACGCACGCCCCAACAACACTTGCCTCAGATGTGACGAAACTTACCGAGCTTCTCGAAGGTCTCCTTGTACTCCTCGCTGGCGGTGACGGCCTCGGTGGCCTCCTTGGCCTCCTCAACGGTCTTCTCAAGGGCGACAACCCAGCCGTCGCGCTCGGTGGCGTTGGTGGCCTCGAAAGAGTGCTTGTGGCCGTGGAGCTTGAAGGAGAAAACCTTGTTGCCCTCCTTGGCGACCTCAGTGGCGTCGGCCTGCATCTGCTCGTCAGCATGTGATTTCTTCAGCGATCGAGCGATCGGAACGCACCAGCTTCAGGACACCCTCAGGGGTGGCCTTCTGGTCAGCGTGCTTGGCGAAGAAAAGCAGGCCCTTGCCCGTCTTGCTGGCCCAGGCGACGGCAGAGTGGCCGTGCTCGCCCTTCTCGCCGCGGAGGAAGCCGTTCAGGCTGTCCTTGGGGACGGCCTCCTCCTCGCCGAACCAGAAGTACTTCTTGGAGAAAGTAAGGCCCCTGCGAGGCTAGGGTTAGCAAACGGGCGCATGTAGAAGCGCGGTGAGCGGGGAAGCGTACTTGATCAGACCAGGGGCCTTGTAGCCGAGGGCGCCAGAGTAGACGGGCTCAGCGGTGATCTTGACCTCGCCCTCGGCGGTCTTCTCCTCCTTGGGGAGGGCGGTGGTCTCCTCGGTGGTGGCGGCGGCGGGCTCAGCGGCCTCAGCAGCGGCCTCAGCGGCGGGCGCCTCGGTGGTGGCAGGAGCCTCCTCCGTCTTTGCCTCCTCGGCGGGGGCAGCCTCGACGGCGGCGGGAGTGTCGATGGGAGCCTCAGCGGCGACCGGCTCGGCGACCGGGGTCTCGACAGGCTTCGCGTCAGACATTGTGGTGGGAGTGTGGTGGTTGTGGTGAGCGGGTATTAGGCTTGCGGGTGTAGAAAAGTCGACGGGCTGGCGCGTCGACGGAAGTGGAGTGGATAGAAAAGGACAAGGGTATCAAGGGTATCTCTGAAAAGCAAGCAGCAATGCAACAGGCCAAGCTCGACGACCGTGAGGTGAGGCGAGTTGGAGTGTAGCAGAAGCAGCGCGAAGGCGGATGAAGTAGGACGAGCGAGCGGGCGCGGTGGTTTTGATGGCTAGGCGCAGGGGCAACGAGTACTAGGGAGAGAGCGCCGAAGCGACGTTTGGCAATTTGCGCTAGGCTTCTCTGACAATCAGCAATAAACGTGATTCACGCGGGCCAATCGTCATAATATTTATGCACGGCGCCTAAGCTTGGGCTTGGAGCTGCTGCGTCGCCCTGGCCGGCGCAAGTGCGACAACGGGCGCCATCTGGTCGCATGACACCCCAGGCCAAACACCGCCAGCAATTGCAGACGGCCGCCGCAACCCGTCGCGATCGCGGCCTCCCTGAAACCTTTGACGTTATCAGTCGCGCGTGTCGCTCGTAGCCCATCTGGGACGGCTGCAGCAGGGTTCCGGCCGCGGGCCTCCCCACCGGCGCGCCTACGCCGGCCACGGTCATCAGGCCATGGCGCGCCCGCCCGCGCTGGTGCTGGAGGCTGGAGCAGCTCTTCTGTGTCGGCGCACATCGCCCGGCACCGCTGCGCGCATGCTGGCCCAGCGAGCATCAGCATCAAGCACAAGCCGCCGCGCACCGGCCGCGAGCACCAGCCCAGAGCACCAGCACCCGCCAAGGCTGCGCACGGGACGCTGGTGGAGCGCGGAAGAGATTACAGGCCTTAGCCTCTTCGCAGCAAATGGGCTGCGCAGATCCTTGGGTCGGCACGCGACGCAGGGTGGAGGCGCACCAGGGTTCGCTCATCTCGAGGCCGGGCTCGCGACGTGGGCGCCGTCCAATGCGCGGGCGCGGACGCCAGATGGCAAACGGCACGCCAGCCAGGCTGCGAGTGCGCGACTATTCCTGCCGCCCCGCCGCCAGCGCGCTCCCGCCTCACGTGCGCGCCCCGAGCGGCAGCGCAGGCAGCCAGCCAGCTCACGGGAAATTCTGCCGCCGCGGGGATCGCCATGTACTGCGGTTGGGGCCCTGGGGGGGCACAAGTAGTGTTAGTGCGGATTTTGCAGCAGGGGGCCTCCGCCGACGCCTGCTCTGCCAACCAGAAGCCAGCTTGGGCGCGCACGGAGCCTCGTCTTCCCCTGCCAGAGATCCGCCGCCGGCCACAGACGGCCACAGTACAGGCGAGTCAGCGCGACCCCCCTTTCGTTGGCTAGCGCCGCCGAACGCTAGTTGTTCATCGCGGCGGTCAGCCCAGCCCGCAGCCAGAGCGCCGGCAAGCGCTTTGTACCACGCAAGCCACCCACATGAACAAAAGAGCCTCCCAACGCCCCTCGGGACGCACGCCGGCCACCCTCGTTTTTGATCCCGCGCGGGCTGATCTCAATGACCGACGCGCTCTCGGGTCACGTTCCGACTCCCGATTCGGACAGAGCCACAGGCTCACCGCGAAGGAAACCGCTGGCCGGCACCGCCGACGGCAGGGCGAAGAGAGTACGAGCGACGCTATTCGAGAGAGCAGGCGCCGGTACCGTGGATACCACGAGCGTACTACGTCCCGCCTACGTACATGGCAGGCACGCCAGAAGCGGTGAACGGGCTGGGCGGCGCATCACGAGAGGCAAATCTGCCAGATCCCAGAACCACAAAACAACCGCCATCGTGAAGCGCCTGCTGAAACGCCCAGCACTCCCAGATTGCCCCGGCCACCGCGGGCCAGCAGAATTCGAGCTCCGCCGGCCACGCTCGCGGCCATGCTCGCGGCCATGCTCGCGGCCATATGCTCCCAGATCCTGCATTAAGTAATCTGTGTCAAACGCGCTTGCCCGAGGCAGAGAGGGAAAACGCTGCATCGTGGGTAACCTCTTCGGGGAGCCGGCGCCATGGAGGCCTGCCAGGTGCCAGGCTGCCAGCTAGCTAGCAACCGCCTGGCTAAACCTCTGCTGGTACGGGCCCGCCGCCGTCCAACCGCGACCCCTGACAGCGAGCAGCGGTCCCCGGTTCGCCATGCAGGGCTGTTGTGCTCACCGCCTCGGTGCGCTCGACCGGCGCGAACACCTAGCTCTCTCCGCCCCGAAGGCTCACTGGCTTCTGTCGCCCGTCCCTCTCTGCTGTCGCCGAGCTGGCCTCCCAAGAGTCCCAATGCCCACGCGCGCGAGCCGCAAGCACTGCCGGATTCTTAGAAATGAGATCCTCCCTACTGGGCGTCTGTGGGCCAGCCTTCGCGCCCAGGGTGGGTCCTCGACGGGAGGCGCCCGTCGGTTGCTTCCCAATCTCATTTCGACATCAACAAATCTCCAGCAAAACAAGTCCAGCACATGCGCGGCGCCAGTGGCACGCGCTCCACTCTGTCTGACCCCTCCTCCGGAGATATGGAGCATGGATGTTCATTGGAAATCGTCTGCCGGCAGATTTCGACGATGCGATCATGCCAACGGCCTCGATCGCCCTCGTACCTTCTGCCTCGAGCCCTATCGCACGCGGTCTAGCTTCGGTCTGGGCAACGGCCGCCGAGAGGGGCAAACCTAGACGCGTAGAAATAAGACAGGGATCGACGCCGTGGTGGCTCAGGCCTCACCATCATCAACCACCATGCGTTCCCTCAGCACGTCAGCACAAACCCCCTGTGCCCACGAAGCGAGAGAACATTCCACAGAATATTCCATCGATCATGACAACGGCAACGAAGCGAGACGAATGCAGAGCAGAATCGATACGAACCCGTGCCGCCGTGCCCGCATAGCGCGCACATCAAATGCAGTCGGAAAACTTCGAGAACAAAAAAATAAAAAATAATGCGGCAATCAATGCAGACGAGGAGCTAAGCTATCATACGGACGTTAAGCTTTCACGGGATAAGCCATCCATGCATGTCATCTACGCCCGAGATTGGTGGTTTGATTGCTGACTGGCTTGGGTCGCAACACCAACGAGCTAACATCGTCACGGCCAGACGAAAAACCACGCCAAATCCCATCCTCGCCACAGAGATCGCCCTCATCGTGCACCGACGAATGATTCTTTACCCTGATCGTCACTCCGTCCACCTTCTAGAAGCTTTCCCTATCTTCACCCTTTCTTCTCCGCACTATCCCTTCTCCCTCTCCCATTTGAACGTCATCCCACGTTCTCCGAGAAATCTCTTGGACTAGTAGGACGCACGACTAGGGCCGTTGGCCTGTGGCAATAATCCGGCAACGCCCGTCCCGGGTCAATCAGCCGAACGAGTGATTGATGTTGCTCCGTCCATGCACTTCATGATGACCTCGTTCGACAATTTGATAACAGAATTGAATCCCCAGTCCAAGCATTCATGCCCACTTCCCTTTCCCATTTCTCCCGCGCCTCGGACGAGTCCAAGCATTGAGAAATGCTCCAGTGCGCAATCACACCAACCCTCACATCATTGCCATCAACAGACACAATACCCGCAGCATCATTGGAAAGGAACCCCACATGGAAGAAATCACTTATCTGCGGTTGTTCGGGAAGCCGCAAATCTCGGTCTCTTTTTCACCCTTCCATCCTTCCCTTCCTTCCCTTCCTTCGATCAAGGCCAAGACTCAGGGCCAAGTACCAATACAAGCTCAGGCCGCCAATGCTTCAAAGCTTTTTTCTCTCTTTTCATGAGAACAAGATATACAAAGCATAACTACACATCCAAGCATACACATCTTCATACAAGACACACAGACCTACAAATTCTACAAACAAACAAACAAACAAGCAAACAAACAAACACACATACCACTCTCCTCCTCGCCACTTATCACATCCCACACGCGCACGCATCATACAACGCTCCCGAACACACACGCCACTCCAACTTAAAAAACTTTGACCACCCAAACGACCGCGACTAGTGGGCCGTGCCCGTGCCCCCGCTCGCTCCATCTCGCAGAAGGTCAAGAGAAAAAGAGACGAAAGAGCGTGCGCGCACACACGTGCAAGAGAGAGCGAATAAACACTGTTCACCCCTCGAACCCGTTTTTTCCCACGGACGGGACCGATCCTCCTTTCTTTCTTCCCTTTGACTAATCACCAATATCATCTCCCTCCCTTCCCTTCCAAGCACATACATACCGGCCACCCCAGCCCTACGATCGATGTTGAAAAAGCAAAGAAAAAGAGGGACGTACGACGCGCCCGCTCAACATGCACCTCATCTCCCGCCCGACCCGTTGTGATTCCACGCACGCCCCACCGCACCCACCTCGACGTCAAAGCTCACTCGCGGCTCTCACATACACCCACCCACACAGAGAGAAAGGGCCTCATAATCACACAGATACACACGCACAGAGAGAGGAAGAGAGCCGATACAACCCCCACTGGAAAGGAAAGGGGGAAAAAAAAAAAGAAAACCAATACTTTTCTTCTCTCATGCCAATAGTTTTGTTTCCACATGTTCGAAATTCATATTGGCTGGCTGACGATGACAAACAAATAAGGAATCGAAACCCGCGCCTCCACCACTGATTTCCAAAAAGCCATTAAAAGTAGAAATGCTATCGCCCGCCTTAAATCGGAACAGACAATCGGATCGGTAATAAGGACCTGAGCCCGACCTTCATATCCGAAGGAAGGGAGGGAGCGGTCCGTCTTTGACGCACGCACGCCCGTGTGTTATTGCACGTGTGAAGTAACGATCTGCATGGAGATGCCTGTAATGTTCTTTTCTCTGGTAAATGCGTTTGTGTGTGTGTGATTGATATGATATGATGAGCGAGGGAGTTGAGCCAGGTTGGTGAACGAACGGCTCAACTTGCCGTAACGAGGACGTATCTGCCAAAAGAAAATCTCCCGCGTTAGCCAGCACACAATCAAATTCCCCCGCGTTGACCCCTTTAATATTTTGCCGCGATTTAGCAGAGATGGAGGAGCAGGACGGTGGTAGGCGGCCCGACGGAGAGCAGGAAGAGGGGAACCGAGCGACCGGTGTGCAACGCCACTGACGATAGGTCGATCGCTCGTCTCTCACCCCGTTCCCACCCGCAACCCCCATACTTGACTATTGTCGAGGTATCGACAATAGCGGGAGCGGCTCATCACGCCAGCGTATGATCGGGATGCTCCTGCCGCCGCTGCCGCTGCCGCTGCCGCCGCCAAGAAGGGAGTTCGAAAAGGGGTAAGAAAAAGAAAAGGAACAAAACTTACGAGGTGATAGCATTCATCCGCTCACTCGTCAACTTCAGACAGATCCTCAACAGCTCGCTCGCCACCTCCGGCTGCTTCCTCTCCAGCTCCTTCCACTTCTCGCGCGTCAGCAGCCACGCGACCGTCTCAGTCTCGGCTGCGACGGTGCCGGTGCGGTCCGTCTCGCTGAAGAACGGCAGCTCGCCGCACGTGGTGCCCGCCTGGATCGACTCGTAGTAGTGGCCCTGCTCGAGGTCGTAGTCGGCGCGCAGCGACCCCTTCTCGACCAGATAAAAGCCGTTGGGGTCATCGCCCCGCGAGTACAGCACCGTGCCCGCCGTGAACTCGCACCGCTGGAAGTACGGCGTGGCCCGGTGCCAGAAGTCGATGTCGCGGTCAGACAGGTCTTGGAAGGTCAGCAGCATGAGGGGGATGGGCTGGGCGAAGTTCTTCCACTTGTCCGGCGTAAGCACGTTGCTGTGCTCGTCGACCGTCGCGTTCTTGTGATCCTTGAGGGCGAGATTGGCGGCCTCATGCAGAAAAGCCCGCCGAGGCGAGTTGAATGCCCCGTCGAACGGGTTTGCTTCGATGCCGTTGAGCTTGGGTGGCGTGATGGAAAGTGGCCCAGCCTCTTTGGGTGAACCTCCCAACGATCTGGCACGCTCGTGCAGAGTACCTAGCAGTTCGTTCTCACACCATTCCAGCGCCTTGTTCAGAGTCTCAAACCTCTGGGGAGGCGGGCAATGCTCGTCGTTGCTCTCTGCTGGCGCAAACAAGCCTACCATAGACAAGCCTTGGCCGACCTCATCGTTGAGAGAAATGCTCGAAATCACCAGTGTGACGTTCCGGCGGTGGAGGATCCGGTTGAGCCGTACCAAGACCTCGGCAGCAGAATAGTCTATTCCAATCACGTGGACCATATCCAACACAACGTATCGGATCGGCCGGGTCCGGAATTGCTCCTCATCAACCAACTTACGGATATCATTCTCGACCGACACGATGGTTCCGAAGAAGAGATAGCCCGCAATCTTCGCAACGTAGACCTGCTGACCAACTTCGCGGAGGTACTTCTGGTGCATCGGAGGTCGGCGGACTGTTGACTGCGCGATGGCTCCATTATAGGTCGACCTGATGACTGGTGTTCGCGATGTTTGAACGACGTAGGTGAGACATGCCAGCACAATCCCTGCAAGGACACCCCAGACGAAGTCGTAGATGCCCATGATCAAGACAATCGTAACGATCTATTCCATCCGTTAGTGTATGGAGTGAGGATCATGCCTTGGTCACATACCGTTAAATATTCGAGCAGTGTCAACCTGCCTAGCGTATCCCAGAGAGCCTCCTTCAGTAGGTCAATGCCTAGGTAGAAGATCAAGGTGCCGACGACCATGATGGGGACATATCCGATCATTCCGGGGCCAGCCATCCAAACGCCGGTGGTAGCTGCAGCAAGCATGAGACCGGCCATGCGGCTGTTGCCACCATGATCCATAAACATAACGCTGTTCACGTAAACGAGGTAGTTCTACGCTTGTTAGTTCCACAATACATCGCGGTGTATCCCAGACTCGGGAAACCTACCTGGATACTTCCCACCAAACCCGACAGGCCGTTCGACAGACCATGGGCAACGAGCTCCCGGTTAATATCCACGTCATCCTCCTTCGCCGACAAGGCGAGTGCCGGCACATTGATCGGCACGTGAATAATGCCGAAGAAGGACAGCGCGAACATTGTGGGGATAGTCCTGAATATGGCAGACCAATCCACGACCGAGAAATCTGTTTTGAATTAGCCTAAGCACTTCAGCCGGAGGTCGCTAGATACTCACCGTAGAGGGTATAGAAATGATAAAACGGCACACCCGACTCTGGCTTCGCGAAAACCCAGCCAGCATCCCGTGCCTTATCAAGATTAAAATGCGATACGGCGGCGACAATTATGTGGAAAACGCCAGTGATTAAAACAATAAAGGCCGGCATCAGCGCCGGGTGGTCGTAATAATGCTTGATGACCATGTAGATGATGGCCAAGGCAAGCGGCGAAGTCCATAATGCAATGGTGTCTGCACGGAAGAGCTTGTGCAGCGTAACCAAGTTGTACTCCAGGTTGCCATCGATTCTAGCCGAGACCTCGATGCCTGTCACGAATAGGAAAAAACCAACGCCCCCGATGCAGCCGTTGAGGATGTTGCGGGGGAAGAAGCTGACGAGATTGCCGAGCTTGAACAGGCCGAGTGCGCCGAAGATAAGACCGGTGATGATGGAGCTGATGGCGTACGACACGACGACGGTTGCGATGATGGCTTTGGGCTCTGCTGGCCCCATCCGCGCCATAATCACGTAAGTCATCTTGTGAAAGAAGGGTACCACCTCGATCTGCATCACGTCAGTTTACGCCATAGTGTGGCAAGTTTAGACACGCATGCGGACGCACCATCTCCGATCCGACGGCCCCTTTGAACGTTGAGCCGCCAAGGGAGTAAACGAGCTGGGCAACGATGCAGCTGACGAAAAACATGGACAAGCCATCGACACCGAGACTGGCAAAAATCGGTTCACCAAGGGGGAAAAGAATGATTCCTGCGAAGCATTAGTAGGAAGTTTTCCAACCATGGTCAAGTGCGATTGTGGGGCATGGGAGCGTAAATCAAGCATCCAACATGATTGGAGGATCGCGCTCCACAGGTTCGAGGCAAGGGGCGACGACAACGTGTGTTGACGCGGAGAGAGCTCAACCCCACAAGCCAGATTACGTACAACGGGGCACTCACCGTACGAAAGCCCGTCCAACACATTCAACAACAGTCCAAGAAAAACAGCCGGTACCGCATGGACTGGCTCGACGACGGCGGTTTGGAAAATTGCCTCTCTGTCCCAGCTCTTTGGATTGGTCACCCTGTGGAACCCATTGACGGCCGAATGGGCGGCGCCCGATACCCGATTCCAGAACCTTGCGGGCCTTGACTTCGGCCCGTGCCTCTGACCCTCAACGTCCGCCGCGGCGGTGTTGGCGGTGGAGCCATAGTGCTTCCTGCTTTGCGGCCTCTTGTTCGCAAGCAGCGACGACGTCTCAGAAAGGCCTCGGCGATCGTCGGTCGATCGGCGAGGATCGCGATGAGGGTCGCCGTTGGCGGTAGCAGCCGAGCGCGGCCTGGGGCCTGCCGAGGAGACGGGCCGCGGGCGGAAGGCTTCTTGCAGAGGCTCCGGCGAGGAGGGTTCCGACTCCTCCTCGATGATGCCCGGGGAAGGCAGTTCCAAAGAGTCCCGCCGCGCGCCCTCCTGGTCAAAAGTATCGTTGGCTAGCTCGGCCGGGCGTCGACCACGCGGGCTACCGGCCCCGGACAGGCGATGGGCGAGGACGCTCGGGGAGCGGAAGGAGCCGGACTCGGAGAGGGCGTGCATGGAGAGTTCCTGCGTCTTGTCTCTCACACCTTGCGACGAGTACTCTGGGGTATCTGCATAGCCGTTAGTCAAGCTTTGCGGAGGCGGGAGAGGGATTAGGTAAGTGCATGCCTATTGAGCCATGAGTGGCCTGGTGGTAGAAGGAGCGGGCGGGCGTCCGTGTGAAGGATGACGAGAGATAACCTCCGCTGCTGGTGGTGGGCCGGGGCGGTGACGATATAGGCTGCGGCCTGGTGTTGGCGGTGGAGCTCTCCCCAGGCTGGTAGCTCAGGTCGGCGTCGTCGACGTACTGGCTGGTGAAGGGCAGATGGAGCCTCGGGGTGGACGGGGCCGGGTCGCCAGGCATCTTGCCCTGGCGTCTCGACATGGTTGAGCGCTCAGCAAAGCGATGGCGAGTGAATGGCGCAAGGGAACGCGTTGGTGGTGGAAACGTCACTGGGGCGGGACCGGCAGGACGGGCTGCTCAGCGGGGGATTAGGCACATCTGCGCATCGATTGCGAATTAAGGGTTCGGGCGGTGCGTGGAGAGAGGGAGCGCTGGCAATTGACGAATGAGTTGTTCGGCCAACTAGGCGGGATGTGGTGGGCCGTCATGGTCCAGCTCGGATAGAATTCTCTCGCCGCGTCCAGGACCGCGGCCATGGGCGCCACATCCGTGCCCGGCAGGCTAGCACGAGCAGGAGCACCATTGAGCGTCAGGCGGCCCGGGGTCGCGCGCGCGCTGGCATTCGCCGACGCGCGCGTGTCATGAGCTGCTGAGAGACGCGGCGCGGCGATGCGGCGCTGCGGCGATGCGGCGAGCTTCATTTTTTGCTGCCCCACCACGGTAGCACAAACTGCCTGATCGCCACAACCATGTGAACGGCCATCAGTCCTCATGCAGCGTCGCTAGCGCGCATCACGCGTGGCGCCGGCCGCTCAGCCGTCGGGACATGTGCAATGCCGGCGCACCACACCACCGTGCCACTGCTCGCCATCATACATAGCATGGTGCAAATCGAATTACCTACTCCACTAGCTCCGCCCGCGCGCTGTTTTGCGAAGACGCTCCACGGCTCTCCCTTGCCCCGCAAGCACCAAGCACCAAGCACCAAGCACCAAGCACCAAGCACCAAGCACTCGCCGCACGCCTCTGCCCCCAGCCCACCTGACCAGAGCCTGCCGACGCTTCCACGGTGCGCCCTCTGGCCTGCCTCGTCGCTCTGCACATGCGAGCGTTGCTGCATGCGGCGCGCCGCCTGGGCCGGCCTACCCCTCTGCTCCCCTCGCCCGCCGTTACTAGTTCTAGCGCGCAGAAATCCCCCGCACAGCTAACCATAAGCTTCGGCCCATCATCAGCTGCGTCCGCCCCGTCCAACCAAGTAATAAGGCCTGGGTGCTAAACCCCGTCCCGAAGCGCTCGGTCCGCGTTTGACTTTGGGGCCCTTCATTGGGGATGCCGTGCCATTGGGGGTTCACCGTGAATCCGAATACACACATCCCGCGAGAGTGAGAGCAAGCCCGCTGCGCCCAGGCCCTCTGTCGCCGGCACCGGCGGGCGTGTTGCAGCCCACCGTGCCGCGCGGTGATGCAAGAGAGCTGCAGCGCGGCTCGGTTTTTCCCGAGCAGCGTCGAATCGCATCAACTCTGTGATGGCGCGAGACTCAAGTGAGCCGCTGGAGGTATCCCTGCTGGATGAGCCGTTCGACGTCGCCCTGACGCACGTAGAATTGGCTGTTCTTCGTCAAGGTGATGGCACTGGCCAAGGCGTTAGCCATACCTGCTCCACTCGCACAACGAAACCCTGTAGTGCCAGGGACCGATGAACAGACGACTTCGGGGCCCGCTCCGCCATGGAATCTCCATATTATTTGAGGGGTAAAGCTGGGAGAACGCAGGGGAAACAGGATAAATCACGTACCCATACTCCGTCTGGATCTCGCCTGCGTCCTTGAGTACGCGTACGTCGATGAACAAATCGCGTGGTGGCTCCAGGCTCCCGGTGAGGTCAATATCAGTCCACTGGCCCTTGTAGGCAGCGAGCAGATCGCTGTATTGCCTCACGTATTCCTCTTCCTCGGGACTCAGGCTGCTGCCGCTGCCCATGTCGCCGCTCAGGTCCTTGGCGCCTTGCTGCTGTCCCTGCTGCTGTTGCTGCTGCATCTGCTGCTGCCGCTCGAGCACATCTATGCCGTTCCAGCACATCTCCTCCAGCTTATCCGAGCGCGTCCGGTGGTATGCCAGCAGACAGCGTTTGTTGCGCCGCATGGCGAGGTGGTCGACGAGGAGCGCGCATGCGGCAGCCGGGTCCGCCGAGGGGTTGAAGGAAGCCTGAGAACTCGTGATACGATTTGCGATTTCGCGCGTCTCGAGTATCACCTGATGGCAGATCTCGCTTTGGTGTGGAGGAAGATTTTGAAGAGCCAGGGTTCTTTTCGCGTGCTGGCACTATCTAAAGTATCAGAAGGACGTCACGCGAGGAGAGGGGGGGAATGGCGCTTGACTTACCAGCTTGGTGCCCAGCTCGCCGTACATGTTCGCGGCGGCGGTGGTGTTGTGGATTTGTAAAGTGGCGGTGGTGGGAGAATACGCGCCAGACGCGGGGTGGACGCGACGGTGAAAGTGCGGCTAGCGTCATTACCTACCTTCCTCCTTCGATTCTCCCGTCTTCTTCCACCAGCATCGGATCAAGGAACACACAGCTGCTGAAACCGACATTCTTTCTCCAGGCGGGATCGTATCAAAAGAAGAGGGAGCATCAAAGATTTGCCTCGCTGTATCTTGGTTTTTGTGCCACCCGGGAGACAAAGGATAAATCCCATGATATTCCCTTGCCGTCGAATAAAACCATCAATTCCCCGTATCGCTTCCTCTCCAGCTCTACCGCCCCTTATTCTAATCGTTAATTCCGAGAAGCCTCGAGTTCACGCTCATGGAATTAACGGAACTGAGTGGCCGCAGCCATTGTGCTTAGCCCGCTCTTCATACCTTCTAAGTATTTGTTGACTTACGATCCAGAGGCTCTTCGATTGGAACTTTAAATGTCACCCGTCGCTCGAACATGACCCTTGGTGAACTTCCGCCGCTGAGACCAAGCAGACGTCACCCGCCAACGTCCCCCGGCATCGCTCGCACGACGACCATATGAAGACACAGCACGGCATCGATGAGCTACCAGGTAAACTTTGAGACGCCGTCAACCCACTGACTCCATCAACACGAAGGTCCTCCCTAAGATCACGCTTTCACAACCATATGCATCGGAAAGCAGCTTGCAAGCACTCAATGCATACACCAGAAGTCAGATATGGATTGGTCTATCATCGTCACACACACACCGGTTTCTTCTCTATATGCCCAGCCCCAGCCACACATTCTTTGCTCCTCCTTGGGACATTTCTGCGCCGCCCATCATCATCAGCATCAACGCTTGTTCACCGCCCGACGCTCCGCTCCGCTCCCAACCCAGTATCGTCACTCTTCCAGATGTCACCTTTCCCTTTATGTGGCCGTCGAATACAAGCATTTCCGTTACACGCGAGAGAGGAAGTGAAGAAAGAAAGAGATAGAGCGAGATGACAACAACAACAACAACAACCAAAAAGGAAGAGGGTAATAAAAAGAGTAATAATAAATGGATAAGAGTTAAAAAAAAAAAAAAAGGAAAGCATTAAGGTAAGAGACGGAGTAGGAGATACAGCACAAAAATAGAAGTCCAGACCAACAAGACAAGACAAAGACAAGGATAGCCGCCCGAGAACCCCTCATTTCCTCCCTTTAAGAACAACGCCGAGTCCATGCAGCAAAGCTTTCCCTCCATCCACACATCTTGCGACGCAAGGAGAGAGAGAAGAAAAAAAGAAAGTGGGAAGAAGCCAGGGGCGTGAGACGCCTCTCCTCTTATCACAGCCCCCAACCAGGTTGCCCCACCACTTAGCCTCTGTCCTGCCGCACCCCCACCACCGTCCAATACTGCCGTAGAGACTCAGTTCGTTCCCGGCGCCGCCGTCGTCGGCTCATCCATCCACTTGTCAAACTCGCTCGCAGGCTCCATCGGCATAAGACTCGCATCGACCTGCCACTCGGCCGGCTGATGGTCCGGCGGCGCCTCGCTCAAGAAAGCAGCGTAACTGTTCTCATCGTACGCGCCACCAAAATTCTGCTGGCCGCCATCATCTCCCAAAAACGGTTCGCCTGAGGCTGCGCCCAGGCCGAGCAGCATCGGATCGAGTTGGGATTCGCCGCCGGGGGTGCCGACCATGGCGTGGTGGAAGCCCAGTTGGAGGAGTTGCTGCTGTTCGTGGTGGGCTTGTTGGGCGGCTTGGGCGGCGGCGCCGCCGGGGAGGCCGAGGAGGTGATGGTGGTTGTGGTAGACGGGCGACATGGTGTGTTGCTGCCGCTGCTGCTGGAGTATGTCTGGGTGCTCCATGCGGTGCATGCGGACGTCTTCGACGCCGGGGGTGGCGCCATGGGGGTGGACGGTGGTCTGGTAGTACTGGTGGTGCATGTCGGCCTGCATGCCTAGGGCAGCTGGCGGAGGGCGGCCGCCGTTGGTCGCTTCCCAAGCGGACTTGTTGACTCCGCCATTGTTAGGGCCGAAGCTGTGCTCGTCGAAGGAGGATGGCTGTTGACGCCTATGCAGGGCCTTGTTGTGGTGCCGAGCCCGACGGGCGGCCGCCGCTGATGGATTCCACTCGGCGTCGGGGTCGTCGACTTCGCTGCGCTCGCTAGTTTCGTCATCCGAGTAGGTGCCTTTCCTCTTGCGCGCGGCCGGAGTCGTCTTGCTGGGGGAGAACTTGTAGTCCGGGTGGGCATTCTGGTGGTTGATGCGCTCGATCTTGGCCAAGTCGTTGTAGTGTTCGCGGACTTCTGGAGGCTCCATCGGCCAGCTCTCCCCCGACACTGAGGACACGACCTGGTGGTTGTTTTGTAGACACCATATCTTCGTGCGTTCCGCATAAGCCGATCGGTAGAGCATGAAGGAATTCATCGGTCTCGTGATGTAGCCGTTGCGCTTCGCTGCCTCTGCCCTCCGCTGCTCCGCCGACCTGTGCACCCATTCCTCCATGTTCTTGACTGGGATGTGGTCGTAGTCCTTTGTCAACACGCTCAGGGGGAGAGTGAGCTTCGGCGTCTTGACCTTGACCTTGGGTTCGCTGGACTTCTTCTTCGATTTGGTCGGGCGCGCTTTTGCGACTGGCGACGCAGTGCGGGCAGCCGACGTGCCACTTCTGGTCCTCCGACCACCATCGCTCTCCGTCGCCGACCTCGGCGTTGGCGGGGTGTGAGCTTGCATTCCATGGGCCATGTACTGGTGTACTGTCAGCAGCTGCCGACTTTGAGAACGTTAGGAAGAACTTACAGGAAGACCGTGATAGGCTTGCCCATCATCGTGATAAAAAGTTGGCCCGGGGCCTCCATAGCCATCCTGCGTCAAAGATTGCTTAGCCAACAGCCTCCCCAAGACAGACATATCGACCGTATCAAAAGTCTCGAGCAGTGTCAAAGACTGGTGGTCGCAAGGAACGGCTTACCATTGAAATGCCCAGCCCGACCTCGTTCTGGCCATGTGGGTCCGGGTAACTGCTGACGTTGTACTGGGGGCTCATATACGGTCCGGTGGCCTGCGGATGTTGCAATGGGCCAGGTGATGCGTACGTGGACTGCGCCCGGGAGTGCTCATACTGCGATTCGTCGAGCTCGTACTTGTACGATGTGTTGGCATTATGCTGCACCAGGTGATGGAGCTCATATTGTAGCTCCACCGGCACGCTAGGCGGTGTCGGAGGGTGTCGCTGCACCATTCGTTCCGCTTTCAACATGATCCGTGGCAAATTGCACCGCCGCTTGCTGTTCGAAGTGCCGAAGCTCCCTAGGACGTGGAAAGCCGGTAGCTGCCAAAACGGACCGCCGTTCGAACTACTGTGCCACAGACGCACAAGACTGCACTGCTGTCGCACGAAAAGTCGCGATAGAAGACGTGAGGACTCTGGTGGTACTCGGTGAGCCACTGCCGTTGGGAAGTCTCGCCTTGTAGACGTCGGGTTCCTTTTTGGCAACCTTCTGGAAGGTTTCTGTGGATCAAGACTGGATTGACGGCTGAGTTGTGCAGAATATCAGTCTGAACTGAATGTGTCAGCGCCTGCTTCTTCCCGTAGTTTCTGCAATGCAAGGGGCTTGTCTCTTGCTGCGGCCGCATTGACGCGGGCTGGAGCAGGAGGGAGCCTTTGGGGAACGGACCTGTCGCGGGTACCTGCCGCCCGTCGTGCGTGTTATGTCTGTACAGACAGCTCAGCGGTGGAGATGCAGCAGCAAGCAGTTGCGGAGAGCTGTGCGGCTCCGGGCGTGGCGAGTAGACGCTGTCTCAGGCGGTCTTCTTTGTTGCAGAGCTCTAGACCGATGGCAAGCAGACGGCGACAAATCGGCCGGCCGGCGTAGCAGCACTCCTTTGTCTGGCGACAGCAAGCCCGCCGGGGCAGTTATTTGTAGCGAGGAGGGTCGTCGAGGTTGACCGCATACGTAGGGGATCGGTGGCCGGGCGACTGAAGACGGACGACCAATGGGGCCGGATTCGTAGAGGTCAAGACCACTTATCTTGGTGGCTGTTTTGGGACGAGAGACCTGGCAACTGACGCCTCTGGGGGTTTTTGTGAAGATGGAGAGGGCGGGAGGCTGCCCGCCACGCGCAGCGGTTGCTTGGACGCTCGAAATGGAACGAAAACGGTCAAACAAGTCGATTACTCCAGCGAAGTAGGCCGGACGTTACACACGCAAGGCTTCGAGGGCCTGGCATTCCTACTACCAGTTCCCAATTTACCAGCCGCTGGCCGTCAGGGTGCCAAGGCTGAGTGGACCGAAAGCAGTATGTTTCGCGGCCATGGTATGCGCGGCACTACCTGCTGCTTGGGATCTCCCACCTGGCCGGGCTGATGGCAGAAGCCACCTCCGTTTGAAGAATGACTGTCTCACTCTGCAACTAGCAGGGATCACCTGCAAGTGCGCGGGTGACTAATGCTGCTATCTGCCCTCTGCGCCGGTGCTAAGGCCCGCGTTCTAAGACAAGCGTCAGTGTCACCGCCGCCGCGATCTAGCGAGTGGATGCGGATCATGCGTGTTCCCTGGGAGCTCAGCACATGTGGCTGGAGAGGCGCAAGGGCGCTTATCCTCCACGGGCGGCGGCTGGCTTGTGGGGGCAGCAGGAGTCGCCTACTACGCCGTCGTCTCCTACGCTGCATCAGGCGACAGCGGAGCCAAGGCGTCTGCAAGCTGCCAGATGCAGGGCTCGGTTGCTTCCGGTGGCCACCAGGGACGAACGGCCTCTGCGTGCGGCTGATTGGCACCATCAAGCACTCCGTTCGCTCGCATGCAATGCGGGTAGCCGCAGCCCGGAGCAGCCCCCAATCGGTGAGCACGTCGGCTGGTTCGGAACTGCAGAACAGCCGTGGCTGCGTGGGTGGGGCCACATCTGCCACGGGAGCCATGGTCATCCAACGGCTGAGGCCGAGCTGATTGACTTCAGTTGCTGGTTGATGTTGAGGTGTCGTCTGAGGACGGCATCGGGCGGAGAGGCTCGACCTAGGCGTTCTCCGAACGCATATGGCACGGTACACTAGAAGGTGCGAAAACGTTCGCTTCTGGCTTCCCTGGCATCAGTCCCCGCGATGAAGCCCGGCAAGACCGAGAGCTCGCAGTTGACGCGCCTGGACCAGAGCCCCCGGCCACTCACGAGGCGGTCCGGTCCAGTGTGCAGGGATGGGCCCCGCCCGCTAGACGTTCCGCCCCGAAGCTATGAAGCAGGTGTTCCAAAGTTGGAGTGCTTTCGTCAGGAATAACGGCGGCTGCTACGCCCCATCAGGATAGAACAGCGCCCATTCCCATGGCCGGCGGTCGTTTCAACATTGACGCGAAAGCGACGTCCCGTCCCAAAAGGGTCAGCATGCAGCCATCGGGCATAGCATCTGGCAGCCTCGCCGAACTCTCGCTCGCCCGCGGTCGATCTGCGTTCCATCAGGGTAGCGGCGGGCGCTCCGAAGCAGCGTGACACGACGGCTAGCCATAAGGCGACCCCTTCGCAGAGCAATGACGGGCGTTGACGAGCGGAGGTCTTGCGGAGGCCAATTAAAGCGTCCCGGCCCGCGCGATCCCTTACGCATGGAGAGAGGCGGCGCTGCGGGGCGGTGGGCAGAAGGCCGGCCCTGAAGAAAACGATGGCGCAGACAAGGTTTGCGTCCGCTACCCCTCGCTGTTTCTTCACGGGAGTCGTCATAGTGGTTCGAGAGCCGGGGGCGTCGACGATCCGGGCTCCTTGGGGATGCGGAGGCGCTGCTGCGTGGTACAAGGACTCACGGGAGATGAGTGCTCGCAAGGACCAGGCGCCTCCTTGAGCACACAGCACGTGCGGGGCCTGCACAGGATCCGTGGCGGTTGCAGGTTGCGGCGAGCGCACACATGCCTTGGGCTGGAATTGACGCCCCTGCACAGCAGACGGGAGGCATCGCGAGGCATCGCTGGGGGCATCGCTGGGGGCTCGCCCTGCAGCTTGGCTCAACACCAAGCGGCCAAGTCCATTCTTGGGGATCAATCCAGCATAGAGCCCGGGGCCGTCTGCAAGGTACAAAACCGGTGCGAGTCCGCGTACGAGGGGCCTGGACGTCTCCAGCAGGCCGTCACGACGCCACACAGGCCGGGCTCGCGCGTCATCATTGGGCGGGCGGGCTAGGTGCAAGACATGCAACACTGGGAGGGGGAGCTGTGAGCTGGTGATTCACAGCGGAGTGCGCGGAAGGAGGGCCGACTGAGACAGTCTGGTTGCGCCCGGCGAGGGTCGCACTGGGCGCTGAGGAGGGATGACGGGCAGAACGCCACGGACGAGGTCGATCCGGGACAGCGCGCGCGTGCTCGGGGCGGGCCAGCGGCGGGCCAGCGGCGAGCTGCCCCCAGGCCGGGGCAGAGACGAGGTCGACATAACCTTTGCGGCCCGTCGTTCTTCCTCGCAGCAGGCTGGCCGGGCTCACGGCTGGCCGGGCGACGGGGATGGTTTAGTGCAGGTGCGTGGTGGAGAGCGCTACAGGCACGCAGGTGCAGCTGGAGCCACGGAGCCACGGAGCGGCGATCGCGCATCATCGCGGCCACCCTGGTCCATGTCCATTCCTCTGTCCGTGCGCGCCGGGACCCTTGCAGGCCGACGTAACTTCAGGCCACGAACCCAACACCCTCGACCTCGCCCTTCCGCATGTCCAGAGACGCGCGCCAGACGCACTCTGCACCCTTGACGACCGGGCAAGCGATGAAACAGCACAAACGCCGGAGATTGCGCTAGATTGCCTGCGAGCCGGCCACCACCGACCCCAGTTGCCAGTTACACAGCAGCGACCGCAAGCATGAGCGCGAAGCAGTCCGGGAAGGGATGGGGCTCCTTCTTGCAGGGCGCCGTCGCCGGCCTCGAGTCGCGCCTGGACACCATTCTCGCCGAGGACGACCAGGCCTCTGCGCGCAGCAGGGCCGACGACAGTCTGCGGAAGAAGGCCGCCGCTGAGCAGAGTACCTAGTCACCCCACCGCCCCAGCTGCCATCGCCCTACTGACCGCCTGCAGGCCCCAACCGCACCCCGTCTCGCTCCCGCACGAACGACCGTCTCCAAGAACGCCTGGCCAAGGCTGTCAAGTCCGATGCGCCGCGCTCCGCAAGGCCGTCGTCCGAGTTTCCGTCGCGGACCGGCACTCCCACCAATGGCGCTGACACCTCGCGCACAAGCGTAGACTCGAGAACCTCTGAAATCCAGCCGCAGCCACCCCAACATGAAAAGACCGCCGCGCCGAGGCCCTCAAGCGACGGCGGCGATGGTGACGCGGCCCCGAAACCGGCAGACCAGGCAGACAAGGCTGAGGAAAAGGCCACATCGCAACTGGAAGATGGGAACTCATCTAATGTGGGCACAACGGACTCCCCCCGCGTATCAGTCGACTCCGGCCGTCCTGACACTCCAATTGATCCACCATCACGCGCCGAAACCCCGGCTTCTATACCTGACACCGCCTCGAGCGTTGATCTCAGCGCCTTCGCCAACGAGTCCGAGGATGTTGCGGCTCTGCGGCAGTCGTACGAAGAACTCACCAAGACACATCGTGATGAAATGACTGCGCACCTCGAGCGTATCGATGCACTACAATCCAAACTGAAATACCTTTCCGGCCAGGCTACATCACAAGCTCGTGCGGCTGCAAGCGGGGCAGACCAAGGATCCGTGGAGCAAAAATTGGCACAAAAGGACGAGCAAATAGCTCTTCTCATGGAAGAGGGCCAGACACTGGCGAAGAAGGAACTGACTCTTTCAACAAGCCTCAAGAATTTCCGCGCCAAGACCGGGCAACACGAAAAGACCATCATAGACCTCAAGAAGAAGCTGGCAAAGGCTGAGACCAGCGCAAGCGATGCTACTGAGCGGGCAAAGCGAGCTGAGGCTGCGGCAAAGGCGGCGGAGCAGAAAGTCAAACAACTCGAGAAGGTCGAAAAGGAAGCTAGCTCGCTCAAATCGGAGCGCGAGGACTCAAGCCGCACAATCGCGGAACTGAAGCGGCAATTGAGCGCAGCAAACGAACGTGCCGAAGCAGCCGAGAAGAAAGCCAAGAGCAACGCAGCAGCAGCAGAGCAATTGCGGGTGTCGGAGATTGAGGAAGAGCTTTCAGATCTCAAAATTGAGAAGAAGCTTGCGGAGGATCGGGCAAAGGCGGAGGCCCGTGAACTCAGGGAAGAATCTACCCGGCAACAGGAGAGGGCAACGGTGCTGGAGACGGAACTGCGGGGCGAGATAACGGTGTGTATCTATCTTAAAACTCCGCCTGGACAATTTACGCTGACTTTATGTCATAGAACCTCGAGACCAAGCTCGAAGTACTCCGTTCCCGTTCCGAGGAACACTCATCCAACCCGTCCGGCGACTCTCAGATCAAACTGCTGCGTCAGATCGAGACATTACAAACTCAATACTCCCTTGCTAGCGAAAACTGGCAGGGCATAGAAAGCAGCCTTACAGGCCGGGTTGCAGCTCTGGAGAAAGAGCGTGACGAGCTCGCTAAACGCGAATCTGACATCCGACGCAAGGCCCGTGAAGTGAACTCCAAGTCGCGCAAGCTGGAAGAAGAGCTCGACAATACCAGCGACCAAGCGCGGTCTCTAGAACACGAACTTAGTGAGCAAAAAGCGCAGATGTCAAAACTACAGTCACGCCTCGCTCAGGTAGAGAGGGAGCTCGAGAGCACCAAAGCGAACTTCGAGCAACAAAAGAAGGCCTGGGAGGTCGAAATGGCGGCGAAGATCGACGAGGAGAAGACCAAATGGCGGCTCGAATCCACCATGTCTCCCGTTTCCGGCCCCGGCGACAGCCAAAGTCATTTCCTTTCGCCACAGACGCCGTCGCTGTCGGGCACCATGTTCAGCCGAAAGCATTCGGGCGATCAGTCAATGGGCTTGAACTCGCGCCGCGGCACCCCAAGGAACGTATCGTCAGAACTGCTGCTATCGCTGGAGTCGCAGCCACAGCCCCGGCGCGTGGGCTCTTCACAGCGCACCCCGGGCTTCCCCGGCACGCCGCAGCGCCAGGACTCATCGACCTCGACCAACACGAACGGCCACAACGGCCTCAACCACCCCGGCGCGCCGCCCTCCATCCACACCGTCGACGACTCGGCCGACGCCTTCGAGCGCTCGTCCTCGCCCCACCGCACCGTCGCGGACATGATCTCCGTCAGCACCGTCGGCAACGCCGGGCCCTCGGTCCAGCTCGTCGAGCGCATGAGCGCCGCCGTGCGCCGGCTCGAGTCGGAAAAGGCCGTGTCGAAGGAAGAGCTCGCGCGGCTGTCGGCGCAGCGCGACGAAGCGCGCGAGGAGGTGGTCGCGCTGATGCGCGAGGTCGACGAGAAGCGCGCGCAGGGGAAGCTCGTCGAGCAGCTGCGCCGCGAGCTGGCCGAGGTCAATGCCCGGTACGAGACGACGCTCGAGGCGCTCGGCGAGAAGAGCGAGCAGGTCGAGGAGCTGCAGAATGATGTTGATGACTTGAAGAAGATTTATAAGGATTTGGTGGAGAGGACGATGAAGTAAGTAGTTGCAGTGTTTGCTGCTGGGGGGGGGGGTGGCGTTGGGAGGAATAAAGGGAGGAGGTCCGAGGAGGTGGGGACTGTTGCGCTGCCGCCGCCGCCGCTGCTGCTTGTTTCAATCTGTGTACTCCCACGCGGACATGCTATTTATATTGGTATGTACGCGGTTGGGGGGATGGAGCCTGTCATCAACGATGTTCATGCAAATCATGTAGGAAGCATTCGTGGCGTTCTTTGTCTTATGTTTGGTATATTTTCCTGGATGCCATTGTTACAAATCTTCTCGATATTCCCTTTCTTGTTCACACGCAGCAAAGCTTAAGTCTCGTTGTCGCCGCAAGACAGAAAACTTAGATACCGATATAGTTGGCACTGATAATGGACACTGTATTTCTCCATTCTATATACTAGCTACTAGCTACTGGCCCCTGGTACTTAGTCTTGTGGGTTAGGCTGGTGGTTAGGTTAAGATTGGATTAAGGTTGCATATCTTTCAACCTAGTGTTAACTCTACATTCCAGATCTGCAATTTCGTAGGGTATCACTCGCCATGCAGAATCAAACATTGGTAGCAATAGACCTTCACCTACCTGTAAGATACTTACCAGAGATTGTTTGTGCTTAAATACATGATTCAATGTGATTTCGCCTTCGAGGCCACCACCTGAGTAAGAGAATGCTGTGTTCCACTTTCGGGGGTATATATGCTGACAGCGTAGCTGTCCGGATATTCAGACGGGGAGTAATGAAATCGAGGAAGCCTCTTTCAAGACTTAGATGAAGTCAGCTCAACGCCCTCGAGCTCTGCGCTCTGGATGATGTAGTTCATGATCTGTTCCATTAGCACGCTGCTAATGATGCGGGCAACCTATCAATATTCACCTTCGCGTCCGGAGCAAGCTCGATCGCGAGCGACCCATCACCGGCTTTCTTCTCCGTGTCTGCGCCGGCTTTGAGGAGCACCAATGCTGCGTCGCCGTGCCCCTCGGCAATGGCTATGCGATACCGTCAGCGTTTCGTTCACTAGTGGCCTCGCTTCACCCAGTCTCCAACATACTATGATGTAACGCAGTCATTCCATCCATATCAGTCGCATTGAGCGGACTGTTTGCTTCCAGCAGTAATTTGATCATAGGAACCGAGCCGACCGCTGCGGCGCGGTGCAGGGCAAGCTGGCCACGCTTGTCTTTCACGCGAGCCGACGCCTTCTTCGCGATCAGCTTCCGCGCGGTATCGAGGTTGTTCTTCGAGGCGGTAAAGTGCAGAGCAGTCTGGCAGTGGTCGGTAAGCACGATTGGCTAGCCAACGAGCGGAGGAGGGGTTGGACCTGGCCGTTGTTGTCTGGATGCAAAGTCAGCCGCGTTGTCTGGATGGCGCGGAATGTACAGCTTCCAGTGAGAACGCACTCTTCATGTTGACATCAGCGTCGCGTGAGAGGAGCAGGTCGACCAGCTCGTCAGCGTCCTTCAGGCTCGCGGCCATCATAAGCGGCGTCCAGCCAGAGCCATCCTGCCGCGCGGTTCAGCCGTCGAGCAATTGTATCCCTCTCCCTTTTGACGGCGTGCTCGTACCTGCGCATCGATGTCGAAGTTCTTGGTCTGGATGAGTTGCGAGATGATGGGTATGCGATTGTACGAAACGGCCCAGTGAATTGGCAAACGGTCGTCGTCATCGCGACGGGTGGCAAGCTTCGGATTCGCCTAGGCAGGATGCACTCAGCGCATGTTTGGGGGGCCAGAGGGAGCTCGTACGGACGTTGAGCAGAGATTCGACGACGTGAGCTGCGCAAGACGTCAGCGGAGCGGGGCGGGGCAGCGGGGCAGCGGGCAGTGCGGACTTTTGCCTTCGCGACAGGCGTCGTGGATGGCGCAGCGGGACGGGTCCTGGGCGGCCATGGCGAGCGCTGGGGCTCGGTGCAGCTCCACAAGGCGCGGAACGGCGAGGCGGGCAGCGTGGGGAAGGCAAAGAGCGCGGTGGTGGGTGGTGCGGACATGAGCTCGGACGGCTGGTGGAGGCAGCGCGCGGGCGCAGCTCTCGGTCCCCGTGCGGCTAGCGCGCCCAGTTCGCGTCTCGCAGGCGCGTGCTGGAAGCTTGACGTAACCCGCCAGACAACCTCTGCAGCGGACCAGACGCCACATGGAGCTCTCCCCCATCAGCACCGCGAGGCTCTGCGATAGCTTGGCACTGTGCTGACTCGCCCGTCCGCTTGACATGTGCCTCGTCCCTGTCGAGGCCACAGCCGTACTCACGCCCCCTGGATATCCGCCGTCAATTTTCCACCATGGCCTCGTCGCTGCCTCTCATCACGCTGGAGGAACATTATGTTGATCATCAGGTGCTCAGCAACTCGCAGGAGGATACCCACGCCTACTCCGGCTTCTCCCAGCCGTTGATGAACAAGCTGGGCTCGCTGGGCGACGACCGCCTCGCCGACCTCGATGCCAACTCCATCTCCATGCAAGTCCTTTCCCACGCGCCTGTCGATCCATCTCCACCCGTCTGCCGCGGGGCCAATGACCGGTTGGCCGCCACCGTCCGGAGAAACCCTAGCCGCTACGCTGCCTTTGCTCTCCTGCCTATGGGCGATCCCCAAGCCGCAGCCGAGGAGTTGAACCGCTGCGTGAGCGATCTGGGCTTCGTGGGCGCCCTAGTCAACAACCATCACAAGGGCTCCTACTACGACGACCCCCGCTACTGGCCAGTCTTCTCCACTGCGCAGGGCCTGGATGTGCCCGTTTACATCCATCCCACCTTTCCTTCCCAGGATAAAATCTACCAGTACCGCGGCCACTACTCCGATTCAGTTGCCCAGATGCTAGGCGCCTGGGGTTGGGGCTGGCACAGCGATGTTGGCCTCCATCTTCTTCGCCTGTACGCTGCCGGCCTGTTTGACTTGTTCCCGAGGCTCAAGGTCGTGATTGGCCACATGGGAGAGATGTTGCCGTTCCAGCTGGACCGCATCATCGACATTACCGAAGACATGAATACGCCCGAGTGGAACCGCCCGCGTGGACTCCGAGAAGTCTGGGAAAACAACATCTGGATCACCACCTCCGGCATGTTCTCGCTGGCACCAATGACATGCCTGCTGAAGGTTACGACTCCAGACAAGATCATGCTTAGCGTCGACTATCCGTTCTCGTCGAATGAGAAGGGCAAACAGTTCATCAATGACCTGTGGAACAGTGGCATCGTAAGTGGGAGAGACGTGGAGGGAATCGCATATCGGAACGCAGAGGCACTATTAAAGCTTCGGGCTGGCGAGGAGTGAGTATTCCAGCTTTACTTTCCCGCTCCGTGTCCGTCCCGCTTCATGTCGAATTAGCGTCCTCACTTTCGTTATCCTGGCGTGATACATCCGCTGACATGTGAGTGACAGCTACAGCAACCCTGCGCAGAAGCGCGCGCTGGGCGAGGGTGTCAACGACAGCTCAAGGAAGAAGCGTGGAAGGCCTCCAAAGGAATCCGATGTGCCTGCACCAGAACCGGGCGCTCCGATGCCCAACTCACCTGTCGAGAGTGAAGCCGCCACTCGCCGCCTGGAGAAGAGGAAATGCCAGTATTGCCAAAGGATCTTCAGCAGAATCGAGCATCGAGTACGCCACGAGAAGACTACCCGTAAGTTATATGTTATCCTCATGAACCTCACTACAAGCTGCTCACGTGCATCTTCTAGACATGGGAGAGAAGCCTTTTCAATGCCAGCACTGTTCGAAAGCCTTCTCGAGGAGCGACAACTTCCACCAACACCTTCGTACTGTGCACAGTAATGAGACGACTTCTACTAACCAGCAAAACGGTGAAAACAGCACCAATTCTAATAGCAACGATGGCAACAGTGGAAGCGGAAACGACCAAGCAGGAACCGTCTTTGACCAGTCAGATGCTGCGACATCCTTCTTTGAAGGACTTCAAACGTACGCGAATGAGCACAACAGTCCTTCTGAGGGCAAGGAAGACTGGCAATAAGACCCCAGAACACCAGGCTGACGCCATGATCCGACAATACAGACAGTTAGAGACCTAGTCGAGTGCTCGGTCCAACGTCCAGCGGGAGGGGTCCAGGCGAAAGTTAAAACGAATGAACTAAGGGATGTCCACAACATCGCTACTCCGGATAGCTGCTGCATCAATTCGTCACCCATATGGCATGTTTAAGAAGCAACATGCCCTATCAGAGTTCATAATGCCGCCGGGACAATGCATTTCCTCGGTCAACGCCCGCGCTACCAGCTGCAAGGGCTGCGGGCAATGCCAGTTGGAATATTCCTGTCGGGTGGAGTAGGTGTGAACCGGCCACCCCATCCGTAACTATTGCTTGGAGCGGACCGTCATTCAGGAAACTTGCATCAGCCAGGTTCGGGAGGACCGTTCCCACGACGCAGGTTGACGAATCGATCCAACTTGAAGGGTGAAAGGGCATAGCTAGGAGAAAAGAGGAGAAGCGATTGCGAACGGGATGAACTATGCAATGCCGGTACCGTTATTTTAGGGAAGTCAACGCCGGCGCTCTCTTCTGAGGAAATCTCAACGGTTTTGCTGCAGCAGCATCGGCGTCGGCAAGGGGCGGGAAACTATTGGGGACCCACAAAGGGGAACGATGCTGAGAATTTAGAGAAGGTATAAAGATAAAAGAAATAATCCCACCAACCAGCAAGACGGACCACTTTTCTCCAATGAAATATGAACACCGCTGAAGAACCCCACTCTACTGCTGAACAAGGGGGAAGGGGCCGGGGGCCGGGGGCCGGGGGGAGAGGCGATGCGAGCGATCGGATCGGAACCCCGCCGCCGCAATTTGTCGGACAGGGCTCTCCCCATCGGTTTTCCTCCCCCTCCCCGTGTTGCTATTGAAACACGAGCCGCGCACGCGTTCTTTTTGGTGTTCTCCCTTCCTTCATGTTGCCAGCTCACGTGGTGAGTTCTGATTGATAGATGGTTTCTTTCCTTCTCATCGCCTGCTCTTGGCGTGCTTGGGAGTAACCAGGTCCCTGTTGTCTGTCTGGGGGCCGAGACTGCGAATTGCGCACTGGCAACGCTCTTCGATCTTGGCCGTCCCTGTCTTCGGATTGTCTTGGATTGTTGGTAAGTGGGTGTGCCACCGGAAGGCAATGGTCCGGCCCATTGAGGGAATCTGGAAAGGGACTAGAGCGGATGGATGGGTGGATAGAGGGGCATAAGATGCATTGCTTTGATCTTGTGCGGCGAAGATGGAGGACAGAAAGGGGCAGCCGTTTTTCCTTGCTAGTAGCAGCAGGAGCAGCGCCGCCACCACTACTATCGTTGTCGCCGTTGTCGCCGAACCCACATAGGTACTCCGGCCCGTCCTTGTCCTACGGTCTGAAGGAAATGAATCATAGTTCGAATTAAAAGCAAGAAAAAGAAAACAAGAGTCAACAACAGCGGCACTGGTGACAATAGTCCGCTCGTGTTTCGGGTACGGATGGATGGACGGAATCTCGATTGCCGTCGTCATGTTTTTGTTGGGTTGGGATCCTTGCTGCCTCACCTCAAATTTTCCATGGCCTCGGGTCCCGCGTGCATACAATGTGTAGGTGCAATGCGCACGCAGTTCCTTCGACTATGTAGACGGTGGTGGAACGTTAGGTTGTAGTCGCTTCATTTTTTTTGATGCTGGTTGAAGGTGGGGTGAGGCCGGGGGTATGGGGTCAGGTCGTGACCGGAGGCCAGGAGTGTTTGTCACTGTGTTGGTGTTGGTTGGTTTGCGCGTAGTTAGTGGGCCGGGATCGCATGATCCAACAATGAACGAACCTATGACAACGAACGAACCCGGGTGGCCGGCAAGTCTACTATTGTTCCAAACTCCGAAGTAACGGACGTGGGGCCTCCAACGGACAACCCTTTTGGTGTCTTGGCGGAAGCGAACAAAAAGAAAGACGTCCGAGAACGGTGTCAATTGGGAGATTGCCCGTACACGGTACATGGTTGTTGTTGTTCTGGACCGGTCGATCTGCCTTTGTGCATCACATATATGAGGTACCTACATATGAGCGAACGCATGCAATGCGCAACAGGGCACACGGCAGCAATGAAGGCCAACACGTCGGGTGAGAACCAAACTTCGTCTCTCCGGGTTTCCGAGACTATGGCGAAAGAAAGGGGGAGAGGAGAAAACAAAGCATGGTGGTCCGACCTTTCTCTTCTACCTCTTCGGTGTCGAGTCATATCTGCAGCTCGTGGAATCTCTTGACTTTGTTCACAGCATGCTGTATGTGTGATGCACTGCGAAAATGGAGCAATTGGATTCTGGTCTGGACTTTTGACTCATGTCCGAAAATCTGTTTTGGCTATCTAAAACAACGTGGAAGTTGGCCTAATAATAAATATGTATATCGTAGTAAAAGTTTTTGGTACCCGAGAAAGGAAGAAGGAAAAAACAGGGGTATGGTTCGTACATCGTTCGACAGGTGAGGTCATAAAGGCTACAAAGCATTGTTGGATGGAGAAAAAATAAAACGCCTATACCGGTCCGTTCCAACAGAAAGGAGATGGAAACTCCGAGAGAGGAGTTCAAACGCGACGACGATCAAAACAGAGCAGAAAGCCAATAAGCGCTTGCTGTTCTGTGGAAGTGGGAATACGGGGAGAAGGGGTGCAATGGCAAGGCGAACAAGACCACTGCGCAGCCGCGTCTAGATCGCCGGAGCTCGATGGTGAGGTTGGAATAGTGCTGCCGGAAGTCCGAACGCCGATCGCACTGGCGGCCGAGGGAAGGACCGAGCCATCGAGCGTGTTGGTCTGACCTCGTCAGGGTCTGCGCACCGCGGCAACAACATCATCGTCGCAAAACAACGATGTCGCAGTGAAGCAGCGATGACGATGGTGGGACCAAGCAAGGAAGAGCACGTCAGTCGGAACCCACTCCCGTATAGTTCGGTAGGTACACGAGAGCCAGGCCCATCTATCCGCTGCGGGCGATCAAACGTTCTAGATTGAGCCGCACGGCTTTTCCGCTTGTCGGGCCAGAAGGTTGACCAGGGTCGGCGCTATTGAAAATTGCCTCTTTCGCAACGCAGCCGGGAGGGGTCTGGTGGTCCAGCCCTGTGTACAAGGCGGGAACTGACATGACGTCCGATCAGCCACCGGTCAGAGATGCTGCGACGAGGCAGAAAAAAAAAAAAAGAGGCGGCACACGGGAGGCCGAATGAGGCGTTCCTGAGTAGCTTCTGAGCCGTGCCGTCCCGTTGCTGCAGCGGCAGTAGTCTGACGTCGCTTGGGTTTTTGCGATCGGCAGCTGTTCTCCAGATGATGGCAATGCTGTGGTTCGTTCGGCGGGCGTATCCGCGCACCACGGAGCGTGTGCCTTGTCCGTCGGCGGCAATAATGTCAGGCGCATGCTGGAACGCTGCTCGACGGGTTGGGTGAAGATGTTCGGCCGAGTGCCTCCAATGCGACTGTGTGATCCGCGGGGCCGTCCAATGGTGGGACACGTCGGGGAGGCGGAGCGCAGGAGGGGAGAGGATGCAGCACCGTTCGACTTGTGCATGCATGCGGAGGTGCGGAAGGTGCACAGCCAGTGGCTGTTGTTGCTGCTGCTGCTGCACTGGCGCTGACGTGCACCTGTGGTCACCGCCGCAGCAGACGTAGGCATCCCTCGCCTTAACCGGAGTTTCCACCTCGTCGCAAACCGGCAGTCGAGAGGCGAGCGGAGATTGGGGGTGCGGCGGCATCGAGATCTGTGCGGCATCGAGGATTGCGAGAAAGGCGCACACCCTCTTCCTCCCGGGCGCTCACCCCACACGTGAACGCCATCAAGTCGTGTGACCACAACACAGCACCGCCGGCCGGCCAGCACAACGATTAGCCTGGGCGGCAATTGTTCATGTTGGTTTCGCGTGCTACACGCCACCGCCCCGCGAAAACCCGGGAGAGGGAAGGGAACAAGCAGAAAACGTTCCGGCGTGCATAAGCCGTGCGCCGGGCCAGGCTGATGAGACTCGCTGCGCACAAGACTGCCGCCTGGGCTGATGCAGCAGAGAAACAGAGGGAAGGAAAAAAAAATAAAAGGCGCGTGAGCAGGCACCAGCTTGCAGACGAATGGCGGCGAGCGCTAAGGGACGACGAAGTGTCTCCAAACGCGGGGAATCGAAACAATAAGGATGATCGGCATCGGAAGGTAGAGAAGAAGGAAGGAAAAAAAGAAGGCGCGTCTAGCCTCAAGCCCAATCATAACGCCAGGCACACCGCTCCCAGACACCACACGTGTGATGGATGCATGCAGGCGCACGCGCGCCGCCGTTTTCCTTAGCGGTTCTTTGCCACGCCACCGAGCGTGAAGCGCCGCAGCCGGTTGCGCATGGTCGGACTGGTGGGGCTGGAGGGCGTCGACGAGTCTGCTGACGACGACGACGAGGTGGAGGCGCCCGAGTTGCTGGCTTTGCGCGGCTTGCTGGAGTAGTCGCTGGTCGAGCTGCGCCGTTGGGTCTCGGCGAGGATGTCTTCGAGGCTGACGTTGTAGCCCGAGTAGGTGGGTTGCGTGGTGGTGTCGAGCACCTCGATGAATTTGGATGCCATGGCTTCTTTCGGGGGTGGGTTGGGGGTTTGGTTCTCTGTCCGGGCTGGTGCCGAGCAGGAGCAGGAGGAGGCCGAGATATTTAGCAGTGCGGCGGGCGGATCGGCGTCCAGAACGGGCAATTGGCGAGGGAGGGGGCTTTAAATAAATGTGGCGAGGTGGTGGGTGGTGGGCTGCCGAGTGGACGAGTTCTGGACCAGCGTGATTGATGGAGGTATGCAGGGGAGCTTATAAGCAGCGGATCCAAGGCTTGGGGTCGCGAGGTGGAATCTAGCAGCTGCATACACATGGGCAGGCCAGACCCTTTTCAAGAAAGGGGAAGCCAGCCGGGCACAGCTCGGCCGGGTAAGGCTCTGCTTGTTGGAGAGCGGCGCTGCCCACGCGCATCAACGCGCGCCCCACGAGACGACGACATTGCCGATCGCCCTGGGCTCGCGCGACCCCTGTCTGGAGCCGGACCCTGACACTGGCCTGCGCGCGTGCCTTGACGATGATTACTCGGACCGGCGCCTTACGACGCTGCTGATGAACAACAGGCGATCCTTCGCCGCCGTGCGACCCAGCGGTGCCAACGCTGCTAATTCCGTCGCCGGCAGGCGGCAGCGGCAGGTGGACGCGACGGCCGGCAGCTCGGCCAACACCCGGAGTGCAGGATTGCGCATCTCTGGTGCTCTGGTGCTCTGCTGCCCGGCCATGCGCCAGGTACATGCGCAGCCTGCTGTTTGGCCGGATGCCTGATGCCTGCTGCGCTCTGACGCAGGGCCGGGCAGGGGTGCGGAGCCGGGGCCTTCCTGGGCGCTGTTCTCGCCGCCGCCGCCGCGTCGTTGCTCCCCTCCGTTCTCCATCTTTTCCCTGGTCCCCGGCCACCAACACCCGCCGCACGCCGGCCTCTGCCCTGCTGCGTGACCTCACTGCCCGGGCGCCCCATCTCGCGCTAGTTGCGACACCGCAAGCGGCGGAAGCTGTGGGTCTCGGCCGCCCGCCGCGGAAAGAGAGCGACGCCCACCAGCGCCAGCGGGACCCGCGAGTCGCGCGAGTCGCGCGCATAACCGACTGACTGACCACACTGCAGCCGCTCTGGGGATGACGTTTCTCGCACCGCAGCAGAGCGTGTTCATGGATAGACAGGGTCCCGCGGATCGCGGCACCAACTAGCTGCTAGCCAACGCGTCGTGCCAACGGTGCCGCCGCCCAATCTCCACGTTGGAACTTAATAATCCAACCGACACAACATCTCTCCGCACGCCCTGCCGCCGACGCTGCAAAAAGATGCATCTTCCTTGTGGCCTCAGATTGGACCTCGCTGCTACTTTCCGCACCTGTCGTGGTGCGCCTTGGGGCTGCCGTCCGCCGTGCCCAGTCTCCCTCCAACCATGGGCCCACCACACTCTCACCTCTATGCAACCGCTCCGACACCGACTGGCCCTCAGCTGCGCGCCTCGCAGGCGAGCGGAGTGGCTTTGGTTGTCTTGGGCGTCGCACACATGAGGGCAGGCTGCCTCTTTTTTTTTTCCACCTGACGTCGCAGGAAGTCGTGGCGGTGCGGCTGAGCATCTTCGACCTTGCCGCCTACCTCGTTCGTTACGAGTCCAACTAAACAACAGCGGTCGTGTACGTCACACAACCCTGCTGCGGTCAGCTTCGCAAGCAGTTCTTTGGACAGCCCAGCGGATGCGCGCGGACGACGCCGTCGTGCCGTCCCAGCAGTGGCGAAAACGACACGACGCCATGTCACGGCGGGGACGGCGGAGACGACGACGACGACGACGACGACGAACAAGACTTGACGCAACTACTAACAGGGTCGGGACAGGACAAGCGCGGGACCAAGAGAGAGAGGACGGCTGGATCAAGGTTCGCCGCCCGTTCCGGCCGTCGCCATGTACCGCCGTCCATCGTCGATGCGCGTAGGAGTTTCTAAGTCTTTGGTAGCCGCCATGGCTCATGCAGCCAGAGTGCCTGGGCGGAGATAAAGCTTTAGCGCGGCGTGGAGAGCGGGCCGGGGCTGACTCCTCTGTTTCGTCGGACTCGGTGGTGAATTGGCGTTGTTCTATATTCGTGGGCTGGACGCAGCTCTGACGTCGGTGTGGCTACTCCCGTCCCTTGCGAAAGCTCCGTCGCTGCTAACTGCATTGAGCATCTGCACCAGCGCCTCGTTACCAGGAATCAACTAGCCGCGCAGTCGCAGTCGGCAGATGCGGATACGAACCTCTCTGCTTTGCTTTTCGCGTCCGAGTCCAGCAGCCAGCAGCAGCCGGCAGCAGCTTGACGCCTGGCATCATGTCTGACAAAGGCGACTCGCCTGGGCGTCAGACCTCCCACCGCTCTGGCGCATGCTGCGCGCGACGGGACCGGGGGTAAATCATATCTCCACTGTATCTCGCAGCTTAAACTAGCCGGCATGCCGTGCATCCCGGGTTGCGACAGGTCGATCGTCGCACGGCAAAACGGTGTGAGGTTGGGATTGCCGTTACAGCAACAAGATGTTGAAGAAAACGTGGGGGGTTAGGCTGGCACGCTTTCGTTGGTCAGTGGAGCCTAGGCGGAGACGAAGGCGCTCGAGAGCTGTCACTGCTGCGCCCCTCTATTCTCCCCACACGACCACACCACCCGCCCACCGCGAAAGCACAGAAAAGGGAAGCATACCGCGCTAATGTGCGATGACATCGCCAGAGCACATCTGCCTCGACTTTCGTCTCGAGTCCTGAAACAGATCAGCTGCGAAGCAGAACAGTCATGACGACCACTCCAGCATAGCCCTCAGGCACTCACGTCAAGCGCTCGCCGCTTGCTCGCGCTCTGCGCCCGTTGATCGCCATAGTTGGGCGGGATATCGCACAAGGCGGCGCCATGTACACAGTAAGACAGCCAACCGGGCGCCTGTCGGTTTCCCGCGCGCCCGCCCAGATGTTTCCCACTCTCCCAGCATCTGCATCTGCATCAGCATCAGCATCTGCATCAGCATCGAAAAAGGCATGCATCTGTCTCGCCGCCACCGCTCCTTCTTTCTCAGTCTCCGGAGTTTCCGGAGAGGTGTTGTTGTCCCTCCAAACTCGGAGCGTACCTCCGTCGCACCGCCTACCTACGTGTGCTGGGATCCTGTGCCTTACGGGGCCGGGCGGGATTGGCTTCAGAAAGCGGCTAAGCATGACTAGCCGTGCACACGTGCCGCCCCCATAATCCGCTCCCTCTTCCGTTTCTTGACCAGCGAAGCTCGGCAAAGCTTCAGGAACCGGGGCGGGACGCAGGACCCACCAGATGAAAATGAAGAGAGCAAATCCGGCAAGGAACGAGTCAAGACGGTGAGGACAGTTCGCACGTCGCCGATGAAAATCACGCGCTTCCGGCGCTCCCACTACTCGGCGTGGAGTTCAGACGGGGGTCTGAGCAGTGCACTACAGAAGTTCGCTACCACGCGGCCGGATGTAGACCGGTGATGATGGAGGTGGGAACGGATAGCTGAATGACCAATGGCTTTCGCTCTTTTGCATATGGATCGGCAACGACAGACCGTGCGGGTTTACTGGGGGACATCTTTCCTGAGCCAGAAAGGAAAAAAAATTTAGGCCGACCTCCACTTTCTTCACCTCCTCGACATGGGCATCGTCATTTTCTTCCTCGGCGCTTTGGAAGTACTAGGAAACAAAGGCACCGTGACAATAGGGCCGGATCGCATGCATGCAGCACGGGAGCGCGTGAGCGAGACGAGTCAGAGCCACGCAGAAGCACTACTTAGGACAACGACACTTGGCTGGAGTCTTCTACTATGCACGCAAAACGCTCACAACTTTAGCCGGACAGGACACGGGGACACGGGGAACGTCCCTTTCCCGCATCTGCGCCAAACGAGGAGCGGAACGATAGGCCGGGGGTGGGTTGGAAGGTGCCGTTCAGACCCCGTGCATTGCGCAATATTTCTCCTCCTTCCCTCTGGACCAGCTGGCGCACCGGCGTCTCCTACGCGTAGGCGTAGGCGTGGGCGTGGGCGTAGGCGCATGGCGTTGGCTTTGGCTTTCCTTTGGCGCACGCGTCGACGCCAGCGCTATGGTTAGCCCAGCGCTAGGACGCGGTAGCATCTGCTCTAAAATACGTTCGGCGGCTGCCCCATGGGCGGGCGCGACTTGTGGTGGTGGCATGTGGTGGCATGTGGTGGCATGTGGTGGTGGTGGTGGTGGTGGCCAAAGAAAAAAGATGTTGATAACGACACGTAAGTATTCGTAAGTCTCCAGCCCTGTGGCTTGAGTTAGCTGGGCCGCGGACTGTCAGGGTCCCTGGGGGGGTTTTTTTTTGTTTGGGCATGAGGGGCATGAGGGGCGAGGGAGAGCACTGCGGTAGTGCCGATCGCATACCGAATGCGGCCTCGGCCTCGGCCATCTCGATTGGGTAAGTGATCTGAGGGGAACGACGAACCACACGCCAGTGCGCATGTAGGTAAGCTGTTGTGGGTCTGCCTTTTCTATTTATTTTTCGCCTCACAGAATCCTTCCGCTGTACTACACTGTTAGTTCCAGAAATAAAAAACCACGGCCGACGTTCGACAAGAGAACGCAAGCACTGTTTGATGATCAAGGCGCGCAGCTGGGTGCGTAGATCCCAAAGCCGGGCGAGCGAACACAGCCAATCGAACATGGTCAGTCGCGGAGATCAGATGCAAGCCACGAAACGAGACCACGAATCACCAAGGCCTCAGAAACAGCCGTTGCAACCCAACCCGACGCCAATCGAACAACCGCTTCTTCAGGGTCTAGTGGGGCAGCATGTACCGCGTAGCAGGCTAAAGTAGCGCAGGAAAGCGAGATAGCTGATCGACAACAGTCTACTAAAAACGCTCGCTCTCGCTCCATCAACGGAACCGTCTCGGGAATAACGACGCTAGTTTCGGCGCTTCACTTGCCATCCTTCGGTTTCGTTGGATTGGCTGGCTGCCTCACCGGCCGACCGAAGAAGGGACGAAGAAGACCGAGAGAACGCACTACCTGCTCGTTTGCAGTTGGTGCATGGGTGGCGGCTTCAGGTCCGTCCCTCTTCTTATCCCACTCCTTCGTTCCGTCCGTCCGCTTGTCACACTAGAACATGTGCTCTATCCTTGAGAAACCGAAGCACCGAGCATCGTGGCATTTCGTAGGAAAGGTGGGATATTCTCGGTCAAACAAGCAGCCGGCGGCATCCGTGGCGGATGCTCATGGAAGAGTAGGGCACCTACCGCAGGCAGGAGCAGGAAGAAAAGAAGAATATACAGCATCTCGATCGATCCCAACCCCCATGATCACCACAAGCCAGACTTGAATTCACTTGAACGTTTTACTTCACACCCCAACCGCCTCTGGTAGTGGTCTGTACTCGCTTTCGCACTGACTACGCTTTAACCGCTACACTAGCCTCTCCTCGCCCATCGAAAAAGTGGACGAATGGGATCCCTTGCCTTTGTAGCCCTCTCCCCCCCGCATGACCCCGCACTTTCCCAATGACCACACCAATACGTAGGGCGGGCAGGCGGGCGGGCAGCAGCACGCGTTGCTTTTCAAGGCACACCCGCGACTGCATCAGCTTGGCATTAATTGCTTTTTGCCTCAGCTACGTAAAACTCGTTTTCTGAAAGGCAGCAGAGCGAGGAGAAAGTGAGAGAAAAAGACAAGAAAGGAAAGGAATGTCCAGGGCCCAATCACACAGCAGTCTTAAACATGGATATATCTACAACCCCCCTGTTTCCTGTTGTGACACTTACCTACGCCTCCCGCCGTGAAATCTTGTTCGCCATTACACTGCACATGTGATCGACAGACCCCGTAACAACGTTAGGCTTGCCCCTCTATTTACAGAAACTATGTATCGGAACGGAATGAGGAGGTGGCGAGCGCGATAACTGCCCCTTGTTATTATTACTGAATAAAGAATCCTAGAGCATGCAAGCCGTAGCGCAAAGGAAGGGGGAAAAAAGGCGGCCGAGACGAAGCCAATCAGATAGCGAAGCAGTGTTATACAGGGTTATGCGGGCCTTTTGCCTTGGCGGATGACGTTTTGATTCACATGGCCATGTCAGGGAATGAAAGCCAAAGCATGGCGATGGGAGGAAAGGAAAAGAAGTAAACTTTGCCCTTTGGCTTTTCCCTAGGGCTGTTGGGCAGAGAGGGGCAAGAAAGAACGAGGTCATGTCTCGAGTCGTCAAAGGTCCACCACTTCTTCTCCCTTACAGGCCATCTGCAGAGACAGCGACCCCACAGAGACCAATCCTTATTTCCGTATAAGCGGAGGCAAAAAGGCAAATGGAATGACATGTATCCGTAATCCGAGCCCGATGCTGAGCAAAAAGATAGCCAATAAGGTGGACCGTCGCGGCTTCGAAAAGCGTGTCCAGCATGCAGACTTTACCTGCTTGTTCCGACAATCGCATCCAATGCGATCGCCGAAGCGGACGAGGCGGAAACACGAGGGCTGTTAAGGCCTCGAGGAGCCACCGGGACAATCATCTGCACCTTTTCGAGGTAAGTTTCCGGAAGAACGGAATGCACGCAAGAGGATATTGTGATTATTAAGTTAATTGCTTGCTCTCGATAACGATGAGAAAGAGAAATATGTCCCAGTAACAAAGCCCGAGATCCATGATTGAAGGAAGCAGACTGAATTGAGGGGAAAGTTGCTCTCGCATCAACTATAGACGTCCAACCCACGGGGCGTAGGCGTAGGACGTATATGCTCGTGATGCTGTAACGGTACTTACCGCTGTCGGCATCACCTAGCTTGCCGGTTTCCCCATATCCCTCCTGCCTGCAGGGAGAGCGGATCGACATGAAGCTCTCGCATGCGTCGAGGCCAGAGCAAGGAACCGGCCGAAGGCGCACCAGCGGGGACAGCGCACCAGGTCCATCTTTGGGTTGCACCGTCTGCAACTGCCGACTGCACCCCACGAAAGCTAAGTTGGTCTTGTTTTGTTCCGAACGGTGACGTTTCAAAAGATCCGATCATGCCCGTAGGAATCGTGCGTGCCATGTTTGTACCACAGGCTATGCCGGCCTGACGCGTGTGACCCATACCGTCGAACACCACACCACGCATAAACAAATTCAGAAGGAAGCACCATCATCAAACTGCATTGCAAAGTGGTCAGCGATAAGGCGCTTCCTCGTGCAAGGTTACGCCACTGGGGTGGGGTGAGGCGGAGAAAGGATTCTCGATGCTCACCATTCAGGTAATCAGCCGCCATGAGTAGCTCGAGGCATAGCTCAGGCGGGATGTCCATGTCCGGGACGTCCTTGGTGTCCTTGTGTTTCTCGTTGTAATACAAGTACTCGCAGACTTTCTCTAGCACGACGCCGTTGATGTTCTCGAAGACACAGCGGTTGCTCTTTGCTTCAGCAAAGTTATCTGTAGAAAGGGTGCTGTCAGCGAGGTCCGTCTTGTCAATCGGTCCCGAGTGAGAGTGAGAGAGGCATACTGGTGGGATCCAACATGCGCCTGATGGCGCCCGAGATGTTTGCCGCAGAACGCAGCACCTTGAACTCAAAGCCGTCGCGAGAGACGAGCGTCACGTACTCGGTCATTTCAGTAGACGACGTCATGATAGAAGAGCTGAGAGTTGCCGGGTTGCTGGAACGTTGGTGTGCGGTGATGAAGAGGACGAAGAAAGGCGTCAGGTCGTTGGTGAAAGAAAAACGCGGCGGCACTTGTGGAGCTGGCCCCCCACGCGAAGGCACGGGACCTCGCGTCAACGAGAAGCGCGGCACCTCCACCTTCAACCCTCAACCTCCGAAACAACTCCAAAAAAAAAAAAAGAATTTCCCGAAGAGAGGATACACAGCTGGATACACAGCTGGACATTCCAATCGCTACGATGCCGTCTCGCATAGCTCTAGGGAGGGCTGTCCTACACACTGCATCCCGACCCAGGCTCTCAGCCCTCCACCATGCCGCAACCATATCACCATCTTCCCGCGCCCATCTCTACCACACCTCACCCCTTCCTCTAGACAACCACCGCGTCCTCGTAACCGGCGGCAGCCGCGGCATCGGCAAGGCCATCGCCTCGCGCTTCGCCTCCCTCGGCGCCAGCACCATCATCATCGGCCGGAACGCCGACACCCTCCAAACCGCCGTTCGCGAAATCGCGTCCAACATCCCGAGCTCCGTCTCTCAGCGAACGTCAACGCCGACCCACGGCTACGTAGTCGGCGACGTCTCGAACGAGGCTTTCTGGCAGGAACTCTCCTCCACCACCTCCTCCTTCCCATGCCACCACCTTCGTCCATCCCCCTTCCATCCCCCATCGCCCCCACCATCTTCTCCTCCTTCCTCGACCTCCTCCTCATCACCAGCATCCCACATCCCCTCCATCCCCTCCAACAAGACATCGTCGCAACAGCACCCTCAATCCCCACCACCACCATCACCACACGACGAACGATTCCACGCGACCACCTTCGCCCCCACCCTCACAGTCCTCGTCAACGCCGCAGGCGTGACGCACAACGCCCTGCTGAACCGCCAGCCCGCCGCCCGGACCAAATCTGTGGTGGACACGAACCTGATGGGCACCCTGTGGGCCTGCAAGTTCCTGGGGAAGCCGCTGATGCGGAGCGCGGCGAAGCAAAAGCCGGCTGGAAAAGACGGCGCGGAAGCGAAAGGGGGGGAAGAGGGGGAGACGGCCTCCGTCGTGAACGGAGGCGTCTCGGTCGTCAACGTGAGCTCCTTGCTGGCCGTGCAGGGCGGCGTGGGGTCCGCGGCGTACGCGGCGAGCAAGGCTGGGGTGTTGGGTATGTGTCATGGTTATGATTGTGATTATGGTGATGATGATGCTGCGCGTGGAGTTGACAACGGTCATTGCGATGTCTCTCGTGCTTTCCTTTTTCCCTCCCAGTCAACAACCTTCGTTGTTGCTCTTTCTTCTCTTTTTCTGTTGTGTGCTGTGAGGTACTTCGGTTTTTGTCACCATGCATATGTGCTAACAACTCTGGCCCCTTGTAGGACTCACGCGTGCTCTCGCCGGAGAAATGGGTCCGCTGGGAGTGAGGGTCAACGCCATTGTGCCCGGATACATCGAAACAGACATGACAGCTGGTAAGTCCACCCACGAACAAGAATAGAACGGGCAACATTCGAATTCCCTCTATTGCCCCTTGGCTGCATACTCCACCATGGCTTTGAGCAGTGTGTATGGTTTCTATTTTTTTCTCTCTCTAATTGCGCATTGTCCCTTCGCTTTTCTATGATTGCCGCAACCATAGGGAATCAGATTACCATCGGAGGTCCTCGATGAAAAGGGCGAAAGAGAAGCCGTTGACTAATATACAAAATGCCCGCTTTCTCAAACAACAGCCATGCAACCCGAAGCTCGCGAAAAGGCCTTGGAACGTATTCCTTTGAGGCGTTTCGGCACCGTCCAAGAGATTTCCGAAGCCGCCATTTTCCTCGCAACCAACCAGTTTGCAAATAACTGCGTCATCAACCTCGATGGAGGCATGAGTGCGGTGAGTAGTTCGTGTAGTCGTGATACGCGCTCTTTTGGTCTCGCGTCCTGTCATCCGAAAACGCCTCAAGCAGGATGTGGTATAAATACAATGGCTGACGCGCAGAAGCAGATCTAATCAGAGGCTGAGCGGAGGGCAAATCAAAGCCCGCCTGGTTGATCCCTTGCTGCCAGGCTCATGGTAGCAGAGAATAGTCCTACGAGCTCAGCAAAGGCGGCGACGCTGCTGCGAGCAATGCATGCTGTTTGAAGATTGCAGTAACGTCAGAAGAAGGGCGGGGCATGCCTACCTCAGTCGTCTATCGTGATCGGTGCGTTGTCGTCTATCACGATGACCTCGCCAGAGCAACCGGGCTTCTCAACAGCAGCTGTCAGCTCTGCAACCCGGCCGCGTTTGTGCAACTGCTCATCATCTTCGAGGCCTGCAGTATCGGCAGTGCGTTTGCGTTGGCTATCGACGCCGTTGGTAGCAACAGCACCATTTCCGTTGAGCTCCGCCGGGTGCTCATGGGCGACCTTGGGCTTGTGTGGGATCTCCAGCTTTTCGGGAAGACGGATTGGCTTTGCATCCTCCGGAAGGGTCCTGAAGTAGTTTCAGTACACCATGGCAACAGGGGGGGTTAGAAGCTTAAGGCTTACTGCTCGGTGATGGAAAGGACAAGATTCACACGGGGATTCTCGTCCTCCTCGTCGATGACGGTAACAAAGCTGTCAGCTTTCAGGCCAATCTCACCAAACTTCTTGGGCAAGTTGTCTTCCAACTCAGGGTCGTAGATGACGCCAGCATCGCTGTTGATGCTGAACTCTTCGCCGTAGCCAAGTTCCAAACGCAAGAAGTCCTCCACAAGATCCTTCAGGGTGGCCCGCGACGTGTCGACAATGAGCTTAGTCTGTGCGACGCTGCACACGGGGCACTCGGGCTTGGGCGGGTGGAGATTCTCCGCAGTAAGCACGCGGTCGGTCGAGCGGGTGAGGAACACCATCTTGGCTTTGTCGTAGTCATTGCGCATGACCTTGAAAGCCTGCAGGACACAGAGACCCGCCGTCATAGCATTAGTAGTCGCGATGGCAGGGATGATGTTGCCAGCCATTTCTGGTGTGCGTGTCAGCAGGGTCGGAGAAGGTGATGCAAACGCGACTTACGCTTAATGTCGAACTTGGATTTGCGCTCGATGCCGAAGATGTGGGAGCGAAGATTTGCAGCAGCAGCCACGAAGTCAAGCGTGTCGACATCATCCTTGTCGAAGCTTAGGACAGGAGGGGCGTCGCCAGCGTCGGTGTTGGCCTTCAGCTTTTGCAAGCGGTTGCTCAGCTGCTGTATACTATGCTTGAGCACACAGAAGTTCTCCGAAACCGTCCAAACAGCCTGATCGCTCTGGGAGATATCCGAGCCGTCGCCTCGCGCGTGCTCCGAGACCCGGTCCCAGTCGAGAGCGGTAGGAGCCCGCCTGTGTGCCCACATCTCCTTCATGGACAGCAGGCGCTCGATGTCCTCTTTGAAAACTTTGTCGAACACCTTCCGAGGAAAGTCTTCGGAGCCCATCGAATTGCGAATCGACTTCAAGGCTTGCGCTTCCCGACGCAGATTTTCTATCTCCTCTCTGTTCTCCGAGTCCTCTGTATGGTCCAAGTCCGGGGCCTCCTCTTCGCTGATGCCGAAAATCTCGGTGAACAGGTAGCTCTTGGCCCAGACAATGCAATGGATGGGCTGGCTGGGCGTGCTACGGATGGTGCAGACGGGGAAGCTCTTGGGCGTCTCCTTGACGTTGCAGTCGTAGCATTCGGTTGTGCCCTGGCCTTGTCAGCATAGGGCTCGATGATGCGCGCCAGCTTCGTACCTTCTTGATGACCTGAACCTGGCCGTTGAAGCCGGTGGTGCCACTCTCGATCAGAGGCACGTCGGCGGCGAGGCACATTTTGTTGACATGACGGCGGGCGTCCAGGTTGTCGAGCGCGTTGAAGACGAGGCTGAAGCCCTTGAACCAATCCACATTGAACTGCGGGTCCTTGACGTTGGCGTGGTGCGCCTCGATATTGACGTTGGGGTTGAACCGTCCGGCCGACTCCTTCGCGACCTGGGCAGACAAGATGGCTGGTTAGCCTGGGACGGCGGGCGTATGATGGGCGACTGGGGCGGACGTACCAGGGCCTTTGATTTCTTGATGTGCTCGTGCCTGAACAGAAACTGGCGGTTGAGGTTGGAGAGGTCGATGGTGTCGAGATCTATGATGTGGATGTTGCCGAACCCGGTGAGGACGAGGTTCTTGAGCAGCTCACATCCAATGCCGCCAGCACCGACCATGAGGACGCGCGACTGGTTTGCGGGTCAGCCAGGCCAGCGGGAAGGGAGCGGGCGTCATCGCACCTCTTTGATGTGGGCATGGAGCGAGGCGCCGAGCGACTGCTTTGCGAACTTGTCGCGGGCCATTGTGGGGACGTGGGGGCGGCGCAGAGGGCAGTGAGGCGCGGCGGGTTGTCGGTGTCGAGGGTTAGAGCGGCTGGGGCGCAGAAGAAGCCATGCGGGCTGGAGGGAGAGTGAGGGCGCGCGCAGTAAATGCCGGGCGAGGTGATCGAGCTTCGCGCGGCGCTAGCGCGGGCGTGCAGCTCGAGCAATTATGTCAGAGCCGCACGCCCGCCAAACCCACCGCGCTCAGGAACGACGCCGTCGCCGCCCCAGTTTGCCGATGCGCTTGACTCGGCTCTGATAACGCCAGTCCTGCACGCCATCTCCGATTTGCCGTCCTCGCCGGACCCGCCCCTCATCTGCGCAAAGCCACCGGGATCCGCCTCTCTGCCAGCTTCTATTGCTCCGCTGTGCCCGAGCCCCTCGCGACATGCCAGGTGATTGCTGCCGGGGCCCGCCTCACCTGGCTGCTCGTTGGCACCGCAATGAGCGGCCCCGGCTATTGTAATCCGTAGGTACTTCGCCAGACAGGCGGATCGAGGCCGGGCATCTCATGTAGCCGAAGCGTCACCGGCATGGAACTACTTTTGAGCGGAGCATTCTTACTATGTATTCACCTGCGTTTATGCCTATGGGAACCCATTGCAGCCCCAGCCGTTTTTCAGAAAAGCCACGAAGAGAAGATAGGAGAGGACTTGGCCTTCGAAGCAAGGAATCGGGCGCCACCGTACGTGCAGAACAATCGACCCCAAACGAGGCCAAGGACGGCGCGCCTTCGCAAATACCATCCGTCCTTCGCATGCCGCCAAATCACGAAATCCCCCGCGTAACCTCCCATAGCCCTTTTGGAATGTCCCAGCCAGCCCGGAGAGGAAGACCGGTCGTCGGGTTCTAGTTTTCATCATCGGAAAAAGAGCATTCAGAACGCAATCATGCAACCAACCCCATATGCCCATTTCAAACGCCAATTACTTTTTGTGAGATGAACTTCGGAACGCAGCCAGGGAATGCAAAGGGGAGAAAAATGTGCCGTCGTGGAAGCAGTGGAAAAAAGAAACAGGTAAACGCTATGGGTAATGGTTTACAGGATCGAAAGCGACCAAGCCGGCGAGAATTGCATACCTACGACATGGGCAAACGCGAAAGGGAGATTTACTACTGTTCGAGAGAAGCGAGCAGTTCGCTTCCCATAAAAGCACTGATCACCTGGCGGTTGCTCTCACTCACAGAGCCGTCCCGCCACGCTGTCCGTAGCTGCGTGAAAGCAGAGTCGTCGTGACCAGCTTCTGTCATAACGATATCGACGTAATGCCGCGCGACCCGTTGCCGTATACCACTTTGGCTTGACAGCGCCTCGCCGTAGTACTTGACCAGGCACCGCATACCCACGTCCGACGAACGATGAGCAATGTCCTCGAACGCAAGCCGCCGGAAGTCGTTGTACATGCCCGTGTTGAAGTTTCGAATGAGAAAATGCGACCAAAACTGATAAAGGACGACCAAGTCGTAAGGGCAATTTCCGATCGGCACAGCCTCGCGTTGCTTCAGTGCTGACTTGTATAGCTCCGTGTAGAGAACGACGTTGGCATCAGGGGGAAGAGATTCAGACTGGACCGGGTGTTGTTGGTCCTTGACCCAGAAAAGCCGCATTGCAGAACTACCAGATTGTGAAGAGGGACTTTGTGATCTCGTGAGGACGTCCGATTGACGACCCTCAATCCTGATCGTGCTGTTAGCACGAAACAGCTCCCTTGGCGCTTCTACGGTTGTTGAGCTTACGCTTCCACAGGGCCGTGACCGTTGGTCTCCGGGCCGGTCTGCTTGGCGTCGACCTTGTGCAGCTCCTCCGCAACGGATTTGCTGTCGATCGAGCCGTTGGAAAAGGTACGAGACCCCTCGGAGTGGAAAGCCGGTTGCTTTTCCGAAGCTTGCTCGTGCTTCCGGACAACGACGGTGAGATCCTTGGTCTGGTCGTTCGAGAACGAGTCGGCCTCGGGGTTGACACCGTTCGGAGATGGGTTGGGAGCGAACGAGGGAACAGCACCGACGTTCATAGATGAGAGCTGAGACGTGCCGCCCTCGGTGTAGTGGCCGCCGTTGACCAACTCAGAGCCAGCCGGCCCTCCGTTGGCGGGAGAGGCGCCCTGCGCGATGCCGTTGAGGGGCTGGAAGGCCCCGCCATGACTGGGGCTTGTAGGCATATCCACCGGCGAACCGGGGAACTGCATCATGTACCGAGGATCAACTGGCGGCGCAATCGAGACCGGCGGCTGGTGCAATTCATCGGGACCGTCGTTTTGAGCAGAGGGATCGCGCTCGGCCGTCGTCAAAATCCACTTGTCCCAGCCCTCGCGGCGGCGCAACCTGTCCTTGCCATCTGCGCCAATCTTGTAGTCGATGACTTCCGACTGAGTGATGGCATGTTTGATAGTGGAGATATCGGTCGTCAAAGACTTGACTCGGTTGAAACCGGCAATGAAATCGAGGAACACGAAACCCTGGGAATCCATATGCTTGCGCATGAACATATCCTTACAGAGATTATCGACCGAGAAGTAATATTCGCTAGTTTTAGATTAGTGTCGGTAGTTCGCCGGGCTTAGGGGAAAGGAAAACGTACAACTGCATCTGCACTGTCCGCAGAAGGTGGTAGGGGTCCGCCATGTAAGGCGAATACGGCAAGGCACTCATGGGCTGCATGGGAAAGTCGTAGACACCACCGTTCATGTAGGTCTGCAACGAAGGCAACGCCTGGCCGTTCGAATAGCCAGGATGAGGGCGACCGTACATCGAGTCGGTCTGAAGTGACTGAGCACGTCCACCGCGGTAACCGCGTTGCTGCTGCTGCGGGCCTTGGCCGAAGAAGGTGTGAGGCTCAAAGTTAGGTGGCGATCGAGGAATCGAGAATGAGGCATGGCCGTTGGGGAAGTTGCCATGGTGGCCATTCTGGTAACCATGGTTGCCGTTGCGTCCACGCATGCTTCCACGCCCACGGTTTTCACCGCGCTCACGGCCAGAGCCATATTGACCACTGCGACGCTCAGGTCCACCAGAGCGGGCAGGAGGGGGTTGGCTATCGCTCTGAGAAAATGACCTGCGACGACCTTGATCTGGAAAACAACACTTAGTATACTCTGGAAAACATGATAGCGTTGCACAACTAACCTTCTGACTGCTGCACAGCCGCAGAGCCCCTCCGAGCAGTGGTATCTGAAGGCGAGACCGAATCTTCCTTGCGCCTCTCGGCGCCAGACTGATCGAACTTACGGTTGACCTTGTGGCGTGGTGCAGCATTGCTGCGTTGAGCATTGGTGGATCCCGAGATCGATCCTGTGGGACCATCGCCATTTGAGAGGCGTGCTGCCTGAGAGCTTGCCTCAGTCTTCTGAGTCTCGGCCATCGGGCCAGCGGCTGAGCCAACACTAGAGTTCCTCTTCGCCTTGGCGGGTAACGCATCCTGGACGGCGCCATCGGCCCTTCCACGCCGAGACTGCTCGCCAGCCGTTGATGCAGAGTCCTTCTCGGTGCTGGGCGCGCCATTTACAATTCCAGAGCTGGGACGGCCTCCGACCTGGGCGCCACCACGGCCACCGCCACGGCCTCCCCTTCTAGCTCCAGTATTTGGCATTGGGGTGCTGAAAACGACCGATGGAGTGTACGGTAGCGAGACCCATTCGTTCTTGCCCTTCGGTGCCGCGGTAGCAGCGACAGGGCGGTCCTTGTCCGACTTTTCGGTCTTCTCTTGAGCCTTCCTTCGGTCCTCGCCCTGGACGTCTTCAGGTGTGGGCCACGATTCCTGGTCTTTCACAGGAGGCTGCGGAACGCCGGCATTTTGCTGGAGTCCCCTTCTCGCCCTCGACGAATCGCCCTGTGCTCGGCGGCCGGACTGTTCTTCATCCTTGTTCTTGCCACTGTCAATCTCATCGTCCTTGCCCTTTCTTGCGGCATTGACCTTGGAATCTCCAGCCTTGGTGAGAGACGCTTGCGAAGATGACTTGGCTGCGGATGCAACAGGCTTCACAGCAGGTGCGACTGTGCTGGTCTTAGTAGACTTGGCAGCAGTGGCCTCTGCCCTCTGTTTCCAGATGTTGACCTGCGGGATTGGGGCTTCTTGAAGTGGCTTGGGCGGGGCCTTCTCCTTCTTCTCTTTCTTTTCCTTAGCCTGTTTCTTCTCAGGGCCAGCTTCTCCTTGGTCGTTTGACTTTTCGGCAGCGTTGGAAGCTTGCGACTTGTTATCCCACGTAGACTCTGAAGAGGCATTGGGAACCGAAGAGGTGTCATCCTCCTTGGTGGTAGTCGAGGCAGCGACGCTGGGTGACGAGATGCCGGAATCGCCAGGTTGCTGCGCATTTTCAGCCTGCTTCTGGATGCCGTTTGTAACGGCTTCGTCCATGCTGGCTGCAGCCTCTGCGGCGGTCTCGAGGGTGTGACTGGCCGCCTCACCGTCGTCTGCCCAATTTATGCCCGTGGGTTCCGCCGTGAGGGCCGGGGTGGTGGTGCCGGAGGGTGCCTTGGACTGTGTTGCCGGGGTGGCAGTCGTGGACATGCCCTTGGCCGCTTGCGCGTACGAAAACGTCGATGCCATACTGAAGGCCGGTGGGTGTTCACAGGCGCGAAGGGGTATTTGAAATCAGTAGCAGGGGAAAAAAGGAAAATCCAGAGGCAGCTGTGGGCTTCCCGGTAGGCGGCGGCTTGGAAGCGTCCGGAGAGGTGTGCTGCGCTTGACCTCCCCGCACCAGGCAAGCTTGTGCAATCGGCCCAGACAGGTGGCGTTGGCTACGTAGAGCCTGCGCGGGACGTGGGCTGCGCGGGGCAGACGCGATGCAGGCAGCGACGCTGAATTTCCCGCAGCGGCGCTGAGACGCGGGCGACAAAGTCAGCGACAACTAGGGTGGGAGCAGGTTGCGGGCAGGAGCAGTGTGCGGAGGCCGAGGCGCGATGCAGAGGATGCTCGCGGGATGTTGGGGAGCGGTCGCCACGAACCTGGGGCTGGGGCAAAATTGTCGTGTGTGGTGGTGAATTGGCCTGGTGCCGGTGGGAAAGCGGGCACGATGACGGTGCTCCAGGCACGACGAGACCGATGAGATCAGCCGGGTCGGGTGGGCAGCAGGACGAGCGGAAAGGAAAACGTCGGCGACGCCGTGGACGGCCGGTAGAAGGCGACTCTGGCAGCCTGCAGACGGGGGGAAGAGAGTGAAGTTGTTGAAAGGTACGGGCAGCGTAATTTGCACAGTGAACGAAAGTTTTGGCACCAGCAGGAATGGCCATGGCCCTTTCTCGGCTGCGGCCTAACGCACCACAACGCTCCGTCCACGGCACCGCGCTACCCAGAGGTGCGCTGGTCTCCGCACCCCACGACACCGCCGCCGCCGCCGCCGCCGCCTGCTGTAGCTATCCGTATGTCTGGCGCTGCGTCCTCGTCACGCCCGGCACGCCCGTCACGCCCGCCGCGCTCGTCGCGCCCCCGGCCCGCGCCCGCCTGCGCGCGCTCAGCGGCACCGCCGCCGTCAGCGCGCTCTTCCGGCCTTCCGGCGCTCCAGCCTCGCTCGCATGCCGGGCGTGGCCGAACGCTGCACGATGCCGCAGCTCCAATTAGTCGCAGGCAGCCGAGGCCGAGGGGGGCCGTCCGTCATTTCTGCGGCCGCACGTGAACACTGGACGGCGCTCAGAGTGGGAGACGACGCTGCCGGCTGCCCCCATCCGGCGCCCGCCCGGCTGCGCAGCGCCTGCTGATGAAGCTGATGAAGCCGACGAAGCCATCGCCCATGGCTCCGCCGTTCGTGAGGCTAGCTACATGCTGCTTACCCCTCCCGCCCGCTCTATTTATGTCCTGGTCGGGCCCGCGCGCTGTACGCCGCGCATGCAGGATCGCAGCGGTCCGCTGGGGACATGACCTCACTGCCAAGAATGAGATGCGCCGGCCGGCAGACGCGTGCCTCGACGACAATATTTATCCGGGCGGGCCAATGCCCTTGCGACGAGAGACGTTCCTCGTCCGCGTCCCCATTCTTCGCGTCAATTGAGGAGACTCACCCGCCCAGCGGCAAGCGCGCCGAAGACGGCTCCGACCTGCGCCGCCGGCACCCGCTCCAGCGTCGCCAGCTGCACCGTCCTCCTTCGAGCAGCAAGCCCGCCCGCGTCCAGCTCTCTGCAGTCGCCGTGCGGCCCAAATGCGAAGGTCGTGTCCGCCGACCAGGGGGCCTCCCCGTTGACAAACGCGATCCACCTCCGCCTCATCTCGTCTGCGACGGCCTCTGCCGCCGGATTGAACGACAGCCCCAGTCCGCCAAACAGCAGCACGAGATCGACGGCGTGGTGCGCTCTGCTGCTGCCCTGCCATGGGTTGGCCTGGTCCACCACGTATCCGTATACAGCCCGCCCGCCCGCCCGCCACGCCCTGCTGAGCTTCTGAATCGGCCAGGAGAAGCGCGTGTCGTTAATGAAGTCGAGCGCCCCTGTCTTAGTCTGCGTCGCCCGCGACCCCATGATGCCATAGGCCCGCCGCAGCTCGCCGCTGTGCTCTCCTGCCAAATCGAACGCGTCCACAATCGTCTGAGGCGTCAATGCCTCGATCCCGTTTCGCCAGAGAATAGACTGCGATGCGTTAACGTGGCTGCCCTTTTGCGCCAGCCCTCTTGCAATCTTACCTCGTACTCGACATCCCCGACAAGCAAGCTTTTGACACTCCCGCTCCTGGTCCACTCACTCAGCTCCGGCTCGTCGGGGCTCTGCTGAAGCCACATGCTAACCATGTTGGTTTCTGTGAGTGCCTGGATTATCTGTTCTGCGGTTGCGGTTCTGAGCGATGTTCCGATGCTGGCCAATTTTGCCTCCATCGGCGCAACGATCGTCGCCTCGTATGAGACAGGCCGTGGCGGTGACAGCTCAAGAGTCCCGGACATCAGAATTGCTCTCTTGACAGGCGCATTCTGCACAACATGGGCGTGAGCGTATACCGCGCCTGCACTCTCCCCAGCGATCGTGATGTTTTCCTGCGCACTTGTCAGCACTTACCTGTATCGACTTTGGGAACATCAGTCTTACGGGGTCTCCGCCAAAGTCAGCAATATGTTTCTTGGTCCATTCGATCGCGAGTCTTTGATCTTTCAAGGCCAGGTTTCTCGCACCCTTGCCATCTCCAAAGGCAAAAATGTTTAACCGATATTGCACAGTAACCACGATGATCGGTTTCGACTGCTTGACAGAATCCTCGACAATCTTGCATGGATCTTTTCGCGTTCAGCCATAGCCAGTTGTCACCATCCATTTGTCAACTCACCACAGATTCCAGATGCCGCGGAGCCAAACGTCATCACCTGCGAACCACCTAAGACAGAACCAGAATATCAGCCCTAGCCCTTCAACAACGTTCATCAACGAATAACACTCACCATGAATCCACACCATGACCGGCAGCAGCCGCAAACTCTTCCTCTCCACCATCGCCGCCGGCATCGAAACATCCAGATTCAAGCACTCAAACTCGTCCTCCGGCTCGCGCGGCAGCTCCACGTCCTCGGGCAGCCGCAGCAGATAGCCAACGTCAATCGGCTGTTGCGGACACCGCGGCCCGTACGCCGTGCAATCCACGTCTTTCGTCTCCGCTGCGGCGCCAGCACCGCCGTCCCGCGAGGGGGAAGAGGAGGAGACGGAGGACTCCAACGTCGCGAGGACGGGTGGCGCGAACCGCGCGGGCACGCGGCCGTATCTGATGCCGCGGAATTGGGCGACGGTGCCATGCTGGCCGGCGATGATACCGTGGAGGGTCACGTGGGGGGTCGCGAGCGTGATTGCCGTGGTGTTGGTGGCCATGTTATTATTCGGCGCTACGTTGCGTAGGAAATTTTTGGGTTCCTCTGGGGTGGGAAGGAAGGGCGTGTCGCACGATATGAGTGGGAAGGGAGATAGGTTCCGATACACGTGTGTGTAGTCATCAGCTTGCTCGGCAGTTGTGCAGCTATATCGTACACATTCCTTCTCCACTCGGCACGCAGAAAGCAACGATCCTCTCGCTTGCTATTGCCGTGCGCGTACGCGCGGCCCGCCCCCGCGGTAGTTCGTAACGAGGGGAAAGATGTGGGCGATGGTGGGGTAACGTTACCTTGCCGTGTGGGGTAAAGAGGGGGGGCTGATGAGCGTTGAGGGAAGGGATGCGAGAAAGGTCGATCAAGTACCAAAACGACGATGCTCACCACCGGCCGTCATTATTATTTGCATTGGCTCGAGTTCACGATTGTTTGCGCGCTCTGCGACTGGTGCTAAACATCAGTATGCAGGCACCTATGCTTCGTGTACTTTGTGAAATCGCATGCTGGCGCCGTCAGGGATGCCTTGATAGATCGTCACTGGGATGCCATACGTGGGCTATCTGAATGTTTACCATTTCCTCATGACTAGTGTTGGCCCCGAATGCAATTATATGAACCAATGCTCATCGCTATGCTTTGTGAGTGGATCCAGCTGAACGCACGGGAACTTGCGCAGACAATCCGCGGTGGAGGGCTGGAGTGTCGTACTAAACCAAGAAAGGGGAAAAGGAAGATTATTTTTCGCCGTCGTCGGGGTACTCAAGGTATGGAATGAAGACCGTAGTGGGAAAGGGAAAAAAGAAAGAGGGGAACATGGAAGTATGAAGAGCCATCGTTGAACAGGATGGTTATGCCCTTCCGATGCATCTCAAATGCCCCGAAGAAATTTTACCGTCTTCGCTCCTTTACAGCCACAAGTACCCTCTGCACTTGCGAGCCCCGCAGAGGCACTTGACCGGCTTCATGCCACCCTCGTTCCTCTCTTCTGGATCAAGTTCTTCGTCCTCGGGCTCGTCTTTGTCCAGGTAGTCGAAGGTAAGTTCCTCGTTGGGGGCAATGTCCCGAATGGCGAAGAAGGCGATTTCATAGACCTTGGGGTCGTGGCGATTGTACGAGACGACGTACTGACGGCAGTTGGGCTCGCATGAGTGGTTTATAAAGCGCGTGGGGCCACCCTTGAACTCTCCATCAATGACGTATAGCTCTTCTTGGGGGATTCCTTCGGCCTCGGCGAACTTGTCGAGTGAGTACAGGTAAGAGTCCTTGGTGCCGTGGCGCGCGCCCTTCTCGCGGCGGGTTGCCTCGTCGTCCGTGATGATCTCGCCGCGGTACGTGTCGATGAACTGGCCGGTCCGAAGCGGGTCCTTGCAGCGCAGGCCCCAACCACGACTGTTGGGCGTCTTGAAGATCTCAAGCCTAACCTGTCTTCCCTTTTGCACGATGCGCGTCTTGCAGCCCGGTCCGCACTTGCAATTCTCATTGCATTCGTAGATGGGATAACGGCGGTCGAGGTAGAAGGGGACGAGGCATCCGCACTTCTCGGCGCTAGAACGCGGTCCGCTCGAGTAGTATGGAAACTTCTTGGGTAGCCCAGCAGTGTCGCCGAAGCCGCCTTCGGCTTTTATGGCCTCCCATCGTTCGCGCTCCTCGGGCAGCATCCGTTCCGTATCGCTCACCGCGGCGTACTCCAGGCAGTCGCACAGCTTACTGTATTCACATCCCATGTTCTGACCCATATGGGCCTTGCACTTCGTACAGCCGGTCCTGGTAGCGGGGTCTGCGGCATACACACCTTCGCCTAAGATGCTTTTCTGAATGAACTGGAAGCTCAGCGGCGGTGAGTTGTCGTCAATTGTGTTCACGAGAGAGATCTTTGGACCAGGTAAGGTGTCGAGGCGTCTCATGACCTCGGCACGTACTTTGGCGGCTGCGTCGGCGGTGCTTGCCGTCTTCGCGGTGGAAATCATAGCTGGGGTAGGAACGTGGCGAACATCGATGCGATGCGGCGCTGACGGAGACGGGACAGCCAAGGTGAAGCCATCTTCGACGGTGAGGACTCCATTGTAGACTTTGGCATCGGGCTCGTCACGTGGGAATGTGGACAGTTGCGAAATGACGGGCGAATTCATGCGGGAGTTTGAAGAGGTTGATGAGTCGTCGCGGACACGCTCCGCCGGGGAAGCGCGGGCTTGGTGGTCTGCGGCGTCCACGGCGCGCTTGCGCTTTTTGCGTCGTGGCGGTTGACTACGTCACGTGAGTGAAAGCAGGTTTGGAGTAGGTGAAGCAGTGGCGACATACGCGAGGAGGCTCTCGAGATAGGCTTGTAGATGGCCAAGACATGTGTCCAGCTCCGACGGGGCATGCCACGAGAATGGTACGTCTCTGGCACCCGATGGGCCGCCATCAGTGGCCCATCGAACGAGGTACTGCTCCTCGCCCTAGATTGCGGTTAGCATTGATGCCGCACCATGCTAGACAAGTGTCGATAGCTCTAACTCACATTATTATTACGGTGAGAAATAATTTCCTCCACCTAGGTGCCGTTAGCGACGCGTCTGACGCGTGGTTGAGGTTCGCGTAACGGCGCGTATCCTGATGGACGCCGGACAGAAACGGCGTACCTTACTCCCCAACACACAGCGCCCCACGAGGACGTGGGCAGGCATTGGCTGCGGACCTAGTCAAATATATTAGTACCGGGTTAGCTAAGGGTATACAGCAGTCTAGCAATAAAATCAAATAGAATCCAGGGTCTATTCTTATTATACTCTTTTTTAAACGTATAAGAACCTAAAGGCCTTATTATAATTAAAGAAAAAAGTAGAACTTACGTTTTTAAAGTCGTTCGAAGATTAAGAGATAGTTAGATTAGAGTTCGGAAAAGATCTTTATTGATTCTAAAATCTCGTTCTCTAAGAAAAGGGGCTTATTAAGCAAGATATAGATACGCTAAACCCAATTAAGTAAAGTCTCTATAAGTCTTAAAATACTTTTTTAATATCTATCTCTATATAAAAATATTACTAGCTGCTTTAATTAAGCATACGGCACGCTATTCACTCGCTTAATCGTTTGTGTCGTGCGGTAAGCCCCTGTTGATCATCTAGGTGGTCTTCCCGACTGGACGGATGCAGCGAATGGGCGTCGCCTTGAAAGGCGGCTATAAAACCAATGACTCGCTGCTATCAAGGAACACATACTTGGACGAGGAACCACAAGGCGGGGTAGACCGAGATACTCGGCAAGCATCGCAGTGTTCTTTCAGTGCCTTGAAGGGGTCACTTGGATAATCGCTCAAGCCTTACTGGCTGCATTACCCCGCAAAAAAGCGCGTACCTCGCCAGACAAAAGCATCTTGGCTCCGCCATAAATTGCCATCGGAGAACGACACGTCTCCATGCCAGTCAGAAAACCGTGACGCGCCACCAACAAACAGGGCAAAGGGGGAAGATACAAGGCAAATCCGCCCTCGTCCGTGCACCACGACACTGCTTTTTGTCAGCTTTCTTCCCACCCCCACCGATGATCCTACGCACCTCATCCCTCCCACAGTCCACGGATCGACCAGGTCCCGGCTCCGACCTCAGGCCTAGCGGTACTTCTGAGGGTACCTCGTGGCCATCTTCGCAACCGGGAGCTACCTATATCAAGCCCAGACGCCCGTCGCTTCCGAGTCTTACTCAGTGTCGTACCATTCCACAGGCCACCTGCATTCAAGGAACCCAGGAGCAAGCGGCACACAAACGGCGACAATGGGGATCCAAGACACCCTGAAAGAAGTCACGAGCAGAGCCGACGTGGCCGCGCTGCGTGACAACATCTCCAATTTCGTCCAAGCCCACCCGAGGCTCGCAATCGGCGCCTCCCTGTTGCTCTGCCACACGCTGCTATGCAGGACCTTGCGCTTTCGCCGGCTGCGCAAGATGCAGGCCAAGCACCCCTACAAGACCCGGGCCGACCTGGCGCGCATGACCAACGACGAGGCGCAGGAGATCCAGAAAGAGCTCATCCAATGCGAGTTTCCCTTCACCATGAACAAGGCGCTGCAGTTTGCCCTGTTCCGCACATACGGCATTCCGACCATCAGTAAGCTGCTCGTGCAGACCCAGCAGCTCTCCCAGAAGGAGCACGCATCCAGGGTAAGCGTCGTACCCTTCAGCTGCACCCAGACAGAAGCTGGCGCTAACCCGAGCTCCAGCGCTACGTCGACACCGAAGTGCTGATTCAGGACTTCATGGTGAATGCTCCCGAATCAGAGCGTGCCAACGGAGCAATTGCGCGCATGAATTACTTGCACAGCCTATACCGCAAGTCCGGCAAGATCTCCAACGACGATTTGCTGTACACGCTGGCCCTGTTCGCTCTTGAGCCGAAGAACTGGATCAATCGCTATGAATGGCGTAAGCTCACCGACCTGGAAACATGCGCAATTGGAACCTTCTGGAAATCTATGGGCGACGCTATGGAAATCTCCTACGACGCTCTGCCGGGTGCGGAGAAGGGCTGGAATGACGGCATCCAGTGGATGGACGAGGTCGCCAAGTGGAGCCAGGAGTACGGAGAGAAGTGCATGGCCCCCCATCAGGACAACAAGAAGACTGCCGATGAGACGACTGCCATGCTGCTCTACGACGCTCCCTCGTCCGTGCACCCCGTCGGCTTCAAGGTTGTCTCGGCACTCATGGACGAACGCCTGCGGAAAGCCATGATGTGAGTATCCGACTGTATGGTTTGGAGAAGGCCTGCTGACGCCGCCCCGATCAGGTATCCGGATCCTCCCGCCGGCTTGATCTCGACTATCAACGTCGCCTTCAAGATACGGGCGTTCTTGTTGAGAAACTTTGCTCTGCCACGGCCGCAATTCCTGCGGTCACAGCGAATGTCTGACGAGCCCAACAAGGACGGGCGATACTACCAACTTTCCTACGACGTCGACCCTTGGTGAGCCAGTAACATCCAAGTTTGAGGCACATCGCAACGTCGCTAATCATCTGGGGCCAGGTACGTTGATGATAGCTTCTCCAATCGTTGGGCATTGAAGTCTTGGTTGAAGTGGATGGCCGGCAAGCCATATCCTGGAAGTGCGGGCTTTAAGTCTGAAGGCTACGTCCTCGCAGAGATTGGTCCCAAGAACCTCGAAGGCAAGGGGACCGAATACGTCACGCAGACAAAGGGCCGTCTGCTTGAACAGGGCCGTGGCGGTTGTCCTTTTGCTGTAGCAAAACGCTAGGACATGCTTGTTCCAGCGCGACGTTGGATTGACCCACTGTTGCGGCCGATGCGCTCTCCGCTCTTGACAATCGGGTTTGATGTCTTCGAGGGCTGCTTTGAGAAATCGAATACCTTTTGAGAACCCTTGCTTTTGGCGCCCCAAGTTGGGTGGTCCCGCGCTGGCTCCCTCGAATTAGACACCACTTGCCAGTCTTTAAATGATCGCAATCTAAACCACCAGTTCACCTGTGGGCATGATCAGTACGAATGGGCGTCTCCATAGCGCCGGACATGTATGAAAGAATGCTTACCGAGGCCGTGAAAGTCTCTCCGTGCCCCTTCACACTGTGCCACCAGCCTTTCGGGATGTACAGGCCATCCCCTCTCACCAGACGAGCCTCCACTCCGCCCGATTCCGGATCGTACGCAGTGTCCCACACTTCCTTCTCCAACTCGTCCTTTTCTCTGCCCGTCATCATCTCCTCTCCCCTTATTCTCCCACTCAAATCGCCCTCGCCCTCACCGATCCTTTCCTTGACCCTCTCGAACAAATCCCTCCCCGTGTTGGGAGGTAGGAGCCGTATGGTTTTCTTGCCGGCCAGCTGGAAGAAGCAATTGTCGTTGGGGTCACGATGCAATGGCGTGTATGTAGGCGGCAGGCCCATCCAAAGAGAGCTGTCGTAAATATCGCAAACTGTGGGCTTCCCGTTTGCGTTTTTCGTGGCTGCGTGGTCTGTTAAGAACTGCGGCATGGGTAGAGCTGCTTGCATCGCCTTCGGCAGCGTGCTGAGGCTACATTGGGCGAGGTAGATGCGTATCCCTTGCGGCGGCTTCTCGAGGTAGTCGAGGAAGACTTGAAGAGGGGCATCGAAGCGTCTGAAGACCTTGGCTGAGCTGTTGGTTGGATCGGGTCCGGTGTACTCGAGCGGCACGACGGTCTTGGAGAAGGGGCGAAGGCTTGCTATGTCTAGAGTGTGCTGGTCGGCTTTGCTGTTAACTGCCTTGAACCAGCGGTATTGGGCGCTGACTGATTGGAACCGCTCCCAGCTGATGCGGCGAGGCTGGTCGCTATTGGTGAAGCCCAGCAGACGGTTGTTTCGCACGCCTTGTATGGCCTGGACAGGCGGCCATTTGGGAAGGCGCGAGGCGATCTTGGTCATTGCGCAGGCTGGTGGTGAAGGGTTGAATGTGTGGATGTGTGGATGTGACGCCGGCGATGATGGGAACAAATTGAGAGCCGGCGAGTCATGGGCACTGCGGCGGCGGGCGGCATGACTCGGCCAAAATCTCAACACCGCGCCCGCCATCGTCATTGCCCGCACCACCACCACGAGCGACCCCGCCATGGCTTCCTCCAGCGACAAGGGTGGCCAGATGGGTGAGCCTCCCCTCCGAAGCTCCGGCGTCAGCAACTGACCGTTTGCGCCCTGTCTCTCCCCGCAGTCGACCTTGCCAGCCTTTCACTCCCGCAGCTCAGCCAGCTCAAGAAACAGCTCGACTCGGAGCTGGAGCACCTGACCTCCTCCTTCCAGTCGCTGCGCAGCGCTCAGACGCGCTTCAAGGACTGCCTCAAGTCCATCAATACCGGCCTGCAGAGCGGCTCCACCGGTGCGCTGCCCCGCCGCCCCTCAATCTCCTGCCCTCTGCTACCCTGCCTCCCCACGCTGCCTCCCCGGACCCCGGCAATCGCTGACTCGACCCTTTGCATGCCACAGAGAAGCCCATCCTTGTCCCTCTCACCTCCTCTCTCTACGTCACCGGCACCCTCGCCGACATCAAGAACGTGCTCGTCGATGTCGGCACCGGTTTCTACGTCGAGAAGTCAACTGATGACGCCAAGGATTTCTACGACCGCAAGATCAAGGACTTGGAGAAGAACCTGAAAGACCTGGAGACCATTGTTACGGGCAAGAGCAACAACTTGAGAGTCATCGAGGATGGTGAGTGGAGGCACGGGTGAAATGAGTGTTCCTCATACGTGTTGGACGTGCAGTCAATGGCAGTCACGCTGACAATGACTTCGTTTTTTCCAGTTCTGAGGCAGAAGGTCCTCGCACAACAACAGGGGCAAGCCGCTGGCTCTGCACAGACTGCTGCCGCGGCGTCGTGAGTAGTCCTCTGCAGCTGGTTCTTGTACTGTTGCTACGGCATCTCCCGACCAGACATTCGGTCGTCGGGCCCACCCCTTACCCTTTGGTACATCCAAGCACCTTGAGCTTTGCGATGTTGCGAGGCGGTATGTCGAGATCAACTCGAAGGAAGGGCGGCAGAGTTGATTCGGAAGAGGATTGAGGTGCCAGATGGAATCGATATGTGAAGCAAAAGGCATTAAAAAAAATTCAAAGTCTGCAGGCAAAGGATATCCCTTCACCGTCCGCAATTCTACACAAACACACAAATCGAATGGGCGGACCTCGCATTTCCAGTACTCGCCGCTTCCATTCTTCTTCATCTTGCACGTCTGCAGTTCGCCTGTTGATCTTGCCGACTTCGCGCATGCGAAACCTCTCGTGCACGTGCGGGCGGATCTTATCGCTTTACGTGCAAGATGGATGGATGGATGGATGGATGAATGCCCAAATTTCTCGTCGCTGCAAGGTACAAGGGAAAATAGTTATTACTCTTACGACCTGACCTCCTCGATTGACTGTTATGCAGGGAGACACAATATCTGCGCCAAGTAGGCTCGGGTATGACAGCCAAGACTGTAATGAGTGTAGGAAATGACAGCGTATTATTCATAGTACAGTAGGACATTTATCCTTTCTGAGGACCCCACCGCTATGCAAGGTTCCAATTCCAGCAACCGTGACGCCAACCAGTGCGTGCTTTGAAAGCAGATAAGATCCGACCCAACCAACGCCGTGCTGGTCTAGAATGCAGTAGTAACGAGACCAGCTTAAAGCCCAGCAACAAGCAACAGCATATAGGAAACATTGACAGACGTCATGCAATGCAAGCTGGTGTGGCTGGGAATATTCCAAGGTGGATGTGATGCAGGCAAACAATCAAGACGACAGTTACACCGCAATTCCTCTTACCTTCCACCCACCAGGGCCCTTCCACGCCCAAATCCACAAGCCGCAAGCAACCCACACGCTGATGGCCATAGCCCAGAACGTGGATGCGTAGCAGGCCTTGCCATAGCACAACACATCTTCCCCATCTCCGAGACTTGGTCCGTCGTTGCCTCCATTGTTGGCGGCTGCGGAGCCCCAGTCGTAAACGGCGCTGTACACAACTCCCCAAACGGCTGCGCCGGCTGCCGGCATCATCGCAACGATGCCCCAATTGGTACCGAAATTCTCCACACCCCAAACAGCGGCGATGATGATGGGGACCAGTGAGAAAACGGCACCGTAGCCGGCTCCAATGAGACCGCTAACGATCCAGAAGCGCTCGCCGTGCCCTTGAACGCCTCCGGTTGCGAGGATGATCTGGCCAAGGGACAAAAGAAGAGAGAATGCAATCAGGAAGATGATGCGAGAGACGGTAAAGCGACGGCGAGGAGGCAGTGAAGCGATAGACGAGGTCTGAGAGTGAGGGCCTTGCCTATGAGCCGGGGAAGTGTGATCGGAGACGGGGGCGAACAGGTCGGAAACGGTACCGGTCAGGAGACGCGCGGCGGTTGAAGTAATGGCAACAATTGACACATGCGTCGCTGGGGAAGTGCGGTACTCGGCGGCGGTTGGCACGTCATAGAGCGTGCCTATTATGGTCCCTAGGTTGTTGATGAAAGCTTCACCAGGACCGGTTACCAAGAAGAAACCTGCGGAAAGCCACCACATAGTTGCATCGCCAAGGAAGCGGCGCGTCTCCTCGTTCAGAAGCCAGTTCTTCTTGGCCCGCTCTTCCTCGGCTCTCAGCTTTAGGTCATCAGCCTCGGAGCGCAAGAAATCAAATTGTGAGTCGGAGAGATCTTGCGGCGCTATGGTGCCGTATCCGTGCTGGTGCCGAGCAGCATTGAAGAACTCATCCTCGCTCAAGAGTCCACTCCGCTCCAGCTCATCCACGGCCTCGTCGATCATTTCTTCTTCGTCTACGATGCGCAAAGTAGTGCCGCCCAGCAGGCCCACGACGAACAGGAATATGCCCAGGAACAGGAAGAAGCGGAAGACGTCGACGTCTCCCCGAGACCCATCCGGACGGCGTTCGCACAGCAAGCGGCTGCCCACCTGACTCTGCCACATTCCACTAAGGCCAAAAGAAGCGACGGGCACCGCCAGCGCAAGCCCCTTGTTCTTGCCACGTCCGAAGTTCTTTGCGCATGTCGTCAGGGCGGCGAAGTACATGGCCGAGGTACCCAGGCCGATGGGGACGAAGGCCAGCACCATGACTCCGAATGGCCATCCGTTCGGGCCGGCATGGTAGGTAAAGGCAGCCAGCAGGTATCCGAAGCCGAAAAAGAAGGCCGAGATCAAAGACGAGAGGGCGGGGCCGTAGCGGTCGCAGATGTAGCCAAAGACGGGCACGGGCAGGTACATGGCCAGCTCGGCGGTGATGGAGATGATGTTAACCTGAAACTGCGTGTAGCGCAGGCGCGACTGGAAGAGGGGCGCGTAGAGCGAGTAGACGGTGATGGAGCCGGCGGCCAAGCTGTAGGCAATCAGCATGTCGGCAGCTTCGCCCGGCTTGCTGCAGCGGCAGCCATCCGGAGGGTGGTTACACACCAGCAGAGCACGGCGCAGGCATAGCCGCCGTATCGCGTCACGGCGCGGCGCATCATCTGGCGGTCGCGTTCCTGGATCTGCTCGGCGACCTGTTCGAAGAAGCTGCCGGCGTACGAGTTGGTTTGGCTGGGGCGCGAAGAGGAGCGGGAGTCGAAGGAGTCATCGGGACGCAGCAGCCGGCGCGTCTCAGCCGGGGCCGAGGGGTAGTCACGCTTGTCGATGCGCGCGTGGCCAGGCCCCATGCTCCCTGTGGGCGACGGCATTGCTTTTCGATGTGCGGCTCTGGCTCCGCGGCGATGAAGAAACTCAGCCCAGCCTGGCACCGCCCCAGGAGGAGCTTCCATTGCGTGCCTGCCGAACCAGCGGTAATGAGCTGGCCGGCGCGCCGCCCGTGCTTGAATGACGCTGGCTCCATGGCCCGAGCCCGTGCGCCGAAATAATTCAACCGCCAGCTGCAATCGCACCTGGCGCACCCACCTCGAACATCCCGCCCAACATGCCGCCGCCCAGCCAGCACCTGCTGCTCTCGCCCGCCGAGCTCGCCTACATCCACTCCTCGCTGTCCCTCGACCCGCCCGTCCGCCCCGACGGCCGCAGTCCCACCCAATTCCGCCCGCTCGTCGCCGAAACCGACATCCTCCCCGGCGCAAACGGCAGCGCAAGAATATGCTTCGCCGACGGCACTGAAGCCATTGTGGGCGCAAAGGCCGAGGTGGAGAAGAGCGTGTGGAAGCCGGGCCAGCATGAAGTCGAGCTTGCCGACGCCGAAATGGCCGGCGACGACGGCGACGACGGCGCCGCCGCCCGCCGCTCGAAAGGCATGGGCGAGAACGCGTGGGTGGAAATGAGCGTCGAGATCCCCGGCTACCGCGACGACGACCCATTGCCCGTCTTCCTGGCCGCCATGTTGACCGAAGCACTGCTGGCAGACGGCCAATTGCGGGACCGTCTGTTCATCAACCGCCGCTTCCACTGGAAGCTCTACGTCGACGTACGAGCTCCCCTCGACCCTCGCACCAAGAAACAAGCCCAATTGCTGACCCCAAGTCCTCCCGCAGATCCTCCTCCTCTCCCCGCCGCTCTCCTACCCTCTCCCCCTCCTCTCCCTAACCACCCACCTCGCCCTCCTCTCCACCCGCCTCCCCCGCCTAAAATCCGAGCAAGACGAAGACCCGCTCTTCGACGACGACTGGGCCGCCAGCACACCCCTCTACCCCCGCCGGCACGCCGCCAACACCGCCAACACCGCCGCCGCCCCCATGAACCGCCCGCCCATCACCCTCCTCGTCGTCGCCGTCGGCCCCAACATCATATTCGACCCCTCCAAGGAAGAGCTCGCCGTCGCCGAAGCCGTCATGGCCCTCTCCGTCGGCGAGCAGCAGCGAACCGCAACAAAAGACGACGCCAACAGCAAAAGCAAACCCTCTCTCCGCCTCCACGCCATCCGCACCATCGATCCCCCCTCCCGCCTCACCCCGCCCGGCGTCCCCAACGCCCTCAACAGCGCCACCGGCGGCGTGGCGCCCACCTCCAGCGCAGAGGCCGTCGCCCTGCGCGAAGGGCTGCAGACACCCGGCGTGTGGACCCCGCCGCGCGGCGGCGTCAGGCGCGGCCTCGTCGCGCAGGTCATCAAGCTGGCGACGCGGGAGGGCGGTGTGGCGGAGGAGGTGTTGGAGGCGTTGGAGGCGGTGGAGAAGTAAATGGGTTTGTGGGTGGTGGTGGCGGTGGTGGTGGTGGTGGATTTATTGTTCAGCTGAACTTTTGGAAATTGCACGGCATTCATGACCAAAGGATGGAGAGGAAGAGAGGAAGAAAAAAAAGAGAGAGAAATGAGACGAGACGAGGTTTCTTTTTTTTTTTCCTCGACACCTAGAGAGAGGGCTCTGCTCTCGGGGTAAGTCAGCTGCTGGAGGGAGAATTGGTGTTGTCTGGATCGATGAGCGAGTATAGTAGCATGGGGAAAGGCGTTTATTGGGGGAGTCAAAAAATACGGAAGCCGCTTGGTATATCTACCGGCGCTTTGTTCGTTATGCGCTTTGCTTTCTTTCCTACTGCTCGGTGTTATCATGTGGAATATCATGGGCGGGCCGCCAAGCGAGTGGCTAGAATGCAGTGGTTTGGAGAAGTGTAAAAGAGAGAGAGAGAGAGAGAGAGAGAGAGAGAGAGAGAGGTTACGGGGAATCAAATGGATGACTGTACTGCCTAGCGGCAAAAGCGGCTCAACTGACTGGACCGCCATTTCACGCAAATGAAAAATCTCAAAAGATAGAGGGTGCCGTGATTATTTTCACAGACGTACCAATGACAAAACGCGAACTCGATCATATTAAGCATGTTGAAGCTACCAAACTAAAAACCGCTTTTGCCAACCTCCAAAGTTTATCAGCCATCAACGTCCCGACCCTTACTCTCATATGTCCACTAGCATTTCGGAAAGTCTGTTGGTGGCCGAGCTGGATGCTGTAAAATCCTGTTTAAAGGTCGGTAGGTATTGTCGGGCCTGCCTTTGGCGGTCCGGGCCACCTCGAGGGCTCTGTTGGTTGCAGACCAGCGAGAACTCAACCATTATCAATTAGTTTCGGGTATTGGTGGGTTCCTCGGGGCTTATACTGGAGTGTGCGCGTGCAACCGGAGAAGTCGTAAGAAGTTCAACGAAAATCATAACTGGTACTGATCCTTTGTAGCAAGTGGTGGAAGCACCGATGGGGGTGCAAAGACTGTCAATGAGAACTTGTTGAAAATTGAGAGCATTAAGGGTAGTGGCGCAACTGAAACTTGAAAACAGCAAATGCATGAAGGAAACTTCTGTCCGGAACGGCTGCATCGGACATTCGTTCCGCAGCTAGTGGAGCGAAACCGGTTGCAGAAGATGAGATTCCCCTTGGTCTGCACAGAGGTAAAGTGGTAAGCCCCCTAGTAAGGCATGTTTGAGAGCTTTTCGTGTAGCAATGGCAAGCCACTGAGCCGCGAAATGTGCTCGATCTTGCTTGCAACCAGCATCAAAAAGGGCTGGCATCTCTAAGGATCGACTAACCCGTGTCGGGCGGCTATTCTCGAGGATGTGTCATGCTGGAGGACAGGCCATTTCTGTAGAATCACAGAAGTTGAGAGAGGTTTGAATATCAAGGCGCAGAAATGTGATCAGGCCTCATTAATAAACTCGTTGGCTCTGTCAGTGGAGCTTCTCGAATGAGGTTTGCCTACCGCGACATTAGTCAGCGCGCGAAGTAGATCCAGAAGCTGTTCGAAGTTCTGGAGAGAGGGCGGTTCGTCGGAGAGATTATCCAATTCCTCCGGATCAGCATCATTTAGTCGGTTGTCATCTTCAGCTTCAGAACCTTCGGAGGATACCTCATCGTCTTGTTGAGCGACACCTGAAAGAGCAGAGTTGTCCGGGTTCATGGGGAAAAGAAGGTTAGCGGAATCTCCGGAACCCCATTTCGCAGCCCGACCAATCTCTGTCCGGGAGTTGCTGGTTAATAGTTTGTCCCAGCTGTTGTTGAAGACGTTGAAGGTCCATCGCGGCTCATATGGGATCTGTTGGCCGTCATTACCAATTGTCGTCTTTCCCACGTGAGCAACTTCAACGACCCACTCGCCCATGCTCCCGATTGTGTTGAACCTCCAGCATCGCTTCTGTCGGACTGATTTGATCGGGACTTTTACTATTCGATCTTTGCTCCTCCGATAGACGATGAAGTCGTGTCCGCTTGTGAGGTCGTTCGCGGCCGCGGTGTCCAGCCTCAATGTGTTTGGAAAGAGATGGTAATCGGGGGACAGGCCACGCTCATCCACAGTCATGTACTCTTCCATCTCAAGATTCCACGCGAGACCGCCATTCTCCAAGCTGATGATGCTGCCATCCAACAACTTGCAAGGCTCACTTTTGCCCTTCGCCAGTTGAGACCAGCTTTTAGACACTATGTCAGTGCCGCTGGCATCGGCTACCAGCTCGACGTCCAGAATGAAGTCTCCAGCCTGACCTGCGGGATTGGCAATCTCGAAAGTTGCGCAATACACGGGCTGGACGTCAGATAAACTCAAGGTCCACGCGTCTTGAGGTGCCAGGATATGCGACGATTCAAAGCACCTCGTAAGGATGTGGCGCTCCACAATCGGGTCACCGATCTCTTTGGAGACCTTTGCATCCATCCTGTCAGGTTCTTCCATCATCTCCGCAAAAACAGGGAAAGAATACGTGGTTTCGTTGATGTCACGCTCAAAATACTTCCGCGCCGCAAAGGTCCCCAAGTGGAGATGCAGCTTAAGGAAATTGCGGAAGTAGCGAGCGTGCTTAGTGGTATTCACAACGGCCTCGAGCAGCTTTCCCGCCGGGGAGTCTTCCGAAGCGGCGTATGGAGCTTGATGCTGCTGAAGCTTATGCTGGAAGCGGAAAGTGAATGCATCATGTGTCGAGGCCGGATGTGCAGCAAGCTGTCGGGGAAAACGGTATGGAACCATGCTGACCGGAGGTAGATCATCGGGATCAAAAGCGTATGGGGTATCTAGAATGACGAATGGCTCCGCTTCGAACCTCTTTGCGTCCCACTCCACGGGCAAGCACTGCAGTCGATCCGCTGCTTCCTTCACCTTTTGTTCGACATTGCCTTGGATCTTGAGGATCGTGCGAAAGCTCCTTTCGCAAGTAATGTAGCACTCGCAATTCATGCGTATGGGGTCGAGGGCCTCAAAGTTCATGCCCAAGACTTGCTCCGGCTCTTTAGGCAGTGGCCAAATGAAGTGAGCGCTATGTGCCAGGACCTCACCTTCCGATATCGTCTGTCGGTACTTCCTACGCTCTTCATCTCTCAGGAGTCTTTTGCGAAGTTTCCTCTCAGCTTTCGGGTTGTATCCCCAGACCTTGGCCCACATTTCACCTCCCGCGCGCGCACTAATTTCGATCTCGCGCAGCCACTCGATGATGAGTTTGACTGCTTCTGTAACTGCTTCGTCGCTGCCGTAGATAAGAAGCTTCGCAGTCTTCGTCTGTTTATGTGGCCCCCACACTTGATCGATATGGGTGTTCGTGATCATGGCGATTTCTGCAGGGCGAGCGATGGCCGGCTTGGAACTTGAATTCTTATCGAAACTCCTGTGCATTTCTTAGCGAAAAGTCCACACGATCGAGGATAAGTTGCGCACTTACTGCCCAGCCAAGTTGATATGTTTCGGTAGTGCAAAGACTCTGCCAGGACGCATGCCCTTCTTCCTCCACTCGGTGGTAGCTGTAGTGTCGTGATAGACGGCAAGAGACTGAACCTTTTCATCAGATTCGATGGCTCCTACAACTTTCGCCGCAAGGGATGTTTCTTCAGGCCAATCGCTCATCGCACACGGGGACTCTCGCGCAACTTTGCGTATGGAGGATGAGTTTCCGCGCATAGCAACTGAGCTAAAGTCAGTGTGGGTACTCCGGCCACGAAGACCATGAGAACCACGAGGGCTATAGCCGTGGCCACGTGTAGAGCTTTTACCGCGAGACTGTTGAAACGCCGTTCCAGGAGTACCTTCAGACCCTGAGTAGCTTTGTGAAGAGCGTTGTGACACATGAGATCGAGACTCACGGCGCTCGCCATGAGTATGTTGTCCACCACGGCTGCGAGGTTCATCACGGCTGTGACCACGGCGATCACCACGGGTTTGAGAGCTAGCGCGACCACGGTAGGACGGTGTGGCAGGCATACCAACAGGATAGATCAACTGTCCCGGCCGTTCAAAGTGATGGCGGTATGTATTGCCGCTCACAGTTTGCGACATGGCCGGAGCTGTATCTTTATCCGACTGTGCTTTGAACCAAGCCTCGTCCTCTTCTCTCTTAAAGAGAGGCACATCTTCATCAAGACGACGGGTAGAGCTTTGCCGTGGCGGTCCATCTGTTATAGCGCTTTCACCTGGAGATGTGGGAAGCCCTGCTGAAGATGGCGTCTGAGAGAAGCTTGGGTCAAGCTCGATCAAGTCGTCAAGATTAGAAGAAGTCCTCCGAGAGTGGATCTTCTGTATCAACGTTCCATTTACGGTACTGCCACCTGACACGTGTTGTTTGTCATGCCTGTTGCGGATTGGGGCTGAGTTGGCTGGAGAGGCAGGTTCTCCAAACGCGAGCGAGGCAAACGGATTCGACCAGTTGATCGGTGTCTTGCGCGTGGGCTGTTCGTCCGAGGACGCCAGGTCGATGAGAACATCCCCCGCTGGCCTTGGCCGGTTAAGAGCAGGAGCAGATGAGCCCGCAGAAACAGTAGGAGTGACCCCAGCATTGCGGATCGTCGGGGCGTGTGTCCGGTGTTGCGGTTGAACGCGCGAAGGATGGCTTGAGGGGGGCTCAGGTCTGGACGAGTGATGGTTCTTTTTCTTGCGTGTGACAGACTGCCACTCTAAAGACGTGGATTAGTGGTGAGATATTCAGCCGAGGCGGGTGCCTTACCAGCCGCATTCTGCGACTCGAAACTATCCATGGCCCTTGCACTAGAGCATGCGGCAGAAGCGAGGCTATCGGAGGAAGAGGGCGATACGAAGCCTCAGGGATGGGGTGTGCGACGCAGCGGGAGGATCTGAGGTTGGTTGGTTGGCGGTGGATGGGCGAGGTGTAGAGAGGAAGCAAGGCGGACGAATTTATGGAAGTTACGGCGCGGCACCAAAAAAGAAGGCACGGGGTGGACCGTCGATCAGAGTCCACCCAGGGTAGGCACTGGGTGGGAAGCAGTGCACGGCTCGTGTGATTTTGAACGACACATGGGCTCCGCCCTCGGTCACTGCAGCGCAGCGCGGAAAGTCTATTTCCAATATCGGTCATCACATTGCAAGGACGTTCCCTTGACCGAGTAATAGGACAGCTGCCCAGTACCGGCCTCTCCTTCGGGGCATTTCGTGGTGCCGCGGACGACTGGAGATACGTCAGTAGACTCTTCGAAAAGTCTACATCTCCCAGTGCTCTCGTGGCAGGGAAGCAATTCTGCGTAGAATCCGAGGCCTCACTCCCTTTATTTTCAAAAACACCGTCTTGGGAGCACTGTTCCTTGATGATCGGAGCCGTACTTCACGCACGATGTCGCGCTAATGTCTTGCACGCATACTCGGTAGCATCTGAGCATGTGCCTGGAGACGGCCAAGATGGGGACACCAGGACTGTGGTCACATGCCTCTGGACGTCGCTTCCTCAGACGGAGGAAAGCTTGCACGGGCAGCAACGATGCACGACGTGTTGTGACTGGGACCTTGGACATGGTGGAGTTGCGGAGAATGGCTTGACGTCCAAGCACCGCCCGCCAGGCGCTGATCTCTTGACTCGCGTCCCAAAATCTCAGAAACAACCGAAACCGACGACCAACCCACCGCGCACCCAAGCTCCCTCCGCCGACCACCGCAACCTCCTCCTCCCACCACAATGGCCGCCCCAAAGCTCGGCCTCTATTTCCGCCCCCACTTCCGGGTGGGCCAAAAGGCTGTATACCTGTACGCCGCACTTCCCCGGGCCTCAAACCCACGCACACACGTCTCGCCCGCACCGCATACACCTCCGCCGCACACCTCCGCAAACCCACCCCCGTCCAATCTAACACGCACAACCACCACCCCCCATATACCTGCAGCTGCTAACGCGCCATCCCTCCCTCGAACCCGTAGGCCCGACTTCACCATCACCCTCCTCCGCTCGTCCTTCCTGCCGCCCACCTTCGCCAAGTTCATCGTGCCGCTGAAGCTCAACAAGCTGGATATGCGCGACTACCTGTGGCACGCCTACGGCGTCAAGGTCACCAATGTGCGCTCCTTCGTGCAGCAGGCAAAAATCCGCCAGGACGACCCCGCCCGCAAGCGCGCCATGCCGCGCCGCTGGTACCGCGGGCCCTCGATCAAGAAGATGACGGTCGAGATGGACAAGCCCTTCGTCTGGCCCGATGAGCCCGAGGACTGGGCGCCGTACGTGGCTTTTTTTTTTCTCCCTCTCTCTCTCTCTCTCTCCCTCCAACCTCTCATATACACATCTTCAAATCGCCCTCACGGGGTCATTCTCTTTTGAATGTTGCCCCAATACGTGGCTTGGATAATGGTGGAGTCAGAAGCTGACACATTTTTTTTTTCACACAACTGCAGATACGGACGCGACTTGTACCGAGCAGCAGAAGAGTTCTCGGAAAAGGAGCAGGCGAAAATGATGCCGGAAGCGGCCTACGACGGGCCGAGAGACGCACCAACGTTACGCGAGCAGGCCGAGCGGTTACGCAGTGGCGCGGAGGAATGGGTGCCGGGCCGGATTTAATGAGTTGTTTTCAAGATTTTGGAGGAAGATGTTATGGGTCAGAGACAGCGACGTTCGAAAAAGGAAGGGCGAGCTGGTCGCCGCTATTTGAGGCACCTACCGATGCTCGAAACGGGATGGAGAGCATCGTTGCGGAGGTGCTCCGGAGAGGAGAATCGTGTTGTATTATGACTGTACAGGAAACAGCCGGGGTTTGATTGGGAAACGGGCATAGGCGGAGTTCATCGATAATATTAAACAAAAATCCCTATCCACAGAGTTGGAACACGGAATCAACGTCCATGTCAATCTATTCCTAAACGCCCAATCCTTCCAAAGAGAAAACTGGCTAGAACTACAAGATCTTGCTAATGGATGAGCAGGGTATCTATCTGTAGCTTTTGTATAGTGGATGCATTTGTTTGTACAGGATAGGAAGAAGGAACCACTGAGTGTCGATCGGCCAGCCAATGGGATGCCGTGCTTTTCCTCAAATCCCAAAATGTAAAGGGGCGCTCTTGTGAGTTCCTCTACGCATAAGAAATGGGTGGCAAAGTATGCTTTAATGAGGCGGACCTCTCGCCTCGTACAAGTGACCCGTCTTGCTCAACACCGTTCCCAGCCCCTTGTGCACCTCGGCCTGGAACGGCTCAAAAGGAACCCGCTCACCGTCGATGCTGATATACCCGTCCTTCTGGTTCTTTGGGGTGATGCGGTAGCCAGAGACCTTCCGGTACTTGACATGCGGGAGGTCGAAGAAGCTACCATCCTCGACCGAGAGCAGCGTCTTGATGGACGTCCAGCGCTTGATGTCGCCGTCGATGCAGACCATGTCGAGGCAGCCGTCGCTGGGCAACGCGGCCTGAAAGAAGTTGGCGTCGGCCGACATGTACGCCATGTTGCCGCAGTAGAAGTTGCCCATCTTGTCGTACGGCTTCAGCGTCCAGCTTTCCGGCAGCGGGTCGTTGACGGTGCCGAAGCGCAGCGGGGGCAGGCCCGTCTCCTCGCCGACCATGATGGATTGCCGCTTCTTGGTGCCGTCCTGAGGGGGGTTGGCAGCCTCGCGGTAGTAGGCTTCTTTGATGGCAGCTTTGTCATCGATCTCCAGTCCGATAGCAACGTCACAGGGGTAGACTGTTTGGCCTATGATACGAACGAGGAAGCCATATGTGAAGCGCTGACCGCCCATCCAGCGCAGGTTTTCCGTGGCGAGGTCGCACTCGGCAACAATCCCAACGGATTGGGATAAGAAAGACAGGGTGCGGCGGTCACCTTGAGTGATTGACACCAGGTCCATTGGCGTGCGGAGGCCCTTGACAACGGCGAGAGCAGCCAAGCTACAGCTGTTTGTGCCGTTCAGGTTCAGGCTCATACCGTTGCCACTACCGCACGGGAGCTGGACAACAGCAACTTGTTGCAGTGCCTTCGCCGCGTCCCTCCGCTTTCCCAGGCCATTGAAGACCTCATGCGGTACGCCGTCGCCGGAGCAGCACGCGATGACGTCCCAATCATCCACCTCCAGCCTCTCAGCAGCAAGCTCCACGGCATGGCCGGAGAACTGCGTTTCCTCGACGTCGATGACGCAACGCGCGGCCGCGAAGATGGGCTCGATCTCTTTCATGTACATCTTCTGCGCGCCGCCCTGCCCGCCGAACGGGTTCACCAACACCTTGATGCGCTTCTGCCGCTGCGAGGCTCCATACGCGCGGTCCAGGAGCTTCTCGATCCACAGCCGCGCTTTGGAGCGGTCATCCTTCTCGACCGTGTAGTTGATGAAGGCCGGGCGCACGACCGACGACGAGACCTGGCGCGCATAGTGGATGGCGATGTCAAACTCGGCGAGCTCTGCCCAGAGCACGTTGTACAGCGGAATGGAGCGGGTGGGTTTGGAGCCTGCGCACAAGTGAGCAAACACCCTTCCGGCGAGTGCCTGTGCACCGGGCAGGCTGTTCACATACCGCTAGGCAGCAGACCGCAACACTTGGGGTCGACTTCGGCGAATGATTCGTCTGCGCGCTTCGTCAGACCTCCGGGGATGCGGGAGCATTGGGCTCGTGGTTACCTAGCACTACGAGCGAGTCTTCTCCCAACGACAGCGAGGCCAGCCTGCCGACGGCGAGCGTGTCGGGCGCATCGGTAGGGCTCAGCAGGGCCGAGGTCGGGCGCGCGAATTCGTCGGCATGTTCGTCGAGTGGGTCGCGCTCTCCGGTAGTCGACATGGTGGTTATGGCGGAGACAAACGAGTGTGGGAGGTTCCGAGCAGTGCCGGCATGGCTGTGTGGAACTGGAGAGGTGCTCGCAGATGACCCGTCGCCGCCCGGGGCTCGCTCGCGTCACCGTCCGCAGCCCCAGCCTCCGTGTTCAGATCCTAATGGAGCACGAGCGCGCCTCGACGCGAAGGAAATCCAGCCGAGGCGGCCTTACCGGGCTCTCGGCGCGGCTGCAGACAGGACCCTGCAAGGGACGGGTTGAGACAAAGCCTCGCCCATCCCGAATGCGGCAGACTTGTCGCGGGGGCATTGCGGACAATGCGCCCCCATTGGTGTGTTGGCAGATCCCAAGCCGCCGTTGCCTGACGCAATGCCGGCCTTCCCCAAATGTCTAACGTCCCCAAGCGCAGTGATCACCGGGCTCTGCCTGAACCACATGGCTGCAATTAAGAGTGTACCTGTGCTAACCTACCACCATGTCTCCCCTATTTTCCCGCCTCCTCTCGTGTCCCGTAGAGCTTTTGTTCACAGCGCTCACTACTCCCGCATATGCAAGCGAAAACAAACAACACCAGATCCTCTTCTACGGCCGAAAGAGTCCTCTGGGAAGGCTCAAAACGCGTGCATGTCATCAATCGCCTTCGTAAACATCCGTTGGCGCCGTCGCTGCATACAGACCGGCCACCCTTGCAGCTGCTCCTGTCAATACAGGATCCTTGATATCGTCCTATCACTTCTCTTCAGTAACAGCTCTACGCCTCGCCCGCCGCCTTGTTGATGCCCTTGAGTGAACCAAGAGCAAGCGCCAGGCCCTGCGAGCGACTGCGGATCCTGACGAAGCCCGTGACTGGCCCGTCCTCGCCTTCCTTCTCTATGCTTAGATTGGCCAGCGCGTCCTCGCCTGTAAAGAAGTCAGCAAAACCTTAATCGGTCTGAATCGGGGCAGAAATAACGCACCGAACACGCTGCGAGCGTAAAGGTTGGCGCTCAGGAACTGGCAATCTCCCTTTAGGGATGCCTCGGGGGTCAGGCAGCTCATGTTGGTAGCCGCCATCAGCTGCTTGAGGAAGTCCCGGAGCGTTTTGGCCTTGGAGTTGATGTTGACCTTATTCTCCCATTCAAACTCAGTCCACATGGTCCTAAACTGGGTTTCTGAGCAGTGCGCGGGCTGGATGTAATCCATGATATCCACGTGCACGTCGTTGAGGATGATCACATTGGTATCCGTGGAGCTTGCGCCATCATAAACGACGTTGCCGAAGATCACGCCGGTGTCCGTCGATGACACCTTGATCGTGGCCTGCACGTTCAAGAAGTCGTGGGGTCCGAGGTTCTGCGTAGTCGGCCGCTCGACAACCTTCAGGTCTCCGAGGGTAGCAAACTCGACCGAAAGATTCTGCAGCGTATCCGTCGTCTGGTTGACCAGTAGGACATCGAGCACGATGTCAAACTGGTGGACCTTCACATACGCCTCTGAGTAGACTTGATCAGAGAAGCCGGTAAGCTGGACAACCCTGCTGAGCTTCGAGGAGAGGTCCTCGGTAGTGTTGTCGCCTCCTGTGGCCCTCTCCAGGTCAAGCTCGATCTCGTCGGCGCCATCGACGGCGTTTTTCTTTGCGAGCTGCCTGATAGAAATCACGTCGTCGACCTGAACAGCAGTCTTCATCTTCTCCGATGCTTCCTTCGCAAGACGCTTCTTTTCCTCATACTGCACCATAGTGCGGAACGCTTTCCGGGTGTCGTCCAAAAAGACCGTCTCCAGCTCCTTCTTCTGCTGGAACTCGGCCAGAGCGCGGACGCAGGACATGACTCGGTCAACCGAGTCCTCATCAATAGGAGTCTTGACGAACTGTGATTGGCCAACACGGATGATGGAGATCATGATAAGCATAGCCTCCGCCTTGAGGGCATTGGTGCGAGCGGTTTCCTGAGAGATTTCGGAATGGCGCATGACGAGCTTGGTAAGAGTCGAGGACAACACCGTGGCGAGGTAGTAGTCACCATCCAGGATTAGCTGGCGGAGCGGAGGCTTCTGAGCTGCCTTGACTGCCTCCAGCTTGGCCTTGACGGCAGCTTGGCTGGTTAGAGCGCTCTCCGTGGCATAGGTTCCATCTGCTAGCACCTTCCTGGAGCCGGTAGGAGCGGACTTCGCGTGGCCGTTGATCTGGTCCTTGGGATCAGGCTGACCATCGGGTACCTCTTCAAGTAGCCTCTGTTCCGAAGCGAGAATCGGGATCTCTCCAAGGCTCGCACGAATCCGCTTCCAAGCCTCACGGATATCATTGGCTTCCAACGAGTACTCTCCCACAATCCACAGTGCACCGCGGTACACCTTGCCCGCCCGAACTTCACTAAGAGTAGACACCAGGCGTCCCACGATTGACGGCCTGAGATCCGGAAACTTCTCCACGACCTCCTTGACAAAAGAAATGACGTCCACCGCAGAGGCATTGTTAAAGTCCGCAATGAAGTCCATCAAAGAGTCGACAACGCTGGCGGCAACCTCGGAGAACTTGATGGCGCATTGGTGTATCGAGTGGATGACCAGCGAACGGTATTCGGAGTTCTAGAAAACTAGTCAGCAAGAACAGAAGCATATCCTCGGGCCGTCTACAAACCTTCTCGTACTGTTCGTCCACAGTCTTCGACAGCTCCTTCTTGAGGAGCATAACGACCTCCTCCACATTCTTGCTCGAGACCATTTCCATGGCGAGCTCCAAAGCCTTCTTGCGCACATCGATGTCGGTGCTGGAGAGAACACGGAGAATCTCCATGACAAGATCATCCAAAATTCCTTCATTCTTCTGCCTCAATTGATCCACCTTTTCAAGGACGATGAGCTTCACATTGTTGTCGGGCTCCTTGATGCTCAGCTCGATGAATTTGGCAGCAGCAGCCTTGACGGCAACCGGATTGTTGGTTAGAGCGGTAAGCGAAGACGCGGCCTCGTACACCACGGTGGAGGTGTTGGCCTCGAGAAGATCAAAGATCAGGCGGAGGTAGCGCGCCTATGCATGGTTAACTCGAAAAGTCCAAAGACGAATGCGCACCATTTCTTATGGTAATCTGACCTTGTTCTGAGGGTTGGACACGGCATCCCTGCGGATAAACTCGAGCTCCGTAAGCTGCAGGAGCTCATCTGCGTTGGGAATGCCATCGAAAACACCACTCAGGTATTCCAAAGCTTTATCGTGGCTAATCGAGGACAGGGCAGCGAAAGCGTTGCGCTTGCACGTATGGTCGTTCTCCTCCTCCAAAAAGTTCAGGAGAAGCTCAGGCGCGTCGGGGATAAGAGCTTCCAGGTGCTGGTATATCGATGCAATGGCAAAAACGGCGTTCTTGCGGACGTAGGCATGACGGTGCTCGAGACATTGCCTGGCGGGCTGGAGGAGAGGCTCGACCAGCTCGGCGTCGCGGAGTTTGCACACGAAGCGGAGCGTGTTACCCCGGATGTACTCGTTGGGGTGCTGCAGATCGAAGCGCATACCGTTGCTGTCCTGCGTCAGATGTAGGCCAAGCACAGCCGGCGCCAATTGAACACATACCAGACCAAGATCCATTCCTGCTTTAACTTGCCATTGGCGTCGTGCTTGGGGCATATCTCGTAGTACAGGTACAGGAGCTTCTTGAGAGGCTTGCTCTTCGACGGCATGACGAATCGGATGATGTGCATGAGCAGACCGGGCATGGCATCACCATTCAGCATGATGGTCAGGATCTTCTTCATTGTCTCGAACTTGGTCTCGTCGCTGCCCTTCTCAAGCTGCGTCTTGAGCTCCTGCAACGTGGGCTGGTCGGCAGCATTGTCCTGGTGGACGAGGCTGTACGAGTTATCCAGGAAGGTCGCCATTGTGCCAAGTAGTAGAGATGCCTAGGGGGAGATTGTGGCAGATTCGCTCGGGTGGGAGACGAGCAGTTGCGGCGTGCTCCCGCGGCGGCCGTCAGCCGTTCGATGCGCAGTGGATGCTGCCCAGTGCGGGGGCAGAGCTCGGGGGAGGACGGGGAGGCGGGCGGAGATGGCCTGGGCAGACGGGGCGGATGGGTCTGGAGGATGCGGCGGAAAGAGTGTCGTGGTGGTTTGAGCCTGGCGTGGGCAGTTGGACCTTTGGACCCCTTGGCTCGTTCTTGAGGATCACCTCCAGGTGTTCACTACGACGCGCGATTGCGAATTTGGCCGATTCGCCTGCGCTCACCGCCCGCCCGCCGCGCCGCGACAACCCTACCCAGCCGCGTCGCCTCTTAGCAACACCATCCCCCAGCATCGCATCCTGCCTGTGCGCTGTGTTTGCTCTGCACGATGGCGCCCGACAACGACCAATTCTATGTGCGCTACTAGTAGGCCTCCCTTCTGCCGTGCATCGCCCAGCTTCACGTGCTGACCTGTTCTGCAGCTCGGGTCACTCTGGGCGCTTCGGCCATGAGTTTCTTGGTATGCACCTGGCGCCGCCCATGGGATCCCTGCGGGCCGCTGACATGCCGTAGAGTTTGACTTCCGCACTGTGGGCGACGGCCGTAGCGCAACAGCGCGTTATGCGAACAACTCCAACTACCGCAACGACTCTCTGATCCGGAAAGAGAGTAAGGCGACCGACTGTTGGCTTCTCTGCACGCAAGCTGACCATTTTGGCTGCAGTGTGCGTCAGCTCCACCATCATTGCTGAGATCAAGCGCATTATCAAGGAGAGCGAAATCATGAAGTATGCAATCTCGCCCGTGGGTCTGTGTGGCTGCTGACTCCTCCAAGGGAAGACGATGCCAAATGGCCGCAGAAGAACAAGGACGGTCGTCAGGAGCTGGAGATCAAGTTGGGCAACGAGCACATTTCCTTCGAGGTGAGACATCTGCCATGATGGCCTACTGCTTCCCTCTGCTGACTCTTAGACGTAGACAGCCAAGATTGGCTCGTTGGTCGATGTCACCGAGTCTGCGGATCCGGAGGGTCTTCGTGTTTTCTACTATCTTATTCAGGACCTGAAGGCGTTGGTCTTTTCATTAATCTCGCTCCACTTCAAGGTCAGTCTCGCCCAGTCCTGCCGTATAGTGCTTCCCGTACTGACCACCGTGCAACAGATCAAACCCATTTAAGCGCTGTATGCGCAGGGGACGAAGGGGCTGCTCAGAGTTGCCCAAACCTGATATCAGACTTTTTAGTCTCAAAGAGGTTCGATGGAACAGGAGAATGTATGGCTTGATTTCATAGCCCCAAAGAAGAGTTTTTAAAAGACGCGGCTAGATACGGGTGCACATAGAACTGCGCATACGGCGGAGGCCACCTTATTACGCTACCGCAGATAAAAGCTAGATACCAGGTTGATGCCAAGAACAGGCACACAAGTTCCTTTACATGCACCCCATCCAGGAAGGTCTGCACGCGGTAGGTGGAGAAGATCAGCTTGAGCGGCACTGCCACGGCAGCGCTAGCAGTGATGTCAGGGCGTTGGCCGATACAGCTCCGCTGCCCGAGATCGCAGCAGAGCCCGTGGCCCTCCCGACTCGCTGTTGCGGTATTTTTAGCGCCGTGCCGGTGCGTCTGTACACGGAGAAATAACGACGGGATGGGCTCAAACACACAGCAGACGCACGGTGGTGCTCGTGCCAGCCTGCACCTGCAGAGACGAGCAGCGGAGCAGTCGTCGCTATCGCGCCGCGCCGGCGGCCTGCTATTGCATAGCGCCGCGGATAACGACGTTGCCCCAAATAGACGTGCCGGGCACTAGGCCAAGGGATCTTCAGCAACAGCGAACACCAAGCCGGCCGGGCCCAGGATTGCTCGTGAGCTGGCCGAAAGCATCCACCCGCGACGTCTTCTGGCTGTTCGAGAAGTAGTCTGGAACAAGCGCCGATGTCGTGGCAATGTTGGCCGGAGAGCGGCTGCACGTGATGCTAGCTGATCGCTCTAGTCGGCCGGGCGCCAGGCGCGCCCCCGCAAGGTCGAGGGCTGGCCGCGCCGCCGCGGTCTTTCCATCGACGCATCACCTCTCTCAGCCCACGATGGTCTATCCGGCCCGCAGCTGCAGTCTGATGTAGCTTCCCCGCCAACCGCTTCCCGCAATCGCCTATACACCTACATTTTCCTCTCATGTTGCCGCGCATACAGTCTCCCTGAATGTGCCCCGAGCCCATTAGGATGCCTCTCCCGTCGATTCAAGATACCCTGTTGCCGTCGCCTCCGCCAGACCAGTTATCCGGCCGCACGACATGCCCCCCGGAGACCTCTCGCCCTCATGCACGCTCCCACGACGCCGCAATTGACGCCAGCACCTCTACTTCCTCCGACGATCGTGCCGCCCACCCTGAGCCAATCTCTGGTATCGCCTCGCCGCCCGCTGACCAGGACAGCCGGCCGAATGTCGACCCGCAGGACCCGGCACCTGCAAAGCGAATGGACACCGACGACGACGGCCCGCTAAGGGACACTCCTAGTCCGGTCAGTGCTACAGGCGACGCCGCCGAATGCGACCGCTCGTCGTTGCAGAGTCCTGCGCTTCCCTCCACCGCCTCCGCCTCCTGGTACCCGAACATGTACGGTTCGGCCTGGCCCGACCACCGTGTAAGACACATCCCCAGTCGCCCGGCTGGACTGAACCGTGACTGACTTGCAAGCGCGCAGTTCCTCCCTAATTCCACATCCTCCTTCCTCCGCCCTGGCAGCAAGTTCAAGGGCACTCAACAGTCGGATCGTCAAGTTTACGAGGTGCAAGTGGAGATCAAATACGTGGACATGGAATCGCATTGTCTATGTGGATACCTGCGCATCCAAGGTACGTAGCGCCCCCTCTGCCGTTGGATAGGTCTCGACTGACCCGGTTACGCACGGTAGGCCTAACGGACGACCACCCTACCCTCACCACATATTTTGAAGGCGAGATCATCGGCACAAAATACACGTTCCAGACCAACCGGCCAGAATGGGGCTCGAACGAGAAAGTGGACATGCAGCACTGGGGCCGTTTCCCCGCATGGCGGCCACTCGCCAAACAGGCCAAACGCGCCGACTTCACGTACAAGAACTTCGCCCAACGCGAGAATCTCTTCATGCGATGGAAGGAGCATTTCCTCGTTCCGGATCACACGGTCCGCACCATTTCTGGCGCCAGTTTCGAGGGCTTCTACTACATCTGCTTCAGCCAAGTCACCGGCAAAATCAGCGGGATCTACTTCCACGCCAAAAGCGAAAAGTGAGTGTTTGTGCTCGTGAAATCCAGCCTGAACCAGTATGCTAAGATTCGCCGCAGGTATCAGCAATTGGATTTGGAGCATGTCGATGATCATGGGTGTATGGGCGCAATTGAGTTTCGATGAAGTGACGAATGATGATTAGCGCTTGCATATTGGGCGAGGCCGGGCAGCATTCTGCTGGGCACGGGCTATTGTGGCTTTCAAGGGCTGTTTTCGAAGGGCATCGCGTTTATATCATCCTTGGCTTTGGTTTCTCCCTGGGACAGGTCTTCGGAGGTGGATCTGGGTTTCTCTTTCTCTGTAGGATGTATAACACTTTTAGGTACCGGCGTGCACATAAGGCAAAACCTGCTTTATCGGAATTGAGGGTATTGCTTTCTTTTTGGCAGCTCAACGGCGCTCCGACGAATGTGCGTGATTGGCGTGTCTGACATTGCCGCTTCGGGACGATGAGTCGCGCCTGGTGGCACCGGCCACCTCTTAAATTTCGGCCGAGTCATCCGCGGCCCAACTCTTCGCCGTCACCACCACACTTCCAAGTGAGGTTCACCTACCACCGTCAAACATGGCCGGCCAAACGCACAAGCGGCAAAAGCGAGACGAGTACCGCAGTGCACTCAGCGAGGCTGCCTCCGAAGGCACGCAGCTGCCCAAGAAGAAATTCTACCGGCAGCGGGCGCACGCGAATCCCTTCTCCGACCATGCCTTAACATAGTACGCACGAGACAAGTCTTAAGCCGTCGCAGCTCTGCGACGTAGCTGGTATATTTAAACTAACTTTTTTTGCTTGTTCTCCCGTAGCCCAGCTCACCCCGGGCTTATGGACTGGGCCAGCCTCTACCCAGCTTACGCCGTAGGGCCGTCAGAGGACGAGGTTTCCGCCATGCAGACCGACCAGGAGGAGGGGTCTCTTGTTAAGCGGAAGATCTCGAAGGACGTCGAGGTCGCAGACATCGGCTGTGGCTTTGGTGGCCTGCTGTTTGCGTTGTCGCCGAAATTGCCAGACACGCTCCTCCTTGGTAGGTTGAATGATTTTTCTTCCCCTAGTTTTCTCAAGTCAATCAACATGTTCTTTTTTTTTTTAACTCTCTTCTCCTACGTCTTTCGAGTATTGGTTATGAGTAATCTGTACAGTTCTATATCGTGTTCCCCTTCAGCATCTCTCACATCTTCCCACCTTTCTTCTCCTTCGATAAATTCTGATGTCTCCTCCTGTAGGCATGGAGATCCGTACCTCGGTCACGGAGTTCGTACAGGAGAAGGCCAAGGCCCTCCGCGCGCAGAACACAGGCAGCAACGCGTACCAGAACGTGGCTTGTCTGCGCGCCAACACGATGAAGTTCCTGCCCAACTTCTTCCGGAAGGGTCAGCTCTCGAAGATCTTCCTATGCTTCCCGGACCCGCACTTCAAGGCGCGTAAGCACAAGGCGCGTATCGTGTCGACGACGCTCAACTCCGAGTACGCATTCGTGCTGCGGCCTGGCGGCATCGTGTACACGATTACGGACGTCGAAGACCTGCACCGGTGGATGGTCGGGCACTTCGAAGCCCACCCGAGCTTTGAGAGGATCAGCGATGCGGAGTTGGAGAACGACGTCTGTGTGGAGGTCATGAAGACGGAGACAGAGGAGGGCAAGAAAGTCACGAGGAATGGCGGGCAGAAGTTTGTGGCTTGCTTCCGGAGACCGGAAGATCCTCCTTGGCCTTGATTGATTGGATTTGATGTCTTTTTTCTAGCCGAAGCTGGTCTACTGGGGAGACTTGCGAGTCTCATGGATAAAAGTTATTTGGAAGCATAAACATGAAAAGTCTTTTGTTCGCCCGATAAACCCAAAATAACGCCGCGCTGTAACCACAGTGATTATGCAAGCCCTGGATATCACTCGTCAATGCCGCCCCATTCCTCGTCCTCGTCCTGCGCCTGTTCCTCGGGCTTCTTGGGATTGTTCCAATCCTTCAGTCGCTCATCCTCCTCCATCGTCTCCTTCACGCGAATCCGGATTGCCTTGGTCACGCTCTTCTCCCGCAGCTCGCGCAGCGGCGCTAGAACTTGTTCCAGAGGCAGATGGCCCTCTCTCATCTCATCCACCTTATCTAGCTCGTCGATGTAGATGTCGAGAACGTGCAGGCGCAGCCCGTTTGGCACCTTGGGGTCGGTGGGGTTCAGCGGCGTCTCCCGCAGGATGTCGAGGTACCTTTCCAGGGCGGCCTTGTTCTGCCAGCGCTGACGAGCAAAGAGGCTGAACGAGGAATTGAGGTACTGGCGGACGAGGAAAAGGAACTTGTCCATCCTGCAAGGTCTCATCAGCGCACAGGCTCAAACAATCAACGTGCTTTGGTCTCTCGCCCGTCTTCCTCAAATCAGTGAGATGCTGTCGTACCTTAGCCGGTCGATGCCCACCCACTCCCTCGCCATCGTAGTCCAAAACGCGTCCAAAAAGTCCAGCGCCGTGTTGAGAGGAAGGATGTCGACCAGTGCCGCGAGTTCGACCGCCAGCTGCTGTTGCGTGCGCGGCTTGTCGCTCTGCCACATGCAGAAGAAGAGGCCCTTCCATAGCTTGAGCAGCTCGACCTCCGACATGCCGGTCTTTCCATCGAGGTAGCGCCTCAGCCCGTCGAGGGCTTTGTCGCGGATGCGCTTGTCTGGACACGCGGGAAGAAATTCCGGTCGCATTAGCTTTTTTTTTTCTTTTCTTTTTCGTGGACAAGTCTAGCGGGGGCGTTCATGGATTCTGAGGGTGGTGAATTACGCACCATTGGCGGCGAGTTGGCGTATGAAGGGGCTGTTTTGCGAAGCGGCGGTCGAGTCCGTCATGGTGGGGGAGTGTATGCGGATCTTGCTTGCGGAGAAAGAGGCGTGGGCTGCTTCGCGATGCGTGAGACCAGCAAAAAGTCGTTATCGATAGGAGGAGGCGCACGGGCCATGTTCGTGTGCTGCGTGCCTTTCCCCGCAGGCTGTGACCACACTCTCGCCTGCGAACACCTCAGAATTATGGGTCATGATGATCATCACCAGTGCCCCAGGCCCTGCTTCCGCATGTCGATCCACAAGCGTAGATACGATACCTACCAAACCCGGACACGTCATCGCCAAAGCGAACGCGAAGCGGCATGAGAGTCATGAACTTTGCAGTTGCACGAACAGCGCAAGCTGATGGCCACCAAGCCCTGCTTTCACCATGCTGTTTGACGGTTCATACTGTATACTCACATACTCTGAGTAGTCAGTATCATCAGTGAGACCCAGGTGTCCATCTATTGTCCCCTTCATTGTCGTCCGAGCTGCATGTTCGTGCTTCGGAGGCGGTCTCAAAACCAATTGATGTTTTGTCACTCAGGACCAAGATGATACCCGAACAATTGACTCGTTCAGATGCATCAGATGACTCCCTAATCAATGGCTAACAGCTCTGACCTCGCTAAACTTCGAGTACCCGCCACTCCTACGAGAGTGGAACGCAATACAGCCTTCAATAACCTCGGATAAGGAACGGATAGCGGAATCGTATATCCGCATGCCGTAGGAGGCGGGGCAGGAAGCATTTGACAGAAGCAGGACTTAATGAGCGAGGGGCCCAGCTTGAAAACGTGATCTTGATTTTATTCCACACTAACGACCTAACGAACACGGAAAGTGTTGGGAACACATGCAAATTATTCACTACTGTTCTGTTGAAGGGCACCCCTACATTGACGGACTCGGGGTCAGCGCAGTCTCGTGAGTAGTAGAGTCTTCTTAGCTAGTCACTTAGCATCTGAGCGTGAGTTCATGTTTCCGGTAGGCTGACGACCTTGATGCTAACCAATAGGACCCAACAACCATTGTCGCCGCAAACCCTCATGCAGAACGCATTTATCAAGAGACAAGGGATGGACATGTCAGGAGATGCTGATCGAAAACGCTGACCCAGAAATTCGGACAATTCCTGGCACCCGTGGCGGATTCAAGGCCAACACTCGCCGTGGTTTGCAAGGCCACGAAGACCGGCCATGCACCCACGTGGGACTGTCAGATGGACTCCTTATGCTCTTCCACATTCCGAGACTGCCACATCGACTGCATAATCCCAGTTTGGCACGACCATTGAATGCGGTTTGACAAAGCCGCCCATTGTAGGAGGGACAAGGTCCTGCACACTGGTTCAGCTTGGAACCAAGGGCACCCCCCTGCGGAGTCAACGAACGGGCATTGATTGGATACACCGAGAGTGACGGGCCGTCCCATAATACTCAGTTCTGTGTACGTCCACACCGAATCCCGAGCTCCCTAATAATATCGGCTTGTCGGTAGGTGGATGCAATCGACGGGATTGTGGAAAGCTTGCGGTCGTGTAGTGGCATCTGACGGGCCGGTCGTTTCGGTTTGAAGGATTTTCATGGCCAACTGTGGACAACAGACTGGATGGGACGAAAACGTCTACCCATTGGAATTCTCGGCGATGGTGTGCTTGGCCGCAGTCCCCTGCTAACAAATCTCTTGTTAGCTTTAGGCAAGACAAAGGTCACTCTACTCATGTGTTGATGCTTCCGGCTCAACTTATGCTCGGCCCCTGCATTCCCGGGACGACGCCGCCTTTTCGCTTGTTGTTGCCACGTCCGACCATGAATCAGTTGAAACGTTGGGGCGGACCAAGCGTTGAAAGAGAAAGGCCGACGGCTGTGGCGGCGGAGTCACTTCACCTCCACACTTGGCAAACGCCTGCTGTGCGAACCGTTGCCTTGGACATCCAATGGCGTGGGGGGTCGAAGGCGGAGACGAGGCAGATTCCGGCACCCCTGACGGAGGTCTCGAACCACCATCAGCAAACCCGAGCGGCAGAATGCCGAGCAGCCGTGGCGTTGCGCGGTATTGGACCGGGGAAGACCACAGCCCCGAGCGATGGCCAGAAGTTGTCCGACCTCTGGGCCTTGTTGGATGCATGTGTCATGCAGGCAAAAGTTCCCGACTGCACGTGGCGGGGGGACGGGGGTTCGCGCTTGCGCTTGCGCTTGTCCCGAGGACGGTAGCGGAGACGGCGGCACAAACGGGAAGAGCTCGGCATCTATATGGTGAGACTTAATCGTCATTCGACTTGCCAAGGTCAGGAAGAGGCGGGGCGGGTGCTAGCAGTCCAGAGGATCCAGCGTCCGATGAAGCCGGGCGGTGTGCAAGAGCAGGCTGGCGGGCCGCCGTGATAGTGCCGGCGGTGGTCGTGTGAGAGAAGCACTCCCTCAGCCGGGCGAGTCGTGCGAATCCTCGGCGTGCGTGGCATCAAGCTTAGATACGCCACCCAGCGCGAGATCGACGCGGCCGACGACGGCCCATTGGCTAATCTGGCACGGATGCCGACGACCACGCATGCAACACCAAAATTGCCAGGCCGGTATGGCGGCCGTCTGCACGCGTCTGCACGCGTCCACACGAACGCGAAGGCGCGGGGGGTCGGCGATGGACGGTGTTTGATTGCGAGCTGCTGCAGCGTCGCATTCAGAGAGTGGGTCGACGCGGAGGCGGGTCGGTCTGAGCGCGAAAGCGGCAAGGCAAGCGCCGTCTCTCCAGCTGGAGTCGAGAAATCCGGAGCGCAAGTGGAGCTCCTCCATCATCCGCCCACGGGCAGAGGCACAAGCGCACCTGGAGCGCCGCGCAACGGGCCCGTGCCAAGCCCGCGAACGGGGGCGCTGCGGCGCTCGGGCCCGCCCTAGCGCAGTCCCATTGGGCGTTGGGGCGTTATCTCGCCCGGCATTCGAGAGATGCGCAGCTCCTCTGTTCGCGTTGCGCGGGTGCTGGTCGCATGCAGGCAGCAGAGGATGCGGTTCGGGTGCAGTGCGTTCAACAAAAGGCCCGGGCGCGGCTGATGATGGCTATGGCTGACGGCAGGGGCGTCATGCGGCGCTCGGCCGTTCCCACCGCAGCCGCCCCGGCGAATCTGCTGCCGCGCCTTGCCACCACCAGAAGCCAGCAGCCCAGCCAGCAGCCAGACGCCCCATCCGCCGTCGCCGTCGCCGTCGCCGTCGCCCTGCAGCGTGCACTCCGCCCCAGCGCCCCAGCGCCCCAGGATGGGGCCCCGCGTCTCCAGCGCGAAATTCGCGCAGTCGCGCAGTCGCCCAGCGCCTGGCCGCCTGGGGCAGCGCATGCCTGCGGCGGTCAGACGTTAGCACGGTTGGCCCAAGGCGAATATCAGTCGACCTGCTTGGAGCAGCGCGCATGCGGCGGGGTCCCCGGGCGGAGCTCGTGGTGCGATTGCGGTGCGGCGGCTCCCAGGTCGCGCGCTAGGCCAGCAGGTCGAAATAGGATACGGTACGGATACCTACCAGGAGCGCCTTTGTCGTCTGGTACGGGTGCCCAACTGCGCCTAGCCCGCCGAGCCCCGGTGGGTCAAGCTTTGCGGCGACGCGGCACGGCGCTTGATACGGCTTGGTCAGATACTCAACGCGCCGTATCGATGCGGGCGTCGATGCAACCTGCGCCAACTCTCCTACGTCATCGGGTAAGCGCACCAAGCTGGTTCCCATGGCTAGGTCATACCCTATGAACCGCCAGGGCGGGTCCTCTGCCCCGGCGGCGACGCGCTTGTGCCGGCGCCTGCCTTGTACATAAAGCTCGACTTCCCCGGCTTTATCCTCTTCCGCCACCGCTTTCTGCCTCTTTTGTCCACCATGGCTCCCTCGTCAGACGAGATGAACAACATCCAGCGCGGCAGCGTCGTCTCCAAGGCCGTCTCCAAGCTGTCTGACGACACCTCCAGCAACGAGCGCCATGAGGTCCTCAACGAGAAGCCCGCCGAGGCCAAGGCCTACCGCGACCAGCAGGCCATCAACGACCGCGTTCCCACCATCACCGAGGATGACCCCGAGGTCTACGCCCACCTGGGCTTCTGCTACCCTACCTGGTACAAGTGGTACATCCTCACCGTCATCTTCGTCATCCAGTGCTCCATGAACTTCAACGCCAGCATTTACGCCAACGGCATTACCGGCTTGGAGGAGCACTTTGGCATCAGCGCTCAGGCCGCTCGCTGCGGTCAGCTTATCTTCCTTGTCGCTTACGCTTTCGGCTGCGAGCTCTGGGCTCCATGGTCTGAGGAGTATGGCCGCAGGCCCATCCTCCAGTGGTCTCTCGGCCTCGTCAACCTCTGGTCCATCCCTTGCGCCGTCGCTCCCAACTTTGGCACCATCATGGTCTGCCGCTTCCTCGGCGGTCTCTCGTCTGCCGGCGGCTCCGTCACTCTGGGCATGGTCGCCGACATGTGGCAGCCTGACGAGCAGCACTTCGCCGTCGCCTACGTTGTCTTCTCTTCCGTCGGCGGTTCCGTCATCGGTCCCATCGTCGGCGGCTTCGCCGAGACGTACCTGAGCTGGCACTGGGTGTTCTGGCTCCAGCTGATCTTCGGCGGCGCAACCCAGCTCCTCCACTTCTTCACCGTCAAGGAGACCCGAGCAACTGTTCTCATGAGGCGCTACGCTGTGAAGCTTCGCAAGGACGGCAACGAGACCGCCTATACCGCTGATGAGCTCGAGAAGCTTCGCGTCAAGGAGTCCGGGGTTTGGAACATCGACGGTCTGCCTCTGAAGGAGATCATGATCATTTGGACCCGCCCTTTTAAGATGTTCCTCACCGAGCCCATTGTCCTGTTCTTGTCTCTTCTCTCCGGTTTCAGTGATGCGCTGATCTTCACTTTCCTCGAGTCCTACGCGCCGGTGTTCAAGCAGTGGGGTTTCAGCACCATTGCAATTGGCCTTGCCTTCCTCCCGTAAGTGACCTTGTCCCCGTTCGATACATTCACCACCTAACGTGAGATTCTTTGCAGGCTTCTCATCGGCTACTTCATTGCATATTTCTCTTTCTTCCCCTGGTTCATCAAGCAGAGGAAGATGATCAAGAACGGCACCGATTACCCTGAATTCCGCCTGAAGTGGCTTCTCTTCACCGCGCCTCTCGAGGCTATTGGTCTTATTGGCTTCGCCTGGAGCAGTATGGGCCCGGACTACAATCACTGGATCGTGCCTTTGTTCTTTTCGGCATTCGTGGGTATCGCAAACTATGCCATCTACATGGCCACTATCGACTACATGGTCGCTGCGTACGGTCCTTATGCGGCTTCGGCTACCGGTGGCAACGGCTTTGCTCGTGACTTCCTCGCTGGTATCGCCGCTCTCTACGCTACACCTCGTAAGTGTTTCGATCGGCTCGGTTCTCCCCTGGCTCAAATGCTAACCTCGATGCAGTGTACACCAACATTGGACCGGCACCGAAGAACCTCGCGTACGCCTCGACCATTCTCGCCTGTCTTGCCGTCTGCGTCACCGTCCCCATTTACGTCTTCTACTGGAAGGGTCCGGCGATTCGTGCTCGCTCCAAGTTCGCCCAGGAGATCGGCGCCGACAGAGAGCAGCATTCGGGAAAGAGGCGCGCGTCGCACACCCCGAAGCCGGAGCACGTGTAAATGCGGACAGTTTGCTCACCGAGCTTATTCTACTTTCTCGTCTCTGCTCCTGGGATTTCCCTCCCGACAGCTCAAGTTTGCAAAACCTAAAGAGAGAATCTGCATTGGATAGACTCCCTTTTCTCTACTAATAGGCCAGGAGGGAAAGAGCGAGACTTCTTATCACCTTCATATCGGGTTCCTTTTTAATTTTCTTTATTGATAAACAAGACGTAAAGGTCTAAACTCATTACGAATTCATGCATGGAAAAATCACAGTTGGCGCTGCGGCTGTCCCGTTGGCAGAGTGCAGGTTGGGAAAGCCATCTCGGACAAACAGTATCCGAAAAGAAAGCAAGACTTCTGCATTGTTTTCCAGAGTTGGTCATTGTGCAGGGGATCATTCATACCCAAGCGGGTGGTTGTTTATGGAACGACCATCATGGTGTATCTACACTAGTAGAATAGTAAGACAGAAACGAAAGGAAAAGATGCATTTTCCAAGACCTGCAGGTGCCTCTGGTGAAGCGTATCTGCCGCAGTCGCGAGGATTTAGTGAGATTCACGAGACGGATCTAAAACAGGTACAGGCATTGAGATCCTGTTTGCAAGTTTGGCTGAGAAAAGCTTGGATGTTCCTCACCAAAAGTGTGGTGTCGGCATAACTGCGTCGGTGGCTGAGATTTGCGCCACTCTCCAACTCTGTCCAGGTTTTAGTCCTCGAGGTGACCATCTCATGTGCCAAGAGGTAGTCTGTCCCTTTGGGCTTCTCGAGCACGTTTGGTCACCCACAATTAGCCTTTGTAAGAGAAATCAATAGAATGAAGAGCGCTAGTGTCATGGTATCATAAATAAAGTATTCCGATTTTCTCCGTAGGCTGACTAAAAAGCCCTAAACAGCATTCGAGACCAGCTCGGAAATTAGAATCGAGAAGGCACGAAGAAAACGGCTTACAGAGCCTCCTTGACCGCGAATTCCACGCGCGATGCCGAACGCCCCCCTTCTATTCCTTCCATCGATGTTGTTAGTTCGCGACCACAGAAAACCCCCTATATCGTCAATCTCCGAGTCTCTTGAGGTCTCCGATGAGAGGAAAGAGCTCGCCCCTAGCCTCCAATAACTCCCGCTGTTTGCATCCCCAAGAACGCCGTTAAAACGAGGATAGAGAAAAAAAAAAGGAAATGCGCCAATTCGTTCAGCATGAACACATAGTTCTCACGCCACCCACCCATGTCCTCCCCATTCCCCGAACACAACTCCAAAACGACAAAGCCCCAAACTCTCGACCCCCGTTGTTCTGCCTGGCAGCAGAAGTCCAAAGTCACCAAACATCCCCTCATTGCAGAAGAAGAACGCCAGAGAGCTCAACGTCGTCCAGGACCGGCGGCCTTACCGACCGCTGTCATCCGGGCGTTGGCGTCGCTGGTGCTGTTGTTGGTGTTGTTGGTGCAGATGACGCAGGCCTGATCCATCTTGAGTGTCTGCCAGATCTCGCCGCCGGAGCAGGGGCGCTGCTTCAGAGCGGCCGGCGGGCAATAGGCGGCGAAGACGGTGTGGGTGTGGCCGCAGATGTGGCTGTGGGCGTAGTAGCGGCACATGGTGGTTGATTCTTCTTGTTCTTTCTTGCTTTCCCCTTTTCGTTGCTTGGAAAAGGTTGCTGCGGCCGCAGAAATGGAATGGAGGGATTCTTGAGAGCGACCGGCCCGCTACTTCCTGAGAGAGAAAAATAAGGCGGTGGGGAAGGCTCAGTGAGCGAGTACGGGAGCCTTTCTGAAGCTTGCCCTCTCTAGTCAGAAGAACTGAGCAAAGTGACTGTTCTCTGCACTTTGGCAGGCCAGAAGCCAAGAGCTTGGTTGAGATGAGGTGGGGTGTGGTAAGACACTGGACGTTGGAGTTGGGATAGTCCGGTCGGACGGCCAATGAGAGAGCTGTGTTGGCGCTCGATACTAGAGGCTGATGGTGTTGATGACTGAGCCCTGCAGCTTCCGGGATATTCCCAGTGACCTGGTGGAGGTCGCAGGTGTCAGAGAGGGGATAGCTCCGAATGTGGCTGTGGAGCCGAAAGTGCAGCGTGTGGTAAAGAGATGACAATGCCCGAAAAACGGTGCGGAGTTCAGAACGAGTCGGATAAGGTGAGCGGTAGAAGACAACGAGACAGTACAAGATGGTGGCATAGTCGGAGGTTTTTATGCGTGCGAGACTGGGTCAGCAATCTGGAATTGGGATGCTATTTTGCAGATGGTCGGTTTGGTTTGATGGTCAGGAGGATTTGGCAGACAACGAGCGGTGCAGATGAATATGCACTGCAAGCCGCACGGGCGGGGCCATGGTGGCACTGAGGCAGGCTGTGAGGCAAGCGTCGCTGCTGCATTGGCAAGCGTGACAGATATCAGGCCGGAGAGGGTGGGCCTACTGTCAGCACCTCAGCCTTACGGTAGGGCGTCTGGTGAGCTCGGGACATGGCCGGAGAGAAGGCGAGAACCCATGGAGAAGCCAGGGAGGCTCCGGATGCGTGAAGCCTATCGGGAGCCCGGCATTGGCGATGGCGCATGACTAACCGAGAGGCCGGCTCGGGACTCAGAGGGCGCCTGTGCATGCGGGCGGATGCATGGCAGACGAAGCAGCGGTGTTTGACAAAAAGGCAGCAGCAGGCAAACAGCGGCCATGTTTGCGCGTGCGGGCGTGACACTGTTGCCGTCGCGGAAGGCGCGCGGGGGCATGCAGCAGTGCGGAGGGGACGGCTCCGGGTGCTGCACGCAATGGAAGCCGAGGCCGGGCAATATAGCAGCAACGGCAGGCGGGAGTGAGCCGGTGACGTCTGGTGTTGCGGCGGCCAATGGGCGCGCCCGTTCACCGCTCATTCTTCTCTGTGCTCGTCCTCGGTGCCACCCAGCCTCCCACGCCTCGCCCTGGCTCTGGTCTTGTTCCTTGCGGCGGGGCTGCTGCACCCACGATGATGCACCCGGCGGCTCAGTGTCCCGCGCCTCGCATCTGCGACCTGCGACCTGCGACCTGGGCACCGCGCATGCGCGCCGCGCTCCACGCACCACCCCCCCCCCCTGCCCGCTCCAGCGCCGGCCAGCACCAGCCAGCACCAGCGAACACCAGCGCACCACCCACGCGCGGGGCGGGCCCGTTCCACGGCGGCGGGCGGCAGTGGCAGCGTGCCGCCACGGCTCCGGCGCTGCTGAGAGGCGCAGAGGTGCGCTGGCCAGCCGGTGACGCAAGCCGGGCAGACCAGATCCCCATGATCCGCGCATTATACAAGCCACAGTGCCAGTTGGCACCGACGCACCGTGGATCAGAGCGGCGACGTCCATCATGCAGCCGGCTGCGAAGCTTTGGACACGTAGCCGTCAGCTGCACCTCGCCCCAGCCCTGCGCACAGCGGGAGCCATCATCATGGCTCCAGGCCCCAGGTCCCGCCCGCTCGTAGTGCCGCCGGCAATTGCACTCTCTCCTCGTGGCTGCGTTGTTCACACCCTCCCTCGGCCAGCGCAGCCAGCGCATCAGTATAAGGCCAGCGGCCGTGACTCCTCGCCGCGCAGACCGCCAGCGGCCGCTGATAAAACTCTTTTCCTCCGCAGAGCACTGACCGTTGTTCACCGCCTGCCCGCCGTCGCCGTATATACTCGCTCCTGCGCAATGGGGCGCACTGTCAATAAATCATCCCACCCCCATATTCCCAGCCCGAGTGACGTCTTCAGTTGACGTGTGTACCAGTATGCCGCCTTGGCCCGCCCGGCTGCTGCCAAAGTTGATTCCTCCGCAGCCTTCTTTCCTTCTAGAATCCGTCTGATACCCGGCGCCGCAAAGCCATGTTCCCGTAGAGGTAAATTCCGAGTCCGCAAATAGTCCCCCCAACCTCCGGCCTAGCCTGCGCCATCTGCGACACAGCCCGGCCGATCTTCAGGCCAGCGAGAGCTCTCTCTGACCGCTGGAAGCTCGGGCGAACACCAGGACTGACGTTTGGCAGCCTCGTGCGCCATTGTTATAGTACTTCCGTCTCTTTCGCTCCCCGATACCCGAGGCGGCTCGACTCCAGCGCGGCTGCACTCACCCGAAGCATTCTCTGGCGGCTTTCTGTCTTTGCCAACACCCCATCACCCCCCCTCATAATAGCCTGCACGAGCAGCGCCAGAGCGCCCACGCGTTCTCCCCAGCAATTGGCCTTGTGTGGCTCTGGCCCGGTGTCGTTACACCCGAGCAACCACCAGCCGCCGGCACGCCCACCGCCCATATAATTTGCTGACGATTGCCCCCGCTTTGCCATTGGCGGCTGTTCTTGACGCCATCTCTTTATTGTTGCCCTGATTTGCATTGCGCGCTGTTGTTATTGGCCTGGCCGTGAGTGCTTCCAAGGTACGTGAGCCCTGCCCGTTCCTGCCTTGCCGCCTGCACACGCGCGCACGTCGCCCGCCGCGGCAACTGGAAGCGCACCTGTCCTGAGAAGCGCGCAGGTAGCCGACAATGGCCAGCTCGGACGTGGACCTGAAGCATCTGGGGCGGGTGTCGGTCGCGATAGAGAGGAAGAACCCGATCCTGGCGGCGGCGCTGAGGCAGATTGAGGGCAATTCGATCATGCTGGCGCCGCGGCTGTACCGGGCGCGCAAGATGCGCAAGCTGGACACGTCGCGCGACACCAAGTCGCTGTCCAACTACCAGCACATCCTGTGGCTGGCGCGCGAGGGTCTTTCGGTTCTTGAAGTCGACGTGCTGCCCTACACCCAGCACGGCCAGTACGGAGCCGAAGCCGCTGTGCTCACCTCCAAGCTGCGCGCCTCTTTCCTGCACATCTTCGCGCTCTTCCACAACCAGCCGCCCGTCTCCAGAGACACCTCGAGATCTTCCTCGTCCAGCACCGCGCCCGCCGTCAACCCTCCCGCGCCTGCACCCACCAACGGCAAGACCCACCGACACACCACCTCACGCACATCCAACACCAGCGATCCTCACACCCCGCCGCGCGCAAACCAAAGCAAGCTCAAAGACACAGGCGCCAACGGCGGCCGCACGACCGGCCTTCGAGACCCTGTCGGCTCCATAACATCTGAGACCTCCTTCGTCACGAATCCCTACGGGGGCAACCTAGCCAAATCATCCGCAGGCGCCGTCCAGTCGCCGCAGCCTCCGCCGGGCCTACCGGGTCTACCTTCAGCACCCCGTCCCTCGGCTTTCATCCTCCCACCACTCAACTTCCTACCAATGGCTGAAGGCTACTTCATCAACGCCAGCCGCATTGCGGCGGCCTACCTTCCCGGCTCCCACCCTCTGCGCCTCTCCGTCGAAGTCGAGCACTGCGCCTTCGTATGGGACTGCATGCACGATCACCAGTACGCCAGGCGTCTCGCACGCCACACTATCCGAGAGGTCTACCACGCCAAGGAGGGCATGGATGATGAGGACTTTGAAGACGCCGCCAAAATGGTCGACCATCTCGGCAAGGTCATGAAGCGCAAGAGCGTCGACAGCACTCCGAAGATGGTTGGGACCGCTTCACCAAGTGGAGCGAAAGACAGCAGCCCCGTCACCAAGCAAGACTGGATGGACCGGGAAGCGCGCGCTGTGGGCGGTGGGTTGCGCGGCGTTGCTCATGTCCAGAATCAACTCGGTAAGTCTGAACTCTAAGATCTTCTCCCGGCATTAGTGCCCATCGAATAAAGAATTCAACAGCCCGAATCCACGAGAGCCTCAACCCGTTCGAGACGACCGGTACGCTCCAGGCCCTACACGATCTCGCGCTAGCCGGAGATCTGCTCGAAGAGATGCGCGGGTATGACGGCAACCAAGCGTCGGTCGAGGACGAGAGCGAGGACTGGAGCGTGCAGTACCACCCAAATAGCTTCAGAATGCGCAAGATTGGCGGCCCGGCTCGGCACTTCCCCCACACGGTCGTCGACTACGAATTGATTCCACGGTACGACATCTCCATGATCGCCACACTCCTCCGGGCCGCTGCTCCCAGCGATGAACGCTTCATCGCAGAGCGCATCATCCTGCGGGGCGGCGGCCCCGTCGACCTTCCTGACGCCCCCGCTCCTCCGGGCGTTCTCGCCGCCGTCTTCCGCGCCGCCCACCACCCGCCTGCTGCCAGGGGAGACGATGAGCTCCCCGAGTATGACTGGTCTCCGCGGGTCCGGCGCCGCGGCGGAAAGCGGCTCAAGCCAGCCGCCTTCGTTGTCGATCTCCGACTCAAGGCTGAGCTCTCCGCCGCGGCACCGCTGGCTGCCAGGGCTCCCCCAGGAGCTCCCAAGCTGGCGGCTGTCCAGCCTGTGGTGCTCAGCTCCTACTCGGGGGCTCACCAGCTCTGCCTGGCAGAGCTGAAGGAAGAGGAGAGGAGGGGGGAGTGGGAGGAGGAGATGGAGGAGCTGGCGGCGGAGATCCGCCTGGAGATGGAGTTGCAGGAGGTGGGGGTGTGGGGGGAGGACTTGGTGGTGGAGACGGTGGAGGAGAAGGAGATGTTCCTCCGCCAGGAGATCGAGGCAGAAATGGCGGAGCAGCAGATGGACGCGGTGGAGATGGGGGTGGTGGGGGCAGTGTGGAGGGAGATTGGGGCGCTGAAGGCGCGCGGTGTCGTGCCGTGCGACTTCGGCGCCCCCAGCATCAGCACGCTGTCGGAGTGAGCAGCATCAGCAGTAGCAACAGCAACAGAAGCGGTCGTGTACGAGTCAATCACCTGTACAGTGTATAGCACCAAATGCAGCAATCCGCACCAAGAAGGGGCTTTGTAATCGGTAGCGCTCAAGCGCTGACGTTGTTGAGCCAAGTCTCACGTGCGGCCACCAAAGATGGCAGAGCTAGTCTCAGCATCTGGGTCCAGGGCCAGGCAAGGATGCAGGATGTGCGCTGGGCGGATTGCCCCACCTGTCGATCGCGCCGGTCCACAGTGACGATCCACGATTGGCTGGCTAGCGCGGACGGAGACAGGTCGCGGTGGCGCACGAGTAGCCAACGCTGCTTGCATGCTGCTCACTCAAATGCCGGTGACTCTCAAGCCGGTTCGCTCCTATCGTCTTGCAAATAGAGCAAGTCACCGCGACGTCGTATACTTTCGACAGATTTTCCTAAATTCGCAGCGTGCCAAAGGAAGCAGCTTCGATGCCAACGGCCTATCCGCTTTACTTTTGTCTGGCCCAGGAGAGGTGAACAAAACGACCGGGTGGCGCGGGTCTTAACCACTATTGAGTTTTCTGGATTCATCCCGTGGACACGGTCGGTTGAATAGGGCTGCCCTGCTTGCTGATCCTGCGCCACACCATCCAGCTTGGACTGCCGATCGTCTTTCCGTTGTTCTCTGTTGCTTCGACGAAGTGTCGAGAGTGCGTAGGGGCGGGGGCGCTGCTGCAGGAACTGACCAGGGATCCACACGCACGCAGACGGGCGGGGAAGAGAGATAGAGCAGTGGGGCGCTGCGTCGCCGCACAGGCGCTGCACCCGCTACCTAGCCGGCGAAACGGACCACGGGGCCGACTGCTCGCACCGGCCAGAACCGGGAGGCTGCACTACAAGCCGTCAAGCTCCCGCAGCTGCGACCACAGCTGTCGGCTGGCCTCTCCTGCTCCGCTTCACCGCCTGCCGTCTGCATTATTGCTTGCCCCTTGCCCTATCGCGAAACCAGGGAGCAGAGGGGACAAAGAAGGATCCTTCAACCGGGGAATTTGAGGGCGGTCTGAGAGAGTGGGAAACTAAGGGCTGTGCATGCTGCTGAGGCGCGCGCCGAGCCCTGCACGTCAGCCAGAATAGACGCCGACGCGCGCCTTTTCCCTACCGGCTCTCTTGTGCTCTGCACAGCCGCAGGAAGAAACATTCGACGACAGGGCGCGAAACGACGAAACCGGACGACGGACCCCTCCTATATCTCTGCGCACACAGAGTCCGTCTTACATCTCCGATCCACACTTCGCACGGCCGCTCGCCGCGCTCCCGTCTCTGTTCTCCCCGTTCCTTCTTTCCTTCTCCTTGCCGTTCTTCTTCTGATTCTCCCTCCTGCTGTTTCGCGTGTCTTGGTACCATTTCAGCACTGCTGCTCGCCCCGGACCTGCCGCTTGTTCGCTGCGTTGCTGCCTGGCTGTTCTCACGCACAGACTGCGGCGTAGCTTCTTGGCTTCGTAGTCGACTTTCGAGACCTGCAGCCCTGGAATTCACCTTGCTTCCGCCATCTTTGGACCTGCAGCCACTGAAGCAGCGACGGCCTCATTTGCCCCAAGGTGGTTATAAGGAGGAAGAAGAAAAAAAAGAGGAGAACATCCAGGAAGGCCGACTCTGCCTTAATTCCATCACACCTATTTTTTGGGGGCCCGCCTCCACACCGGAACCCCGCGCTCCTGCCTCCTCCTGCTTGCAGGATCACCGACATCGCCGGGAGGGAAAGAAACCCCCGCACTTTCTTTTTTTAAATGGATTCGGACGGGCAGAACGCCGCTAGCGTTCCGCAAATGCAACAAACGCCGCCGCTGCCGTTGGTGTCAGAGCCGAAGAGGCATGCGGCATGTGACGAGTGCCGTGAGTATTACTTTCTTCTTGTCTTGTCTTGCTTTCCCTACCCTTCTGTAGCCTTTTGTCCGGCATCACGCTGGGGGACTGTGGAGGGCTGTGATCGGCGAGATTTTTTACAATTCGACAATGGCCATCATTCTCTCCTTCGTCCCCACGACTCAAAACAGAAAGAAAAATGCAAAACGACACCGGAAACGAACCGAACAAATGTATAGGAGGGGCCGACATGTGTCTCTCTCTCTCTTACTGCTCCCAGTCATATCACACCTATCTGCACTCACTCCAGGCCACGCACATACACATTAAAAAAAGAAAACCAACAATGGATAATCGTACCTAACTCCCCCCAGGCCTCCGCAAGCTCAAATGCTCGGGCAACCAGCCCGCCTGCGACCGCTGCACGCGCGAGAGCCTGCTGCCGTGCGTCTACTCGCTGCAAAAGCAGATGGGGCGGCCGAGGAAGAAGAGGCGGAGGAGCGTCGATGAAGAAGGAGGTGTGCCGACAAACGGCGATGCGGTACCACCGATGGCCAACAACGGTGTTGGTAGACACGGTGTTGTAGGGAATGGCGGGAGGATGCATGGCCATGGTGGGGGGATGATGATGGATATGGGACATATGCATGCAACTGCTGCTAGGTCGATGGGTGTTGGTGCCGGTGGTGGAATGGACGTGGGTGTGGGGATGGAGGGGATGGGTTTCGATGGTTTTGAAGGGTTGGGGTGTGATGGTGGGATGGAGAACGGTTGTGGTGAAGAAGGAGAGCGGGGAGAAAGAGCCTGTGGTGCCCATGCTGCTGCTACGATGAACGGTGAGGATGCGTTTGAGCTGAATTCAGATTTCAGTCTTGATTCGCTGCTGACTGGAGACTTGATGGACGTCATGGGCGGCAGCGGAAGTGGTGGTAGCAGTAGCGGCGGTGGTTTTGATGGGCTACAGCAGGGGGGAGACAGGATCGCAAGTATCTCGTCGCATTCGTCGTCGGGAAATGGGCACAATCTACAGAGTAAGTCGTCCCATTTCAGCTGGATTCTCTCGAATGTTCTTCATCTCGACCGCAGTTTTGATGGAATTGACTCAATTCAACAGGCACACCGCCCGCCGCCCATCATCACGATCCCTCAACACAACACCAACCCTTCCTCGCCCCACAGCCTCCTCTCGGTCTCCCCTGCGTCTGCCTCTCGACCATCTACCTCAGCCTCTCCTCCCTGCACTCACTGTCCAGCCACGAGTTCCCCTTCAGCCTGCCACCGCTGCGCTCCGCGCTCGCGACGGCGAACACGGTGCTGCACTGCCAGATGTGCCCGCACGCCATGGCGACGGCGACGCTGAACATCAACATGCTCATCTCGCTGCTCATGACCGTCATCGACGCCGTGCACAAGTTGCTCGTGGCCATCGACGCCGAGGCCGCGCGCGTCGACGCCGCGGGCGCCACCAAGCCGTTCATGGTCGCCGACGCGTCCGCGCCGTTGCACATGCATACAGGCGGTCCGAACTGCCCTGTTAAGTTTGGCATGGATCTGTCTGGTGCTGAGTGGCGCGAGCTGGCGCGCAAGGTCGTGAAGAGGCAGGTCGTTGGAAGCAGCGAGGCTGAGGCTGAAAGGAAGGACGAAGGATCGGCGGCACCGGCGGAGTGCACTATTTATGGAATGTTGGCGGCGTTTGTGCGGAGGCAGAACAGATGGCATGATGACCCGGCGATGATCGAGGTGCGGAAGAAGGCGATAGCGGACGGGGGTGCGTCGATCGAAAAGATGGAGGAGCTGAGCCACATGAAGTTGTGCGTGCAGAACGTGGAGGCCGTGGTAATGAGAATGAGAATGCTGGATATATAAGCGAGAGATTTGGGGGGTGACAGTAGTTATGAACGGCCTGGATGCTGGTATGCAGAGTATATTTGGTGTATGATCCCTACTACTTTCGTCTTGGGGAATATCTCTACCGTAGTTGAACACAGCACAGTTATTCGAAATGGATAACATGTGTGTTTGCTCTGCAGGCCTCCGGTGATTAATCAAAATGCTTGCGGCCGTGAATCAATCGTCGAAGAGCCAGCGGAAGCATTATCTTAGCATGAACTTGTAGATGTCCCACTGAGAAGTTCCGCGCACGACGTCAAAACTCACGACTGCAGTGCAGCAGTATGTGACGTGCCTTCTCAAGTGGCTGACTGAAACGTGTGGAACTGAAAACGACGGCCTCAGCCTCCCTTCCGAAGCTTAGCCAGTGCCGCTTGTATTCCTTCACTAAGAGGCTCATCAGCTGGAGCTTTCCGTTTGTTTGAAGAAGCGGCTGCATCGGCGAGTTGGCTTGTACCCGCAGCTGCAGGCTTGTTTGGCCCCGTGCGTGATCTGCTTGCCATGTCTACCGCCTCCATTTCGCGCAAGGCCTCCTCCTCATCGTCCCCGGGATCGTTTACAGGGACATCTTCGGCAACGCGCGTCGATGGCCTTTCCTCAGCTTCTTGGTTCCTGCTCGGCGCAGGGGCAAGCAGATCCTGATCTACAGGCACGGGCGCGCCCACGCCCAACCGCGCCGCCACGCGCGGATCTGGGGCATTGCGTCCGCTCGGCTGTGTAGCTTGGCGCGAGAAGGTAGATGGGAATGCCTCGCTGTCCTCGCGCGTCATGCCGCCCTTCTTTGCGGCCTTGGTCGCGCGGAAAGGCTCGCGGACGGTGGTGCACCACTTCTTGACTTTCTTCTCGCCCCATCCGGCTACCAGAGCGACCTCCTCGGGCTGCGCATTGATGGCGGTGCGTAGACTGCCGAAATTCGAGACCAGGCTGACGGCATCGGTCTTGTTGATGCTGCGCGGCGTGGTGATGAAGTCAACCATCTTCTCCGAGTAGTTGGAGGCCTGGGGTGCGCGGATGCTGGTGGGAGCCGTGTTTTCGTACGTCTTGTAGAGTTCGAGGTAACGGCCGGCTTCCTGGGCGCTCCAGCAGAGGATGAGGGTGACATTGTTGATGAGCGACGTCTTGGACAGCTCCTTCAGGGCTCCCTCGTGGTTCTCAATGTCCACCATTGTGAGCAGCACGCGCAGGCTGTACTTGCCTGCCAGGGCCCGGATGCGGGAGTAGATGTACTCAGGATGCAGGCGGTGGTATTTCAGCGACAGGAACAGGGCGCATGTCGTGGCGCCGAGCACGTAGTCGGCCGGAATGTCCGAGTACTCCCACGGCACGTTGCGGACGCTGCTCAGGATGGGGTTGCCCTTCTGGCGCGGCGAGACCAGGATCGAGGCAGGGCCGCTGCGGGCAGGCAGCGCGACAGGCTTCGGCTGCTGGACCTTGGGCCTCTCGGCGGGCTCGGCCATGGCGGATCAGAGTGGTGGGTGGATGGCGGACGCACGAGAGCGCGCACGAGAGCGCGGGCGAGCGGGTCCGCCGCCGGGCGCACACGCAGGCGCAGGGCAATGGCAAGCGGCGCGGAGGGCGTGCGCCGCAGCGGGAGGGTGCTGGTGACGTCTGCGACGGCAGTCTGCCCTGGCGATCGGCAGCGCGGCGTGGGCGGGTCGTGGCGCGCGCAGGCGTGCAGGCAGTAATGAGACAAGGCTCGGGCTGCACGTGACGCCAGCCTGAATCCGAATCTCAGGCCGGCGCCGGTCGAGAGCAGCGCAACACCACAACCTCCCACCCCGACTCCGCCAACGCACCCCCTCAGCGACGCGCACCCCGTCCGCCGCTCCCGCTGCCCTCGCCAGCCACGCCCACGCACGCCGTCGACCCCTGCAGCTGCCCGCAAGCCGATGAATTAAGTGCTGCAGCCCCATCAGCCGTGACGTTGCGGCTTGCCGCCCTTCCTCGCCGCCGCTGTTCGCTCTTGCGCGCGCTCCACCCAGCCCGCGCAACCGCCCGCCCCCGCCGCCCAGCGCCCATCGCTCACATGTCGGTCGACTCGCCTCAGAAGCGCCAGCGACAGACCGGATCCTTCTCGCCCGCCTCTCCTCCGTACCACCTGGCCGCCAAGACGGCCGGATCCGCTAAGACGACCCTTCATCAGCAACCCGACACCCCGACCTCCCCACCGTACATGTCTTCCACCACCCCGCCCCATTCCCATGCCTCGACTGCCTCGCTCTCCACTGCCTCAGCCCAGGCCTTGACGCCGCCCTCGTCGGCCAACATGTCGCAGGCCTCGCAGCCCAACACCACCAACTCCTTCCCGACGCCTGCGAGCAGCGCCGGCACCGCGTCCTTCGCCTTCAAGCCCGACGACTGCGACGTGCGCATGACTGATGACCGTATGGAAGGCGTCGCCCACACGGCGGCGCGCGACGTGGAGATGGGTAACGATGGCGACCACAGGCACACAGGTCACGACCGGACAGGCACGGGCTCATCCGCGAGCGGTGTGGGCCCAGATCTCCGGCTGCAGTCCGGCTCTGGCCCATTCTACAAGCTCAGCGAGACTCGTAAGCTCCCCGAATGCGTGCATGTGTTATGCTTTGCCAAGTAGTCTTCTGTTAACACTGGCTTGCAATAGCGTACCCAATGTCGCGGCCGCATGTTTCGCAGGACTTGGTGGCGCTGTACGGCCTCAACCGCATCACGCAGAGCGTCGCTCGCTTCGACCCCAAAACGGGCGAGAAGATTAACAAGCTGCGCAAGTCGTACGAGAGTCACGTCAAGGACTTCAAGATCTCCGGTGGCAAGAGCAGGCCTGAGGCCGCCCCCGGTCAGTTGATGGGTTTGCTTCACTTTCCCGATGAGGAGTACTATCTGCAGCGTGTGCGTGGCAATGAAATGGAGAGCGCGCAGCAACGCATCCTCGCCAAGTTGAACGGAGGCACTTTGAAGATGAACCCCGGCAAGCTTTCCAAGGACGAGGACAACAAGTGGAAGACACGGATCGGTACCGACGAGGCGCCTGCTGCCAAGCGTCCTGCCGCCGATATGCTGGACGGCCCGGGCAAGAAGCTCAAGCCCGGCCAGGTCATGCAGGGTCGAAACTCGGCAACGTCATCCCCGGCAATGCGTCCGTCCCCTGCCACCAAGGCAGCCATACGCCCGGATCGTGCGGGCAAGAAGCGAAGCTATCTGGATTCGAGTTTCAAGGGTTATGGTGAAGGGTTTGGCGATGATGATGGCGTCGGCGAGTCGACTGGCGGTGAGGACAATGGAAGGGGCGCCGGCGCCAAGAAGAAGCGCAGGAAGGTATGAGAAGCTTCTCGTTCCTTTTGCCATCGACGACGATTTCTTTGTCGACATTTATTTGGACCCAAGTTTCCACATCGATGCCCAACAACCGACTGACCAATTCTGCGCTCAACAGGACTTTGCTGCCGGCAGTCCTCTCGGGTTCGACGAGCGCCGACACAACGTCGGAATGGTCGGCGTCCGCCATTAGTCGACTTCTCCACTCGGCCGGAGATTGTCCAAGTCGGACTCAATGAACGCACGTCAACACGGTCACCGCACGAGATGGCTCTCGGTGCCTGACACGTCATTGCGCCGGCTTTGGCTCGCCACAAACGAACGCGGGCAACTCGACGATGCTTGAAAGCGGCATCGCCAGCCCGTCAGCCACGCCTCCGTCTCCGTCAACAAACCCCCGAGTATTGAACATGCGCCGACGGGGTTCGCGGACCGATATTCGTTCAACATGTTCAAAATTTTGCTATACCCGCTTTTCAGCGTGCTTTTTTTGTTTTCTCTTGCTTTCCCCTTGCGCAGTCGCATGCATCTAAAGTCCAGGAGCAGAGGATCAGTCCTGGGTTAGGGACGGGGCGTTTTAATGGTGCTCCCTACTTTTCCTCTCCGACGTCGGCCGCATGGCGATGATGGTACTAGTATTGTCTTTATTCTGGGTGGGGGTATCTGGGCGCATTATCTGCTTTGCTTTTTGCTTCCTGATTATTTGTTCGACAGGGCCTTCATGGGTTATTTATCACAAAGGTACGGGGAGAGCGTATGGACTGCGAAAACACGACACGAATTAGAATGGGCAGTTCGCTTGGCCATGGCCGCAAGACGCTAGGCGGCTGTCGGCGAGGTTTGTGGATTTGGACCTCGACGTTGGGGGGCGGCACCCTCTTGGTTTCTTCTTCTCCCCCTTTTTTGGTTTCTGTTGGGCTTCAGAGCGTGCGGTGCCTTTCTCGGCTTGGCCCTGCCCGCCACGTCGCCTGGCTTTTTTTTACTGCTCGCGGTCTTCTGTGCAGCCATTGGCGCCGCTCGCTTTGGGCTTGCTGGCTGCCGGGCTACATGCTAGGGTGGTCTGGGTAGGGCTGAAAGACGGAAGGGCGGTTGGCTTTGCGCCTTGCTTGATTGGCGCGCACACTCGTCGACAGCCGCATGGATGCATACTGAAAATAAAAAAAATGAAAGGACGTTGAATAAGATGAAACGTTGTCTCGTTATGCCGAGTGATGTTTGACGTCGGTGTCTGCGACTATTTTTGTTTCACGACCTCACACGAGCAGCGATCCTGCATTGGTGTCGATCATTGATCGTGGGCGGCTATCTTACAGGTCCTCGGCCTCACACCTCTAGGGCCTGAGGTGATGCGATATGAAATTGGAGAGTGCAGTCCTCAACACATATTGTTATCAGCGAAAGTCCACTCGGCCGTATGACCCTGGTACCTCCCGCCAAACTCTGCAGTTCGATAGATAGCGGTCCGTTGAAACGCTTCATTGTTGATAGCCTACTCATATTGGTGCACGCACTATAGGAAGTTTCACCCCCAAGTGATCGGTGAAGTCGCATGTCGCACCTTAAATATCTACACCACATCTCTCTTCAAACACGTCAAGCATAGCTTCCTCGGGTTACATCGTGGGAGGACGCTCTAGTAAGGGGTGTAGGGCCGGCAAAAAAAGGTGCGCAAAAAGTGCGCGGGTCTCGGCTCGAACTTGCCACGTCAAAATCATGCCACGATTCGGCAAAAAAATTTGCTTTTCAATGCATGTTAGCTGAAAGTGGTTTCGATCCACTGTCCTCCGGGTTATGAGCCCGGCGCGCTTCCGCTGCGCCATTCAGCTTCTTTCATGACATAGAAATTGCGCTATCACGTTATATACTACATTTATTATCCAGCATGCCAACAGTAACACGCTCGCCATTATTTAGCGTCACTCTCATAGACACTATCCGCCCTTTCCCGAGCCTTATAATATCGCCCAGCCCGTGTCCGTCATATGCTCTTCTTCGTTCCTTCTCACACTCCCCACCAAGCTGTCTAAATTCACGCAAATAGATAAGGACCTGCATCATATATGGCTATGGAGATAACTAATTACAGTGTCCTCCAGATCCCAGGCGCAATTATCGCCTTTCAGCAGAATGCAGTGGTCATAGTTCAAATGCGGAGCCACCTCGCCGACCAGCTCATTCGAGAAGACATCTGGGCACTCCTCGTAGGAGTTCGGCAGATGAATGAGCGAAGATACGAGCCGGAAGAGGCGGAGAAGACGTTGACGATGTTCACAGTGAGTACCCATGCATGGTCATGTTTTGGTGTGCGTATCCTCGGACCCAACGACATACTAAGGCAATCAGACAAATAATCTTCTGACTCCACCGAAGTCCACAGCCTGGAGGATCATGAATGCGGGACCCAGGACGGCGACTTCTTATGGCGGCGTGGATGAGATGTTGATATATCCTTCGTTGGGTAAGTATGCGAGCCTGATGATGGGATTGGGCAGAGGTGCCAGACTCCTTGCTCCCAGTGGAGGAATCATCCTGGCAACACCCGAATGATCGAATTCGTTCGCAAAACACAATGTGGCCCATCCCAAGTGGTTCTTGGTGACGGCATTGGCCCCATTAGCAATCAGTATTCTCGCTACCGCCACTTAATTCAGCGGCATAGGAAAGAAGTGTGCGACCGCCGTTGTCTTGGATGTTGACTAGAGCGCCAGCAGTAACCAGCTGCTCCACTGGCCTCCAGTCGTAGACTGACTTCGGCAAAGCCCTTGGAGAACTGCACTCTGACCTTCTTCAATTCCGTTGAGCCTTCATATCGCATCTCCTGAAGAGACAAGGGTGTGGCGGCGAACGTGACTCCTTGGAAGAACTTGATTGTCTGCAGTTGCCAGTTGGTCGCCCTCTTCGAGCTCTTCTAGTAGCGATTCATATAGAAACACACACACACTGATAATTCAGTGTTAGCTTTGTAGACGACTGACAATGACAGCGGACAATACCATCTTAGACCTGCAATGACTTCTTTCCCGGCCGCCGAGACCTTCACGGCTTCGGCACTCGTCTTGCCCCTCCCATAGCTTCTTCTTGGTTCGGCCGTGTGCTTAGACTACGCCTCCTCTACCGCGCCCGTACTACACCCTCGACATCCCGGCAGAGTCTACGTAAACGCTTCAGAACTATATTATACACTTCCTACATGATCCATCAACACGGGAAACATCGGCTTGTCATTGCCGTGATCTCTACCTTCGTCGCTGTCGGCGATAGTTCCGTTTCGAAAAAGAAGAACACCGCTGAGTCTCGGAAATCAAAGACCTTTTCAAGATCATCGGACTGTTTCTGCATGAGCCTAGAAGTTGGTCTGAGAACTTCCAAAAGAAGCCGGTTTGGCTGGTCTCCAATCATGGCCATCAGAGGGTCCAGAAACATTACTCTGTCCAGAACCGCGAAGAAGGCGATGGTATAGATGGCAAGGAGATTCGTTCAATCACTTGTGTCTCCACCACGCATCTGTACCGTTGCCTGTTCACGGGAATAAGCCAGTTGAGATATGGGTTGATGTGTATGCCTGTGAGCTCAGTCATTGGTTCGGCAACTCTTGAGGAAGTCCAGCCTTGCCTTTCGTTGGCTTGCGTCGATGTAAGGCTGCGTCCGGAAACGGGCAGGGGGAAGGCAGCGGTGTAAGTAATTGATTGAGCAACCAATGGTTAGGTTGAACCTTGGGGGTTGGAATATCGGTCTTTGTACACGGAAAAAAGGTAACATAGCCTTGTGAGGAGATGACCGCATATATATCTCACTGATGGAACAGGCAACAGCTTCGTTACGATTGTGCTCTCCGGACAAGCAACACTATATCGGCGGAGAATAAACCATCCAGACCCCGTGCGTCGGCAATGCGATAGATGTATTAACAGAATGTTTTCTTTCGTCGTGTAAAAGCGTACATAAACCCCATGACTATTGGATCTCGAATTCGTAGTAAACGTAGGGCGTGTACTCGGAATCACCATGGCCCGCTGCCTGCAGTTCGGCATTGACGGCCGAGTCGTCCTTCTTGACACGGCCCTGCTTGTCCCTGCCAAAGGCGTTGCCGCCAAGATACGAGTAGTTTTCATCCAGGTTCGCCTTTGCCTTCTTGGCAAGCTTCTCGTTGGTCTGTTGATGCGTCAGCCGGGGAAGTGCTCCAGTGAAGACGACTTGTGATTACTGACCTGAACCAATCCACAAACGAACTCCAAAGGCAGACCGTAGCGCAGGACGGTCTCGACGAAGACGCGCAGAGCAAGCACGTGGACCCAGATCATGGCACTTTCCGAGTAACCCGTTCGACCCAGGCGCAGAGCCTCGCCCCAAACCTTGCGCTCCTCCTTCTCTAAACGATCGACCTCACGAGCTTCCTCCTCCTTGGAGCCCTCCTTGTACTTGAAGTCACGCGGAGTCCAGCGCTTCTCACGGCACTTGTGCACAAACTCTGCCGCGTGTTTCTTGAAAGAAACGACGGCAAACAGGGAGAACTCGTCATCCTTGGCAACCTCGTTGGCGGACCGGGGAACGACCATGGGGGCGAGAGACTCGTAGGTCTTCAGGAAATCCTTTACCGAGGAGTTGGGCACGGCGATGAGATGCGTCTCGAGGTACTCTGAGTCTTGGACGAGGACATCCGGAGGGACAATCGAGGCAAGAGACTTGGTGGCGAGGTTGCCGCTGCGGTCAAGGCAGCAACATCAGCATGGATGAGTTTAGAGGGCGTGATACTGGGTGTGTCTCACGTCTGCCGCCTTTGGCTTGCAGCCAGGTTCGTCTTCACCTGGTTGTACTGGCTGAATTTGCCTTTGACGTCGTTGTCGATGCCGGCAAGTTCCTACCGCACCGTTGTGAGTTCGGGTGATGGGCAGTGTGGAGGATGTGCGGGCGCACCTTTTGCAGCGAGTCTATCAGGTCGGCGATGGACTTGTCGGAGCGGTACTTGACCTTATTCCACTGGAACGAACGCAGGTATTGCTCCACCGGCTCTACTGACAGTCAACAACCGCCCCTCGGACAATTACGGTCTGCACGCACTGTCGTTGATGGTCTTCTGCTGGGCAATCTTCTCCTCATCGCCGTCGAGGATGCCGCGCAGCGAGTCTCCAACCTTGTTCACGACCTGCTCGCAAGCGTTGTTGAGCTTGGAAAGGTCGTCGGCCTGCTGCACGAGGGCATCGAGGGTGCCGATCTTGAAGTCGGGGAGGCTGAAGTTATAGGTGGTGCCGACGTCGTTGGACACGGTGGAGCGCAGCGCGGTGAGGGCCTCTTCACGGTCGTGGGACGGCGCTATCGAGGTGGGCAGCGACACCAGCAGATATTTGGAGAGTTTCGACATGGTGACGGGGCGGGGCGCGCGGCGTGGCGGAGCAGCGAACACGGGCGGAAGGACGGACGGAGGCGGGGCAGACCGGGGCGATGCGGTCTTGGTGGTGGTGGTGGTGGTGTTGCAGCTGTCAGTTACGTCCGGCAGCCCAAGAGCGGGCCAGAGCTCGGGGGAGCGCACGTTCGTCATGGGGCCGCGTGCTGCAGGAAGCTCCCCGCCTAAGTAGCTAGGCCTGCCATCACCAGGAAGTCCCCGAGCTATCCACGCTCTCGTCCTGCCACTCTCAACAACCCTCCCCCCAATTTGCACCCTCTGTCCGAAAAAAAAAAAATGGCCGCCCGGAGAGGAGCTGCATTGCTTGCGCCCCAGGCCAATGGCCTCGCCCGCCCTCGCGCCTTTTCTGTTCTGAGCAGAGCATCGCCCTGCAGCAACAACCCGCCGATAGCGCTGTCCCGCCGCGCTCTTCCCTCCACCACCGCGCTTTTGCAGAAGCTGCCCGGCCTGAGGCTCTACAGCTCCGACGCTGCTGCCGAGAAGACCGCTCTGTATGATCTCCACGCCAAATATGGCGCCAAGTTCGTACCCTTCGGCGGCTTCCAGATGCCGGTGCAGTACTCAGACCTGTCGCTGGCCGAGTCACACATTTGGACGCGTGAGAAGGCCAGCCTGTTCGACGTGAGCCACATGTAAGCAGACCGACCGTGAGCACCCACCCAGCTGGCAATTGCTAACCATGCACAGGGTCCAGCATTACTTCAAGGGCCCCGGCGCCGCTGCTTTCCTCGAGCGCATCACGCCGGCATCCGCGAGCACTCTTGCCGACAACTCCTCCACCCTGTCGACGCTTTTGCACCCCAAGACCGGCGGCATCGTCGACGACACCATCATCACCAAGCTGCCCGGCGACGTCTTCTTCGTCGTCACCAATGCCGCCTGCCGCGACAAGGACTCGGCCTATCTCTCCGGCGAGCTTGACTCCTTCAAGGCCGAGCACGGCGAGGATGGCACCACCGCCGTGACCTGGGACCGCCTCGACGGCCGCGGCCTGATCGCCATCCAGGGCCCCCTCGCCGTCGACGTCCTCTCCTCCACCCTGCCCGCCGAGTCGCGCGACCTGACGGACCTGTACTTCGGCCAGTGCCGCTCGCTGTCCTTCAAGCTCCCGAGCGGCGAGACGGCCTCGAACGTGCTCGTCTCCCGCGGCGGCTACACGGGCGAGGACGGCTTCGAGATCTCGGTGCCGCGCCAGCACACGACCGCGCTGGCCCGGCTGCTGCTCGAGACGGCCGGCCCGGACACGCTGCGCTGGGCCGGCCTGGGCGCCCGCGACAGCCTGCGCCTCGAGGCCGGCATGTGCCTGTACGGCCACGACCTGGACGACACCACCACCCCGGTCGAGGGCGCCCTGTCGTGGATCATCCCCAAGGACCGCCGCGAGAGGGGCGGCTTCCACGGCGCCGACGTCATCCTCGCCCAGCTCAAGCCCAAGAGCAAGGGTGGCGCCGGCGTCGACCGGCGGCGCGTCGGCCTCGTCGTCGAGGGCGCCCCCGCCCGCGAGGGCGCCGACATCGTCGACGCGACGGGCGCCTCGGTCGGCAGGGTCACCAGCGGCTGCCCCAGCCCCAGCCTCAAGAAGAACATCGCCATGGGCTACGTCAGGGACGGCATGCACAAGCAGGGCACCGAGGTCAGCGTCGTCGTGCGCGGCAGGCCCAGGAAGGCCGTCGTGACCAAGATGCCGTTCGTGCCATCCAAGTACTGGAAAGGTGGAGCTTCGCCCGCCTGAGGTCCTGGACCTGCAAGCGGGTAATTTTTCCAAATGGGGAAATTAATGTCACGACGGTGAGTCAGAGTCAAAGATGGCAGAAAACTTAACGTTTTGCCCTAAAGTAAAAGAATGTGTAAGAGAAGAGATTGCAGGGAAGAAGCTACCTGGACATAACGTGCCGTGCGGGGTTCGGGAGAGGTGGGGATTTTTCGAGTATTATCATTGAATGTGAGGAGTCTATGAACTATAGGTACGAAGGGGAAAGGGAACTGCAAGCTTTCCACACACAAGACAAAAAAAAATAGTACCAGAAGTGAGGACGGGGGTGTTCGAGTGGTAGATTATTAGCTCGGATCTATCATGAATCGCTTCAAAAGTACCCGAGGATGGAGAAGACAAGAAAAAACGACGACTTCTATTCACACGTGATATGCTGCTAGCTTTGTGACAGTAAATTCAGATCATTCGAAATATTCTACGTGCTTGCTTGCCTGCTTGTTTGCTTGCTTGGTTGTTGTGCATCGAATCGAACCGTTGGGGGTGAGCTATCTTCCCGCTCATACTCCAAAAATGATTTGCACAATTTCGTCGAGCAACGAGTAGACGAGGTGAGTGCTTCAGAGGAGAGTAAAAACAAAAATGTTAGCACAAGTATATACTTCGACGCGGAGACGAGGGAAACGCAAATGCAGCAAAGGGGAAAGAAAAGATATCAGCACTCACTTCAACCGTTGATTGTTCAACGTCGCCAACAAGCGCCTGCTCGCCGCCTGCGCGTTCGCACGGCCGACGACGCTGCCCGCCAGGTCGGGGATGAGCGTGGCCAGCATGAGGCCGGCCTCCTTCCTGCTCTTGGCCTTCTGCGCCTCGGTGCGGGGGGGTTTGTCGCGCACCATCTGCCCGCCGTTGTCGGGCGGCCACATGGCGTCGCGCAGCGTGCCGATGTACTTGACCACGCTGTCCTCCTGCGTCAGCGCCTTCACGTTCTCGCGCACCTTGCGCTCGATGGTGCCGCCAAGCAGCTGGTGCAGCACGACGACGACGGCCCGCCCGCGCAACCAGTTGGTCTCGCGGTTGAGCTCGAACACCTCGAGGAAGAGGTCGCAGATGGGTTTGATGAACGGCTCCAGCTGCTGATTCTCGTACGCGCGCAACTCCGCTTCCGCCTCTGCCGCCGCCTGCGGGTCGTTGGCCAGCGCCGCCGTGGCCGCCGTGGCCGACCCGAGTACGCCGGCGCTGTTGCCGTTGTTGAGCTCCGTGGTTGCGGCAGAGATGAGGTTCTGTCCCGCAAGGGAAAGCTGGTCGAGAACAGGGATGTTTCCGATGAACTCCTCCATGCCGTCGCTGACGGAACTGTAGATACGAGACACAAAGTCTTTGGTTTCGGCTTGGGAGTCTGATGGGTTGGACGAGGAGATGGCTCGTTGTGATAGGAACGCTCGGAGTTCGCGGCTTCGACATATCGCAGGGATCAGTAGTAACTCGCGAAGCCATCTTTCCAAAGCAATCCGACGTTTTTGCAGAAAGTCCTTTTGGAGCTTGAACAGACCCTCGAGTCGACGCGGGAACTCAAGGTTTCGGATCATGGGGTATTTGGAGCGGAGTCGCTTGTTGAGATCGTAGAATTCACTGTAACGCCTTGCCACCACCCAGGCGGCAGCTGGCATCTGTTCTCCTGCTTGCCGACGGACCTCAACGACATCTGACTAGGTCAGCAAAATTCGTGTGCAGTGGAGAGGCTGACTTACACAAGGCATACTCGGTACCGTCCTCTTCCTTACCGACCATGATTGATTGGATAGATACTGTCGCTCTGCCGTACAAGCTGTTGTCACTCTCCTGAACGACATACTGCTGGCGTTGAAGCTCCTTCCGATGTATCTCACGTTGCAAGCTTGCCTTTGATTTCTTGAGGATTCTTAACTCTGCCGCGTTGTTCGTGAGCTCGGCCTTTCTGGTCAGAGAATCCACGATGGATTCTTGGTTGACCAGCCGATCAAGATCTTGTGTCAAAGCATCGATGGCTTCGGCCAGTCCTAGGTCTCCAGGAGCAGCCTCATGAATCTCATCCTCTAGATTGTGGTCGTCTGCGTCAGGATCTTCCATCTCATCTTCTGGGAATTTCTCCTCGTCCCCAAAGAGGTTGTCTGAGAATACGCCTCTGGTGGTGGGCGCTCCAACGAGGCCAAGGGTCGTTATGCTTGGCTTTCCTCTCTCTTGTTTTGGCACAGCTGGGGAGCTTGTCCGGGTGATCTCGAATGAGCCTCTTAACGATTCGTTGTCCTGTGCTGACTTTGGTCCATCGGAAAAGATGGAATCCCGATCGCCGTCGTTCTCCATGATGTCTTCCAAGGCCTCTTGCATTGCATCTACAATTTGGGAGTTGTCGCCATTGGGCCGATAAGGTTCAAAGTCAGAATCTACGCTTTGGAACGAGGCCGCCATTGGATCTGGCTCAATGTCATCGTCAAACAGAGGCGGGCGCCCGGCGTCATCCAAGGATCTTCGCGCGGGTGCTGTCGGGCCTTGGAGCGACTTGATGTTTTTCAGATCTGAAGTAGAGACAGCTGCCCTTCGGAGGTCTGTGGACTGCGAGGAGAGTGTGCGAGCAAATGCCGGGGGTTTCGATGGAGACGGGAGGGTGCCCACGCTTTGGCTTAGATTCGCAGTCCCAGGAGGGCTTTTCGAGAGAGCAGAAGCTTCGTCTGATGCGAGCCACTTGAACCATAAGTCGGACCTCTTAAAGCGCGCGAAGTAGCGGTCTGCCATCTTGTGATACACCGATGACTGGACCTCCAGCACTGCGCGCCTAGCAGCCAGGTACTGAGCGCTTGTTGCTCTCCTGCCCGCTTTCAGAAAATCGTCAACAGTCCGGCGCGTGGCATCAGGCACCGCAAGCTCAGGCTTGGTCAGATAGGCTTCGTAGATTTGAGCGAGATCGGCACGCTCGGAAGCCCCCCAGGAGAGATCAAGGCTCGCGTCATCAGTGTCCCCTGTATCTTCTTCGAGAGGGTCACGGAAACCGTCAACCACGATCCAATATTGGACCAGACGCATCAGTCCCTGACGCTCCATGAACTCCATGAAGTATGAGAGGCCTGAGGCATCATACAGGACCTGACGAAGGTCTGCAGCCTCCAACCTGGAGCCTCTGCGAACTAGAGGCGGTTGCACGACTGGCACCTGCTTAGCCACACTTCCTGAGCTCAGTTGGACAACGCGCTGGTCCAATATCCTTCTGGCAGTCTCGAGACGACGCATGTACAACGGATCCTGACCTTCGATGGCGGACTCCTTTTTGAGCTGGCTGGCTATCTCGCTTCTGAATCGACGGGCATCGGAGAGAGAATTACACTGACGGATGGCGCGAATGAAGCGCTCGAAATTTCTTTCATTGTCACCGGGAGCCAAGCGTGGGAACGGAGCCATTTTGGGCAACTTTGGAGAGACGGGGGCATGTTCGTCCAGCGCAGCGCGGAGTTTCCGCACTGTCTTCCGGTCGTGCAGAAGCGCGCGCCCGAAGCCCTCCATGATTTGATTCCAGGTGTCGGGATCAGCAAGCATCCCAACGACGGGGAAGAGGACTGCGCAAGCCACGATTTCCTTGATCAACGTGTTCACCGCCTGGCTCGTCCGCATGTTACGCGGGAGCAATTGTGGCATGAGCTTCGCGACGATGCCGCGGAGGTGTTGCTGCTGCATGGACTTCGGGTTCGTGTACGAGAGGGAGGCGGCGGGGTGGAGCTTGCCATCGCGGTACTTGGCCGCGATCGCATTGTCGAGCTCGTCCGACTCGGTCACGTCCCGAGACAGCTTCCTGCCCCGCACAATACGCTCCGCTTCGTAGAAGTCCCGCATGTGAGTTGTGATCATGGGCACGGCGCGCGATATGGCGATCTCGACCAAGTCCGCTTCCAACAGCCGGTCCCGGATGTTGCCCAGGGCGGCGCGAACCGCGCGATCCACCTCGTTTGTAAAGGTCGGGCGTGGGCTGATGGAGCCATACCAGCTCTGCACGAAGTCGCGGAGTATGAGGTCGAGGAGGGTGTCCAGGTGATCGGAGATGACGAAGGAGGGTGGGTACAACGGCTCGCGGCGGTAGAGGGAGCGGGCTCTCAGAGCGGCGGTTTCGGTCTTCCAGGCCTGCGGGTGCACGAAGGCCACATGCTGCGGCGGGCGGAGGGGGCGATGGTACGCATCTTCGGGAGAGCGCGAGGTCGAGGCGATCAGGTAGACGGCGCCGGCTACCGTGATAGCGACGCCTGCGAGAAAGGCCTGCGGGACATATCGCAGCGACGGCGCCCAATGAGTAGCATATCCCCAGGCGATAAAGGCAGCGATGCAGGCGAGGATCACATCCCGGCGGGTGAGTTCCATAGTACGGGGAAAGCCATGGGCTGTCGACGCGGCATGGTGCGGGTGCGCATACGGAGCGTGCTTTGGCCCGGCGACGTTCCAGTGTCCATCCGTCACCGCGACGCGCCCAAGCGACGCCGATCCCCCGAATCGGGCAAATCCGACCGCCTGCCCTCTGTCCGGCGCTTCTCCTTCAAGGCACACGCCAGAGTCCAGACGCAAGGCGCTGCACTACATGAACATGAACACACCATGGTCGTCACATCAAGCATAGGCTTTGAGCATGGATACAGGTTCAAACGTGGGTATCAATTACTATCATCTACTTCGGGCTTATGCTAAGGCTGCTTCTAGTTCGTGTCAGCGCCAACTCCTGGAAAGAGAGCGTGGAGCAAGAGGGATATAATCGGGTGAAGTTTCAGGTCTCCAAGGTGATTGGTTGTTTCTTCAACGATGAACTCAGGAAGAACACAGCGAAATAATTGGGTTCATCAGGGAAGGGAAGGGGTGGCAGCATGATTCAGGCGGACGTACCTATCAACCGAAACATATTGCAGTCATTACAACATGACGTTTCCCTGGTGCCATGCCAGTCAGCGTGAGTCCTACAGCAAACGTGAGGTCGCAGTGAGGTATGGAAATCCATCGTGAATCAGGCTAGCACAAGTCAGCGACACGCTTCAACGCGAGTGAGTTGCCAGACATACCTCATTAAATCAGAATTTTCAGTGTTAATGTTCATTTCCAACCACGTTCGTTACACGTAGAAGGATCAAACAGTGTGAATAGTTGATCATCATTTACGATGGCCTGGCGGTTGTGCAGTGGGAAAAAAAAGAAGAAGAGCAAGTACCTAAGCGACCACAGTTAGCGACTTGTTCATGGCAATAAAACTGCCGAGAATGCCATGCAGATGCAATCGCGGATCAGCTGACGAGTTCTCAACAAGCAGTCCTCCAAAGTGACATCCACAAGGTTTGTACGCCTTGCTTTTGACGGCTGCCACCCGAAGTATGCACAATATGTCCGCCCGTTCGTTCAAATTTCCTCATGTGTCGCGGGTTCTGCATAGCTGGGGCTGATGGCATGGATATCGTACCTAAGACGGGCCATGTTAGCCGGTGCTCATTAAATGGTAGAGATACCGAAGCAAAATTGGAATGTGCTGGGTCAGACAAGGCTGAAACTAAATTTGACAAATTCGACACCATGTGTTCGGATTGAGGAATGCCTTTCCGTTGTCGGTTGATCATCATCCAGAGGGGAACGCAAAATAAGGAAACGTGATGCGCATACCTTTTGTGAAGAGAGAAACGCAAGATAACAGACAGCTTGGCTGCGACGGGTTCGATGAAATGATCTACAAGTCTGCATTCAACTTTGACCGATCCTCGTCCCCTGTCGCAACTCAAGTGCCGGAACCTATCGACCCTACCCTTGAAAAAAGGGCAGGCTTGGGTGTTGATGGATACAAAAGAAACAAGCGGGCTGAAACTGAGGTAGAAAGTTAGCTAGCTGTTCTTGCCATTGCTCAACACGCACTGAGGGGGACGGCGTGCGATGTCAGGGTAATTCTAGAGCTTTTCTTATGGAATCCGCATGATCCTGAGACAGGACTTGGATGTATGGATAAGAATGTATCATCACTGGACGCGATGCAGAACGAAATGGTGGTGACTTACAGTGAAACACAAGGCGAAGGAGGGCCACCAGCATGCAGACGCAGGAGTGCAGAGGTTGGTGGCCCCGGAGCGCAGAGTTTGCGATGTTGAGAGGTTGGGGGTTTGGAGGAAGAGAACGCGACAGTTCGCTGGAATTTTAGTCGTAGCGACGCGCTAGCGCATGCCGAGCTCGGCCCGGGTCCACTTCACCGCACGTGATCTCTGGCGGGGCTTAAATATGCCAAGCGCGGCTGTCACCTGAAGCAACGCATCATCATCATCATCATCGCAGTCCAACCACTCGTCTCTTGTGCTTTCTCACCCTCACTCGATGCATATTCAGCGGTTCATCTGTCACTGGGTCGGCGATTTTGCAGAGCCGAAAAAGTACGTCAATTCATAGGTGTAGGTATCATCCAAGTCATCAGGATTGGCTAGCGAATTAGGCCTTCTTGCCATCCAAATCCGTGAAGAAATCATGGCCAAAGTCTGCCGAGGAGTCGTTGAACCTCAGCTTCTTATCAAGGCTTTGGACCTTCTTCACGTCCTCGTCGTCAAGCTTGAAGTCACCCTCCAGGTTCTGCTTGATGCGTGCCGGGGTCTTGCTCTTCGGAATAACCGAGTGGCCCTCGGCGATTCCCCAGGCAAGCGCGACCTGCGCGCCCGACTTGTTGTACTTCTTGCCGATTTCGTTGAGCACCGGGTCGTCGATCAGCTTGCCGATGTTGGACCCGTAGATCTCGTTCTGGTTTCCGAACGGCGAGTAGTGCGTGATGTGGACTGAGATCATCAGCGTCAGGAGTTGTTTTTGGACATGCAACAGACGATCACTTACTGCCATGCTGACGGTGGAACTCAGAGAAGTCGCGTTGCTGCAGCCAGGGGTGCGACTCCAACTGGTGCACGGCGGGAACCACCTCCGTCTCCTTGAGCAGGTGCTCAAGTTCTGCCCTGCTGAAGTTGGACACGCCGATAGCCTTGGCCTTGCCCTTCTTGTACACCTTTTCGAGCGCCTTGTAGGTGTCGACGACATCGATCTTCTCCGTCTTCACCTTGCCTGTGGATTGCGTTAGCAAGCTTCGACGGCTACCTTCGAAGCAGACGTACCGCTGCTGTCCTTGGGGAACGCCTCGCTACCCCGTCCGAAAGCAACCGGCCAGTGGATCAAGTACAAATCGACGTAGTCGGTCCCGAGATCCTTCAAAGATGCGTCAAGAGCCTTCTCGACGTCGTCGGGGTGGTGATCGTTGTTCCAGAGTTTGGTCGTGAGGAAGATCTGTTCGCGCGGAATACCGGACTTCTTGATGCCACTACCAACGGCTGGCTCGGTTCCGTAGCTGCGGGAAGCAACCATCAGCAATGCGAGGATCCTCGAGGAGGGCTAAAGAAGCACAACTTACATCCGGGCGGTGTCAATGTGCTTGTAGCCGGCCTTCAAAGCCTCCAAGACCGCGGCTTCCTGCGAATCGGCATCCTGCCAGGTTCCGAAGCCGACGGCTGGGATTTCAGCACCAGTGTTGAGCTTGAAAGTGGTCGTCATGGTTGTTGCTTGCGTTGCTCGAAGTAAAATCGGGAATTTCGTAGCTGAGTGGTTGGGAGGTATCAGCGTTTGGGGAGTGACCTTGTGCAGAGGGGGGTTACGGCGGGGTTTTAAGCTTCAAGAGCACATTATCGAAGTGTGACGTGCTTGTGGGCCCAGCTTGTCGAGCCAACCACACATAATTACGTGCGTGGGAAGGCACCTTGGTGGCATTGTTCATAGGGCTGAGTTATGACGTGAAGTGGGTTTCCGTTCGTCCCACCCGGTGCCAAGCGCTGCGGGGCAACAAGAGTCTCCTTACTGTGTATGCTCGGTTACTGTAGATCAGGTCCTCAGCAGTGAGCACTGAGGTTCTGAACGACGACAAGTATGGTAAGAAAGCAGTCAAATTACGGCTGACGTCTTCAGACAACGGATGGAAAGCGTAAGGAGCCATGGTTCGTTCCTAGCCATGCAAAGGGCATCGACTACGCTCGGGAAGGGATACGTCCACTCTAATCAAGGTCCGGTGGTTTCGTCAGCGACACGAGCTATTTCACAACTGCAACGGAGCCCATATGCATGTTCGCAAAGGGTCATTAGGGCGACGTTGGCGTTGTTTCGTGATATTCGCGATGCGTCACGAAACATGCGACTGTCACCAGATGTGCTAAGCAAAGTGGAGAAAGGTTATTTAGCATTATTATGTCCCTTCTCGAAGGGGGGGAATCTCCGACAGTATTAAGTACAATCGCATAAGGTGTATCTGGTGCGAACTTCGAGACACAAACCTCTGGTCGAATTTGCAATCAGTCTAGAATCGCCATTACAGATTGGTTATATCCTTGACGCTCAGAGAGCCAGCATGCCGATCATACCAACGACGCCAGCTAGACCAGCGCCAACTGCGGTAGGGAGAGCGGCGCCACCAGTGGAAGAGGACGAGGCACCGCTGCTGCCGCTGGAGGTCTCGGAGGAGCTGTCCGAGGTGGTGGTCGAGTCCGAAGTCGAGGAAGAGCGGGAAGATGAGCGAGTGGCAGTAGCGTTGGCCGAGGAGTTGCTGGCAATGACGCTGGAGACAACGGAGGAGATAGAGGAGGCAGTAGCGTTGCCGGTAGCAGCGGCAGTGGGAGCAGCGGTCGCGGTTGCGGCGGCAGTCGCAGCAGCAGAAAGATAGCCTTGGACGTCGCTGGGGAGCGCAGAGATCCAGGACTCAGCACTGCCGGCAGCAACCTCAGAGGCAATGATGGAGGAGGCAGCCGCCTGGTTGGTAATGGCAACCGCGAGGAGCGAGCTCGGCAGGGCGGTGTAGAGGACGGACACGATGGAGTCCCTGCGAAGAAGTTAGGATGAGGCACGGAAGCGGTGGGGAAGACGAGGGACCTACACGTCCACAGAACCGGTGCTGTCCTGCCTCTTGCTGACCTCCCTCTTGCTGACCTGGGGCGAGGCCATGGCCGAGGAGGCCAAGGCAAGGAGAGCGACCGTCTTGTACTGCATCTTGATGGAAATTGCGACTTGAGTTGGAACGAGTGGATGGTTCAAAAAAACAGGGTTGGATTGAGAGCAGACGGGTGAAGAGCCGGAGAGAAGGCGCCAAGGAGGTGCATATTTGTATAGCGGCTGGGAGGAGCTTCTCGACCAGGCGGTGCGACTCAGCCGGGTATGTGATCCTTGGCTTCAATAAGTGGCGCTCTTTAGGCATTTGCTTCTGTTTGGGCGCCTTCTCCGCTGTCGATCCGCCCGCGTGCCGCGTCAAGCTCCGGCATTCTTTTTTTGTCGGCCTCCTTTTGTCCTATTCGACGAGCTTTGGGATGCCTGACTAACCAGAACGACGCCGCTGCTCCAGCCGCAGGTCCGATCGCGCACACCATGCAGGAATTGGTGTCACGCAGGCTGCCTCCGCGGTTGGGCCGCGCGCCAGGCCACGGGCAAGAATAGATCTTGTGAGGGCCGGACGCGTCGCACCACGCGTGGCATTTCCCTCACCGCCGGGGGTTGCGCTGCTTGCTGCACTCTAGCCGTTCCTGGCACCTGTTATTGTGGCGTTGCCGCGAGGTGTCTCACACCCCTGATAGTGATTTGGCTCCTTTAAGCGCCTCCCTGTCCAATGCAGCAATGCGGCTATTGCTGCCGGGGCGAGGGTGCCTGGCTTCCTTGGCGGCATCTTATGCCGTCACCCCAGGATCAGACGCTGGTGGAGATGCGTGCGCGTACGAAGCGCTGCAACGACACTCTTCCGACGAGATACACCCTCCTCGGACCGGGTCATGTGGAAACTCACCGCTGTGCGACGCGAGGTTTTTCACTAAGTTTAGCGCGGGCGCGAGCAAACCTTATCCGCCCCAGGGCACTCGTAGACTCGGCCAAGGCCGTGTTTCTCTTCTTAAAGGAAGGCAAATGAGTCGCAGAAATGTCTGGAATCTCTACCATGAGGTTCCGTCTCGTTGACCAAGCAGGCTCCGTCTGATTCAGCGGTATCCGTTAGCATCTGCGACCCTGCGGCGTTCTCACAGTCCGGAATGGGTGGTCTGGAGTTCGAAGGCGTAACCGTGTGCTCAACCCCAGAGCATCTCCCCTCTTCTCTGCGGCTTTGGTTCTTCGTTTGCTTCCCCTCCACCCTCACTGAAGGCTCTTCTTGCTCGATGGTTTGGCGCTGGTTGCGGTTCGATGCTGGTGCAACCACCTGTCCATGCGAAGTCACGCACGGGCTGCGCTGGCGGCATGATGGACCTTCCATTGGTGTTCCACGCATCGCTGACGTGCTGCGCAGTCGTACGGCGGCCATGCTGGCCAATGGCCTCTGGGCGGGGCAGAGCGCTGGCTGACTTGAATGCCGTGGCAAGAGGCCGATTGGCGGCGCCGTCGGCTGGCAAGTCAAACAGCATGCGGTCGTCAGAAGCCAGGCCGCCGGGAGATTTAGTGCGAGTCATGCGCGGTAGGCTGGCAGGTATAGCAGAGTCAAGGTGGTGCTGATAGCGGCCGGCGAATGGGCAGCGGCGGCGGGGCAACAGTCGACGGCGGGAGCTTTGACTGCTGGGCTTGTGGGCTTGCCGCTGGCTTGGGTCGGCAGCCATGTGGCCCACGGGCAGCTGGGCCGGCACCGCGGTGCCGTCATCGGTCAGTACATATGGTCGCCACGCCGCGAGACTGAGGTTTTGCAGCAGCGGTGGCGCGGATGACTGCCGCGCCCAAATGCCCTCTGCCGCTGCCGCTGCCGCTGCTGCCACTTGCGCCCGCCGCACTGTAGGGCAACGGCCGCCCGACAAATAGCCGGGGCTCGGAAATAGCCTACCGGCTCCCGAATAGCGCATTACGGGCGCAACAAGGGACGGACGATCGCGATCCTACACTAAACATCTACACTCTGCAATCCACTTTCCCAGGCCGTGCCCCCCATTTCCTGCCGCTCCCCTTCCGGACCTGGCGACATGGCCACCGGCGAGGTGTTGGCCAACCGGAGGGACCTCCCGGTCGTAGATCTTTCCAGTACCGATTCCGCCGCGCGATCCTCCGCCGAACAGGCCAAGAGCGCCTCCGACGGCCATGCGCCGAGCGTGCACGACGACAGCGACGACCAAATCGACAACGCCTCCCTGTACGAGGAGTTCCTGGACGAGGTCGACCCCTTCGACCTGGAGAGCGGTACATAATTCCCAATTCCCTGCCCCCGACGTGGACTGATCGCGCCAGGCCCCGATGTCTGCACCGTGCAAGAGACCAGAGCGTACAGGAAGCGCCTGCGCGAGGTTGGCGCCGGCCCCTTCGTGTACGAGACCGTCACAACCGGCAAAGTCTCCGCCAAAAAGCTATGCACCGCCTTCGGCATCAAACCCCCCAGCTTCCTGGAAGGCGCGCCCGACAGCTCCTATTACCAGCTGCTAGGCCTGGCGATTGCCAGGGAACTCTCCAAGAGGCACCGTCTGCCAGAGTACTCGACCATCGAAGATGCCGCCCGCCTCCTGCAAAAAAGCAAAAACATCATGGTCATCACAGGCGCAGGCGTGAGTATTCCGGCCCTGATCGAGCTAACCGGGCTCGAGCGTCGCTTGAGCATCTCGGAGGAGAGCATACGCGGAAGAGCCGTTGCGACTGACTTTAGAAACCCTAGATATCGACTAGCTTAGGCATCCCCGACTTCCGTTCCAGAAACACGGGTTTCTATTCGAAACTCCGCGAGATGGGCTTCGAGGACCCGGAGCAAGTCTTTGACATACACAACTTCGACGAAGACCCTACGTAAGCGTCGATCGCAAGGTTCCATGGGCAAAACTAACCTGGATCAGAATATTCTATAAACTGGCGGGCGACATCCTCCCAGATCTCTACAACTGGACTCCCACCCACGAATTCATCCATCTTCTGCAACAAAAGGGAAAACTTCTCACCAATTATACCCAAAACATCGATAACCTGGAAAGCCACGCCGGAATAGATCCGGAAAAACTGGTGCAATGCCACGGCTCATGGGCGACTGCCACCTGCCGCAAATGCGGCCATCAGATTCCTGGAGAAGAGATATTCGCGAACATCCGCGAGCAAAAGGTGGCCGAGTGCAAGGAGTGCATTCGCCAACTGGCAGTCCCCCGGCCTGGCATGAAGAGAAAGCGAAGTTCAAATGGCGGCTCCCGCAAGAAAAGGCAAAGTGATGACGACGACGACTCTGATGGCCAGTACGACATTCCTCAGCCCGGAGTCATGAAACCGGACATTACGTTTTTCGGCGAAGGCCTTCCGAAGCGCTTCTTTTCCCGCCTTAAAGACCACGACAAGGATGTCACAGATCTTGTCATTGTCATTGGGACCTCCATGAAAGTCGCCCCGGTCTCCGAAGTCCCTCAAATTCTGTCGCCTGATGTGCCGCAAATCTACATTTCTCGAGATGTGAGTTCAATCAGAGTTGAGAGCCCAACCTTTGACTGACCCCTATTTAAGCCCATTCGCCATATCGACTTTGATGTCAATCTGCTAGGTGATTGTGATGTTGTTGTGGCCGAACTGTGTCGCCTCGCGGGGTGGAAGCTGGAACACAAAATGATTCCAGAGGGTCTCAGGGCCGAAATCGATGCCGTCGAGACAAACGATGATGAGAAACACACATGGAAGGTTTCTCTACCCGAAAGCACTGGTTCCGACAAGGTCCTTGTGGTCAAGCCGGAAGAGGCCAAGCTCGAGGAGACTGATTCCGAAAAGATCAAGTCTGAGGATCCTGCCTGAGTCTCTGCCTGAACGAGATGGGGAAACGGTTCCACTCTCCACATCAAGGCTTGCTGCAGCCAAACTGTGCTGTCTAAGTAGACCTTGCACGGTTGTTTCCTTTACGATACGTTCCTTGTATGGCGGCGGTTTTGGCTCACTCTGGTCACATTACCCGAGAGGTGTTCATCACGGTTCTTTTCGGTTATCTGGTATCTCGTTCTTCTCTTTTACCGTTTGCTCTGTTCAACATTCGACATACATTATCGGCGTGCATGGGACGGTATTGGACCGGTAGCTTTCCAACGGTATCCTTTGTCATTTTGCGGTTTTGCTTTACAGGCATTCATTTTTGCTTGATTCCATGGGGCTGTGTAGATATCCCCGATGGCCTTTTGCTTTTCCGCGCCATCGTTTACTCGATTTCAACGGCTGAAAAGGCGTATAGATGGGCATGCTTCTCGTTTGGCTAATGAGAGGATGTAAGGTGTGAGTTCGTGCTCACTGCGTTCCGATATCATTATAGATTGATGGTCCGGCTTCGGCTTTGGTCCTCTTTTTCTCTTCTCTAATTTTTTGGGGGGTCGGCGCGCAGCGTCGGACGAGATGTATCACCAAAAAGCGCCGACGCTTGCGCCTTTCCCTCCGGCTGCCTTTGTTGAGGCTCAATGACTATCATAAACAGCCTAGACTGATCCACTCCACCACTCCACAAGCATTCACTTGTTCCGCGTAGAACGCCGCCGTCCTGCTTCTGGCTCCTTTACCGCTGCCTTCTGTTCAGCCTTGGCGTTGCCCTTCTTGGCCCTCTTCGGGGCTGGTTTGTCTTCTTCATCTTCTTGCTTCACGTCCTCATCTTGCTCCTGCTTCTTAGCTCGGCCTCGCTTCGAACCGTTGCCGGCCAATCCATTACTCGCAGCGGCGGAATTACGCTGTTGCCTCGCGGCAGGCTTGGTCTCAATTGACTCGTCACCATCATCGTCTTCTTGCTCGGATGCGCCAACGTCGCCAGCAACGGCGCCTGTCTTCTTCTGCACGCTGGGAACGACGGCTGAAGTGCGGCCGCCAACCTTGAGGAAGGTAATCTTAGCGCCGTTGGGGAGCTTGTTGGAATCCTTCTTGCCCTTGCCCCAACGGTGCTTCATCAACCCTGATGTCGAGCCATGCATTAGCCGGAAAGCCGCAAGACGTGGGGGATAGGCTGCTAGTCCTTACAATCTTCTGGGAACCTGTCGGATTCTGCGAGGGTCTCGCAAGCCAGATCGCAGACATACATGAGGGCATCGTGCAGCTGTTTGATCTGGGCGTCGCTAAAGGTGTTGCTGTACTGTTCAGGGTGGATCTTGGCCTGATAAAGCACCTCGTCGCCAACCCAGTTCCCGACGCCGCTGATGTTAGCCTGGTCCAGCAGCAATGCCTTGACAGGAACCTTTTTGCTCCTCAGCTTCTTGGCCAACCAGTCGACGGTCAGGATATCCTTGTCGGTAACGGGATCTGGGCCATTCTCCTTGAGCGGGCTCACTTTCCTCAGCTCCTCACCCGGTGCATCGATCAGGCGAATTCTGCCCAGGCGACGGGCGTCGACGAAAGCAGCCTCGCACTTGTCATCGCCGTCCATCTCGAGGACGAACTTCCAGTACTTTGGCGGCCACTCGGGGTTCTCCTCTTTCGCAGCGGGCTTGTAGTAGGCGGAGTCGTCGTTGGAGAACTTCATCCAGCCGCTCATGCCAAAGTGCATCAGCGGGTGCGGGGGCTCAGACATGACCAGCCAGAAATACTTGCCCTGCTGGCGGGCGTCGACAATCTTCTTGCCGGTCATGGCCTTCTGGAAGGCAGAGGCGCTGGTGCCGACCTTGCCATAGATGATGTCATCCTCTTGGGTGCGCACGGCGCGGATCGTCTTGTTCACCACGTGCTTGCGCAAATAGTGGACAATACGCGCGACTTCTCCGATCTCAGGCATTGTCGCTGGTCTTGAGATGTGCAGAAAGTAGTCGAAACGAAGGATAAGCGAGTAGCAATGTTCGTGAGCGGGAACACGCGCGCGGTAGACGTAGGCCAGGCGGTGCGACTAGCAGAAACGGAACCTTGGGCGGCTTAGGGGAGGCGTTCCTTGGGGGAAACAAACCGCCGTTGGGCCGGTTTTGCTGTAAGACAATCAACGGTATAGATGTTGGGCGATGTCGCGGGTCGGTAGGTAGCCAGCGCGGGGCGGAGGTGAAGGCGCTGACCCACTGATCGCGCCAACGCGAAGTCACGCGTCTGGCCGCCGCTCCCTTCCGCTTTCCGTCGCGTCTCTTTTCACATGCATGCAGCACACACACCCCTCGACCTTTTCCGCTTCTGGCCTCTTGCTGAGTGGCGGGTGCAGACAACACTTCCTTACGCGCCTCCATGCGACAGTGACTGCTGCCACGGTGCGCCTGCGCTGTGCACGCCCAGCCTCCTACGTCAGCGAGCACTGCTCAGCAATCCTTCGCCCCCAACTTGCAAACAAGGCTGTAAACTCCAATGGGGGCCTCAAATGCAAACGCCCTCGCACCCTGCTTAAGCCATGCACCCACTTTCATGCCACATTTCCCGCTACAACTGCTCTTGATTGCTATACTCGCTAGCCATTGTTCTTCGCATATCGTCTCTTGCACACACATCCTACTCCTAGCCGGATGGAATCGCCCGACTCGTTGCATCAATAACCGCCCCCTCGTACGGAGCCAGTGATCCTTTGGCTTCCAGATCTCGGTCGGCTATACGTGTGCTCTGCAAGACATGGTCAGGCACCAGTCGCAAGAACCCTTCCTTCTACGCGAGTCCATGGAAACACCAAAGGGTTTTGGCAAGGCCAATTCGGGCCGGAAAGGCCTGCGGCAATTTCTTGTCAGCAACCCAGAAGTCATTCTCGCAATGGCTGTCGGCATCGCCTGTGTCATGGCCATTTTCGGCTTCACGCTCTGGCTGAGCAGACAGCTATTTGAATGCCCGGCTTGGGCCATAGGTTGCGACATCCCATCCTCGGTCGCGAGCATGGCGGACAATCTTGGATTGGTCCAGGGCATCATCGCTGCAGTGTACGCTGTTTCCATGGCCGGACCCGTCTATACAGTATGCGCCCTCGGCGAGGCGGCAGTGTGGCCAATCTTGAACAAGCAAGCGAAGACTCTGAAAGAGCTGGACTCCTTCCTCTCTGCTGCTCGTGGATCCATCGCATCGTTGCCCTTGGCGTACATGGCCACCCGCTCGACCGAAGCCCTAGTGGTGATTCTGTGCATCACCATCGCAACAATTACCCCGTTGACCGTCTCGCCTCTCGTTGGATACGCCTACACTCGACATGATGTGTCAACTGAGTATATTGGCAATTATATGGCTGGAGGAGTCCTAAGGAACAAGTTCATCCAGAAAAATCCTCCCGTTCGTCTCCCTGCGGCCGCCGCCCAGGCTTTCAATCTCTATACCTCTTGGTCCAGTAACCTGTCTTCTGAGGCGATGCCAAACGTCCGAGAATTCATCGTCAATCGTAACCGGTTGGCCGATCGAGGAGTGGTATCGGTCAATGCCGTGAAGGTCGAGAAGCGCATAAACTGCAGTGGGCACGCTGTCGAATTAACCGACTACGACAAGGTCTCCGTCACAGCAGACACCAAGATGGCGGGAAACAGCAGCAACACTACGCGGATCAGGGTGCAGCCCGTGCTCACTCTATGGGTTGATGATATCAAATACGTAAGCGAGACAAGGACGGTATCGACCCTTGTATTCGCAGCCATCAACGGCACTATCGAGAACGGCGAGTCTTCGGAACCAACAAAAGCAATGAAAGACCAAGGCTATACCGGCGTGTCGGCCGTATCCTGTGATGTCGATGTCAGTTTGGTTGACTCTTCATTCGAAATTGGCAGTGGAACGTCAAATTTCACTACAGTTTCCAATCTGGATATGCTGGAAGGGCCTACCAGCCCGGAGTCCCCGTACGGTGATCTTGGCGACATGGCTGCATGGTTTGGGGCCGTACCATCGGTCATGGGTCTCAGCGTGCATGGAACACAGCCCATGTTCGTGGACTCACAGCCTCTTCCAAAGGCGTATGCTACTTGGACGGGGCCACAAACGTTCCATTGGAAGCTCGACACAATTCACAAATTCATCAACGTCAGCTCGGGGGCCTTGGCCACGTCGTTGCACTACATCGAAGGTAGCGATGAGCCAAGCACCAATTCAACGAGCCAAACTCTGGTATCACGAAAGAACATGAAAAGAATGAACCCTTCGCGGGCGTATTACCTGCTCATCCCGCCTCTGGTAGTATTGGCCATCATCGGCTCTCTGGCTTCCTGGAGTTACTGGATTCACAAACGTGCAAACATACCCATCATGCGTTTGGCCCACGTCTCGGAGGTGATCAAGAGTTCGCAGACTGCAGACATTTCGGAGCCGGCCAGTGAGGACGCGAAGATACCGAACCAGCAATCCAGCCTGAAAACCATGAAGGTGAAATTTGGAGTCGCGACTGGCGGAGTTGTCGGGCTCGGCGAGGATGTAGAAGACTTTTGAGCTGCACTGTTGGCGTTTGGACAGCATAATTCATCCGGTAGAGAAACGAAGCCAATCAGCAAGATGTATTATTACTGAGTTGCGAGCGAGTTTACCCAGGCTTGTGGGTTGTGAGAGATTCTGATGGCAGGTCACAGCGAATTTCCGCCCAATGAGGCTAGCACGATAACGGAATGACGTAACAGATCGCCCACGCCTGCCCGAAATAGGTAAGATGGGGTCCATAGTCGAGGCCGACGCCCACTCCCCGAAGGTCTTTTCCAGTGGCTCCCGCAAGCGACGGCTCTATCATCACTTCTCCCCGCAATCCGGGGCGACAAACACCACACGCCGTCACGGGCGGTGTGCCGACGGCGTCTGGGGCGTCTACGGCGCCGGGCCGACGCTGGATTCGGCCGACGGACTGATAACGGTTACATAATCCCACCTCCGCATCTCGCTGCAGCCGGCTTTATATCTCTCGTTTCCACATCGTTTGTGCTTGCTTTGCTTCTTCGTTCCTCGGTCTCCTCAAAGCGTTCGACCTTGCAGCCATGCACGTTTCCCTGCTGGCGCTTAGCTGTGCCGCGTCCCTGCCGTTGACGGCTCTCGCCCACGCGGGCCACCACCACGACAGAGAGCCCGTTGACCTGAAGGTTTTGGAGCAGAAATGGGGCACTGATGTAAGCACTCGATGCTGCCCGATGCGGAAGGTTGCTGATGGTTCGACCAGTGGGGCTTCTCGGGAATCTCAACCTTTGCCCACCTCCCGCACGTGAAATGCCTTACTGATCCGGAAGTGGATTTCGATATTGGCATCATCGGCGCTCCCTTCGATACGGCTGTAAGCTACCGGCCTGGTAAGCGCGTTTTCTCCTTGTTTCGCGTCCCCATGGTGTGAGCATATATACGCATCTCGGGGCTTTGCTGGGCACCTTTCGCCACGCTCATGATCAGACTCCATTGGGTCCTGGAAAAGAGCATGGGTACTGACGTCCACCGGCACAGGCGCCCGCTTCGGACCGCGAGCCATCCGGGCAGGTTCGGCGCGGCAGACGTCGTTCCGCGGCTTCAACCCACGGGCGGGCATGAACCCGTACACGTCGTGGGCCAAGGTCCTCGACTGCGGCGACATCCCGGTGACGCCGTTCGACAACGCGCTGGCGCTGCGGCAGATGAGCGAGGCCTTCGTCGAGCTGGGCAAGCGCCCGCCGTCGGCCGGCTCGCAGGGCTCGTCGTCGCCGTACCGGGCCAAGTCGAAGCTGATCACGCTGGGCGGCGACCACAGCATCGCGCTGCCGGCGCTGCGCGCGCTGCACCAGATCCACGGCCGGCCCATCGCCGTCGTGCACTTCGACGCCCACCTCGACACCTGGCACCCGGCCAAGTACCCGTCCGCCTGGATCGACCCGGACGACAGCTCCACCCAGTCCTTCTTCAACCACGGCTCCATGTTCTGGTTCGCCTCGACCGAAGGGCTCGTCGCCAACGGGTCGAGCGTGCACGCCGGCCTGCGCACCCGCCTGTCGGGCGACGACGACGCCGACTGGGTCGACGACGCCGCCCAGGGCTGGCACCGCATCGCCGCCGACGACATCGACGACATTGGCGCCCGCGGCGTCGTCGACAGCATCCTCGCGAGCGTCGGCCCGGACGCCCCCGTCTACCTGTCCGTCGACATCGACGTCATCGACCCCGGCATGGCCCCCGCCACGGGCACCCCCGAGCCCGGCGGCTGGACCACCCGCGAGCTCATCCGCATCCTGCGCGGCATCGAGGCCCTGAACGTCGTCGGCGCCGACATCGTCGAGGTCAGCCCCGCGTACGACGGCCCGGCCGAGAGCACCGCCCTCGCCGCTGCCCAGGTCGGATATGAGATCCTCACCAGCATGGTGAAGAGGGGTCTGTTGGACCAGGGCAAGGTTGACGAGGGCAAGAAGGGCGAGAAGAAGGACGAGTTGTAAGCAGGTGTTGCAGGTGGAGCAAGGCCGTGAACGGCGAGACTTGGAGAACGGCGTGTGCTGTATGTCTTTGAATAGGGCAAGAGGAGTGAATTGCTGTTGTAACGAAACTGTGTGACGACTTGATGACAAAATGCTTGATAGAAAAATGAAGAGATACGGTATGCTACAATATCGGCACTTCGTGACAGTGAAAAAGCTTCACATGACATGACCCGGTTTGAGTCTACCCATGTAAGCGAAGTTTTGACTAGCCAATTCAATTGTTGTGTGTGCCCGCTGTCTGAACAAATATGAACATCTCGGACAATCAGGGCAACTTGGAAGTTTTCGTCTATTGGAAAGAATCACGCATACGCTCATAAACCAGAACAACAAGCCCAAGGAACACCGGGGAATAAGTAGGAAGTATGCCATGAAAATCCGCCGCAAACCCAACGCCAATTCCTCCTGTAGGCCGTAGCACAGTGTACGTGAAAGATTTAGGAAGTGATAATGGAAGGGAGGGAGAGGAGGAGTGCATAGCCGGCGCGTTTAGCTCTTGAGAGCCTCCAGTCTGCCACGCATGGCGCTGAGCATCTCCTCGGGGTCCTCCTCTTCTTCGTCGGCGGCAGCGGGCTGGCTGGGCAGCTGGAGGTCCTGCTGGGGCTCCTGGGCCTGGGAGATCTTGTCCTTGAGCACCTCGCTGAGGACCTTGTCGACCTCGGACTCGGCCTCGTCGTCCTCGCCCTCCAGCAGGTCCGTCTCAGGCATCGAGTCGCCGACCATCTCCTCGATGATGCCGGCCTTGACGAGCTCCTGGCTGAGCTCGCGCATGGTGCCCGTCAGCTCGGGCAGGCGCACGAGGGTGTTGACGTCCTTCATGATGCCGGTGGAGGCGCGGATGCTGCCCTCGATCTTGCGCACGGAGAAGGCCTCGTTGACCTGCATCGACACGCTCTGCAGCTGGGCCTTGCTCGTGTGCAGGCGCGAGCTCTGCTTGCGCACGCGGATCAGCTCCTTTGCGAAGACGCGCGTGTCCTGCGCGGCCTGCTTGGCCATGGCCGGGTTGCGCTGGGCGCGCTTCGACGCCTGCACGATGTAGCTCTTGGTCTTCTGCTCGGCCTGCTTCAGCTGCATGATGTCGCGGTCGAGCTTGCGCACGTTCTGGCGGACGAGGGCGTTGCATTTCCGTTTCTTTGCTTCATGTTAGAGTGCGGCTGCGCGGGTGCTCGGGCGGGCGTGACCGACTTGCTCTTCGGGCGTGGGCTTCCACAAGAACGACTTGATGGTCTCCATGGCGCGCGGCGGGGCGCGCGGCGGGCAGGCACAGCGGGGGGCGGGGGGCAGAGGGCGGCTGCAATGGGCGGGCGGGCGCGATCGAGGGGGGGCCTGGAGGCGGACGGGCACATGCAGTGCTCTGGTGGTGGATGCTGGGTGTGCTGCTGGGTGCTGGTGCTGGTGCTGGTGCTGGAACCGGGCGGTGCCTGGGCGCAGCAGTCGGGGCGGCGGGCGGTGGTGGGAGGCTCTGGCTGGCTGGGCGCGGGTGCGGTCCAAGCGCCGAGGGTCTTGGTGACGTTTGCGCTGGGCCAGCGCGCGAGCCCGCGGCGGGGCAGCAGCTCGCTCTCTCTAAGGTCTGCTCGAAGCCTGCCGCTGGCCGGACCAGGACTGCTCCGGCAGTGGCCAGCCCAGGGAGCCGGCTGCGAAGCTCCACTGCGCGGCCTTGCTCATGCGCGTCGGCCCGCGCAGTTGGCAGTGCTGTTCCTGGCGTTGGTTATTTCTACTGCCTTCTACAGCCATCCTCCGCCTTGTGCGCTAGCGAGCCAGCCCTCTACAACTTCCACGGGCAGCTTCCTGTCAACCCCAGCAACTGCACCATTGCACACTCCATCACCACTTCCATTTCCTCTCCCTCGCAACAGAGGCCGCCGCACACACAACACCCTCGACATCCTCACGCAGCCATGTCGCAGACTCTGACTCCCGAAGGTACGGACTTCCCGCCAATCGCACCAACCCCGTCGCATATCTCGTCCGCGCCGCTGTGCTGGCATTGTGCAGCGTCATCGCCGCTGCGCCCTCGGCCCGCCCGCTCTGCCTGCATCTCCGCGCCGACGTGCACGACGCACAGCCCATGCTAACGTGCCTGCCGCAGTGCTCTGGGCCCAGCGCTCGTCGGCCACCGACCCCGAGCGCAACCACGTCTTCCTCACCATTTCCGCCCCGGACGTGCCCAAGGACAAGATGAAGCTGGACGTCCAACCCACCAAGGTCTCCTTCACCGGCCACTCGGAGTTGAAGAACGTCGACTACAAGGCCGAGCTCGAGCTGTTCGCCGAGATCGTCCCCGACGAGTCCAAGATCAACCACACCGGCAAGAACATCGAGATGGTCCTGCGCAAGAAGGACCTCAAGGAGGAGTTCTGGCCCCGCCTGCTCAAGGAGAGCAAAAAGCTGCACTTCCTGAAGACCGACTTCGACAAGGTACGCGACTCACCATCTTAGCCCGCCGGAAGAATGCCTTCTGGCAGTGGCAATCGTACGCTGACTCACAATCTTTCCAGTGGGTCGATGAGGATGAGCAGGATGAGGCTGCTGACGAAGACTACCTCGCAAACATGGGCGGCATGCCGCCTGGCATGGGCGCCGGCGGCCCCGGCGGCGAGGGCGGCTTCGGAGGCATCGACTTCTCCAAGCTTGGCGGTGGCGCCGGCGGCATGCCCGACCTGAGTGCCCTCGGTGGCGCCGGTGCCCTCGGCGGTGCCGGCGACGAGGCTGAGGAAGGCTCCGACGATGAGGACATGCCCGAGCTCGAGGGTGACGGCAAGGCTGCTGCCGGCGCCACCAAGGCAAGTTCGTAGGCCTGCGATCGGCCCCGGTCTCGGATCCGCGAAAAAAGTGGAGGTTTATGATTGTATGCTTGAGCAGAAGGTCGCTGTCGTATCTAGCGATTTTGAATCGATGCCAAAGAAAAAGAGAGATCTTGATATGAGTCGAGCGGGCGATGAAAAGGACGTTTGGAGATGAATCATTGAGGAGGAGGAAGGCTAATTGAGAGGAGCCGGAGAGTGTTGGAGTGTTTTGGCGAAGCGGTGAGGAGCTGAGGACGGCAATGCAACATCAAGTCATGGCTGATGACATAATTGCTGCTTGGTGTCCGGTCTGAAGCACGCACACACACACACACCGGTCAGGGACTGGGCAGCCAGCCACCATCGGGGCCTCGGTCTACAATCATCGCTTTCTCAAACTCAACACACTTTCTTCTCGAGCCTTTTGCGTTCCTTTCTTCAGCATTCAGGGAAGCCAACGGGTAGATGTGGATTATGGAAAATACTCTCGGACAAATGAAGTTATGAACAAGAAGTCGTTTTCCAGTTTTCTGCAGTGTCCACGCCACCGCCGCCGAGGAGCGGGATTCCCGATGATCTGACCTGGGCTTTCTCGTCTCTCTTGTGCACACAATACGAACAGTCATTTCTTGGTGCGAGGCTCATAGGACGGTGGCTCCAAAGTGTCACTCGCCCGGGTAGTTGAGGTCTACATTTTGGTGACAGCGTTTGCACTCAGACCCTTGCATCTTCCGCAACCCGCTCTAATTTCATGCAGGTGGCATCACAGCAATGCAATGTGGTCACTCGGCACGAACTCAGCTCCCGATCACTGCCCGATCACTCGAACTGACTGGATTGTATGTACCACGTACCCGATCTGTGATGATCCTGCATTTAAACCTTTTTCCCCTCGAAAACACCCCGTCTCTACCGATCTTTTTTGGTTGCTGCTCCCGCTTTCCAATGACAAGACAAAACAGGCAGAACAGTTCTGCTGCAACGACAGATAACTGGTGAAAACGGGCTATCTATCGCTGTTAATGCGCAATGGGGCCAACATTAAGACACCCGCATGAATCAGTCCTCGCATCTCCCCTCCGCCAACATGCAGGTTATTCTTACAGCCACCGTTCCCACCATCCCCCACCTGCCGACGTCTTGCAGCACGACCCCGTGGCTTGTAAGTGCCGCGCCGCAATGGCAACAACCCATCCGTCCGTGATGCTTGCAGTGAAGAACAGATACGCCTCCCATGCAGCAGAAGAAAGTTTAGAAGACCGCTTCGGGCCACTTCTTGCTGGCCTCCTCCTCGAATCTCTTCAAGACATCCTCCTCGCTGCCCCATTCCCGAAGCGAGTCGCGCATGGCGCGCGCGTCTTCCAAGGTGAAACTGACACCGTCCTTGGACAGAAGGCGCAGGGCTTCGATCTCGTTTGCGATGCCGCTCTTCTTGGGGTCTAGCGCAAAGCGTGCCTTGTAGCCGGCCAACATATGCGCTGCGCTGTCGGCATGCTTCTTAAGATAGGCCGCGTTGAAGGCTGCGGGCGACGTGCCGCTCGGGATGATGGTGAAGCTGCTGTCGATCACGGCTTTCACTGGGCCCTCGAGCTTCTCGCCATCCGGAAGAGTGTTGACTGGGAAAAGGTCAGTAGTCTTTTCTTGTTTGGGCAACGTCACTTGAATCTCAGGACTAAACTTACGGGTATGCTTGAAACGCACAGTCTGGTGGTGCAAGGTCGGGTTCTCCGGGTCAATGTCATGGGCTGAGCGCAGACACTTGAGCGCAAGAAGCCATTTTCCTGTGCGGATGGGCAGTCAGTCAGCTGACAAGCATGCAATGTCAGATGGTAAGATATTGTACTCACTCCTGCGGAAGAAGACCTCAAAAGCGACGTTCTGTGCTTCAATAGATTTGGGGCTGTTATGAAGCAAAGGGCTGACATATCTCATGGCATCTTCCAGCGGGGTGGCCGTCTCCCTGAGCTTGACGCCTTGAGGGTCGGTGTCCTCCTTCTTAGGCACGCCTTCGGCGTCAACCGCCGGCTTGGGGGGCGATTTCTTCTCTCCCTTCGGGCTCTTGGCTTTCTTTCCAGGCGTACTAGGTGAACCATTCGTTTGAGGTGTCGCAAGCTCCGGTTTGTCGTGTAGAAGGGTGTAAGTCTTGATGGCAGAGACAGCAGCGCGGGTGTAGAAGGGGTGCGCGCGAACGCTGTCCTCCCACCTAACCATATCCACGTATGCCCGGATCTGGCCCTTGCGAAGGGAGAAGGTGTGGAAATCGAACTGGTCTTCTTCCCAAACGCCGAAGATGTCGTGAATGGCCTGGAAGCGCTTGAGCGCAAGGCCAAGCTCGCCCTGCCTGAAGTAGGCCTCGCCATCCTCGATGAGGTACCACATGCACTGCATGTCGTGCAGGTCACCCAATGCGCCTCCCACAGCCTCATTGCGAGTAAACTTACTCATCGTGTCAATGGCCTTTTCGTTCTCGTTGTTGCGCAGCTGGTACTTGGCGCACTTGGTATTGATGTATCGGTCCTTCTCGTCCAGTTCCCTGGCCTCGTTCATGATCTGGGCAGCCTTCTGAGTGTTGCCGTAGTGCTTCCACACGCGAGCCTTGGTCATTGTGTAGTCGACGAACTTAGGATCCAGCTCAATCGCACGGTCGATGTAGTCCAGAGCCTTAGCCAGGTCGCGACTGAGATGGTAGTTGTAATGCTGGGCAAGGAAGTAGAAAACGGCGGGCGTGAAACGGTCCGTGGACTCGCCGTTGGTCTCCTTGGGCTCCTCCGACTCATAGCCAAGCACCAACTCTTCTATGGTCTGCTTCTTTGCAGGATCCTGGTACAACGCCTTCACGTTGTTGAAGGTCGACGGCACGCCCTTCCCTAGCATACGTCTAAGATAGCCATCGGCGGCGTCGCGGAACTGGTCGCCTGGCGGGCGTTAGCTGAATTTTGTTAGCTGCGAAATGACAAAAACATACCTTCCAAGAAATCGAGCGGCACTCTGAGAGGAGCATCATATCTCGGGTTCTTGTCCGCGTAGGATTTGTACAGCTCAAGAAGCTTGTCGACGCTCTCCGCATTGGAGCGATCGAGGCCGAGAGACTTCTCGAGGCCGTCGTAATAGGCGCGGTATTCGGCGTTGCGTTCGAGGAGCTCACGGTAGGCCTGTTCAGCCTCGGGCTTGCGGTCCAGCTGCAGAAGGTATTGAGCACGGAGCTCCATAACAGCGGTTCTGTCGGCATTGGCCTTGTATATGGAGTCAAGGTGCTTCAGAGCGGCCTCATAATCCCCCTTCTCGCCCATGACGGTGTTTTTGTACAGAGAGGCTTCGGAGTGCTCGATGTCGGAGCGTGCGGGCGGGGTCTTCAACGTCTGCTCGAAGCGCTCGAGGATGTCAATGGCTTCGGAGAGCTGGCCGGCGAGGTGAAAGGCGACGGCCAGGGCGGTCCAGTTCTGGCGTATTTGGGGGCGGGCCTTGAGCATGGCACGACGGCTCTCGATGTATCCCTGGTAGTCGCGGACCTGGATCTGCAGGGTGGCCAGGTCGCGCTGGATCTGCAGCGAGTCGGGCTCGAGGCGCAGAGCAAACTTGTAGGCCTTGATGGCTTCATCGTAGTTTTTGGCGGAGCGGTACAGGATGCCGTAGACGTGCCAGCAGATGTGCGACTTGACGTCGTTCTTGAGAGCGAGCTTGGCGAGGGCAAAGGCCTCGTCGGTCTGGCCCTGAGAATTGAGGATCAGGGCCTTCATGGCCTGGGTGTCGCCATGGTTGGGCGTCTTCTTCAAGATCTGCTCGGCGGCCTTGATACCTGGGGCGCAAGTCAGCTCGGCGGCGGGGCAGGCTGGCGGCGGCGGGCGCACCCTTCTTGTACTGCTTGGTCTCGTAGTTCTTGACCAGCTGGCGGAACAGCGAGTTCTCCTTGGAGCTCAGCGGCTGCGGCATGGCGGCTGCGGGGGGACTGGAGCGCAGCTCAGAGCGGAGCAGCTGTGTGCGGAGGAGCGGTCGCGTAGACGGGGCGGAGGGGCGGGGCGGGGCGGAGGAAGTGGACGGATGGTGGATTTCACTCAGACAATCATCTGCACCGGCGCCCGTTGGTCGCTGGGGATTGGCCTGGATGGCAGCTGGGGCAGAGGCTCTGGCCAGGTGGATGCTGCAGCTTGGAGGGCGTCATGGGCGAGAGATCGTTTCGTCGGCAAGCGCCCGCAGTTCTTCCGCGTCGCACGTCACTCACTGCACCTTCCGCGCCCGCATCTCACAACTTCGCTTTCGCCGTCACAAAATGCTGCCATTCCGTCGCCAACAATCGCTCGCAGCATCATGCGGGGCCGTCGTCCTCGGGCCAGCCACCCGAGAGCACCGCGGCAGCGCGCTAGCGTCTACCAGCCCGCCTTTGTCCACGTTCGAAGAAAAAAAAGGGGAGCGGGAGGAAGCGACCAGAAGATCCTACTATTTTCCGGATTGGGAGAACCGAAGTCTTGGGTAAAGTAGGGCCCATGCACCACTTATAGAACCTGTGGGGATACTATGCGGCCACGAACACCAATTATCATGCAGGTAATCACTCCACCAAGCCGGCATTTCCGTTGAGAGAATCTGCATTCAATAACACAAAAGAGACGCGCTGTTGCGCTGGCCCATGGCAGCTGCAGTCGTACGCCGAGAACACCTCCAAATCCAATCCATCCCGCGCGTTGAGAATCAATCTAAACCTGGAGGTAGCCAACAAAGGAAATCAGGGGAAGCGAGGGGCGTTGTCACACTGCTCAATGAAGCGGTAGATGCCCTCGAATCCTTGGTACTCCAACGGTGAATATGCGTCGGAAATGGCGCTGTCCCGAGCATGGCTCGTGTGCAGGCTCTCAAACTCTGAAGGCGCAGATGGCGAAGCCCAGGGATTTTCATCGCAGACGTCTTCATAGTCATTTCCCGTCTCCGACAGGGTGGAGAGCCCTGCCGAACTCATCGCATCGTCTCCGGCGGCGAGCATGCTGCGCCACTCGATAGGTGCCTGGTACATGGGACGTTCGTGGGCGGGCTTCTTTGCGAGAAAAGACGCCTCGGATGGGGTCTTGCTCGGCGCAAAAGGGAACATGAGAGCAATCTCTGTGCCAACGAAGCCGTCAAACTCTTCATCCTGTCGAATGAAGCCGCGCTGCACACCCAACTCATCGCATAGCCTTTCGACTGTGTCCGCATCCACGCCAGGGAAGTGAATGCATAACGTCGAGTCGTGGTACGTGATGGGCAAATCCCCGAGAGCTGAGAGGCGCTTCAAGTCGTTCAGCACGGCAGCAAGCTCCTTCAAGGCCCTGGAGAAGTCCGCGGACAGCACGTCGAGGAGGCCGTCGGTGTTGAGCGTCATCTTCTCGGCGCTGCCGGAGAAGCCGGTCACGGCGGAGAGAGGGGTGAGAGCAGTGACGGTGGGGTTGATGGAGAACTCGATAGTCGAGCCCGGCGTGGCCTTGGGAACCTTGGTCATAGTGCGGCCAACCTCGTCCTGGAGGGCGCTAACGGTAAGCCACTGCTTCTCGCCCGTCCTTGGGTTGACGCCATCGAACTGGGCCTTCTTCCCACCAATCAGAAAGGCGCGGACGGCCTGTGAGACGTTCTGCACGACCTGAGCCTGGGCAGCAGGCGTGTGCGAGAAGTAACGCGCTCCGCCGACGCGGCCGCCGCCGAGAGAATATCCACCCGCGGTCCGACCAAGGGTGCCTCCGGTCAGGTTTGGCCGGAGCGTGGACGCAAAGGGAGCACGGCCGGGGGACTGGCCGATGGCGGCACGGACGCTGGAGGCAGGGAAGCTCGCGCGATCGTACTTGACGGAGCGACGGGCCTCGGTGGTGAAGCGGCGGACGGTGGCGTTGATGAAGCTGTGGGTAGAGTACCAGCGGCCTTTGGTCTGCTTGAGCTGGGCGATGCGGTGCAACGGGTGGCGTGGAGCATTGCGGGCGTAGGCCGGGGCGAGCTGCGCCTCAGCGGGGCGGATGGAGGGAGGAAGTTTGTCCTGGATGAGCTGCTGCGTCTTCCTCCAGGCTGCCCTTTGAGTCAGGCGGCGATTAGCAGGCGGCGACGGGCGGTCGGGGCGGGCAGGACTCACTTGAGCAGCTTGGAATTGCGAGCCACCAGCTTATGCAGGTGGCCCACGGATGGCGCCATGTTGAGCTGGGAGTCAAGCCTTACGAGGCTGCGTGGAGTGACGGGTGGTGAGACTGGAGGTGGCGGTAGGTCCGGGAGTATAAGTACAGCACTCTCTCGGCTAGCGCGATCCGGGGGGCTCTAGCCGTATCGCAGTGACGCGACAGCGACAGGCTAAGCCAGCGTTAACTTGCTTCTTCATCGGACAGATACGGCTCTGGCCTATAGGCTTGCTACAATACGACCAGGATTTGGATTTACTACGAGTCAGCACGACCCTTCCCTTCCACGTGACTGCGGCAGTGTGGCGGTGCTCGGCGGCGGCGCCCCACACGTCACAGTGCGGCCGACGGGACGGTTTTCTCCATCCACCGACACCCGCCGTCCCTCGCCATGTCCGACGACGAGGCCGATCCCGAGCTCGTCGCCCTCCTGCGCGCCCACCTCGGCCTGGGCCCCAAAGATGCCAATGCCCCGGCCGAGACCAAAGTGCTGGACCATGCCCATTTCATCTACAACAACAGTATTGATGTCGCCCTCGACATGAAGGGCTGCCAGACGGCCGCCGCGTCCATCTGGAAGCAGATGCGGGAGCGCGAGTACAGCACCAGCACTTGGTCTGAGCACGAGTTGCACCCCAAGACCAAGGACGAAGCCACGGTGAATTTCATCTTCACCATGGACCTGCTCAACTTCTCGTTTTGGTCCGCCAAGGGCCCCGGCGACTGCTTCTCCATCGTCTACAAGGGCAGAAAGTGGACCGGCTACTGGAGTCTAGTTGCAGCTCTGCAGAGGGCTCTTGATGGCGGTATGCCCGCCTGCTCCGTATTCTGTGCTTGCCTGACGATGCCCAGACATCCCCATCACCGACCCGTCCTTCTGGGCCGACGAGGAGGCTTGTACCGAAGACGTGTTGCGTACTGTCTTCAGCTCGGCGACAGAGGAGGAGATCCCCCTCTTCAACGAGCGCTTGCAGTGTCTGCGAGAAGCAGGCAAGGTCCTCGAAGAAGTTTGTGTCCTAGACCCTGCACTCCATGGCACGCGCTCACACCGCCGAACAACAGCAATTCGACGGAAGCATCGCCACTCTGATCTCCGATGCCCAGAACTCGGCGGCTAAGCTTGTCAACCTTCTCGCTGATCACTTTGCCTGTTTCCGGGATCAGGCCAAGTTTGAGGGCAAGACGGTCCGTCTCTTGAAGCGCGCGCAAATCCTCGTGGCCGACCTGTGGGCCGCATTTGATGGCGAGAGCTATGGCGAGTTCCATGACATTGACACCATCACTATGTTTGCCGGTACGTGTCGCCAAAGTGAGCCGGACTGGTTCTGTGCTGACGGAGCTGCAGACTACCGTGTTCCGCAGATGCTGTATACTCTCGGTTGCATCTCGTACAGCCCACCGCTTGAGGCGCGAATACGCCACAAGGAGGAGATTGAGCCAGGGCATAGCTGGGAGATTCAACTAAGAGGTAAGCAGTGATGACGCCATGTACCTAAGACGCACTAAAAAGAGGAGCGTAGGGTGTAGCATCTGGTGTGTAGAGCAGATCCGACGAGAAATCGTCCGGTGCCATCCGGAAGCCAAGGTGAACGCCATTCTGCTCGATTTCTTCCTTTACGACACCATGAAAGAGCTGGAGGAGGCCGGCAAGGAACAGGTCCCCCACCACCGTACGAGAAGCATCTGGTATTAGCCAAGTCACGGGAGCTTCCGAGGAGCAGATATCCCGGACGGATGCAACCCGAGGGCCACGCGGCGTTGGAGATGCACACTGACCGAGTGATGACTGGCACTCGAGTGCTCGTGACGGGATTTGGAGGCTGCCGCCATGCGAAGAGTTGGGCACGTCGAGCCTACAAATAGCACACTCGATTCCCTGGCTAGGCTGCATTGCTCGGGGAGCACAGGAAAGCGCTCGACGATCCGGCTGGCAGTCGTGAAATACAGCAGATAACGTTCAAGAGAGGGAACGAGCAAGGAGCGAGTGACTTGATTGGAGCGATGGCATGCACTGTGGCAATTGGACGTTCGAGAAGAAGGTTGAGGATTCAGGGATCCGAGTCAAGATGATGTGCCAAGGTGCGGGAACGGAGAGTCTGATGCATGGGAATGAGTGTTTCACGCGGGGGAAGGGCCGAGGGCCGTTGGCTCGACGTCAGAAACAGCCGATGTGCAGCTTCGCCGGATCGACGAGGATGCTAATATGCAGCTGCCACGTCGGCCATGCGCGCATGCATGAAAGCTTGCTGCGGCACATGCGAATGTCATCGGCGGCTCTGCGGCGCTACCTGCAGCTCTCTTCTTCCAGCATGCCCCCAGCTGTCTTCGGTGCTGCCTCCGCTACACCCGTGGCGTGCTGGCATTTGTCTCCCTCGCGCTGCTGCCGCCTGCCATGGGATGCTGTGGATTTGCTATTGCCGCCCACCCGGTCGAAGCAGCGCCGTAAGACCAATCCAGCCGCTTCCGGCTCCGGTGCGTGTTCGTGATGCATCTGCAGTAGTGTCGCGACCTGGCATACGTCAGTCTAGCTTGCTGGGCTACGCCCTCCCGATGCCGTTGCGGATCCTCGCCACCCACGCTCCCGCTCGGCCTATCCTAGCAGCCCTTCGCATTCTGACTTTGCCAAGGTGAGCTTACCCGCACACTAACGGCTTGCTCTCGTGCAGATTCCCATGCCGGCCTTCCCAGCCATGTCGTTGTTTGAAGTTTGCGTCAACCTGTTCCCACCGCCGGTGTCATGTGCTGTGGACTGCTCACCTCCACTGGTCCTTGGCCTTATTTTCTTCTGTTCCTCTGGCTCTTCGCCGGTCCCGCACTATAGATTCTCGAAACCATGAGTCCGCATGCCTTTCTTGCGCTGAGAGATGAGTCGGCTCCCGCTGCCATTCCCTTGGGCGGGAGGGTCATATCAGTGCGACCGTCTCCCTCTGTCCTCCGTTCCGCTTCGCTGACCCTTGGCTAGATGGTTCTCTCTCTCGTCACGCTCACTATCCTCGCCATCTGCATCACTCGCCGTGTTGAGAACGTCGGGAGGTGGAGCCGGCTGCCCATCACGGGCTGGCTGATCATCATCATCTACTTTGACTCTTTCCTCTTCGTCTTTGTCACGGCAATGTTCAAGGACATCGGCATCAATGAATCGCAAGGCATCTGCGAGGGTGCGATTCTGCTATGTGCGCAGCCCTTAGCCACCACTCCAGCCCCGCCATCTAACACCTCGCAGGCCTCGTCTGTTACATGAGCACCAAGGTCTTCATCTACACCTTCCTGGTCGAAAAAGCCGTATGCATGCCCACGCCTCCTTTTCCGGTGCATGTGCTGACCCTTCGAAATAGTACATCGTCCGTGGCAGCCACAAGCCGAGACTCAGCGACAGGCTGTATGTCTTCAACGCATTCGGACTGATTACCCCTTACGTTGGCATAGTGATCCTGAACTTTGTCTGGTATGTTCGCGCCGCATCTTCCTCGGAGCTTTCATCTGAAGCTGGTCGTGTAGGAAAATTGCCTACATCGACGACATGGGCACTTGTATCATTGGCATGCAAAAGAAAGCCATGATGCCTCTCATCATCTTCGATGTCGTCATTAATGTCAGTCAATTCGCTGGTACTCCTCGAACCGCCGCATTAGCTGACAGATGCAGGTCTATCTTACTGCCCTCTTCATCATACCGCTTCGTCGTAAGTCATTGAGAAGGGGAAAGCAGAGCAAGCCGAGGCATTGCACTCACCTGGCTATCAGGGCTTTTTTCGTACCAGCATAATACCAACAAATCCCTCCGTATCATGGCCCTCCGTACCTTTGTGGGCAGCTGCGCAACACTTATCTCCAGTGTTGTGAATCTCACCGTCTTGATGGCTCTGAAGGGAGAGCCGGGCTGGATATGCCTGATGTGCTGCAACGCCGACAGTAGGCCACACTCACCCGCGCATTGCATCTCCCGTTTCCTCCAGCTAAGCGCCATGGCGATAGTCCTGTTCTCCGTCCTCGTGCTCCACTGGGTCACAAGCTTCGACAAATCCACGACCGACAGTAGCTACGCCCGCGAGCAGAACCGCAACAACGACTCTGGGACCATTGCTAACCGACCTTCCCGAAACGGCACGTTTCCGACGGCAAACAGCTCGGTGCACAGTGGCCATCCCGAGACCAAAGCGAATGTGGGCGGTCTGCGGCGGGACTCGCGTTGTCCTGCCCACCACAAAACCGGCTGGGACGCAAAGGCCAGCATCAAGACACAGTGCTGTGCTGGCAACGACCAACCCAATCCTGAGGACATCGCCATGGATCGCATTGTTGTCAGGACCGAGCGTATCTTGAAGATTGAGAGCGACAACCACAGCGACCGGAGCGAGTCCAGTGCAGAGCCAGAGTCCGGGTCAGGCAGTCGAGGCTGCAGTAGTACAGATGGAATCGTAAATCGGGTGTGATCACGTAGCGCATGTTGTTTCCTTATCAAAAAAAAAAAATTTAATTTATATATAGCCTTATGACGGATAGCTCGAGCGAAGAGCGGGCCGCGTGTTGAACGAAAAGAGGAAGCCATGGCAACACAAAACGAGCCTGTGTTGGTGGAGATGCAGTGCGAAGGTGAGGGATAGATATAGGGTCATGCAACCCAAAGCGGTAAGCAAGCAAGAACCCACCTACCCTACCCAGCATCCAGACGCGCGCGGGCGAGGCACGCGCGACCGTGAGGCGGGAGCACGTGCGCAAGGCTCGCCGCTTACTAGGTACCTACTGCCGTGTCGGCCTGGACAAAAAGTGCCTTGCGAAAATGATGCGGCCCCCCCCTCCCCTCCCGACGATTTTTCCCAACACCTGGCTCACCTCCCGCATATTACGACCCACTTTGCGCCAGCTTACGGCTTGCGTTGGCGTCTCCATCCACGCGGCAGCGGCAACAGCATCAGCATCAGCGGCGGCAGCCCTTTCTCGCCCCGCCCCCAACCTCACCGCTCGAATCCTACGTCCTCCCCCCTTTTTTTTCTCTCTCTCTCTCTTCCCCCCATCGACGCAGAAAATGGCCCCCGATGATCAGCTCGACATTCTTTCGTCAGTGAGTTGAAGGCCGGCGGCCCCCATTATTTCCCCCTTCGCCCGTCCCTCTGACTTTTTTCTTGGCGAAGCTCCTGACCAGTCTCCGCAATGCCAAAGCCACGTTTGGCGAGGACAGCGCCAAATATCGCGAGATGAAGGCCTGGATCGACGCCTACATCTCGTCTTCGGCTGCATCCGCCGCCGCCACCGCGCAGGAGACGGAGGCTCCGCCTGCCGGCGTTGCCAACCACCCCGCTAGTGCTCCTGAGCAACAACAACAACAGCAGCAGCAGCAGCAGCAGCAGCAGCAGCATGTCTTCAATCTCGCCTTTCGGCCGCGCCCCCAGGGTGCGGGTTACGCTCAGTGAAACTAAATGGTTTATTGCATTAAGCGTGCGGGAAGCCGCGTAAGACTAAGGAGAGCCAGCTTTCACCGGGTGGACTGCCTTTTTCCCCAAAAAAGAGAAGAGAATGAGTAGGTAGTGTGGAGCCATCCCATAACTCGTCAGCTGCTCAGCTGTTCAGGGCGCCGGGCACCGGACACCGGACTCCAGAACCGTCTCTCCTCCGATAAGCAAGCGGCCGGGAAACAAAAGCACACGAGAACTCCATGCAATGCTGGTATCCAGTCCAAAAGAATAGCAGAACCAAAAACGAAAAAAAATGACTTCTTTCCTCGGTGGTCCTCGAGGGCGGGTCCTGTAACAGGTGTGGAATCCGTGTGAAGCCTGCCTTGGCATGTACCAGACATCCCGCCGCCCTGCGCTCGCCGACCTGCTTCAAACCGGCAATCCCGTCGTGAAAATAAAAACGTCCTGAAAGTCGCGTAAAACGTCTGCTGCCAAACTTCGAGCGCTTGTTGCGCGGGTATTGGTCGATCCGTGCTAGTTCATCGTCGAAAAGTCCTTGCATCATCCTCTTGATCGTATCGTAATTATGGCCGCCGTGCGGGTTCCAGCACCGGCCCGAGAATCTAAAGTTTCCATTCACAGTCATTGCTGCCTCAGTCGATGAGCGGTTTTCGCTGTCCGCCAACGTATGCCATCCCCAGCGAGGCAAGTCCCATCGCATCGGTGGCCTTGACAATGTGGGCTGCAGGGAGCATCGGGTTGTCCGGGCTGACGTGCGCGGCATCTTTCGCCGCCTGCTCAATCGCCTCCATCTCTTGCTTGCATCCGGCATGGTCAAACGGACAAACGACAATGGGTTGCCGGAGTAATATGTCCTTGGCCGCTGACATTTGAGCCTGCTGCGCATTAGCGGACAAGGTTAGCCATGGCGATGGGAAGAGAGTGCATACCTTAACTGTCAAATAGTACTCGATCTTGTATAGCGTCCCCGTTGTTGTGAAGCCGCTCACGCCGTACATGGGGAACTTGGAATTCCCCCGGGGCATGACCCCCTCGCTATCTCTGTAGTCTTTTGCTGGGAATACCAGGCCGAGGTTGGTGAAATAACCGGCTTCGGGCATCTTGACGCCCACGGCTTGGGTGGTTTTGGTCAAGCACTTTACTTTGCGCGTGGGCTCATCGCCCTCGTGATTGTAGATGATCTCCTCATCTATGCCGACAGTAATCTTCTGGATGGTGACTTTTTTGGCCTTGGCCATCCAATCGGGATTCGGGGAGAGCCTGATGTAGACGCTTACGGGATCTAGCGGTCCGTAGGACCAGCGCGGGAGCGAGATGCCGAGAGTGACGAGATGGTCCGACACGCGCTCCGCGGACTCGGGCCTGTTGTACATGCCAAAGGTGGACAGGGTGTCGTATCGCGCTATGGGGACGGGGAAGGCGTATTTCTTCTGTTCCTGGGCGCCTTGTTGCACCGTCACAACCAGCTCGTAGTACGTTTCGGCGGTGCGGCTGGGCAATTGCAGACTTGCAGGCGGCACCCTGCGCGCAATCTCCTCGCCGCCGCGGCCGTAGGGAATAAAAATTACAAAGGGCAGGTCCATGGCCAGGATGCTTTCCGCCTCGCGACCCAGCGGTGACCGGTACAGCAGCATCTCCTTGCCCACAATGTCCACAATCTCCTTCCGCGGGGCGGCGAGGTGCTTCTTGGTGACCGAGTCGGCGGCGGGATGTATGCTCTCGCGGCGCTGCAGGGCGATGGTGACGAGCGAGACGGCGACGGGGGCAGAGACGCCGACCAAGGGCCGTATCTCGACCTTGCCCTCCAGTCGCGGCTGGGGCGCGGGGAGAGAGGGTCAGCAAAGGTCGCAATTGCAAGCGGTCAGAGCAGGCGGGCGGACGCACCAATGTTGCTGATATACCAGGGTAGCCGACCAGGAAGTTGCTGTTGGGCGGGCCAGAGACGCGCACGAAGGCGGCCATGGCTGCGGTTCACAGGCGAGCTTGGGCGCTGGGCAGCGGTAGGGACGGCATGGGAGAGCACCGCTGCTCGGCGTGGAACGCCAGCTCTTGAAGCAAGGCGGGCGGTCGGGCGGTGCCTGGAGGTGCGACAGGTCTGAGTGGGATGCGACGTGGTTAGGGCTGCGGAGCTGGCTCAGGCGGAGGCTCAGGCGGATGCGCGCGAGGCTGGCGTGGGCGGGCAGGCAGCGGGCAGGCAGCGGGCCTGGGATCGGGCGCTCTGGAGCGTCGAGCTCCGGCGTGGGCGGGCGGGCGGGCGCGCGGTGGCCGGGGCGGACGGGGGGTGCAGAGGACGGGCCTGGCGGGTCGCGATGGGGGAGAGGTGTAGGCTGTGGCGCTGACGGGACGCAGGCAGCTCTGAGCCAGGCCGCGGGCGGGAGAGGGTGTCACGATGCGATTCGACGGCTGCGGTTGGCGGGTCGGCGAGCGCAGGGACGGGCTCCAAGCGCAGCGGAGCGATCAAACACTTGGCCAGCGCTGCGCTGCGCTGCGGCCGCCTGCTGACCGCGCCGCCAGAAGTCTTCGCCCTCACGTCACTGCGTCAGCGCTGCGCCCGACGGGATGCCACTCGCCCTGCGCCGCCATGTCCGTCACGGTACGCCGCCCGCCCGCTGCTCCCAGCCTCCCAGCTGCTGCTGCTGACCCCGCTGCAGCTGCACTCCGACCTCGGTGATCTGAAGATCGAGCTGTTCTGCGAGAGCGTGCCCAAGACCGCCGAGGTGCGCGCCGCAGTGCCGCAGCGCTGCCCCCGCCCCGCCCACGCCCACGCCCCCGCTGATGCCACTGCCGCAGAACTTCCTCGCCCTGTGCGCCTCCGGCCAGTACGACGCCTCGCCCTTCCACCGCCTGATCCCCTCCTTCATGGTGCAGACCGGCAGCCCCGCCACCGACCCCAAGTCCAAGAGCTCCGTCTCCGTCTTCACCACCCCGGACCGCCTGTTCGAGGACGAGATCAGGCCCGCCTTGCGCCACAATGCCCGCGGCATCGTAAGCATGGCAAACAAGGGGCCCGACACCAACGGCAGCCAGTTCTTCATCTGCTTTGCCCCAGCCCCCCATCTGGATGGCAAGAACACCGTCTTCGGCCGCCTCATTGAGGGTGACGATGTGCTGGACCAGCTGGAGGGCCTGGATGTCGACAAGAAAGGTCGCCCGAAGCAGCGCGTCACCATCAAGAACGTGACCATCCACGCGAATCCTTTGGCTGGATGAGCCCACAATGCCATTGCTGCCGAGAGACACTGCCCTGGCCCACGATGCCGGCTGACACGCGCGCCAAATTCGAGGGCTGCCGTGTCTCCAGTGCTCGCTGCAGTCTTCGCCTCTGGATGCAAGCAAGGCTTGGGGATGAAGTTGGCAGCTTTGCGCTCGATTGAGCCATGGGGCCTGGGGCCTCATCCGGCGTACCATCCATTAAAGTTATAACGGACATTCTCCCGCTATGGCGCGCGCTGTCCCTCTTTCGAACCCACCTCGTCCGATTGGCTGGGCATTTGAGGTAGAAGACAGTAATGCATGCATGTAAGCTACTTTTACCAGCTCGCCCAGCGACATCACGGCCTCAGGTACGGTGCAACCACTCTTCTGCTTGTTTGCCGTGACGAAAAAAAAAAGTCTATCTGTTTTATGGCATCAGCGTTCAGACATGGTGGCCATGTCCAGCACAAGCAAAGCCCAGCAGCGCAGAGGTTAGAGACGCTCTCGTCTCGGATCTGACACGTCACTCTGCGTACGATGTTACCCGCACGTCCCGATGCATGTGCGACACAATTGGCGCTTGCATTCGCCTTGTGGCTGACTTAGCGCCTGACTCCCGCAGAAGGCGCTACTTATCCGACTTCTTGTTCCGCTTCGAACCAGGCTTGTTTTCCTTCTTTGAATCCTGCTCTTTCGCGGCCTTGGCCGTTTTGACCAGCTCGTCCAACGCTGCCAGTTCCTCGGCCTGCTTCTTTGCCTTCTCCGCGTCCTCTCCCTTTTTCTTCTGCTGAGCACGTGTCATGGCCCCCCTCTTCTCAAGCTCCTCGATGGTCCGTTCGCTGGCTTGCCAGAGGCCTTGTTGCACCTTTTCATCCTCGATTTCCCCACGCATAAACCGCACCTCCCTACATTCCTTCAGAAACTTTCCTCCCGCAGCCTTTCCCAGCTGGGCCTCCATCGCTGCGTACAGGTAGGTCTGTGCTCCTTGGTCTGGGCTTTTCAAGACAAGCCACCAGAAGGGCCACATAACCAGGTATAGTGCCAGTCCCCACAGGCTTCCAAAAGTGAGGTGCCGACGCATCCCAGGAGTTCTCGTCCAGCCCGGATCGATGACAAAGACGCGGGAGTTCATGGGAAACTTATCCGGTCGGTCATAGGCGGACAGGTGCTTTTGAAAGGCCGAGGCGAAGACCATGGAAGCGAGCTTTGAAGTAGCATCGGCCGAGGAGGCGTTGAATTCCAGGACCTGCTTGGACTGGCCGGTTTTCTTCGACTTGCTGGCTTTGTTCTTGTTTTTCTCTTCGCCGTTGGAGGAGAAGTCGGGCAGCTGTCCACCCATGTAGGAGCTGCACGTGCTGAAGAGGATGCGAACATCGCGGTCCGGGGGCTGGGCGCGCAGGGCGGGACTGAGAATGCTCAACAGATGGAAGTTTGCGATGTAATTGACGCCCCAGCTCTCTTCCAGACCATCCTCGGTCGTTCTAACCTTGGCGCCGGCCGGGGTGAATGTGTTGGCGCAGAGGATGATCATGTCCAGGCGGCGCGGAGGAGCATTGTCAACCCACTTGGTCGCGAATTTGCGGATGCTGTGGAGCGATGAGAGGTCGACCTGCTCGGCAGTAATGAGGAAGTTGTTCGTCGTCGCCCGCAAGTCATCGATGTAGTCGACGACAAAAGGATCGGTCAGCTCATGCTGGGTGAGGAGCACGAGTTGGGCTCCGCGGGTGGCCAGTTCGCGGGCAACCTGGGCTCCTATACCGGCGGTGCCTCCCTGCGCAGCGAAGCCGTTAGCAGCGGGCGGGATAGGCGGGGCGCAAGACGTACCGTTATCATGACAACCTTGGAGTGCATGTTACGCTCGGAGGTGTTGACAGCACCCCCAAAGTAGCGCTTCAGCAAGACCAGGAGGGCGAGCCATGGGAGGGCTTTGACGATTGTCCAGGCATAGGGAATGCTCCCTAGGCCGTCGAACAGGGCCTGGACGGCAATGTAGACGGGCATTGCGAACGGGGGAGAGGAGACGTAACTTTCGGCGATGCGCGGCGAGCGACGACGCTGACGCAGGCCGAGGGGGCCGCCCTAGGCCACGATAGGAAACGGCTGTCTTATCGCGCGTAGATCCGGACTTTGTGGCGGCCCGGATCCATCGCGGCACATTCCCGCCTGAGGCCAACATCGACCTCTGAGGTTGCTCACACTCAGCAATTAATCATTCCAAGAAGTGTGTCCGGCCATGCTTCAATTTGCACCGGGGATTCGGGAATTCTGTAGCCACGCGGAAGCATTTGAAATCAAGCCGAAAGCGAAATTGAGCTCCTACGTGGTATTTCTCTAGGTAGTTGCTCTTTGGTGCGTCTGTGACAGCGGCGCAGGTCGCTCCAAAGCATGGTTGAAGGTATCGTACGATACAGCATGCGACAGATAGAGCGCTTATTAGGCACCTAACAGCCACTAACCGAAAACAGTGTATGTACAGTTGCACCGCGGTACTCCACATCTTTCTGCACTACCTTTGCGAACTCCAACCAAAACTTCAATCCATCCAAAGACTCTGGCGTTTGAACCAGACGAGAAGGGCGGGGTGGTGTGTATACAATGATCAAGTTTGGCCTCTGGCTTTCTGAACCGGGAACCTTTGCCCTCTTTCCAAATTCTCGGATCACAAAACTCTTCGGGGTTCTCCAAAGCATCGGTCCAGATAGCTTTAGTCAACCGCACTGTCTGGCTGATATATGGCAGGTTGACTGACTCGCGCGTTCGTAGAACGGTCCCTCAACCGCCTGTGAAGAAAGGAAAAAAGTATGAAAGAAGCCGTGCACCGTGTACCGTGAATGGGGAAAGGTGGATATTAAACGCCAGGTCATGCATAGCATGCCATAGGCCAGTGTTGTCGGGATATGCGGACAACTAAAGCAAACGCGAATAGTACAAGCCTCTACAAACTAGACTGCCACGGCTCCTGCGTGGGGGTATCGAACGCTCAACAAGAGAGAAGAAAAGAAGAAGGGTGTTGATCTTTAAGTATGCGAAGAAAAGGATATCGATGTCTCCAGAGAGAGAGCTGGGAGAGGCTGGCGCAAGCGCTCGCTGCTCCTGCCCTCATTGAACAAAATTCCGCTGGTTGAATTCGGGCGGCGGGACGCCAGTTTGGAGTTTGGTGCGTGGATGCAGTAGAGTCCTCCAGTGCGTGTGCGGTGCGTTGGTCTCAGAAGAAGTAAGAACATGAACGCCATCATCGTACCGGCATGAAAAGTAAGGGACGCCCCTTTGCGTGAGAAGCGGAGAGCGGTCGCTCAAGGGCTGTGAGGCGGCGGCCTGTCAGAATCGCCCGCGGAGGAATCGCCGTCTATTGTTTTCCTCCAGTGCTGAGGCAAACAAACGCAGACAAGCTTTGATTGAAGTCAGTATGGTCGGTGGCAAACTGGATGTGGAAATTTGTTCAAACTTACCGGGAAGGCCTTCACCTCTCCCACAGCCTCCACTGGACGCTGACTGCCGTTTGACATACCACTGTCCCTCTGAATTTTTCTGTTTGCATCCCAGTCTTCGGCGGTTTGTGTTATCTTCATTCCGGTAGCCCATCCATCATCCCATATACCCATAACTTTGATCATTTCGCCTCTCTCCAGCTCGAACTCGTCGTTGGCGCGGGGCTGGTACGCCCACAAGACAGCGACCGAGTCACCAGGCATGATCTCGTCCTGCGAATAGTAATCCTTGAAGAACGGAAGCTGCTCCGACTGACCACTACCCATCTCTGGTGACGAAAACTCGTCGTTGCTGTTTTGTTCGGGAGAGTAGGGATCATCCCCGATGTTAAGCCTGGATGAGCTCGAAAGAGAGCCGTTGCGTTTTGGCAGCCTTCCGGCGGCAACAACCACAGAGCGCGGACTTTCCCCGGACCCATCAGATTCACCATACCTGTGGCCTACACGAGGGCTGCTGTATGGGTCGGAACTCGACGTCTCTTCGAGGGCGTTCATGCGAGCAACGCGACCAGTAGGGGGAATGGATGGCTGCTCGCGTATATTAGAGTACGACATGGCCGGTGCGGCTGTGTTTCCACGCGAAGGCGAAGGTGTATTGAAGACGCTGCTGACTTGGCTTGCCCGACGTCGTCGAAGGATAATACAGGCGCAAATCATGAGAGCCAAGAGGAGGGCAGCGCCCAGAACAGCGCCAATGACGATGCCAGCAATCTGACCCGGGGAGAGGCCGCGCCGAACACCGCTACCATTCCCTGCAGAAGACGTTGCGGTTGGGTTGGCTCCTGCTGTAGAGGTCGTGAAAAGTGGCGGCATGGATGTCGTTGTTGGCAGGTCCACATTTTGACAACGTTCGTTCACGTTGGAGTTGTTGCAGCACGAATCGGTTGCGTTCGGGGAGCTAGAGGCGCAGAAGGAGCACAGGCCTTGGAGGTTGTCCATATAGCCGCAGTTGTCGGCCTCATTTTCGACGCCTGATATGCAGGTGCCGGTGAGGGCATTGGCGGGAAGAGCGCAGTTGGTGAAGTCGGCACGGATTTGCGTGTTGACATTGTCACTCGTCGTTCCGCAAAGCTCTGGAGCAGATGCGATTTCTTGCTCGCTGATGGCATACTCGGCCTATGGCGGTCAGTGGCTGGATTGCAGAGCTGGCTGGGGCGGTGCATACGCAGGTATCAGCGCAGAGCGGACGGGACTGATCGTCGGACAAGGAGCAGTCGTCAATTGAGTTCTGTACAATAGTATTACACAATACGCTAGTAGTGTATCTGGCGTAGACGTCGGTGGTGTTGTCAGAGTCGATGTTGGAGCAACCCAGCAGCTGGACGTATCTGGCAGACGTGAGGGTGAGCAGGAGCGGGGCCAGGCCATTGAGGGCACGTACCTCTGTTGTACAAAGCCGTCTTGGACATAAGCAGCGAGATACTGGTCAAACGAGTCCGTGTCAGATACGTATGCGAGAAATGGACTGGGAAAACGCAGAGTCAGCCAGGGCCAGCCGGACGGCGAGGACAGTCAGAGGCGGCGCACAAGAGACCGGTCAGGGCATCGCCGGTGGAAATGGAAGATTCGCTGAAGGCAGGGCACTTGGTGGAGCCGGATAGAGAAATGCAGGCCGAGTTCTCGGCCATGGCGGCGCCGGCGAGCGACAGCAGGACGGCCGTGGCGAAGGCGGTCGTTGGCCGCAGGCGACAGGACGACATGGCGGTGGTCGGACGCGTCCGTCACACGGCGGCGGTGCAGAAGGGTGGCCGTGGTCGGTCAAAACTCCATCACTCGTGGACAGCCGGCGGTCGGGCGGTGTCGGGCGTCGGGTCGGGAGGAGTGTGTGTCTGGGGCGGCGTGAGGTGGGCGGCTTGGGCGCGCGGGGACACTGAACGAGTGACTGGGTAGGAAGCGTCCGACGGCGGGCTGGCCGAGACAAGAAGAGAGAGAGACAGTGGGAGGCAGGAGCGGCAAAGGACTGGCGACGTGCGACGTGCGCGGTGCGCGGGTGCACACGCCCGGCGCAGGCAAGCGCAGCGGACGCAGGCACAAAATGAGCAGCTTGCGGGCGTCGACGCCGTGCCGCGTGGGATTGGCTGGCCGCCGGGAGCCCCTGGCGCCGTTGTCGCGTGGGAAATTGCGCTGTACGGAGCAGCTACAGCTCTGCGCCCGGCGCGCGCCCGCTGGCTATCCGCCCGTTCGCCCGGCCGTTCCAGCACCAGCACCGCACGCCCTCCACCGCCCGCTGCTGAAGCGCTGGATCACCGCTGGGTCACCGCTGGGTCACCGCTGGGTCACCGCTGGGTCACCGCTGTGTCGTGCCGGGACGCGAGGGTGGAGGTTGACGCTGATGCAGCGGAGAGCCGCAGCGCACGGCCCAATGACCGCCGCCGCCTCCCCGCTGCGCTACTGCTCTGCTGCTCCCGATTCGGGCTCAGGCGATCCGCTAGCCCCCAAAAACGCCTCTGCGCCCGGGGCCTTTGTCGTCTGAAGATCCAGATCCGCTGCCGCCCACCATCGCCCGCTGTCCGTGCTTCCACAAAAGAAAGCCGGTTGCAAGCAGCCGCTACAGCAGCATTTTCCCGACCACCTCATCCTATTGCGGGCTGCGGCCCTGCCCACCCGAGGCCGGTGGGCAGACCATGCGGGAAGAGCCGTGGCTGTGGCTATCCGAGCACTGCGCCACGGCACAGTCATCATCCAACCTCTTTAGTGGTACACTACCATGGCCCACGTTGCTTGAACACCGGTCCTGTGGTTTTGAAGCGTGTCACCAGTAGCTGTCAACCACTGCGAGCGAGCCTATCAATCGCATAGCAACACTCGCAGTCCGGGCGAGCATTACTGTTAGATCGACATCGCCCGAACAAAACCGAAAATCCCTATTTAGAAACAAGCACAATGCCTAATGCATACTCGCTGACTCAAGTGGCGTGTTTCAAGACGTGTCAGAGGCCCAGTCGTAATTTAAAGCCCGGCTCTGCCCGCATTATTGAACTCGATTGCACAAACACGGTGCCTCCCTAGCAGAACATCACTGCACTCAGCATGATCAATCGCAGCTCACCAGACTTGGCTGTCTTTGGCGATCGTCAGGGCTTCAAAATACCTAGTGCGTGCACGCTACAAAATCCTGGTTAGAGATGGCCGTTGGACGCAGTAGGCGCCTGTACCCTTGTCCCACCTTGTCTGCATAATTCCTTTTCTCAAAGGAAAGGAAACAGACTTCGCCTTTAGACCGGGCAAACAAACTGTTCATGTACGAGTACCAGCGAGCGCGTCATGTTCAAAGTGCTGCTGTGGTGACGTAAAGGCTGTCTTGTGAGCTTCAAATACTAGTCTTGCTAGTGACATATGAGCATTTTTCTAGCCTACCATCAACTCGGTCTAGGAGCTCCATCAATACCGAGTTGCAGATGCAGTTACCACCTCTTGCTGCCTTCATTGAAATCAGCTCCTCTCCTCTCCTTCTCGAGCCTATCATCGAAATCCTTTTGCGCCTCTGCCTTTGCAAGCTCTCTCTCTTCATCGCTGCTCGAGAAAGTGAAGCTGTCGCCCAAGGTCGATCCTGTACCTTGTCCTTTCTGTGTTGGTTTGGCCCAGGGTGCAGAAGATCCCCGTGATGGTCCCCGCTCTGACGAAGCTTGCTGTCTGACACGGTCCCATGCGGATCCGCCGCCTGAAGAAATCCCGGAATCAATGGGACCTAAGCCGCCGGTCGGCGATGCATCGTCGTCTGAATGGGCTTGACCAACCGGCTGGCCCTGGCCCCAACGCGGTACGGCATCCTGGGACGGATCGGATGATGTGCGCGAGTTCGAGTTGACTGGACTATCGGCATATGCGCCAGAGGTTGGTGACATGTCATCGTACACGTCGTTGCCACCGCTTTGCGGGGCTGGGCCTGGGTAAGGAGCGCTGGGTGGGGGTTGTCGACTAGGGAGGCCTGACCTGTTCCTGGAAAGCCTTTGAATGGCCTCATTCACCGCCTTCAGCCGCTCATCCTGCGCCATTGCGACGGTTGCTACCACGTTCCCATAGGGCTGCGATAGTACCGCTGCAGTAAAGGCGCCGATGAACCAATACGGCGGAATGCGAAGCAAATGGTACGCCGTGCGTGCCGCCTGCCCCTTCAAGGGGCCCAGAACGTCAGGGTTCCAGCCTGGAACGGTCGACGGTTTCCAAAACGGAAACTTGAACTCCTGCCTGGTCTGGTAGCAACGAACCATTGCCAAAAGGGCGCCGGCCGATGCACCATAAGCTGCCGTGCTGTTCGCCTTGGTGACATGATATGCCAGCGCCCTTGCCTCCTCCTCTGTTAAAGGACGACGCAACACGTGTGCTGCAGCCTTTGAAGTTTCGGCGACAGTGGTGGCAGCGCGTGCACGAGGATAACCCACGAGAAGGCCAATGATCGGCGGCGGTCGCGGGTATTCGTCCAAATTGATTTGGTAGACGTACTTCTGCCCACCGCGATCAGGAGTAGAGTACGGATCGGCGTCGGATGGATAGGCGTTGTCGGCAAAGCTATCAGACGGTGCGCTTCTCGAATTTGTGGCCTCCTCGAGGACCATGGCGTCTACAACGCGGCAATTGCGCGCGACGGATCAGGCGGACGGGGTTGGCACAGTCGGGACTGGTGCGGCAATGCCAGGTCAAGGGGCGGTTTGCTCCGGGGAACAGGGCCAGCGCTTCAAGGCGGCAGCGGAAGCGCAGTGGAGGTGGAGTGGTGGAGATCAGAACAGCTCGCAGCTGGTGACGCAAGACATTCCTTGCAGGCGCGCACGGACGCCCTGCCGCTGCCAAAACGGTCCATGCGCCTCCCCAAGCACTGGCATCATCACAAGACGGCGGTAGCAGCTTTGTGCTCTTGGAAGCTTATATGGCTTTATGAGAGAGGAGATGTCTAACCCGGGTATAGTACAAAGCAACAGCTGCCTTGCGCAAATCGCAAAAAAAAAGCAAAAAAAAAAAGGGGAGGGGGGCCAGGCGCCTGAATACGCAGCGCCCGTCCAACGCCTATATGACTCCCATGCCATGCGCCAAAACTCCTGCGCTTTACAGTCCGCAGGATGCTCTTCCACCACATCCCGCTTGTTCATCCGTTCCTTTTTCATCCCATATTGGTCGCCCCGCTCCAGACAAGGGCACACCAAAAAATAAGAATTCCCAATCAAGCCCGGGAAGTGAAAGAGAATAGCTGAAGTGGGAACATCTGGCAATGCAGCTTACACTGCAAGTGCCTCAGTACCTTCACTGGCACCAGCCCAGCCGCCGCCAATGAGCTCCCGGATCTTGTTGGCCACAGCGGCGGGGTAGCCTCTAGACAGGCCTTCCTTGACCACCGTCGCTGCACCGGTGCGGTCTTCGACCGACATATATGCCCGAGTCATCGCCTCGTATGTACTCGGCTCTCGCTTTCCAAGCGGCACCGACTCGTAGATGCTCGCCGCTTTCTCGATGTTCTTCGCAGCCGCCCAGCCATGCACCAACGAGTTGGCGATGTACGGGGTCAGCTCGACATTCCTAGCCCTCATGTCCGCAAGGTATGCCTCAGTCGCACCGATGTTGTGATTGGCAACCATGGCTTCGAACAAAGCTTGGTAGAGGCAAGCTTGTGGACGAACCTCTGCTTTGGCAAGAATCGAGTCAAACAGTTCCTGGGCAGCAGCCATGTCATGCTGCACACAACCTTTGGCGTGGATCAATGAAGCGAAATGGACTGCCTCGGGACGCTGGCCAGACCGACGAACCTGCTCCAGGATGGATTCTGCGGCGGCCATGTCGACCGGCTCCAGCGTCGCATGCGTGTCAATGAGGAGCTTGTAGGTATGGGTTGTAGGCTCGATGCCCTTCAACCGCATCCGCTCATAGTATGATAGGACCTTGCTCCGATCACGCTTGGTAGTGAGAAAGAACTGCATCATGCTGTGATAGGGAGCTGGACGGGGCTTGTAGTTGGGCATGCTCTCCATCTCTTCGAACAATTCTTCGGCGAACTTTTCATCGCTGACACGGCAGAGAGCGTTGACGACAGTACCGTAGGTAACGCTGGTCGGGCGGATGCCAAGGGTACGCATCTCCTGGAAGTAGAACAGGCAGTCATCGATACGTCTAGCCTTGCCCAGCTTGCCGATCAATGCATTGTACAAAAACGACGACGGTTCGACGCCCTCGGACTTGGACCTTAGGAAAATTTTGACAGCTTCCGTGGCCTCATCGAAGGTCTTCGTCGATTCTTTGAGCGTCGTGATGTACAGGCCGAAAGTGTTTGCAGACGGTGCAGCACCCATGTCGAGGAGTTCCTGATGGAATCGAGCAGCTCCCTTGCGGTCGCCGGCCTGGAGACAAGCAGCAACCATCGAGTCCAAAATGGTCACCCAGCCGTACCGAACGATGCGGTGCTGTGGCTGGAATGGAACGTCCTGTTTGGCAAGCGACAGAATATCTTGAGCAAGGTCCATGCGTCCCTCTTTAGCGGCAGCGGTGATCAACTTGGCGTACGTAAAGTAACGAGGGTGTCGACCAGCTCGTCTCATGTTCCTGAACTTCGTGAGAGCCTCGTTCAGGTGAGAAGCGGAACGTCCGTGAGTCTTTTCCAGAAGATCGGTAATGGCGACGGAGCCCTTGTTATCAGTAGTCGCCGCATACGGGTCGAAGTTGTCCTCATACATGGACGCGGGTGCCACAGGTGGAGGGGTGCCGAATGCGGAGAATGGAACAGGGGTGAACATCGGTTGCATGACCGGGTAACGGAAGGCCTGCCAACGGCGAGAGAGATCAGGACGATCAAGTTTCATGAGAACCTTCTCAATCAAGCCTGTGGTCTGCTTGTCAATTGGCGTACCGCGCGACATCAACACCTCCAGCACATGCGAGAAGCGAGCTTGGTTGGCAATGTCCATGGCAGAGGTGTTCAAAATCATGCCAGCCTGGATCTGCATGAGAAGCGTGAGATCCTCGGACGCAAGCTGAGCAACTCCGTCAGGGCCGAGGCCAGCCAGGAGGTGCGCAGCGACCGAGGGAAGAAGTCCACCGTTTTCGACCATAGTCCAGAACAGCTCCATACTAGCCTTTGCCGGTGGAACAATCCCCCGCTTGATCATGAAATGGCCAATGACCTCGACGGCTTCGTCAATCTGCTCAACGGCCTCCATCTTCGTCTTTCCGGTCTGCGAATCGCGAAGACGACCCAGCATGAGACGGTTCTGGCGCAACGCACGCTCGGCATGACCACTACCAATGAGCGCAATCGCGAGCATCGCGGAGGGTTCAACAAAGAGGGGCTTTGCGTCAGAAACTTCGAGAATGTTCCAGAAGTACTGAGCTGCCTCGATATTACCATTACGGATGTGCATTGCTACCATAGCAACTGCGGGGACAGATACCTCCATGTGCTCCGGGAGAGATTCAAAAGCACTCATGGCCATCTCCACAGAGTTGGAGTCTGCAGCACGGACGCAGATGGCAGCCATGGCCACGTTGCGAGCATCTGAGCTGAGCTCTTCCCGCGCATGGGTGACAGCATCCTGGAACGAGCCGTTCTTGAGCCAGATCGGAATGAAAGCCTTTAGACCAACAATGTCACGGAGGCTGGCAACGCGTTCTGGGTCCTCGATGTTTTGTTGAACCTTCGAAAAGAACTTGCGCCCACCCTCCAAGCGTTCGCATACCGTGTAGGCTTTGATCAGAGCAGCGTATACGTCGTTGTCCTTCCGGGTCATGGAGTTTTCTCCCTTGTCATTTGCGATCGCCAAGGCCTTGTATTCGTCGTAACATTCAACGGAGGATCGCAAGTCTCCAGAGGTTGCGAACGCGTGGATCATGGGGACAAACATTTCCGCGCGAGGAAGAATGCTGTTGGATTCCATGTGAGTGTAGATGCGAACCATGTCCTCGACACGACCGAGTTCAGCACACGCGGTGATCAGTCTGCGGTAAGTTTTTTCAGAGAAAGTGTTGTCCAGCTGAATGGCGGATGCCGTATTGAAAAGTTTGATGGCCATGTTGAGCGAATCGTCTTCCAAGAGGATGGCAAAGTCGGTTTCGTTGGATTGAAGCATGAACTTGCCTTCCTCATCCATTCCACCAAACCTGACGCGCTTTTCCTCAAGGGCCTGCTTCGAGGACAAGACCTCCAGAGAACGCACAGAGAGAAGTTCAATCAGGATCGAGTATGTCTTGGGATCCGGAAGCACGCGGCGCCTTAGCATATCCGAATACACATCCAGCGCCTTAGGTACAACTTGGTGCTTTGCTCTAGGGAGGTGGATTGCAGCAACCAGCAGAGCGTTGTATGCAGAAGCCGTGGGTTTGACGCCTCCAATGAGCATGCTCTCAAAGACGGCAGGAATTTCAGCATAATGGCGACCCTCCACAAGCTTCTCCAACTGGGTGGCGAATGTATCGGCCTCGGAGACGGACGTGAGAGCACTGGTGGATGACTGGGGCGTAGAAATCCTTGGAGAGGCCTGGGAAGCAGCGGCGGACGAATGAGACCGATCCCCCTCGAGGTCGACGGCGACAGAGCTAGCATCTTCCACATCGTTCTCAGGCTCATTGTGGCGACGCTCAATCTCCCGATTGATGGCGTCGTCAATCTTGGCCAATGCTTCCGCCTCTGCTTTGTGGTCAACCGCTTGCTTGAAGTCGTCTACAGCACTCGCGCTGTACGCGCGGTCGACTGCACCGCGCGCCGGCTTGTCTTCAGAGTCGACATCTTCGAGGGTCGCAGCAGATGTGTCCCTTGTGGCGTTTTCAACCTCCTGGACATTCGAAGGCGGCTTCCATTCGATGCGCTTGGCGAACTGGAACTGATGCCATTCGCGGTTCTCGAGCCTCTGGTGCTTGTGCCAGGCATCGAAGTAAGCGGCTAGCCCAGAGTCATGGTGGTCCGGGTGAAGAGGCTTGACACTCGGGCCAGGCTGAGCCGAGGAAGCATAGCCATTCTGCTGGGAGGGGTGTTTTGCGAAGCGATTGGAGACGTGGCTGAAGTTTTGGGAGGCGTAGGAGGACTGGGAGGCGGCTACAACGGACTGGGCGTAGCCGTGGGTGAAAGTCTTCGCAAGACTGAGGCTTCGGAGGTTGAGGGTCTTGAAGACCATTTAGAAGACGGTGTGACCCTTCAGCGCGAAGGGGCGAGACTGGAGAGGCGCGTGTCGCGTTAGCCATAGCTGCCTGGAGCGCGCTCCCGAGACTGCCGAGCGCGGGGAGCGGGGAGCGGGGAGCGGGGAGCCAAGCTTACATTTTCTATCTCGGAGGAAGGCGGTGTTGCAGGTTCATTTGACGACGGTGCCGCCAAAGGAACGCGCTTCCAATTGGGAGGGGAGGGTGTGTTGGGAAAGAGGCGGTTCAGACCAGTGTGGCCGAGGTGTTAGTAGGATGCAGCGAGGGCGGCGGCCCGGGGCAGGTAAAAAGACAGTCGCCACGCCAGAAGGAGGTAGAACGGCCACGAAAGAGAGACGGAAGCAGGCGCTGGCCTAAGGATCGCGCAGGCAGCACTGCGGAAAAAACACAGCTGTAGTGGTGACGCCTACGAGGCAGCAAAAAAGCGCGATCCACGGGCGGCGAACTGGGCGCTCCGGTAGTTTCCTAGGAGCTAGGCTTGTTCGATCGCACGCGAGCCACACAGCGGCGTCGGGGGGCGTCGGGGGGCGGGCTGCGCAGCTCCTCGTGACAGCGCTCTGCTTCCGCCGCGTCCGCGCTCCTGGGGCTGCCAGCTGCGGCGCCTGCAGTCAGCCCGGGTGACTCATCCTCCACGAACATTCTGCGGAGCTGCACCCCGCCCTCTGCCGTCTCTGCCTCTTGATTTCCAATCGCGCCCGCTGCTCCGAGCGCCAGGCCTCGAGATCCCGGCCTTCCCAGAGGAGTCTCCCCGAGCGCCCCGCTGCTGCTTCATATCCGGCGGAACCTGTGCCCGCCCGCCGTGCAACGCTCGACCATCTCCCTCACTATGGCCGTGGCTGTCTCTGCGCCCGGCAAGGTCCTGCTTGCCGGCGGCTATCTGGTGCTCGACCGCGACTTCAATGGCCTCGTATTTGGCCTCAGTGCCCGCATCCACGTGCTCGTCCGCCCGCTGTCGACGGGCTCCGGCGTTAGCCTTTCTGAGATAATCGTCCAGTCGCCTCAGTTCGTCGGCGCGACCTGGGAGTATGGCTACAGGCTGGCCGAGTCCGCTGGCGGCATCGAGGTGACTCAGCTCCAAGCGTAAGTGTGCTTCTCCTTCGTGCCGCCCTGCATGGTGACCGGATGCCAATGACCGTCTCTGGTGTTTCTGCCGCTCATTCCAACCGCCGCGTCTAGTCGCGCTACAGAAGCACTCCATCGCAACCCCTTCGTCGAGACGGCTCTCAGCTATGCGCTCACCTACATCTCAGCTATCACCCCGCAACGCATTGCGCCGGCCTCGATTACCATCCTGGCCGACAACGACTACTACTCCGCCGGCCCCGCCGACGTCCAGCCGCCCGGCGAACGATTCAAGAGCTTCAACGTGCCGCTGTGGGAGGCGCACAAGACCGGGCTCGGCTCCTCGGCAGCCCTGGTGACCGCCTTCACCGGCGCTGTGCTGTCCCACTACCTTCCTGAAAGTGCCTTCTCGCTCTCGACCGACGAAGGGAAGCTGCGGCTGCACAACCTCGCGCAGGCTGCCCATTGCGCCGCTCAGGGGAAGGTTGGCTCCGGCTTCGACGTCGCGTCTGCAGTGTTCGGCTCCTGTCTGTATCGCAGGTTCTCGCCGTCGCTTCTGTCGGCTCATGGAGAACCGGGGGCAGCTGGGTTCGCCAACGCGTTGAGAGGTCTGGTGGAGGAGAGCGAGCCTTCGCGCAAGTGGGACACGGTGATTACCAAGTCCGCGGTTAAAGTCCCTGACGGAATCCGCCTGGTCATGTGCGACGTCGACTGCGGCTCTCAGACGCCCGGCATGGTGAAGAAGGTGCTCGCATGGCGCAAGGAGCAGGCGGAAGTGGCGAGTGCGCTGTGGGCGCGGCTGCAAGGGAGCAACGAAGCGCTTGCTGCAGAGCTGGTCGCGCTTGCAGAAAGCAAGAGCCGTGACTACGAGAAGCTAAAGAGCTGCATCGCAGACATCCGGCGGCTGATCCGAGACATGTCGCAGCAGTCGGGTGTGCCGATTGAGCCGGCGGAGCAGACGGCACTGCTGGACGCGTGCTCGAAAGTGCCGGGGGTCATCGGCGGCGTTGTGCCGGGGGCGGGTGGATACGACGCGGTTTCCCTACTGATAGAGGATCGGCCTGAGGTGGTGGAGACGCTGCAAGGGATGCTCCGGGGGTGGAGGGCGGACAGCACGGCCGGAGGGGTGAGCATTGGGCGGGTGAGCATGCTGGGCGTGCGCGAGGAGATGGAGGGCGTGCGGCTCGAGAGCGCGGCGACGTACGGGCGGTGGGCGCAGTGAAGGCCGAGGGACCTGTAGGTTAGCAATGCAGACGTCAGAAGCAGCGCTCACCAGGCGCCAAGAGGCAGCAGTTCGCAGGCGCCCCCACCGGGCGGGAGGGTGGGAGCGGAAGATCGGCACGTCGCTCTGGTGGCAGTGGAGCGTGCAGCCTGCACTCCAGGACGAGCAGCCGGCTCATTTAGCCACTGGCCGGGCGCAGGCCAGTCGACCATTGTTGCCCGGCCGCGCGCCAGGGCATGGCGCCACGAGCTGCAGCGCGCGACCATGACGTCCGCGGGCTGTGGCGAGGCACGCCGCGTGGGAGCGGGTGGCCGGCGGAAGGTAGCAGGCGGCATTTGGCCATTGTCAAGCGGCGCCGCCCCGAGGCCTGGCCAGGCGTGCTACTAAGAGGTGCTGAAGGAAGCCAACGCTGATTTGCCAAGGGAAGCGAGCGCTCCCTCAGCGCAAGTCCCGCCCTACAGCCAGCGCAGCCTCAACCCCGTCCGTACCTGTCCGTCGGTTTGTCTGTCCTGGCACTTCTCAAGGCTCCTTGGCTCGATGACGGGCCGCTTCGACGACGTCGCCCTGCTTCTGCGCCGATAGCCCTGAAAAACGCCGCCGCTCGTTATCGCCCGCGCGGATCTGCCCCCCGACCGCCTACCCTCCCTGTCGCTGGCGCCCCCCGGTAACCCCCAAGCCATGGCCTCCTCTCCTCCTCGCAGAGGCTCTCGAGCATCCGCCGACGCGCCCGCCCAACCCGCTTCCAATGAAGCCGGCCCCCCACACAGCTCCGTCGAAATGAGCACCCTCACGCCGCAGCCGGCCCCCGAGCACGACTCGTCGATACCGCCTCCCGCCTCCACTCCCAACGCTACACCGCAAGATGCAGACGTCAAACTCGACGAGCCCCAGCAGCCGTCGCCCGAACCGGCTCTCGTTCGCTCCGAGACCGAGGCCATTGGGCCCGCTTCGGACACTCCCGCCGCGAAGCCGGATCCGGCCAGCGGTCCTCAGGTCGTCATTACCTTGCTGCTCACCAGCGGCGCCCGCCATCCCTACAAGATCGACGAAAAGTACCTACGGAAGCGCAATGTCACCGTCGAGAACATGGACCCCTTCAACATCAGCGTCTACACCCTCAAGGAACTGATATGGAGGGATTGGCGCGAAGGTGCGACGCGAACAGTCCAGTATGGTGGCGATGGGGTCATGTCATGCTAACAGTCCTCGACAGAGTGGGAGCCGCGGCCCTCGTCGCCCAGCGCGATACGTTTGATCTCTTTCGGACGGATGCTCGACGATAAGCAGCCGCTGAAAGACTGCCGCTTCCAGGCAGAATCCCCCAACGTTGTTCACATGACGGTCAAGCCGCAGGAAGTGGTCGATGAAGAGGATGCGAAGACAGCAAAGACAGGAAGCCGCGACCACGATGATGGTGAGACGACCGCCAGGTGTCGCTGTGTAATCCTATGATATTTCGCTGCCACCTTGGATTGCCTTTTGTCGAAGAATGAGGCCTCCAGTTGCTCCTATCTTATCCTCCAAGATACCAGTACTCCAGAGACGGTCCGAGGAGTGCATGCGTCCAGTGTTTGACTGACGACAGCGTTCGGGGTTGTGTACATGTTGCTTTCATCGGCGGTCAAGACGGTCTTGCAGCCGGAAGTGCAATGGCTTGTCGTCTTTTTGATCTTCTCTTTCTTCTCTTTCCTCCTTTCTGGTCGGCGTGAGGCAAAGCGAACATGGGCAGAAATGGCGTTTGGGAGCTCATCATCATCGTTATCACCATCATCGTCACCGCCAAATGTTCAGGACCGCAACAAGTCTAATGGCACTGTGCAATTAATCGTGCAAGACGTATCAGCTCTTCGTCATGCAATACTCTAAGACATTCCTTCCTTGCCAAATTTGTAATCAGGCCGTGAATCAGTGGAGCATGAATAGAATTCCAGTGTTCCATTACCGTCGTCTTGGCTTATCTATGTCGGTAGCGCCATTTGCATACATGTCGGGACCCCTCTCTTTACCAGTTCATCTTCATGCGTGCTTCCATCTCAGTATGGAAGTCCGGCGCCTCGCGGAGATCGTCTCCTGGTGTGTCACTCAAGTTAGCATACAAGGCCTACGCAGGAACGAGTGGAGGGGAGGGAGGGGAACGCCAAAATCTGACGGCGAGGCTTACCCTTGTAGACGTCCTCCCAACCAATCTCGGTGTCACGACCAGAGAGAATATCACCGTGGACGTTGCTAGCACCGCCTAGAGCAGCAGGCCTCCATTCACCGGCAGCCGCTAGCTTGAGTTCCATACCACGTCTGATAGGCTCACCCATACCGAAGGTGCGGCGCAGACCCTCCATCTTCAAGGCATCCTGCGTGGCGCGCCACTTGGCCAGACGAGCTTCAAGAGGGTGCGACGACTGAAGCTGAGGCTCAGGAGTGTTGGACGACGACGCAGCGGCGGAGGTAGCGGTCAGACCAAGGTTGGAACGAAGAGTGTCATGGACGCCGGGGGCTGACGGAGCGCCCAGCGTGGCGGACGTGCTCTTGGGGTTGGAGGGCGCGGGTGTGATGCGGAGTGACTGGCGGCGGCAATGTTAGCAATACCGACGACACGCGGGCAGGGCGGGGCTCTACCATGATTGCGGGGGGCGAAAGTTCGAAGAACGCGGTATATTGTATGGGAAAGGCTGTGCGGGAAGTGCGGCTTGGGCAGGCGGAAATGGATCGTGACGGCGACGGTGATGCTGAGGCTCCGGAGCTGCAGCTCACGAAGCTTGGGGTCCAGGCTGCTGAGTGACGCGCGACGCCGCTCACGTCTGATTGGCCGTGCGCCCGCCAACGTGCGACGAACCACCATTTGACTGCATCCTCACGGTTCCGTCGCAGCTTGACTCCGAATATGACTTTGCACTAATGGATCATATAGACGATCAGTCGAGTCCCGGCTGGCGTCGCTGTACGCATTCAGCTTATATAAGGAAGGCCCAGCTGCTCCAGGTTGGTCCACCAAGCCTTCGCTCTGCTCGCGCTGTCTTCCCTCATGGAGCACCTCAACTTCTCTATCCTAGCCATCCCGACCTACCATTTCCTTGCCATCCTTTCATATACAACTGCCACTCCTACGTGATGAACGGCTAGCAAAGCAAATGGGACAGCTGCAACCCCCGCTCCGAAATCCTGAAGTCGGCCATAGCCAAGCGGGTTGACACGACGAGGTACGCGACGTAAGGGGGACCGAGTCCACTTATATCTGTCTCACAGAGATACTTATATATGTAGTTTAAAATCAATATTAGTCTTAAATGCGGACAAATGCGTCCATATACTGGATCCGATTGCCCACCTAGGAAGAACGTTGTGTCCTCGGCGGTGTTCAGGCATCTCCAATTTCTGCCATATACTGTGGCAGAGTCCACAAACATCCCAATGTCATTTCGATCAATGACTCACGTTGTGGCCTACTGTGATCGATCAACCGCGCTTTGCACTGCTGTGAATGCTGAGGTCCACATGAGCGTTTGTCCTGAGCTAACTTCTGGTGTGTATTGTCTGCACGACCGATAGGTTGCAGGTGGCATGATGGGTGCGGTGATAGCTTTGTGTGACGCTTACTGGCGTTGATGAGCTTCCATGTGCCCAGGAGATGCGAAGATGCGTGATCCGCTATCAGCCCTTCACAAGGCGCCGGGATACGGGAGGTCTCCCGCGCTTCCTTGTGGGCCAAGATCCCCCATACCATCAAAGAGATGGGCGTCCTTAGCTTCGCCATTCGGGTACGTCCTCAGATAACGTGGCCTACCGTTGACGTTTCGCAAAGGCGAGTTGCTTCTATCACTACCGTCCGCGGCCACGTCCGCGGCCACGACCACGACCTCTGAAGCCGCCTCGCTTGGAGCCTTGACCGCGAGGGGTTCTTTCATAGAGTTTCTCAAGGCCAAATCCAGCGTCCGCCATCCTCACATAGCTTACGATTCCTTGGTCGACGATCGCCAGAATTACATTCCGGTGACCCTGTTTGAGTTTCTGATAAAGCGGCGCATCTGGTTTGGGCGGATCGTAAGGTGTCGAGGCGAGAAGATCGTTCAACTGCGGCAATGTAGGAACGGACGTGTCACGCGCATTGACCACAGCGACGCGGAAGTCCGGAGGGCCCGGCGCAGACTTCTTCCACGCTGGCGTCGGTTTGTAGACAGAGTAAGCAACACGGAAAGGGTCTTGGTTCGACTCTTCTGGGGAGAATTGCGGCAACTGCCGAGGGTCATGGAACTGTACAATGTCTAGTAGGCGGTAGACGTCATCTATTGGCAGAGAGAGAGAGAATGTATCAGTCGCTTGGCTGCTCTAGGGCAGCACGGAACTTACTGTAGTGCCGGTATAAACCAGGTGATACAAGAGGGCCGAGGGCAGCACCAGGATTCGGGCCGCGGCGTGATGCAGGAAGTAAAAATGACCATAGGCTACGGAACACGCCAAAGCTCCAGAAGTTCTGCAGTATGGAGGGTGAGGGATGTTTATCCGCGGAGTGATTGACGTGTTTGACACCATCCCAGCTGTCGGCGCGGGTCACAATGTAACCAGATCGTTTCAAGCCAGCATAGACAGTGTACTTCTCGAGCGTGAGGTGGCCGTTGGCAGAGTCCTCCATGCCAATGAAGGCTGCATACGCGCCCTGCAGACTCATAGGAAGACCCTCGTCCTCACCATCGTCAGACGGCCACCGGATGTCAAGTGAGCCACGCTCGAGCAGATACAAGGCTTCCTCGGGGAGCAGCCACATGACGCCAGAAATGTGTTTTCCCATTGTGCGGAAAGCCTGGCCCTTGACCTGGTCGACGCGGGCCATGTTGGAGACGGGATCGTAGGTAGCGACGACGTGATTCTTGGGGTTGTGGATGCGGGTGCTTGAGATGGCTTGGTGCATGGCCTGGCGTGAGGCATCAAGAGCACTGGCCTGCAACGAGGTGGCATGTGGCTCGAAGTCTTTCTCGCCACGCTTGGGGAGTTTTGAGGCGCCATTGTCAGAGATGCTGCGTGATGTCAGATGCCGAGCGGAAGACGGGGCGCAATGACGCAACGCACGACAAACTGGTCAGGAAGCGGAAGTCCTGCGTCTCGTCGCTGAGGTCGACGTTGTCGGCATTGTGCGTGGGCAGTTGCGAGACGTCGTCCTCGTCGATGTCGGCCATTCTGACGGAGGAGGGCTGATGGTGGGGAGCAGCCGGCGCAGATGCAGATGCAGGTGCAAGTGCAGATGGGTCGGAAAATCATCGATCTGCATGACTCGCGCGGCGCACGGGCGCCAACCGACGGCTGGCCCCAGCACGCGCCTTGCGGCCACTTCATTCCGCCCCAGTCTATCTACCTATCGACAATGTCTACAGTATGCCCGGCCGACACTGCCCCCGCCTTCATTTCGACTGGCTTTCGGTTCCCGGCGCCTCGTTTCTCGCTTCCTGCACCAGGTCGGCCTCACGATGCACCTTCTTGTCTCCCAAGCCGTACCCAATCTGGCGAACCACAAGCCATCCCGGCAACAACGCGACTGCCCAAAGCCCAAAGTTCAGATACACTCCTCCTACCTCGGCCATGATTGGGATGCTGTTCAGCCCGTACTGTCCATGGTGAACGTTAGCCCGGATTGCTCCCAATATGGCTGCAAATCGTCGAGACTTACGCTGACTGCCTGCGCCGCGGATTCTGTCGCCCTGAGCAGACCAGCAATCCGCACGACTTCAGGCTCGTTATCCGCCAGGTTGCCCACCACAAAGTATCTGCTCTGCCGTCAGTCGCCGCAAGGCCAGGGTGCTGGCTCACTTACAGGTACATGTACTGGATCTGGAAGCCGATGATCATGAACAGGAACAGAGCGAACCCTCTGCCGAAGCCCGCGTCCACCCAGTCGTATGTGGGTTGCGCCTTGTGGAACTCGGTCACCAGCACTGTTGCCCAAACCCACCATGCTCCTTGCAGCCCGAAGACGGTGAAGAAGGCCCACCGCGCCCGCGTGTGCAGCTTGAGTTTGGTGTGGTCGAGGAATGCTCCCAGCACGTTGCCCGCTGCCATGGCGACAATGCCCGACAGGAACGACCCCAATGCTCGCGCCCGCACCGTGAACCACAAGGACTGGAACGTGAAGACGACGGCTTCCGAGTAGACGGCCTGCGCGATCAGTGGCACAATCAGCAAGAAGTTCTTGCTAAAGAAGAGCTTTGCCGTGTCTTTGAGCTCTGCTGTGGTGCCAGCTGTGATCTTTAGCTTCACTGGCACGCCATCCTTCCTCTGCACCTGCGACGGCTTGTTCAGGAGCAGCCCGGCAAACGGGCCGAGGGCCTGCAGTGCGATGAAAACCAGATACACCGCGTATGACACTGAGCCGGCTTCGTTTCTGTTGGCATTGATTCCCAAGTTGATGGCTCCTCCAAGGATTTGTCCACCCAGCCGAAAGCTCAGCCAGAGACCCAGGAACCGTCCTTGGTTGTAAGGCTCGGGGTACGATAGGGCAATTGCTGCCTCGGACATCCAGAAAATACCTGCCGACAGACCGCAGAGAGCGGCTCCGAAGAGGACGAACCACTCGGTGCCGAACCGGTTGTTCGTGTAGAGACCCGCTGCGTACGGTGCGTAGCCTAGTGTGCCGGCAATGAGGGTCCATTTGATTCCAATCCGTTTCACCACGACGCTAGAGAAGATGCATGTGACGACCATGAGACAGAAAGTCAGGGCATTGGCTGTGTTGACCAGATACGGCTTCTGCGCCCCTCCTGCGCCGAGCGAGTTCATGGCGCCCCATATGCCCGGTGCCAGCAGATTGCATACTCCCAAAATGACGGCATTGTATATGGTTGATCGATACCATTTGGCTGTCGCTTCGTTAGCATCCCACCGGCAATGACAAGCTGCACTGAAGCTCACTCTTGACCACTTTACGGTTCGGGTTGTCCAACTCGACATCCGTAGCATTCAGGTCCTCCTTGGCGTCCGACATTGTCCTGTGTTAGGCTTGTCGCGGTGTAGGATTCTGCAGATGGGTCAAGATAGAAGGTGAGACAATATTTGGCGGGCCATTATTTGTATGGATCTGCAACCGGTGCTAATGCATGAGGGGAATCAAAAAGATGGTCATTCCCGCTAGGTATGACGAGCTTCTGTACATCCCAGCTTGCCACGATTTTCTTGGCTGAACAGAGGAAAGTTCCGGTGCCTTTTCTGTTTCCAGAGCACCCGGACAGGTTTGAGAACTCGAGTCCGCCGCTTGTCTCCGGTAGTTCCTGAGCCGACAGCAAGTTGGGAGTGTCTCCGAGTGTTGATTCTTACTCGCGTGCGTTGGCGTGCTCGCACGACATCCGGGGCGTCGCTCGCGCAACCGAACTAGATCTTCTCCACGATGACTGCCGCTTCGTCTACCGCAACAACCCCACTCCTCGCCACAGCCTTTTTATCACTGTTCGATGAGCGCCGACAAAGTACCTCTATCGCGCCCTTGCTTTCCAAGTTCATATGCTCTTCTGCGATGGAAAACATACTTCGTCCAAGCTCTGTGAACACCAGCTGGGAGTGAGTCATGGGATTGACCGGTTTGATACGGTTGCGCCAAGATGCCGAGGGGTCAAGGCTGCTTGATTCACGGCGAAAAGACAACGGACGTGGTGAAAGGAGGAGATTGTTTCTTTGCTCATCACATACAGCACCTTCAACCGGTGTCAAAAGGCGACCCCACATTGACGCTCGAGCCGAGGAAGCTTTCCATAAGGCTTCATAAAGACGGAACAACATGGCATGTCTACCACGGAATATCGTCCTCCTTGTAATCCTTGAACTTTCCACTATCCCTCTCCAGCGTGGCATTGTCAACACGGTTTAGGATACCCGAAACGCTACCTTCCACCGTTTCTGGAGCCTCTTCCAAGCCAGCCGTCTTGGCCCCCGTGTTTCCCATATCGGTTTGGACCTGTTCATCAAGGTTAGCTGATGGAATCCCGACATAATTGGTTCGACCTACCCATCCCGGACTGATTGCGAAAGCGATCAGCTTCGGATTCTCTTCGACGATCTTGGAAACGATGAAGTTCCCGGCTGCCTTGGAAGCACCGTAGGCGGTGCACTGCAAAGGTATCGGTCGCCCTATGGAGGCCACGGCAGAGGAAACGTAGACCAAGATGGGCTTCTGCGATTTTTCAAGGAGAGGCAGAACAGACTGAAACAGCGTGACAAATCCGATGGTGTTCACCTCGAAGTGGTCCCGGAAGGCTTCGAGTGTTGTGGTGGCGGCAGGGCCGTAGTAGTTTGAGATTCCCGCATTGGCTATCACGACGTCCAAATGGTCGATGCCATGTGCCGACAGTGCGGCAGGAAGTGCCTGGGCATCATCGGTGTTTCCGGCGCGAATCTGCACAGCCACGACCTTGGATCCTTTGGCGGCTTTGGCGTTGAGTCGTTCCACTCCCTCCTTCTTGCTGATGTCTCTGATGGCAGCAACCACGGTCACACCGGGCCTCTGCACCAGAGACTCGACCAGGCCAAATCCAATGCCGCGGGCGGCGCCGGTCACAAGGTATGTTTGAGTCATCTGGAAGTCTGAGGTTGTAAGAAGGTTGGTGAGCTGAGAGTGGCAGGATGTAGTAGTGAGTCTCGTCCATTAGTGGTAATGGCACGCTTTTGTACCAGCTCCACGGCCGGTCCGGCACGTTGTTTCAGCCGGTTGCTGAGAAAGCGTCGGCAAAATGTCAAGGCCGGTAGACTACGCTTACTCAGCCAAGGCTCCACAAAGCATCCTCTGCATGCGTTGTGATCCTCAGCAAGCCACACGCCGCTTTAACTTGCTGACAGACCACTTTATAATCAACATGTCCGTGCCTGCATTTCAACACCTATCTCCTCAAATCAGCCGTCTCTACCGACCTGACTCGCTGAATAGTCAATCCTGGTGTGGATGCTTACACAGGCATCCACAGAGAGGAGCGTTGTGGCTGGGGGCTAGGGCGAAGAGTAATACGAACATATAGCTCCTTCGAATCCTACCACACCCATTCTCAAAACTACGCCTGTGGTAGTTCTCCATGATATCAGCTCAACTTAAGCAACACCACCGGCTTTCTACAGCGCGCTAATAGCAATCTTCAATCATCCTAGCTCCACCCATGAACAAGCGCCGCGTTTACACGTTGAGGAAGTGGTTACCACACGCTGACCCATACTTTCAAGCCCTCTCTCGCAGCATATGCCCAAGGTGGATCATAAGCCGCTTTTGGCATGCCCCACCGCAGGAACGACGCAAAGCGCCCGCAATCTGGCCCCCACGCCAGCTTCCAGCCGCATCCTCCAATAGAAACAGCTTCCAGGCCCGGCTTAGTTGCGCCGCCTATTATCTGACCGATAGGCGGCGTCGCGGAAGGTGGGGTTGTGTCGAAAGCAACGCGCAGGTAGCAGGCAGCATATGAAAGCAGCTGTGATGGCCTTCGATGACCCGGCAGCGGCTGGGCATCATGACGGCTGCAGTTGATACATCCGTCTCCACCGGCCTTGGGTTGGCCGAGTTCGATTTCGTGGTCATCGGAGGCGGCACTTCGGGCCTGACGGTCGCCTCACGACTGACGGAAAACAAGGACATCCGGGTGCTTGTGCTGGAGGCTGGCAAAAACCGCCTCGATGACCCCAAAATCACCATTCCTGGCCTTGCCGCGAGCACATATTCCGATCCGGATTACGATTGGTGCATCACCAGTGAACCTCAGGTCTGTGGCTGTCCAAACAGCGTTCGTCACTCGGGACTGACCATCGTTGCAGGTGCACCTGAATGGCCGCTCTATCGGCCAGCCCACGGCCAAAGTCCTTGGTGGCTCATCGGCGTAAGTCAACAAGCCAGAAGGCCGTGCCACCATTGCTCACATGCACTTGCAGCATCAACCTCGGCATGATCATATACCCATCCCAGAGCGACTTCGATTCATGGGAGAAACTGGGCAATGCCGGCTGGGGATGGAAATCCATTGCACCGTATTTCCGCAAGTTCCACACCTTCACGGAGCCCGATGCGAAGGAGCTGCGCGAAGGGCTTATGCTTGACTACATGGTTGAGGGCGCACAGGGGGACAGTGGCCCGGTTCAAGTCTCGTTCGGCGGCACCGACGGGTCTGCACCATTCAGCAGGGCCTGGCCTCGTGCGTTCAACGCCCTCAACCTGGAAATGACCGGCGATCCGGTCTCGGGCAATGCAAGCGGTGCTTTCAATCCCCCAGCGAACATCCATCCTGCCACTCGGGCCAGGAGCCATGCCGGTTCCGCATATTTGACCGACGACGTTCTCCGCCGCCCCAATCTGCGGGTGCTCACTGAAGCCCTGGTCGAGAAGATCGTGGTTGAAAGGCAGCCCGATGGATCGTGCAGGGCAACCGGTGTCCGCTTCACGGCCAAAGACGGGTCCAGCCACCAGATTTCGGCCAAGCACGAGGTTGCACTTGCTGCAGGTGCCTTGAAGACACCCCAGCTTCTCGAACTGTCCGGCATCGGCTCCAAAGAACTGCTCGCAAGCCATGGGATCGAATGCTTCGTCGACAACAAGCAAGTCGGCGAGAACCTCCAGGACCATCCCACCGTGCCCGCCTCGTGGGAGGTCCGAGATCCCACGACGTCGGGCGACCAGATGCGCGATCCCGCCGTTCAGCAGGCCGCGTTCGCGGCATACCTCTCCACAGCCACAGGGCCGCTCTGTGTCGGCTCGACCCCGTCCTCGTTCCTCCCTCTCCTCGACCAGCACGTGTCCCAGGTCGACCTGTCCGACCTCTTCTCCGCCCACCTGGGCGATTCCGATTCCGACTCGGACCTGCCAGCCAGCCTCCGCGCCCAGTACGACGTGCTCAAAGCCCAGCTGTCGTCGCCGGGCAGCTCATCGGCCCAGTACACCCTCGCGCCCTTCCAGATCGCCCCCGCCGCCGGGCCTTCGCCAAAGGACTTCCTCTCCATGCCCACGCCCGGGTGCTACGCCTCCATCATATCGGTGCTGAACCACCCCTTCAGCCGGGGACGCGTGCACATACGGTCCGCGGACCCGAGGGCGACGCCGAGGTTCGATCCGCGGGCCATGTCGCACCCGCTCGACCTGGAGATGCTCGCGCGGCACCTGTTCTTCGCCGAACGGCTGCGCGCGACGCCGCCGCTGGCCGGCCTGTTCAAAGAGGACGGCCGGCGGATCCACAACGGGGGGAGGGCCGTCGAGACCGTGGACGAGGCGCGAGAGATGGTGAGGGATGGGTACATTCCGCACTTCCACCTGTGCGGATCCGCGGCCATGATGCCGCAGGAGCTGGGAGGAGTGGTCGACTCGCGTTTGAACGTGTATGGAGTCGGCGGCCTGCGCGTCGTGGATGCCAGCGTGTTCCCGCTGATTCCCAGAGGGAACATCCAGTCTGACGTGTATGCTGTAGCTGAGCGGGCAGCCGACATCTTGGCCGAAGATTGGGAAAGCATGCGTCGGTAGGAAGTATCATGGCACGTCAAGCATAGTGGTTGGTCTGCAGAGTTGGCATCAAACTCATCTATTATAGTAATGGTCGAAGAACGCAAAGCCATTAGTTTGCCAGCAGTCTATCGTCGTAACCTCGTCGTAATTCGTTAGACCCCCGCCTTCAAGGACCGGTATCGCGCATGTTTGTAAAATGACAAAAGCAGAGGAAATCGCCACAATCATGTCCGTGTTTCTTGTAATCCCTTTCCCAAGGTGTGTCTTGATCCACGCATGCCAGTCTTGGGTCCCGCGCCTCCGCCCAGAGACCACCATAAAAGAAAGGGGTAGGAATGCAAAAACCAAAATCCGTGACGCTAACTCAGTATCTTCCAGCCGGAGCCCCCATCGGTGGCGGTGGCAGATTGCCAGCGGAGTAAGGGTTCGCATCTGCGTAGGTTGAGGCGCCGTACTGCGGGTACGCGGTGCCAGGAGCTGGGATGGCATACGGATTAGCGGAGCCGTTCATCAGGGCGTTCTGTTTAGCGTCGCGCTGTGCCCGGTCGCGTTGCTTCCTCTTCTTGCGTCGCTTGGCCTCGAGCTCATGCACATGGTGGCGTTGTTCGTTCATCTCTTTCCACTCGCTGAAAGCGCTCTTGACACCGAGCGCTGCAATACCGACTGCTGCTGCATCTTGCAGCATGTTCTTGCTCTTCCGCTTGCGAGCTTCTTCAGGCGACATTTCACCCTCGGAGACGAGCTTGCGCCGCTTCTCCGATGCCACCATGGACGTGTAGACACCGTGCGCCGCATGAATGGTTGCGACAGTCGCCAGTCCCGCAGTGAGGAGTTCCTTACCTCGCATTTTCTTCCGTTGCTGTTCCATATCCGTAGTCGATTCCGAGCTCACGCTGCTGTTGCGTCTTCCGCGCGTCGCCACGGGGCCGCCCGCTACGCTCCCGGCCATGGATGTCCTTGGATAATCGTCATCCGCCGATCCGCGAGGACGACCGTACCGGCGACCGCGCGAGGGAACGTAACTATCGGCACTCGAGCTGCTCGGAGACCTGCGACGCCGGGACTTGGATCGAACACGGTCGTAAATGGCCTTGCCGGCGGCAGCAATGGCGCCGGCCCCCGCAAGGTTCTTGATGGCACCTCCGCCTCCTTCCTCACGGTCCACGGAACGGCCTCGTGACCGGCTGCGGCTGAAGAGAGAGCGAGCACGGGAGCGTGAGCGGGAAGGAGATCTACCCCGGGAGGCGGAGCGATCTCTCGGACCGTTTGCCAGACGATTAGCGACCAAGCCGCCAATCACAGCCTCGGCGGTGTGGCGCTTGCTCTTCTTATCCGGGTCTCTGTCAACAAGGCCGTCGATGCCGGCAGCACCAAGGGCAGCGGTTGCGATGCGAGTGCCCTTTTCGCCGGTCCAGGCACCGGGATCTTTGCGGCTGCGGAAGGCTTCGACGGCTCCGGCGACGAGGGCCGCCTGGGCAGCCTGCTGCCACTTGCGTTCGGACTTGCCGTGACGGCTCCGGCTCCGGCTGCGGTCATCGTAGCGATCATGGCGATCATAGCGGTCGGCGTACCGGTCGTCCCGACCACGAGACCTGCTCTTGCTGCGCGACTTCCCAAGCACGGCGCCCATGACGCCGCCAAGGCCAGCGTCATCCATGAACTCCTCGACCTTGGACTTGCGGCGTTCGCGGCGCGGAGGACGGTCATAGTCGTCCGAGTAGTAGGGATCGTCACGGCTTCGTCGGCCCCGCGGCGCAGGGGCGTAGTCACTGTAGTCGTCGTCATAGTAGTCACGGCGGCCGACAGAGCGCGCTCGGCGCGGAGGGCCGTAATTCTCGCGCACCTTGGTCCGGCGGTATTCGGCGCCGGGTGGGGGGAAGTCGCGTGGGATATCCTCGATGCTGTCGTCGCGGGCGGGGCGGTAGACGAGGTCGCGCTGGGGCGGGGCGTTGCCACGCTGGATGTACGTCTCCTCGACGTATTCGGGCTCACGGGTGCGAGTGCGGCGCGACTCGTGACGGCGTGGGCCGTCATCGTAGCCGTACTGTGACATGGCGGCGGCCTGGCGCTCGTGCGAGCGTCGGTGAAGAGGTGGAGTGACAAGTGAGATAGGTGTCTGGTGGTAGGTCAGAGTGGGCGCTGTGAGGAGAGCGGGGGGCTTGTATACCTTGCGGAGGAAGTTGGGAGAGTAAAGAGGAGGCGGGTATGGAGAGTAGTTGGGCAGAGGGCGGGCGCGCGTGGACGGTTGGCGGTATTTGTTTGAAGCTAGCTGGTATGGCCGGTGAGGGATCAGGGTGGATTCGAGAAGGCTGGATGGTGCAGGATTTGCAGCGCTGGGCAAGGCGGGCGGGCGGGCAGGCGGCGGCTAAGGGCAGAGCCTTGGGCTCGGGGCGGGGGGGTTCGCTGCTGGTATGACGCCAGCGCGCGGCCGACTGAATCACAATGCAGCAGCCAGCGCAGGTTGCCGTGAATTCCTGTTTTGCGTGCGCCACGGCAAACACCTGCGGCGGGAGCATCAGGGTCCCTGCGAGTGATTGCGCCGTGGCAATCGCCAACACCGGCTGCGGCCAGTGGCACTCGCTGCTTGCTGTGTTGGGCGGGCAGGCTGGAGCAGCCCAAGGCAGCGCGACGGAGAGGCCAGGCAGGTCAGGCAGGCCGACCTAGGCGGAGGCCCGGCATGACGTCGGTGCTGACCACATCACCTGCGACTCCAACGGCCGCCCGTCTGCGAGCCGCTGATGACACTGCCACGCGCAACGCCGGCGGCGCGCCCACGGCTGGCAGCCAGGTGCCAGGCACGCTCGCCCCCAGCCCGACCGCGGTCCAGATGGGGCTGGGGCTCCCGCAGGCGCATGCGTGCGGTCCCAAGCCAAGCAGCGTGTACGAGGTACGGTGGGCCATGTGCACCATGCCCGTAGCGTCCGGGCGGCAATCGGGCGTGTCGGAGTTCGGGGTGCAACTTTTATCTGATCTCATCACGACTGGCACCGGCTGCTCTCCACGAGCGCTGCAGAACGCCTTAGCTCCCCATGTCCGGCAACAACACCACCACCGACATCCTGCTGGTCGGTGACCCCCACTCCGCCCCCGCAGCCCCGCCTGTGCTAACCCGCCCGCCCTCCTGATAGGCCGGTGCTTTCGCAGCCTTCACCGTCGACCTTCTCGTCTACCCGCTCGACACCCTCAAGACCCGCCTGCAGTCGCCCGACTATGCCCGCCTGTACCTCAATGCCAAAACGAACACCATCAACCGCCCGGCCCTCTTCCGCGGCCTATACCAGGGCGTCGGCAGCGTCATAATAGCCACATTGCCTTCTTGTACCTTGCCCCACCTTGCAAAAGCAAAAAAAAAGTGCCCGGCCGGCTGACAGCCCGAAGCAGGAGCATTCTTCACCACCTACGAGGGGTTCAAGGCCTTCCTGACCTCCCACAACCCAAAGCTGCCCTCGCACAACTCCCACCTGCTGCCGCAGCCCGTCATACACTCGATTGCCTCCTCGGTCGGCGAGCTCGTGTCGTGCGCGATCCTGACGCCCGCCGAAGTCATCAAGCAGAATGCCCAGATGGTCGACGCCCGCGCCGGCCGGGGCAACGCCACCGTGCAGACCCTAGCCAAGTTCCGCTCCAACCCCCTCGCCCTCTGGCGCGGCTACACGGCATTGGCCGGCCGCAACCTGCCCTTTACCGCCCTCCAGTTCCCCATGTTTGAGCGCATGAAGGAATACCTCAAGAGCTACCGCGACAGGGCCGGCACCAGGACCGGTTCGCTTGCCGAGAGCGGCATGATCACGGCCATCAGCGCCGGCTCTGCCGGCAGCGTCGCCGCCGTCGTCACCACCCCCATCGATCTCATCAAGACGCGGATCATGCTGTCTGCTGCCGAGGCCTCCAAGCCGGCGCCCGACGCGGCACCGGGCGCCCTCAAGGATGCCCTGGGGAACACGTCGAAGCCTGCGGGAGACGGCCCCGTTGCTGCTGTCAAGGACTTGTCAGGCAAGAGCGGCTCCCGAAAGTCGAGCTTGGCCATTGGCCGCGAAATCATTGCCCAGGAGGGTTTCCGCGGCATTTGGCGCGGCGGTGCCCTTCGCGCTGTTTGGACCATGGTCGGAAGTGGCTTGTATCTAGGTGTATATGAGAGCGGCCGCATCTGGCTGGCTCGCCGTAGAGGCGAAGACGTGAACGCAGATGATTTGTTCTAGACATTGTCCAAGATACGTGCATTTCGAGTGAACATGGTTGCGGGTTCAATTGCTTGATTCCGACTTTCTGTCTGGTACATGGTGCCCTGCTGACGACTACCCTTCGCCCTTGATTCTAACCAAGCCGTCGGGCACGGAGGCCTCCTCTTAGCCCTCTACGAGCAGCCATCGCCTCCACCTCCACCTCCACATTAAATCGAGACCTCTTCTATAACGTGAAATTCAAGACAGTAGAGTTGGGTATCGTCGTTGAAGACCATGAGAACGTCCAGGGAGGCCCGAGGAATAATAAGGTAGACAAAATAAAAGTCGACACGGCCGCCGCGTCACACCAACTAACTTTTTCCTCCTTGATTTTCAAAGCAGCCTTATGCCCCCGAACGTAAAATGAGATTGGACGATGCCGCGGACGCCGTGAAAGAAGTTCAACGAGCAGGTAGGAGACTCCAAGCGGTCGGTGAAAGGATTCTAGGTCCAACGGTCAAGGAGTCGTGGTGATGGTTGCGGTTGTTGAATCCGCAAGGTTCATCGGACGCGAAGATGCGGAAGACCAAAAAATAAAACTAAAAATAGGATGGTCGTTTACTCATTTTTCGGCCCAGCGGGTCTCACGAAGGGGCAGGTCACCGGTGCGGGTGCCAAGAAGCTCTGCTTTCCATGCCCAGTACTCGCCCAGACGAATCTCAGCATAGCTGGCATAGTCGAAGTCAATCTGACTGATCTTTGCTTGGATCAGGGCCCAGATACCCCAGTAGAAGCCAGGCACGCCACGGAAGTCGTCGACCTCGCGGACCAACTGGTCGGTCTTGGCGTCCACGTCGGCCTGAGGCAAGGGCTGGGGCAGGTGCGAGCTGTAAGATGAGACATAGGCGCTGATGAAGTCACGGCGCTCGGAGCGGGTCGGCAGGCAATTGAAGTCGCAGTCGAAACCACCCCACTCGGCGAAGTGGTTACTGATGTCAAAGGCGGCGGGCGCCGGGGTAGCGTATTCATAGTCAATAAAGTCCACGCTCAGGGCATCGATAGAGGAGTCGGTGACGTTGGACTCGGCAGTCGAAGCGGGAGATTCACCCGACTCAGGCTGGGGCTCGATGATGACGTTGCCGGAAAGGAGGTCGCAATGGCAGAAAACCAGAGGATTGGCACTGATGCCAGGGGTGGAGCTGAGGCGGGCCACGAGCCAGACCAGTTCGCGCTGAAGCGTGGCCTTGCGCTTCTGCTCGGCGTCGGTTGCGTGGGGCAGCGAGTGGATCCACTTCTGCATGACGGTCCATAGGTTGGGCGAGGGCTTGTCCGGGGTGATGTTGTCGGCAGCCTCCAGCCAGGAAGCCTTGCGGCGATGGATGCGGTCGTCTTGGGCGGGGACGGGGGCGTCATCGGAGGGAATCTCGGTGAAGAGGTAGGAGATGGGCAGTGTCGCGTGCCACTGACCAAGGCGGCGGGCGACGCCGCGCCAGACGTCCTGGCGGCGGAGGTCGGGAGGCGAGCAGACGGAACCCTCGATGAACTTGTACAGCAGGCCGTTCTCAAAGCGGGCAAAGAGCGGGGGCGCGAGCTTGTGGCGGGCAAGCAGCGAGTGCGAGCGAGTCTCTCCTGAAGCGGGCGTGAGCAGACTGCGGGGCAGCTAGGTAAGGCGGGGCGGGGCGGGGCGGGACGGGACCAACTTTCTCTGTCGATGAGGACATCGGTGCCGCGGCCGTAGGCTCTCATGAGCACGGCCTCGCGGTCGATCTGCTCATCGGACCAGCCGGGCAGCTTTAGGACGGCCTTGAAGAGCTGCAGGGGCTCGGTTCAGCGGGAGGGTCGCGGCGGGGCTGGGGCGGGTGCTTGCCTTCGACGTACAGTGTTTGTGATACCGTCGGTGAAGCGGACGAAGTCGATGGCATCCTGGTGCTGGCGCCACTCGGGACGCAGGGCCAGCACCAGCTGCAGCGCCGACTCGTGCGAATTGGCGCTGTCGTAGCGCAGCGGGATGTAGGGGAGGGCGTCGTGGTCCATGGTGACGAGTGTCGGGGGCGCACGCGGAGAAGCACGGGAGCAGAGAGGCGCAGGCGGAGCGGGGGCGGCGAGAGAGCGAGAGAGAGGGTGTGTGAGAGAGAAGAGGTGTTGGCGGCGGTGCGGGCAAAGAGCGGGTCACGGCACGACTTTCATGTGAAGTGATGTCGGCCCAGGGGCAAGGGTCCTGGGGAGGGCTCGTGCGCGAGAGGCGACAAGTGGGCGCGGCCGCGCAACAGTGGCGCTGGTGGAGGCGTGTTGCAGCATGGGAGGAAGTCCGCCAGGCACCAGGCGAGGGTGACGGTTGGCTGCCGGGCCAGGGACCTCGCGGCCAGGGCGGCGGTCTAGCGATCCAAGGGACCCAAGACGTGGGACCAAGGGACCAAGAGCCAAGGGACCACCCAGGGTGCCAGGAATTCTCGCTAGCGATTTTTAGCCACAGCCGTTGCGCCGCGCTGCCGGCGCGGCCCAAAACATGGACGGTTTTGCTGCGACGGCAGGCTTCCTTGTCCTCGTTCTGGACGCGGCGGACAGCGGGGCACCGCAGCGGACAGCGGACAGCGGGCAGCGGGCAGCGGGCAGCGAGCAGCTTCCCTGTCGGCGGCGTCACAGCGTGTCTCGGAGCACGTGCGCTGTGTCGCTCCCCCACCGTCTGCGGATCGCCGCCGCCGCCTGCTCCGCCCGCGTGCCCACTATCCCCTTCCGTCTTTGGCCATGGCGGCCGTGCCTCCACCGCCAACCAGACCTGCGCCTGCCAGCCTCACGTGCAAGCATCATCATCCGCCCTTATCGTGCTGCGCACTACTGTTGACCGGCTGCCCGAGATAGGCTTGCTGCTGCGTAAATACATACATCCAGACCACCGCCTGCCATGCTGCCACGCTGCCGTCCTTTGCCCGCTGCCCGTGTCCACCGCTCCCAGCATGGCAACCGAGCAGACGCCTCTTCTCCCCCCCGGCGATGCCTCGTCGTCCAGCAATGGGCAGCGACGGATGGCTGCGAGCTCCGTGGGCGAGCGTCTGCCGTACAACGACTACGCCACCATCGACTGGCTGCGCGATTTGGTCAGAGATTCCTACCGCTACCGATACATCCATTCGAGAAAGGGCCTCCGCTACGCCCTCGTCGCCGCTTTTGATTCCTGCTCCGGCTGGATTGCCGTCGCCGTCATTGGCTCCATCACTGCATGCATCGCCTTCGTCGTCGATGTTGCTGAAGCCACTGTTTCCGATTGGAAGCTGGGCTACTGCACCACAAACCCATTCCTGAGCAGAGACGCCTGCTGTGCCCCTACGGACCATGCCGGCGATTGCCATGCCTTCCGACCGTGGTCCGCCACGTACTGGTTCTCCTTTGCTATCTATGTCGTCGCCGCCCTGGCGTTTGGAGTCGTGTCGTCCAGCGCAACCATGTTGACCAAGCGGTCTCTACCCGTTGTCGACCACAACACTTCGCTACGGCCTCTTCCCTCCGGTAAAACAATCTACATGGCTGCCGGTAGCGGTATCCCCGAAATCAAAACGATCCTGTCTGGCTTTGTGATCCCCAATTTTCTGGACTTGAAGGTCTTGCTGGTCAAGGCTTTTGGCGCTACCTTTGCAGTAGCGACTGGCATGTGTCTTGGGAAAGAAGGCCCCTTTGTGCACATCTCAACATGTGTTGGATATTTGGTTTGTCGTTGCTTTCCCAAGTACAGGGACAACGGTAGGAAGATGCGTGAGATGTTGTCTGCTGCCTGTGCTTCCGGACTGAGTGTTGCTTTCGGTGCACCCATTGGGGGCGTATTGTTCAGCTACGAAGTAAGTCGAATGCTGCGCATCAGCCACCCTGTCCCCTTTCTTTGCCGTTGCGAAAGGGGAGGGGAAAGCCACTTCTTGCTGCACGTGATGAGAGGTGGCAAGATGCCAACACTGATGAGCACCGCGTCTAGGAAATCAGCACATACTTTCCTCGGAAAGTCCTGTGGCGAGCCTTCTTATGCTCGCTATTCGCTTCAATGATTCTGAAAGCGCTGAACCCTAATGGTACTGGAAAACTAGTCCTCTTCGAGACCAACTACGGCACCTCATACGAAGCCATACACTACCTAGTTTTCATTGCCCTCGGAATTGCGGGGGGCCTGTTTGGTGGTATTTTCTGCAAGGCAAACTTCAAATGGTCCAGGTGGTTCAGGCAATTGCCACTCATCAAAAGTTACCCCGTGTTCGAGGTCTTCCTCGTTGCTCTGGCCACGGCGCTTCTCCAGTTTCCAAACCCCCTGACGAGAGATTCTGGCGATGTTATTGTCAGAAACCTTCTAGTCAGTTGTCGTGATGCAGAGTCATCGACGTCGTTTGTCTGCCGCAACGAGGCCAGGACGGACGGCAAAGGAGATTATATTGCCTGGTTGATTCATGGCTCGGCAATCAAGCTAATTCTCACAATAATCACCTTCGGCACAAAAGTGCCGTCCGGCGTCATCATACCTGCCTTGGACGGAGGCGCCTTCTTCGGACGTTTGATCGGACAGTGCATGGCCTCGACATCCCCGGGAATCTTTGCCATGGTTGGTGCAGCTGCGTTTCTTGCTGGCGTCAGTCGCATGACCATATCTTTGTGCGTAATCATGTTCGAGGTACGATCTTCAGCCTTTCTCTTTTTCTCTCAGCCCCTGCTGACACCTGAGGCCAGCTGACTGGCGAGTTGGAGTACATTGTTCCTCATATGATTGCTATTCTCGTTGCCAAGTGGATAGCAGATGCAATTAGCAGCGAGGGCGTTTACGATCTCGCTCAGACGATTCTGGGCCATCCTTTCCTCGACAACGACCACGCACTCAAGCTTGTTCAGGCGTATGGGACGTCTCCAAAGTCGGCCGCATCGCTCTCCCCCTCATACAATCGAGACGCCAATCCGGCCCTTGTGGAAGTGCTGATCCCCCCTGCACGAACGATGGAGGAGATCACCGTCGAGGTACCCTCAAGCAACACGGTACCCAGTAGCGTCCTCGAACGTAAGTTAGGTCAATTACATGACAGAGGGCTGATGGATGCGGGGCTGGTGCTCGTGCGGAACGGTATGCTGCAGGGTTATCTACCTGGTACGTGGCTTCCTGAGAAGAGTTTGCCAGCATTGTCGACTGACGAACCTGCACGGAAATAGAGGCTGAGTTGGAACATGGTATGCGGGGTCTAGGATTAACATCATCCGGAGACGCAGAAGTTCGACTTTTAGGGCCTATAGTGGAGAGTCGTCATGACGAGGAGGGAGTCGATTGCAGCCGCGAGCAGATCGGCGTCTTAGACCTTTCTGCATTTGTTGACCGGACACCACTGACCCTATGCTCGAAGGCGCCACTGGAATATGCTGTCGAGATGTTCGGAAAACTGGGCTTGAGATTCTTATGCGTAACCGAAGAGGGAACTGGGAAGCTTCTTGGAGTGGTGATCAAGAAGCGGCTTGTGGCATATTTGGAAACGCTGCACCCACAGGAATGAAGCCTGGAATTTGCTTGGTGGCCTTCTTGTGAGTAAACAAGGAAACACCATGAGAACATGCTGCACTCCAACATATCCTTCGTACGATTGTATCTGCGGTTGATCCAACTTCTATCCAATATTGCATAGACGCGGGTATCCTGCTTCGACTGCGTCTACTCTCTTATGACTCTTCCCAATAAGTAGCCTGATAGAAACGAAGTAAGAAAGGTAAATAGATCTGACTAGGGAAAGGGTCTCATCTGGAACTAGAGCTTCTGCGCCCTGGGTGTATTCTTTGTATTGCTGTTTCCATTTCCGTTGGCCAACGCTTTGAGAACTCGAGGGCTGAGGACACGCTTCTTTTCGTCGGGAAGGGCTGCCCATTCTCGTCGCTCTTCTTTCTCCTTCTCACGCCACGATTGAAGTTGCTTGGAAAGCCAATCAGTGCAGTAATCAGCCGTCTTACCGACTGCCTCCATTGGAATGAGGTGACCAACCCCCGATATGGTGATTTCCGAAACACGGCCTTCGGACGCACCGCCGCTGCCACCAATGCCGACGCCTGTGACCTTCATTTTGTCGGCACGATATTCAGGAGCCGATAGGTCTGACGTTTCGCCAAATATGTACAGAACCGACGGACGCAAGAATGGCAACATCTGAAACGTAATGATGGCTTCGGCGCGATAGAACAGAGAGTTGGGGACAAAGGTCTCTGGGGTGCAGTCAGGGTAAGTCTTCGAGTCTGGAAGCTGAGGCTCTGTTTGCGGATCACCCCAGGGGTCGAAACAAGGTCTGAGAAAAGTAAAGACCTCCTGGTGTTTCGTGGTGGCTAGCGTCACTCCAGCGGTAGACGACGGTGCCAGTGTCGGTTCAGCCGTGGCTGGGGCTGGAACCGGGGTGGTAGACTCTGGGGGGGACGGGTAGATGGCGGTGGGCAGGTCCCGCAGGCCATGCTTGACCCACAAGTCCAGTACTCGGGGGTCCCATGTCTGATAGAACTTGCTCTTTCCAAAAGCCTCAGCGGCGGCCTCACGAGAGGGCCAGTAGTCACGACGACGAGCGGAAGCAGCGGCGGGATCCTGGTTGCCCCTTTTGGAGGTTCTACGCTGAATGACGGGGTCAATCAAAATAAGGGATTCCAAAAGGCGGGGATGCATCAGAGACAAGTTGACGAGATTGTTGCCCCCCATGCTGTGGCCGACGCCGAAGATTGGGCGGACCATCTGGTCGCGAAAGCTGTTGACCATGTGGAGCAGGTCGCGAGGATGGTCGAACCAGCTAGCTGCAAGAGGTTAGCAGGGAGCTGATGACAGTGGGTTGAGTGCAAACGGACGGTCGTTGCCAAGTTTGTGCTCGTTTAGTACGCCGCTGGCGCCCTGATGAGCGACATCAGCAATCCAGATGCTGCGGATGGAGAAGCCAGCGGATTCGGCGCGGCGGAGCATCTCTTCCCACAACGGCTCATACAACTCCTGCTCGCCAATTAGCCATGGTCGACTTGGCGTGGATCGCATCCAGTACCTTGGGAAAGCCGTTGGCGTGGGCTCCAATGATAGTGACATCGCCAGGCTTGGGGTTCGGGTTGTCGATTGGAATGTACTGCTTCACGGCGAGGTGGAGAAGGTCCTCCTGGCTGTGCGCAGTCGAACGGGCATGCGAGCGGATGTGCTGACACGGAAGGACGTGCTCTTTTACGTGGAAAGGAAAGTGGGCCATGTCCGGAAGTGGTTGCAAGCGAAGATTGAGGATTGGGAGGACTACTGCTACGGGGATCGGTGTCCAAGGCTATCCAAGAGCGCGAAAACAGCAAGTGTAGGTGTGCGCGCAAGGCTACCGGCGCAGGAGTGTCATGTTGGTAAGAAGCCTGAGAGGGAGAGGTGATGGACGAGGCCACGGGTCGCCGAGGGTGTCGCGCTTAAGCGAGCGGGCCGAGGTTAATAAGTACTTATCAGTGCCAACCAACCATCACCGACTCTGCAAAGTGGGTGTTGATGAAGCTTCGGCTAGGCGATTGCACGACCGAGCCAAGCTGATGGCTGTACTACGTAGAATGGAGTAGCAGTCGGGATGCTTGCTGTCGCTGGTGCTTGGGGCCGGGGCGGGTGGCGTGTACTGCGTAGGGGCCATGCGGCGACGGCCTGGACGCAGTCGTGAGCAACGCGGATACGATGCCAACCGCGACAGGCTGCAAGAGCACGCATGGCGATGGCGGTGCTGGAGTCGGCGGTGCAGCATTGCGGGCATGCGGGAAGGCGCCGTCACGTGCATGCGGAACTAGCGCGTTCTTGCGGCGCGTCGTCGCGTGGCGGCCGGCGGAGCACAACACTTCCGCCTGTCTCTGCTGCTCGTTTCCTCTTCACTCGACACGCGCGCCATGGCTGATGATACGGCCATGGATGTCGACCCGCAACAGGGCGTCTTCTCGTCCGTCACCTTTACCGCCATCCCCTCCGCAAACCTGCCGCCGGACCGCGTCGACCAGGTGCGTCGCGCCTCATCCACCCCCCGCCACCTTGCTCTGCTGATCCGTCCTGCAGCTTCGACGCATCTTGGAGGACAATGGCGCTGCTTACCGCTCGTTGAACCCGAAAACACAGCGCGTCGATAACATCACCGACTTCACCCACATCATTGCTACCACCTCCGACTTTCCCGACTACCCGCTTGCGCTCGACCACTTCGTCCACGTTGTCAAGCCACAATGGATTGACGACAGCCTCCGCCGTGGGAAGCCTGTCAATCCGCGCGCCCACAGCCCAGACCCATGCCTGTTCATGTCCGACGTCATTGTAACATGCGCCGCCGACATTCCCGAAGGAGACACCGAGGCCATCATGGGCGGCGTCCTCGCCATGGGCGGCCAATACTCAAGCGCTATCACCAAGATGACCACCCACCTTGTCGCCTTGGCTCTGGACGATGACAAGTGTGCCCTCGTTCAGGCCAAGAACCTCAAGTGCAAGATTGTCCTACCGCACTGGTCCGTCTGCCACCACGCCTAGCTCGGCTCCCACTGATCGAGAACAGGTTCGACGACTGCCTCAAACTGGGCAAGAAGATTGTCGAGGCGCCCTACCAGCTACCGAATCCGCCCATTCTCTCGCGCGACCCCAGTCTCCCCATTGCTCATTATCCCAGCGAGGCCATCAAAGACGCCACCAACCCAGATCCTCAGACGCTGCCAAGTCCGGTCAGCCTCTCGTCTCCAAACATCCCGCGATCCCTGCAAGTCTTCTCAGGTAGAAAAATACTGCTTTCGCCTGATCTGAACATTGGTCCGCGCATACGGACCACCATCGAGGAGCTCGTGAAAGCTGGTGGTGGCGCCATTGTAAACCATGTTAATCGGGCTGATATATACGTTTGTCCATACCGTGACGGAGATGACTACATAAGCGCGTCCCAAGCTGGAAAAGACGTCGGCAATCTCTCTTGGTTGTACTATCTCATTACCTACGACCTTTGGACGTCACCCATGCGGCGCCTCCTGCATTATCCGGTTCCACGCAATGGAGTTCCAGGGTTCGAAAAGTATAAGATCAGCATCTCAAACTACGTTGGCGAAGCCAGAGTTTACCTCGAAAGCCTGGCGAAAGCCTGCGGCGCTACATTCACAAGGACTTTCAAACAGGAAAACACCCACTTGGTGACGGCTCATTCGCAAAGCGAAAAGTGCCATGCTGCGCAAGAATGGGGCATCCATTTGGTGAACCACATGTGGCTCGAAGAAAGCTACGCCAAGTGCAAAGAGCAATCCCTAACGAATCCGCGATATACCCATTTTCCCGCCCGTACAAACCTTGGCGAGGTCGTGGGTCAGACGCAAATCGATCGAGACGCTGTTGAGAAGTATTTTTTCAAACCAGCAAATGCAGGCACAGCCAAGAGGAATGCTCATGATCCCAAAGGAGGGAAAACGGAGCAGCTGGACACGCTTACAGACAAGGACGCTGTCAGTTCACGGCTGGCCCACAAAAGTGCGGGCGAGGAGTTATCGGCACAGACGACACCCTTGGTGAATAAGGCTAAGCGCGGCAGGAGTGGCGGCACCAACACCGGCTCCTCTGGACGGGTTGGGGATGAGAAGGAGAACGACACTCCATCGACAGGCCGAGGCGCGAAGAGTAAGGCCTTGTCGAAGCTTCATGATCTCGCTCCGGACATTGCGCAGTACGAGAAGGAGAGCAAAAGAAGAGGCGGCGTCATATATGGAGGCAAAAGAATCAAGGACGATGCTGAGAACAACAGTAAAACCAAAGAGACACTTGCAGCAAAAAGGTCGCTGGAAGACGAAGACGATGACGATGAGGGTGATTCTGTCGAGAGGGGCGCGAAACGTAAGGCTAAGAAAGCGAAAGCTGAGGATTCGGGGACCGGCCACTTTTTGATGCTGTCTGGAGACAATCGATGGGTGGAGAAGACGAAGAAAGAGGCTGATGACCGGGTAAGCTTGCCGACTATCCCAATTGACTATGCAGTGGTGATGATATGTTAACGCTCAGTCATTAGAACAAACTCCGCGCGTTAGGCATCCAAGTCACACAAGACCCCGAGTTGGTCACAATCCTTTGTGCACCAAAGATTGTCAGAACGAAAAAGTTTGTCGCGGCCCTATCGAATGCCCCGGCAGTTGTCTCAACCAAATTCTTGGATTATTGTCTAAAGGAAAGGAAGGTCCCTGCGCCCGAGAAGTTCTTGCTCAGTGACAAGGAGGGCGAGAGACGCCAAGGGATCAAACTCACCGAATCGATTGCAAGAGCCGAGCAGAACCGGCGACATCTGTTGAGCGGATGGCACATATTTGTGACGGAGAAGGTCAACGGCGGGTTCGAAACGTACAGGGACATCATCACTGCGAACGGGGGTAGCTGTCTGCTCTGGAAAGGTAGGCCAACAACTGTGCCGAAGCGCAGACAGGCCAGGCTCGATGCCGAAGGGGACACGGCCATGAATTCGGAACCAGTATCGGACGACGGGCTGGAGGTGAATCGTGCCAACGATGAGGGCGACATACTGTATCTCATCTCCAGCACGGAAGCAGACGACGTCAAGCTCTGGCCAAAGTTCCGCGACCTGGCAAGGAAAGCAGACATGAAGCCGCGTATCGTCAAGCCTGACTGGATCCTTTTTGTGGCCATGGCACAGATGATCAACTTTGACGATCGATGGGAGCTCAATGACAACGATGCTGCAAATACAAAGGGTGCGAAGCGCTGAAGTGGCAGTCTGGACCTGTGGAGAGTGCGACGTATCTGGCTGCAAGACCATGTGCCGGATTCTCCTTGTTGACGTTGTTGTTGTTACCAGATCCTTTTTTTTTTTTGTTTTGCATTGCGGGAACAGGACGACGCGGAGTTGGGAGCAGCTGAAAATTTGTTGCACCTCTTTTTAACGACCTCGGGGAACGGAGCATCGAAGTTATTAGCGAGTAGCATAGGTATGAAGGCAGAGCACGGTTGGCAAGCGACATCCTGAAACAACAAGGATGAGCATAAGCCTCGAAGGGACAGCCCTCCCACTTTCCTGAAGCGGTAAGCACAATTTCACAGAATGTATAAACATCTATAAATAGCGGAGATCATCATCGTCTGTAGATACATTCGATGCTGCCACGTGCGGAGCTTGTGCTCATGCGTAGACGTCGACCAACATCTTTTAAATGCAGAGATGGCGGTGGCACACAGAACAGGAAGCATTCGGCTCGCGCCGTCGGATAGGAGATGGATATAGACATTGATCCGTTGGCGGCGCTGGTGACGCGTCGCAATCTTCGTTCCCTCGCCATTCACACGCAGCGATTCCATTAACCCCCCACCGTTTGCCATGCAGGCAGGCTTCCATTAACCCGAGTGTTTTTCCCGCCGCCAACACCATCACCGCAGAACGTGACGAAAAGCAGACCGAGGGGAACGAAAAAAAAAAAAGGAAAAGGAAAAAAAAAACCAGAAATGCGGATTCAGTCGTGTTTCTCATCATGTCGAATCATGAATCAATCGGCTTGCCTCCCGTCCGCAGTAGTGGTGGAGCCGCCGCGACTTGCCTTGTCGGCGTTGTCGGCGCTGCTGCTGACGCCGCTCGGTCTGCTCGGCGTCGGTTCCGGCGGCGGCGCGCCGTCCACCGCCGCCGCACCCGGGCCAGGACCGTGTCCGGACTCCCCGAGGTCGCTGGGCGGTGGCTGGGCGGGTTGGCCGTCGGCCGTCTTTTCGTCGGCGGCGGCGGCGGCCGGCGGGTTCTGGCGCCTGTCGACGCGGATGCGCCATTGATGGATGGAGAGGAGGGCGCCGAGGGCGACGGCGGTCAGGACGATGGCCAGAATGGCCCAAGGACTGAAGCCCATGGCGGAGGAGGGCGGGCGAGCGACAGATGGGGGTTGGTGTGTGTGTGGGCGGCGGGACGGTGGCACGGTGGCAGCGAAGGGCGAAGGGCGAGGGCGAGGCCAGAGATGAGCAGCTTGTTGCTTGGGTCGTCAGGAGGCAGTCATGTCGAAGACATCATGTTCCCTACTGGGCGGATGGATCACCACGTGAGCGACGTGCCACAACTCTTTTGGGAGGCCGGAGGTTTTTTGAATGGGCCGATGATGATATGGGCGTGCAGAAGAGTGGCGCGATGACGTGGAGGGGAAAGAAGGGTCCGGGAGGATTGGCACTCACGTTCACCGAATCCACAACATCACGCAGCAGGTGGCAGGGCGGGCGAGGTGAGAGCCAGCTAGGCCCACGGACGCTGCCACGGTATTTAAGGCCATGGTCAGGGGCCCGGCGCTGAGGGTCGCCGCTCCATAGAGCACGGGGACTCCGCCGTCCGGTGAAAAGGCAGGGTGGCAGGCTGAGAAAGGCTGGCCTCCCCACAACGCGCCGTCTAAGCGAGCCGCCGCGTCGTGTCGTGAGCGCCTCGTCACAGCCGCGAGTGCGGCCTCGCCACCGTGCTTTCGTGTATGTCGACGCTCGACCGCCTGCTGTCGTCGCCCTTCCAGTCGCCCTTCCAGTCGCCCGGCGCGCCGCCGGCGCTGCCGCTCAGATGCTCGACCCTCGCGCCGTCCATTTCCCAGCTGCCGACCCTCTCCCGAGCCAGGCCCGACTGCTGCTGCTGCTGCTCCGCCACAGACACGCCCAATGGAGCACCCTTGCTGGCAAAGCTGACGTCTGCGTCGCTGGCCAATTTTGCGTTGCTCTTGAACCCGCCCAGCGATGATTTCCGTCGCCTTCCGGCGCCTATCACTGGGGCGGCGCGGTGGAAGCGCAAACCGCCAAGCAGCATGAGCGCTGCCACCGCGAGAAGCCCGACCCCCATCGCGGTGCCTGCGCCCACGACGCCTGCCACTGCTGGCGGCATGCTCGAGCCGCTGCTGCCAGACGCCAAGGCCGCCGGGCTCCCGACTAGAGCAGGGCAGAAGATGGCCGCTGCATCGCACGCCGCACACCACTCGCCCACGTCGTCGAGCATGATGTCGCCCATGCTCGTCTCGAATTCCGACCAGCGCATTGCGGTTTCCGACGGCCCGTGACCGAAGATCGGATACGCAATCAGCTCGGACGAGTTGGATGTGCCGTTGCGGAAGTAGAAGCGCACCCAGAGATCCGACGTTGCTGGATAGCTCTCCGTTGCGGTGCCGTAGCTGAAGAGCTCAAACGCCATGCTGCTGGCAAACTCGGGAATCCCGTACGAATGCGACGAGTTGCTTCTTTGCTGCAGGGCCAGGGAGAAGAGCGAGAGCATTGGCTGGAACTCGCCAAACAGCAGCGACAGCTTCGCGTTTGCGCCTTGGGTCGCAATGTTGACGGCGAGCTGGCCTAGTATCTTCCTGGCCAGCATCTTCCCCGCTACCGCCCGGATCCACTGTGACGAGTTGGGCATGCTGTTGAACGCCCATTGTTGCCTGCGCCGTCTGTCAATTGCTTTCCAGTGCAATGTTGAGCTGCTGGCAACTCACTGATCCGCCAGATATCGGAGCTCGTCAAATGCGTTGGGCAAAGTGATGTTGTTCGAAAGTATGGCTCGAGTGCTCACGTTATGCATATACTGGTAGCTGAGATAGTCGTAGATGGCATACGCGTTGACGTAGCTGTACGCCACCTCTGGCAGGACTCCGTCCGAAGTTGCGGCCCCAACCCCACTATAGAAGGAACTCGTTCTAGCCTGCGTTTCATTGAACTCGAGCGTGTCGAAATAGCTCGCGCGATCAAAGACGTAGTTGAGGCACACTTCTCGGCTCAGAGTCAGGTTCAGAGCAGCCTGTGTTGCCGTAGCCAGACAGGAGCTTACCTTCCTGGCCAGCGAGGTAGACGCTGGCTGGATCAAGGGATGACGCCGTCCGGATGCGTGGGTACTGGTAACCATTCAAGGGTGCTTCAACGTAAGTCCCGTTTGCGAGGACAGCGGTTGCGGCAAGCGCAGGCGTAGCCGTGTCGTTCAGCGTGTGAGGCGGATACAGGCCCTGGAGGAAGGCTTGGGCGGTTGCGGCTGCGTAGGTAGCATCGGTGGCGAGCACATACAATTGGCTGTTCACGACGTCGTACTCGGAGATGTTGCGAATGGCGTCTGGGCCTCCAAGGTCGACGCTGTTGGCTTGCGGCGCGATGTAGCGCTGGCGAAAGATGGTCCCTTGGCTGTAGGCCTGTCTAGCTCCCAGAGGGGTGAGCTCGGCGAGCCCAGGCTGGCCCAGCAAGGGCGTGCGCTCTCCCGTGCGGGTGAAGATGACGGCGGCGTGGACGGCAGCACTCACTGTCAGAGGTGCTGAAGCCAGGAAGGCGGCGGTCAAGAACGAGGCTGCGCAGACGCCCATGGCTGCAGCGCGGACGACAGTCGAAGTAGCGCGAAGGCGGGGTGCGCTGGTTATCACAAGGCTGGGAGCGAGCGAACCAGCCCGTCTTATCGCATCACAGGCCTGCAAGGATAGCTCGTGGCCTCGAGGCTTGGGTGGAAGCGGGGTTGGCTGCAGCATCCGCCGTCAGACGGGATGGCGCCGCTTTCGTCGCCTTGACGAACCGCATTGCGCTGGTGGTGGTGGCGGCAGCGACTCCATGATTGGCGAGCAGCAGCACGAAGCGAAGAGGATGTCTGCGCAGGCTGATGTCGCGAGTGTGGGGTGGTAGAGGTCGACTACTATCCGCACTAGCGCTAGCTCCTCCGGTCGCTCCGGAACTCTTCTGCCCGCTGCTGCTGTCCGCTAAGCTCATCCGCTGTGCCATGCTCTTGGCTCTAGCAAGAAAGTCACTAAGTGTACTTGTTTAAATGCTTTCTCGTTGCCTGCTTGCGCCTGATGCTAGTTGCTGCTTGACCGTCCAAAGAAATTTTCTGATATTGTCATCTTCGTGCGAAGAATCCGTACTGGTATTTCATTATTCGAAGAGAGTAAACCCCAAAAAGAGACCCGTGCTCATGATCTGATCATACAGCCTTGCAAAACACCAATTCTATCTATCGGCTTCACACGGCCATTGCGCGCATAACAATCACTTGACTTCCCGCTTGCTCCCTTACACCGACACCTCCACACGGCCCTCGTTGCCGGGAGCGCCCTTGGCGACCGAGGGAAGGAGGTAGGTGATGTCGTCCCACGGGTGCCTGTACAGGCCGGTCCTGAGGCGCTTCTGGTCCAGGAAGTGGGCAATCAGACCAATGCTGCGGCCAAGCACGAACAGACCGTTGAGGACACCCATCTTCAGGTAGTCCTCGGCCTCCTCCTGCGTGAAGGAACCGCCGCTGCGGACGAGGTCGACGAAGCAGACAGCAATGCAGCCGTCGACGTTCAGGATGAGGTTGTCTTTCTTCGACGTCGTCACCGTCTCGACCGCAAGAGCATAGTCGAGCAGCTTGTGGCTCGGGAAGTTCTTGAGCACGTACTCCTTGACAAGCTCGACACGAAGGTCGGGGTTGTTGCGCGACTTGATCCTGTGACCAATACCCGGGATGAGCTTGTTCTCCTTCCTCATCGTGTCGACGAAGTCACGGGGGCTGAGACCCTTGTCGTACGCCTTGGTGAACTCCTCGGCCGCGCCGTCAAGAGCACCACCGAAACGCGAGCCAATCGTCAGCAGACCGCTGACCAGCGCGCTGATCAAGTCCTTGCCAGCTCTGGTGGTGATAATGGTGTTCATGGCACCAGACACGGCCGGACCGTGGTCGGCAGTGAGCATGAGGACCATCTCAAGGAACTTGCTGGCGTACTTGGGCAGGCGGCGACGGAACCAAAGCAGCGACATGACACCACCGATGCCGATGTCCTCCCTGAAGACGTCGGAGATGGGCATGCCGGCATACAGCAGCTCCTGCCCACGGTCGTCGGAGATGGTGGAGATGAAGGCAGCCGGCTTACGGATGAGGCCAAGCTCCTGGGCCCAAGAGTAGTCAATGGGGATCTTGGGCACGGCAGGCTCCGACTTGGGCACAATGATGCCGTCGGCAACCTGCTTCTGGTAGACCTCAGCAAGGACCTGAGGGAGGTCCTCGAAGGTGTCGGGCACATGGATGCCCGCCTCCTTCATCGAGGCGTTCTTGGATGCGGCAGTCTCGAGCTGGGAGTTGGCGAAGGAACCAGCGTGACCGAACTGCACCTCGGTGGTGAGCATGCCAGCAACGGTACCGATGGCCCAGGCAACAATGGGCTTGGTGATGACGCCGCTCTTGACAGCCTCAATCACGCGGTACTCTTCGACACCACCAACCTCACCGAGCAGGACCAGGATCTTGCATGCCGGGTCGGCCTGATACCTCAGAAGGTGGTCGATGAAAGTGGTACCAGGGTACCTGTCACCACCAATGGCAACACCCTCGTACACACCGTCGGTGTTCTGGGAGATGATGTTGTTGAGCTCGTTGGACATACCGCCAGACTTGGAGACGTAGGCGACGGAGCCGGGGCGGTAGAGCTTGGAAGCAACGATGTTGTCCATCATACCGCCAGTGTTGCCAATCTTGAAGGCACCGGGCTTGATGCCACCAACAGTGGCGGGGCCAATGATGGTGACGCCCTTCTTCTTGGCAACGTGCAGGATCTCACGGGCGCGCTGTAGGTTTGTGTGAGTAGCTGCTTCGCACGGGAGTGACGGGCGGACTTACACGCTCGGGGACACCCTCGGCGATGATGGCAATGGACTTGATCTGGGGGTACTCCATGAGCTCCATGGTGGACGAGTAGACACTGCGCGACGAGGCGAAGTTGACGACGGTGTCAACGTCGTTGTGCTTGGCCACAGCCTTATCGACGGACTGGTAGACGGGAAGCAGCGTCTCGCTGGTGCCCCAGTACATCTTGCTGACGAACTGGCCGCCGAAGGTGTAGATGATGCCGGCCACCGAGGGCTGCTTGCGCTTGCAGATGTAATCGAAGTCAAGCATGCCCTGGACGGCCTTGGGCTGCATGCCGTAGACGAAGCATCGCGTCTTGTTGTGGAAGAGGGTGTGCTGGGCGGGCGGGCTCAGCGGCCGGCTGGGGGCCTGGAAGCGGCGGATGTTGTCATTTGCGGAGAGCGTCTCGCCGTTGGAGGCGCCGTTGACAGCAGCGGGCATGGTGGGCAGAGGACAGGCTGCGCGAGTGGAGTGGATGGAGCTGGAGCTGGGCGCGGGTCAGCAAGCGAATTTGAGGGTGCTGCGCGATTCGGGTGCTGCGCGATTCGGGTGCGGCGCGAAGTGGGCTCGGAGCTGAGCTGTTTTTGCAGCAGCAAGGAAAAGCCGCCCAAGTCGCAGACGGTCGCCGGAGACGAGGCTGGGCGTGGGCAGGACATGGGCAGGACATGGGCAGGCGAGCTGGAGCAGCAGGCGGACATTGGGCGTCCGCACGGCAGCTGGCAGCGGGGTGGAGCGGTGGGCTGAGAATTGTGCGTGCAGAGCTTTTGGAGCTCGCGTGCTGCTACTCACCTTGTGTCTTGGTGTCCGCCGGGCACAACGCAGCGAGGGCTCTGGTGGAGGAGAAAGCGAGGAGTTGAGGCGGAGAAGTCGGGGGGAAAAGAAGAGCAGGCGAGGAGCGAGAATTGAGCTGAGTATGCTGAGGCGGCTGGCGTCCCGTTGAAAGCGTTCAACGACGGGTGCGCAGGGGGTCTCTGCGGTTGGTTGGGGTGCAGCGTCGGCGGCGGATCCGTCGTGCCTGGTCAGAGCGCCGAATGCCGGCGGTTCCCCCGCCCACCGACCTCCGGCCTCACGCAGCGCAGCAGCGTGCGGGCTGCCGTCATGCAGCGGAGCTCCGTTGACAGCGCCTCGGTGACGCGCTGACAGCCGTCGGGCCCGGAAATAGCAGCAGCTGACCGTGTTGGGCGTGAGGGTGTGGGCGGCGGTTGTCCTGGGGGCCCGCTAGTGCCAGGCCCGAGAACAAGGGTCAGGGTTGGCGCGCTGTGGGTGGAGATCTGCGAAACGATTTCGCTGAATCCCAACGACTGTCGAGCCCGCCCTGCATGCTGTCCGCCGCTGCGTTGCCGCCAGTGAACAATTTCGTGTCAGCGTCCCGCGCCGACCTCCTGCACCAAAGCTGCTCCTTTTCTCTGCCCGCCCTCCACTCTCCAGCTCCTGTCCACCTGGCTCCCGTCATCTCCTCGTCCTGTCAGCAGCAGGTAAGCACCGTCCAGCTGCAGCTTCAGCTCCAGCTCCTGCCCCCGCCGCCGCAGCGCTGCAAGGCCGCAAAGCCCTGCGTGTGCCGGCGCCGGCCCGCCTCACTCCGGCCTTGCGCCGTCCGAGCTGCGTCGGACTTCCAGAAGGAGCTGAACGCGCCTCAAATCCCCGCCCCGCGTCGCTGCTGTTCTTCTCTGCAACTCCTTCTTTTGCGCCGCCCGCCAGCTGACTTTGCCGCCCTCCCCAGACCCATTGACCCTTCCATCTCTTCACAATGTCCGCCAAGTCCATTCTCGAGGCCGACGGCAAGGCCATCCTCAACTACCACCTCACCCGGGCTCCCGTCATCAAGCCCACCCCGCTGCCCGCCTCTGCCACCCACAACCCGCCGCCCAGGCTCGCGTCGCTGCACTTCCCTGCAGACAAGGCCGTCAAGGACGTTTTGGACCAGGCCGAGGTCACGTACCCGTGGCTGCTGCAGGATGGAGCCAAGTTCGTTGCGAAGCCCGACCAGCTGATCAAGAGGCGAGGCAAGAGCGGCCTGCTGGCTCTGAACAAGCCGTGGTCTGAGGCTCGCCAGTGGGTCGAAGAGCGCGCCGGCAAGGCCCAGAAGGTCGAGCACGTCGAGGGCGTCCTAAGGCAGTTCCTGGTCGAGCCTTTCGTCCCTCACCCCCAGGACACCGAGTACTACATCAACATCAACTCGGCTCGTGAGGTAAGTCGTCATTGTTTCCAGTTTGTCGTTTCCGTCGCATTCGAAAAATTGGTCGTGTTGGGATGAGTGAAGACACGTGCAGTGGGCTGGGGCGGCCGTCCCTTTTTCTCTGCTCGGTCAATCCGGACGAAGGGAAATGACCCAACGCAGAAGCCGCGGGCCCACACCCAACATCAAACCACCCACTGTAACTGACCTCCCTTTGGTCCGCACTGCATCTCTTATCTGCCTCTAGCATCTCGTTTCACACCATCCCATGTCGCACATCCCGTAGCGTCCGCTGCATGCACGCGCGGGTGCTCCCGCCTCCGTTGGTCCTTACCATGCTAACGCCGATCTTCCCTTAGGGCGACTGGATCCTCTTCACCCACGAGGGTGGTGTCGATGTTGGTGATGTCGACGCGAAGGCCGAGAAGCTGCTCATCCCGGTGGACCTCAGCGAGTACCCCTCTAACGAGGAGATTGCCGCTAGTCTCCTGAAGAAGGTCCCCGAGGGTGTCCACAACGTCCTTGTTGACTTCATCTCCCGCCTCTACGCCGTCTATGTCGACAGCCAGTTCACCTACCTCGAGATCAACCCCCTCGTCGTCATCCCCAACGCTGATGCCACCTCGGCTGAGGTCCACTTCCTGGACCTGGCTGCCAAGCTCGATCAGACTGCTGAGTTCGAGTGCGGTGTCAAGTGGGCCATTGCCCGCAGCGCCACCGCCCTCGGCATGCCTACCCTCGCTTCCAAGGACAGCAAGGTCACCATCGATGCCGGCCCGCCAATGGAGTTCCCTGCTCCGTTTGGCCGCGAGATGAGCAAGGAGGAGGCTTTCATCTCCGAGATGGATGCTAAGACTGGTGCCTCTCTCAAGCTCACCATCCTCAACTCGTCCGGTCGCGTCTGGACCCTCGTCGCTGGTGGTGGTGCTTCCGTCGTCTACGCCGATGCCATCGCCTCGGCTGGTTTCGCCGGCGAGCTTGCCAACTACGGCGAGTACTCTGGTGCTCCCACCGAGACGCAGACCTTCCAGTACGCCCGCACTGTCCTGGACCTCATGCTCCGTGCGCCCACGCACCCTGAGGGCAAGGTTCTCTTCATCGGTGGCGGTATTGCCAACTTCACCAACGTAAGTGATGCCCTTTCTTTCGGCTATTGTGATGGCTCAAGTCTAACCCGCCACAGGTTGCTTCCACCTTCAAGGGTGTCATTCGCGCTCTGCGCGAGGTCGCGCCGGTGCTCAACGAGCACAAGGTGCAGATCTGGGTGCGCCGCGCTGGACCCAACTACCAGGAGGGTCTCAAGAACATCAAGGCTGTCGGCACCGAGCTCGGTCTCGACTTGCACGTGTACGGCCCCGAGATGCACGTCTCGGGTATCGTGCCCCTTGCGCTCAATGGCAAGAAGAGCGAGGTCCCCGAGTTCAGCGGCTAAGTGTAAAATATACCAGTGGGGGGTCTTTGGAGTGGATTGTCGTTTCTCTTTTTTAAACTTAACGAGCCTATGGGATGCTGAAGTGACGGCACGGGATGGGCTGTATGCATGGCCTCATATGCATCGAGGCGTCATGTTTTAGGATTCAAGGGTAGATGCCAGAGTTGCGCCACTGCCTTGAGGTTATAATAGGTCTTCGCCGGCGCTAAAGAACGATAGACAAATGCATGTTTTGGATCAGATACACAGCTCTTTCCGCACTGCACCAGACTGCACAGAGTCTCCCAACCATCTGTTTTGTGAAAATCACGACCGGGCCTTCGAGTATAGATGCGAGGGGTCAGGGCTTTCCCAAAGTCAATCTGTGAAGGTTACAGCAAACATGCCTTCGCTCTAAGCGCGGCCGAAGATAACACATGTCATGCAAGTGCAGATACAGGTTCAGGTCAAAGTATACCAAAGTAGAAAAAATTATATATATTATCACACTGTGTTTGAAACGCAGGTAGAGATTGCGAAGCCGCTAGACAGCCAGAACAGCAGAAAACGGGATTTCCCAAACAAAGGCAGCGCCAAGCACGGCGACGACGGATGCCGAAGCAGCCATGACAAAGTTGACTCCGTTGTTGCTCAGAATGTCCCGTCCGGTGTCGAGCCTCCTGCTCTCGTTGTGTTTGCCGTCTTCAGGCATGATGCTGCCGGCTCTTCTGGCAGACTCGGCCGTCGCCGCATCGACTCCCGACGACGATGCCACACTGCCGGCGCCCTCCTGCTGCTCCGCCGCGCTGCGGACCTTGGCGCGTTGCTTGAGATGCAACGAGCCGGCGGCGTGGACGGGCACTCTGCGACCGCCGGCGCCCTCCACCACCTTCCCGGTACGCACGTCGACGACGCTGGCCTGGAGGAGCGCGCCGAGGAGCGAGTCGAGGAGGGAGCCGAAGACGCCGACGGCGGTCATGGCCGCGACGAAGGCGGCCTTGGAGGACGCGTCCCACTCGCGGCAGAAGGGCGTGAGGGCGACGGCCGTCAGAGATATCGCCGCGGCGCCCGCGACCGCGGCGAGCAGGCCGGCCGGCGACACGCCTCCGTTTGTGCCGGGCGGGACGGCGCGCCACGGGGCGGTGATGAGACGAGGGCGCGACTTGGACAGGAGGCCCAGCTCGGAAGAGAGGGTGTCGGCCGCGACGGCGGCGTAGTTCGCGACGATGCCCACGACGGGCAGGTGGCTCGCGGGCTTCCAGCAGGCGGTGCTGGAAGGCGCAGACCGGGAAAGCTGCCGGGTGTGTAGGAGGATGAGGGCGGAAGCGACGAGCGAGTTCGCGAGGACCTGGACGTGGGTGCGGGCGCCTTCGCCGCCGGACGCGCCGGACGAGGACTGGGTCAGGCGGGCTTTCACATCGTGCTTGACCTGCGGTGTAAGGGTTAGCGACGGAGGGCGAGGCACGGAGCTGATAGGACGAAGATACCTTGGTGGCAGCCGTGCCGATGAGGAAAAAGACGGCTAGCAGGGCGAAGAAGACGCTCCACGGGTGCACAGCATGGGCGACGGCAGTGAGGACGGCGGTGGCGATGCCAAGCGGGGTCAACGATTTACGCGACCAGGCACGGTAGACCAGAGCGGCGGTTGCTGGGACAGCCACGGCGGGTTTCATAGCTGTTGGTGTTGAGAGAGCAGCTCCGACGTTGGCCGACGAGGCAGCAGGGCTTGCGTCACCGTTAAGTTCAACAAGTGCGCGCGCATGCCAAGCCGCAGGGCCCCGGCTTGAGCTTCAGCCCGCCATCTGTTGAGCGGGCGGCATGCTTGGTTCACGGGCCTTCTCAATAATGCTGCGAGCGGATCATTCCCGAAAGAATCGTCGCCGAGCCGAGGCCAGCGGTGCGTGCAACTCCGAGAGACTCTAACCCTCGCCGAGGTAGCGGAGCACATCGTCGGAGGAATAGAACAGTCTTTGCAGTTGCTCCCTCCGCCGCCTGGCGTCGTCGTCAATCCTCCGGGCCTCCTTCGCATTCTGCTTCTCCACCTTGGCCTTGGGGGCAGTGTTTTTCGGCACGACGCATCCGAGGCCGACGGTGTTGTCCTTCCTCTTGGGTTTTATCGGGTGCAGAATGCCTTCGCCGGCCTTGCCCAGGCCCTTTCGGGCGTCCGGGTCCCAGCCCTGGGCCTGGAGGAAGGACAGGCCTTTTCTGGTGCGCTCGATGGCCGAGGGCGGGTGCGAATGCTGCACACACACCTGGTGGGCCAGGGTGCTTTGGTGGCCGTCGACCAGCGGCAGGTCGCACACGGCGCATCTCTCGGGCTTCGGCGCCGGCTGGGCGTCGTCTTGACCCCGGTCCGGTCGCGGCTCTGGCTTCTTGCCGCCGCCGACAATGGACAGGTATAAGTCGGCCACGGCAGGGCCGTCGGCGGCGGGCTGCGGGGTGGCGGGCGAGGAGGCCGGGACGAACTTGACGCGCGTGCGCTTGAGCCCGGCGCCGAAGTAGCGCTGGTCTTTTATCGGGATCGTATATGTCTCGTCATCGCTGGCGCTCATTTCGCGTGCGGGCGGGCGTGCGGGCGTGCTGCAGCTGCAGCTGGAGGGGGGCAGCGGTTGCGTTGACGGGGAGTGCGAGTATCGAGTATCGAGTATCGAGCAGGCGCCGAATGCACGGGCCCGTCTCGAGATGCAAAGCATCACTCACCACTTCCAACCAAGAACATCGACCCAACTGCATCTACCTCACGCGGATAACACATGTACTGCGGCATGCTTGCTTCAACCATCCAGGCAAAGGATCGTCGCAGGCCGATTTCAGACGGATGGTTGCAGAATCCGTATGGGCGTATAAACTTCACCATGTATTAACTCCATATAAGCAGCACAAAGGCCAGAAAACGAGACACGTCCGCCATGCTCCCCGGCCTACGAAAAGCCGGCCAGCATCGCCCGGCAAACATCGCAGGTGCAGATGGTGCCGAGCACTATTCCCTCTCTATTGGCCAGCGTTTCCGACCACGCTGGGGGCTCGCTCCAGTACCGTAGGTACGAGTCTTGGGCGTCGTTCTGAGCGCGTTCCATCAAAGCTGCCAGCTCCTGCGGTCTCCTTGCTGATAGCTTGGGCGCCGCCGCTCTTTTCCCTTTCCGTTTTCGGACAGCATTGGCCGCCCGTTCCTGCCGTAAAAGCTGTTTGTTGCGGTGGGCCACCAGGCCGATGCCGATGGCGAACACGACGACGAGGAATGCCGTGAGGCCTGCGGCTTCGCCCGCTTGGAGAGTCCGTGGTTCAAGTCGCCTGGTGGTTCTCTGGCGAGGGTCGAGTTGGCTGGCTGGAGCTGGCTGAGAAGAGGGAGGCCAAGGCTCCTCGGAAACATTGACAAAATCCACAGCGACCATGCTGTTGCTTGAGAGTCATCCCCATGCCAAGAAAGCTTGAGGATTGCTTGGGTAAAGAGAAAGTGAAAGGCCAGGCCAAGCAGTAAAGACGACAGATGACTGCAGCTCAGCCCGAAACAGGAGACTGATCTGCGCCGATGTCTTGGACGCACACGGCCAAAGAAGAGACACCATGGCGAAACAAAGTACGGTTTTTGACGAGCATATGGCTTAGCATGCCCATCCCCCGTCAATACTGTATGTGCTCCCGGTTATGAAGGCAGCCTTGTCACCCAGAAGGAACAGAATTAGCTCTGCCACCTCTTCCGGCTTCCCAATGCGCCTGATAGGCGTCTGAATATCGGTGCGGTCTTTCTCTAGCACCATTCTGGTATCGATCGCTCCCCTGTTTGTGATGAGTAACGTGTCTTGGACGGGCTGAGTAGGGGGCGTACGGAGCAACAGCATTGATTCGCACCCTCCTCTCTCCTGTCTCCTTTGCCGCACTCTTCACAAGGCCCAGGACGCCATGTTTGCTTGCGGCGTAACTAGCGCTGGTTGGGAAGCTATTACGAAGTCATCAGTCCAAGACTGCAATTCGTCGAGAGGGGAACAAGAAACGGATGACATACCCTAGGAGGCCTTGGACGCTGGATATGCACACGATGCTCCCTCCGTCTGCGATGTTGTTGATTTCAGAGCGAAGGCAGTAGAACATGCCCTGGGCTGCATGAGCTGAAGTCGGTGGGGGCTGGGGGAAGAGGGCTTACCGTGAGGTTTACGCCGAGAAGTATAGCCCAACGTGAATCGGACGTGTCGGCGAGATCAGGCTGCGCACCAGTATCCGACAAGTTCACTCCAGCTGCATTTACCGCAGCGTCAATGACGCCTCGACCGCCCCATTCGGTGGTTTCCTCGATCCACGCATCGACTTCTTTCGAAACAGTGACGTCCACCTTTTGGAATCGAACTCGCTTTTCCTTGACAGCGGCCTCGAAGTGCTGTTGTTGTTGTTCCAGCTTCGCCTCGTCCACATCGGCCGCCGAGACCCTGGCGCCCTGAGAAAGTAGGAGGTTGACTGTAGACAAACCAATCCCTTGTGCCCCCCCACTGACTGCGACTATTTTGCCGTCCATGCTGCTGCTATGGCGATGTTACAAGGGTGGATGAGATTGAGTTAGGTCGAAGAACCGTGGTTTCAGCAGCTTACCCCGCACGGAACGTCATTGTTGGAGCGGGGAGAGTGTCGATTCCATCAGACATCGGGACGGTGGATTGGCTGCTGACTGATGACCCCGCGTCTGATATGGTTTTGGTATCGATTATCTCACTCCTTCTTCCCCACTTCCTATACACCGCTATTAACTAAGACTTGTTCAACGAAATTCAGAAGAGCGTGGTCAAGTCTGGGCTCATTCAAAATTTGAGGGAGGTGCCATGAAACGTGGCCACCCTACATTACCCGCTGCAAAGGAAAGCTGGATGGCGTACGAAAGCCCTGCGGCGCAGTATGGTAGCAAAAAAAGAAAAAAAAACATGGTAGAAGATTCAAGATATAGATCTCGTCAGAGACTTCTGTTGACTGGACAAAATACATATTTCCCCCTAGATAATCGTACTAGAAAGGTTGCGATGTAGAGGCCGTTGATACTTGAAGTCAAAAATTTACGGCACAAAACGGGACTCTAGCGCAAAACCTGCAGCAAAAGAGGCGGTCCGTGTCAGCACAGTTCCACGCTATTCTTAAGCACAAGTGGTCGGGCACGCCAAAGTCGCTGAAAGAAAGCTTTGTCGAATAATGGAGCATCAAACAATTTTCTAGGGTACCTCGCCTAGTGCGTAGTCCATCCAGCTCGCGTGGAATGCTACCGCCCTTGCTCTAGAGGGGACAGCGTTCAATAATCTAGTGTATTATCGTTACAGAATTTTCATGGTGCGCTAATCTCGGCAAGACAACCCTGCGGGTTCATGTAGTATGTATGGTGAGCCCCTTTCCAATGTAGGATGGGCTTTAGTCAGGGTTACTCAAAGGCAGAGGTCCAGATGGTCGGTGACTTCTCGAGCTTGGAGCGGCCACGTCAAAGGAGCTGATCATACGAGTGGCCATGACCTGAAATGGGCGCGAATAATTGGGACCAAGCGTCCGATTGCGGAGCCCTGCACGCTTGAAAGGTAGGGTCCATTTAGCCGGAGGCGGATCCTCCGGCATGCTTTCCAAATGGGTACCTGGTCCTCATATTCCGAGGCACACTAGCATAGTCACACGTCACAGTCCATCGGGAGAGGAAGCGCGGTTGTTGCGCTTCGTGTCGCGGTACTCGGAACACGGTTCGAAGTTGAGCATTGAGAGCACACGTGGAAACAAACTTTGCAACAGATCAAACTCTCCTGTTCATGTTTCCATCCAGATTAAAATTCAACGGATCGGTTTCACCAAGCAGTGCCAATCGAGATTATGTTACAGCATGACTGCCTATTAATTTTTTCGTCTGGGTATAGTATGATACAAGATCCCGTTTCCAGCATTGCTGTCCCCGACGTTCAGCTCAGAGACTGATGACTTTCCGCTGCTTACAAGCCGGCAACCGCGGCAACAGCGACGGCAAGGCCGACAACGCCACCAAAGACGCCAGCGGTGGGAGCGGCACCTTCAAACTGGGACGGGGTCGGAGTGGCACCGCCGGGAGTCGAGGCGCCAGGGGTGGTCGGAGTGGCAACCGGGGTGGAGATGACGACGTCGGTAGCCGAGGGGGAGGAAGTCACGGTAGAAGTGGCAGCGGCCGAGCTGGATGCGGAGGCGGGGGTAGTGGCAGCAGCAGAGGACTCGGCGGTGGTGGCGGCAGCAGAGGAAGCGGCCGGGGTGCTGGCGGCGGCGCTGGACGAAGGAGCAGCGCTAGACGAGGCAGTGGGCACAGTGATGGTGATGCCGTACTGCTCGCAGAGAGCAACGACCTGCGAGGCAACGGCTGCAAGAGATTGTCAGATGGGATGTGTCTGAGCATCTGCAAAGGGGAACGTACCCTGTTGGTCAGAGGCAGAGCAAGCCTTCTGGACGCAGGGAGTGATCTGGTCGGTCAGGCCGGGGACCTTGCAGTGGCACTCAAAGTCGGTCAGGGACGCGCAGCCATCGCTGCCCAGAGTGTCGACGAAGCAGTTGAGCTGTCAAGTGTCAGCACGGCTGGGCGTGTTCGACGAGAGAAGGCGGCGTACCGAGCAGCTGGGAAGGTCGGAGATGCTCTGAGAGTAGGCAACAGAGGCCAGGGAGACGGCAACAGCAGCGAAGGACGTCTTCATGATGACTGGTGGGTTGGTATGATGCCTTGAGCGAGTGGCTGCGGTGGTGAAGCGACAGTGGAGTGGATGAGACTGTACAAGCGAAGTGTGCTGCTGTCGAGCAAGCAGTCGCTGAGGCGGGTAGCTTTATATGCAAAGGCAGGTCTCTGATGCGTCACATGCGTGGGACTCGACCAAGCATCGCAGCTCAATGCTTCGGCATCCTTGCGTGGCTCTCGGCGCCGAGGAGAGCTTCTGATCGTGGCAGCCATCGCGGCGCCCCCGCATAGGCAAGAAATTAGAGGCGCAGATCATAGGGAACAGTTGCCGAATGGGCTTGGGGGCCTGGGGCTGGAGCGGCGATTGGCGAGCAGGCTTTGGATCCACGCCACTGCCTAGTGCTGGCTTGCCGGCCCAACGGCGGAATACGAGCATTTGCTGCAACGTTGTGGAGGTCGTCTGCAGTATTGATCCAGCCAAGTGTGTGCAACTGTGGTGACCTTTCTTCACCACGATGGACCCAAAACCGCACGAGTGGCGCGTAGCGGTGCGAGACTGTGGATCCGGAACAGGCGTCAAAGTGCAGGGCGGCTGAAGACAGGCCGGTGGCAGCGGTGATGGGAGTGACGAGGGCGTTGGCAGCTGGTCGGCGCATTGGCTGCAACGGGCACGAGCCTGTGCTTCCCCAGACGCCACCCGCCGCTCCATTGGCCCGCGGCACGGCGCTCTTCTCCCAATTAGGCAGGCCCACGCCCATTGCCCAGACGAGCGACAACTGTGCGATGCAGCAGCCAGTAGCGCCAGACAGGGGTCTGGCGAGGGGCGGCGGCGGATCTGGGGTATAGCCGCTGTGTGGGGACGTGAGCCGGGTGCCTTGCCGTGCGTCCTGTGCTGTCCCTCCAGCCTCGACCGACACTGACGAGAAGAAGGCGTGTAGTGCCGCCGACGCCGCGCCTCGGCCCAGCTGCTCGTGTGAGTATCGATTCTTCTGCGCCGCTGCGCCGCTGCGCCGCACCGTCCAACAGTCCGGCGACAGGGCCTCGGGAGACATGCAACCCTATCCGGACGACACTAACATTTGTAGTCATGCGCTCGCCTGATCTTGCCATTAGCCTCGCTTGTCTGCTGCCAACAATACTCGGGTCGACGCCGTACCTGCATGGATCCGCCCTCAGCTCGAAAAAGCCGCAGGAGCAATGATGCACGCGACGGCTATCCAGATCGGCCGGCCAACATGGGGCGAAAGGCACATGCAAATTGACAATGGTGGCTGGTCCAATCACCACCCTCTCCCTCTCTCTCCGCATCTCCAGTTCCTCGGCTGAGGCCAGGACGCCCCTTGACAACAGGAATAGTCTTGCCCACGGGAGCCGCAAACTCAGGCACCGCAGGAGTCCGATCCAATCCAGACGCAGCTTCGTAGATGAGGGCTGGAAACACAATCTCCGTGACGTGCCATCTGGCATTTCCATCATGTCGATATCTGCCAAAGACTGCCTTTCATCTCCGAGGCCTGACTGTTTGCCTGGACAAGCGGCAGTCCATCCTGGGTGTAGGTCGTGACTGGCTACATTCGTGCAAGTCCGGGCTAGGACCTGCCGGCACGCGGTTGAGCTCGCCGCTCAAATCGACCTCTCTCCACTAACTCAGGAGTCGTAGAGCAGGCTGCTGGGTAGCTGAGTCTCTGTTTGTAAACGCCTGGCTTATCCGGTCTGAACGGGACAAGGGTGGGTGCGGCACGGATGCTCCCCAATTCAACCCGCCAGAAATCATTGCTTGCAGCCGAGGTACCAGATGGCCGTGGGGTAGACTTTACCTATATAGTCAACGGTTTTGACATATCCATATGGCTGCACCTGCGATGAGCCCAATCATTCGTGCCATTCTGGGAGAAGCGACAAGTTGATGGCACCGTTGTCTCCCCTGAGATACAAGTGCTCTAGTGTATGGTATTCATCCGGAAGGTGATACACCTTGACACTGCCGCCTACTGCAACATAAAGGGACGAGGCGGGACTTCCTGTCTAGACATCCGTTTAGTTTAATTATCGCGGTACGCATGTGGTCGAATGCCGCAACATCGGATGATCTGGACTGTCGTTTTTCGCTGCAGTGCCATCACAGCAGGTGTGACAAGAATGCCGTCCCGGCAGCTGATGGTGACATATTCTTGGTTGGCCCCATGGCGGTCCTGTAAATCGTCTGTTATGTTTTCCTGGGTTTGTCCATGGACGCTCGGAGCTACAGTCTGCGGCGTACTGTGTGAGAAGGCGCAGCACAGGCCTTTTGTGGTGGTCTCGAAGACGCCCTCTGGACAAGGCCTTTTCCTGACAGAGACTGTCTTCGGACGCAGTGAGTTTGTAGCTGCGGGACTATTTCGGAGAGGCCATGCAGAATAACCCCGAGGCAAAAATTTTGCCAGCCGTGTCAGTAAGACCATGTCTGAAGCCTACTCAGCCCAACAAGGCGACAAAAGAAATGCGTCACCAACGGAAAGATAGCAAGGCAGAGGAGAAGCACTGTTCATCAGCGGCCATGCCACCACCAAACATGCATCCTCTTCAAAGATAGGTCCACCCTCTGTTCCAAGGAGCAAAACTGAAGACTTCCCACAACACAAAAGAGTATGCTGAGTGCGTTGTTATGCGTCGGCCGGGAATCGAACCCGGGGCTCATCGAGTTTGGTGTTGAGGCTTTGGGAGGGCACCGGAAGATACTCTCTTTGGGACCTACAACCCTTGGCAACGATGAATTTTACCACTAAACCACCAACGCATTGCAGACAGACGACTGCTGTATGAAGGCAGTCATGGAGCCCGTGGCTCATGAGGAGAAGGATGGACGAACGAGCATGGCACCGCAAGCAATGAAAGTGGACCAGGAACAGAAGTAGGAGAGGAAGGACTGTTGGAGGAGACGGACAGTGTTTGGAGACGCAGAGCAGGGGGAGTCTGGGCGTGAAAAAAGAATCAACGGAATGGAACCACGGTACTGACAGAGCCAGGCCGGGGAATGTGGAGACGGTTGGGAACGGCGAGATGCGGGTAGAAGAGCAGCGGTGCGGAGAGGCGCAGCGACAGCGCAGAGGCACCTTGGGGACGGGCGGCAGATAGGGGCAGCGTCGGGGGCAGCGGGTGTCGGGTGTGGACTCGCAGGTCAGGAGAAGTCGTGATGTGGCAGGGCGGGGAGCGGAGCGCGTCGCGGTGGTGGTGGACGTTCTGCCGGGCGGGATGGCGTCACACGCGCGCCGCGTCCTCCGCACGTGAAGCAAGCCCCAACCAAAACATCCCATCCGCTCTTCCTGCTCCTTGCTGCCTGCTCCCCCTCCCAGCTGCCACGCCCGCCTGCCTGGCACCATGACCCGCAGGCCATGACCCGCCGCCGCCCGTCCACGCCCGCCTCCGCTCGTCTCCGGCGTCACCACCAGCCTGTTCACCGCCAACTCCGCAAACATGTCCTCTAGGCCGAAGCGCACCCCCACCATCACCCTGCAGGAGAACCAATATGTCCGCGAGGTCCTGCATGCCCCCGAGCCCGCTCCGCCCGTTCCTGCCCGCTTCTTCTACACCAGCCCACTCGCCATCGACGACCCGCTCAGTCCGCTACCGCCTCCCGTCACCGGCTCCTCCGCCCCGCACAGAGAGCCTCCCCGGCCCTTCTCCGTCTACGATAATCTCCAGCTGGAGCAGGAATGGCTGGACCTGCGCAAGAAGCTGTTGAAGCACAGTGAGGAGCAGGGCAGCGAGAAGCAGCAGCAGCAGCAGGATCGCTCTCGCCCGGGCTCTTCCAAGAAGAATGCCTTGGAGTTGAGCGCTCAGGATGCCCGGAGAAGAGGCTACACTATTCCCGAGGGCCGTGAAATCATAAACAAGAGGGGCCAGTCGTCGCGTCCCTCGGGCTCCTACTCGTGGGACGACCGGACCAAGGACGACGACAAGGACTTCAGGACGCAGCCTACTCTTTCCGGCTCGCTGCGCACTCTGGACCCTGCCGATCTCGAAGTTGTGCTTGACCACGGAGCTACCACCGGCACTCCCTTTGTCAGAGCTCCGTCGCGAAGAAGTGTCCCGCGCCCTCTGATCCAACCCCACGCCGACAGCTACAACTGGGCCGACGACGACGCCCTGGCCATGCCTTCGCCTCGGAGCTCCAAGAGAGACAGCAAGGTCGAGCCAAAGCCGAGCGGCCCCTCCGCCAAGGTCCCCGTCGGCGTCTCGAGGCTCCACGAGGTAGTCATGCCCGGTCTTCAGTAAGTCTTTACTCTCCACCCATGATCACCATCAGACCCCTCTAACCAAGCAGGATGGAACCAATCTACTGGTCCCCGCTAAATGACGCTGCCCCAGTCATCCGAGGTACCTGGTTCTACACCGATACCATGCTGCCGGTCGAGCCCGAAGTCGCCAACCTCCTTGAGGCCGGCTACGGCTCCCTGCAACCCTGGACACAAACATGGAGGGATGAGCTCGACTGCTCCGTCGAAGTGGGCGCAGTGGGCGAGATGAAGATAGTCCATTCTCTGTGGCCCGAGAAGCAACCGAAGCCATCCAAGCGCAATTCGGAGAGCAGGCCAAGCACTTCAAGAGGTGAAATGGTTGTCCAAACTGCCACCGAGGACGAGCCTTCGCCGGAAAAGGAGCGAGAGGAGATAGTTGAACACGCACGAGACATGATCGATATTTCGAGCGGCCCGGAGGGACCGGACAATAAAGCTTCTGGAACTGCCACATATGGGAGAGATGGTCGGAAGCGCCTCTATCTTGATGCAAAGGTAATCTATTCAGACGAAAAGAACGCCTACCTCCTCCGGCCGAGTCTCCAACCTTCCGACTACTACGGCCGGCGACCCCTGGCAAATTACATCCGCAAGGGCCGCAAGATTGGCATCCAAGTCACCCGTGGATTCGACCAACAGATCTGGGATAAGCTCCACCCGGTGCAAAAGACGGCAGCTTCGGAGAAGGCTAGGGAAGGCGTGTCGACCTCACATGGAGGCGCGCCTCCCAAGCGCAGAGCTCAGATGGACGCCTCTCTTGCTCATTCCGAACGGCCCGTCGTGACGGACCTGGTCCTTGTAATTCATGGCATCGGTCAAAAGCTGTCGGAGCGTATTGAAAGCTTCCACTTCACCCATGCAATCAATGCGTTCCGGCGAGAGATGAACGTTGAGCTGGGAACAGACAGCGTGAAGTCCAACCTAAGAGATGACATGGGCGGCATCATGGTCTTACCGGTGAGTGCACTTCTTCTAACCATGCTGCCGTGGCTGACAGACGCCAGGTCAACTGGAGGCTGAGCCTGTCTTTCGAAGATGGCGGATACCGAGACCGCGACGAGGAGGAAGACCCTGCTTCAAATCAGTACACGCTGAAGGACATAACCCCGGACGCGTTGCCTTCGGTGAGGAACATCATCAGCGACGTCATGCTTGACATTCCTTACTACTTGTCAATGGAGCATCATACGAAGATGATTGCCGCGTGCATAAGAGAAGCCAATCGCATCTATCGGTTGTGGTGTGCCAATAATCCCGGCTTCTCGCACTGGGGAAGAGTCCACATAATTGCGCACTCGTTGGGGAGTGTCATGGCTTGTGATGTTCTAAGTCACCAACCGACATACGTTGATCGAGCCTGGGCCGACCCGAAGACGGCCGAGGAAGACCTTCCGACTGACCATTTCGTGTTCGACACGACAAATCTTTTCCTCTGCGGTAGTCCGGCCGGGTTTTTCCTCTTGCTCAAAAAAGCCTCGCTGCTCCCCCGCCATGACAGACAAAAGCCCGGCGGCCAGTTCCCATACAGTCCCGGCGTTGCTGGGGACGCCGACACATATGGGTGTCTCGCCGTCGACAATGTTTACAACGTCGTTAATCCCTATGACCCCGTAGCATATCGTCTCAACGCGACCGTGGACGCCAATTACGCCCAGAGTCTGAGGACTGCCTTCGTACCTAGCTCCAACACATCATGGCTGAGCTTTGGCAACCCCTTCCGCCGCTCCGCCGACTCGACTGCAGCCTTCAGGGCCAGCATGCCGCGTATGCCCTCCAACGTAGAGCTCGAAACACACAATTTTACACGTGAAGAAATAGCCGAAGAACGCGCCTATGCGCTCAACGACAACGGCCAGATCGACTACTTCATGAAGTACGGAGGCGGCCCGCTCGAAATCCAATATCTGACCATGCTGGGCGCGCACAGCAGCTACTGGATCTCGCGAGACTTCGTCAGGTTGATTGTGACCGAAGTGGGCAGACCGTTTGGCAAGGACGGGACCACCATCTCCATGAGAGCGGTCAAGAGGAAGATTGAACGATAGGAGCACGACCCTGCTCTCGGCGGCCCAGGGTAGCACTGCCCCACGACCGTCTTACGAATGCATGACCATCATCTTTCGAGACAACCTAGCGCATGAATGACGGCGTTTTTTACATAGACTTGAGTACGGAGATTGTAATGAGGTATGTAGATACCCTAGAATGTACGTTTTCGTGTCAAATCGAGCGTTGTTGGGGCTGGGCTCGCTGCAGTCGGTGGCGATGCTCACCACCCGAGCACATGGCCACGTTTATACTGAAGCTATATCTTGTAATGGACTGGCGGTTCTGCCGGCACCCCTTCTTGGAAATCACGTATGGAACGTTATTACACAGTGCTTCATGACGGTCGCTACCTATAGTTATGATGTACGAACAAGCCGCGCGGGGTGATACTACGTTGTGGTCTGTAGAAGGCGGCACGCATACTGACAACCGGAGATGATACGGAAATACGAAGTAGTAGCAAAGTTAAAACCTGGCCTATAGAGACAGAGAGCCTATTCTCAAAGACGAACCCTTAACCTCCTTACGGCGGAATCCATGAGGACGTCACGCGGAATGCAGCACAACGGTAAAGCATACATGTAGGTCGCGAACCGCGTCCCCGGCGATCGCTCCAACTTTCCGCCACGTAGACACGAAGGAAGCAACCCAGCTCTCGCAACCAACGAGGTCAGGCAGGCTCATAGTGGTGCCGGTGGAGACGGCGACCAAAACTACAGCCGAGACTGGCTGGCCGTGCTCCCGTAGGAGCAAAGGCCGAAACCACTAGAGAAAGCGGCATGCATGCCACATCAATAAAGGGGGGGACCGACATGCTCGCGGGCTGGGAGGCCCGGGTCGGGCTAAGTAGATAGACACCTTTCCACAAGTGGCAGTAATGGCAGCAGCAGCAGCATTGGTAGAGTGCCGATCGCAAAACATAGGCAGCCCGGGGCCCCCCTTATGCATCATCTAGAATCCGCAGTAGTGAGATATAGTAGGGTCTATCAACCCGAGAAAATAGACCTGAAAGCTACCACGCAGATCACGGCTACGCCGGCGGGAGGGGGGAGGGCTTTGCGCACAGGATGCCTATTTTGGCAATTTGCGAAAGTCGCGGGTCGGACAGGCCGAAAAGCAAGACAGCAACCAGAGCTCCTCTCCCACGGCAGGGCAAAGGATCAAACACATTTCGATGAGCTGCTTGCAAGCTCCTAGAAGTCAGGTGGCTAGCGCAGCGCAGAAGTGCGTGAATTTCTGGCCAACAAGTCGCGACCCAATCCCCAGACGGCCGCCTCCGCAGCCCGTGCCCTTTGCCGCCAGCCATCCGCAAGCCGCGCAGATGACCAAGCCGCGTCGTCAGCCTATTTGGGCGGGAGGCGGGAGGGGACGGCCGCGGGAGAAGAAATGGAATTCCTAATCAGCCATGATTATTTAAGCTCGCACCGAGAATGGGCGCGAGGCCGGCAGGGCTGGCGGAAGAGGCGGTCGTCGAGGGACCAGCAGGCTTAAATCTAGGGCAGTGTTTTAGCCAACACATGCACCCGCGGTCCCTCCGCGAGCTTTGCAGCAATCGGCGTTAGTGGCCAGCCACCGCGATAGTGCGAAAGCGAGGGCATCCAAGTCGCCGGAGGGTCGCTGAGCCGCTGTGGTGACGACAGTCAAGACAGAAGCTGCCTTGCTTCGGGACGTGGCTCAGTTGCAGTTGCAGATCCTGGCGTACCTAGTCGCGGCCATCATGGGGTGCGCAGGCACGACTGCTGAGCCCGCGAGCGTTGCCACCGACTCCTCTTGCTCGACACGCAATGACGTTCTCACCCCCGCCCACGAGCAGTCGGCGCGTTGTTGGAGCTGGCCCCTTGGCGGCGAGTCGACAGATTGTTCTTGACTGACTGTTGCAAGGCCGACATGCCCACCCACGTAGGCGAATGCCGCCGTGTCCACGAAGGCTCAGACGCCGCACCAACCGCGCAACTGCACGCGTTCCTTGCCAACCGCACCGCAGCCACGCCCGCCGCGTCCTCTACAACCCTGGCTTTTCTCCGGCTCTGTGCGACGTGCGTGTGTTGGCCTGCAACCCGTGCAACCTCAACCCTTTGCAATCTTTCAGCCGCAGCGCCTAGAGCAGCATGGAGAGTCAAGAGCCCGCCGGCCAGCCCTAATCAGCCTACTGATCTACCCGCCTGCCCGCCTACCTGTGCCTACATCCGTACACGGTGCCATTCGCCGGTGTCGCGAGCCGAGCCATAGTTCGGCCGTTTCGTCAGGCGCATTGGACAATGCGAAGCCACCGCCAGATGGATGGGGATGGAATCAAGGCCGGATATCGCTCTCCACCGCCCGCCTGGCGGCTGCCTGCCAGCTTGAGCCAACGGAAAACAACAGCCCGCGCGGCCGGTGGAGCTGTCCAAGCCGCGGCCGCCGGTGCCAACCTCGTCGCTCGCCCCGCAAATCACTGCGACGGCCGCTCTCGACCGCGGTGCATGCGTGTTGCTGTTCTGCAGGTGCTGCGAGATTGCCTGCGCATAGCATGGCTTGGGGAATGCCAGAGGGGGGGGCGGGCGTCATGGCACATGCCGTATGCGCGCCATCGCCGGGGGACGGAACAGCGGGGGGGCTTTTCTGGCCTCCGGCGGTCTTCCTTGCAATGCGGCGTGTGGTGGCTTGGCGGCGGGCCTGCGACTCCTTGTCCGCGGACTGCACTTGAGCCTCGTGGGCCGGTTGACAAGACGGCAAGACGGCAAGACGGCGCTGTGCGGGTGTGCGGGTCGCTGGCACCAGGCAGCAAGGTGCCGTGGGCGGGCAAGGCACGAACAACGGCATCGTACGAGCAAACGAGAGGGCGGGAGGGCAGGGCGGAGGGCCTGATTGCCCAGCTGGCCGCACACAAGCCTGTCTCAGAACCGACGTCTCAGGTGTGGTGTGGTCGTGTGCGAGTGGTGAGTCTCAATGGCTAGTCGCGCACCTGATGCGGCTGCGACTCTGGGCCTGGTGCCACGGCGCGCAGCCTGGGGGTGTGCTACACCGTACACGCGCATCCTGCGCACCATCAAAACGACTCCGGAGTCTGTTGGGCTGGCCGGCGGTGGAGCGCAGGCACGTCGGCAAATCGGTGGCAGCAATGCGCTCATTTGGCAATTGCTCTCGCCGTTTACACACTCGTCCCCCCTCTTGGCGGCGTGGAGCTGAATTAAAGCGTCGTGGTTCCGCCAATGGCCGGCCGCGAGCGAGCAGATGGCGGGGCCGCATGGGCGCCGACTGATCATGCTGGTGGGCGGGAGGACAAGGCCGACAAAACAAAGCAGCCCTGCCCTCTCCTGCTGCCGCTACTGCACATCGGAAACAGCAGCCAGCGCGAGGATTTTCGCGCAGCCAGGTCTAGGCTCGCGGGCAGGAGGGGCCTCTCAAGGGGCGACCGCAGGCGGCGGCGGGCGGGTGGACGGGCGACGGGCGGCGGACGGACTCTGCTCCAGGCATTATTGCGCAACGGCGTGGCTCCCAAGCTCTTGCTCCAGTGACAGGACGGGCGCGGTAAACGGACCAACAGGCGACGCGGCAAATGAGGGGATGTCCAGCGTAGGGCGTCGCGGCGTGTATAAAAGTTGGGGGCCAAAACCCAAGCGGACCCCGCAACCCGCGGTGTGGCTCCTGGCACCTGGGCACCTGGGCACCTGGGCACCTGGGCACCTGGGGCAGCCGGGCAGGGACGCGTGGAAGGTCGGGTCGAGGGCGGTGCGTGATAGGACAGCCTTACGGCAGGCAGCCATGCAGGCTGCATCCGAACCAGAGCAGAGTGCTCGCCGTGCAGCGGTGGCCGGGCTCGCTGTTGGCGGGAGCCGAAGGGGGGGCAGGTGTTTCTGCTCTGATCCACCGTGGCGCATGCTGTGTGGAGTTTCGCGGGTTGGGGGCGGAGTGTTTGCGCGAGGGCTGGAATGGACCTGCTTTTCCAGAGAGCCGCCGTTTGCGTTGGATGTGATGCGAATGCGAGACGTCGTCGAGGGCCCTGGCCGCCCACCTTGGCTAGCTCAAACGGTCGTGTGCGTGGGCCGGAAACAGAGAGGCTCGCAGCGCTCGCACAGCGCACCGGGTCCTGCGACAAGCATCTGACGGATTTTCGCGGGTTCGCCTGCCGTGCTCTCGGGACGCGGGCTGACTGAGCGCGCCCACGTGCGGCAGCGGCGGGCGAACGTGCTGCGCTGGTGCGCTGCTGGTGCGCTGCTGCTGGTGCGCTGCTGCGCTGCTGCACAAGAGGCCGGGCGGGTCGCGAGGTGGTGACATGACGTTGCGGCCACGACTTCGCCGTCGCACATGCCGCCACGAGCGCGCGGCGCACCCCATCCACCGCATCCACCGTGCCCGCCCTCTGCTGCTGCTGCTGCTGCGTCACCCGAGAAGGTTTGCGCCCTTGTTTTGATGAGCAGAAGCGACCCGCGCCCGATGCATGCGTCCGCCCTCGCCAGCGCGCTCGCCCGCGGACAATGCGGACAATGCGGACAATGCCCAGCTCGCTCTCCGCACACACGAGGACTCGGCGTCGACCGCTCGTCGCCGCGTGCCTGGCCGGCCGGCGCGGGAGGCCGACAGGGAGCGCGCAACCTCTGCCAGGGGCATCGCGCAACCGCGTCTCGTAAGGCTGGGTCATGAGCCGCGCGCTTCTTCTCGTGTGAGCCCTGCTGCGTGCATACAAGTGCATCATCGAACGTCGTCGTCAATGAGTAATCCGAGTCTCTAGTCTACCAGGCCGTGCCATGTGCAACAATCGCGAAAGCTCCTCCGCCCGCACATGGGCCGAACCACCCCACAGAGAACGAGCGCCTGCCAATGCTCCCATGTGCCATCGCGCAACGTCGGTCCGCCTCCACAAAACCCTGCGTCGAGCATTGCCAGGCTCATCATCAGGCCGCCTCCGCCGTCAAGCGAGTACGAGACATCCTGGTGCAGCTCCCTTTTGCAACGTGATCTCGCGATTCCAGGACGCCGTGCGTCAGTCCTGCGTACCCGTGAGCCATTCGATTGCGCTACGTTCTGGACCCTCGTTTGCGCGAACCTGGCGAATCCACTATGTCGTATCGGCGTGTAGGATCGTCGTGCGGCTGAAGACGCCCAGTCAATCAACCCGCCTGGCACTACTGACTCGTCAACTTCCTCGCCTATCGACTTTGCCGGAGGCGGCCCTGTTCGCTCGTGAGGCATTGCGCCACCGGGAAGCCTGGCGCGGTTGAGTTGTACCAGATATTCGTCTGGGACGAGTCTTTGTCGTGGGTGCGGACTTGCCACACTTCCAAGTTGTGCCTAGTGCTTCAGCTCCCTTTGTTGTTGTGTAGTGCTGTGATTCGCATGTGAATCTGTCCAAGACCTGCTCGACTCTGTTACGCCTCCCTAGCTCTCTCATGGGGCTCCAGCTACTCTTACAAGACCCCTTTGCTCGCTATGGCGGGGTGGTTCGGGAGGGAGGGAATATCCTAATTTCCTCGATAGGAAGTTGCGTAGCTTAGCGAAGTCCGGGCTGGACGTGGCGTGCCTGGGATGCTGATATAGATATAAGTCTGTGAGAATACGTTAGCCTTATTAATCTAGGACCAAAGACACGGGGATAGAGGGCAGATGGTTTATAGTGTTTCGATGAACAGTCCGCAGGGCAATGAGACACCCAAGTGGGCTGCTACGTAAACAAGAACGAAAGCGCCCTTCACGTGGGCAACGAAGCTGAGGTCTGGAGGAGACAGGAAAGGGAGAGAACGAACGAAAGCGCCGACTGGATGGAACTATGCAAATTGTCCTAACATTCCTATGGGTGGGCTAGACAGTCGATCTCCTAACTAATACCTTCTTGAAGTAGTTGGAATCCACGCACCGGCGATGTATGACATAGCGTTTCTAAATTAGCAGACCTATTTCCTAGAGCTGATCAATCACACAGCTAGTCGTCGCTGGAAGGATTAACCGCGGAGATCATTGCTCCGCCAACGCAAGGGCTACAAGCGCCACGACTGCTGCTGCGGCCTCGAATCCTCCGATGGCTATGCCCAACAGTCGGACCGTCGTGAAATTTGCTCGCCCGTCTGCATGGGGGCCAAAACCTACTACGTCGCTTTCGCACTGCCTGGCAATCGTGCGCCTCCTTATGCCGCATCATCTCGCTCCTCACGTCTGCCAGACAGACGGCGTCTGCGAGGATCGTCGTGTTGGCAGGAGGGCCACAACCGCTCCGCCATCCATGGCACCATGCAGCCCTACCTACAGCACCGTTAGACGCGTGGGCTCGACTTCTAATATTGGACTTGAAACATAGACTGGTGCGCATGCGCGGGATCTGCCGTCGCCACATTTCCGCCGCGAGCCATTCAGCGGTGGGGAGCTGTTGTTTGCATGGCTTAGGACCACAAAGTAGGATGTGCATCATCATCACCACCCAAGTGTCATCCGCGCTCTTCTCGTACGTGGAACCAAGCCTCCAACGACGCGCCAAAATAAATCTCAAACCACACCAATCATTTCCTCTTCTGGATGCCCTCTGTCACGACGATGCTGATTCGTCGGCTTCTGAATTATAGCTGGCCGCCAAACGGGTTGTTGCCGGCAGCTGTTTGGTTAGTGCTTATATGATGTGCTGTCACTAGGCTTCGCCCCAGCCAACGGCAGCGCTCCACCCAGGTCAGTTACCCAGCTCACGGTTCTCCAGCGACCCTGAGGACACAGTAAGAGAGATCGGGAGTGCCCGCGTGGACGGCGAGGGCGCCGAACCGCTGCGCCGGGTCTGGGTTTCAAGATAGAGGTATTATGAGAGACATGACATGAGTTCCAAAAACAACAACCCCCGGCCTCGACCCTGCAGCCGGGTTCCCCAATCTCCAGAGTGCCAAGGGAGCCCAGCAGCCAGCACGCTTGCTCGAACGGGCAGTTGCACGTTCGGAGAAAGGGTTGCAAGCGACGACCGATGCCAGCTCTGCGCACCCCGACGATATAGCACTGGGGCCTTAATTCAACGCGCTGCCGCCGACGCCAACATGCAGCCGCAATATGAACGTGACGAATCAAGGCGATGGGCTCCAATTAGGCTGGCTTGGTGGGCAACCTTTACACGGTAGCATGGTGCGAGGGCGCTACGACGCTGGTGACTCGAGCCCCTCGCATTGAGTTCTGGCAATCCGCCGAGAATGCCGGTGAAAGATGCCCGGAGCTAGGATCAGATTAGCAAAGGAGGCGCGTCTCGCACTTTGCGGACACCGCGCAACACCGCAGACATAGGACAGGATGTTAGCGCCAAACTAGCGGCAGTGCGGGGATAGGCCTATCGCCGGCATTTCCATGACTCCCGATCGACGCCCTCGGACCCGGCAAACCTTGACCCTGGCGACTGGGACTACCATGACTGACGATGAATCACCCTGCCTGCTCTGCCTGCTCTGGCCTCTTTGATCGGCTCGGTAGGCCTGGGTTACGAAGCCGGGGGGGGGGGGGGGGGGGGGGCCCTGGAGCACCCGCTCGGACAGGCAGAGTAGCTGCCGGCTCCGGCTCCAGTTCCATGCCCGCTCGGGGGGCCGCAGTTGCTGCTTCGCCCAGCGCATTCGCGCTGGCGGCGGGAACACGGGCCCGGGGATGTGCATGGAGAGTTTTCGGTGAGTTCTGCAACCCGCAGAGCAGTCATCTCCAGCCACATAGCGCGCAGTGAGCAGGGTGGCTCAGTCGCGATGAAGGCGGAGTAGCACGTAGCTGGATCCTTCGAGGCAGGGCAGGTGACTGTGCGGTTGCGGCCCCCAAATGACGGACGATCACAGGCGGGCGGGCCGACCGCTCGAGGGCGCAGGGCATGGCTTGTTCCGAGGGCAGGACGGGGTCGGATGGTTACTTGCTGCGAGGCCGACGGGATTCGTCCGTGGGCCGGCGACAGCGGAAGGTCCGCGGTTGGCGATGGCGCAAGGCCGGTCGTAAACGGACATAGCCTCGCAAGGCCGATGCGATGGTGTAGCTCCCCGCCGGCCGCGTCGTCACAGGGTGGGCTGCGACGTCAGTCGGCAGTGTTTCAACGAGCCTGGATCGCGCTCACGGCTCACCGACTGAAGCTGCGGGCGCCGGGGGCTCGGGCAGCTGCGAGCACGCTCGAGGCGGCGGTGGTGCATAGGGCTGGCGGATCGTTCAACGAGGTGAGACGCTTAGTTGGCTTTAGGTGTGCGCGCCATGCCTGCGGGCGACTGGCGTGACGGCACGCCGGCGAAGGGCATTAAGAATCGCGCGCAAAATTAGACTGTCTTTATCAGCAGCAGCGCGACATGGGGCCGCGCGCGCACGGCTTCCCGCGACCCAGCACAGGCCCCGCGGCTGCTGCCTCCGCCCGCTCGCCAACGCGCCGCCCTTGGCCTCTGCCCTCGAGCTGCTTGCCCGATGCAGCCAACGGTGGTCCCCCCCGGAACCAGGCGTGCGTCGGGCGGTCTGCCTCCAGCCCTCTCGCGCGGCCGTTTGCACGACCACAGCCGCGCCTGTCTCCGCACCGGCGCCCGCCCCCTGCCCGCCGCCAATCACCGCCGCCGACGGTATTATTTTTGTGCGAGCAGCTCTGCATTCCCAAAGCAGCATTTGCAGCTCGCGCCTCGCGCAGCCCCCACCGCGCAGGCTGGAGCCTGCACGCGTCGCCGCCCGCGCGACCAGCGCGGGACGACCAAGCCGCAGCGCGCTTCGGCCGATCGCGCAGCATGATGCCGTTTTGGACGCCGCTATGGCGTATCGTCGCGGCTGCTCCACGCCCGACCCGGCGCCGCAGCGCCCCGGAGCCTCTGCTGCGCGGGGCCTCTGCTGCGCGGGGCCTGGCGGGCGGGCGAGCGGGCGAGCGAGCGAGCGAGCAGGCCGCTGCGCGCACGCCAACCGCGGCCTGCCAGCGCGCCACCGGCCGCAGCGTGATGGGCGTGTAGGGCAGGCGCGAGCCCGCTGCGCTGGACGGCCCTGAGAAGGCCATGCAGCCTTGTAGCAACGGGCTAGCGCGCAGGTGCTGCCAAAATTATGGCAGCTCCACTAACTGAAAAGCGTAGGATTGCTCAGCACCCACCGCCTGCGCCCAGGGTTGCATCAACCCGCCCGCGCTGGGCGTGCGTGCGCAGCACCTGCGCCTAAACGGCCAAGCCAGGCTCCCGCAAGACCCCCCCCCTGGTCAGTCCGGCCGCCGTTGCAGGGATAGCGTGCCCTATGCACCTATCCCGGCATTCAGGATGCTGGCTTGTGGCTGGCACGGAAAGACACTCTGCGGAGTTGGTGCGGACTGGGTGCGGACTGCGGACAGACTGACAGCCTCGACCTGATAAATATCTCGACGCGCCTCCCCGGACGGCGATCCAATGCACCAGACCAGCCTTATACAGCACTCACCCTCCCCGAGACCACTTCTCCACATCTCCAACCCGTCCTCACTCAGCATCCCTTAGTCTGTGTCTCGCCCGCTGCCACCACCAGCACCGTGCCCACCGTGCCCACCATGAGCCGACACGCCTACGCCTACCCCCAGGCCGCCGTGCCCACGCAGAGATACTCGAGCACAAGCTCCGCCTTCAGCCCCAGCGCAAACCCCAACGAGGACTGGACCAAGATCTCCGACCTTGCCGAGCGCAGGCGGATACAGAACCGCATTGCCCAGCGCAACTACCGTATGTCCACCCCCCCAGCTCGCCCGCGCGGCCGCAGCTCGCCAACTGACCCGTCCCGCAGGCAAGAAGCTCAAGAAGAGGCTCGAGGACCTCGAGCGCCGCGCCGCCTCCAGTTCCGCCTCGCCTGAGCAGCGCCCGGCCGAGCTCGACCGTTCACATGCTCAGCCTCGCGACCATTCCGCGCCGGTGAGCTCGGCGGACCAGTCCGACTACAGCCGCCGCAGCCCCGACATGCAGCAGCAGCAGCACTTCCTCCAGCCGCACGACGACCGCAACATGTTCTCCTACCAGAACACTCGCCAGATCTCGACTTCTCCGCCTCCCTTCACTGCATACTCGACCTACCCTGCCCCGGACGCGGTTTCGTACGCCTACTCGCAAACGCCCTACCACGCCATGCCCGCGACGACGGCGGAGATGCAGATGCCTTACACGCCCTACCTTCCGCCCATCTCGTCCACCGTCTACCCCGGAACGCTCCCAAGCATCGTGCCGGCCAAGCAGGACTTCTACAGCGAGGACGAGATCAGCCCGTTCAGCATGAACTACGCATCGCTAACGGGCATCAACATCCCCGTGTCGACGCACCCGTACCAGGATTCAAACGCTCAAGTAATACACCCTCTCCATCAGTTCAAACGCCAGTAGAGAGCCATGAACTAACATGGAGATCTCTGAAGACGCCGCCGCTTTCGGACTCGTTTGAATCCTGCTCTGGCTCGCCGCCGGAGTCGGTGCTATACAACCCGGCGACTCCGGCGTCGATGCCGGGCACGCCGCCGCAGCTGCACTGCTACTGAGCGTTTCGCATGGGTTTTTGTTCTTTTTTCCGTCACTTCCTGCATACGAGCGTTACGAGCATTGCCACGATGCGACGACTCTTTCCTTTCTCTACTTCTGCTGTAAATTACTTTTTTGGCGTGTTTGCATCCGGATACCATTCGTTCAGCGAGGGCGTTAGACACGACTGTCGTTTCCAGTCGCTGTGCCGGGGGTCGGCACGGACATGGGCGGATTTTGTCGCTTATTTTTCTGGGTTCGGGTTATCGAGGGTCTTGCATCGGCGCGGAGGCGTTTGTCGGGTTCCTCAGTTACGGTGAGGGCACCGCGGCTTTGGTTCCTTGTTTGGGCATGGCAATGTGTCGGTCGCATTTAGGGTACCGGAGGATTCGGTGGAGAACTGCTGAGAGCTGAAATTGAAAGCATCAATCTAGATCCTGCAGAGCAAATATTCTGATATCAGGAGGTTCTGGAAGGCGCAATGCCATTGCGTGATCCGCTCTATCGCTGCTGGATCAGATGGCGGTCTGGTTCAACAGTAGTGTTGAAAGCAAAGCGCGATTCACCATGTGGCCCGGAACGCATCCTTGGCGCGAGGCCTCCTCTGCTGCCAGCACCATTCCAACAGCCTGCCATGTGCCATTCCTTCGCGCGAGTGATCACGAAGTGACGTTGGGGCGTCCTTAATGGATACGGAAGGCGATGACGTAACGTTGTATCACGTGCGTCGCGTAGAGCCCTGGCGCGTCGGTCGACGCGAGCACGGACCCGGACGCCGGCCATCTCAAGCCGCGACCACCAAATCGCTCGACCCGCACAACCATGGCACCCGCCCGCAAGCAGACTAAATCAGAACGCGCACGGCAGTGGCTCAAGGGCGGCGGCGTCCTTCGTGAGGACTCGGATGATGAGCTCGGCATCGAAGATTACCCATGGGAATGGGTCTACAGCGACGAAGGCCACGCAGACAGCCCCGACGACGATAATGCGACGCCCCGCAGGAGAGGCGGCCGCCAGAAAAAAACACAGGCCTTGGAGCGCAGCATAATTGGCGCCCGTATGGGCAATTTCTCATGCCGGCTCGGTGACACAGTACTGTTGAAAGCAGAAGGCAACGAGGCATGGGTCGGCATCATTTGCGACTTATTCGACGGGAGGGACGAGGATGGAGAAGAGGAGAAGATGGCGAATTTCATGTGGTTCTCCACCCCCAAGGAGATTCGCAACAAGGCGCGCCGACGGACGGACTATATGGACGTGAGTACCTGTTGCTGCAAACCACAGCTAGCAAGTGCTGATATCTGCCAGAACGAAGTATACATCACATCGTACTTTGATGACAACCCCCTAACCACCATCAATGGCCGTGCTACAGTTGTCTCCAAGGACACCTTACTCAAACAGTTCCCCACTGGCAAAGTTCCGCGGACGTCAAGAGACTACGGAAAGCTGTTTGTTTGCCAACGCGGGGTCAACACGCGCACTGCTACATATACAGATGTCTTCCGCTGGGAAGACGTATACGCTGGTGAGGATGACATCCCCAGTCTTGTAGATCTCGTCAAGGCCCAGACAAAGGAGACGCGCAAACGAAGAGACCCGAAGAAGACGAAGCACGAGATGGACGATTTTGTGGCGCTAGAAGACGACGACGAAGGCGTGCCCCAAACCCCAAAGAAGCGACGCAAACTCAACAATGCCACCACTCCCACATCACGAAGGAAGGATCTCACGCCTCGAAAGTTCATCACACCTACACATAAACGCATCGTCGTCAAGAAGCCGCTGGAGTTTACTCCCCTCGGAACCCGCATTCTGTCTCCTAACGTCCTATCGTCCCCGTACCAGGTCGCCCGGAACCAACTGCACGTCTCGTCCGTCCCTGCTACGCTCCCGTGTCGTGAGGACGAATTCTCGACCGTCTATTCTCATTTGGAGGCCGCTATTACAGACGGCTCAGGATCTTGCATTTACATTTCCGGTACGCCCGGTACCGGGAAGACGGCAACTGTTCGTGAGGTCGTTGCACAACTCAATGCTGCTGTGCAGGACGAAGAGCTCGATGATTTCATCTTCGTCGAGATCAACGGCATGAAAGTGACCGACCCCCACCAGTCGTATTCCCTTCTCTGGGAAGCCCTTCGCGGCGATAGGGTCAGCCCTGCACATGCGCTCGAACTTCTCGAACGGGAATTCTCAAGTCCCAGTCCACGCCGAGTGCCCTGCGTGGTATTGATGGACGAATTGGATCAACTTGTCACCAAGAACCAAAGCGTCATGTACAATTTTTTCAATTGGCCAGGCCTACGCCACAGCCGGTTGATTGTGCTTGCTGTTGCAAACACCATGGATCTACCGGAGAGAACTCTAAGCAATAAGATAAGCAGCCGATTAGGTAAGTTGGAACGTTTACTCCCCCACGCGTTTACCCAAAAGGGTAACTGTTAGTACCACACATCACGCCGCCTGCTACAGCCCGCTCTGTTTCTCCGGTAGAGCCCTCTTTAGGAGTCGCAATCACTCGTTCATCAATGCACTTCGATGCCCTTAACGGCTGCTAATCAGGCGGCTTGTTCCGCAATAGGTCTGACACGCATAACCTTTCCGGGCTACACGCACGACCAGCTAATGTCCATCATCCAATCGCGCCTCGCAAACGTTCCCGGCAACGTTGTGCATCCCGACGCCATCCAGTTTGCTTCCCGCAAGGTCGCTGCCGTATCTGGAGATGCGCGCCGTGCGCTCGACATATGCCGACGAGCAGTCGAGATTGCCGAAGCCGCGTCGCTCGACTTGACCAGCGGCACTGCTGTCGACGGCGGGGACTCGGCTCCCAACACGCCAAGCAAGACGCCGGGCCGGGCCGCGCAGGCAAACGATCGTGCGAAGAAGCCAAGCGGGCCGGTCGTGGTGAGCATCGCGACCATCAAGCAAGCCATCGCCGAGGCGACCAGCAGCCCCTTGCAGCAGGCGCTGCGCGCGCTGCCGCTCGCCTCGAAGCTCTTCCTCGCCGCGCTGCTCGCGCGCGTGCGCCGCACCGGCGTCCAGGAGGCCGCGCTGGGCGACGTGTTGGACGAGGCGCGCAACCTGGCCCTCATGAGCCAGTCCGAGGCCATCCAAACCATCCTGCTCGGCCAGTCGCTGCCGCCCCCACCACAGCCGTCATCATCGCTGCTGCTGGCCAATGGCACGTCCGGTGGGGCGACCAGGGATGATGATGATGATGATGACGACGACGCCGTTGCCGCGGACGGCCTGCTCAGCGGTTTAGCGACATCGCACCAGCAGCCCGTCACGCCACGCAGGGGCCGACCGCCGGGCGGCGCTGCGAGGAAGGCGGCGCACCAGCAGCGCGATAAGGCGGCGCGAGTCGTGGGAATGGGCAACGCGGCGGCAGAACTCATGGAGGCGGGAATAGTGGGGTTGGAGGCGCGTAGAGGAGAGAGGGTGGGGAGGGTGAGGCTGGGAGTGAGCGACGAGGAGGTGAAACTGGCGCTAAGGGATGACGAGGAGGTCAAGGGCTTGGGTTTCGGCTGAAAAGGGGAGGGGGCGTAGCGTTCTGGGGATGTTTTAGTCAAGTCGGATTGCCGAGGGAGGAAGACAGTAAATAGTCCAAGGTGACAATGTATACGAGGAACAGGACGGCAGAGCTACATACGCCTCTACTGCCTTCTCCAGAAGGATGCGGCATCATACGAACACCCCGGAAATGCTAGCTCTCCATGCTTACACGGGAGTAGCTTCCTACACCCAAGCTTGCTCCTCTCGTTCGGTAGCAGCACCTATTTTGGAGCATCACATCTCAACCGCCACTCGTCATCCTTTGAACCAGCCAGGAAGCGCAAACCAGAAAAGCAAATGGCAAAAACTGTAGACGCCCTTAAGTGCCCGTCCAGTGTCTTAGACAAAGTGGCTTTTGCTATAGAACACCTAGAGTTTTTCTACCCTACGATTTAAGCAGGCTCAAAATTAGAAGCGCACCACTACGCCGGAAGCACTATTTGCTACCCGTGGACGATGATACTAGCTAGGTGGAAGATATATATACCTATCTATTGTGAGGGTTTGACTGTCCCTTCACCTGCTGTTTTGTTCGCGATGTTGCATAGCTACTGTACGTAGATGAGGGAGAAGAAGTCCCGCCTATAACTTGAGAGCAAAAGCGGAGGAGAGTATTGAACGAGGTAACATCTGTGCCACTGAAGGAGCTTGGGTATATTAATCTTCTCTAGAGCTCCCCCTCCCCCCTAATACATCAACATTTAATTCATCCGTAGCAGCACGGTACGCACTCACTTGAGATCGTGCCTGCGTCTTCATTTATTTTTTTCATCCCACCATCCTGAGGTAGAACTCCGTGTGCCAATTCTGCCGCCCGGCTTCGCCCCTCACGCATATGCAAATATCAAGTAGATGAGAAGTACTTTTACCACGCATCAAAAATAACACCAATCACTCCGATTCAGCAAGCAAGCAACCACTACTTTTTAGAACTTCTGTCTTCCAAGTGTGGGCTTCCAATCCAGAGGATGCGTGTCGGGCGTGGCGTTCTCGTCGGGCTTCCACACCTTGATGGTCTTGTCGGCCTCGCCCGTGATGAGGCGCAGGCCGGTGAGGTCGAAGGTGCTGCTCATGATGCCGGCCTCGGCGTCGAGCGAACCCGGCTGGGCGACCGAGTCGAGGCTCTGGAAGCGGTGGCCCGTCTTCCAGTCCCAGAAGGAGACGGAGCCGTTGTCGCCGCCGGAGAAGAGCACGTTGTCCTCGTTGACGGCGAGCGTGTTGATGATGGAGTTGTGGCCGTCGAAGTTCTGCATGAAGGCGCCCTCCGGGCACTTCCACTGCTTGATGGAGCCCGAGCTGCCCGACGCGAACGTGAACTCCTTCGGGTGCGTCGTCAGGGCGCGCACCCCCTTCTTGTGGTGCGTCAGCACGCCCATGGTCTTGCCGGCGGCCAGGTCCCACATGCGGACTGTGGAGTCGAGCGACGCGGAGATGACCTGGGGATCCGCTTCCTGGCACTTGACGTCGCAGACTGTCCCCTTGTGGCCGGCCAGCACGTGGATGTTGCTGCGCGTGCGCATATCCCAGACGCGGGCCACACCGTCGCGGCCACCGGTAACCAAGACATCTAATGTGGGATGAAGGCTCAGAGTGTAGACACCGCTGAGATGGCCGTGATAATCGCGGATGACCTTGTTCGTCTCTAGATCCCAGCATTTTACCTTCTTGTCTTCACCACACGAGAAGAGGTAGGGGTGCCTGGGCGACACGGCCAAGCCGCGAACGGTCGAGATGTGGCCGGTCAAAGTGAGCTTCAGGTTGCCTGAAGCTATGTCCCAGATCTTGATGGTGCGGTCTCCGGCACCACTTGCGAACCACTGGTTGTTGGGCTCGACGGCCAGCGCGCGCACCCAGCCCAAATGACCGGAGATGACGCGCATCAGCTTCCAAGGAGCATGCCAGTCGGGCTTGGGCTGGCGTAGCACCTCCCGCCGCACCAAGCTGTTCCCCGGCAGGTCGCGCTGGGGCGTGGGGCCGTTGGCGTTGGGCGGCAGCGGGTTGCCCTTGCCCCGCACCGTCAAGGCCGTCGAGGCGGCAGCGGCGTTCTTGCGCTCCTCGTCCTTGGCCGAAATGCCCTCGATCATCTTCACCATCTTCGGGTCGGAGGGCTGGTCCTCGGCCGACGCCTGCTTGGCCTTTTTCCGACGGGCGGCGGCCGAGGCAGCTGCGCTGGCCTGCTTGGCAGCCAATGCAGACGGAAGCTCCTTCAGGTCGTGATACTCATTCCGTATGCGGGTGGCGACGGACTCGTGGTCAGCAAGCTCGGCCGGCGAGGTTGTGGAGGGGGCGATGGAGAAGGCGGCGGTTGAGGCATTTTCGAGGGCGGAGGGTGAGGCAAAATCGGCAGCGAAGACCTCTCGTGTCCTCTTGGCTGAGGTGCGGACAAGGTTCTGTCCCAATGCAATTGTTAGACGGCACGAACGCGCGTGCTGATGGTGATGGCAACCTACAACTGTGGCGGCGGAGACCGGGGGCGTGGAGGGAGCGACGTCGGCCATGTTGGGCGCGTAAACGGTGATGAATGCGGAGGAGGGCGCCGGGTCTATTAGGCAATCATCGGCTGGGGTGGTGTTGAAGGCGGCGGCGGCGGTTGGATGTCGCGCATCATGGCGTCTCAAGCTTCGAGGAAAGTTGGTTTGCAAGGCCGGCGCTACCTAGCGGGGGCTTGGCACGCGTAGGGCTGACTATTCGGGCCTCCCTTGCTATACCAGTAGCGGCAACCGGCCACCACTTATAAGTTTGACCTCATGTCCACGCCCTCTGGCGTACGCTCAGCTGGCATTTCTTCCTTCGTCGGCAAGTAGCTGGAGCATGTACAGAATCGCCTCGGCAGAATTGCATATGACTACCTTCAAACATCTCCAACCTCTTCAACGGGAAAGATTCGAGCTAACAGTCCAAGGTGAGCTCAAACACTCACGAGCCTCGCACTGGCTCTCTTGACGGACAGCCTCGCCCTGATCTCCTCCGCTCGTCTTTCATACCCTTCGTCAGACACACCATACGCCGCTCCATCATCCTTCTCCCGCCGAACTTCCTCATTTTCGCGATACAAAAACAGCAGCGGCAACGGGCTGCTCCGCCATGTCTGAATGCCCGCGCTGCGCGTCTTCCACGCCGTGCCGATCCACGTCACGACGCCGAGCACCCACACCAGGGCGGGCAGCCACAGCCAGCCCCAGTGCACCCTTACGTACGTCACCGTCACCATGGTGCGGCCCAGCGCCATGTCCGCCCCGGCCGTACGCCATGCTCGAGGCCCCACGGCGGGTCGACGTGCGAGGCCATCCACGTGCTGATGCTGTCGTTGGACCCGTACCACGTGCCCAAGTCTTGTTCGCGGTAGGTGTCGTTGACGACGGATGCGTTGAAGCTGCGCACGCAGGGGACGATGGCGCACTCGGTGCCAATGAAGGTGGTGTTGGAATCGATGCTGCTGGAGATGACGTTGTCTCCGGACGCGTCGACCAGCCCAGAGTATCGAGTTGTACGTCAGGGACGTGGCGTTGCTCTTTGCCGTGTTGGGCCCCATCGTCATGACGACTCCATTTGAGAAGCTCGGCGACATTTGCCTGTACCACAGAGAGTAGCCCGAATTCGGCAGAGACACGGTGCAGTTCTTGCCAAGGGAGTCTGACCCAACGGGACAGCTATACTGCAAGCTTTCACTGACGTCCGAGCATGTCGAACAGTAGGCGAACGTGGACACCGGCCCCCAGTCACAGTTCCCAGTGCCGCAAAAATACTGCGGGGTTGCCCACGCTGCTTTGGGATCGGTGTTGAACAGAGCGCTGTACACGTTAGACTTCAGGACTGGGTCGACGTAGTAGACTGTTTCCGTTAATACAATCCTTGCATAGTGGTGTCGGAGAACACACAGTTTCCACCTATGCCCGGTCCGAGCGACCCGTAGATGGAAGCGTTGGCAAGACGAGCCACCTGATGGCTGTCGGGCACAGCTTTTGCGTAATAGTGGATGAGGTTTTGGATAAACGAATCGAAGCCTAGGCTAAGGATGATAGCGGCGCTTCCGAAAACAGCAAAGTGTCTGAAAATACAGTCAAAAATCAATGCCATGTCGCTGCATTCCATGCCGACTTACCGTCCTTTAAGATGCCATAACAACCCGCCGCTTCCAACAAGGCCACGGCTGGCCGCGTCGAAGACTGCAATGTCGGACAACGGACGATCTTTCTCGGCAAACCACACCCACTTCAACTGGCTCAAGCCTTTGGTGACAGGCATCAGTATGCAGACCTTCGCGACGGTGCTGAGCCACGACACCAGAGAGTTAAGTGAGATGCCGTCCCACTTGGGCTGAGGTTCGTCATCGTACTTGCACAAAACCACGATAATCCCAATGAGCGCGGCAGCTGCACCGAGGACTCCCAGAAGCTCGAAGAACCACCAGTTCTCGAGCGTCGATAGTCTTGGAAACCAGGAGAAGGAAGAAGTATGCTTTGGGCCAACCTTCTTCTGCTGTTGTCCGTACGGTATTGAAAGATGTGGAGCCTCAAGCTTGGCTATGTCTGAGCCGTAAGCTCGCTTAGAAGTACTCTTCGCATGATGTATGCAGAATTTCCCCGCAGTACCCACAATGACGTGGAAATAATCTGCGATAGGCGGTCAGCGTCGGGGTTTGCGGGTGCAGTATGCAGCTTACTTGCTTACTAGATCAGGCTCAATGAAGGTATTCCGGACGGTGTCTGCTGCAATCGAAGCTACTTGCATTAGACGGAGTGTGTGGTACTGAAGGTTGCACTGGCGGTCGAAACAAGTGTGAGGATGGGATAGATCAGATTCCAATAATTACCCAACCTTCTGTTCGGTTGGAGCTTACTAGGAGACACCATCAGCGCCGATGCTTTAGACTCCAACGGCATTGGGAATCATGAACGAAAACAAAGCTGAATACAAAGCACCTGTCGGTTAAGGGGAATCCGCCAAAGAAAATCAAATAGGAAAGGACAAAACAACCAAGACCCCCTGCTCCAAAATTGCACGAGTTAAGACCTCAAAAACCGCTTCAACTTCTTGATCATACTCAGCTTCCGCTTCATATGTCCATTCTTCTTCCGCGACTGGTCCAACAAGGCCACAACCTTCCCCGCAAGTTCTTGATCGGCACTGCCGACCGCCTTTGCCACAACCTCATCCGCAGTACTGCCTCTCACTGTGACAAACGGGTCGGCGTCATGCCCCAGGAAGAGCTGCGCCAGCCCGCCGAGCCGGACACGTTCGTCATGGCCGAGATTTGACTGTACATCGATTCCGGTTGACATGCTGGACAGCAGGATGTACCAAGGCGTTTTGTAGGTGGCGCCGCCGCTGTGCAGGTTTGGGTCGGCGCCGTAATCGAGCAGCAAGCGGACGAACTTGGTATCAATGCGTTCGTCCTTTACAGCCGTAGCGAGCAGGCTGCTCAACTGGTGCTGTTCCCCCTCACGCAGTGCATTCTCAACGTACGAGTAGAAGCCGGCCAGGAAGGCGAAATCAAAAAAGGTCGACGAGCCGGTGCGCTGGGGGCAGGCGTTAGTCCAGTGCGGGTTGCTGACGAGCGGAACGCAAGACTGGATGCGCCTGCGCCACTGCTCCCGTTCCGGATTCCTTTCACCCAGAAGGCTGGTGGCAGCTCGGTCGAGCTGGGTGAGGATGGCAAGGTTCTTCCCCGGTTTTTCCGTTTCGATGATGCTCGAAAACCTAAGACACTGCGTGGCGAGTTGTTGAAAGCGCTCGAAAGGAGGGGCTGGGGAGGGGGCAGTCTTCTTTAGGCTGCGGAGATATCCAGTGCAAAGGGCCAGTTTGATTTCTTCATCCGATTCGACTGAGCCGCTTCGAATGGAATCTCGTGTGTCTTCCTTCTCGAGGAATTCCTTCACAGACTTGTGTATGTACTGAACCGTGGACCAGGCACCATGCTCATCAAAGGATGGCGCATCGAGCATGTTTCCGGAAAGGCTGTGCAGTTGCTGTCGCGTCTCTTCAGCAATTTCAGCCAGCTTCTCGGGTGTCAAGGGTCTGAAGTTATCATCTAGAGCTTTGTCGGGGCCCTCATTGGCATAGTGGATGGTGAGCAGAGACAATGGAGCATCGGCTGTTTGGATCAATCGAAATATCCGGGAGGATTGCTCAAAGTCATCCTCCTTTATCCGGGACCAAGTCATATCAAAAAGCTCCTCTAGTCCTGGGGGGTATTGTTGGAGACGAGCCTGCAACTCCTGTGTGCCATCGATCTCCTGGAAACCCTCGAACAAGGACCCCGTGACGATTTGGACCCAAAGAAAACTCCCGTTCGCCTTTTGCGCGATGGCGTGGATGAGCTTGTCAATTCTGGCCGGCTCCTCGATTTGCAGCTTATGGAATAATCTATTCTCTGAAAGTTGCTCTTTGGCGTATAGTTCAATGTCGGCCTCTGTCAGTCGTTCCAGTGAGAGAGAGGGTTTTCCTTGGAACGCCGTCTCGAACACACCCAAAGGCTGACTGGAAACACACATCTTGACGTGTGACTCGTTCGTGCTGCACTCCAGGAGGAATTCAGCCAGCATCTTGGGGTCTCCCTTGTATTCATCCAGGCCATCAATCATGATGAAGTACTTTCTCGACTCGTCCGACACCAGGGATTTGAAAGCGCGCTCCAGCTCCGGTAAGATCCACTGGCGGTCATCAGGGCCAAACTGGGTGTTGTATGCCCATCGGACAGGGAAGAGTTTAGGTATGAGAGATGGGCGCTGCTCAACAGCCTGGTATAAGAGCGCACGCAGCAACCCTTCCTTGGACATTTGCATGACCTCCCCAGAATTCCAGAAGAAGAATCCCATGATAGCCAGCTCGGAGTCACCACGCCATGTCTGAAGATAACGTTTGAGACGCTCGTCGTCATGAAGAAGCTTCATGAGCGTGGATTTCCCCGCGCCAGGCTTCCCCTTGATCCAGTAAAGGGGGCTATTTTTTTCGAGCCATGTTCGGTAGTTGTCCCAATCCGGGGGCCGCTCGTTCTTGTCCGAGAACCTCCTCTGGAGGAGCGTGTTCCACCAGCCTCTCTGCGGAGTCCCGCCATTTGTAGTGGTCAGGTATTTGTCCACAGGAGTTGGATTCGAGCTGCGTGCCTCAAGAGGTGGGGCTCTGAGTGGTGCCGAGAATTTCGATCGACCATGATCAGCACCGTTCGAGTCTTGGACATGATCAGTCCCCACGAATACCCACTCGAAAGTCTTCTTGTGCGCTTCCGAGATTTCTTGATAACGGCTCCTCATGTCATGGAATTTGAGCTTCTCCAAAACCTGTCTCTCCACAGTCTCGTCTTTCTGCTTTCTTGCTGTTTCCACAAGCAAGGCCGAGAAGAAGGTGGCATCTTCCTTGGCCCCACTCCGTACGAAGGTCTTGAGAATTTCCCTTTGGAAGTGATGCCTTTCTAAAACCTCGTCGCGCTGCTTCTTCAAGGCGTCCAGCTTCTTCGGGTCCTGCGGCTGGCCAGTCTGGTCCCTGCTAAGCTCGTCGATCCGTTCCTCGAAACGTTTTTCGTCCTTCTCCGTGCGAGCCACCCAGTCGTCGACAAAGTCTTCATAGGTGATGGCGTTGAAATGCACAAACTCGTGCAGTGACTCGAGTACGGTCTGGCCTAGTCTGTCCTGGCACTGCTGGAGAATCTTGGCATGGGAACATATGTCCTCCTCGGACCAGATGGTGAGTAGAGCTTGCCGGAACGTGGTCCATGCTGTGTCGGTGCCCTTTGACCTCGACTTCAGATCGGACAGTGCTCCCAGAAGCTCCTGGGCGACATTGTTGCAGTCGCTGCACAAGTTGGAGAGTTGCTCCTCGATCTCGATGAGTTTCTCTTCGTGGAGCCGTTCTCTTCGATCCTCGTCCGTCTCGACCGGCTTCTCCGTGGGCTTTGAATGCTTCAATCGCTGCTTCACGCGCTGGTGTCTACTCTCCACCTCCTCCGGTTCGCGATAGCGAGTGACGGTGAACTTGATTCCATCGTTGAGGCGGACAAGGCTTCTCGTGATGGATTCCAGCACGGGGTGTCGGATCAGCGTATCGTCTTCGACTGTGCGGTAGGATTCAGCAGGCTTGCCAATTAGGGCGTTGGTGGAGTCGATGAACTGGACGGCATGGGAAGCGAGGCCGAGCGCAGTAAGCGGGTCAGCCATGCTGACGGCGGGACTTGTAGTCTGCGGAAAGCAGTGCGGGGGACGCGGGACTCGGGCACCACGAGGCGCTTTTGAGCGCTATTCGGCCCAGCGAGGCTACATTATTGAGAGCGAGGGCGTCTGCCTACAGACGAGCTGAATGAAGAGGCTGGAGCGGCGCAGCGGGATGGCTCCCCTGCAGTTGCATCGCGCTAGGCGCTAAGGCTGCTCGTCATATCATAGGTCACCCACGCACAGCCCGGCCGTTCCCCATACATAATCTGATGAAGCTGGGAAATGCACGCAGCACACTTGCCGGCGAGGCGGAGCGAGCCTAGCTGCTGTAAAATCGGCGACCGCGAGACACACTTTCTGAGTCGCTGCACGCTCCGGGCTGTGGAAGCTCCGCCGCACGGCATCGAGACACAGCGGCAGGCTGTGTTCCGCAAAGTCCAGAGGCCAACGACAGCGGCTGGGCGGGCGCGTAGACGGATTGGTGTGACCAAACTTGCAGACAGGGCGGGGCTTAGCCGCCTGCGGCAGTTTTGCGAACCGCGGGTGGGCTGACGAGAGCGTGCATCTGACCGGCGCCTTGGCGCGACGCACACCCGCATGAGCGTACGAGAGATGGCGATGCTCTCGCGGCGGGGAAGTTTTTGGTGTTGATGTTTCGAGCGCCGGCAGGCAGTGAACCGCATGGTGATCCCACATCCCGCTGCTCTGCATTCCCAATTTTAGAACACACCCGGTGCCGCTGCATTCGGCCTAGCCCGCCTCATCTCGCTCCCGTGTCCCCAGCGACACCGGAGCCTCCCGCGGATGCGAGATGGAGATGAGCGTTCCCCGCCACGGGGCAATAATATTGCATGGCCATTTCATCAACCGCTCTAGCCGATGCATAACCCAATGCCTGTGCGAACATCGCGGGAGCCATTCGGACTCGTCCTGCAACCCCACCATCGCAGCCTCGCCGCTGCAGCAGAGCCGCGAGCCTGGTGTCCCCTCGGCGCGGCTCGCCATTGAAGTCGAGCGCCTTGTGCGAACCTGGACGCCCCGAGGTAAGGCTGAGACCCGGTGATGATATGCCGGCAAGCCCGGTGAAGCGACTGGCCTTCCCGAAATTTCGCCAGCATTTGGAGAGGCCGTGCTGATCGCCGTCTCCCGATGACGAGGCGCGGCGAAGGCGCAGCTCGACCGTGCTGGATCTCAGCGCTTTCACCTGCGCCCAAGATGTCATGGGCCTCGCAGATCGCCGCCGCCGACAACACCTCACGCTCGATGACGACGGCCGTCTCGTGAGCCTTCAGGGGGCACCTAGACGGCCAGGAGCCGCGAATCTGCCCGCCGTCACCATCGCGAGCCGCCCCAAACAGTCTATGCGCTCATGAAACTCGTTTGGAGTGAGGTTGATGGCCGTTCTTAACTCGGTTGATACCGGTCGCGGCGCTGAGAGCAACTCTGCGCGAAGACAGGAGCCAGAGCCGCGTGCTGCCCTACAAGTACAAGCCCAGCCTGTTTCCACCGGCCGGGTCCCTTGTCTCTTTGCCGCAGCCGGCTTCGTCGGTCGGAGTGCGCATTCTCATGCACTCGTTCACAACGTTGGGGCTGAAACAAAGCCGGCACATGTTGGGGTTTCAAGAGGCCGGGCGATATGCCATGGCTGGGGATTCAGCATTCTCCAGACCTCGAGCCGGGCGTAGGGACGAGTGCCACAAGCCATCGGGCCATCAACGGGTGATCCAAGCTGGTGGCCACCCACGTCGAGCAGTGCGACACAACGAATCGAGGTCCGGCGGGAGTGTGGGAGGGAGGGACCGAGGGACCCCAGGCCGCTGTCGCAATCGCCAAGCTGGTAGGCTGGTAGGTCACCCCAAGCGGCAAACCGGCGCCCAGGCGAGGGCTGTTGGGGAGTCCTGATTCACGACAGCAGGCGGATCACCCCGAGAAGAAGGGTGCACACCACCAACCATTGCTCGAGGCAGGCGCTGGTGGCTGGCCCCCTTGACGGCCGCCTCGGGCCAGCGCAGGATTGGCACGGCAGCTGGGAGCGTGGGGAAATAGGCGCAGGCCCGCCCATGCAACACGGCGGGCGGGCGCTTACGTCAACCCCTTCCGCGCAACGACCTGGCGCTTCGGGCGCTGTCGGACAAAAAAAGACTGCGCCAAAGCAGCCTGGTGTTGCGCGCGGACGGTGGCTATTGGCACGCAGCCACGCCGCAGCGGTCAAAGGCTGCTGTAGTGTGTCTGCCAGCCAGGCGAAAGGGTTGAGCTAAGCGGCGCAGACAGGGCCGCTGGGCGGATGTGCGGGAGCCCATGCCAGGCCAGGGCGCGCCAGCAAAGCATCTGCCACTGACGGTGGAGCTTCGGCTGCCCAAGACGGACTCGGGCTGCTCGCATGCGCGGGCTTCTGGAACGGCGGACTGATCAGATGGCACCCCAGCACACCAGGGTGCAGGACGGACGGGGCTGGGTCTGGCGAACGAGGTGCAAAGGAGCGGTCTGCGCTACGTCGAGGTCCGTTGACGCCAACTCGATCCGAGGGGCAGTGCCGGCGCGATAATGATTGGCCGCGGTGGCAGCCCTGCATTAGGCGCACCAGACGGGCATGGCCAGTCCACTTCGCGTTCCTGGGCACCGGGGTCTGCTCTGGAAGATTGCTCGATCCGTGGGCGCTGGTTTCTGAACGACGGCGGCGCAGCGCAGCACGGCGGCGGCGGCTCGGGGCACGCGCAGCGGACGTGGGCGGGGCGTAGGGTGCCTCGAGAGCGACGCTCGCCACCTGGGCGCGCACGGACTCACGCACTCACGCTAAGCCAGCCGCAGCGCAGCCCATTTCAGCAGCGGCCATCCACGCCCCTCCCTCGCCCACCGACCGCCGCCTTCTTGTTGTATACCAGCCTCTCATCTAACGCTTCTTCGCCCGCTCCCGCTCCCACACCCACAACATCCCTCCTCCGCTTTCGATTCTCCGCGCTTGCATTGCTTTCCGACGCGCACGCGAGTTCCACCGCATCCCTTTGTCTCGTCTCGCCTTTGTTGTGCCGCTGCCCATCCCGACCGTCGGGTGACCCAAACCGTGACCAAGGCCAGCTCTCGAACCACGCCGCTCTCTCCACCACAGCCACGCATTTTATCAGCACCCCGCGCTCGCCGCCTAGCATCGCCAACGACCCGCAAACATGTCTACCTCCAACTTCTACTACGGTGCCCCCCACCACAACATCCACATGAACCACTCGCAGCAGCACCACCCCGGCGGCCGCCCCCGGAGACAACCTCGCTCGCAGGCTGCCCACAACCACAAGCAGTTCCGCAACGTGAGGACCCCCAAGGAGGTCGTCGAGGCCCCCGCCATCCTGGCCTTCCGCCGCGACTTTGAGGCTGCTCGCTCTTTCGACCTCGAGGACGACGAGATCTTCTGCCCCTTCCACCTGCTCACTGACGACGATGTAAGTGCTCATGCGTACTAGCCCAAGGCTGTGCGCCGCAGCGCTGTCGCGGCGCGATGGGATTTCGATGAATTTTGATGGCTAATGTGCTGCCGCACAGCTGCAATCCATCCACTCTTCCGGATCGGACCGATCGTCGCTGTCGAGCGGGTCCCCTGATTCGTCGCCGCTGCAGCACCAGCTTCAGCCCACCCCCAGCTTCGTCCTGTCGTCTGCATCCAGCTCCTTCACCCCCGCCAGCTTCCAGCCCTCTCAGACGAAGCTTCACCAGCCGTTGGCGCAGCGCACTCGCAATGCGATCCCCATCGTTGACCCCAGCACCCGCAACGTCGCCAGCCCTCCGCCGTCCGTGTCGCCCGCAAGGCAGATGCAGCAGCAGTTCATGCCGCGCCGCTGGTGAACGGGCTTGCCAGTATAGTGCTGGACACGGCTCTATCGGATCGCATTGCAGCGTGCTGCGTTGTCGAGGCTGGTGGGTGTTCTCCCTTCTCTTCCGGATCTCTATTGCTATAATACCCGCCGCTCCCGGAGGATCCGTTTATAATTTTGCTACTACGTTCTCTTTGTACAAAGGTCGACGACAACTTCTCTGGGGATACCAATACCCCCTTACACCCTGGACGACGGCGTTGCAATGTGGTGAAAAACAACGACAAAAACGTTTCATTTCGATAGATCGCGCGTCTAGCATTGTCATGTTGGCTTGAGCGTTCTGACGGCATTTCATCGTTACGGCTTGGGTTGCGTACAACGGTGTTTTTCGGCTTTTTTCATCAAGAAAAATCATACAGAGGTGTTTTTCGGACTGGGCGGTCTGATGTCTGAACTATCTGCCGCGCAGAGTGGGACACATTTCCTATGTTAGCGGGACCTCATGGTGGTTGGATTTGGCGGTAGTCACGGTGTTGTCTTGCAACGGGTTGGGTCTTGCTGGTATACCACGGCGAAAGTCCTTGTTTTTGATGCACAAGAAATCTAGCGGCGGTGTCGGTTGGGAATGTCGTTTTAGCTCTTTTCTCACTTTTACTATCATCTACCTTTGCGACGCAGAGGAACAAAGCGTATTGTCTTTCGTCCAACCGGCCCGCTCCCGGTCTTCTGTTGTTGATTCGTCTTCTTTCACGAATACACAATTCAAAGACGCATGTACGCTGGGACGAAATCATGGCTTCTTTTCTTCTGCATCAGCTTCTTCTCGTTTCTTCTCGCCTGCTGGCGTCGGATGGGCTCATCTTCCCATACGTTCTTGCGGTCTCTGCCGTTCGTTTGTATTACAGGGCAACCAGTGCAACAGCCCTCGCTATTACTTTCAGAGACCGAATGCATCTATCGGATCAAGCTAGTCGATCCCTGGCTCCGAGTGACACTGACCTGTCGTTGGCAGGACCCTTTCTTACGTGATCGGCTTCTGGGGAGACGCACCGACAGTCAGTCATCTGCTACCACCTTCTAGCTGGGGCTTGCGTGTGGGAACAAAACATTCCACGAGCCCAGCGGGTGTTTTGATGCAGCTCCTGCAGGCCATGCCCTTGCATGTGCTGCTGCCGCGTGAACACCCCAGCGACACCAACAAGACCGCTGCCAGAACCGAAAGGGAGACATGAGAGTGGAGATGGCCATGTGAGTGACGAATTGACGACTCGCAGGCTTGAGAGATGAGCAACGTAATAGCACTGTGCACGGGCCATGGAGATGACGACATGTATGCGATGTGGGAAAGCTCCCCAGCGCCCGAAGACACACGGCACCCGTTTCCTACAAGAGCTGTACCACCTGCCTCCTGCATCGAATCTCCACATCAATCCTTCACCCTCACCCCACCCCCCCAATTCCCACAGCTGCCATCCAGGTACGTCTTTCGTCGTGCGCAAGAGCTTCAGTCGACTCGCAGCGCGCTCGGCTCAACGCTGAGCTGAAGCTTCCCCTCTTCCCCGCCTCTGCACCCCCCCTACCCGGCCCTTTCTCACTCTTATATCCTCAATGCGTGCCCTCATCGTCATTGAACATCTAAATGGAACTTTTACGCTAATTTCCATCTCAAAAACCAGCCGCACTCATCCCCAAATCTAATTCGCATCCCCAAGACTGATAACATACACCACCATGTCTGCCTTCCGGAGTCTGGCCCGCGTCCCGCGCACCCCCATCTTCGCTGCCCAGCGCATGGGCTTCCAAACGTCGGCGCTGAGATTCTCCGGCAAGGAAACAAAGCTTCGTAAGACACCCTCTAGAGGCAAAGGAGCCTTGTTCCCGTTACATCTGTAAGGCGAAGAAGGGGTCGACAAGCAGCGGCGGCATGCTCTCCAGCAGTTCACCAAATCGCGGAGGGCTCAACAGCGGATGGAATACGCATGGCCGCAGTGTTGTTCCTGGAAGTGCCCTGTCGCCTTGGTTGTTGAGTAATGTCGCTGCTGGTGCCGGCACTCGCGTTTCGCTGAGCACGAGTGGAGAGCTGGGCGATGGCTAGGCACAGAGCTGCGCTGACTTGAATATACAAATGCAGACGAAGAGGGCCGTCCCCAGGAGGTCGAGGAGCACAAGCAGGACTCGTTGAAGAAGTCGAAGGAAGGCAAGGGTCACTGGAAGGACGAGCTCGCCTCTGACAGCGAGTCAATTGTACGGTCACACCATGCTGCTCATCCTAGCCCTAAAGCTCCATTCGCTAACGCCAATTCCCTGCAGGTCAAGGCAGACCGCGGCGAGGTCGAGGCTTCGGAAGAGACTATCAGCAATCTGCAGAAGGAGACAGAGAAGCTGGCCCAACAGAAGAAATAAGTTCTAGGACAAGTCTGAACAAGGAAGGGCTTTCGATATGGCAGACGAATCCAACGCCATGAATTTCGGGAAAAGGCGCGAAATGGCTGACAGCTAGTATTTTTATGCCTGTTCTGCATTGAGGGTTAGAACAACTTCATGAATTGAGAACATGTAAAAACATTGTTGTTATTGCTTGCCCTGCGCCACTCGAATCCATAACCGTGATGTCGGTCCGTAAAGCTATGGTACGACCTTGGGGGCCAATATTGTGTTAAATCATAGTTAGTCTACCTACTAAATTACGTTTGGAGTATCGTAAAGGCTTTGTACGCTTTTATATCACATGCAACATCCACATAGCGGTAAAGGATTGTGACTACCTATTAGGCGTAAATCGTTATCTAGTGCATGCATAATGATAAAAGCCAAAGTCGCCGCCAAAACCAACCACAAACCCATCCGGCCTCAAATCGCCAAACCCTTACCTGCAACCCAACTTGTCGCTGTGTTGCCTTACCGGGTATCTACCGTGTCTGCAAGTCCACTTTTTTCTTTTCCCTATCCAAAGCTCAGGTATATCAAACCAGCAAAGTATCCGTCACTCACTCCTTTCCGCGGATGCCGACTAGAGGCAATCTAGTACTGGCCACCCCAGTAACCTCCTGATGGGGGAGGCGGCTGCTGGCCCCACTGCCCCTGCTGGCCGTACGGACCCGGAGGTGGACCGCCATAGCCACCGTGAGGCGGGGGAGGTTGTTGACCGTAAGGCGCGCCTTGTGGTCCACCATCTTGCCAGCCCTGTTGATACTGGCTTGGGAAGGCGTACGGATCTGCCGGGTTGGCCTGCGGTGGACCGGGCGGCAACGGCGCCTCCTGCTGATACTGGTAGCCATGCGGACCAGGGGATTGAGAATAATGTTCTCCGTAGGGGTGGAAGTTGGCTTGGTTTTGAGAAGGGCCAGGACTGTATGACTGTGGCGGCGAATCAACTTCACGTTTTCCGCCACTGCCACCCAGGAAGCTGCTAAGCGGGTTGCTCCCACCAGTCAACTTTCCGATGTTGCCGAGCAGACCTCCAACACCGCTGCTTGAACTCCCTCCTCCGGAACCTCCAAGGTTCGCCAGGCCACCGAAGTTGCCAAAGCCACCACTGCCACTACTCGAACTAGTGTGAGCAGCGGGACCTCCATGGCCACCGTGGCCATGGCCTCCGTGCCCGTGTCCTCCCTGCTCGCCGGTGTGATTCTTGCCGGCACGGACAGATTCGGAGCTAAGAATGTTGTTGAGGCCATGGCCTCTATCAGAACGGGAGTGCACCCACTTCTCAACAACGGAGTACATGTCGCGATGCAGCTCGCAATGACGATCGCGTGCTGCAGGGTGATGGAAGACACGCACAACGTCGTTGAGCACCTCGTCCACAGGCACATTGGGATGGTCCATGGCATAAATGACACGTGGAGCAATGTACTGCAAGATGGTAGAAGCGATCTGACCAGCCGGCTCGTTAAGGACGTTGGAAAAGTGGTCCTTGGATAAAAGGGAGTGCGTCGGATCGGTGCAGTAAGGGTCGGTCCAAGGTTCGTACTGATGCTTGCCGCTGGCGTCGATGACCGCAGACGAACCGGTCTTGAGCTGCTTTGAAGCAGCAGCAATGATAGGTTGAACGAATGGAGCCAGCAGAGCGAAAACGAACATAGTCACACGCTCTGAGATTTTTTCAACAACAGCCTCGAGGCCTGGGATCTTGGAAATGACGCTGCTGATAGCACGGACTACCTTGTCACGGAACTCCAGGATGGGATAGATCTTGGGAACCACAGACTGGGGATCGAAATCAGGGCTCATACCCGGGATGCCAGGGCCAGGAGGGCCTCCAACCGATCCAGGAGGAGCCGAGAATGTGGGGTCAGCACGAGAGCTGCTATGACCACCGCCGCTGATGCGGGCATTTTCAGCGGCCTGGGCGTCTGATGAGGCCTTGAGCTGGGCAGCCTCTTTGCAGAGAGAGCCAGTGCCAGGGATCTTGCTTAGGAGGCTAGTCAAAGCTTCGACATCTCCACCAGCAGAACCCCCGCTGCCAGAGCGCTTCCCCGAAGTTCCGGAGGCATTTCCGAGTTGGACGTTCAACTCATCGATCTCCGAGGTATCGACGTTGGATTGGGTGAAGTGATCCGTGGCCTCGCCCAAGACGGAGTGCAGGAAATCGACGCCGCCGAAGGTACCAGTGACGAGTGGGAAGACATGCTTCCCATGAAGATTGAGTTGAGTGGAGGTACCAGTGTGGGGGAAGACATTGTGGAAGCCCAACTCGCGGAGAGCGAGCTCGGTGTAGTTAGTGTGAGCACCGAAATCCTCGACACAGTGGAGGCCTTGACCAAGGCAGCGGAGAGCTTCACAGAGATCTTCCTCGCGGCCCTTAGCGCCGCCAGTGCCGTGGGTGTACATGCGGCCATAGTGGATGGCACGAGTAAAGCTATGCCTGATGTAGCCAGCACTCGTTGCCCATGGGCCGCGCTCATTGGCGATGTAGTTTTTCATTCCTACCACGATTAGAGAAGAGAATGGATGCCACAGAAACAGGCTCACCAGTCTGGGGGTCTATGGCTAGCTCGTCCTGAGATACAGGTCCACGCAGGCGCGAATCGTATTGCCTAGCGTCTTGGTTGTCTGCGTAGTCCTATTGGGCAGCGGATTAGACACGGCCCCGGACTGGCATCAGAGTTTCGCTGGCCTTACCTTGGGATTATCAATATGCTCCTCGGGGCGATAGACTGCAAGGTCAGCGTAAGGATGCAGAGTGGGCAAAACAGACGGCTCACCTCCGAGACGCTCGTGGGTAACCTCGAATTCCTTGGTGGCGTAGCCAAAGGACATGAAGGCGAGGATCCACACGAGAATGCGAATGGTGTCGGCCTGGACGCCCTTGAGAGTGCCGACGTCGACGGCCTGGGAATAGTCGCGCAGCCAGTTGCCAAAATAGACGCGCTTGATCATCATGGAAGACCACTTGTGGCCCTTGAGACAGGCAACGGTCTTGAGCATGTCCTCGATGTCGCCATGGCGCCAGTTCTTGCCCTCAATGGTGGAGATGCTCGCGATGTTGCCGGCGCCAAAGGCAGCGGCAGGCGCGGGGCAAAGCAGCAGCAGGGCGACGGCGATCAGGAAGACGAGCTTGAAGGACGGCATGGTGGCGGGTGGTGGGCTCGCCCAGCAGGAGCGGGCGATAACGGAAGATATATGCTGACGGCAGCGGAGGTTGGCAGTGAAAAGTGTCAGCAGACGGAGGTAGGATAGGGTAGGTAGGTAGAGCGCTGGGGGTGGGCGCGCGAGTCAAGCGACATTCGGGCAGGTGCCGAATCCCGACCGCGAATGATGTCAGAAGAAGGAGCGCCTGCCGCCTGCCGCCTGGAGCCTGTCTACGCGCCTGCGCCTGCGCCTGTACCCTCATCCTGCCACCATTCCCAGCACCCAGCCACCGCCACAGCCCTTCAGCTACACCAATCGGTACCGCATCAGCTTCGCGGCCCACAGACGCGCACGCGCACAGCCTCGCCACTCCCTCCGCCCCCATCCACTCGCTCACGCTGCAGGCCGCGCATTCCTTGTGCCCGAAACGATGCCACATTATCCGTATTGCTGCTATCAATCCCGACGCTCAACCCGAGCGACTAGCTCCTCTGTAGCGTCCTCGTAGAACAGCCTCGTCCTTTCCATGTCATACAACGTCCACCTATCCCCCGACTCTCCTCTCGATCCATCCCTACACTCGATTCCTACGCTATTGGATAGCTGCTCCACCACCTCCCGTCGGACCCTTCCCCTTTCGCCAAGCTCTTCTGTCCGCGTGAAAGGCTTGTGCAGTATCGATGTGCTGATGTTGGACAGAGACACCGTCACGTCGCCTCCTTCAAGCGCAAGCGCTCCATCCATGGAAAGAAGCTGAATCCGCTTTGCGAGAAGCTCCACCTGAATTCTTTCAATCTTGCCAGCCACATCTCCAATAATCCGCTCCCATTTCCGGCTGCTCGGCTGATTTCTGGCCGCTTTCCTGAGCCGCTCCATCTGATTTTGTTGCTCCAGTCTCCACTTCAGCTTTTGGTTCTCCATCCTCAAATCTTCAACTTCCTCTGGACTGTAATTGCTGGCACATTTGCAACTTCCATACTCGGCTCCGCAGCAGCGACACGGCCGCCCGGAATCCGAGGCTTGCTCCAGTCCAGTTGGTATCATGCTGTCGTTGAATGCCGTGCCCCCTAGTGATGATTCTTCGCTAGATACTTGCTCGGTAGAATCAGGAGAAATCCACCAAGACTCTCCATCCATCCTGTAGGTTTCTAGCGGGTCCTGGGCAGTGGGAGAGACGGCGATTGCTTCCCCAAAGGTGAGATCCAGCTCGGTCTCTGGCCGCCGATTGCTATGCTCGGCCATGTGTAACTTGGCCTTGTGTAGCTTGATCTCGTCTTTCAACTTTGTCCTCTCGTCGACCCATCTGTCTCTTGTGATGCACCATGACATCTTTTCTTTCCACCAAGTTGTTAGCATCTCCCGTTGGTAAGATCCCCATCTCTTTACCGCATCAAGTGATTCTTCCATCTGGTTGTCGTATATTTGTTCCGACACTTCCCATTCAAGGTCTTCCACGTTCTCTTTACGCTTGTCGAAGCCCTCCCATGAGTAGTGGTCGATATCATGGCCGCAATTGTATCTCTCCCTGTTTCGGAAGTGAACGCGCTCTTCGTTCAGATAAAAATCGGCTTCCTTAGGACTCTTGATGGTTTTGAACTCTTTGTCTTGGAACTTTAAAGAACCGGTCTCCGGTTTATGTTTGTCGTTTCTAGCTTGAAACCCGGGATTTGGGCCAGGTACCACGCTCTCCTGCTGATTGTCTTCGGACTGATCTTGCTCGATCTCGGACAGATCCTCCTCGTCTTCAGATTGACTCGAGTCGTCACTCCAGTCAAATACACTTTCAGATTGATGGACCGTTGGCGCCGAATTAGGGCGTGGTGGCTCCGGACACGGAGTAAGAGGTCTTTCGTCGTGCTCCTGCGAGGTCTCCTCCATGTCGTCGGCACTGATGCTTCTATTCAGTCTAGACGATGGAAGACGTCTACGAGTCTGCCCGTAATTTTTGCCCTTTTTCTCCCTCGTCCTGAGCCGATAGAGTAGCAATTCCTTTCCCGAAATCGCAGAAGATGGTGCCGAGCCGCTATCATCCTCCAGCGAATCAATGTCCCGGCTTTCCACGGCTTGATAAGCTTGGCCATCGAGATTTTCACGACCTCTTCCATAGGATGAAGAAGACTCTGCGTCCACCTCCTGGTCGTCAATCTCAGAGGCTTCATATCGATCCCTTGGGATTTCGGAAGCTGCCATCAACTCCGTAGCGTCGTAGGAGGAAGATGATCCTGCGTCAACGTTCTCGTCATCAATTTCGGGGGCTCCATATTGATCATCTGAGCTTTCGGAAGCTGCCACCACTTCCGTAGCGTTGATGTCATTGAGTTCACCGTCTGACTTTGTAGCAATGCTACCCATCTCCGCTTTCTTTTCTCTAGTTGTTGGCCAGGATGATCCTGTTCGGTGTCGCGGGTGGATGAATACTCATGCCCTGTTCATAAGTTTCCCGTTGTCGTAAGCTGATATTTGTAGGTGTTGCATGGGGAACGGCGATCAGGATCACTTATCCGGCTGCTGATGCAACTGATTCTGGAGGGAAATGCCAGGCGTTGGACGATTGTTAGCTGACGGTTCAACAGAACGGCCATAAAACACAATACGGGAGGATGGTATTGGCTAGCAAGATAGAGAAAAATCGTCGGTCATGGATGCGAAAGAGGAAGGATTGCTGTTCGGGGCGAGTCATCGTTTCGTCCAAACCACTCTTACAACACTTTATGTGCGGAGGACTTGGGCATCCTTCAGATCACAGAAGCAAAACGAACAAAGAGGAAGTGCCGAATGCGTCTCCACTATGCTTGACAATTTTGGCTCTCCATCGTGGTCATGCGGCTTTGTCAAAAGGCGACCCGGCTGGAATGTCAACAAAGCAGACACTATCTAGCGCAATCCGGAGATAATTCGTAACAACCCGGTTGACTAATCCAAGCCAGACATGACAGTTCACTCTTACAGCACACTGTTTACGATGCGGCACAAGACGTATTCCTGAGGAAGTCAGTGTTGGAGATGTACGGATTGAAGTCACTTCTTTCTACACTTCAGAGTTTCAGATTACACTAGGCTTCCGATGAGAGTGCTTGCAAGCCAAAGAAAAATGAAACCAATCCTCTATATCGGTAACGTAAACTGAGGAGAAAAACCAAGACAGCAAAGCAAAGGAAGTCTACGCTATGCTAACCGAGGCTGAAAAATGCATCTGACGGGACCTAGCACCTCCCTGCCTCCTGGGCAATCCATGTAAGCAGCTCCGCTCAACCCATGGCGACGCGGTAGCTGATGCGTCCGGCAACACTACGGCCGATGAGGCGACGGTCCTTCTTGTCCGCGAAGGTGATCTTGCCATCTTCGCACTTGGTGCCGGCGGCAACATCCTGCCAGATCACCTTGCCGAAGTTGCAGATGCCGAACTGGTTGACGCCATTGCAGACCATGGTGCCATCCTCGCCGCATCCGGCAGGAGCTGGAGTGTCGGGACCGGGAGCACCGTTGGCTGGCGTAGAAGGATGGGCAGCTGGAGAGGTCACAGGCGCCGCTCCGCTTGCGTCAGGCATGTTCGTGGAGCTGGGGGACGGTGAAGGGACCGAGGAAGTGATTGCAGGAGGCTGCTGCGAGGACGAGCTACCGCTGCCGCCCGAGTTGCCATCCGAGTTGCCGCCCATGACCGGCTGCAGCTTGGAGGGAGCACCGCAATCGCCTTGGAAGTCCACGAAAGGTCCGCCACCGCGCTTGTCGACGGAGTCGCCCGGGTTGGGAAAGAGGGGGACCATGCTATCGGCGGTCTTGCAGGTGGTCTGGGGGATGTTGGCGAGCTGCATGTCCGGAAGCTTGTCGTATGCGTCCTTGTTGTCGGCGCCGCCAGTCACGGTGATGGGCGCGCAGTTCATGTACATCTCGCGGTTTCCGATCTTGTTGAACCACGTCCAGGCCAGCGCGAACTCGCCGTTCGGGAAGTCCGGGGGAAGCTGGAAGTTGAAAGTGTCGGGCCCGCCGTTGATGCCAGGGCAATCTCCCTCGATGGAATGGACGACCTTGAAGACGGACGAAACGGTCGGCTCCTTGTCAAGCGAGACGCTGATTTGGCAAGAGCCGCCGCCGTGGACAGCGGTGCCGGTGAAGGAGAGCGTCTGAGGCTTGCCGACTTCCATAAAGTTCATCGTACTAACATCGTAGACGCCTGAGCGTTGCTTGCAAGGGTAGTCGCCAGAAAGAGGGCTGTTGTTCAGAGTGCTGACTCCGTAGGGAACTGGATTTGCCATGATCATGTGTGCGTCGACGATCGGCACCATCATGGTGCCGGCCAGGGTGACGAAGCCGAGCGTACGGGACCTCATGTTGAGTGGCGTTGTTACAGTTGTAGAAGCGGTTCGATGGGTGAAGGTGACTGACTGAACGATGAGTAGAGAATAATATCTGGTCCTGCCAGTGGGTGAGTCTGAAAAGTATGAGGAGGAAGAAGAGGAGGACGAACGAGTAGAAGTTTGTGTTTTATGGCAGGCCTGCACAGACCATTTTTTGTAGGACAATTGAGTGAGCGAAGCTTTGAATAAGACAATGGACCGGGCGGGTACTGTGTTTAAGCCACACCTATTGTTCTAGACCAAAGTGGAAGTTCACTCACAATGCGAGTGAGAGTGAACACAAAGTGTCTTCACCCACAATGGCAAAAGACCCACCTAAATTTGTCTATGTCTGGGCGCATTTGTACGTTTTGATACTCGCATCTTCCCTTGAAAAGGAAATTTAATCCCACGTCTACGCCGGAATACTTGATTCAACTGCCCACCAAAAAAGTTGCCGCAGGCCAATTTCTTTCGTAATCCACTGTGGTCTCAAGGCTGCGGCTCCTATGATTGGAGCTGACAGGTCAAACATCTCTACTCAAGAAAGTTCTGAGAGATTCTATGGTTAGAGTAGAGTTGAAGTGCTTGCCTGAAGGTTACTGTACCGGGTTCTTGGGTATCTGGGTTTGGGAGGTGCTTCAACTGCGAACCACCACTATTTCGAGTACTCGTCCGATGGATCGTGTCGAAGAAGCGATATGAGCTGTCATGTTGCGTCGACATCTGGGCTAGGTGAGGTATCGACGACTTATTTGTGTCTCAATAAGGGCCGACATCGGAGCAGGTCGCGTTTTCACGCGCAGCTGGACGGGCAGGAAAGCTCGACGAAGCCAGCAGAACGCAGGCGCTGCACAGCTGGCGGCCGGGTCGGGCACATGGCGAAGCGGCGGGTGCTTGCTGGACCGCAGTGCTGGGGGCTGGGGATGCTTGGCGTGGTGTTGAGCGAAAAACGCGGCCGGGGCCTTGGCGCGATTGCGGGTTCCTTGTCCTGCCGGGTGCGCGCGTTCGCGAACATCTGCATCGCTGCTTCGACCTTCCCACCCCCCGCCCGCCTTTGATCTTTCCTGTGGCGCATGATCGACTAATTCCTCGCCGCCCATCGCATCCTCTCGCCGGTCGCGCGGTGCACGCTTCCTGATCCCGCCGTCCTCGCGTTCCCGACTGATCTTTGCGAGAGCGCGCGCTTCAGCACCTGTGCGCCATGTCCGTCACCGCGAAGGCCAACCCGCCCCAGGCCTTCATATCCAGCTATGCTCCGCGCATCCGCACCTATGGCAACTCGATGCTGCAGCCCGTCATCCCCCAGCTCACCCAATTACCCCCGTCGCGGACCACCAAGCGAGGCACCACCGCCATCAACTACGCCGAAGATGGCTATGACGACGACGATTTCGAGGACAGCGAGGGGCCGCGACGGAGGCCAACCGGCCTGCGAAGCTTGAGACAACAAGATGATCCCCAGGCGAAGCTGGGCCAAGACTCTTCGCAGCTGGGCAAGGAGCTCACCGCGCCGGTCGAGGTACAAGGCATTTGGAGAGAGTGGATGGGCAAGCCCAAGCGCGCATTGTATGTGTCATGTCCTCTCCATGCTCCTGATCTACTGACCGTTCGATTGCAGGACGGAAAAGCAACTTCAAATACAGACGCACTTACCGCTCACCCTGATCCCCATCCGCATCGACCTGGACATTCAGCCCTTCCGCCCAGAAGCACCCTTGCCCACTCCGAACAACGCGCGCGACTTTGGAATTGACGAGAGCCTGCCTGCATACAAGCAGCCCGACGTCACGCCCGCCTTCAGACTGAAAGATGCCTTCTTGTGGAATCTGCACGAGGCGCTGACGACGCCTGATCAGTTCGCCAAGGTGTTCGTGGAGGAGTTGGACTTCCCCAACGACAGGAAGCCAATAATCATCACGCAGGTTGCCAACCAAATCCGCCAGCAGCTGGAGGAGTACGCTGGAGTCGCAATGCACCCACTGTTCCATTCTACAAACACTACCAACGGGACGACAACCGCGCCTCGATCCGCTCAGCCCCCGGCAACACCTCGCGAGCAATCCTCGACACCAGCACCAGCCAGCACACTCGCGCCCACCCCTGCTGCCACGAATGGCACTCCTCCGGTTTCCGTGGGCCCCAACGGCAACAGCATCACCGCCACCGCCACACCTCTTCCTTCAGACGACGTTCACAACCCGGACGACACCTATCGATGCATCATAAGCCTTACCATCAACATGCTCAATCGTCTTTACAGCGACAAATTTGAGTGGTCATTACTGCACCCTCCCGGCTTCGCTGAGATATTCGCCAAACAAACCTGCGCCGACCTTGGCCTGGGAGGTGAATGGGTGCCAGCCATGACGCACGCTATCTATGAAGCTGTCTTGAGGCTTAAGAAGGAGGCCTGCGAAAACGGTGGCCTAGTGGGTTACGGCGAGGTTGAGAATGAGGCTGCCGAAGGTGCTGAGTCCGGGTGGCGGTATGATCCAGAGCATCTGGCGGACGAGTGGGAGCCAAAGGTCGAAATTCTTTCCAAGGAGGAGATCGAGAAACGTGAGGGCGACCGTGAACGTCAGATCCGCCGCCTTCGTCGCGAGACTGCACGCTTCTCGAGCACGGCGAACATGTCAGGTGGCATGCCGCAGAGCGACTACTTCGCGAACCCGGACCCTGATGAGCGCATGGGCAGGGGCGAGCGCAGCAAGAAGAAGAGACGATTCCGGAGCTTGAGTCCGCCGAATAGGGACAGCCCAGATACAACAGGCGGATACGGTGGCCAAGGGGGAGGCCTGCAGGAATGGTAAGCAACACTATGTGCCACGTATAGGCCTGTTTTGCTGATGATCTTCGTGTCCACAGGGAAAGGCAGAACTGGCGGTGCTCGCACTGTCTGGTACATGGTTCGGCGGTTTGGGCTGTGAGGGATGGCCCCAACGGTTCCAGAGTGAGTGACCCAAGCTTCAAAATGTATCGGCGTATCCCGGAGACTAACTAGCGTACCCCGCAGTCACTATGCCACAACTGCGGCTACTTATATGAGCGCGACAAGAAGCTCCCCCCGTGGTCGCACAACCTATTTATCTACGATGCTCACGCGCGACGGTGATGACCATCGCAGGCGTCCGACATTTTCGTCTTCTTAACTTTAGACCAGGCTTATGAAGTATCACCTTTCACACGCTCGATGATCGCGGGCATTTGTGGTTTCCACCCGCGGATTCATCAGGCGTCGGGGCGTTTGTGTTTTCCCTGCTTCAAGAAAGACACTGCTATCGCTGCTGCAACGCTCTTCGGCTAGCGCCATATCTTGAATCTCCTTCCGCATCCTTCGCAGGTGGGGTTCAAGGAAAAGCATCATCATCATCTTTTTTTTTTTCGTGAGAGTGAGAGAGTCATTAGGTATGGCAAGGACGGCCGGAGCCGTACCAGAAAGCATTTGGGTGTCAAATGGGAGCGGAGTCGGCACAGAAGCTGGACGGGATTTGAAGAAGAAAGCTACTGCTGACATGTTGTACGATTATTCACATGGAAGGAATCCAGGACGGCGATTGGATTGCCGACTAGTTCCTTGTTGTCATGCCACGGAATTGCTATTGTTCTTCTCGCTGTGGATATTGACATTGTCATATTAATGAAGACTTACCCACTGAGTTTCCCCAAAGAACGCCATCAGCACAAAGGGAAAAAAAGATGCAGTAGATGAGGATGTGCAAATTGTCAATAGTGGTATGTATGTATATGCCTCTGAGTATTTCCCCCCCAAAAAAATCCTCGGAAATGTTCACATCTTCCCATCACTGATTTTGCATCTCTCCACCAGCAAACCCCGCGGATGACCGCAGCTCGCTCGGGAATCCACCGCCTTATCCTTCCTCCGTACAGGCCACGAACACCCCATCTCCTTCTCACACCCTCCTCCCCTCTGCATCACCGCCGACCCTCTCCCTCTTCACCTCCCGACCACCAACACCACCACCACCACTCCCCGCCTCAAACTCAAACTCAACCTCATCGACCTCCGCCTTCCTCTTCTTCGTCGCGCCAACTCCCCCCTCGCCACCGTCAGCCGAGACCGCGGGCGGCGGAGTCTGCGGCGGCGTCGGCATCGCGCTGCCACCGCTCTGCTGCTGCTGCTGCGGCGTCTGCGGAGCTGCTGCGGCGGCGGGACGCGGCAGGCCGCCGCTGCCGATGACGTTCTTGTCGCCGATGATGCGCGTGCCGCAGTCGATGCGGATGGTGAGGGGCGGGTGTTTTCTGTTGTTCTTGGCGTCAAGGGCGCTGGGGATGATGGGGAGGTAGTAGTTCTGGTGGGGAGGGCCGTGAGCTGCTTGTTGCTGCTGCTGTTGGGCTTGGACCTGGGTTGGGAGGGTGCCGTGCAGGAGGGAGAGCAGGATGGTGGTCAGGCGCGGGCCGTCGATGGGGGGCACGGCGATGATGTTGTTGAAGCCGTGGATGGCGGTGGAGGTGTCGATGGTGAGGGTTTGGCCGGTCGACGTCGCGGCGGCGGTGTTGGCATCGTCGTCGTCGACTTCGCTGGAGGTGTCGGAGGCCATGTCGAGGTCTGCTGGCGAGGCGGCCGTGGTGAGGTTTGAGGTGAGGGCTGAGTAGGCTGGGGGAGGGGGGTCGTGCTGGTTGTTGTTGCTGCTGCTGCGCACGGTGGTGCTGGAGGTAGCGCGATCAGCCATGAACTTGTGGTAGGCGTGGATCATCGAACTGAAGTCCATGGTGGTGTGGAAGGAAGAGACGTCAGAGCGGAGGGTTATGATGGTCAAGCAGGATTATGCAGAGGCGTGAGAGGAAATGAGTGAGAGGCTAACACGAGTGCAGCGAGGCAAAAGATATATTGATGGTGTTGCAGGGGTGGACAATAGGCATGCATAGCACAATAGCAGCAGCAGGCAACCAACCACGGTCAATACGTCAGCTTACCCATGCAGATTTTTGCGGGTCGTGTGCGGGTCGCTTATTGAGAGATGGTATTGTGGTCTATTGATGCCATTGTTGCGCCACCGTTTGCACAGCGATTTTCTTTGTCTGCCCGTTGCTGCCGTCTCACCGCTGGACCAAAGCGGAGCCGGCGATGAATGGCAGGGTTTCTAGCGCTTCCGAAGCTTGAACCCTATCCATCACCAGGCTCCGCACCATTCGTTGTGTCGAAGAAATCATCACGTAGGGATCCGTCGTCGCGCAAATTTCGTACTTGGTCCATGGATAGCCAGGACCCCGAGAAGCACTACCGCGGGACCAGCGTCGGCCGGACCCTGATAGCGACGCTAGATGAGCTTCCCGCCATCCCGCCCCAGCTGGCAGAGAAGATCAGGCTACATTTCGACCGCGAGCTGCTCCTCGCTTTGAGAAGCGCGCGGGTGATGCGCAAACGGATGAACTTCAGGGCTCGCTGTCACACATACCGCTTCTACGACGACCGGTGGCTCTTCGTTCTCCAAGACGTCAAGATCAAAACGGACCGCGGGAAGAGCATCAGGTCGGACCGGATCTCCGTCAACGCCATCTCTACTGGTCTCGAGGAGGGACGGCGCGGGAAAGCAGACGTCAAGTCAAAGGCAGCGGCGAGATCGAAGGCAAAGAGTACATGGAGCTGATGTGAGAGGTGCGAGTCTTGAGACGGGCGCCGTAGCATCCTCTGGCGGCGCGTCAGAGTCAATCAACTTGTTCCAGATGCTTTGCATTGACAATTGGCGAGGAATGTTCATCTCGTGGGCTGGCGCGGGCGTAGGTCAGGGAGCCACGGCCAGCAGAAGGAGCCGAGATGCTGCTCCATTCGGCGCGGATATTGATATTGCAATAACAAAAGCGTGACTGGCCGACTGGCCGACTGGCCGAAGCGTTGCGACGCATCTCCAACGGGGTGTTCGTCTCCACGCTGTCGCGGCGGCCGGCCGAAACCCCTCGTCTACGTTGCCACCACGGCGGGATCCAGGAAGGAAGGTGCTGCAATCCGGAGCCACCGCTGACCGGCACAATCTCGATTGAGTCGACGTCTGACGCTACCCGTCTGGCGGGTCTCCGCATCGCCATTGGCCGTGGCCGGGGCGGCTCATTGGTGAGAGAGTGCGCTCCGATGATGCACTGTACGACTGCTGCGTGCCTTGACTGCGCCGGCGCGCATGCCAGCGCTGCCAGGTACGGGCCCAGTCGCAGACACGGCCAGGCACGCGCAAGCAGCGTGTCGGGCAGTAGTCGTGTTTCATCTGTTCATCTGGTGCGCGCTGCCGCAGTGCCGCAGTGCCGCAGTGCCGCACTGGGGCTGGTCGCGGCGCTGGTCGCAGCGCTGGTCGCGGCGCTGGGCGCTTGGCCGAAGCGGTGGGCGGGCGGTCATTGTACGCAGCAAAAGCTTGGACCCGCTTCCCCGGTTGAGGCCTCGACCTCCCGGAGGGAACGATGTTGACACCGTGTTCACCAGCAGGCATCGGACAGACGCGTGAACCTGCGGCGCTCTCAAAAGCTCCTGCTGGCTGGCCAATTTTCGTCGCCCGCCCTCGCAGCTGCTCACCCGACCAAGCAGGTGCACGCGCTCGGCGTCAAGCCCCTGCACACACCACCTCTCGCCTTTCCCGGCCGCCCTGAGCAACCTGCTGTGGCTTCTTTCCAGCGCCCTCCCTCCACCGCGCCTCGTTCTCTCTCGCCTTCCTCATCCCCGGCCCCGTGCAATTGGCATCGCCCCCAGCCAGTTGACTCGCCAGTCCCTGTGCCCTCAGCCCGCGGCACCGTCCGCCCGCTTCTCTCTGACCGCCGCTCCTGAGCTCCACCATCCGCCGCTCGCCAAAGGAGGCTCAAGCAGAGAGATCGTCGCCCGCCAACAGCACACCACTCTTCCCGCATCGTGCGTCCTCGGTATTGTGCTCTCTGCTGCCATTGCTCATGCACGCTTTGACTGACTCCAAAATCCCGCAGCACATCCGAAACCCCGCCGTCATGGAGCCCTGGCAATCCTGGAGTCTGTTCCTGACCCTCAGCATCGCCGCCTACTTCTACTACAGCAACCAGAAGAAAACCGCGGTCCGCCCGGCTCGCAGCCAATCCGTAGCCGAGGAAGCTGCCGTGCGTCCCGCTCGCAAAGAAGCCAAGCCGAAGCGCAAGACCGAGGCCGTCACTTCTGGAAGCGACGCCGCTAAGGCCAACGAGAAGAACCGCAACAAGAACAAAAAGGAGCAGAAGGTCGCGACCAAGGCTTCTGCCTTCGTTGCTCAGGTCGAAGCCGATGACGACGACAAGGAAGACAAGGAGTGGGCTCGCCAGCTGGCCGAGCTCAAGAAGGGCACCAACCTTGCTCCACCGGAGCGCAAGTCTGGCGGCGCGGGCAGGACTGTCAAGCAGCGCGCTGCCAATGCCGACCGTGCCTTCACCTCTGGCTCTTCTACCAACGGAGCCGATGCCGACGCTGAGTTCTCTCCTGCCATCTCCCCGGCTCTGAACGCCTCTGCGAGCAGCCGGGATGTTTCGGACATGCTGGAAGCGCCTGCTGCCGGCCCGTCCGTCATCCGCCTCACCGAATCAGCCAACCCAGCGCCTGCAAAGAAGCAACAGAAGAAGGTCGAGCCCGAGACCAAGGAGTCCAAGAAGCAGCGCCAGAACCGCAAGAAGATTGAGCAGGCGAAGGCGCTGCGCGAGGAGGAGGAGGCAGCTCGCAAGGTCCTGATGGAGCAGCAGCGCCGCGGCGCACGCGAGGCTCGTGGCGAGCCCGCCAAGAATGGCCTCGGCGCCCCCACGTCCACGCCCAGTGCGTGGACTCAGAAGGAGAAGTCCAAGGCCAATGGCAGTGGCGATCTCCTCGACACGTTCGAGAATGAGCCGTCCAACCTCGCGGCCAGCGGTACGTCGACCACCTGGGAGCGGGACCTTCCCTCGGAGGAGGAGCAGCTGCGCCTTGCCATGGCAGACTCTACTTGGAGCACTGTTGAGACGAAGGGCAAGAAGGGCAAAAAGAAGACGGCCCAGGCCGAGCCGGAATCCGAGCAGTATGCGGTCAAGACGCCCGAGGTTCAGTCGCTGCCGCTTACGGAAACAACCAACACGTCGCGCTCCAACACCATGTCCAGCGATGTGGAGCCGACCAACGGGCTCCAGGGATCGGCTGACATCAGCGATTACATCCAGGGCCAGGTTGGCAGCCACCCGCAGGACTCGGATTGGGCGGTCGTGTGAAGGCATCCAACTGGGAATGCATACATTCAGCTTGGCACAAAGCTGATTATGATCCACGAGTCGCCCGTTTGATTTCCTGCTTAAGCGTGTAATCGGCGTATATCCCGTTGCTTGGAGGCCCACGCAGCCGCCTCTCTCTCTTCTTTTGGTGTATTCTGGATTTCAATTTTCACGCAGCACTACACGGAGTGCGGTACGGTTGGACAGAATGTGCGAGGGATGTGCCTGTGAGGGGTGACGGGGTGGCAGCAGTACGAAAAGCAGTTTCTGTTTGTTTTAGTGGCAGCCCCGCGGCGATGATGCTGCGGGGGCCGACTGCTCGCCGCCTCGGGCGGGCCGTCGGCAGTGTGCACTTGTCCTGGCTTTCTCTTCGTGGCTCCTGGGCGCTGGCAAACGCGCTGCGGATGCGGATGCGGATGCAGGGACTGCAGATGTAAATTAGTATGCGAAGCAATTGAACCTTCATTAGCAACTCTGCTACCGTGGCTTCCGGGGTGTTTTTGGCACTAAGCTCGCTGCTACTGGCCGTGGCACAGCGGTGCGGCGCCAGGCCGCGGCGGAGCAGGAGCACCAGCCACAGGGTGGTCGGCTTGGCGCGCGCGCATCGCCGGTGCCAGCAACAGCTTCTAATTATACCGCTGCCATCAGCTCGCGGAAGAGGGCAGCACGCGAGGGCAGCTCTGCAGCAGCGTCGCAGCGAGGCTGAAAGGCGCGCAGGGCTTTATTGTCTGCGACCGGCACGAGAATCAACAAAGCATTGCACTCTTGCCTGCCGTATTCACACAAGACCCTGCCCTGGCTTTGCCTCTCCCGAGTCGGCTCGAGCATCTCGTGGCTCAAAACGCAGCAACCGTGTCCTCTCCCAGGAACTTTGCCCTCCCCACCACCACCACCGACTCCGCCTCCGTACAAGTACCGCCGCCCGCGCACCCGTCCCCTCTCCACACGGCCACTCCTCCTTCCACTGCGCGACAAAATGGCCCAAATAAGAGGTTCGACTCCCGCCCCGCATGCACTCGACCATTCCGCATCCGCCATCTCCGCCTCGTAGCTCCACCGTCCTCGTCTCCCGCGACGCCACAATCCCTTCGCTTCTTGCCTACGTTGCGCTGACCGTCTGCGATTCAGGAACCGCGGGATACCACCTGGGCAACCAGTCGCCATTCGGCGGCCCCCAGCGATCCGATGCCACGAGCGACCCGAGCCCGCTGGACGCCATTCGGGAGCAGACGAGCAAGATTGAGGACTGGCTGGACACTCTCTCCGAGCCCATCAAGCCGTGAGTGCTCCAGGAGGCCCCGATGCCGCGGCACAGCACGTGGGGCAGGGGACCGAGACTGACAACACGGGCACACAGTCACCTCCCTGCGATCGGCCGTTTCCTGATCGTCGTGACCTTCTTGGAGGATGCGCTCCGCATCATAACCCAGTGGAGCGATCAGCTCACCTACCTGAAGGACTACAGACACAGTGAGCTGCTTCCGGTCCCTGGACAACAGAGCTCCAGCGGCGCTAACCTAAGCTTTCTCGCCCTGCAGTTCCCAGCGGAGTGACGCACCTGTTCCTGATTTTCAACGTCATCGCCATGACGGTGTGCTCGATCATGATTATCGGACGCAAGCATTCGGAATACGCAGTGGGCGGGCTGTTGGGCGTGGTTGTGACGCAGGCACTTGGGTACGGGCTGATTTTCGACCTCAACTTCTTCCTGCGCAACCTGTCGGTCATTGGCGGTCTCCTCATGGTGCTGTCGGATTCGTGGGTTCGCAAGAGGTTTGTGCCGGCCGGTCTGCCGCAGCTCGACGAGAAGGACCGCAAGATGTACTTCCAGCTTGCGGGCCGCGTGCTGCTGATTTTCCTCTTCGTCGGCTTCGTCTCGTCGGGCGAGTGGAGCTTCTGGCGCATCACGGTCAGCATCCTCGGCCTCATTGCCTGCGTCATGGTCGTCGTTGGCTTCAAGGCTAAGCTGAGCGCCGTTCTGCTGGTGCTTATCCTGAGCATCTTCAACATCCTCGTCAACAACTTCTGGACGCTGCACCCGCACCACCCCCACAAGGACTTCGCCAAGTACGACTTCTTCCAGATTCTGTCCATCGTGTAAGTTTTCTCATTTTCGGCCCGAGGTTCTGAGGGGTGCAGAGGTGCTAACAAAGTGCAGCGGCGGTCTTCTCCTGCTGGTCAACATGGGACCTGGTCAATTCAGCGTCGACGAGAAGAAGAAGGTTTACTAAGCGGCGACGGAATAAATGCAAGCCACTATTTCGCAGTGCTATCTTCTTGGAAAAGGGTTTCGGGGGCATTGGTGGTCGGGCATGAGGAGGAGCGGGACACGGATTGTGCTCCCGCCACCGTCACCAGAAAAGTGGTGCAGGAAGAAGAGGGGAAATCAAGAGAGGAGCATGTACATCATCATCGTCATGGGGGGCAGCACCAACACCGTCAAGTCGGTGGGCGTTTTGCAGTGTTTTTCTAGCTCAAAACAGGAAGCAATTTCTCTGCACAGGCAATAATGGAAATCAAGATGTTAGGGCAACCCTCCCGGAACCGTGCCCGTCTGGCGGTGATGGCAATGGCATTTTCATCACACTCGTCGGACTCTACATGCAGGACCATCTCGTCATAGTACCATGAAAAGCGTCCTTGTCTCGGCGGAACACATGCAAGGCGCGAGAATACAGCTGGAGCCGCCCACGGCCTAATCACAGGCGGCCGATTTCCCCTTATTAATACTTGGCCGGGCGGCGGTCAGCTGCGGCCGTGGTGCCTTTTGCCGAGCCCCGCCGCCGCTGCCCATCTTGGGCGGAAGGCGGAGATGGTGGATCTAAGCAAGCCTCCGCCCCTCGTCACCCCGTCTCCACCCTCACAATAACCGCCACCGCAAGCGCCGAGCGTCTGGCAACACATACGTGACACGCTTCTTGTGCCACCAATTCCCATCTCACCATGGCACCGAAGAGCCGCATCATCATCGATACCGACCCGGTACGTCACTGCATTTGCCCCACCGTTCGTTTGGGTGCAACCTCACACGTACCAAATCCCGGGAATGCATTTGATCCTTAGCGCGCATGCCGTTCCGGACTGCGCTTGACCTCGCGAGAACAAGGTCCCTCCTGCACAGCGGCACTTCGTCCCAGGGGCCGGGGCGTCCAGGCACAACGAAGAACAACGCTGACGCGACGTTTGCTGAAAGGGTGTTGATGATGTTCTCGCTCTACTGTTGGCGTTTGCCGCGAGGAAAGAAGAGCTCGAAGTCCTCCTCGTCTCCCTGACATTCGGAAACATCGATGTGCAGAGGTGAGTGCACCGATCTATATTGACCTTCCTCTCGGCCTCGAATTATGCCGGGTATGGAGCCTGCACAGGCTCTGGTTTGACCAGCAACGAGCATTTCCTTTGCTTTTACTCTATTTTTCTCCCGGCAACCACGTCTAACCCCTGAGCAGCTGCCTCCGGAACGTTGTGTCGTTGTTCCACTGGATTGAGAAAGAGATCGAGTGGAGGAAGGCGAATGGGATATCGGAGGGTTTTGAGGCCTTGAGAGCCCACAAACCACTCGGTAAGATGGCCAAGATGGTGTGCCGAGAATCAAAGCTAATTGAGCAAACAGTCTCGGTTGGCGCCGAAGAGCCGCTCGCGGACCAGATGATGCTGGCTGACTACTTCCGTGTGTCAAGCTTGACCTACTACCTACGTCGCAATGCCGTTTGCGCTGACTTGAGGTAGATGGGATCGACGGACTGGGTGGAATCCACTCGAGCGTGAGTCTACACTGGCTCCATAGGTGCAGCCGCTGACAATGTGAACCATCAGCACCCCCACCTCACTCCGGAGGAAACGTGGAAGAGCCTGTTTGCATCTGCTCTTTCTTCATCTGATGCGGACACTGTAGCTGCTGCGCGTGAAGCCCAACAGCCGAACGCGCTATTTGCCCCTTCGGCGCAACGCTCACACTTGGAGATGCTGCGGCTGCTGCGCGAGAACGAGCCCAACACCATCTCCATCATTGCCATCGGGCCGCTGACAAACTGCGCTCTGGCTGCTGCCACGGATCCGGAGACGTTCCTGCGCGCCAAAGAGGTCGTTGTCATGGGCGGCACCATCGCTGAGACCGGAAATGTACTACTCCCTCCATCCTCAAGAGCCTCGTCGGCCAGGCCTGAGCGACCACCGCCCTTCAACTTGATCAAGGCGCCAGATACAGCATTGAGAGCATCGCTAAACAGACGCAATCAGGTCACTCCCGTAGCCGAGTTCAACACGTATGCCGACAGCATTGCTGCCGCGCGTGTCTATGCACTCACGAGCCGTCTCCCGGAGAGCACCATGCCGCCGATACCGCCTGCCCCGCCGGGGAAAGAGCATGACCACTTGAAGCCGTATCCGAAGAATCTGAGCAAGAGGCTCAAGGTGGCCATGTTTCCTCTTGGTGAGTACATGTGTGACGCGGTCTTTTGAGCATCGTTGAACATACTTATGCTCTTTCTCCACCCTCCCCATTGCAGACATCACGCACAAGCACGAACTCACCCGCGGCCAATTCGACACGGCCATCGCGTCCAGCTACACGGCCGGATCCCCACTCGCCATGTGGGCGTCGGCATTCCTCAGTAGCACCTTCCGCAAGATCGAAAGCCTGTCCAGCTCCGACAGGGATTCGGTGGCGGAGACGGTCTCGCTGGCCTTGCACGACCCGCTCTGCGTGTGGTACGCCATGAGCCCGGACGACGCGCGTTGGAAATGGGCGCCGGGCCGCGCAGACCGAGCAGGCGTGCCGGGCGAGGAGGAGGGATACGAGGACATCAGGGTTGAGACGAGTGGGCAGTGGACGAGGGGCATGTGCATGGTGGACCGGAGGGAGCGGAGGCTAAGGAACGATGATGGCGAAGGGGGAGAGGTGGCGGGAGATACGGGGAACTGGCTGGGGAGGAAAGCGGGCAACAGGATCAGGAGGTGCGTCGGGAGCCCGGGTGAGGAGAGGTTTGCGAAAGAGCTGCTGGAGAGGGTTTTTGGTTAAGATACGGCCGGAGGCGATTTGGTGGGCGACGGCGATGCGGTTGGCATACGGACGCGCGCGATGTTTTGGAGCTTGACTCGATATGTGGCGAGCGGAATACGAGATGGTGGATGAATAGGGTAGGTACAAGAAACGCACGATCAGGCTTGTTCCTGATCGGCCGAGCCCGACGTTCTCCCTGACCATGTCCGCAGGAAAGGGCCGCAGTTGCAGTGAGGTGAGCGCAGGCGATTATCTCCAGGGTCAATGGGGCCTTCAGCGATTGTGTCTCCGCGGTTCGGCGGTCCCCTTGAGGAAATAGGCGAGCATTCCCTTGGCAGGCTTATTACCCGCCTATTCAAGCAAGGCCGCCGCACTTGGCAATCGGACGTTTACTGATAAGCGGAACATGAAACTTGGCGGCTGCCGTCCCGCCTTGCCTAATCGCTGGACAGGAACCGGCCTGAAGCAAGCATAAGAACGTCCAAGATGCTTGGCCGGGGGACCTTAAATCAATTCTCGCTACAAGTCTCGGTTCCGCCAAGCTCCGCCGGTGGAGACGATACCACCCACGCTCGTAAAGCATCCTCCAAGACATTGAAGGTCCAATGGAATCAAGCCTCTCTCAATTGCAGACGTCTGTTTCTTCGGACCGTCATACGAACGACCAGCACGAAACGGGAAGGAAGCAAGCTCCGGTCTATCCAGCGCCTACGGCAACCGACCCATGGGCAATGCGCACCATCGTGAGAAGAAGACTATAAGAAGATGGCTGGCGGCAAACCAAACACTCCACCCCGCAATCTCCTCAGACTTCTCTCACGCCGAAGCCTTTACAATTCGCAGCCATGCAGTTCAAGCTTTCTCTCGTCGCCTTCATGGCTGCCACCGCCGTGGCTGCCCGCACCAGGTGCGTTGCTCCTGAGCCGTCCGAGGAGCTTCTCGAGGTCTCCCGCGAGATGGGCTTGAGGGAGGCTGCTGCGAGGGACTCTGGCATTTCGGCTCGTCAGTCGAGCAGCATCTCCGTCCCCGTTTGGTTCCACGTTGTTGCCGCCAGCGAGAGCGTTGACGACGGCTACATCACGGTAAGCCTCTGATCCTTCCGACGAGGAAAAGATGGACATGACCATGGCCTAACAATGCATCCAGGATGCCATGATTGCGGACCAGCTCGAGGTCCTCAACGGCCACTACGCCCCGCACAGCGTCTCCTTCACCCACGCCGGCACCACCCGCACCGTCAACCGCAGCTGGGCCGACGACGGCAACGAGCTGGCCATGAAGCGCAGCCTGCGCCGCGGCGACTACAAGACGCTCAACATCTACTTCCAGCGCACCCTCACCCAGGACGCCCTCGGCTACGCCTACTTCCCCACCACCGTCGCCGAGGGCTCGAGCGACTACTACCTCGACGGCGCCTCCCTCATGGCCCAGTCCGTGCCCGGCGGCAGCGCCGCCCCCTACAACCTCGGCGGCACCGCCACCCACGAGGTCGGCCACTGGCTCGGCCTGTACCACACCTTCCAGGGCGGCTGCACCGGCACCGGCGACTCCATCGCCGACACGCCCGCTCAGACCGGCTGGGAGGCCGGCTGCCCCACCACCAGGGACTCTTGCCCCAACAACGCCGGCCTGGACCCCGTCCACAACTACATGGGCTACTCCGACGAGTAAGTGAAATCCTGTTCGTAACGCTTTTGGTTTGAGTGTGAGACTAATGTTTTGACTCCAGTGCCTGCTACACCGAGTTCACTCCCAACCAGGAGACCCGCATCTTCAGCATGTGGGAGCAGTACCGTGCTTAGGTGGAGAGTAAAATGGTGGGTGACGAGACTTCTAGATTGTGTACAGAGAAAAAAAAAGGATTGTGCATGCACCGAGAAGGGTATATAGGTGCCGTCAGTACGCTGGACATGCAAAGGAAAAGTTTTAGATGCTGAAATGAATACCTTTACATCATCTTCTCCATCGAGTGATCCAGGAAGCATCATCATTATCATAAAGCATTGCCACCAGGCTCCCTAAATAGCAATCATTACAGCATTGGTCACATCGATCGTAGAACCAGCAAAGTATCGGTACTCGTTGTTTCCAAATACATGTCCATGCTTGGGCTGACTGTCGTTGATTTAAGAGTGCCCCGTCACCCGAAAAGGAAAACCCAGAGTCTTGGTGACTGGGGTCTCTATACCCTTTTGCACAGCACGTGCTTGTTCCGAGCAAAACTAATATGTGAGGCGCAAATTTGTAAGACTGTTTGCAAGGTACCATCACACGAGGGTTGACTGTCGCGTAAATTGCCAGCTGCATGTTCCCGAAAAGCAAAACAGCTGCCCGTAGATCCGGGTGGATGCTTCTCTGGAGGTGCTTGGCCCTACAAAGAACTTGCGCGATGTGTCGGACTTGTGATTCAGGTGGGCGTTTGCATCCCCGACACCGCTGTTTTCTGGCTGCCTCTGATACTTATACAGGTCTTCACTACCACACTCGCTCATTCTATTTCATCTCCGTCATCCGTCTTAGGCATATAAAGCGGTGCGCGAAAGTTCATTGCAAGGTATACTCAATGACCCACGGTTAATTTGCTATACTCATAGCAGCTCTAGTGCTTTCAATTACAACTAACAACCGCAACAGACCACACCACTCTCAAGACGCACACTGGTACCAAACGGCCCCTCCCTCCCGTGGGCCTCCTTCCCTCGAGCCCTAGACTCCAACCGAAAACCAACCAAAGCCAACCAAAAGCCAACCAAAAGTCGACCAAAAAAACAACCATGCCCACCGACAAGCAAAACGCCGAGTTCCTCTACTCCATGCTCAAGCAGCTCGAGGTGAAGCAGATCGACTGGAAAGTCATCGCTGAGGCCCACGGCATCAAGACCGGCCACGCCGCCCGCATGCGCTGGTGCCGCTACCGCGACGCCCGCGAGGGCGCCAAGCCCACTCCCCGCGGCAGCAAGAAGGACAACAACACCAAAAACAAAAACAACCGCGGCTCCTCTGCCGAAGACGGTGATTCCGACCACCGCAGGAAAAAGAGGAAGAGGCCGGCGGCGAGGAAGGGCGTTGATGCCGCTGGTGGTGATGATGATGATGATGATGATGGCGATGATGATGATGAGGTCCCGGCGTCGAAGAAGGAGGGCGAGGACGAGGGTGGCGGAGAGGACGATGATGGAGAAGAAGGTAGGCCGAAGAAGAAGAAGGAGGCTATCAAGCACGAGCCTCATGAGAAGGAGTCCGAAGGGGACAACGACGACTCCGATGTGCCGATCGTGCGGATGAAACGAACAATGCCCAAGACGGAAGCGAAAGCGGAGACTAAGACCGAACAGATGGCGGGGGGCCTCACACTCTACGATGTGCCTGCCATAGAGACGGAAAAATAGGCTTTGAGGCGCTGGACCTCCAGGCAAGCTTGAGTGGTTTCGCTTACTATGAGGTTAATGGAAAAACACGTTATGAAACAATTCATGTACATTCAAAAAACAGTCACAGCTCACATCTATCTATTCCGTGCCTGCAGCACTCATGACACCCCTCCCGAACCATTCACTGACGGTTCCGAATTTATCCCTGCTCTTCCCCAATGCATCCAAGAAGATGTCATGCCTCTCAGCACTCTCCTCCTGGGCCTTCTTGATTGCCTTGATGGTCGCGTTCTGCGGTGCACAAATCGGGCACTCAACCCCACTCGTGGGATCCTCAATATCACGCTCGAAGTCGACATTCAAACAACGCTGGTGGAAGCTGTGCCCACACATGAAATGAACGGTGGGCTGATCGAGCGGGTGGGGACACGATGGGCAGCGGGTTGCTGTAAAGGCCATGGGTTTGGAGTTGAGTGTCTCTAGCTCTTGTTTCTTGGCCACCGTATCCGACGTAAAGGTTTGTATCATCTTGCGGTTGTTTGCAATCTCGCGGCGCTCGCGATCGATGGTCGTGGCGAGGTATTTCTTGATCATGCCCATGGTGGCGACTCCGTTGGAGCTAAGCGTTTGGATGACTTGAAGCGGGGCCATGAGGCCATCTTCATCGATTTTGCGTAGAACAGCGTCGAGCTCGTCACCCGCTTCTTCTAGAATAGCTGGAGACGAGGTGAAGTAGGCAAGCGCGGTGGGGTAGAGGGAAGGGTCCTCCGGTCCATATTTACGAAGTGCCTTGATTGCGCCTGGCGTATCCTTGGCGGACGTATAGGCCCGGAAGATGTCAGCACGAAGGCCTTGTTGCTCTCTGACAAGGATCGTTCCGTCCTTGAAGTTCGTCAGCTCCGACAGGAGTAGGACGTTCGAATTGTCGATCGGGATCTAGCATGTCGTTAGAGAATTGTGGTGGTAGAATCATCAGGGCACCTACGTCCTTGCCCTCCACAAGCTTTTTGGCCTTGCTCTCCCACTCTTCCTTATCCCCCTCTCTTGCGCTGGCCGCCGTGTGCAAATACATCTCAAACAATGTAGTATAGAGATCAACTTTGTCTTCCTCGCCTATGTTGTGCGAGTCGATGCAAGCCTCGAGGAAGATAATGAACTCGTTGGGGTGATCGACAAATGAGGAGAAAGCCGTGCGAGGTTTGGGGACTTTGTACTCGGACGCAGGCTCATCAACGGTGGTTTCTACAATCTGTGCTTGGCTCGCTGTCGTCCTCTGGTCGCCAGATCCGGGTGAAGAAATGGCATTGACGTTCATGTAAGGTAAGGGGAGAAGCGCGGCCAGATTCTGGACGGCAGTTGTGGCATTACTGACGAGTCCCATTCCCTGAGTTGCGGGGGCGTCGGGTATAACCACGGCATCCTTTTTCGGTTGGAAGTGACCAGTGTAGTACTCAATGAAGACTTGAGTCATGTCCTTAGGGCAATGCTCGAGCAGGACGGTGGCGTATTTCATGAAGTTATGGTAGGCCTGATGACTGTCAGCTAGGCCGCTCTCCCATCATGTGAATGGCTTTCTTCGTACAGCTTCGGGTTCGAGGCGCCAGATGTACGCAAGTGCTTCCGCGTATAACTTCGAGTCCTCGATCAGAATATCGATGACCAGCTCGTGCTCGTTGTGTTTCCTGGCCAAAAAGGCGGCTTGGTCAAAATAACCACCCTGACGGCACATGGCGATGGCAGTGTCCAGGTCGAACTTCGGATCACCGGGAGACCTGATGAATGCCTCAAGCTTGTCGACATCCTTGAGCTTGGCATAGCAGTTCAGAAGCAGAGTTGTGTGGTCTGGAGTTGCTTTTTGGTGCTCGTGTAGTTCTTCGAGATATTCGATTAGATTATGAATCCGTTGCGTGTCGAGGAACTGGTCCATGTCAGCTGAGATCTAACAAAATTACCAGAAACCATACCTTGCGAATGACCTGGGACGGCTCGGTGTTGTCGATTGCCTTGAGGTACTGCTGCATTGCGGTATCATAGTCGCCCTTCTGATAGAGGTGATCGCCATATCTCCTGAGGATTACGTTTTGCGTTGCTTTGTCCACACCCGCCTTTTGGGCCATGTTGATTGCAAGAACGTAGAGGTTCCTCTGGTAGACGAGTTCGAGCTTTTGCTGGAATGACTTCTCATGGTATCGGAAGAGCTGCACGTGGTCAGCGAGGTTGGACAACGACGAAGAGAACATGAATGTACTTTGCCGTCTTGAGTAAGCACGAAGAGATCACCCCATTCGACAAACATAGCTTGAACTCCGGATGGCAGGGCCTCTTGATGGGCGATGATCTTCAAATCAGTATCCAGAATGGTGAAATTAGATGTAGAGAACAAATCATCGGCGACGCTGCCGCCAAAAGCTCTCACTGCACGCGTGATGGTGTTCGTCCTTGGAGGAGATATGGTGGCGGTATAGTCCTTGTAGGTGCTGATCATCTTTTTCGGCCCCTCGTAGGCACCGAAAGAACGCCTGCCACCGAGTCCGTAACAGTAAAGGCCATCGTCTCGGGCAACAATGACGTCTCCGGTCGATTTGTCGACAGTCATGCAGTCTACACCACAGCCCGTCTCGTCCAGCGTGCGAGCCGGCTGTCCTTGGCCCCTTCCAGATATGACCAGGGTTGATATACGACCTGTTGTGGCAATGTACAGCGTCGTGATGCTGCCCTCTCTGAAGGTGATGCCGGTTACGGGCTCCTCGGTCTCAAAGACGGTTCGTTGGCGCGCGCCACGGTCGTGAATAAGGTCTCCTCGCACTACAGTCACCGAACCGTTGCCGAAGCCAACAGCAAGCTGCGACAGGTCATCCATGGCTGCGAAAGCAGTGACCTGCAATGCGTGAGTGACATGCGGGCCATGGGAGCGCGCGGTGGCTTACGGGGAACTGCTTCCTGCCATTGTGAATGGTGAGGGAAGACTGGCAGCGCGGAGCATTGGTCTTCTTCTCCAGCTTATCGAGGGCCCAGACCTTCAACGTTGGCTCGCTCGAAAGATCCTCGGCTATCGTCACAAGCAGCGAGGTGCCGGGAACTTGCTTCATGTATCGGATGGAGCCGGTATCGTGGGCTTGGAACTCGCGGACGACCTTGAAGGCGCTCGAGACGATGCGGACGACGCCATCTTGGCTACCCAGAAAGACATTGTCGGACCCGGACGCAACGCTAGTGATGTTTCCTTGCTACAACAGAGTCAGAGAGGCCACGATGAGGACGGAGAGTGGGTCGGTACATCGAACAGCGACGCGTCCGGGAGCTTGACTTGGGAGCCGTCGAAGAACTTGAACGGTTTCCACTGCAGCAAGGTCAGCGCGAGCGGGAGGCGGAAGTAGCGGCGATGCGTACCCCCGCGAAAGCCATGGCATCAGTCCATTTTCCGGGGTCGTCGGCGCGGTGCAGCGTGGTCGCGCAGCGGTGATATCAGATCGCTGCCAAGCCGGGGGGCCCGAGCGTTGCCAGCGCGTCGCGAGGGCGGGTTGGATTCCTTCGGCACCTGCTCCCTCCTACTTCGCCCTCTGCACACCACCCATCGCCGCGACTTCCAAAGCCACGTCGCTTCATCTCCAGCTAATTGCTCGCTCCTGCAACCGCGCTTTTTCCTCCAGTTCGCCGCCGCCGCCGACTTCTTTCTTCTGCCACTCCCCGACTTGCGCGCGTCCTCACTCCGTGCGACAGCCCTGCCTGGCTCCCGAGCTCTACACACCCACGCGCTTTCCATCGCACACCCTCACTGAAGCGAGGTAGCCGCCGCCGACGCGTCTATACCCGCTCTTGATTCAGCTGCGCCTCTCTCCAAAGTCTCGACATCTCCGAGACGCTTTGCAAACGGTTGACTGCCTACGTCACCCACCTCAAACGAACACCCCGAGCAACACCAGCAAAACATCAGCCAATATGTCAGACAAGCTCAACCAGTCCCTTGACGAGATCCTCAAGGCCAACAAGCGCGCTACCCGCGCTCGCCCTGCTACGCGCCGTGCTGCTAGCGGCAAGGGTGCTGCCGCCACCGCTCCCATCGGTGGCGTCAAAAAGAACACCAAGGCTCCCAAGGCTGCCGCGAAGGCAAACATCCCCACCGGACCTGCCTCGAAGGCGCATGGAGACAGCAAGATTTTGGTCAGCAACTTGGTATGCACACCCGACTCCTTTGACCGGCTGAGCCTCAGCTGACACGCCACAGCCTCACGATGTGACTGAGCCTCAGATTAAGGTATGTTGAGCGCGAAGGCCGCTTAGCCTTGGACTTCTCTCGCCGTTCCTTTTGAGACGCACGATTCTCGCAAACTTCCTCTTGAACCTTCCCGGGGCGCGTTGGCATTCTCCAAACACATGCAAGGACACGCTGGTCGGCCTCACTCCAACAAAGCGGATCTCCCGCGTGCTCTTGCTCGTCTTTCTATGAGCTTGACGCAGAGCCTGGGATTGATCGCACGTTGCACGTCTCGCCAAAGAGCGTTTGGATGCTACAAGACTGCCTGGCAAGCAGCTTGGCTCAACGCGGCGCCGACTTTAGAGTGATGGCTCTGAGATTTACCTGCACTGGTATCTCTTGATCGTACTATGCGGAGATTAAGACACCCTGTCGTGGCAGCATTGGTGTCAGCGAGCACAGCAGTGAAGCAGTACAGCACAGCATCTTGAGCAACCTGAAAAAGCTATCGACTGGCCTAAGTACAACACCACGATGAGCCTGGAGATCGTCTCATACCTCAGTCGGCGAGGAAAAGGTCATTCAAGTATACGAAGACCTGGGACAGACCGTCGTTCCTGGATTCATCCGGTTCCTCCGCTTTTATTGTGGGTCCTTGGCGCTCCCTTCAAACAATGGCACCATGTCCGTGACTGTCGAAAGATGTATGCGTGGACACATCCAGCGAGTTGGGCTTGTAAAGGAAGGAGAGGATGAGTTCTTGCCTTCTCGGCATGGATTGGAAACAGCGTGGAGCTGTAAATGCCCGACCTGGATTGTTGAGATGAGTGCGGGCACCGATTCTGGATACCGTTTGGCGATACCTACCCCGGCACTGGACCATTCAGCCCGGAGTGGAAATGGCCGAAAGGTCCATTACTAACGTTCACTGCTGGCTCGCTGAACTGATGCTGCTCGTCTTGCTACAGTCGTCGCTTGGTTTTCTGGACTTTTCATCGACCAGTCACTTTCCGTTTACCGCGCCTAGGATCGTTATGGAATTCGGAAACGCGCGTAATAAATAACTCGACTAATCCCCTGCTCTCTTATAGGAGTACTTTGCGAAGAGCGTCGGACCGGTCAAGAAGGTTCTGCTCACCTACGGCCCCAATGGCCAGAGCCGCGGTGTTGCTACCGTCATCTTCACCAAGCCGAATGCTGCCGCCGAAGCAGCTGCGGCCCACAACGGCCTGAAGGTCGACAACAGGCCCATGAGGGTAAGGACTCTGTCGGTTTGAAGGTTGGGCAGCGCTGACACAGATTAGGTTGAGGTCATTCTCGGTGCCTCTGATGTTCCTCCTCCTGCCCCAGCGAAGGCGCTTGGCGACCGTGTCCAGTAAGTTGAATTTGGATGAGTCCAACGGCGGTACTGACAGTAGATTAGGCAACCCAAGAACGCCGCGAAGGCTCAGCCGAAGCCGGCTACTCAGACCAAGGCTGCTGCGGCCGCTGGTAAGGCGGGCAAGAAGAAGCGTGGCAAGACGGTCGCGGGCCGCCCGAAGCCGAAGACGGCTGAAGAGCTTGATGCTGAGATGCAGGACTACTTCGACAGTGGCAACAATGCGGGTGCGGACGGTGACACTGCAATGGCGACCAACGGCGCGGCTGTGCAGGCAGCTGGCAACGGCGGAGACCAGATGGAGGATGAGGTTATGGTGAGTGCTGATCCTTGGCTTGGCGAAAGGGCTTGGCAGGGTGGCTGACAATTGTTCAGTAAACGGGAATCACAAGCACCACGTGCATGCCGGGCGATCCTAAATTGCGATACGAGTCAGGAAGGGTCTGGAGCTTTGGTACCAGGGGTACCCACGTGCGTGCCATGTGGCTGCACTATTTCTTCGGGCTGTACTAAAACACAATGGTGGACGGGCTCTCGACGGACAGACTGCTTTCTCTTCAGGGCTCGCGGCGTTCTTCTTTCAAGCAGTTGCGGGCTGGTGTGGCTGGATCGGGCCGGGCGAGATCCGGCAGGGCCAAGCCCAAGCAATTGATAGAAGCTTATAATAGCAGAACAGTGATGATCACGGCGACTAGCACGAGATCAAAACCCAAAGCAGTGGACAGTGATGAGGCTGGCTCGGCTCGCACGCTCGGATGAGCGCGTCCGCTGATCCAGAAATGGTGGTTTTGGCATCGCACCACGCACTTGTTGAGGCGCACCCGCTGGGGCGTGGGGCAAGGGGTCCGGGGGCTGTGGGGAGGTTGACGTCTGGCAGCGGATTTGTGCGGAGAAACGGGAACGAGGCCCCTTAGCGCTGGCAAAGCCTCGGTCGGGCGTGGGCCGGCGCTGAGCCATGACCAGCCGAGCCTCCACCAGTGCGGTGCCGCATCCGCACGCGCGGTTCCCCAGGCCTTAGGGCGGTGGTGGGCTGTTGGGCGTGCTACCACGCGACTCCGCAAAGCCGCACTTGAGCGCCGCATGGGATGCCTTGCCCCTGTAGCTGCGCACGCCGCCGCCGACCGCGGGCAGCCCCAGCGCGGGCGCCTCGCTCGAAGGGAAGCCGATTGGGGTGGTGGGCCGGCGTGCGGAGCCCCACGGCCCCGCGAGTCGTGGGCGGTACGGTTCCGCTCTTATCAGCTGTGTCGTCACTGGGCGCCCGCCTGCAAGCTTTGTGCGCGCGCTGCTCGCTTCGGGAGCTGGCGTCCCCGGGGCATTTGCGGCAGCCCACCAGAGTGGGGAGTGCAGAGGCGGCTGAGTGGCGATTGCGAATGCGACTGCTGAAGGCGAAATGCTGAAGGCGAATCGCCAGTGCCTGGCGCGCGACGGTGGTTGGACGGCGGCGGTAGGCGGGGTAAGACAGGGCCGCGCGCGAGGGGCCCCTCCGCCGCGCTCCACGATTCCTCACGACCGAGCCAGCACATTGCTCCTTGCGGCTAGCTCCACTGCAGCCCTCGACGACGGTTGACCGGGGTGCGGGGTCTTGTCGGGCTATTGGCGTGCGCCAGGCGCTGCGGCAGTACTTAAGCCTGGCCGTCCCCGCAGCCGCTGAGCGTTATCCACTATCCCTCGCACTCTTCTTTCCATTGATACCCATTTCCGCTTCGCTCTTCCTCAAATCCCTCACCATGACGTCCACCACTCTCCACACGCCGCACACCGGCAAGTTCGAGCAGCCGACTGGCCTGTAAGTCCCGCCGACTCGGCAGCGTCTGGCGCTGAGCTGACACCCCACTTCTCGCAGCTTCATCAACAACGAATTCGTCCCCGGTGTCGACAACAAGACCTTCGAGGTCATCAACCCCTCCACCGAGGAGGTCATCTGCTCCGTCCACGAGGCCACCGAGAAGGATGTCGACATTGCCGTCGCTGCGGCGCGCAAGGCCTTTGAGGGCGAGTGGAGGAAGGTCACCCCTCAGGACCGCGGCAAGCTGCTCACAAACCTCGCCGTCAAGTTCGAGGAGAACGTCGACCTCCTTGCTGCTGTCGAGTCGCTCGACAACGGCAAGTCCATCACCATGGCCAAGGGCGACGTCAACAACTGCGCTGCCACCCTGAGGTACTACGGCGGCTGGGCCGACAAGATCCACGGCAAGGTCTGCGAGACCAATCTCGAGACCCTTTCGTACATCAAGAAGGAGCCTGTGAGTCTTCCTCTTCGCCCATTCAGTCTATGCAAACCGTTGCTAACGAAGCTGTACAGATTGGTGTCTGCGGTCAGATCATTCCCTGGAACTTCCCCCTGCTCATGTGGGCATGGAAGATCGGCCCCGCCATCGCCACCGGTAACACCGTTGTCATCAAGACTGCCGAGCAGACGCCCCTCTCTGCGCTGGTCGCCGCCAAGCTGATCAAGGAGGCTGGTTTCCCTCCCGGTGTCATCAACGTCATCTCTGGTTTCGGCAAGATCGCCGGCCAGGCAATGGCCTCGCACATGGACATTGACAAGATCGCCTTCACTGGCTCGACTGTCATTGGTCGTCAGATCCTGAAGTCTGCTGCTGGCTCCAACCTGAAGAAGGTCACTCTCGAGCTCGGTGGCAAGTCGCCCAACATCGTCTTCGATGACGCTGATATCGACAACGCCATCTCTTGGGTCAACTTTGGTATCTTCTTCAACCACGGCCAGTGCTGCTGCGCCGGTTCCCGCATCTACGTGCAGGAGGGCATTTACGACAAGTTCCTGCAGCGCTTCAAGGAGCGCGCCACCAAGAACGTCGTTGGCGACCCCTTCGACCAGGGCACTTTCCAGGGTCCCCAGGTCTCTCAGCTCCAGTTCGACCGCATCATGAGCTACATCGAGCACGGCAAGACCTCTGGCGCCACTTGCGAGACTGGTGGCAAGCGCAAGGGTGACAAGGGTTACTTCATTGAGCCCACCATTTTCTCCAACGTCACCGAGGACAACAAGATCATGCAGGAGGAGATCTTCGGCCCCGTCTGCGCCATTGCCAAGTTCAAGACCAGGGAGGATGCCATCCGCATTGGCAACAGCACCACTTACGGTTTGGCCGCAGCTGTAAGTTCTCACCGACGTTCCTTTAGCCTTCCCCGTATCACACCACCTCACACCACCCACCCCATATTCATCCCCATACCCCACCCATTCCTACCATCCTCCCCCTTCTCCAAATTGCCCAACCCCTTGGCCCCTCCGCTGCCCACCGATGACGAATGCTTTCATCCCCCCGATACTTGAATGTCCGACTGACCGCCGATCTCTTGCGTCATAGGTCCACACCACCAACCTGAACACCGCCATCGAGGTCTCGAACCAGCTCCGCGCCGGCACCGTCTGGGTCAACTGCTACAACATGTTGCACCACCAGCTTCCCTTCGGTGGCTACAAGGAGTCGGGTATCGGCCGCGAGCTCGGCGAGGCCGCCCTGGACAACTATGTCCAGACCAAGACCGTGTCCATCCGCCTGGGCGACGCTCTGTTCGGTTAAGCGACAAAAGCAAATACAAAAAGAAAAAAAAAGAAAATTGTGGTATAGCTGTTACAGCCAAGGCTCTGCCGTGGGAAAATTAATTGTCCCTGCTGGAGAGGTTGAAAGTTTTGGAGACGAGCGAAATTGAGCTTTGGTGCGTCAAGCTGTTGCTAGTTCACCACAGGTTGCGCGTCTGTATTGCTTGTTTGCGATTTTGGAGCTGCACATCTACACCACACATATCCCCATGATTGAAATACCCAAACCCGGGCTTTTTCAACTGTACATACTATATCCCACCATACTATGCTTACGAGTACGAATGTCACATGTTCCAATTGATCTACTCTCTCAGTGAATTTCAGAAGCTGTCCAACTCCGCACCGCTCAACTCTTCTCTCTTCCCCATGAAACAACCTCTTGTTTGGCCATATCGATACATACGTACGTACGTAAGTATCTGTGTGTGTGTGGCGGGGGGAATATGCGTCGACCCGAGCCCTAACAACCTTCCCACCACCGCCTCCGCCTCCGCCGCCGCCGCCGCCACCGCCCCCGCTTTACCATTAATGCCTGCAGGACCGGACGAAGTTTTCAACAATGGAATGATTCCGCGGCGACGCAAGAGGCAACCCGTCTTCCCCGTCCTGCCCGTCACCGGAGATGGCCGCGCAATGATGCGTACACTTGTTGCGTGCAGATCACCAGTTGGTAATGCCATTGCAGGATGGAAAAACGCCAAGGTGTCACTACCTTTCAATTGTATACTGAGATGGATGGAAAAAAAAACAAACTGAGAGGAATCAGATGGTAAGACCCAAGAAGAAAACGAAAACGTGTATACATTCCATTCTTAGTCGCAGCCCCCCCTCCTCATTGAAGACAAATGTGGTATCGTACAATTCCTTCTTCCACTACTTGTTCGCATGTGCATCCGTCCCTCCATCCACGATTTCCGTCTTGTCAGGCTGCTGCGGGACGAAGATGAAAGAAGGGAGGTAACCCATTTAGCAAAACGCCAGCCAATGATTAGGTAACGCCTCCTCATCAACTCAGCCTTTTGGTTAGATATGCGTTTAAAAAGTGGAGGAAAAAGAGGAGAGGTGGCATGCCTTTCCAGCCCCTGCTCTTGACGACAAGGTACGAGATGCAAATTGGTCATCCGCACATCCACACCCCCCTCCCACGCTCTCATCCACCCGTCAGCAATCGCCCCTCTCCCTTGACTCAATTTTTTTTGTTGAGCAACTGCTCCCGTCTCCTTTGTGGCCCGTCCTGCTTTCGTCCTGTTTTCGAGCGTACGTATGATGCGACGTCTCACATCCTGGCCGAATCGACGCTCCTATCCCTCTCGTGCAGCGTCATCCTTACCGCGTTCCTCGCCACCATCAGTGCGCCAATTTCCCACACGCCGTCGTCCGCCTGCCTGACGTAGTTGTTCTTGCCGCTCATCCTGCCGCGCACGTCTTCGGGATGCTGCGCCACCACTTCGGCGTCCACAACCACGAGGCTTACGCCCTCCCTGGCGGCGATGCTGCGGCCGTCGCGTCTCGCGCCGGCGAACAGGACCGTCTCGTCGGGACGGACGTCGATGCGCTTGAGCACGTCGCCAAAGCCATTGTCGCTGTTGCTGCTGCCATTGCTCCCGTCGTCGGTGTTGCTCTCTTCGAGCACGGCAATGCGGTCGACGAAGTTGTCGAGGTAGAGGTGCTCGATGAGCCAGGCGGCCATGTCATTGGTGCACCCCGAGTTGGCGCTGTCGATGGCGATGACGATGCGGGCGGAGCGCTTGAGCAGCGAGCGCAGCAGCGGCAGCACGCCCGGGGCCGGGTGCAGCTGCGCGTACATTGTCTTCTTCCAGAGGCGGAAGAGGTCATCGATCTGGGCCGAAGCCTGCTCGGGTGTCAGGGCGTGGGGAATGGAGGCGAGCAGGTCCTGGAGGAGCTGCTTCTGGTGGACGGCCCAGTTTTCTTGGGCGCTAGGCGGATGCGAGGAGCAAAGGTCGGCGTAGGTCGCTTGAAGGGTGTCGTAGGGAGCATTGTGGGAGTCGGCGACGGCTTGCAGGAGTGCGCGGGTAGCCAGGGAGGTAGCGGCGCGGTGATCGTAGAGAGTGGTGTCTAGAACGAAGGCGAAGCAGGTCTTGGTAGCCAGGACCTCGCTGAGGTTGTCAAGCGGGGAGGCATTGGCGGTATGCTCTACGGTAATGGTGGGGGCAGCCATGGTTTGGACAGAATTGTGGGAGTCAGAGGGCGGCTGGAGACTGTCGCGACGGAGAGCGGTGGCGGGAGAAGGGAGAGTGTTGGGGAGGATTGGGAGCTTGAGACCAGGGCCAGCGTCTTGAGCTCCCGCAGGTTGCGCAAGAGGCTGGGCATCGTCCAGGGTTGGGGTGAGCACGTCTCCCATGGCTCCACGTGGGCTGCCTGGTTGGGCAATGTGCGCAGCGGCTTGCGAATCTTGGTACTCGAGAGCCTGTTGGTCCTGCGTGACAAACTGGTCGTTCCGGTGTCGCCGCCTGGGTGCTCGGAAGTGCAGGAGGCGGGCGAGCAAAGAGGTTTGCTTCGGCATTGCGCTTTTTGTAATGTGGCTTGGAGCACGGCTGGGGCAGGAGCTGGCGGCGCTGGCGGAGCGGGCGGAGCGGGCGGAGCTGGCCTAGCTTGGGGCAGAGATGATGTCAGAAGGGGACGCAACGCAGCACGCCGAGCTTCCAAGATGCAAAGGGAAGGCGCAAGTGCGGACTGCCGGCAAGTCAAATACGGCGCAGCAAGGGACCAGCGGTCGCGGTGCTGCGGTCAGAGAACAGCACATACGCAGGCACGGGGGCACGCGGGGGCCATGAGAACCATGAGAGCCATCATCCGCGTGGGTCAGCTGCTGCGTGGGATGCACCCGAGTGACGAGCGTTGGCAGTGTGGCAGGCTGCCACTATCTGACCGGGCAGATCGGCGGCGGCGCTCGTGCGCGCTACCGCACGCCGGGCGCGCAGCATCTCAAGGGATGCATGCCGTGCAGCAGGTGAGGGCGAGGCGGTCTGGTGTTGTCGAGAGATGATGCAGGAACGGCTGGCTGAGGGTTGCAAGATAGCTGGAGACCGCTGGAGACCGCCTGACTCGCGGGCCGAGGTCCACTGCTGCTCTCCCCGCCCCGAGCTGCTCGATCCCCGTGGGGCATCGGTACAGGCTTCAGCTTCTGTGCCAGCACTGCCTGCATCCTTCAACACTCCGCCTGACAACACCCGCTTCTCCTCTGCTTGCGCGCAATTGGCCTGCCTCCTCGCGTCTCCCCCGCCGCCATGACGAGCGCCCCGAAGATGAAGCAGCAAGCGCTCAGCGAGCAGCTCGCCCGCCCGCGGGAGGACCCTGGGACGTTTGAAGGCATTACCAAGATCCCCACAGTAGCAGCCGACTCGGTCGGCCCGTACGTCGAGCCTGCCGATCTGCCTCATCAGCCGCGCCCCGGGACTGACACGGTGCTGCAGGAGAGCAAAAGACAAGGTCGTCATCATCACAGGTACGCACCGCCAGCTGCCCTTCGTTTCCGCATCCGCTGACTTGCACCCAGGCGTCAATTCCCCGACGGGCATTGGCCGGGCCGCGGCCCACCAGTTCGCCCGCAATGGTGCACAGGCAGTCTACCTGTGCGACTACAAGGATGAGTTCCTAAGCGTGCACAAGCGGGAGATCAACCAACTCTATCCGGATGTCGACGTCCAAGTCCGCTGCTTCGACGCCGCCGACGAGGCCGCCGTCAAGTCCGTGGTCGAGGACGCCCTGCAGCGCCACGGCCGCCTCGACATCATGTTTGCCAACGCCGGCATCGTCGGCAGCACCAAGCCCTTCTACGACTGCACCGGCGACGACTTCATGAAAGCCATGCGCACAAATGCCCTGGGGTAAGCCAAAGCCACCTGTCCACGCCACCACGAGCCCCACATGCAGCCCGCTCAACTCCGGCTCACTCTTCCCCCCCAACCCAGCGTCTTCCTCGCTACCAAGTACGCCGCCAAAGCCATGCTGGTCACCTCCGCCCAGAAGCCCTACCCGGCTGGCTCCATCCTGGGGACCGCCTCAGTTGCGGGCCTGCGCTCCAACGCGGGCGGGACCGACTACAGCGCGAGCAAGGCCGCCGTCGTGTCCATCATGCAAACGGCCGCCTACCAGCTCGCCGGGACGGGCGTCCGCTGCAACGCCATCTGCCCGGGCGTCATCGAGACGGGCATGACCAAAGGCATGTACGACGCCGCCCGCGCCCGCGGCACCGAGCGCAAGATCGGCCAGCTCAACCCCCTGCGCCGCGGCGCCGTGGCCGACGAGGTCGCCCGCGTCGCCCTCTTCCTCGCCAGCGACGAGGCCAGCTACGTCAACGGTCAGGCCTGGGCCGTCTGCGGCGGCCTGAGCGCCGGCCATCCGTTCGTGCCCGGCAAGCTGGCGTGATGATGAGACGGGCGAAAAAGGGAGGAGCTGATGATGATGAGGGAGGGGCAGAGGCTCATGTGGAATGTGATTGTTGAGAGTTGGGTTCGGTTCGAAGATCGCTAGTCAGTGACGCCACTTGTGGCTATGCTTTTGTCTCTTGTCCCTTATGTGATCAGCCGGTGTTGGAGTTGGGGCGAAAGGGCAGATGGGTGGAGCAAGTCTGGCGCGCTACTAGATGCTGGCATGGCAAGCGTGCCTGAAAGGCACCTGCCGGGCCTAATCCGACGTGGCGCGACCCTCCTACCACCGGTACCACCCCGTAAGGGAAAAGTAGTCTGGAACGCCTTTCTTTCGACGACATGCCAAAAGCGGCCATAATCGTGCGGTACTGGGAGAATGCATCCTCGGGACGCGCAATGACAGAGACCGGTCTCCGTGGGGGCTGAGAGGAGCCAAGAACCACGATGGAGAGTCTGGGCCACCGCCGGCATCCAGAGGGCAAAGACGGAGAGCCCAAGAGAGGGGGGAAAAAAAATCAAGCCGAATGAATCAGTTTGCCCGTCCCGGCCGGTGTGCAAACTGCACGTAGTTAGTGTACACACCCATGCATGTCATACTGCGCTACAACACTCTCACACGACAACCTTCCAAATAACCCACCTAACCAACAGAATTTCCAGCCCCCACCAAGTGCCAAAGTAGGAATGGACAAGAGGGTAGGGGGAGCAGAAGCCCTCATCTCAGCCTTGCGACAAGGCGGCTTCGGGAAAGTGCTGATGCTCGTTGCTTTCGCCCTTTCCGTCTCGTCCAGCCCCTAGCCGCCGACGCAGATGGAAGCGATTGTCACGCGCGGAGAATTTCCCTGCCGCCCACCCGCCCGCCCGCTCTAACCACCTGGGTGGTGGCTTGTCGGCGGCCGGCGGTTGGGGCGTCAGGGCGTGGCGTGCGTACTCATCATGCGGCGGGGCGGCGTGCGGCGTGCGGCGTGCAGAGAAATTGTTACAGGGCCCAGGGCCCAGGGCCCGGATGGATGGGGGAGAGATGCCCTGTTTCGCGCTGACGCCTGCTTACTATCCCCGGAATGCCCTTGTCCCTGCCTGCCTGCTGCTGCTGCTGCTGCTGCTGCTCTTGCCGGCCCGCACCCGCATCGTCCTCTCATACACCGCCGTTCGAAACAACGTGATGCTTTGAGCGCTAGCTGCTCGTGGGAGCTGTCCGTTCGTCGTCGGAAACCGTCGGAAGTGCGGTCCGCCGATTTAGATTGTTCGTGCAGTGGGCGGAGGAGAAACAAGAATGGCACGCCGGCACGGATGGATGGAGAGGTTGGTTGGTTGGTTGGCGGGCGGGCCCGGAGGGGAGGGGAGGAGGGAGCTGTCTCCGCCACAGTGGTTTCTCTCCACAAGCCCGCCCATGCTCGTGTCATACTTGCAGAAAGATGCACAAACTAGACTCTCGGACTTAAGGTGGTGAGCCTCTCATCCGGGACGGACGTGAGCGTGAGCAGCAAAAAGGTCGAGAGAAATCCATCACTCGGGTTTCCGCCCCATATCTCGGCAGTGGCACACGGATCATGGTTGGAGAGGGAGCCGGCTGGATGGTTTATTAGCGGGGTAACCATGTATGCACTCAGCCGCGTCCCTCTCTCTCACTCACTCTCGGCGGGCCGAAAGTAAGGCCTCCAGCAAGGGCCAAGTAAGACGCCTGCTGCGGCTGTGGAGACCGTCGGTATTGGTTTCTAGGTTTTTAGGTTTTTTTTTTTTTTTTTTTTGCCAGCGTATGGACAGTAAAGGTGAGGACGTAGTTGCAGAAGCTTGCAGGGATCACACAAACAAGGCGAGAGAGGCATATGAGATCCAGGTGGGAGTTCCTTTGATTCTCCTATGCGGACGTTCTATGCTGCTTACGTTGTCTGTCCACTTCAGTTCCTCGTGTATCCCTGGAAAAAACATGCGCTTGTCCAATATTGCTGGCTTCCTGTCCAGCCAGCGTTGGGGATGTAAAAGATTGATTGATTAAACCCCACGGAAGCTCCACCGCCAACCTGGCAATGATCGAGCAGTGCTCGACACTGAAGCCCATAAAAGGAGTGGATCTGCGAAAGCGTATTCTTACATCTGTACGCTTCTCTGCTCTTGCTAACATATCATTTCGTGTTATTACTGCTTCTGGCGGTAGCTGCCACAGGTAGCCTTGTGGAGGAGACGGACCCCCCCAGCATCCAAGACATTATGATTTCGAGACATTATAGCAAATAGAGAAGGACAAAACGCGGTGATACTGAAGTAACGAATGGCACGCTGGGAAGCCGCTGGGAGTATGTGAGTGTTAAGAGAAAGCATTGTTAGCGCTTGTACCAAAACAAATAACGGCACGACCAAAGCAAGCCGATCCAAAAGAATCAACCATCGAAAAGCAATCAACGAAAGTGGAGATAAACATGTGCATGAAACACGGCCATCTAGGGGGCGCAACAAAACTGAAAGACTAAGTTCGCGAAAACTAGGTCGTGGTTGTGGCTATGTCATCCCTTTCTCAGCCTCGTTTCTCACACCTGACCCCGTAGCTGCAAGCCACTGACTCTGTGCTACGGCCGTCAGCATGTGAGTCCGAACAGAGAAAGAGAGAAATGAAGGAAATCTCCTGATCCCTGACGAACGGATCATGCCGCCTTTTTACATGGAAACAGCCGCCATGGATCGCCCAAAAATAGTACGGTTGTGTTCCTCCAACATCTGGAGCATTAAAGGAGCGTATTAAGATTAAAACTTTGCTGTAAAGCTGCGGTTTGTATGTGTGCGGGCGTCTCTGCCGGTAATTGTCTCGGATAGTGAGCCGTGGTCGATTTCTCTCCAACGCCAACGCTGGGTTCCAGACCAAAAAGCGACTCCAAATACTCAAGGAAACGGACAAAGCAAAAAAAAAAAAAATTGGCGGGAAGTAGAGAGATGGATGGATCTGAGCCGACGAGTGGAGGGCAACGACGGAAACAAATAGAAAAACTCGCGGATCGGCTCGCCTCCAATTCGAAAAAGCCGGGGGTATATCCAAGAGGCACTTTTTAGTGTTTGAACAGGTATGTAGCGAGATCAACAGAAACCCGAAAGGAAATATCTTTTACGCCAGGTCGGATGTACCATAAACAGGCAACCAAAGCAGGAATTCGTTTCCTGCATGGATCACGTTTCAATGTGCGCGACGGATGCGGCCATGAGTAAGATATGAAAAAGCACAAACGTAACAACGTCTCTACCACAAATTATGCTTTGAAATCACCGGGCGTTTGGTTGGCGAAGATGTAGCTCTTCGGCTGCATCTCGCTCGGGCGTCTCGAGTTGGCCTGGCCGCCGTGGCCAGAAGAGCCATCGGGAGGAGAGTAATGGTGGACATAAAGGCTTGGTTGGTGCATGCCCATGTGGTGCTGCATCTGGCTGTTGCCCATGTCCGGTGAGAATGCTATCGTTGGCTGTGATTGCTTTCCATAGTTCATCGAAGGGTCCTGAGCGAACTGCATCGGGTGTGCCATCTGCAAGTCACCATCTGCATTGACCATGGGCACAGCATATTGCATTGCCGCCATGTCGTACGGGACTACTCCTTCCGGGAGGGATGGCCGCCGCTGGGCGTGCTGCTGCATCATCAACTGGCTGTGAGTGTTTTCCATCGACTGGTGGTGGTGCAGGTGGTGCTGCTGCGGCTGCACTTGCAGATGCGGCTGCTGTTGCTGTTGCGGCTGCGGATGCGGATGCGGCTGCTGGTGCGGCTGTGGTTGCTGATGCGCCTCTTCGGCCATGGACGTCTGCTGCGGAGCGAAGGCCGACCGGGGAAAACTCTGCTGCTGCGCCGGTGCAGATTGCGGCGGCGTGTCTCTGACGAGGGACCCATTGCTGACCCTTGCGCGATGCCCGTAGAGCGACGCAAGGGAGAGTGGGGTCTCGGGCGGCGAAGCGGTGGAGAAAGCGGCGGAGGTCGGGGCCATACTGTACAAGACACCTGTGCCGTCTGCGCGGCTGGTCGTATCTTGGTTGCTTGTTACGCTGCTCTGCACATTACCGGGGCTTTGCCAAGACGGGAAGCGCCCGGCTTCGCTTGGCGTGAGAGGAGTTGGCGGCGCCAGCGAACCAGTTGAGACGGGCGGACCGCTGATGCTTGGGCCGCCATAAGTAGAAGTTGTGAACTTCGGCGAAACAGCGGCTTCGGCGAAGGTGAAATGCATTGGTGAGCGCTGAGCGGAGCCAGCATTGGCCTTCTGGATGCGACCGCTGTTCACCAGGCCAGTCGAACGGATCCTGCGGAGCGTGTGGTCGGCTTTCAGGTTGTGGCTGTTCGCTCCGGGCGAGGAGGGCATGCCCGCACTGTACGACGCACTGCGAAGGGCTGCTTGGCCCAGAGCCGCCGGACGGGGCCGCTGCCTCCGTGTAGCAATGCTCGACGATGTGCTCGATGGCTGGTCGGGTTGTTTGAAATCGCCATTTGATTGGCCCTGGATCTCGACGTTGCCCATTGACTGGGCGAGCGCTGTGGCAGGAGAATCGCGGCGATGCAGCGCCTCATCGGAAAAGGGGAAAGGCGGGTTGAAATCCGGGTGGCCGAACTGGTACATGGACGCCTCGCTCGGGTCGGCTGCGGTCGAGATCAGAGTCTGATTCGACGTGTTGCTCTGCTGGTAAACCCCTTGCGGCTGGAAATGATTTGCCATCCACTGTCCCCCTGGACCAGGCACGCTGCCGCAGATTGAGCCTTCTTGAGAATCCTCACGCTGGTTGACCCTGGCTGCGTCGTCCATCCAGCCTGACTGCACAGATGTGGCGGATGAGCCGCCGTTCTGAAGCGATTGGCCCGCAGAATAAGGCGAGGTTTCGATCGATGCAGAAGCACGAGCATTGTGGCCCGAAAACGACGCAGGAGCAGAGGATGCCAGGGTGCTGTAATCGAAATGATCGGCTCCATAGTCGCCCAGCCCGTCTCCAAAGGGATCCGAGCCTGAGAAGTCGGCGAATGCGAAGTGCGACTCACCGCCCATGGAATGAGGGACACTAGAACCATCGAACGAAGCGAATGGTTCCGTGGGCTGGAGGCCAGGAGGCATTCCGTTCGCGCTGCTCGCCTGCACCGGATAGCCCGCATTGACCAGCGACTGCATAACGACGTCGAAAGAACCAGGGTGGGCGGACTCGGAAATTGAGGACAGAGCGTGGTGGCCATGGCTGGAGCTGTAGTCTTGAGGGGGCATTTGTGGGGCCATCATTTCTGGGGCCTGCTGCACTGCGAAACCATTCCCCGGCAACGATGACGAACTCATATCGGGCGGTCCGTACGAAAAATCGGGCCTTTGCGGTTGCGATTGCGGTGCGCTTTGAGGAGGGGCCTGCATCGGAGTATGCATGGGTATTTGCTGCTGCGGCATCTGGGGCTGTTGCTGTTGTTGCTGCTGTTGCGGCGGGTGTTGCTGCGGCTGCATCTGCACATGCATGTTGTACTGTGCCATTTGCTTCTTCATATCCTGCTTGACCTTCGCCCGGCGGTTCTGGAACCAATTCTGCATGCTCCTGTCAGCAATGGTGGGCGATGCGCTCGCGGGGGCCGGGGGCGTACGTTGATTTTCTCGAGAGGCACGCCGAGCGACTCGGCGAAACCCTTTTTCGTAGTGGTGCTCGGCTTGTGCTGCTGCTGGAAGTGGGCTTCGAGGATGTCATGTTGCTCTTTCGTGAGGCGCGGCTTGACTTCCTGGCAGACAGGGTGAACAGGCGGTTGGTGAAGCCGGACGTTTGGTTCGGAGGATACTTTAAGCAGGGTGTGCGGATGCGGGTTGGGCGGGTGCGAGGCGGCCGCGTCGCCCGGCTGCTGCGCATTCGCATAGGGCGGCATTGCTTGCGGGTAGCGGTCCATGGCGACGCGTGGAGGAGGAGGAGGTGGCGGTGGTTGTGGTGGTGGGTGGTGGTTTGGAGCAGGCGCTCGAGCGCAGCGCGCTGGGCAGCGGGCTGAGGGACACTGCTGGGGGCGCGCGAGGGCGTGGAGGACGGATGGCAAGGAACGACGGTGGTTAGAACGTTAGAGACAGAAGCTGAAGGCAAGGCATGGACGGAGGCAAGCGAGCGTGGAGGCGTGGGCCGGCAGGTGGGCAGCGGATGATGAGGGAAGGGAGGGATTAGGGCGACTGCAGAGGCGAGGTCGAGCTGGCGGACTCGGTTCGCTGGTTACAGAGCTGCGGGCCGCTGGGGAGAGCACGGGGGACAGGACTTGAGTAGGGAGGGCCCTGGGCGCGCGACGCACGGATTGGTTGCTCGGGGCCGACAGAGACAGCGACGCATGTCTGCTAAGAATAATCCGCGCTGCATGAGAAGCGCGCGCCGTCAGCCCAGCGCAGCCAGTCATCCGACCGCGGCCGGTTATCGCGCAGCTGGCCAGGCCCGCGGCGTGCTGATGCCCTGGTGCAGCAGCGCTGCTGCGCAGTACCTGCGGGCGGCGGGCGGCGGGCGGCGATGCGCTGGCGTTGGCGCTGGCTCGCCCGGAGCGCGCCTCCGACGAGAGTACGCCCATCTTCTGGACCCACGCGGCTACGGGCCCTCGGCCTCTGTGTCTAGCTCCCCTGGCACCCTGGCACCCTGCGCGGCGTGGGCGACGCTGCTGGATCACCGCTCCCGCCGCCCTGACCCGCAGCGGCCCCTGGCGCGGCTGATCACCAGGGAGGCTGGAGGCTGGAGAGCCCGCCTGCTCGCGGCGCACGCAGAGGCAGAGGGCTGCGGGCTGCGGGCTGCCAGATGACGCTGCGCTGCGCCGGCAGCCATCGATCGAGGAGCGCCGTGGTGCATGCTGCTCCGTACCTAGGCGCCCGCACAGGCCGGGGGTTCGCCCTCTCCACCGCCTAGCCCGCCGCGTGATTGGCCTCCGCCGGCGTAGAGTTGACACTGCTCTCTAGCGTCCCTGGCACTTCCGCAACCGCCCTGCGCCGCGGCAGCCCTTCACGCGTGACGCCCGCCTGCCTTTCCATGCCTTGCTGTGGACCCTGCTTCCAGCGCACGCCGTGTACCTGAGCCGACCCGGCCGCGCGCCGCTGCACCTACGCAGGCACAACACGCGCCCAACACTGGGCAGCCGGGCGATCCACATCAAACACCGCTGAATAAGGCGCCGCTGCGCACATAGCCTCCCCCGTGTAACCCACCGCTGCCGTTCTGAGCCCGCGCCTGCAGCCCTCAGGGGCGCAATGAGGCCTTGCCGCTGGATCTCGGGAGAGCCAGCCTGAGCGCGGACGCCGTACCTTGCAGCTCGACGCCAAGTGCGACGGCAAACCGCTGTGAAGATGATGATATGAACACGACGATCTGCGGAGAGGTGGACCGCCTTGCCCTCTCGGCCCTCATGCCTCCGTACGTGGCCGCCCCGCCGCCGTGTCCCAGCTCTCCACGTCACGCACCACCACGCCAGCACCGAGACCGCACCGCACCGCACCGCACCGCACCGCACCGCACCGCACCGCACCGCGCCGCACCTCGTCCCTCGCGCCTCCATGTTCCAGCGTCTAGCGTCTAGCGTCTAGCGTCGGACGCCCAAGCCGCGCGCCCGCCATGTCTGGCCCCGGCGCGCCTGCCCAACAGAGTCGTTCCCAGGTACTTCCAGAACTCTTCCTCGTCTGTGTCACCCTCCACCGCACGCCTTCGTCCTCGCGCGCGCGGGTGGCGTCTCGGCGGCCGCGACGAAGCGAGCGGGCATGGCGCTATCCGGATGCTGCATCGTCTTCCCCATGTCGCAGCGGATGGCCATTGTGGTTGCTGGGCACACATGATCTATAAATTTCTCTCTAAAGCAAGGAGGCTCTCTCGCGTCGTCCAATTGCCCCTCGCTACGACCAGCTCATGAACGACGCCTTCCCATGATGTCAACGCAATGCGCTGCAACCCTTGTAGAAAATCCGCAGTCCGCTGAAGGATTCTAATGCAATGCAACCCAGATGAAAGGAAAATAAGGAACCCCAAGCACATCAGCACTACCGTCGAGCGCCAGCGGCGATTGTCGTCGTGTGAGAGGAGCGTGGCCGCACGCTTGTGCTGCACGCGGGGTGACGAGGCGTCGGCGGAAGGCGCTGGAAAGATGCCGGCCGCTGCGGTGCTCAGCGAGATGCTCCGTCTTCGTCAAGCTCTTGACTCTATTCTTGCAAGGCGTCGGAGATTTCAATGCTGATTCGGCCGCTCTCGTTGTCGTACGCCTTGAGCGTGACACTTCGCATATCGCGCACGATCCAGTCCGCACCGGCTTCCTTCAGCTGATCAACAGTGTGCGTTGTTGCCAGTGCCACCACCTTGAAACCAGCAGCTTTTCCGGCCAGCACGCCAGACGGAGCGTCCTCGACCACCAGCACAGGTTCGCCCGAGGGCAGTCCCAGCATTGAGTGGCCAAGCAGGTAGCACGCAGGATCGGGTTTACCGTTCTCAACCATTTCGGCGCAAACCAGGTTCTTGGGGTGCGCGAGCTTCATGACGTCGAGCCAGCCAGTCACGAGGGGCCGGGTACCGGAAGTCACAATAGCCCAACGAGCCCCTACCTCTTCGAGTCTGTCGAGGAACGCGCGAGCCCCCGGGATCTCCACGGCGTCTCGGCCAAATTCCTTCGGGATGAGCCCCTCAACATGGCACACATCTGTCAGTGAAGAAGAGTCAGCGTTAAGGCATAGTGATTGTTCGTTTCAACGCAGAGAATCGCAATCTGCGAGCTCGCACAGCTCCTATGAGACTATGCAGCATTCATCCGAACGCGAAAGCGCAGAAGGCCGGCGGGGCAATCCTGTGGAGATGCGATCTTCGTCTCCCCACGTGCAACCACGTCGAGATCGTACGGCGGTTCATGAAAACGTTCGGTCAGGGGCAACTCACACTCCCAGGTTGCCAAGCTCGGATCGTAGAGCTTGAGCACGTCTATCGAGCGACGTCCGTGAGACGTTGCCAAGATAGTGTTCGGGTCCACACCGAGCTGCTTTCCGATCCTATGTTACTCGATAAGCTTCTGCGAATGTTGCGGGCGTGGCGTCGGGCTTGGAGATTTTCGCCAGGTCTGGCTCCGGAGAAATTTTCGCAGACTTACTTGTGCCAGTGTTTGACTATAGCCTCTGTGGAGTCAATGAGGCTCCCGTCCATGTCAGAGAGACTGCGACATAATCAGTCGTGTTATAGGCATGGTAATCTCTCCTGATGGGGAGCGAGATTAAGCCTTACACTCCGACGAAAGGGTGGACCTCAGCCGGTGCCGAAAACCTGGGTTCCTCCTGGATGTGCGGCATGATTCCGAGCTGACAAAATTAATGCGATGTAAAAGGAGCGGAAAATGCGAAAAGGGCGAGGGGTGGTGGAGATATGTATCCTCGAGGTCGTGAGTCGGCGCCGAAGACGGTCGGGTGGCTTCCCTATTGGGGTTGGATATCCGCCATATGCACGTGACAGACTCAAGCCACCATGCCGAACGGTAGTAGGCCAGGGGGAAACCCGAGCCGCGGCGGTGAAGAATTCGAAGAGTGCATGGAGTTGTACGAGGTTGGTTTGTTCAATGTTGCAAGGAAAGATGGGTAGTCGAAGCGTCGATCCAGACATGAATGCGCAACGCATGTGGGCAGAGTCGTCCAGACAAGCGCTCCGACCGCCTCGGCCCTGTTGCAATATTCAGCAAGCTATGCTCGTATGATCAAAGGGTGTGGAAGTGTAGTTGGAGTGGTGGTACGGACGCAGATGTAAAATAACCGTTTGGTCAATCTCGTCCGGACAAGAGCTCCAACTCGTCCAATCCTCCTGTCTTTAATCCGTACGCTCCACAGAATCACCCAGCGTGCAGTGCAGAAAGCTAATAACTGAAGCCGGCGGGACATTTCTCGACTCCGACTCTGCAACAGATTAGCCGATGTTTTGCCCCGAAATCTTGGCGCGCCGCCTGCTTCCCAAAATTTCCTGACGGACTTGCGGGCGGAGATAGTACAACATTTTCCACCTCACCGCAACTCACCATGAAAGTCGGCAGTACGTATCCTGAAATCGCCTTTACTTTGCGGCGCTGACCATATGCAGAGCCCAAGTCGAAGCGCGTCCCGGTGCGCCTCCGGCACAAAATTGAGAAGAAGTCGGCAGCGAAGCAACGGAAGGCCAAGAAAGACGCAAAGAAGGTACGGAAGGCCCGAGTGCCTATCATGTTCATCATCGCATACTCACAATAACTCAGAACCCCGAATGGCGTTCGAAGCTCAAGAAGGACCCTGGCATCCCAAACCTCTTCCCCTACAAGGACAAGATCCTGGCCGAGATTGAGGAAAAGAAACGCTTGAAGGAGGAGGACCAACAGCGTAGGCGTGATGACGCGAGAGCACGCAAGGCAGAGAAGGGCAAGACCGCTGAAGTCGCCGAGGAGGAAGACATGGAGGACGTGGAGGACGGCGAGGACATGATTGACTACGAGGCTTCTGATGACGATGCTATGGACGAGGTATGCTGAGACAAAAGCACGGCTTCAAAATCACCACTGACAATGCCGCAGGATAACTCCTCCAACCCCATGGCTGCTCTTCTCGCATCTGCCAAAGCCCGCGCCGCCGAGTTCGAAGCGGAGCATGAAGACGAGGAGATGGATGAGGACGACGACGGATGGACAGCGACAGGTGAAGAAAAGAGCTCAGAGTCGACCGCGCGCAAGGATTCATCGAGGAAGGCGTTCGACAAGATCTTCAAGCAGGTGGTTGATGCAGCAGATGTTGTCCTCTATGTCTTGGATGCCAGGGATCCGGAGGGCACACGATCGAAGGAAGTGGAACGGCAGGTCATGTCCGCTGCGGCTGACAAGCGTCTGATCCTTATTTTGAACAAGATCGATCTCGTTCCACCTCCAGTCCTGAAGGGTTGGCTGACCCACCTTCGCCGCTACTTCCCTACCCTTCCGCTGCGCGCATCCAACCCGGCGCCGAACGCGAAGACTTTCGACCACAAGCAGCTTACTGTCAAGGCCACTTCGGAAGCTCTTTTCAAGGCTCTCAAGTCGTATGCTCAGTCAAAGCAGCTCAAGCGCTCCATCTCTGTCGGCGTCATTGGCTACCCCAACGTCGGGAAATCCTCCGTCATCAACGCCTTGACTTCCAGGATCGGCAACCGGCAGGCAGCTTGTCCGACCGGTGCTGAGGCTGGCGTAACGACGAGTCTGCGCGAGGTCAAGCTCGACAACAAGCTTAAGCTCCTCGATTCGCCTGGTATCGTCTTCCCGTCTTCGAGCGCAAACTCGAAAGCGCAAAAGGCGGGGGAGCAGGCTCGTCTCATTCTGCTCAATGCCGTCCCACCCAAAGAGATCGACGACCCGATTCCAGCCGTCAGTCTTTTGGTCAAGAGACTATCGGTCAACGAAGACATGCTCAACAAGCTGCTCGCCGTGTACGAGCTTCCCGCGCTCATGTCGACGGGAGACATCACGAATGACTTCCTCATTCACGTCGCTCGCAAACGTGGCAGACTCAGCCGCGGAGGTGTGCCTAATCTCCACAGTGCCGCGCTGTCCGTCATCACCGACTGGAGAGACGGCAGGATCCAGGGCTGGATGGATGCCCCCGTCTTGCAAGTTGCCAACGTCTCGACACCCAATGCGCCTGCTCCGGTGGCTGGCGTTGAGCCGGTCGGTGACCAGAAGGAGATTGTCAAGGAATGGGCTGCAGAATTCAAGCTGGACGGTCTTTGGGGTGATGGGGAAAGCACCGAGGTTATGGAATCTTGAAAGGGTGAAACCTTTCAGTCGGATCATAGGTCAAAAAGAGGTTACAAAAGGTGTTTGGCGTACTTCGGGGTGGTATCGCGTGGTCTTGATTGGGATAATGTCTTCGAAATACCAAAGACCAAGACGCTTCAGACATTTCGCATGCAGTGCCTAGATAGCCTCCAGCGCTCTGCAATTCAAATACTAGAGGTTTATGATGTTCGTAAACAATGCTATGATGGTGAAGTAGACGTGAGTTGGTCACACAATCACTTTTCTTTCATGTTGAAGATCGACGGCAGAACATAATTTTATTTTTATTTTTTTTACTTTGTTTGATCTCCCGCAACTGCAGTCCCAGTATCACTTTCCAAGAGATTTGCGCGTGAGATTCCTCCAGACTCGTCCTCCAGCCTGATCCCGTGGCTGACGAAATTCGACAGAGACCAATGAATGCGTCGACAACAGGACTGAGTGAGTCCGGGACACAGGCCGAACGTGGGCGTGGGGAACGCCGTGATCGGGGGCGGCAGTGGGCGCAAAAGTGGCGAAGCCGACGGTAGCCGCCCACAAGGTCAGAGCTTCTTCACCTTTCGGGGCACTTACTTAACAATCCGCGTCGCTACTTCGCGATTGAATTGGCCCAGGTCTGTCCTGTCACTCGAACCTCGTCCTCGTCACTACCTGCTGTAGCAATGGCCGCGCCCAAAGGAAGCATGCAGCGTTTTGCCCAGCTCAGGGCGTGCCCGCGACCCCGCATCAACGCGCCGCAATGGCCCTCGCGCGTCACCTCCAGGAAGATGGGCCATCTGGCTACCTTCAAGGTGCCCACAGTCAACAACGAGCCCAACGTAAGCTTCTCGTTTCCGCATTTGCCAATCATCACCGCCGCTGACTCTGCTCCGCAGCAACACTATGCCAAGGGTTCCGTCGACAGGAAGAAGCTTGAGGAGGCGTTTGAGAGGATGCGGAAGCAGGGTCCCGTCGAGGTGCCCGTCTATGTCGGCGGCAAGGAGGTAATTGCTTGTGGTGGCTGACCGTTCACGCAATCGACTGACCGTTGGCAGATCAAATCCTCCGCCGTCCACACCCAGAACAACCCTGCCTCGCACGCCGAGCCCGTCGCTCGCTTTTCCAACGCCACCACTGCCAATGTCACCACTGCCATCGACTCCGCCCTGAAGGCCAAGACGTCTTGGGAGGCTCTCTCCTTCGCCGACCGCTCCGCTGTTTTCTTGAAGGCTGCCGATCTGGTTGCGACCAAGTACAGATATGATATCATGGCGGCGACCATGCTGGGCCAGGGCAAGAACGCGTGGCAGGCTGAGATCGACTCTGCTGCCGAGCTTTGTGACTTCCTCCGCTTCAATGTCCAGTATGCTCAGGAGACCCTGGCTACCCAGCCCGTCCACCACGCTCCTGGTGTCTGGAACCGCGTCGAGTACCGCCCGCTTGAAGGTTTCGTTTACGCCATCACTCCCTTCAACTTCACTGCCATTGCCGGCAATCTTCCCTGTGCTCCGGCATTGATGGGCAATGTTGTTGTCTGGAAGCCTTCTCCGGCCGCCATGGCCTCGAACTGGCTTCTTTACAAGATTCTGCTTGAGGCTGGTCTCCCCCCTAATGTCATCCAGTTCGTGCCCGGCGATGCCCAGGAAGTCACCAAGGTTGTCCTCGGCCACAGAGAGTTCGCCGCCCTCCACTTCACCGGTAGCACCCAGGTCTTCCGCAGCTTGTATGGCCAGATTGCCTCTGGGGTTGCCGATGGCACCTACCAAGGCTACCCGCGCATCGTTGGCGAGACTGGTGGCAAGAACTTCCACTTGATTCACCCTACTGCCAATGTCGAAAACGCTGTCAAGCAGACTGTCCGCGGTGCCTTCGAGTACCAGGGCCAGAAGTGCAGCGCTACCTCCCGTCTTTATGTTCCCAAGTCTCTCTGGCCCGCTTTCAAGGAACAGCTCGCCGCCGAGGTCTCTGCTCTGAAGATTGGCGACCCCGCCGACTTCTCCAACTTCTGCGGCCCTGTCATTCACGAAGCCTCTTTCAAGAAGCTGTCTGGCGTCATCGACGAGGCCAAGAATGACTCGGATCTCGAGCTGATCGCCGGCGGCAAGCACGACGGCAGCAAGGGCTACTTCATCCATCCGACTGTTTACGCCACTAGCAACCCCGCCCACCCGCTTCTCAGCCGCGAGCTCTTCGGCCCCATCCTCGTCGCCCATATCTACGATGACGCTGCCCCCGATTCGTTCTCCAAGATCTGCCAGACCATCGACCGCACCACTGCGTACGCCCTTACCGGTGCCATCTTCGCTCAGGACAGGGAAGCCATCCGCTTCGCCGAGGAGGCCCTCAGAAACTCTGCTGGTAACTTTTACGTCAACTGCAAGAGCACCGGTGCCGTCGTCGGCCAGCAGCCTTTCGGTGGCGCTCGCGCTTCAGGCACCAACGACAAGGCCGGCAGTGCCAACTTGATCAGCCGCTTCGTCAGCATGAGGTCGATCAAAGAGGAGTTCCTGCCTCTTGAGAAGGTTCCCTACCCCAGCAACGAGGTGTAAGCCACTTGGGCCGGGAAATTCAAATTAAAGGACAAGATGCGAGGCTTGATGAATTCAAAATCATTGGCGTTTAATAAAGGGTTAGGGAATTAGGCGCTGGGAGGCACCAACCCCCAGGCAGTCAAGAGGGATCATGCGAAAGAAGCATTTGGATATTTAGATGAAAATTTACAAGATAAGTTATGATACGAAGAATTCCAGAATTCCTTGAACTCCTGTCATGCTAATGTGAAGCAACTTTGTACTGCTATCAATTCAAACAAAATTTGTGGATGTATTCTCCCAGGAGCTTCGGCATAACTATGACATTACCCGCCTTGTGTTGTGATCAGAGGTACTTGAAGTACCCGTCCGGATACACGTGTTCGGCCTCCAATCCCACACTCCACGTTAGAACCAACGCTCTCACTACTGCCGTTGCTGACGGACTGCTGGACGAGGCACAGGCGTCGGTGATACGGCACTTTCCGATTTGTCTGCCGTCTTTTGTGCAAGTTGACATGCGTAATCGGTCTCGCACGGGGGAATGTTACTGTCGGAGGGCTCACTAGACCATAGCTGTTGGCAATGGGGGATGGACACCATTGGGACCATTATGAGAACATTATCGATAAGGAGCCCGGCCTGTTGGATGATGCAATTGGACCCTTACAAATCAGCATGCTCGGCCTCGGGCGTCGGACACGCGACCACGAGCGAGTGCTTCATAAATGATTACAATCACCTCATAGTTGATCCCGCATTTGACACTCAAAGCAGCCTATAAGGGCCCCGAGGCCGCCGTCCGCAGTCAACTGATTGCTCTCCTCGACAGTACCCCGCTTCTTCCCAGCTACCAACGACTAGCAAAAGGCATCCCCTCCAGCAGCCCCTCGCTAACCACAAGAACATCAATCAATCATTCAACAATAATGTCGAAGCTCGTAGCCGTCATCGCGGGCGTGGGCCCGGGCACGGGCGGAGCGGTGGCCCGCAAATTCGCGTCGGCGTACCCGGTGGTGCTGCTGGCCCGCAACCCGGACAACTACAACGACCTGGTCAAGGACATCAACGGCGCGGGGGGCAAGGCCATCGGCATCTCGACCGACATCGCAGACGCCGGCAGCGTCAGGGCCGCCTTCGACAAGATCGGGAGCGAGTTTGGCGGCGATTACGGGCTTGCTGTATGATCCCTCCACTAGTACCCGGCTTTCGCCTGTGTTGTTGCGGTGTTGTTGACCTTTTATTTTGTAGGCCGCCATCTTCAACGCCAGCGGGCGCTTCGTGCGCAAGCCGTTCCTCGAGCTGAGCGAGGACGAGTTCAACGCCGGGCTCGACGTGTCGGGCAAGGGCGCCTTCCTGTTCGCCCAAGCGACGCTGCCGCGGCTGGTCAGCGCCGCCCCGCACTCCAAGCACCCGCCCTCGCTCGTCTTCACCGGCGCCACCGCCTCCGTCAAGGCCAACGCGCAAATGGCCTCGTTCGCCACGGGCAAGTGGGCCCTCAGGGCGCTTTCGCAGAGCTTGGCCAAGGAGTTTGGCCCCCAGGGCGTGCACGTCAGCCACGCCATCATCGACGGCGTCATTGACATTCCCAGGACGAAGGAGTGGTTGAAGGAGGCCGGCCCGGATGCGAAGATCAGTGCCGATGGCGTAGGTTCCCCAGCTGCTGCCTTGTATACGCATATGAGCCGTGAAGCTGACCTGCCTTCTCAGATCGCCGACGCCTACTGGAACCTTCATACACAGCCCAGATCAACTCTTACTTGGGAGATTGATATCAGGCCATTTGTGGAGAAGTGGTAGTTGAATCATTAGTTGCTTTCGTCATTACTGCATCATATGCCTATTGTGCTGCTCAGAAAAGGAAAGTGGGTATCTCGTCGGCTGGAATGAACTTTTTCTCCTTCTCTTTCTTTACGCTCGGCCTTGCGGGCTGTTTGGGATCAAGACTGTCATCCTTAGCCTTGTCTGACGGGCCATCGGGCCCTCCAAACGAATCGAGGAAAGTGAACTTTGATGTCAGTACTTTTCTCCTGCTTGGTTTGGACGAAGTTGAGGTGCTCGTAGCGATTCCAGGAGACCCTGAGCTTGGTGGGAGCCGGTCTGGTACGTTTGTTCGGCCCTTCGAGTTTGGAGATTGCTTCGTTAGTGATGAGTTGTTATGTTCCGACTGCTTGGGATGTCTCGGCGGCAGCATCGAAGGTTCTCGAGCATCCGCGGTCTTAGTGGAAGTGCCGGATGGCCGCCGCACAGACTCTTTGCTCATGCTTCTCCTGCCAGAACTGAATGCGTCTAAATCATCCTCGTCACTGCCGACTGCAGCACGCCTAGTTTCCCTTGCTAGTCCTTCAAATGAGGAACGGGGCCGGGCTTCTTTGTGTCTGGTGGGGGATGGCTTTGATTGGGCACCAGAATAACCAGCGGCAGCACGAGTCTTCGACTTGATGCCGGCTAGTGTTGCCAGCCGACTTGTCGAGTCCTGCGAGCCCGACATCAGGCCGCCAAGATGTGGATCTCGAGCCCAGGGAACCTCTTCCTCGGGCTCTTCCCTGGGCTCGTCTGCGCCTATGTTGCCACCCTCGATTCTGCGCAGGCCCTCGGCCTGTCGTTCGGCCCGCGCTTTTGCCTCGTGCCTCAACTGCGACTCGACACTCATCTTGCTGCGGGGTACGACAGGTCGAACGATGTTCTGAGCAGCGGATGCGTTCTTCTCGCGGGCGACACGCTTCAGACGATGATACTCAGCATGGTGGAGATGTCGAGTGAAGGCCCTTGCCGTATCGAGGAATTCATTCTCGACCATCATCCAGATGTCATCAGCCGCGAATCCATCTCGCATGAATCTAGCGCGAATCAGAAGGAGAGACAAGATGTTGTTTTCGGGACGGAGCGTACTCTTGCTTCGGAGGCTGCGGCGGAGGTGAGGAAGACGGCGTTCGGGCTGCACATGGTCAGCGTTGGCAGATGCATAAAGAACGGGGAGCATACTGGCGCGAGCCTGTCCCTTGCGTCGCGGAGTAGGTGCAATATCATCGAGCGCATCGGAAAGGTCGGGAGATTGCAGGCGGCGCTTCTTGACGCGCGCCTCGGCCAGCGGCGGGTCGGGCTTCTCGGTGAGCCATGGCAGCTTCCGAGGCATGGTTGACGAGACGATCAGAGAAACAGAAGTAGGTGGAAAGCGCGGGTGACGGGTGACGTGCCGAGTGGTGACACGCGCCAGGGTCTTGTGCCCCTCGCGTCATAAGGCGCAGGGCGCGCGCCCTGCAGCTGGACATTTGGGAGCCTGCTACACCCGAGCTTTCCAAGCCTCCACCTGGCATCTCTGCCTCCCTGCACTCTTGCACCCTCCAATTCGACACACGCCGACCCTTCAGCGCTCGGGCTGCGCCTCTCGTTGGCAGTCATGCCCGCCGTCACCACCCGCACCCGCATCCGCATCCTCTGCTAAGCTGCTTTCCTGTGCGCTGGCTCGCGACCAGTTTGACAGCATGCCTTCGCCGTTCTTCCGCTCTCCGCTCGACGATACCGATACCTCGTACCAGAGCGACACCTCTGCTGCCTGCGAAAACGGCCAGGAAGAGGCCCAAGAGAGCCCCGACGAACCCGACAATGTCTACCATCTTGCGCGCACCAAGTCCACCACCTCTACATCCATCGAAGAGCTTTCCCGCTCCCTGCCTCAGAACCATGTTGGTGGACAGATTTTTGATCACAGGGAAGGCGTGCTCCACGCTCTGCTGGAGAGGAATTGCCTGCTTGAGGCTGTCGAGGAGCTGAACAGAACACGCGACCCGAAACATGACCGCCTCTACACCAAGGATGATCCTGAAGTCAAAGCCCGCGCAAAGGCCAATTTTTTCAAGGTTGCCTCGAGCCTTGCAGCCCACGGAATTAGCCAGTCCGGCCTTCATCGGGACGAATTCAAGCCAATTCGCGACAATTACAACCAAGCCCTTGATGTCGCCAAGGAACCGGGAGATGGCGCCCTTCAGCGCGTTCGCAGGCAATCCCCAGATGGCGCCTTTTATCGCTCGTCAAGTATTCTGGAATTGACTGACCATGCTCATGACGAGACGTCTTCACCCCAGCGCTCACCTGTTAGGCTTGGTCAAACGTCTCCAGGTCATCCCCCGGACATCCTGCATGGCCTTGTTGGCAACCCACATCCACTTTTGCCGCCCAGCTTTTCCATGGCAAGCTTTTACAACCTCCAAATCATCGGTAAAGGTGGATACGGCACTGTGTTTTCTGGCTATCACCCACTCGATGGAGGCTTCTATGCTATCAAGCAAATCCCGCTCAGCGCCTCTCGTATGCGCAACATTCGCAGCAAAGGCCAGGCCGAACTCGATGCTATCCTGAAAGAGGTACGATCGATGCAGGGATTCGACCACCCCAACATAGTCCGCTATCATAGTGCTTGGCTCGAGCGACCCTCGGGCAATCTCCACAACTTCAAGGCCAGTCAGAAGCTTCTAGAGTTCGGTTCTACCAACTTCTCGACCGACATGGAATCAAGCGATGTCTCTGCCTCAATGTCAAGCCTCGAGCAGACTTTTGAGTCGAGGCAGGATCTATCAGGCCCAGACGATGGCATTGTCTTTGGAGAGGATTCGGCGCCAGGTCCAACAGCTTATTCGGGATACCACACGAAAGCACCCCGCCACAGACGCCAAAGCCATCTGGCTTCGTCGTCACCAGCCAAGTCTGAGCGATTGGATTCCGAGCTTGGAGATCCAATAGACTTCCTTTCCCCTCCCAAGCAGCCGCGGGGCCGCAGGGAAAGCCACAATACCCTATCTTCGTCCGTCTCGAAGAAGAGCTTCGTGCACAGCACCGATGATGAGTTTGATGAAGAAGTTGAAAGAGACTTTGCCAATCTCGCACTCTCGGGTCCGCGTGAGAAGTCGTTTGAGATGGACATGGTTTTTGAGAGCGACTACCATGGGCATCGGCAGCGTCGCTCGGACCCAAAGACGCCCAAATGCTCTGACATAGCACAGGTCAATCTGGCACTCCACATCCAGATGGCACTGTATCCGATGACGCTGGCTGACTACCTCAAAGTTGAGACGGACTATCTCACAGTGGGGTCGGATGATGAGGCCCAAAAGAAGACTGACGGCGTGAAATATCGCCACTGCTTCCATGTGAAACCGTCGCTCCAAATTCTTCTGGCGATTTTGGACGGTGTCCAGTATCTGCATGCTCGTAACATGGTTCATCGTGACCTTAAGCCGGCCAACATATTCTTGTCTCCATGTGAGCAGGCCTACCGCCACAAGGGAGACGTCTATCTCGGCGTGTGTAAGGAGTGCGCAAAGTCAGGCCCTTGCAGAGATCTCCAGATGGGTGTCCGCATTGGCGACTTTGGGCTCGTCACTGAGCTTGCGCGTCCTGGGGGCGACCAGCCACACAGCCCGGAAAAGGCGGTTGGGACCGAGTTCTACCGCCCGCCGGGTCCAAGCCGTGGGCCCAGTGAGAAGCTGGATGTCTTCTCACTCGGGGTTATTGCGTTTGAGCTGCTATGGAAGTTCGACACCAGTAAGTTTTTTTTCCTGGAATACACTCTCCATGGGGTGAGAGGACGTAGCGGTCTTCAGTGACTACACTCGGCGCTGCTCCCAGGTTCTCCTTTTGCAACGTCCAGTGTCGTGACCAGGAGATGTTCAAAGCCTGTCTACTAACTAGCGATGCAGAGTCGGAACGAATCCACACGCTCAGCGAGCTCAAGCTTGGCAGGCTTCCGCCACTATTCGCTCCAAAGCTGGAGGGCTGTGGCATACGCATCGCCGAGCTTCTCCAGGGCATGCTGCGGGGTGATGACGACAACCGCCTCTCGTGCGCCGAGGTCCAGAAAGAACTAGAGGATATCATTGCGAGTTGCGATACGTGAATGATGACCAAATGATGACCCTGAGCAATCGGCGATACCGGAGCCCATTTAGGACGTATACCAGAGCTTTCAAGGACTGCGTACAAAGTAAGTATCGGCGTATTGGCCCATTGATCGAGTGACCTAACTTACCTACCAGGGAAGTCTACTATTTGAACTCTCGCCTTTGGGCTGGGGCATCAGGCTTTATTCCCTTCAGCTCACCAATCTCCACTCCCTCACACTACATTGACGGAAATAAGTTCCCAGCTCAATTCCAGCTTGAACGGGGAGATTTGTGTCAAGGAGATACACGGCCGAGCCAGGTTTATGAATCTGGCTGCGAGTGACTACTATTTGAACTCTTACAGGCCTGTAAGCAAGCATTTGGTTTCCAGGGTGCCTAAGATAGAAATATCATAGTTGTGAGTTCTTGAGGAGCAACTGTGGCGTCGGGTGTGCCACGCAATGATCTGACGCCGAGTCCGCAACGATGTGTCGATTCCAGCCACAAACCCGCATGCGTACACCAGCTTTGTATACGCCTCGACTGAGATGGTACAGTTGCGTGGTGGGAGACGACGCATGACGACGGCAGGGCTGGTGTTGTGGCGCGTGCGCCGGCCTGCGCCTCAAACCACCGGACGTCGACGGAGCATCCAAGGCTGACGACGCGTCCCGTCCCCACCACCTTCTTACGCACGCCTCCACCGGTGCCGCGTCCTCTCTCCGCACAAAATGCTGTTCCGACTGGTGCATCAGCCCGGGAAGCCCACCGAAACGCGTCTTTGCCTCCCGGCGTGTTCCTTTTACAACCCATTTCGGCAAAGCCTCAGCCACCCAGCATGGAATCATGTCTTGCAGCGTGGCCAATGCCGCGGGCTCGAACAGGTAGGAGTCCCACTCGCGTTTTCGTAGTCGTCGTAGTCAGACATGGCTAGAGCGGGCCTGGGTCGACGTCTCCTGTGCGTGATGGGTCCATGGCAAAGACCTGCGAAGAATCCGACGTCACTTGGGTCAAACTTGCTTCGAGAGCCAGCCGCCACGGCCGAACGGTTGGCTCTCAGCCACGCGTAGCCGTCTCTTCAACATTTATATTCGTTTCAGGATGCCCCGGTCTGTCTGCTCATTTCCTTCACCAGTCGACTCCACTTCCATTTCAGCAGGGCTGATCAAGTGCCATACACCGACAACCTTATTTTCCACCCTGTCCTCTCGTCCAACCATCCCCCTCGAAGCTTTGGGAAATGAGGAGTTACGCCGCAGCCGCAGCCGTGGGTGCCCTTGCGGCCCGTGGCGTCCATGCCTCCCCGTTCCCGCAAGCGGTGACGGCTGCAATCTCCCCCAGTGCCGCTATCCCATCCGGCTGCAGTGCCAACTACAGCGGGTCCTTCGGGATCGCCGTCGTGGTCCTCTCCTCCTCCACGAGCAGCGTGGCAACCCCGTCATCAGCGTAAGGCCTTTTCCCCCATCAGAGGGCCTTCATGCTTCCTCAAGCAGACACACTGACCAGACGCTACAGGGCAACATCCAACACTACAGCAGACGTCGGTGTCCAAGAAGCTGCCGTCGTGACGCCATCCATATCGTCCAGCAGCAGCAGCGCCGCTGGCGTCTATGTCGTCTCCCAGATCGGCGACGGCCAAATCCAGGCACCGACGACCGCTGCTGCCGCGACGCCCGTCTATACGACGCCAGTCCCAACTCCAGACTACACCTCGGTCGTCCCCATTTCCGAGATCAGCGACGGCCAACCCCAGGCGCCCGCCGGCACGCCAACCACCACCCCACTCACTCCAGCAACGCCGACGCCGGCCGTCACCAGCCCCTCCTCCCCCTCCTACTCCTCCACCGAGGCCGCAACAACCGTCATCCCCATCTCCGAAATCAGCGACGGCCAGCCCCAAGCCCCCGCCGCGACCTCGACCTCACCGGCCACCACCACCACCACCACCTCCTCCTCCTCCTCCTCATCCTCCACATCCACCACCCTCGCCACCAGCGTCGCCGCCGTGTCCCAAATCTCCGACGGGCAGATCCAATCCCCCACCAGCGCACAAAAGAGCAAGAACAAGCGCTCCCTGACCGCCTGCGCCACCTCCAGCACCCTCACCCTGACCCTCTCCGGCGACGCCGGCGGCGTCCTCCTCGACGCGCACAACCGCACCGGCTACATCGCGTCCAACTACCAGTTCCAGTTCGACGGGCCGCCGCAGTCGGGCGCGCTGTACACGGCGGGGTTCAGCGTCTGCGAAGGTGGCGGCGAGAGTGGTGGCGATGTGTTGGCGCTGGGCGGGAGCAAGACGTGGTATCGGTGCTTGAGCGGCGGGTTTTATAACTTGTATGATCGGTGGTGGGCGGAGCAGTGCGAGGAGGTGGGGTTGGAGGTTGTGGAGTTGGTGGATTGTTGATTGAAGGGGGGAGGGGGGGGGGATTGAGTGGGTTGGTTGGGTGGGTGAGGGAGGGAGGTTAGTGGAAAGGGGGAGGGGAGGGGGAGGGGTTGCAGTGTGTAGGCTATATTGTATGCGGAGCGGTATCTGTGAATAAAATGATGTTTTATGTGACAAAAGACGGGTGACTGGAGCATTTGAGCCCGACGTGAATGCAAGATATCTGAACAGAAGCGTGTAGAAAAGAGCCCTGACCCTCTACCTCGACAGGGACTAAGAGGACCCATCTCATCCCCCGTTCTGAGAAGTTTTATATTGACTGGATGGAGGGGGACCGTTTCGCTCGAGGTGCTATTTGACAAACGATGACAAGTAACGCTGTACCCCAACGTCAGCACAGTGGAGACATTCCATGCAGTGTGGTATCATCATTCAAGGACACAATACTGTCTGAAAATAGCTTTTGGAGATGTTTTAATTATTACTTATCAAATCCCCTGTTATCCGCGCCGTCTGACCGGTCTTTTCCCATTCTTAATCCATAAACCTCTATTCGGAAATCAAGTCATGAAAAAAATAGAGGCTAAAAAAAGGCCTCTGTGAGCACCGACAAAACTGTGGCTGAAGTCCTAGCCAAAACAAGAGAGACCAAGGGAGACAAGGCGCTGCCGCTATTTACACAAGAAGCCAAAGTGCACAAGGCCAACGAGGAGCTCATATCTCCATCTACAGTTGCGCCTTCTCACCGCCTAGCTTTTCTGTCAAAAAGGTCGAGAAATACTCATTCAGCGCATCCACGGTGCCGCTGCCCTCGACGAGCTTGACGACGCAGCTCACGTAGCCATCCGGCCTCACGACTACCACGCCACCTGTCTCCTCGCTCAGTCCCATCTTCGCGTGGGCGGCCGCGCCGGCGTCCGGCACGCGCTGGTCCCAGATGTCGTCGGCGTAGACAAGGTCGCGATAGCGAGCGAGGATCTCGGGCAAGTCCTCAAGAATCTCAATTTCGGTGCGCTTGGCGGCGAACACGGAGGCGAAGGTGAAGAAAGGGCTATGCGGGTTGTAGCGCTCGTGGTACGAGATGGCCTTCTCGTCCGGTACACCGTAGGTGGAGAGGAAGCTACCCTTGCGGCGTAGGGCGGCGTTGAAGTCGGAAAGGGCCTTGCGTGTACGATGGGGCGCGCCGCCGAAGACATAGATGCGGTAGGCGCCGTTGAGCGGGATCTCCTGCTCAAGGTGCACGACGTTGGCGTCGGCGACACGGGTCACGGTGGCGGGCGTGAGGATGCGCCCTGTGCGGAGCTTGGTAGTGCCGGCGGCGTAGTCGAGAAAGAGGGACGATGAGGACGAGGTGGGATGCTCGGCGGACCAGTTGACGATGTTGGGGTTGTAAGCCACGCCGTAGCCCGAGGTGAACTCGCAGCTCTCCTTGAACGTCTTGATGAAGTTGTTATCCTCGACCGGGTGGTCTTTGGAGTGCTGGTTGGCAGCGCCCACCTCACCAGCCGAGGGCAGCCGCTCCGAGAAGAGTTTGGCGTATCTGGCGTCAAAGTCGAGGAGGTTGTCGGCGATGAGGCGGCGCTCTGACTCGTACGTCTTGAGGATGTCACGCTTTGCCAGGCCGGACTCGACGTGATGGATCTTCCAGGCCAGGTTTGCTGCGTCGAGGAAAGCAGTGTTCATACCTTGGCCGGCCTTGGGGCTGTGCGTGTGGCAACAATCGCCGCCCATGAAGACGCGCTCATCGAGCGTGTACTTGTCCGCCAGACCCTGGCCAATGGGGTAGACCGAGTACCATTCAACGCGATCCCACGTGATATAGTAGGGGGCGAGGATCTTCCTAGCGTGGTCCTGGACTTCCTGTTCGGTGGCGGTCTTGCGGGGGTTCCAGTCAGGGTCTGTCGAAGAGGCGATCTGAATGTACAGGCGGACCATGTTGTCTTCACGGGGGATGACCATGATGGAGCCGTGGTCGGAGTGGATGGTGCATTTCATCTGGATTTCAACGTCAGCCTCAAGCATAGTGAAAACAGTGAGACGTAAAAAGCACCTTGATATCGGGGAAGTCGGTCTGGACAACGCCATCCATGACTCCCCACACGTGGGCGATGGGGTCCTTGTGTCTTATCTGCACGCCCAGCTGGTTGCGCACAAAGCTTCTCGCACCCTCGCCGCTGAAGAGATACTTTGCGCGCACCGTCTCCTTCTCTTCGCCGTTGACGTTTGCGATGCTGACCTCAACCGGGTAGTCGGGGTCCTTGGCGTCGTTTTGGAAACCGGTGATGGTCCATGGTCTCTGCACGGTGCCGCCGTTCTTCTCGATGTCCTCGATGAAGACGCGCTCGATGAGACCCTGGTGGAGCAGGGTAGTGAAGGGATAGCGGGCATCGATAAACTTGGGGCAGCTGGCCCAGGTGCCGGTGCGGAGGATGCCGTCCTTGCAGGGATCCCAAAAGGCGACCTCGTAGACCTTGGCAGGGTCATGAGCCATGATCTTCCGCTTCAAACCCATGTTCCGAAGCAAGTCCAGGGAACGCGGCTGGATGCCGTCGGCGCGGCCCGTCGGAGTGGGCTCCGGGCGGTTGTCGATGTGCTTGATCTTGTAGCCCCATCGCTGCAGCTGGCACGACAGCATCAGGCCGACGGGGCCGGCGCCGATGATGACAACATCGTACTTTTCCATTTCGGGAAGCAGAAGCGGAAGCGGCGTCGGAGTGGATGGAAAGGCGGGGGGTCAGCGGAGAGGAGGGTGCAGTCCTGGAGCGCCGTCTCGCGCAGCACCGTGATTAGGAATTACAACAAAGGGCTGATGATGGGGAAGCTGGGTGGTGGGAGGGAAGCAAGGGGAGAGACATGGTGATAGATAAAGGGTGGATGCCGATTCGGCCCCGGCAATGGGGCGGGAGGCTGAAGTAGCGCGGCAGGAAAAAACGGGAGCAGGTGGGAGCAGGTGGGAGCGGGTGGGAGCAGGTGGCAGCGCTGGTGTCGCCGTGTTTCCCATCCGCAGGCAGCCGCGGACTGTGCGCTGCGGGGAGACGCCGGCGCAGGCAGCGCGGCTGTGAAATCGGCAGGTGGCTGGAGGGCTGCACTTGCGGAATCCGGGGTCGGCAAGTGCGACCTGGGCGCGCTGATGATGAGTCCCCACACTCCCCTGCGCCGATGACTTCTCCCTGCCCCTGATTCGCCCATGCCGTCCACCCGAACGACACCGAGGTGTACTACGGATTACGTAGTACGTAGTAGAGCACGTCTTGCATCACCGCTCGCCATCGAGACTAGTACGTTCCACCGCCCCGTGCCTGCTGACTCGCCGCGTCCACCGCCCGAAACACAGCCCGGAGACCTGCATGCCATCGTCTCAGCAACGCGAAATAAAGATGCATAAAAATAAGCGCATCCGCACTCGTTGGCATCGCCGAATACCCCGAAAAGTCCAGCCAATCACGGCCAAAGGCGCCGTAGCTGGACGATCATTGGAACCAAACACCATGTCACCCCCTCAAGCACTCCTCAAGCTTACTCTGACGGTAACCGATCAGCCGAATGCACCGCAGAGCACGGCTCCATAAAACGGCTGCCCTCTGAGTTTGCACTTGCCCTCACTGCAGCCAACATGCCTTTCCTCGATGCCGCCCTCGGCTTCGCCATTGACCACAAGATGGCCGTCTGCGTGGGCGGCCCGGTGCTAGCAATCTTTGCATACCTCATCTATCAGATTTGCCTCTCCCCTCTAGCAAAAATCCCCGGTCCGCTCGCTGCCCGAATTTCGCGGCTATGGATCACCAAGCACTCCTGGGATGGTGATATGCATCGGTCTATGATTGAACTCCACAACAAACACGGATCCTTGGTCCGCACCGGTCCAAATGAAGTGTAGACTCCCTAGAGAACTTGTGCCCGACTCTGTTAGCTTCCGCTAACGTCCTCTCAGGAGCGTTGCCGATCTTTCGGCCATCAAGAAAATCTACGGTGCGCCCTGACATGCGTGCTTTTTGTTCCGAGCGTTCGTTGCTGATATCATCCCAAATTAAGGAGCCGGAACCAAGTTTCAGAAGTCCGGGTGGTATGGTGTCTGGCAAGGACGAAGGAAGTTCGACCTCTTCGCCGGCCGCGATGAAGCCATCCATGGCCAGCACCGCCGTCTCGTTGCCCGAGCGTATTCGATGGACGCCTTGAAGGATCTTGAGCAATATGTCGATGACTCCATCAAAGTGTTTATGCAGAACATGAACGAAAGAGTTGGCAAACCCATGGACATGGGCAACTGGGTCCAGCTCTTTGCCTTCGGTATGCTCTTTGTTTGACCGTGCCGGCTCATCTCCACTCACGCTCTGCAGACATCATCGGAGAAATCACCTTCAGCAAGCGCTTTGGCTTCATGGACGTCGGCGCAGACGATGGTTCCTTCCAAGCCATCGAGATGGCTTTACGTTCGGCCGCCTGGCTCGGCCAAGTACCGTGGATCTTCTGGCTCCACGACTACCTTTCACCTTATATTGGCAACTATCTGGGAATCACCGCTCGGAATGGCTCACTCCGTCAGTTTGCTTTGCGCGAGACCGAAGCTCGTAAGGACCGGGGCAGCGATCGGAAGGATATTCTGAGCAAGCTCTTCGCCGTACACAAGGAACGCCCTGTCGATTTCGATTACAGCGATCTTGTCTCTATGGCCAGCTCCAACATCTTCGCGGGAAGTGATACGACGGCCATCTCGACCCGCGCCATCATCTACTACCTTCTGAAGAACCCTGAGTACAAGCAGAAGCTCGTTCAAGAAATCGACGACTTCTCCAAGCAAGGCAAGATTAGTGATCCAGTTACTCTGGATGAGGCAAACAACATGCCATATCTTCAGGCTGTCATGTACGAGGCTCTTCGTTGCCATCCGGCCGTGGGCATGAGCCTTCCACGCGTGGTTCCTCCCGGAGGTACCGAAATTGACGGCACATACCTTCCAGCTGGCGTGAGTATTCTTCTGAGTGTATCACTCCTCCGAGCTCGCTGACGTGTGTTGGCAGACGATCGTTGGTGTAAACCCATGGGTTGTGCACCGCAACAAGGAAGTCTACGGAGAGGACGTCGAAGCCTTCCGACCTGATAGATGGTTGGAGAAGGATAACGGTGACATGCGTAAGCTTCAACCCGCTCTCGCCTCACGGCACCGCATGCAAGCTGACGAGAGATAAGATCGCTTCTTCTTTGCCTTTGGCTCGGGTGCTAGGACGTGCATTGGGAGGAGTAAGTCAACTAAGAAGGCAACAATGTACTACGATTACTGACTATCACAGACATTAGCTGGATGGAAATGTCCAAGGTATGTGTAGCTGGGATAGGCACATTATCGATCGGCATCGCTGACTGATGACAGCTTATTCCCACCCTGTTTATGCATTACGACTTGCAATTGGTAGACCCTGAAGCGCAATGGACCGAGACTTGCTGGTAAGCTCAACAGCCACTGTCAAGTGCGCATCGCTGACTCGTGCAGGTGGTTTGTGATGCAACAGGGTATCAAAGTTGTCCTGCGGCCCCGATACTAAGTGCATCCTGATGTCATCACGGCTTGCATAGTGGAGCGCACGGCCTTGTATCATTCTGTCTTTTCTGATATCCCTTCATGTCTACTCTCTCTTGTATATGATGTACGAAATTGATGCACATCTCATGTCCAACCTACATTGGCTCAAAAGTTGGATGCTCACTCGGCACAACTTCCCCGGACCGTGTTCCGCAAGGGTCCCCCGGGCTTCCCCACATACTGATCACGATCTCGTACCACTGGTAAACCCTGCCAATAATACAGACTTTGAATAACGATCTGATGATACTTGAACGGAGCGGTATGCTCACTGCGGTAGTGCCCACAGCGTGCACTCTACGTTGTTGTACATATGCACATTCACGAACCGAACAGTGTGCGAGGTTGTTGTGGATGCTCAACCGGCATTGCAGCCGGATCTGGTTTCACTTACGCAACCACGGAGCCTCTCGCCCACGACCCTTGCCGCTTGGCCTTCCCCAAACGAGTGACAGGGTGACACGAGAGTGAGGGGTAAGCGTAACATCTCAGGCCACTGTTGCGCCAGAGAAAAAATGATTTATAAGGCTTGTCCCCCCAGTGTGTGCGCCTCTTGTTTTTCTCCCCTCTTCAATACATATGAGAATAATGGCGAGAAATCTACTCCAGCGACGTTCCGTGTGCTTCTGCACAACCTTTTTACTTCATTGGACGGCCGCCCTTGCCTCACTTGCCAAGATACAATTTGTCACGCTGCAGGATATTTCGCGGCGGTCGGGCGGTCGTCTTCGATGACAACCCCCCTGCCGTGGCCGTCCGCGGAATGTAGTCTGTCGACATGTATACATACGAAGCACGCCGCCAGCGAGTAACTATATGCGTCCTCGACTGCCGGTCCGAGTACAACCTTTCCATCGTACAATCAACTCTCTCCCATTCATGCAAAACGTATAGTGATTATTTATCTATCTCTTCAACGGTTCAACCCGCGGGCCCCTTAACACAAGCGCTACATGCATATATACGCATTAAACAACAACGCAACGACGACACCCCCCCTCACTCACTTCAACCTCACAACCATGCCCTCCACATCCTCCAACAACCGCCTCACCTCCTCCGCACACCTCGCCGCCGTCGCCCCATCCACCACCCGATGATCCGCACTCCAGCTGAAGACGCACTCGTCCCTCCTCACGACCGACACGCCGTCCGCCGCAAACGCCGGGACCGGGCGCGCGCGCCCCACGCCCAGGATGCCCACCTGCGGCGGCACGATGACGGGGGCGACGGCGCCGCCGCCGACGCTGCCGATGTTGCTGACGGTGAAAGTCGCGCCAGACAATTCGTTGAGCGAGAGCCGGTTGTCGCGCGCCAGCGCCGCGAGCCGCGCGATCTCGGCGGCGAGCGAGGCGATGCTGTGCGCCTGCACGTGCCGCACCACGGGCACGACGAGTCCGCCGGGGGAGTCGACGGCGATGCCGATGTCGTGCTGGGCTTTGTGGATGAGGCGCGGCTTGGACGGGTCGGTGGCGTCGTCGAGGTAGGCGTTGAGGACGGGGTGGGAGGTCAGGGCCAGGGAGACGGCTTTGATGATGAAGGGGAGGGCGGAGAGCTTGGGGGAGGAGGGGGATTGGGAGAAGAGCTTGTGGCGGATGCGGTTGAGGGAGGCGAAGTCGACCGTGTCGGTGTAGAGGAAGTGCGGGATGTTGAGCGAGCGCGTCATGGTTTTGTACATTTGCCGTTGGATGGGCGTGAGGGGGACGTCGCGGTCTCCGGCGATGGGGGCGGACGAGGGCGGGGGGGATGCGGGACCGCTGGTGGTGGTGGTGGTGGTGGTGGCGGCGGATGTTGCCTGTTCTTTGGAGGCGGAGACGTGGCGCTGGATGTCGTCCTTCAGTACTCGGCCCTCCTTTCCTGTGCCCCGTATGTCCTCGATGTTGAGGTTGTGTTGCCTGAGCAGGTGTCGCACAGCCGGGGTAGCCAGATTCGCATGTCTACCGGGCGGTGGCCTCTCGACAGACGAGGAAGACTGCGTACTGGCTTCGACGGCAGATGTATCTGAGCTGCTCGCCTCAGCAGACTGTGCGGGCTGTCTTTCTCGCACCGCGCCGGAGGTCTGCGGCGCCTCCTCTGCCGGCGACTCGATGATGGCCTGGTCTTCCTCGGAAATCTCGCTCTGGATGTCTATGTCGACCAACGGCTGTACGTCACGTCAGCATCGAGCTCCCCATGAGGATGCTCCGGCGGTTGCGCTGACTTTTCCAACCTTGGCTACCTCATCCGCCTCGTAGTGCAGCTTTTTGATGACGCCGTCGAACCGCGACGTGATCTGCAGAGGATTGTTGGTTGTCTGGCTGTCTTGTTTGGGCGGTCCGTAGTTACCTCGACGGTTGCTTTGTCCGACTGCACCTCGCATATCTTGTCAAACTGCTCGACGCGGGCTCCCGGCTGGACGAACCATTGAATGACCTGGCATTCGGTGATGCCTGCAGAAGGTTAGCCAAGAGCTTGTTCCAGGCAGAGAGAGAGGGGGGAACGCTGAAAGCACCTTCGCCAATATCTGCTAGGAGGTAGGGTTTCACGGCCAGGGCCGCGGCGGAAGCGTGGAAGAGCCGGGAGGGGTGCTGGCGCGGGATGCGGGCGTTCTTGAAGCGGCGCAGCGGGTAGGAAGCTTCAATGGCGGAAGCGGCGAGGCAGCGCACATCTCTCGCAGCGAAACGTCTCATTTTCCGGGCGGGCGGCAGCAGGGAGTGGGAGACAAGAAAGGTACAAAGCGGCGGCGGCAGGCAAACATCTTTATGGGGGTCGTGGGGATGCAGGCCAAAGCCGACGTTAAGCGTCCCACGTACCACCCGCTGACATGCGGGGAAGCGGAGAAGCCTTGCCCCGAACTGTCCATAGCCACATAGGGGAAGACGCTCGAGCTCTTCGCAGCCTGGGTCGCGCTTGATGCAGGTACGGCCGAAAGAGGCACTCTGGCGTGGAAATCTCGCACGGCAAATCGACTTCGATTGCTATCTTTGCTGCCTGCACAGACGTGTACCTGCAGCTCTAACGCCTCTCTTCCCGTCCGTTTTGGTATCCCCGGATGCCCTTGAAAATAAAACGAAAATGCGCCTGCCATGCCGAACGCTCAGAAGCCATTAAAGGTATCAGACAGAGAAAGAAAAAAAAAACAAGGCCGAGTTCGTCATGCCGCCGTCGGCAGCGAGTCCTGCTTCAGCACCTCCTGCACGAGCCCGAGGGCGAGCGCCTGGACCTGCGGCATGGTCCCGCTGACGTCGACAGCGAGGACATCCTTGGACAGCTCGTCGTGGTCCGGCTCCTCCAGGCTCTCGAACTGGCTGCGCACCATGTTGTCCTTCATGTAGTGGCCGGGGCGGGCGCGCACGCGGGCCATCAGCATTTCCTCGGTGGCCTGGAGGTAGACAAAGTGGACGACGACCTTGACGTTGTTGTACGAGGCGACGCGGATGACATCGCGGTACTTCTTCTTCAGCGCACTGCAAGTCACCACGACGCCCGACGCGCCGGTTTCCAGCTCGCGCACAGACTGCTCGCGGAGCAGGATCAGCCAGTCCCAGCGGTCTGCATCCGTCAGGGGAATGCCGTTGCCCATCTTCTCGATGTTGGCCTTGGGGTGGTACTGCGACAGTGGGTCAGCCTGGTGCACGGCTGGCGGCGCAATCGGGGAGACAAACCTCGTCGCCCTCGATGTAGGGCAGCTCCAGCGAGTCTGCGATGTGCTTGCCGACCGTGCTCTTTCCGCAGCCGGCCGGGCCGGTGATGATCCAGATGTGGCGGTGGTGCGGCTGTGCGCGCAGGCCGTTGGTGGCGGGCATGACGGGCACCAGGTTGGTGCTAGTCGGCTGTGCGCCGTACAGCGACGGGGCAGTTTGGTCGTAGGTCAACATGGTGGAGAAGAAATGGCACTGTGCTGTCCAGGGGAAAGGAGGCAGGCGCGGGTTGTTGCGTGCGATGCGTGCGAGAGGAAGGCCCGGGGCGGCTTATTATATGTTGGCAGCAAGCGGGCAGCAGGCGCGCAGCTTGGAACCGGACGGCTATGACGGGGAAGCGGGTCGAAATGCAGTCCACGGGCTAGAGTGGGCGGCTTGGGGTTATTATGAGAAGCATCTGCGACGGCCGGGCAGGCAGACAGGGCAGCCCGCGGCCTGAGAGAACACCAGCCTCAGCCAGGGCGATTGACATCACCCCCGGCCTTCGGAAAAGATCTCACGGTTCCGGCTCGCATTTCGCACGCGCTGGTGGCCGGCCGGAGACGACAGCGAATGGGAAGCCCGCGCTGGACCGGTCGGCGTTTGAATGCAGGCCAGCCGGCGGCTAGCGTGGGAGAAAGGCGGATCAAAGGTCTCACCGTGGCCCGCCCCCGCAGTCCGCTGCAGTGAGGTCTGTCAGAGTCGCATGCACGCATGGCGTCCAATATCCAATATCCAATATCCAATTCCACGCCAGCTCACTGTGCGTCCAGCTCCCGGCCGCGGGGCCCAGCGGGCCACATTGCCAGACGCAGGCCCGCTGCCATCACGGGGCCGCCCTGCGGCGTGCCGGGCAGTGACGCTCCGCTGCCCAACGATCCGCCGTCCGGCTCCTGGGCCTCGGGCGCGTGGGGGTCGCGAATAATGCGCGAGTGGCGTGTCGGCAACCTATTTCCAGCGTCCTCGGGAGTGCGGGACGGGATGCGCTCGCGGCTGCGCCCAGGCAGCCCGGGGCGGCCTGCACCTTTCGTGATTAAAATGCCAGGTGCCACGGTGCCAGTCTAGCGCGCTCCAGGCACGCACGACGGTCGCGCCAGGCGGCTGCATCCGCCCATGGCCGCGCTGCTGCCCGGCTCCTGCCCGGCGCCGAACCAAAGGTGATTTCAGCGCGATGCGCCCGACGCCTGCGATCGCCTGCGGGCTGCGGGCTGCCGACATGTCTCGCCGCGGGTCGTGGGTCGTGGGTCGTCGGTCATGGGCCGTGGCTGCCACGCGTGCGTACGTAACAGCCCGTGAGCCCGTGAGCCCGTAAGGCTGAGGCCAAGCTTCTTCCAGAACTTGCTGCTGGATTGCCCTCCTGAGCGCTAGCGCGGCGCTGCCCCGAACATCAGCCGGGCCTGACAGCTGCGTAGCCGCCCTGTCGCTTGGCCTGGGGAGCTGCGACATCACCAGCGACCGCAACACCCGCCAAGCCCCGCCATCGCGACCACGCCCGTCTGTGCCTCCGTCGACCGCCCGCCGAACACCGATCCGGGGCCCCGCGATCCGCCATGTCGATCTTCTTCTCGACCCCGGTCGACATCGACATCGTCCTGGAGGACAGCGATGATCGCGCCATGGTCGACACCAAGCTCGACAAGAGCCGCAGGGAGAAGGTGCCGCTGTACATGGACGGCGAGTCCGTCAAGGGCCAGGTCACCATCCGCCCCAAGGACGGCAAGCGCCTGGAGCACACCGGCATCAAGGTGCAATTCATCGGAACCATAGGTCTGTCTGCCTGGAGCGCGCGAGGGGCTGTCGACGCGGGGCTGACCGTGTGCGCATTACCCAGAGATGTTCTTTGACCGCGGCAACCACTACGAATTCCTGTCATTGGGCCAGGAGCTTGCCGCCCCCGGCGACCTGCAGCACCCCCAGACCTTCGACTTCAACTTCAAGAACGTCGAGAAGCAATACGAGTCGTACAATGGCATCAATGTGAAGCTGCGCTACTTCGTCCGCGTCACCGTGTCGCGGAGGATGGCCGATGTTGTGCGCGAGAAAGACATCTGGGTCTACTCGTACAGGATACCCCCGGAGACCAACAGCTCCATCAAGATGGACGTTGGTATCGAGGACTGCCTGCACATCGAATTCGAATACTCCAAATCAAAGTACCATTTGAAGGACGTCATCGTCGGGCGCATCTACTTCCTGCTGGTTCGATTAAAGATCAAACACATGGAGCTGTCCATTATCAGGAGGGAAACCACAGGCGCTGCGCCTAATCAGTACAATGAGAGCGAGACGCTGGTTCGATTCGAGGTATGGCCCATGTATACCCATTTTGCGCGACTTTAACTAACGCACCTTCAGATCATGGATGGTTCACCCTCGAGAGGTAAGCAGTCTACACGTGCCCACCCGGAGAGAGCAATACCCTCTAACAATGGCTAGGCGAGACGATTCCAATCAGACTCTTCCTTGGAGGCTTCGATCTCACACCGACATTCCGCGAAGTCAACAAGAAGTACTCGACTCGCTACTACCTCAGCCTGGTCCTGATTGACGAAGGTAACGCATCTCCTTTGGTCGACACCTGCTATGCCATTCGTCAAATCTGGCGCTAACAGGCATTATACAGACGCACGCCGTTACTTCAAGCAGTCGGAGATCGTCCTTTACCGACAGGCACCGGATGGCCTTGCGCAATCGGCGCCCAAGGAACAGTCGTTCATCACTCCCCCATGAAAATCGGTCGCAAGGACCGGACGAATCATGGATTGCGAACCCCGCGAATTCCCTGCACCTCACTGACCCGGGTCTATGGTCAACCCAAGATACTAGGCCCGAGATCACAATGCAGAATGCAAGATCACGCACGAATCGAGTGGTAAGATGCCGCCAGCTCCTGCAGCTAACTCTCATGTGGCTTGTCCGGAGATACATGTCGCCCACGTTGGCGGATAATTATCCGCCCTTCTTTTCCCGTCTCCACCCACACACATTCACGACCCCCATTGAGCGATACCGAGAGCACGAGCATCTTGTAATTACTACCTCCATAACAAACCTCAAATGTCATGATCCACATGCCTGACTCACGCCCGAAGTATGTGTACTATCGCAACAGACTCCAGCAGGTGCACCTTGCCCGTGAAGTACGTGAAGATAGTAGGCTGCATATGCCTCGTAACGAACACTCAGTATTCACGACAAAGCCACGCAATGAAAACGCCAATTTACTGTGATAGAGACAGCTATAAGAAGGTGGGAAAAGTGCTGTTTCATTCTGACCGATCGTCTTTGCTCTTCATTCTTATTCCCTGTTGGTGTGAGCGGCCCAGTCCATTGCGTTGGCTCGACCTTGCCTTCTCTTGAAATATTCCTCGCTGAAACTCGCTTCCTCAGTATGGCAACCATCATTGAGAAAGCCATGAGTGGTGGCGGGAAAGGTCACTGCACTCCACCGACGCTGATCCGGTGCCAGTGCCATGTCTATGACGTCGTCTCTGAGCCAACGAGAAGACCTCATCTTTGGCTCATAGTCACCCAGAGCTGGGGCTGCTCAGGTCAGCCTTTCAAGAACATGCTTATCTTGAATCTCCGCCTGGATGCTCTCATCCTGCTCGTACAAGCAGCGTGTCCGGACGAGGGACCAAATACCTGCAGGCATCGACAAGGAGTGCGACCACCTCATCGAGCCGTAATTATGGGCTGGAATGATGGGGCTTACTCTCACAGTATGGAGTGATGCCGTTGCCGCTCTCTTGGTAGTCTCGCTTCAAGAGCCTCCGCTCGACCTCTAGAAGAATTTTACGCCCAAAGAATCCTCACTTCCAAAGACTTGAGCTCTTCCGCGCTTGACGAGGACTTGGAGGGACTTTTGCAGGAGTTCTGCGTCCATGCCATGGAACTCTACCCCAATCAGCATCTCATCACAAACGCCGACGGGAGCAAGGATGAGCTACCTTGAGATGCCGTCGCATCGCTCTCTGTAAGCTCGTATAGCGTAAGTACCGTATTCTTTTGCCCCGTCGCATCAACCTGCACAGTCCAATCCTCATTAGCGCACCAGCCCACATATCTGCATCTTCTCCTCGCGACCCACACTCATCCCGTGCCCGCTCTTCAACATTATTCCACCAACCACCAACCGCCAACCCCGCTCCCAACAGACAAATCCAAAGAGTGGGGGGTGGGAGATGCGTGCCTTCCGAAGGGAAGAAGAAGAAGAAGGGAAGAGTACTCACCCAACCCTCAATCAGACTCGCCCACTCCTCGGGCCTCCTCCAGTATATCCACGCCCGCGCAGCCTCGCCGCCCGCGACACCTTCGCCCTGCTTCTTCTTGTCGCCGCCGCCACCGTCGACCCACTCCGCCCTGTGGCCGCCCTCGGCGCCGCACATGTAGCCGACGACGTCGCGGGCGTCGCGCAGCGCGAGCCGCTTCCCCAGCCGCCGGTTCCAGAACAGGTCCGTGTCGAGGGCGTCGATGAGCGACAGCTGGAAGCGCCGGTGGTGCCGGCAGTGCGCCTGCACGTGCGCGCTCCAGCTGGCGAGCTGCGAGGCGCGCGTCGCGGCGACGGGCTGCAGCGTGAAGAAGGGGGGGAAGCTGTAGTGTGGGGGGAACTTGTACGGCGTTGTTGTGGTGGTTGTCGCGGTGGCCATGGTGGTGGTGGTGGTGGTGGTGGTGGTGGTGAATGCGCGCGGAACGAGAGGTCCGCGGGCAGGCTGATGACTGGTGATTTGGGAGCTGTCGGGGTGGGTGGAGATGTTGTCGAACGAGGGATGAGCTGGTAGGTTGTGCCGCTGGAAAAAAAAAAAGTTATCGCAAGGCCATAGGGTTGAGAGAGGTAGCTCGTGCGGCGCATGCCCCGCGATGGAGTTCCGTCATGGCGGTGCATGATTCAGGCACCATTCGTGGCCCGAGCGCTCGCTGCCGTGCGTGGGCACCTTTTGACCACCGATGCGAGTCGTACAGTGCTCATTAAACCACAAAGTTCACTGGCCCTTTATGACCGGAGCTAGAGGAGCGGAATGGTCAGGAAAAGAAAAGGCTGTACTTCAAAAACCTGTATCATTGGAAATTTAGTATCCTACTGACTTAGGCAGCCGAAGTCTATCAATGAATCTCGTTATGATTTCAGTTAACATCATATCTGGATAAATACTTTGGCTACCCCCATAGCACTAAAATATTCCTAGCAAAACACGGAACAATAGGCCGCCCTTTATAGTTGCACTACATTATCTAGGCAGCAGAAGTGGCACCCTCCTCTAGGTTTAGGGGGAAGACCATACTTTACTAAAAGGGACGATAGGGCGCATGCTCAATGCGAAGAAACCTGTATCAACGGTCACGAAATTATGCGACCTTGTCATCGGGGAAGCCCTGCAATACGTCTTTGCGGTTCGCATTCGATGCCCTATCGATGCAATCTTAGCTCTTGAGCTCTGTTCTTATTCTTCGTTATTTCTTTTGGAGCATTATATGAATGCAAACGACGCTCACATGTTTCAGCGGCATGAAAGGAGCTGCAATTTAACGTGTCTACGTGGACTGATTGCCTGCGCTAAACGCAATAATGCGTTCGGCAATATAATGTATCTCACCATCAAACTTTCCACTTCATTGACGAAAGCCTCACCGGAAAGTCTGCAGGCGAGACAAGCCTTAGTAGGCTCTTGATAGTCGTTCTTCGCTAGCCATTTAGCTCATTACAGCCATGGAGAAGGTCTGCCGAGTTGATATACTAGCGGTTGGGAAAAGGTGTAGGCGCCGAGCGCGGGTCCGTAGTAAAGCGCAAATCGGAAGGCTGTCAAGTTAGCACGCTGAATCTCACCGGTCTCATGCGGACGCTTGTTGGCCGAAATGGATGTCCTTTGATTACTGTCAAGTCCATAATCCTGAAAACATCCCACATGCGGCCTTGCACTTTTGGACTGATCATTTTTGAGACGCCGATTTGATAGTGTATTCCGTTCGCTTGACCCGAAGAACCGACCGCGCCCCTTGTAGCCGGCTCAACCAAGCAATGAGAATTTCGTCAACCCATCAACCTCCCTAAGCTCGAAACTACCACTTTACGCCTTGGTGGTCTTGGCCTTGGCGGCCTCACGGCCCTTGCCTATCCTCTCAAGAATGCTCTCACGGTCCTTGTCCAGCTTGAGCTTGGTGACGACGACCTTCGAGGGAGCAATGCCGAGCGGGGTCGACTGGCCGTTGGACTTCTCGCGGGAGACGCGCTCGACGTGGATGACGTACTTCAAGCGGTAGACGGTGGTGACCTTGCCCTCACGGCCCTTGTTGGAACCGCGGGTGATCATGACTTCGTCGTCCTTGCGGATGGGGATGGAGCGGACCTGCTCGCAGACAGCTGTCAGCGTCTGCCCATGTTTTGCGTGCTGCTTGGCGGCTGTTGTCCAGAGTGTTCATGTTCGCCAATCGCTCGGATTCCAGACAGAACGGGCGGGGGAAATTCGTACGTTGTACTTCTCGCGAAGCTCCTTGGAGAGAGGGGCGCTCATGATGACGCGGCGCTCGCTGGAGGGCGCGCTGAAGTGCGCCTTGCGCGACTTTCTCCGCGAGGAGGCAACGGCTGTGTGGCGCTCAGGTCAGCGACGGTCTACGCGACGATTTGCATCGGCGCGGGGCGGCATACAGTGGTTGATCACGGTCATCGCGGCGGTTGTGTGGGTGTCGTCGAAGTTGGGGGTAACGTCGTCGTCTCGTCGTCCTGCAAGCAAGGTCCTCGGGCAAAAACGTTGTGGGAGAGATTGACGAACGGAAGCTAGTTTCGCCGGCGCGCCGACGGGCTAGGTAAGTCTTGGCACCTCCGACGCGACGCCGGCGTAGATCCGTGACCTCCAACGAGGACGCGAAGCGCAAGCGACTGCACGCGTCGCCCCAAGAGCGTCTGCGTTTCTTGGTCCCCGCAGCACCCGGATTGCCGGCCCTTTCCTCCTCGCGCGACGCGTTGCGTTCAACGCTCCATCTCAACCTGCCGTTCAGTTCCCCCCATGCGCGTTAACACGTTCCGGTCGCCACGTTCCGCGCCTCCGCCCATCTCGCCGCTGGTCTCATTCACTCGTGATCGCCGGTATAGCACACCTGGTGCAGGGGTAGCTCTCTGAGCGCACAGTTTTGCTGCTCTGTTTCTGCCTGAGATGTCCCACCAGAATCAGAATTATTACGGCGCCCCCGGTCGTCAAAACCAGCAACATTACACGCACTATCCTTCCCAAAGGCCTACATCAACTACCCCCGCCGCCCAGTACACCTCGCAAAGCCAGCCCGTGTCGCAGCCATTCTCGTCATATTCGACGCAAGCGTATGCACCCTCTGGAACGTACAATCTGTCAGACTATCAGTACGGGTCGACGAACTATGGCTCTGCTTCCGGGACATCTGCTGCAGCAAGGAACAATGCCTCTGCAGATTTGCAAAACGTAGCATATGCGTCTGGTCTCCATGATACTGTCCAGCGTGCCTCCGCCCAGTCAAGCGCTGTAAATCAAGCAATATCCTCGACGCAGCCGCAGCACGTGTCGTACTCCAACAATTCTTACTCAACCTACAGCCAGCAGCAACAACCACGTCCAAAGAGCGTCAATTCTCTTGCAGGAAGGCGCGAACAGCGATCTCCCCATCAGTCGAACCAGTCGAACAATTCGGGATTGCCCCTTCCAAAGACGGCGTTGCAGCCCTCCGGGTCCCAGCCTTTCAGCATTCACCAACGTGCTGTAACCTCACCGCAGAATTCCAACGCTTACCGCACGCCGACGGTGGTACAGCAATCTGCTGTACAGTCAATCGACAATCCTCCCCGCACATCACCAACCGTGACACAGACACAGCCAGCGGCAACTTCTACGGCGTATCAGTGGAACAATCAGCAACATACACACTCCGGATCGCGTGATTACGAAACGGTCGATCCAACACAGGTTTACGACCCGTGGCCGGAGATACAAAGGAAGCGCGAGGCCGCGCGCGCCGCGAAAGCTTTGGAAGAGCGCGCTCAGGCAGAGCGGCAAAGAGTTGCGCGGGAAAAGGCTGAGAGGGAAGCTCGAGAGGCCGAGGAGGCCGAGGAAGCCCGCAAGGCGGAAGAAGCCCATGCACTAGAAGAACGTAGGAAGGCGGAAGAAGAGGAAAAGGCAGAGCAGAAAAGGCGAGAAGAGGAACGAAGAAGGGAGGCTGAGGCAGTGCATCAATCTCAGAGAGAACACGACCAACGAAAGAAAGCGAACACAAAAACCAAGATGACAAAGGCTCTAGCTGTCGCGGATTCTTCGTCACCCGCTCAAGCGGGCTCGACTGAAGTCGAGGTACAAATGAGAGCGTTAATGGCACAAATGAGGCAACTGAACAGCAAAGATCCAGCGCTGTTGGCAAAAATTTGGGAAGAAGAAAGGCAGAATCATGCCCAACCAAGTCAACCCGCTCAGCAAACTGTGCAACCGCCGACACCATCGACACAGAAGCCTGGTAAACCACCTGCTCAGAAGAAAACGTCAACAAGTCAGCCGCAACCGAATGCGCAAGCGCAACCCTCGAGTGCGCCTATGGCACCCATGCATGCCCAGCAGGCACCCATGCATGCCCAGCAGGCTCCCATGCATGCCCAGCAGGCTCCCCAAGAGCTTTCTCAAGCACGACATACACCCCAACAGCAACAGCAACATCAAACGCAACAACAGTCGGTCGGGAAATCGAGAAAGGAAGCTGCAAATCCTCGACAGCCCAATAGGCGTATGCCACCGACGGGGACAACCGCTTGGCCAAACGATAAAAAGGATCAGATCTCGAACGCAGCAGCAGCTTGGCTCAATGCAATTCCAGAGAATCATGACAAACAGGTTACTCCCCAGGAAATCCTCGACTTACTTAATCGAAACCCGAGATACATAGAATTATGTGAATGGCTTGAGTCTCAGGGCATGAAACTGGAACGAGCCTCGTTCGCAAGAGCTTTGCTTCAAGCCGTGCCAGACATAAACAAGCCAGGGCAGAATCAAGCGCAGGCTCCTCCAGCCAGCCGGGTTAACGGCAAAGCAGTAAGTGGAAATATACGTTGAGCAATGAAAGTTGATGTAAATCATCCCCTTCTGACGCGCATCATTGGCAGGCCCCATCCTCTACAGAGAATGTTAAGAGCTCAGAGCAGCATGGTAGGTCCCCATTAAAGCGCGACTTTATCTACTGTGTACTAAGTTTTTTAGGCCCCAAAATCGGCCATGCTGCCAACTATCCGAATGTTCCATCCGGCCGCCCGGGCACTGTTGGCGACCACTTGCAGAGTGCCCAATCACCGTACCCACCCCCAGACCAACCTCAGTATCGAAGTCCGTACTTCGTTCCGACAAATGCTGGCACGCCAAGCTCTGTACCTGCTGCGTTTCCGACACCACCGCCGCAGGTGCCGGTCGCGCCAATGCATCATAATCGGCATGACAGGCAAAACTCCGGAAGCAGGCAAGCCTCCTCACAGCGAGAAGAAAGCCAAAAGCCAGCGACAAAAGCCGATGCGGCAAGAAAGAGAAACTTCCATGAGATGGTCGATTTGACGCAGCTGTCCGACGAGGAAGAGCCGCCCGCCAAGAAGGCAGGCTTCAACAACGATATTGTGCCTACCTGGGCCCCTGCGCCAGGCGCTATCTTCTACCCGCAAGCACCTAGGCCGATCAACATTCACAGCGGAAACTTGCCACCCGTGGTGCACTTCGACGACAAGATCAAGAGCATGGATGTGGTCCAAATCTTGAACCGTAAACACGCTCTTCGCAGATCGGCGTATGAAGTCAAAACCATCGCTCGGGACGTCCTGCTGGCAACCGGGAAGCACCCGGAAATGCGGCCTCTCAATGGGCACCTTGAGGTTCTCAAGGGAACTTTCAAAAGAGTCGACAACTTATCCGACCTGAGCACGCTTAGGTGGGATCTGATCGATCCAGGCGATCCGCCTCCAGAAGCGCTTGCACCTAGCGTGATTGAGATAGAGGACGAGGATGCAGACGATGAGGAAGAAGACGTGGTGATACAAGAACAGCCACAGCCACAGCCACAGCCGCAGCCGCAGCCGCAGCCGCGCCCAGCTCATCCCGAACCGAAAGCGCCGTCACCCGATCGCGCGAGCTCAGCTGGCCTGCCAGCTATCCCATCGCGCTCTGTCCCATCGTCTACTCCTCAACCAGTGGCGAAACGCCGCAGAGGCAGGCCATCAAAGCTCAGCGCGGCAGGAGCCGTGGACGCACGTGACGCACGTGCCACCCCTTCTGTTCGCGACCGGCAACACGAACGCGCTTCCTCTGCAACTTTCAGTACACCCAACAGAACTCGGTCTCCAATGGCAAGCAATTCAGTCGGGTATGCGGCCTTTCGCCAAGTCGAACATGGACCTGATGGACAACCTCTTCCTAAGAAGAAAGGAAGGCCGGTTGGATGGCGCAAGTCCATCCACTCAAAGGAAGCACAGGCAAAAGCTACCGGTCTATCGCCCCAGTCGGTTTCGGCATCACGCCCAAGCGGCCTGCGCACTTCGCAAACGTCTAATGGCGTGGTCATGATCGAATCACGCTCACCTAGTGTGGTGACCAACAGGAAAGCGGCTTCCTTCAGCGTCTACAAATGCGAATGGAAGAACTGCAGTGCAGAGCTGCACAACATGCTTACGCTGAGGAAGCACATTGAAAAATTTCACCATGGTCTGAATGGCCAACAGAAATGGCCGTGTTATTGGAAATCCTGCGAAGAGAACGAACATCACATCGACAGGCGCACTGGCAAACCGAACGGTTTTCGCGTTCGGGAAGACTTGCGAGACCATATTGAGTTCGCTCACTTAGGGCCGAAGTCGTGGGAGCTTGGGGATGGTCATGCAGGTGGACTTTCGGGTTAGTTGCTTCTTTCTTTGCAACTGTTCCGAAACTGTACCTCACTGATATGAAATGCAGAGTCCCATGACTCCGCGAGCGATGCATACCTGTCTGACAGCCGGACAGGACGTCGAGTCACACCACTCGTGTCCGCACCGTCTAAGGAAGCATTAGAGGCGGCCATGGCAACACCAGCGCCGCCGGTTCCCAGGGGCCCAGGCAGGCCAAAGCTTCAACCTAATGGAAAGAAGGGCTTGGAAGTACAGACAGAGCTTGAGAGGAAGAAGAAACTGGTTGGACCGGGCCTTGATCGTGGAGGAGCCCGCCTGGCCAACGAGAAGAGACGAATGGGTTTCATTGACGACGAAGACTTTGAGGAGGTTGTAAGCGATAGCGATTGAGATCATACGACGACACCATGGAAAGCGAAGGCCTGGATTGCACCGGACGACCTGGCTTAAAAGTCATTTCTAGGACTATTCTCCTGGATGCATCATTGCGAGAGATACCATTGCTTCTTTGCTTTGAGGGCCGTGTATGGAGAGCCAGGAACCGTAGCTGTAGGCTCTGGGGACACTGCATGCTTGTGGAGGTCCAGATACATAGTTTTAATTCGAAAGGCTCTTGAGTCAGTCTGACTTGCAAAGTCTCGATCAATTGTCCACCAACGCCATGCAATCAGTGTTTCCGCTTGGTATCCTCAACTACTGTGTCTTCGAGGTCCTCCACGCTAGATCAAGCGCTGCTCTCCTCCAACCTTACTGTGCACTTTGGCCTGCCGATCGCCATTGCGGCATTCGCAGGACATAAGACAGATTTCTTCCCTTCCAGCATCAAGTCTCTTGTGATGTCATGTCCGCGTCACGAAGGTACTCTCGCGCAACTCAGCTCCTCGCCTTGCCGGCGGCGGGAACGGCGTCGGCCTTGCGGGCGTTGGACAGAGCCTCGCCCTCATGGGCGTTGACCTCGAGGAAGTGATAAAGGACGATCATGAGCATGGCAGCGCAGCCAAGGAAGATGGCGAGCGTGTAGAGGGAGGTGTCGGTGATCATGGTGGCCGATTGCTTGCGCGTCCGGGGGTGTTCGGCACGGATGGGTGCTGCGGGCTCTGGATCTACAAAGTTTCGGTCAATTGTCAGGAGCTAGTGCGGGCGAGGGGCATGCATGCGTACAGGGAAATAAAGAGCGACGGCGCGGTGCGGCGGGAGCGGGTGGATGTGCGGAGAGCAATTGATGTATCTGTTCACTTGTCGAGCTCCGGCCAGCTGCACCGCAACCCTGTCGCCGGCAGTCGTAAGCGCGGCCGGCCACGAATTCCAGCAGCCAGCACGCACAGCTGCGCGCCGCCGCCTTGACGTTTTCGACAGCCTTCTGCTTCGGCGATCGGGTTAACTATTCCGCAAAGGCCTGGCGCCAGTGCCCCCACCAAATCAGCTTGCCTCCGTCATCGTCTGAATCTTTGCCTTTGCGCACTCTGCCTTGCAGCCCGTCTCGCAGCCTCGCGTCCGACATCGACCCCACCCGTCGCCCACATCTTTTCGACTACACCCACCTTCTCTGGGCTATACCCTCCCCCCCGACGCGCCATCTGTCGTTCGCCCACGCGCCCTCGATCGCGGCGATCCGATCCACAAACCTTGACGTCCGATTAACCCAGGCACATCCCCCCCCAACACCGCCATCATGCCGCCCAAGAAGCAGGACAAGAGCCAGAACAAGCCCGCCAAGAGCGCGTCGGTCGACAAGACCTTTGGCATGAAAAACAAAAAGGGCGGTGCCGCGCAAAGACAAATCAAGCAGATCCAGCAGGCTCAATCGTCGTCCAAGACGCCCGAGCAAAAGCGCAAGGATGCCGAGAAGGCGCAGCGCGAGGCCGAGAAGAAGGCGGCCGAGCAGGCTCGCAAGGAGGCGGCCGAGTTGTTCAAGCCCGTCCAGGTGCAGAAGGTGCCGTTCGGCGTGGACCCGAAGACGATCCTGTGCCAGTTTTACAAAAAGGGCCACTGCGACAAAGGTGCGTTTACGGGACCATATTCGGCCATGTTCCGGCAGAGGCCTGCGGACGGAACGGTTCCCTTTGCTAATGTCGAGCGGCTGCAGGCAAGAAGTGCAAGTTCTCCCACGACCTGGCTATTGAGCGCAAGACGGAGAAGAAGTCCTTGTACGCAGATACGCGCGAGGGAGAGGATGAGGATGAGAAGAAGAACGACGACATGTCCCAGTGGGACGAGGAGAAGCTGCGCGACGTGGTCAAGTCCAAGCACGGCAACCCACGGACGACGACGGACAAGGTGTGCAAATTCTTCATCGAGGCCATCGAGAACCAGAAGTATGGGTGGTTCTGGACCTGCCCCAACGGCGGCGACAAGTGCATGTACAGGCACGCGCTACCGCCAGGATTCGTCATCAAGACCAAGGAGCAGCGGGCGGCCGAGAAGGCATTGAATGACAAGAACCCGATGAACACGCTCACGCTCGAGGACTTCCTGGAATCGGAGCGCCACAAGCTCACGGGCCCTGGCACGCCGGTGACGGTCGAGTCGTTTGCCAAGTGGAAGAAGGACCGCATGGACAAGAAGGCGGCCGAGGAGGAGGCCAAGAAGCTCAAGGACGCCACCGGCCGTGCACTCTTCGAAAAGGGCGGCTGGGAGGACGACAGCGAGGACGAGTCGGACGGCGACGACGACGGCACATTCAACCTCGAGGCTCTGCGAAGAGAAACCGAGGCGGCGCGCCAGGCCACGGAGGAGGAACGAATGAACGGGCTCAACGGCACAGCCGCAGCTTAACCTTAATTTTCTTGTCTTGGCGGTCAACTTGGAGTGTGCGCGGGTGCTTTTGGGATTGGTGTGGATACAAAAAGGGCGTGCGACGACGATGCCTCGGGACTCATTTAGTATTCGTCTATTTCGGCGTCTCGGTTCTGCTTTTCTGAGATGATGAGTGTCAGCATTTCTGCGGGGACCTTTTTGCCGAACAGGCGAGGTCGATTGGGGGAATCTATGAGTATGATCGTTCTGTGTGGAGCGAGAATGCGTCATGATGGACATCAGAATGTCGAAGAAGGCATGTAGAGAGAAGTCTTCTGTCGACCGGCGAGGAGAGACTCGGCCCGGTGTCCTGCACAATTGATAGCATCTAGTAACATGTTCAGCGCTGGTATATACTTCTCGAGAAGCAGGCCTCTCTTAACCACCCGGTTCACTTTTGGTGAGTCCATTCCTCTGCCACCTTCACGTGCTTGACACCTTCAGACTCCGCAGATTTGCCGCCGTCAACGTCGCCCTTTGACATCTGAACATCACATGGCCATCTTCCTGGATCCATCTACCATGGATTTCTGTTTTCCCCCGCCAGTCGATTCATCTGATGAACGCTTGGTAATAGACAAGAACATGCAAAGCACTATGTTCAGCAGCCCGCGCAGGCGGCGTGACGGTTGCTCTGAATGTAAAAGGAAGGAGGTAAGAGCAAGTTCAGATTGAGCCCAACACTGACCAATCATCCGCAGTGCGATCTCAAAAGGCCCGTATACTCTAACTGCACACGCTTCCCAAATGAATGCAAATAGGACTTGCAATGCATTGTCACCGAAAACCGGCCCCGGAAATAGTAGACCACCACAGTGGATGGTATAAACGGGACGCTGTGATTGGCCAAACAGCATAGACTACCCGGTTCGGTTAGGCTGTATGTCCGGGACGTTGGTCAGCAGCTGTCAAGGCGAAGTCAAGGCGAAGTCAAGGCGAAGTCAAGCTACTCGAGAAACCTTCGTGCGGCTAGCGCGTGTATTGGCAAAGCTCCCCCAATGCCAGACGAGGACGCGGCGTGGATGCGGCGCAGCGATCGTTCCTTCTGTTTCAGCACTCGCTCTTTTCTTTTCTTTTGTGCCGCACACCCCCGCTTTTGACGGCATCACATCCTCCAATCCACTACTTGTTTGCCTTAGGATACTACTGGCCCCCACACCATTCACGCGTGGCTGCGTAAGATGCAACCAGCCCCCAACTCATTCCGCTCGCAGCTCAGCCGCACGGTCAGCTGCCGTTTCTTCAACAAGGCTTGTCTTCCCCGCTGCAACGAGCGTCTTGTTCTTCGCCGTCTCCCAATTTCTCTCTCACGTTGTAGCCGCTATTCCACCGGACGCCATGGAAGAGCGCCAGCAGGACAGGTCTCTCGACGACATGTGGAGTGAGGCGGCGCAAAGCTACCACCAAACTACCGGCAACGTCCTTCAAGGGAAACACCCGACAGTTGAGGAAGTTCTGGAGAAAATGCGCAATGACAAGGACAGCCAAAGTGTGCGCGCAACACGTCGGCAGAGCGTCAGGCTGGTTTTGGATCGCATCACAAGCCTGGGTGATTTGGCTGCCGCAGGCGCCTCGGCGGTCAGCCTTCCTTCGTCGCTCATGACACTCAGCTAACACTCCAGCCCAGGCTTTCCCGCCCAGCAGTCTTTGCTTCACCGCTGTCTCATACCTTGTCGAGACTTGCTGGGAATACGAGAAGCAAAGGGCTGTCATTACCGATCTCTTTGATGCAATTGCTCCATTTCTGGAATGCTTCGACATTTACCGCACCTCGCATCAGCTCCAGAACACCGCCGATCCTGGCGTCATGAAGCTCAAGAGAGTCATCCACGAGCGATTGCAGTGCTTCATCTGGATATGCAGCCACTTCACCAAGAAGTCCAAGGAACATAGGCTCAAGCGCTTAACCAAAGCTGCAGTCCGCATCGATGATGGCGTGTCTGATAAGTTCGATGAGATAGAAAGGCTCGAAAAGGCCGAGGTAAGGTTGCTGCAGGCCCTCGGATTCATCGAACTCGAGGAGATGCGTGACATTCTCCGAAGGCTGGAACGCAAGAGGGAACAGGAAGACATGGACCAGTGCCTGGACACCATCAAGGCCTCTTTGGACATCGACGGAACGAAACACAACTGGCATGATACACAAACCGCCATCTGGAACGACACTGCCGAGTCGACTGGAGAGTGGCTCTTCAAACGACAAGATTTCAGAGACTGGAAGAATGGCGGAAGGGCCTCGGCCCCCGCCGTTTTCGCTTTGAAAGCCGACGATGGCTATGGGAGGAGCTACCTGTGTGCCGCTGTCATCAACCATCTGCTGAAGCAGCGGCCAAACGACGCCGGCCTCAAAAGGCTTGTTGCCTTTTACTACTTCAAGAAGGATGAGCGCGAAAGCAGCTCCATGAGAAACGCCCTACGCGCCATCTTGTGGCAACTGTCCACAAACAGAACCAACAAACCATTTGCAAAGTTCTTTTCGCGCAAGTGCGAACAGGTTGAGCATCTGCCCTCATCCAAGACTCATGTGCTCTGGAAAGATTCCATTTTGGAATATCTGGAGAAGCCCGAGGTCAAGAGCCAGGTCTTCATTGTCATTGACGGGATAGGACATGTCAGTGAGGACTATGACGAGTTTTCACAGATCGTCAATGACGTCTCGTCCTTTGAGAATGGGCTATCTTCCATCCGCTTCCTCCTGACAGGCTCAAAGGTCGACCTCAAGGGGCTCAGGAGACATTTTGGTACCCGCATTCCAATGACGGAGTTGGCCGTCAACGAACACAACAAATCAGACCTCCAACTTTTCGTCTCGAGCAAGATACAGGAGATCAGCCGCACTTGGGATCGGACGTCCGACAGTGAGAAGTATCAGCAGCTGATTGAGAGGGCTCTTCTGGAGAACACAGACGGTGACTATCAGAACCTGAACCTCACACTCAAGGAAATCAGTAACGCCCGGGGGAAACAAGACATTGATCGTATTCTGGACCCCAAGCGCTTACGGATGCCACGGGAGGAGACGATCAGACGCCAGTTGGTCAGCATGGAAAAGACTCTTGTCGAACATGAGATCGACAGCCTGAATGAGATCCTCCCTTGGATCGTGCTACCAAAGTATGACTGGCCGACCATGAAGCAGCTGAAAGCGGTCCTCTTTCTCAAGTACAAGCAAAACCTATTGAAGTCAGTCGAAGACCTGATTACCGAGAGATACGCACCATTACTGGAGGTTGATGGCACCACTGTGCGCTCGTACCACACAATGAAGTACTTCAAGAAGGAGAATGGTAGCCAACAGGCTCAAAACCCTAAGGAAACGGAGCCGGACACGCCTGCCAGCGCTCAGCAAGACATGATATCGGCGGCAATATCCCCGTTCCTTGGCAAGCCTTCGCATGACAGTAACTGTCAAGTGCACCACCTTCAGGTTGCTATGGTACAAAAATTCCTTCTGACTGTCTGTGATGAAAAGCTGTACGGTGACTTCGGCTTCAAGGAATTTTTCGAAGGTCTACAACGCCACCCCAGCAAGACGATTGTGTTCAATCGCGTGGACGGTCACTCGAAAATCATTTTGACCTGCTTGAAGGCACTCTGCGCTGAAGATGATGTCAAGGCCGAGGCTGAACCCCTCGTTGATCTTGCCATCACACGTCTTTCCTGGCACCTTTCACAAATACATTCGCATGAACTCTCTTACGTGGATGTTTCAAGAAGACGAACTATCGGCCAGCTTCTAGTCAAATTGTTCAGAGACAGAAAGTGTATTGAAGGCTGGTTGACTCCAGAGAGGATCGAGAAGATCCGGCACAGATGGCTCTATCATCCACAACAACAACACAAGAGCAGCTTGGCGGGCATAGCCTTGCAGTGGCTCAAAGATCCAGAAGTCGTTGCTTGGATTGACCCGGCTGAGAGAGAGCTCGTCAATACAATCATATACGGGACCAAACGCCTCCGAGACCTCTTTGCCGAAGCTACCAATTTTGTTGCTGAAAAGTGGCTGCTCGATCAGAACTGGGATGTTACTCAAACCTTCTGGTGGGTCTTGGGTTACGTCCAAGAGGTAAGTGAATGCCCTGCCTCTTAATAAGTTTGAGAGTTGATGACATGATTCTTTGGTCGGGAGTTCTTTCACTCCACTACTCTGAGTAGTCCAACACATACGCCAGGAACCACTAACGGCTAAAGTTGCAGAAAACCGAGAGCCATGAAAGCGCTGACGGGACGGTTCACAAGGATGTGGAGAAAAACAGGCCCTCTCTGAACGACATCTCTCAGGCTGTCAGCTGGGCCGAGTCTAAGGTCGATACACGTACGAGTAATTTGGTGTCGGCTGTGCGACTCCTTGACACCCTCATGCGGTTTGAATACTATGGAAAAGCGATTGAAGAGGCTCGGAGTCGCGATCCTAACGGCTGGACGAAGGATTGGTGCATCGCGCGGGAACACCATGTAAGCGGCAACCATTTTGCCGTGATTGAGTCTCTTGGACCCGTGATGCACAAATTCCAAGCCAACAAGAATCTTCAACATGGCCTCGGAATGCCCTGGAAAGAAATCATCTACCTCTACGCCGAGGCCCGTGAAGCTGAGGGGGATGTGCAACTTGCCTTGGATGCCTATCAAGAGCTCCTCAAGAGCTGGCCAACCCACTCCGAGACTATTGGTAGAGCTGTCCACTGCATGAGACGGCTGGCGAGGTTTTCGGAGATCATCCGGCTACTGGAGAACCATGGGGATGCAGCACGGAATAGCGGGGGATCACTTAAGATGCTATTCCTGGACCTTGCCAAATCTCCAAGCTTCCATCACGACGTCAATTTGGCTGCAGGGAAAGAAGGACGACTTGAATTGATCAAGGATGCCTACGAACATGCAGTGGAAGCTTGTCCGTCTGGATCCGAGGCCCTGTTCTACCTTCGCCACTACTACGGGCTGGCCTTGTGGTATCAGAAAGATAGGGACGGGAAGGATACCAGGAAAGCATTTGAGATCTGGGAGAAGAACATCTTCGACAAAGATATCCCCCAGGACTCATACATTCAGCGCATCACATCGTTCAAGCTAGCATCCGTATATCTCCAGCTAGCCAGGGACAATCACTTCCACCAGACTCCAGGTGGCTGCATCTACGTATCCAAGCTGGAAGCTCTTGTGCAACGAAAGAGCACAGACTTCCAGTGGACTGGCTCCGAGGAAGTCTTACTTGCCCGCGCCTATCACTTGGCCAAGCAGGGTATAAAGGACAAGGCTCTCGCGGACAAGCTGGGTAGGAATGCCAGGATGCTTGCAGCAAAGCATGTGGGCCCAGCGCTGAATATCCTGTGTGATGCTGATCCGGACAACGACTGGGAAGGATACACTTCGCTTTCCAATACGCTCGGCCATATGGACGACGACGAGAACGCGCTCGCCGCAAAGTCCCTTATTGGTCCTCTGCAGAGGGATTGGATGAATCCGGACATTGCGAACGACATTGCGGAGATCAAGTACCTCAGAGGGCGCTTGAAGTCCTCCTGCGACAATTGCGGCTACCAGTGGACGGACGTGAGCGGTATGCACATTTGCCGAGACTGCATTCGGACTATATTCTGTGCGGACTGCGTGCGCAGATTGAAGAACCCGGACGACACTATCGAGCATCGCGTTTGCGACCCGAGCCACCAATTCTTAGTGGTACCGAAGTTCAAGCCTGTCGAGCTGGACTATGTCTTGGTGGAGAATGAGTTGATAAAGACTGGAGATTGGAAAGAGAATGTCAGATCAAAATATGGGGTTTGAGCGCAGTCTCTTGGGTAGACAAGTGGTTTGCCTGCATCACACTACCTCCTCTGGACCGCTCCCATCTCTGTTCGCTTGTTTGTTCCGTCCTTCACTCCTATGTTCACATCTATTGTACGTAAAATCTATCATTTGGCTACACGTTTTTCAAAAGCAATCCCATCATTACCTGTTCGTTCATATCATATCCCCCTCGCAGTCAGAAAGTCAAAGTCCGCACCCTCATCTGCCTGATTCACGCACTTATCATACAGCGCCCTATATCCCCTCCTCACCCGCCTCGGCTTCCCCGCAGCCACCGCATCCACCTCTTCAGCTTCCGCCAGCCTTCTCTCCACCACCTTCCTCTCCTCGATCCTAGCCCTGATCTCCTCCTCACTCAGCAACACATCCAGCCTCCTCCCCTCAAGATCCACCCTGATGACATCCTCATCCCTCACAATACCCAACACGCTCTCCACCTCCTTCGCCTCGGGACTAACGTGCAGCACAACCGTCCCACCCGCAGTCCCAGACATACGCCCATCACTCACACGCACCATATCCTCGACCCCCTCCCTCGCCAGTTTCCGCGGAATGGGCAACATCCCCGCCTCCGGCATACCCGGGTGGCCCCTCGGCCCAATGTTCTGCAGCACGAGCACCGAGTCGCGCGTGACGCGCAACTCCGGGTCGTCCAGCCTCTCGGCCAGGTCCTCGGCGTCGCGAAACACGCACGCGGGGCCCGAGTGCTGCAGCAGCCGGCGGTCCTTTGACGCCGACGCCTTCATGACGGCGCCCCGCGGCGCGAGGTTGCCCGTCAGGACGACGAGCGAGGAGGCCGGGTATAGCGGGTCGGATAGCGGGCGCACGATCCGATACGATGCTTCGAAGGGGCGGAAGTTGCACGCGTCGAGCGCCTCGCCGAGCGTGCGGCCCGTAATGGTCCGCGCGTCGAGATGCAGCAGCGGCCGCAGCTGGGTCAGCAGCGCGGGCATGCCGCCCGCGTCGTGGAAGTCGGTCATGTACCCGCTGCCCGACGGCTTGAGGTCGACGAGCAGCGGCGTCGCGCGGCCGACGGCGTCGAAGTCGGCGAGGGTGATGGTGCCCGCGAGGTGCGGGTGCCGGTTGATGATGGCGAGGAGGTGGACGACGGCGTTGGTGGAGCCGCCGACGGCCTGCAGCACGGTGATGGCGTTGAGGAACGACTCGCGCGTGAGGAGGGCGGTGGGGAGGAGCGAGGCGCGGTCTTGGTGGGTGGCGGCGTGGACGGCGTTTTTTCCCGTCTCTTCGGCGACGCGCAGGCGGGCGGCGGAGACGGCGGGCGCGGTGGCGCCGGCGCGGAGGGGAATGAGGCCCAGGGCCGCGGTGATGCAGGCCATGGTGCTGGCGGTGCCCATGACGCCGCAGGTTCCGGACTGAGATTGGGGACGGTGGTGTCAGTTTTAAGTGTGCTGGCTCTGCTTTTCTTTCCAAAACATCAGAACTTCAAAGCTTCTTCCCCAGTCCGTTCGTCTCCTTCTCCTCTCATCCTATGCCCCCTCTGTAGTCCCCTCCCAAGAAAAAAGAGGCAGCAAAAAGAAAAGTGAAGTGCAACAAACCGTCGGAGCCAACTCGTCATTCACCCCCTCGATATCCTCCACGTCCATCTCCCCGGCCCTAAACCTCGCCCAACTCCCCCTACAATCCGTGCACGCCCCCACCCTCACCCCGCGATAGCTGCCGGGCATCATCGGCCCCGTCACGAGCGGCAGCGCGGGGCACACTTCCCCGGCCGCCACGGCCCCCATCAGCTGCGCCGGCACCGTCTTGTCGCAGCCGCCCACGAGCACCACGGCGTCGACCGGCTGCGCGCGCACCATCTCCTCGGTATCCACGCTCATCAGGTTGCGCAGGAACATGGACGACGAGGGGCCCGCGAACGACTCGTGCAGCGAGATCGTCGGGAACTCGACCGGCAGCCCGCCCGCCAGCAGCACCCCGCGCCGCAGCGCGTCGACGAGCGCGGGCGAGTTGGCGTGGCACGGGTTGAAGCCCGACGCCGTGGTGGCGATGCCGATGATGGGGCGGGCGAGGGCCGAGGAGGAGAGCCCCGCGGCTTTGATGAAGGCTTTGCGGAGGAAGAGCGAGAAGTGCGCGTCGCCGTAGCTGGTGAGGCCTTGGCGGAGGCCGCGGGCGGAGGCGGTGGCGAGGGGCCGGGAGAGGTCGTAGTCTGCGTGGTAGTCGTGGTCCTCCTTCGAGTGGGGTGGTTCGGACGGGTTGGACATGATGATGATGATGATGATGATGATGATGATGTTGTTGTTGTTGTTGTCTGCTTGTGGTGTTTCTTTTTTTCTTTTCTCCTCTCCCTTCTCTTTCTTTTGGAATTGGCGGTTGAGCTTTCTCCGTTTTCTTCTTCTTTGGTGGTGGGAAACGTGTAACTTGCTGAAGGCACGCGGCCCGGGGCCGATTCAATTCACAAAGAGCCAAGGTATGGCGCGATTGCGGGGCAGGGATTGCTTAAGTAGATCCTTTTTCCGCTCAGCTTTTCCGCCGGCATGCCTCACCCACCCCGCATCTAGAGTGGGGCGGTATTATATCGCGTTACCCGTGAGTGGATGAGCGCCGGTTATCCTTATCGATGACATACAAAGACATTGCTTGCGCTCCTTCATCAGTGACATACCAAGACACTACTTCTGCTCCCGTCCCTCACGCGGCGGATACTCCCGCGTCTTTTCCCCGGCTTCTCCGCCACCACCTCCTCTTGCCTCCTCCTCTACCTCTAGCTCCACCTCCACCTCCACCTCCGCCTCCGCCTCCGCCTCCGCTTCAGCTTCAGCTTCCGCCGCCATCTGCAGCGCCGCCTTCTCGTCAGCTGTCAAGTCGCTCGACGCCGCCTCGAGCTTGACGAAACCGACCATCAGCACCAGCGCGACGGCCGCCATGCCGACCTCGAACCAGAAGACGGCCTTGTAGCTCCGGGCCAGCCCCAGGTGCTCCGTGTTCGCCGCCGCCACGTCCGCGAAGCCGAGGAAGATGGCGATGCTGAGCTGGACGAGCGTGTTGATGAGGGCGCCGGCGAGGCCTTGGCGCTTCAGGGGGAGGCTGGTGGTGAACTGCAGTTACGTGTGAAGTGTTGTTCGTCGTTAGTCGTCGTGTTGCTGCCGTAGGGGGGAAATGGCTTTCATGGAAAAAGTAAGAGAGGGGGGGAAGAGCAAACTTACGAAAACGTTGGTCACGGTGAATGTGAGATCGATGGCGATGGTTGCGCAGATCATGCTGGGGAACGTGTAGGCCCAGTAGTTGGCGCCCACGGGTGCGATTGCGAAAAGCAGGGGGGAAATGATCCAGGCGAGGCCGGCTAGGATGATGATGCCGGTGCCTGGGATCCGATGGAGGACCAGCCCGCCGACGGTCGAGATGATGCATCCTCCGAGGGCCATGGGCGTGAACCAAGCTACGAGTTGGAGCGGTTCGCCTCCCATGATATTGGTCATGTAGAACGTGGTGTAAAGCAGGAAGACGCCCAGACTTCCGTACGAGAAGAGCAGTGCGATGCAGAGCGGCTTCATGTACTTGACATGGAAGATGTCGAATGGAAGGAGCGGCTGCTCTGCGACCCAGCCTTCAATGTAGACGGCCACGGCCAGGAGCAGCACGCCGACGATGAGGAGAGCGTAGATCCGTGGGGTACCCCAGCCGTGAGGAGCGTTGGAGCTATCGGTGATGGCGTATACGACAAGGACGAGGCCGACGGATATCAAGACGGCCCCCCACCAATCCATTTTCACACCCATACCCTTACGCTCCTCTCTGTCAGACGGAATAGCGAAGTAGGCGACGACACCGGTGCTGAGGGAGATGATGGTTCCTACGAAGAAGTACCATCGCCATGTGGTCAACTGAGCGGCGATTCCGGCGAAGAATATTCCAAGGTAGAAGCCTAGCGGGGCCATTGCGCCGTAGATGGCAAAGACCAGGTTCTTCCGCGGTCCAGGGCGGTAACAGCTTCCGAGGAGCATGAGGCCAGTGGGGAGGTACGCAGCGGGACCTAGCCCACCCAAGGCGCGGCAGAAGTCCATCATGAGCTCGTTCTGGGACCAGCCAGCTATGAACGACCAGATGGTGAACCAGACGATACCACATATATAGACGGGGTAGCCACCATACATGTCCTTGCAGTAATGCGTCAGCACCCTTCAAAAGGTCGGAGAGGAGAGGACTTACGCCCAGGCGGCCGAATGTAAGCAGGAAGCAAGCAACGACGAGTGAAAAGGCGTTGGCGGGCCAGGTTTTGGAGGTGGAGGGAATATTCAGCTCTTCTACAACCGTAGGTAGGATCACGTCGAAGCCAGACACAAAGTATTCCTGAGGCATATCAGCAGCTGAGCGGCAGACGTTGTCGGAGTGCTACCGACCGTGAGGGCCTGTGACATGACTACCGAGTAGACGAATCCGATCTCTGACCAAAGGGAAGGTAGCTTCTCCGGCCTTTGTCTGCCCAAGCGATCCAGACGAGCCTTGTCGGATTCGCCCTCAAGGGCGGAGGGCGTTGTATCGTGGGCGGCATTTGACTCGGACGCTAGAAGCCTTTCTCACATGTCAGTAATGAACAAGGGAAGGATGTGTTGGTGATGGCGCAACCTACGTGGGAGTGCCAGGCTGGACACTTGTAGCAGCCATATCCGTCACCAGGGCCAGGTCAACACCACGATTGGGAAAGATAGCGAGGACAAGCAGATCAGCGGGTTGTATTATTGGAAAGAAGTTGTTTGTACATGAAGCAGAAGATTAAAAATCACGTAACGAGTGGGACGCAGAATGACGACCGCTAGACCCAGCGGGGGCGGTGTACAGAGCGAAGTCAGTAACATGACGACCTGGCGGGATGACTGGTACCCCGCTTAGCGTATCGGTCGTCATCCAAGGGCGCGTGTGCAGAGCAGAAGGAAGGCGACAGCGAGCCCAAGGCGAGACGCTCCCGCGTCTCGGCGTCCGCGGAATCCGCCGTCGGAAACTCGGCAGCGCGCAGCCGTGTGCTTTCTGCAGTCACCTAGGCACGTCAGATTAGCGCATGGGCACGTTTTGGACGCAGCTGTCGGTGGTGGTGGTGTTTGGCGAGGCAGGCAGTGGCAGCGTGGCAGCGTCCATGAGTCGGGCCCGTCGAGAGCGGCGGAACAACGGCGGCACAGCGCCGGGGCGCCCGCTTACCAAGCACGACTAGCGCCGAAATAATTTCTCCTACAAAAGGCTCGCATTCCCTGGAACCCTCTTCTCCCCGACATCATCAGTCAGGTAAAAAATTTACCTATCGAGGCTTCGCTACGGCGACTTGCTGAGTGTCAGTCCTTTCTCTGTGACTTTCGTTCCGTTCCCGGCCTCGTTGAGCGACGCGTCCGTCTTTCCTACCAATCGCGTTATGTCTGTTCACTAGACCGTGGTTGTGGGATGGCCGCTACATCGCTGAACTCGAAATGAAGAGTTTTTCATGCGACGCTTCTTGCAGTCGCATCTTTTTTCGGTTCCACCCGCCCTGCATGACATGGCCTGCAGGCTGAAGCCCGACTTTGCAACTTGCTTGATCACGATGCCGCAATCTGCTCGACTTCGTTTGATTGTAGGTACCGCGCGCAATAGTGGCTTGGCCATGCTATGACTTCACGTGCCGTCAAAATACCTGTCGACACGCGGAAGCAGCAAAATCATCGGTGCATAACTTCACGAAACACATGGAAATTTGATCATCGCGCACATATCCATTGTCTGTCTGGTATGAAGTACGCAGTCATCGTGTCGACTACGCTACGCAAAGCCCAACGGATTGCACACTCTGCCAATGCAGTACTCTAGTAGAGGCGCTTGGGAGGAGACATGGTAGCCTTGATGGTAAGGCTACCAACGTTCTGCCAGCCCTTCTTCAGCAGGGAGACGAGGTAGTTGATGGCAAGCATGATGTTGCCAATCAGCTCATCCTCGGTCATATCGACGTTGCCGACAGCGACACCCATGCAGAGCACCTTCTTCAGCTGGAACTTGATGGTGGACTTGACCTCGGTGATCTTGTCACCCAGGTTCTCAGCGTGCGAGACGGGCGTGGGGAACTTGCCGGCTGTGCACTGTGTCAGCCCATGTCCTTGCCTTCTGCCGAGTTCGACCTGTCTTACCCTTGGAGAGACCGGGACCTAGGAGACGGGGAATCTGCTTGATCAAGGTGTCGGAAGCGATGAAAGCATCGTACTTGCGAGCGAGCTTCTTGATCAGCTTCTTGTTCTTGTTGAGCTTCTTCAGGTCGTCGGCGCTCATGGCGTCAACACCACCGTGCTTGGCACGATCGATATCGTGCTGGTCACCGAGAATGCTAATCCACAGTCAGCGCTGCTCTTTTTCTTTTCTCTCCACGTTGTCCCCGCATGGCCGTAGCACATTGAGTATTGTCGCTTCGAGATCGTCGCGAGGGAAGTCGTACCAGATGGCCATGTTGGGGCGCGGGACCTTGGGGAGCTTGACGGTGCCCGAGAAACGCTTGTCACGCTGGGGGTCATCTGTGGCGGGTTAGCCCATGGCTTCTGGAGCGTGATGGACAGGGACGTACAGTTCTTGAGACCAATCTGGAGCTCGACGGTCTCCAGGAAGTTCCTCTTCTTGGTCTCGTTGGAGTACTCAAGGAGCTGCTGCACGTTGGTGCGCTGCGAGTAGTCTCAGTAATTGCGGTTCGTTGCGTTGCGCTGGCTCAGGGAATGGCGTAGCGCTGAGCGGGAACGAGGCTGCTTACCACGCCGGCGACGGTGATCTTAGACATGATGAATGACCGTCTTCCAAGAAACCTGTGGGGGTCTTTTGGTGAGGACTAGGCGCAGGTGTCGTGGTTGGAGGCGGAAAAGTTCGCCGCGCGCACTGAAGTCGCCCGCCCGAGTGTGGGCGCCCACAGTAAGCGAGCGCTTACCGAATCCGGGCTAGCTCGGATACCGGGATGCCGCCATCTCGTGCTCATTCCATCTTCCATCACTCACTCTACCATCACTGCAAAGCATCACGGTTGTCGACGGAACCACGCGACTTGCAGTCCTTGCGGTCCTTGCACTCGTCAATGCCGCTCGTACTCCAGCATCAGAGCGGATTCTTGCCGGCGCCGTCCACCGGATCCGCTTTCGAATACGCCCTCTCCAACGACCTTGAACCCGCATTTCTCGAAGGCGCGTTTTGCGGGTTCGTTTTTGCCCACACGATGACAGTGTACTTGGCGCGCACGGCGCCGCTCGGCGTGCTGCCAGCGATTGCATGTTCGATGAGCTTTCGAGCTATTCCTTGACCGCGCGCGGCTGGCATGACGAACATGGCGTTGAAGTGATAATGCACCTCGTCGTCTCTCAAAGCCGTCCATGGGGAGGCGTTCGCTGACAGCTTTGCCCGGTCCTCCTGGTACATCCTGAACAGCACAAGCTGCCCGAGCCAATCATGCTGCAGGAGCTGGGGAAACTCGACAGGATTCTGAGCGGTGCCTGGATCGCGCGAGACGGCGACGAAGGTTGTGGCTTGCGGATTGGTGAGACGGCTCTCCCAAGTGTCCCAGGTGACGTCCAGCTCCCGTTCGTAAGTCGAGCCAAAGGCTTCTGGAGCCGAGCTAAGAGAGAAAAGCCGGAAGTTTTTCTGGCGGCTGACGAGATGGTCCCAAGCGGGCTTGTCAAAGTAGCGCTTGGGCAGCGTAGCTACAACGACGGCGGTGAGAGCCATCGGGTACCGACACCTTGCCTGGACAGCTGCTGGAGACCACGACCGAAGGCGCAGGCGCGGACAAGCGGATGACGGGTCTGACGTAAATGTAAACAAAGCCTCAGCAGCGAGTGTGGTTGGGTTGTGGGATTGTGTGGAGGGGCAGGTTTGATGGAGGCTGATTACGCGACGCGCTGCGTGTGACCGCGGCTGAGGCGTGACCCCGGCGCATGTCTGCACCGTCACAAGGCTGCCGCTTCAAGCTACTGCCTGTCGCAACACCCGTTAAAACTAACTTGCGTGCTTTCCGTGCTGCACCTCCACACTCTCCCCGCTTGGCGTTGTGAGCATGGCCGAGAACTGCAACCACCTGCAACTCCCGGGCGTTGCTCCCCAGCGCCATGTGCCAGCCTTCTACCGCAGCCTCGACAACGAAGAGCTCTTGCACAAGATCAGAGACCTGGACGATCCGACCGATTTCCAGCGCCTTCAAGCCCAGGTCCTGCTGCCCACGAGCCGCAACTTCTTCGTCGACTTCGGCGATGACGGTGCCTGGTGTGCTTTCGATCTCAGCGACGATGCCTTGAAGGCGCTGGTGAGCAAGCCCCGGCCCTCGGCCCTTTATGGCAGATGGATCAACATCTGGATGCCTTACCGGCAGAAAGACGCCATCAAGGTGAGTTCCCTCCAAGCTCGCCTCGTGTCCCCTCGTGTCCCCTCGTGTCCCCTCGCAGCTCACGTGCTGTCCAGACCCTTGCCAAACAATACGACTTCTCGCCCCGCCTCTTTGGTATCATGAAATCAGATCCTTTCCCCAATGCCTCTAGACATCCGGATTCAAAGCACAGCTCGTCCCTGTGGGAACGCAAGTTCCGTCATCCGGTGCAGCGCTCTCGGAATTCGCCACACAGCGCCGCCAACAGCTTTACCTCGGGAACCGACCCGGAAGGCCATTCGCGCTCCCACATATCCGATGGTACCTTTGATGAAGACCTGTCCGAAATGATCAGTCACTACCGCCTTGTCGATGAAGTATGGCATTGGTCCACTGTTGACGAAGGACGCCGCTACGTGAGCTTGGGCTACAACACCCTGCACAGCACGACCGGAAGCAAAGACGCATCAAAACCCCTCGAGCCAAAGCCCATAGATCCGGAACGTGGCGATCTTCCCGAAGGAAAACGTGTATGGAATTGGCTGGTGCTGTGCGAAGACAAGACTGTCATCAACATCCACGAAGATCCCTACCCTCAAAAGCACGGCTTCTACGACCACGAGGAGCTTGCCACGCTGTACTCAATCCGCCGCAACCTCCTCAACGTCTTCCGCAACCTTTCCAAATGCTTTGATATTAGCCGTGTCGCCGCCATTGCCGTGCTGCCCATCCGGCGCCGTATCGGCGACAGCGAGGAAGAACGCGCCCACCGGCCGAGCGATGCGCCAGGCCTCCTTTTCTACAACTTATTCGATGATTGGTACTCGACGTACAGCCTGGTGGCGCGGCGCGAGCACAAGTATGCCGCCGCGCTGGACCGGCTGCGCGCCGACATGATGCAGAAGGCAGAGCTGGTGCATGTCGAGCACCTGCACCGCATCGGTCGTCAGCTGTCGGTGCTGAAGCGCATGTACCAGAGCTACGAGGTCATCATCGACCGCGTGCTCGAGAAGCAGGAGAGTACCCTGGCCAGCCTGAAGAACTCGCACATCCTCTCGCCCATGAACGACGACAGCATGGTTGATGACGGATCCTACTGCGCCAGCAGCAATGTGCACCAGATAGGCGAGGATGTGAGCATGCTGGGTGTGGCCCTGAGCTCGGCTGCGAGAGCGAGGTTCAAGCGGCTGAAGTACCGGACCAGGCTGTATGCAATCAGCGAGATTGAGGAGTGCCTCAGCCAGAAAGAAAGCCTAGTCATGATGGTTCGTCTCCCCACACTTTCTGCCCCGTTCTCATCGAAACTTCCAACTCACGCACAAAATGAAAATGAAAATAAAAATAGAACTTCAACCTTATCGCCATCAAAGAGTCGCTCTCGGTCGAGCGGCTGACGCGGGTGACGCTGCTGCTCTCCAAGGCGACGCTCCTCTTCATGCCCGTCTCCATCATGGCGGCCTACTTCTCCTGCCAGTTCGCCAACACGGAGTTCACCGTCGCCCAGTTCTGGACCTGGTTCGGCATCGTGGTCGGCGTCAGCATCGTCTGCATCTTCATGTTCAGCGTCGTGTCGGGCACCATGGAAGGCAAGATGCTGTATCGCAGCTTCACTCGCGCCGTCATGGATTTCACGCGGGCGTGGTGGGGTAGGAGGAAGCACGCAAAGGCGAGCAGGGGGAATGGCGCGAATGGTGGGGGTGGCGGGGAAGGAGGGGGGAGCGGGATAGGGTCCGAGGAGGAGATGAAGGCGCTTTGATGGAGAGATGTCGTCGCTTATGGGACGCGATGGTAGGTGGGATTTTGGTGGCGTTTTGGCTCACGACTCATGATGACACGACACGAAAGATAAAAAAGGGATGATGGATGAGGTCGGTAATCTGCACATTGGCCTTCTCAAACACCGGACAGATGGTTCCGGGTTTCTGGGTCACCGTCCTCTTGATTAATATGCGGAACCGCTTTTACGCACTTTGTTCGACAGCGGTTCTTGCTCTCATGACAGCCATGGCATAGCCTAGCATAGTAGCATTTGGGTTGACACGAAGCCAATGATTAAAGCGTAGCCTTGTTTCACGATATGAGAGGAAGAAAGAGTGGGTAGCATTCATTATTGTCATTCTCATAGCAACAGCCAAGAGACGTCGGCGGGTTCCGCATCACATGGTCCGTGGAAGAACAACGAAAAAGGAAGGAAGGCGACAGGCGGAAAAACCAAACGAGGCAGGAGAGCTCCCGCACAGCAGCCGAAGTTTGCTCAAACATGTACTACCGTACCTCTATACGCGCGTATGTATCATGGCCTAACCGAGCTTCGGGAAGGGCGGGCGGTCAGACCAACCGGGACCTTAAAACACGAGCTCGGGAGGGGCGCACGCGGGCAGGGCGAAAATCCCACCCGATAGACACGCATACACGAACGAGCGCACCCGACGGCGCGGGACGTGGGACCCGCGAGCAAACAGGACCGCAAAAGAGCAGGGCAACCGCAATCCACAATTCTTCCGTCCCACAGCCGTCCCTCGCGGCGAGCGGACGGAGAAAATGTCGGGTCGCCGTCCGCTGCGTTCGAAGATGTGCGAAGCGGTTACGTGGAGGCTCCCTTTCCAGCTCCATCGGCCCCCCAGGGGTCCAATCAACACGCGACGCTGGCGGCCGAGACGCTGCGAGCAGGCGGCGCGGATGCATCCCCGTCCAATCACCCGGCTGCGAGACGCAGACCATCATGACTTGCCCGATTCTACCGTTCCCCTTCTCCGTTGCCCGCCTCGTCGTCGGAGAGCTGTGGAGACATGGAAGTCGTCGTGAAAGGTGGAAAATCAAACGGCGGCGGTCATGGCGGACGCGGCGGACGGGGCGGAAGAATACTGACCATCTTTCTGCGACACGTCATTTGAAACCTGTGGCTGACTAGCCACGAGTGGTGGGTACGTCACTGCTATTCGACGGTTTGCTTGGAAGATGGGGAAAAGAAAGTTTGCTTGTCACGTCTTCTCTACAAGACGCTCAATGACTCGGCATATCGATCGTAGCTTCCCAGATCGAACGCCTGATCCCCAACTCCTCCCCACTGGAACAATGAAAGAGCCAAAGTCGTTGGCCATGATGATGGTATGAACGAAAAAGTGGGATTTTTGGATGATATAACGCTTGGAAAAAAAAAAGACCAGGAGAATTAGACAATTAGCTACTTGGCGTGCGCGTGGTTGTTAAATGACGACGACAACGTGGTGATAGAGATTCATGTCAACATTGTCACCGTTCCCACTTTCCTCCATCTTCATTCCTCGCTTCCTAGCTCCCTCCGTTCTGCGTGAGAAAGAAGACGAACAGTCAAGAAAACTCCCTCCTCCCCCTCTGTCGCTCCTCCTCAAGGCCCCTCGGCTCCCCTCTTCAGAACGCTCTCAGAACAAAATCCAAAACGACAACAACAATGTCCACGGAGCAATAGCCGACGTAGTGTAGCCCTTCAGATGGTTGGCGTGCAATTGCTACATACTCGTCGGTGCTGTGGTTTTTTCGCAAGCTGGCTCGTGAAGAAAATCACGAACATGACAACAGGCGCAAGAACAGTGGAGGGTATCTGTAACGACTGCGAGGCGCCATCAAGACAAACACATGGCACCTCTGAGACAGCTATCAAAGTACGAAACGCGAGACGGAAATAGGAAATGGCGGCAAGGCCCAAATATCGACAAGAAATGCATAGCTGCTGCTCGTGCTTCGGCTGCTGCTGCTTCCACAACAGTGGCAGTTGGGTATTGAGATGCTGCGCTAGGCGACATGAAAAGAAGTGAACGAGAAGGAACGCCCGCTGGTCGGTGTGGGCGCCGCCGGCTGGGCTGTTGCGTCCGAATCTCAGCCTCTGAGCCGGGGTGGAATGGTCCGGCTGTTGCGACAAGAGGAGGGAAGAGATGGACAGCGCGATGAGTAGTATGGTTTTATGTTTTTGTTTTTGTTTGGTGTGTTTAGAACTTCAACCAACTCATGTCTTGGGCGCCGATGGCTTTCTGTCTGTCTTCGTCTGTGGGGACCGTGGATGGAACTCCCCTCGGGAAAACCGTCAGTGTGCTCTCACGGCCAGCGGCAGGCGAAGGCATCTTGGCAGTGTCAGGATGCAAGCTGGGCGGATACAACGAGTTGGTACCGTCCCTAGGATAGTACGAGCTCGTACCATCGGCGGGATAGTAGGAGCTGGTACCGTCGTTGAACGGCACTTCACTCTGTGGCCGACTGTCGGGGTAGAGACTGCTGGGTGCCCTGTTGTTCCACCCGCTGCCTTCAATGGGCGTCCAGGTTTGTTGCCCTTCTGCCTGAGACATTCTCTTCGACTCGAAGCTGGAGATTGTGCTGACACTGCCCGCACGTGCCAGCTCGGCACGCATGGGCGTACCCACACCCATGCCGCGACTAGACAGATCCTCGCGGGAGTTGCCGATGGTTGGGCTTCCAGTCATGATCTGGCTGACCTTGTTACCATCGAACTGGTGGTTGGCGAAGCTGACGTCCAGAGGCGGCAGCACCGAGTGGGGGTTGCTGAACTTGGGAGGCTGGCTCAGGTAGCGCGAATTGGTGTCGTACTCTGACTGACTCAAGTCGCTAAGTCGAGACGACCGATCGTAAGGCTCGTTGGCCAGGTTGGTAGCCTCGTTGTTAGCGAAATAGCGACTCCATCCTGAGCTCCGGCTCCGATCTGGCTTCTCGTCGGCAATAGCCGCAGGCGGAGGCTCGACCATGGGGTTCGCGACGCTGTACGGAGGCGCAGCTCCAATGGGCGACATTTCGTGTGATTCGCTGTAGCCAAACGGAGTCTTTTTCGTCACTAGACCAGCCGTGCTGGCGTCGCTTGGCAAGCCACGGGTGTGCGTTTTCGGCCCCTTTGCGCCGTTGCCAAACTTGCCAGAGATGATGGCCAAGGACGTTTGAGATGCGTTGTTGTCCTGCATGTAAGGTGGTGCCGCTGGTGGTGGTGGTGGGTACGCGCCAAATTGGCTGACGCCCCTGTCCGCAAAGCTAAGTCGATCCTTCTCTCCGCCCTTCTCTCCGCCGCCACCCTTCTGCTGCTTCTTCCTGCAGCGGAGAATGAGCAGAATGATGACAAGGATGGCTGCGAGTCCAAAGATGGTTCCGAGGGTGGCTCCCAACACAGTCATCATGCGCTGTTTGTGATCGCCGTCTGAGCTGGACGACGATGCGGCTGAGGTTGCGGATCCCGCTGCAGAGGAAATCCCAGAAGCAGTTGCAGAAGCAATGGCGGACGCGACGGTGGAGGATGCAGCAGCGAGCGAGGACGATGTTGCCGAAGAGTGAGATGAAGAATGGGACGAAGAAGAGCTTGAGTGGATCTTGGTAGGCTCCTGGCTGCCGTAGAACAATTCGGTCGAATTCATCCAGGTGTTCTCCCGCTCGTCAAAGATAGCGATAGGATCGTCATCGTTGCCGCCGCTGATAATCGCCCGACCTTTGGAGTCCTGGGCAATAGAAGCGCCAGAACGGACAGTGTCGGGCGCAAGAGAGCTGTTGTATGAAGGCCAATCGCTCAGAGATAGATCCCTCTTCCGCTTTGCGCCAACGGCCTGTCCGGTTTGCACCTCGGCTCCGTCAGCCCCCAGCAGAGCAAGCCTCGTGACCTCGTTGGGGGAGGCACCAAGGTTGTACTGTTCGAGCACCTTGCTGCCGTCATCACCATCGACCAAAGTGCATTTGGTAGTGGTCTGGTCAGCGATAGCCGTGGGAAGCTGTACGTTGAGGTTTTCCCAGCCGTTTTCGACACTGAACTTGAAGATTTGAGTCTGTGCTGCACCACCTCCGAGCATAAGCGCGTGGCTGTCGTCCCAAGGGAGCAAGATGGGAGAATTGACATTGGGTGCGCCTCCAGAAGGGTAAGACTGAATGCTGTAGGGTTCGGCCGTGTTGATGGTGTACGTTCCGGACGATGTTCCCGTGTCTCCGGTCGCCGTGGTACCGGCATAGACGAGGATCTGGGACGAGGCTTCCAGGTAGGCAGCGCCGTGGTTCACTCTGTTGGCTAGGATGGTGTCGGTGGGTGTGAGCCATTCCCAGTTCTTGGCGGCGAAGTCGTACTTCATGAGGCCTGGGTAGTTCTCGCTGGCATCAACGGTCCCTCCAACAACGTACAGGGCGCCTCCGCCGTATACACACTGTGCGCCCGTGGCCGAGACATTATACTTCAGCGTCTTCCATTCGGCGTCCTCCTCCAGAGATATGGATTGGAAGGCATCCGGCGAGTAGGCGTAGAGGGTGTTCTCGTGAACGACGGAGCAATGGTTTTGGAGAGCCTTATCAGGCTTGGGCGTCGTCATGGTAACAACAGAGCGAGTGTTAGGTTATAAGCAATGAATGAATGTGGTAGCGGAGCTTGAGGTGATTGGTGGGTGAGAAGAGAGCGGCGCGGTGAGATACTCGAGACGTCCAAGGCGCGAGAGAATCCCTAGTATGCGACTTGCGCAACCATGGTGCGGCGGTCCAGACTGGTGATAGAGAGGGTCCTTCCGGCGGGATGGGCAGCGACTGGAGCGCGCGGTTCCTTTTCCTCCCAACGACAACGAAGAGCCAGCCTCACACACAGTACACACCTGATCCACAACCTGGTTCCTCGGCAGTCCCGGCGAAACTGGGATCAGTTGGAAACGTCGCGCGTTTGCTGGGTACCGTTTGCGTTTGGATCCCGTCCACAGGCGGCGGTAAGGGGAGGGTCGGCACGACGGCAGGCCGGTAGCACGAGGGGGTTGTGTATAGCGACGGGGCGCGAGCAAGAGGCCAGCCTGGGGTGAGACAGTCGGGTAGCGGTTCGGACGGAATGGGACCAGAAAGGCGCCGGGGGGTGCAGGTAGGGAACGCTGGGTCGGCTCGGGCGGGGTGTTAGAGAACGAAACACGGGCAAGCCTGCGCGGGATGCGGACTCTGTCAAAGAGCGTGGGGGAGCTACACGGCTCGCGTTGGAGAGAAAGAGTGTGAGTTTGGGGCTTGACTGCGTCGTCGACGGGTCGGTCGTCGGGAGCGGGAGAGAAGCGCGGCGAGGAGGCAGCGCGCAGGCGGCTCGCGTCTGGCAGGCAGATATCGTGCGATGCGCCGCCCGGGCGGCGTGACAGTGCGGTGCGCAAGCTGGGGACAGGCCGCACGCACGCACGCACGCACGCACGCACGCGCGCACGCTCGTAAGAGACAGGGGACGTGTGGTCTTCAGAGGTGAGGGCGAAGGGCAGCGGCCGGCCTGAGCGCACGGCGCCTTCGGGCGCGCCCAGGGTGCAGACAACACGCCCCACTGCGCGGTGCGCTTTGAAACTACCGGCTGGAGGTGCTCATGCGCAGCCGTGAATGGGCGTCGCTGCGCCGTGCCAGAGCCAGTACCGCGCAGCAGCGCGGCGGCAGCGACACAGCGCGGCGGCGAGGTTGCAATTTCCCATTCCCGGCGCGGGCGCCGTCCAGATCGCCGCGGCGGGCGGCGCGCGACGGCGCATTGGGAAGCGTACCCGCGGGCTCGCGCGCCCGTCTCGTCGACGGCGGGCTCGCGTCTGATGGCCGGGTACAGTTCATGCGCCGGCTCTGCCGATGACGAAAAAGACGGCCGTCGCTACGGCCTCCTACGGCCGCCGCTGCTGCAGCTGCATCGTCGCTTCCGGGCCTCAGGGGCGCCTGCACAGGCTAGCGCGGCGCCTGAAACAAGCCCGCCCTGCTTGGCAGGCACGGCTCGCGGATCTGTGCCGAGTGGGCCACGCCTGCCCGCCGTGATTCGCCTGCCCGCCAGACACCACAGCACCACCACCAAGCCGCCGCCTCTCCAGCATAAGAAACGCCTATACCACGCCTGCTATCTCGCACCGCTGCTTGCGCGCCCGCCAGACGGCCACGCCGTCGCCCGCGGCGCCCCAAGCCCGGAGCGCTGCCCATCCGCGCCGATCGCCGGTGTGCAACCGCCGCCCGCCGCCGTCACATCGCCTTCGAAGCGCGCGGCCTGCCGAGACACCAAGCTCGTCACCTCCACCCGCCCTCGCAGCCGTCCGACTGGCTGGTCCCCGCTGGTCACGCCCGGTGAAAGAGAGAGCTGGTCAGAGCTGGCTGCGATCTGGCATGCCTCTCATTCCTAGCGCGTCTCCGCCATGACACGCAGTTCAATCTCCCTGTCCACCACCACTGTTCCAGGGTCCACCCCGCTGCCTCGCCCTCGCAGCCTTCCAGAAATAATAATAATGCCTCGCCATCCTTTGTTCGTGCCAATGACATCAGCACGACCAGCATTGGCACGCTGCGCAGATGCTCGAGGGGCCAAATTCCGATCGACTCTCGTCCAATTTACCACGCCCGGTACCTGGCCAACCAGCCTCACCCGCTCACTTTCCCACGCTCCGCCCTGCCGCCTGCCCGATGGCGGCACAGATTGGCCTCTGCCAACAAGTTCAGAAATTGCTTCCCCAGTTTTTGGCGCTTTTGGGGTCCGGCTATTTCTGCACGTGCTCTCATTTCGCAGGGAAACGTTACCAGCTCCTAAATCAACCCCCATGGTCTTCCGCCACCCGGGCACCTGGAGAGATGACTCCGCTTATTGGCTGGGCCAGGACCGCTCCCAGGGACCCCGTTGCCTCGTGGTCCGCGTCCCGTGCTGCCTATGAGGCGACCATCTTTGTTTCCAGAAGGACGTAATTTGCAGATCAGGATTGTCCGAGGATATCGCGATGCTTGGCTCGAAATTGCGCAGGTCCCCTGGGCTCAATGCGTGCCAGTCAGGAATGCACCTCTCCGCTAGAAGACGATCCCCGATAGCAGCATTCAATTTAGAAGCACTAACGCTGCGAGTGACGCAAGAACACCTGCTCTTCGGACTGACCATGACGGCGTTGATGCTGCATGGTGCGTCTGCGTCGCCATCGACACAATCGACGATGAATGAGTACATGTCCGTGGGTGACGCTTCACCATGCGCGTCGGGACTATCATTTCCTCTTTCAGCTGCTTTAGAAGCTTTCTCAAGCGGCGCCACAGGGTAGGCTAGAGGTAAGGTTTTCCTTGTCTAGTAACCAGCTCTCCACTCCTCGAAATCCTTTTCCGGTCCCCCACGCTCCCTGAGTTCTCTTGGCTTGCACTAGTCCGCCACTTCCGGGGCTCCACAGGGTGTTGGCCCGCCAAAGCTTACCCGCCAGGGACCATCAAAGAGTAGTGCTCTTGAGCATCACGTGAATCGCTAACATCCCGTGGACAGAAACCTGCACTGTCCAGCAAATTCGATCGAGTCTGCACATCGATATCGATTGCCGGATTGGACAGGCTGAGCTCTGATATGGTCGACAGTACGTCATAACCCAGTCTCGCCGGTCCAGGTTCTGTGACTACTGATTCCTTGGTAATTCACGGGCGGTACAATCGCAAAGACCAGATAGGTGATGGTTTAGATGATTCAAAGAAACTCAAGCTTTGGAGTCCAAGTATGCACCACTGCGGAGAAGCTTCCCACAGAAATGGTTTCGTTGCGATTAGCTTATCTTACTCTAATCTCCTATCAGAGACTCAGATCTGACGCAGGCTCCGTCGAGTATAAAGTGTAAAACCAAGCTGCATCCATAGCCCATAGAAAAGTTCAACAAAGCCTCGTCACAACGTACACAGTCCAGACACCGGCAACATGCGGAGAGGAACACTTACTCCTCGCCGGTGACACCTCTGTCAATCTATCCTGAGCCCGCTCACTATGGCGCAGTGACCTTTGGATGCACTTGTGCACACCGGCTCTTTTTAGCCGGAATCGCAACCATCAGTGTCACGAAATATATTGAAATATCGTGAACCCGGAATGGACCGTTTTGTGGAGTCACCACATACAACAACGAACGACCTCGGAACCTCCAGGTTCAGACCAGTAGAAGGCAAGGTGAAGCGACTCTCAAGTCGTCATATCCACGGACCTGGGAAATCAAGCTCAACCCGCCTGACCATCTCGCGATTGCGGTGTGCACAGAGGGCAAGGTAAGACGAATATGATCTCCTTCATAAGAAACCACAGACCACGTTGCGTTCCTGGCATCTTATTGCGGCACAGCACACCCTTCGGAAATGATTCTTCCCCTAAAAAAAAGATAATGAGCGGACCGACCGTCCGCGGTGCCTTGGCAACATGGCCTTGGCGTCATGCGATAGGCTGAAGATGTCCAACACCAGCTACTACTACGTGGCTTTCCAATTTTAACGCTTAAAGAGAGGAAGAAAAAAAAAAGCACAGTCGCCAAATACTTTCTCCCTTTTCTCCAGGCAGATAACGGCAAGGGGCGGGGGGCGGGAGGGGCGGGAGGGGCTCGAGTGACAAGGAATAGGGTGGGAGGGAGATAGTGCCGAGCTCCGTCCACGGCATGATGTGCGCATGGAGTGTGGTGGTATTCACGGTTGGAGGGAGGGGGAAACTTGCGCATTGGAAGGTAACCTTTTTTTTTTTGGCCTTGTGGAGAGGATCTGTGCATTTTAACGTGGTTGTGGCGGTCGATGCGGTCATGGTCAGGTGGAAGGGTTGGTTGATATTGGTTGGTGGATGTATAGTCAGCATAGCAGAGAGGGCCAGAAGTTGTGACCGCTCGGCCGTCGTCCCCACCGAGTTGCAAATGCTATATGCGAATCATCTTGTCGTTGTTGCTCTTTACCTTTTTTTTTTCCGTTCTCTCCCTCTTCATCGACAGCCTTGGCTGGTGGCGACACGGAGATCGGTGCGCTGTGGCGGTGGCGGGAGGGAGATCGGTTCGGGTTTGCCGAAGGAGATGTGGATGTGGTGGGTGTGGTGGCGGGCTCTAGGTCGTTTCGAGCTGTGGTGAACCCCTTTTTTTCGTTTGGTGGGTTTTCTTCCCCCTGTTCACTTCTCTCTCTCTCTCGGTTGCCTCCTCAACCAACATCCCGGCTCACAGTAGTAGTACTGGGTGGGCGTGGCTTGTTGTGGTTTTTGCTATGTTCAATGGTGGCGCGCGCAAAAAAAGAGGCTTTATCGTGCATTTGCGGCTGAAACGGAAAGGCCGCAACCGAACTCGTTCCTCTCGGACCGGATCCGCAGCAGCATGGAAGGCGTCGACCTGGATATGTGCGTCCGAGGCTGAGCTTGTAGAAGACAGAGATCTTGCCATCCAACGAGACAGGATGTCAGTATAAATCGAATAATCCCTTTTGCTTCGAGGCGGTGGAAGTCACGGTTCGTGTCGTCACCAAGGTTTTGTCGAGCCGTTGAGCATTCTCATGCAGTCTGGACGGCTATCGGATCTCGGTGTAAGCTCTGTCATAGTCATCTCGGCTCCAGAACGGCGTTACCGACCAATACAGTTTCTCGCTGACTTGCCGAACTCTAATTAGGCCCTCGTCAAGGAGAATGTCACCACCCGCCGCATATCCTGCATTGCCGCACAAAAAATATGGATACTCGGATATCCAAGATCTCTTGAACAGCCCTTTGTGTGCGGAACTTGATTTAGACGTCTGAAGCTCACCAGACGGACATTCAGCGTGTACGCTATGAAGTTGAAGATCCCTGGTCTACCCATTACTTGCAAAAGACGTTTCTCCCCGTCCGCTCGAGGAACAAGGTGCGGGGGGAAATACGCGACATTGTATTCCAAGCGAGGTTCCCAGACGGCCCAGAAGTGTCTCCGTTGAGGCTATCCGAGAGAGGTGTAATTCACAAATCGGACAAGTCCTGCTCGCTGAGCCCCGTAGTAAACTCTTTCACCAGCGGGAACAAGGAGCTGTTTGACAAATCTCTGCCTGATATTATCAGCCACAAGAGAGCTATTTGTGGTGACCCCCTTGCACCGAAGTCGTTTTCATGTCGTTTTAGAGCCTCCCCGGAGTCCCTGGTGCTCAGGAGCAAACATTCGCCGTGAACAAACATGTTGACAGCTTTATTGTGCAACAACCATCATGGGCGACTCAGATTCCACGTTTATTTCATGAGTATCGACGATGGTCGATATAGCACGCTGATACGACATGTTACTCGTATAGGATGAATCGTCCGGCTTCCTGAAGATAATGCAGCCCGAGCAAGGCCGGAAGCTCGACTGGATTTCTGATGGTTCGAGGTAGACGATGATCCAACGAGAAAAGACTCTGCTCCATTGTACATGACATGTGCATGCCGTGCTACGTTTGAGAGCCACATGCCTAGAGATAAGTGAATACCGCATACTGGCAACATGTATGTACGACACAGCTTCGATAGACATCAGTGCCCCTCCTGCCATCTGCGGTCCGCTGCGATGCCCCTGCATGCACGTCTCCAATAATCATGCGCAAAGAGTGCAGTCTTCACCCGTGAAAGCCGAGCCAAAAAAAAAAAAGAAAAAAACCTTCCATCGAGCGGGTTCAGTGAAATCTCCCGAAATCTCATTCAAGGAAGAAATTGAGGCGCACTAGCAGAGTTTCCTGAAGACCCGCAAGTATCCAGGTTCCCTGGGGAACAGAAAATAGTGGGCTTGGAGCAGGCCCGGTTTCAATAGACGTGGTCGATGTGCTACGTCGGCGCAGCCCAATATCCGGCCTGGAGCTCAAGGCATCGACGTTATCCTGAAGAATCCCATATGAAGCACGTAAAATTTGGCCGGTGGGAACGGAATTCCCCATAGTGCGCACCTTCTCCTGAACGGACGCCATGGAACGCGACGTCGTGCCTAATATCGAGGCTTTGATGACGTGTACGGCTTCCCTCTCAGCTTGGGTTGACAGCTTGGCGACACGCACAAAACCTTGTGTGTCGACGAGGCGCCAAGGGGACACGTGGATGAGGCTAGCAGACGTTATCAAACGCGTTCAACGGGCGCAAGAGGGGCGTAAAGCTAAAATCGCAGCCTTGTGCTGCATGGCGTCAGTTGAGCGCTAGTTAAGCGATGAGCATGGGGGGAACGCATCCTACCCACCAGTCGCAGGCCCGTACTTTTCACACGTGATCGCCCTTCAGCCATGGCAACGCTTTCACGTTAGACGCCCCCGCATGGAGCGAGGCTCGGCAGAAAATGTCTTTTGGGTGACGAACCGATGGGTCCATGTTTGCGGCCCTTCTTTCACGCTCGGAATCGTCTCCGTTCCTGGCTCCGACTTTCCAGGCACAAGGTCAACCCCTGACGTAAATGGAAGAAAGGACCAGCCTCCACCGGAGGACGCTGCGAGCCGGGAATCGCTGGACACACTCGTACACTTTTGCGGGGAGAGCACCGGGTCGAGCAAAGCGGACATGTGTGTGTAAACCGTGAATTCCGAGGGTCGTTGCCCACTACGCCTGTATACCCGAACACCTAGACACCATGGAGACCTTCTTGATCGCTTTATTTGCCGAATCTTCACCTCCCTCCCTCTCCGACGACGTTCCATACGTCGAACAGCCTCACCGCGCTGTCCTCATCCAACGCGACCACATCTCCCCGCACGACCTTGACGCCCTTCGCCTTCACTCCCCCCACCATCACGTCCAGAACCGCCTTTTTCTCCTCCCAGCACCCCTCCACCAAGTCCGTCCAGCTGACGCACACGGTCCTCAACTCCCTCGCCGCGCCCAAGACCCCCACCAGCCTCTTGGTCAGCCTCAGCATGTCGGCGCACCTCCCCCGGTCCATGACCTGCCTGAAAAACGGCACTTCGGCCTCCATCCCGAACTCGAAGCCCTCGGCCCCGGCGCCGCGCGCGTACGACGGCACCTTGGGGAAATCCCAGTCGAGCAGCACGCCCAGGTTGCGGATGCGGCGGAGCTGCGGCAGGTGCGCCAGCCGCTGGAAGTGCGGGTCCGCCAGCGGTGCCGGCGGGTTGAGCATGACACGGAAGCGCGCCACGCGATAGAAGTGGTCGAGCGCCTCGCATGCCAGCACCCGGCACGTCAGCAGCAGCGCCCGCGGCGGCGGCCGGTGCGACAGTGCCGTGATGGCCGTGTTCGGCCCCAGCGGGTACGACAGCGGTTGCGCCGGCGTCAGGTGGCTGTAGATGAGCGTGCGAAGTTCCAGAGGGAGCCGCAGCAGCGGCGATGTCGTCGTCATTGTCACTCCCAGGTCAACGGATGGCAGTTCGCGTTGTTCGATGGGCGGTTGTGTCGGGCTATGGTTGGGTTGGTTGAGTGGTGAGGGTGCCAGTGACGTTGGGGGTGGCGCAGACAGTGACGTCGAGAGTGAAGAGCATCCTTCGATGGTGTTGGCGGCAGCAGGCAAGGTCTGTACGGCAGCCATGGGGACTGCTGGTGAGGAGAGGCTTGGGATGCAGAGTCTCGGTGGAAGAAAAGCAGAGGTGGAGAGAAGGCCCGGGGAGCTCGCGGACCCTTGGGAGCTCCGTCATCGCGGAGGTGAGCCGACTGCGCCACTTGCCCAAATAGGAATCCATCTGCATGCCGATCACGCCGGAGGCAAAAGCCGTGAATGTCTTAGCTTCCGGAAGCCCTTGATTCATTGATACGAGTCGTGAAAACAGCACATGAATCGAGATGCAGAAGCCCATCGGATTCCGGGCTGTATTGCGCGTGTGGGGGCAGCGGTGTGTGCCGGTTCCGAGTCGGCTCCAAGTTCAAGCGGCCAGCTGCTTCTCCCTCATTTCCAAAAAGCTGTTCATTCCCACAATGCACCTGACCAGGTCCCAGTCCCCGTCCCCTCCCACCCAGTCGCACACCACAATGCCCGTGCTGCCGTCTCCATGGCTAGCGTCACAATGATGCTTCATGCACAGGTACTCTATCATTGCCGGGTTGAGCTTGGCCGCGATCTTCTCCGGCCAGCAGCCCACCTTCCAAAAGTTGCTCGCGCTCAGGAAGTTCAAATACAGCGGTCCTGGAGGCACAGGATTGACCGCATCCGTCGTGATGCCGGGAACCGGGCAAACCAACTCGGCCGCTCGAGCCATATGCTCCTCTGCATACTTGGTCTTGATCTGGATGTTCTCTGTTTCGAGAACCTCGCAGAAGTCTTGCACGCGCACCGTGCCATGGGTATCATCCGGCGTGTTGTAGGCCCAGTCTTCGGCATCCAGCCCCCAGCCCGCCCCATTGTGCTCAGCCTTGAGCCTGTCGTCGATGGCGAAGCGACGCATCAGCACCAGCTTGCCGCGCACCTCGCCCAGCTTGGGAATGCGCGGCTCTGTATACCACCAGCTGGGGTCTTCGGTCGCGTAGTGGTCGTGAAGGATCATGCTTAGCTGCTGGTCGGTTGCATGGCCAGTGCCCTCGCGCTTGAGGCTTACTATGACCGTCTCGGAAACATTGTGGTTGAGAAAGTCGCGTATGTCATGCATGAGACTGCGCAAATGCTTAGATCCCGTCAGCGAGATGGGAAAGGCGCCGTGCACGAGGATGAGCCCATCTTTGGACGCATCTTCAGGATCCTCTGGCTGCACGCGGATGTCGAAGAAGCGCACGCCGTTCTCGAGCTGCTCCTTGGGTGACACGGCTTGGCAGCGCACAGAAGGGAGCGACCGGTGGCATGTAGGCGTGTTGTGTGTTCCTGGGATCGAGAGGCCGGACAGCGGGGTGACATCGCTCAGTTCGCGCATCCAACATTGCAGCTTCGCCGACGAGTAGACGGCCAGAAAACTGTCCTTGGGAAAGAAAATGCCCGTAAACTGGTGCTTCGGGCCCGGCACTAGGGGCGTGAAGGTCTGCGATGCATGGCTGTGAGAGGGCTCGATGCGGTAGCGCTGGCCGTCAGCTTCGATGGTCAGGCGCAGCGTGTGGGTGGCTTCGCGATCCAGTGGCTTGATATCGGTCGCTTGGCTGCGGAAGGGCTCGAGGTGGATGTTCACATCTACAGCAATGGGTCAGCACAGCGGCAGGCCCTCAATGGCAGACAGCATTCACCTTGACGGGCGAAGCTCTCGGCGTTTTCAGCAAGCTTCTTGGACGAGGGCGAAACCAGCGTGGCCCTCAGCGTGCCCAGGCACCTGGCCTTTTTTGTCCCTGGGGCCTCATAGCGCTCGACAAGCTTCAGGTCGAGGGGGGTCGATGTCAGGTTGCGGATGGTTAGTGGTGGAGTCATGTCTGTCGGAGCCGTGAGAACTGCGGCTAAACCGGCGGGCGCCTAGGGCTCAATCGCACTGCAGCCGGCGAGTTGGCAGTCGAGGCGTGCGATGCGACGACTGCGGCTGAGGCGAGAGCGAGGAAAGGGCAGCCCGAGTTCTTCTCTTTGTCGGCAGGCACATGGTTGACGCGTGCTGCGCGTACGAGTGCTAGAGGGGGCTGACACGCGCTCCTGCCCAATCACCGACGCCCGTGAGGCCGCGCTTGCTCTGCTCAGCCCGACCCCATGAGTGCCAGACGCCGCTGCTCATTTCCCGGATTCGTAACACGCCGCAACTTCGCTATGCTATCTCTATCATGACTTCTTCGTCAGTGACCCCATCGCCCAAGGGCATCCGCACGCGCACTTGTTCTGTCCTCCCATCCAGTCCATGTCCTCCATTTCGCCGCCGCATCTGACGCATCTCCTCCGCCCGCTGTCTTTCCTGCTGATCTCCACCTTCCGCAGCACGTCAACCGTGTTCTTCTCCAGATACTGTTTCTCTCTCTTGTCTTCGCTCAGCCCTAGCCACCTTAGGTCCCAGTACATTATCTTGGCCGCGTCCACCGTGTCAAGCAGTTTGTCCATGCCCTGCGTGAGTAACCGTGTGACCACAGGCATCAGCACGTCGGGGATCTCCGCGCTGATGAGCATTTCCCGCTCTGTCGCCCTGCGCCGCTCGTCCGTGTACTGTGCCTTGTTGTAACAAAGACGCACTTGGTTGTCCACTTCGAGCACGAGCGCCGCCATGTGAGGCGGATGCACCGGAGAGCTGATCATGGCCGCCAGCAACCCGTTGAACACGGAGCGATGGATCACTGTTGGCGCATTCTTGATATGCCATTGGCTGATGGTCAACAGCAGCTGCAGGGGTTGCCGGGTAACTCGGAATATTGATCGAGGGAAGCTGCACAGCAGGAGGAACAATCCCGGCGAGCACCTTTCCTGCACTGTTCCCGAGTCAGCGAGTGTATCGCACCATGAATGCAGTCAGGAACTTACGCTTTTTCTGGACAAACCCCCTGTCGGCCTCGTGTTTCCTGCATTCCTGTGAAAGTTCGATGAGATCGTTCACCATATACACCATAAGATCCATAGTCCACCTCAATAAGCCCTTGACGGACTTCGCCGTTTCTACCAAGATTATTACGTTAATGCTGTAGCGAATTTCTAAACAGAATGGGAACGTGACTTACCCATCGTAAAAGATTCCGGGCCGCCGCCTCGGGCATGGTTTGTAGGGATGCTGAGGAGGAATGAAGTAAATCGAAGATTGAGCGTTGTCCAAGCAAGTTTACTGCTCAAGTCTCGCGAGCCATTGGTCGCCATTCCAAGAAGGTTCTGCGTGCTGAGACATCCACGGAGCACGTTGTTGCGGAAGATGTTTTCGAATGGCTTCTGAGCCGTGTCTTCGGGTGGGTAATCGGCCACAACGTTCATGCAAAGGTGAGTTCCCCTCAAGAACAAGCGTTTCAAATCTTACCAAAATCAGCACGGGCATGTCATTGATACATATCAAGGCTTACTGTGGTTCAAATCCGGTGGCATGATCGCGAAGAGGTCATCGCCAGGCATGTACTGCAACGAGGCGGAGCTGTATTGTAGTACCAGCGCTGCGATGGCCGCCGTGGTTTTTGCTATAATTTGTGAGTCCCGACACCTCTGACACCGCGCTGCTCGTACTTACGGTCACTCCCTCCATCATTTAGCGAGCCATGGTTGAACTCCATGTTCTTCAATGTGATAGTGCCGTCCGGCTGCAGTAGCGCCAACATGCAGGCGCTGGGAGACAGGACCATGTGAAGCGCTTGATAAGTGTCAGCTGCAATTTTCACGAACTTAATTCCGAGAAGCACATACCAGGATCGCTCGCAGGGAACGAGAAGCCAGCTTGTGGCAGGGAAGATATCCTGTTCTCATTAGAATCCGCCGTGATGACGTCCATTGTATATCGATCTCGGAATTCTACTCCGCCGTTGCTTTGATAAAGAGCGAGTTTCGTGTAAGAATCAAGATTGAATAGTCCCAACGTAGCGCTATCCAACACAATGTCCGGTAACCGCTTAAAGCTCATTTTCTGCTGGGAGGAGATGAATAACGAGTACATGAAAATATCGAGGTGGAACTTACACGCTGTCCAGCAGACCCTGGAGCCTTCTTCTTGGCAGTCAGTTGCTCAAAGCCAGAGTGAAGAGCGTAAGATGAGCCATGCAGTTCCCACCGCGAGATTATACTGAATGGAGGTTGCTGTGAGTGGGTCTGGTCCATCAACGAAGGGACAGGAGCTGGTGTGTGGCAGAAGACAGCCATGACCGTAGGATGCGAAGGAGACGGGCCAGGATCAGGGCCGATGGGTATGAAGGAAAGATGAGTAAGCCTGGCCGGGAAAGATAAGTTCTGGGTAGACCCGAGCACAGAAGCGCTGGCGTCGAAGTTGGTAGCCAGTGGTGAGCAGTCATCCTCCGCTTTCAGTGGGGCGATGTCGAAAGTTGGAGAAGCACTTTTGCCTGGCTGAGCGTTCCAGTTGATTTTGACACGATAAACGAGAACAGACCCGGCGACGGTATGTGTGGCAAGGAGCAGAGAATTTTCTAACCAATTAGTTCGGCAGAGGTCTTGAAGGTGGAGGAGATACCTACCCGAATCTGAGGTGAATGAGGCGTGGCTGAAAGCATCTTTACCAGAATTGGATGCTTCAACTTCTGCGGTTGCCTCGTACCATTGTTGGTCAGGCTGCTGGAAAAGTAACCTGACTGTGCCTCCACGTGTGAAGCAGATGAATGCGCCAAGAGACATGCGCGGATGAATAGGATTGTGAGGCTCTTTCCACGGATGGCTTGTCATCCGGTACTGCCATTTGTCTTCGTTGCGATCGCCTGACCAGATCATATGGTACTGATGGAGTCAGCAATGCGCCCAATTGCAAAGGCAGAAACATGACAAGGTGGGAACCACACTGCCCAAACACGAGTAAACCAAGGTTCAAGCATGAGCGTCTGGACGATGGATGTAGTTTCCCCCATGTCTACGTATCACATACCTTGACTTGCTGCGGGGCAACAGGTAGCCAGTGCAAGCCAACAAGCGCGTTAGACTCGCTCTCGTGGTCAGAAAAGGGCTCACGAGAGAGTTTCATCCTATCTGCTGCTTGGGCTGCCGTGTACACAAGGATCCTCCCGGCAGCATCCACCACGGCGAGGTCAACACCGAGGTGGCCCCAGGCAACATGAACGAGCGGAAACTCTTCATGAACGGAGGGGATGTGGAGCGGAGCTTCATCGCCCAAGATCCATTTGCCGTCGACAGGATTGCGCTGGAAGGCACGCAGGTTAACACCGCGTCCATCTCGGGTGATTGAAGCCACACAGCCACTCTTGGACCATGCTATTTTCCTGCATCGGATCAGCGCCAGACATTGGTTCTTGCAAGCTACACGGGCTTACTGGCAGCAACCAGACTCGCCCAATTCATCGAGACGCTGAGCAAGCCGCTTGACGGGCGGCGTCTGAACGGCAATGGGAAGCTGCTCGGCCTCGTTGAAAAGATCCATGTACTGGTCGTCGTCCATGATCAAAGGCATGCCGCGCTGCAGCGCGCGGAGCCGGGTTTGCTGGGCGGTACCGATTTGTTGAAAGTCTCGAACCCGACGGCTAGATGTTCAGCAATGTTCGGTAGCGATCCTTTCCATAGCCGGTGCGGATGCAGGCGATGGACGGGAACAGGCAGATGCGGCGCGGGCCGGGGCAGCGCGAGAAGGCAGGGCAGGGCAGGGCAGCCGAAGGGGCAAAAGGTCAAAGGCGCACGGAGAAATGGGGTATCATGAGGCCACAGGCGGACAGGCAGTCGCGCAGTTGCGGCAGCGCGAGACGGGCAGGGTAGGTAGGAGCGGCGGCCCGTCCGAGTGCTCGGATGCAGTTGACTAAGACGCAGCTAGCGGCTACGCTAGGCCTGTTACGGACTGTTGTTCTTGTCGAAGCATCGCGGGCGCGACATCACCGCGCCCGCCGCTGTCGCCCGCCCCTGGAATAGCCAGCGCATTGCCGCGTCACGCGTGCGGTGCAGCCACGGGCGTGCCGGCGACGCGATGCGATCAATTGCGCGGGGTTCGATGCGCCGTGTTCTGCAGGTAGATGCAAGCGGGTGCGGGCGAGCCACAGCACTACCGGGGCGCCGACGGCTCGCCCACGCCCACAATGCACGCGGACCAAGCGACCCAAGGGCGCCGCCGGGAGGCCAGCCTGGCAGCTTGGTGCTTTGGCGGCAGAAAGGCGCGCAAACAAGCACGGACGGGCCAAAATAAACAGTGCGAGAACAAGGCCCGGCGTCACTGGTGCGCCAAGCAACGCCCATCAGCTCACGCCTCGTTCCGCAAACCTCATCCAAACCCCATCCACACCCGCGCCCGGGCTCCTCCCCTTGTCCCTTTCACTGTGCCGTCTGCACAGGTGCGTCGCAGCCGCCCTGCCGCCTGGTTCGCCGCCTCGCCTGCCGGCCCGCGCCTCTCGCTCATGACATAGAAGGGCCCCGCCCGTGTCGTGCCTTCCGCATTCCCCTCTCGCAACCGCGGCCGCCCCGTTCCTGCACAATGGCTGTCGACGCCTATTGTGCAGGCTGCTCGCGCGAGAGCTCGCCTCTGAGCTCGCCGCCGTCATCGCCATGCCCTCCGTCTGACTACGAATATCCCTCTCCGCCCCCGTCGCAGGATCCGTCCACCAAAGGTTCACCGCTTCCGGACGCCATGGAGCCCGCGCGAGCCTGCGACGATGACGGCCCTCCACGCAAGAAGAGACGCACCGCCGAACCGAAGCCACGCGTCACCCGCCATTTGAATCTGCAGGAGGATGCCATCGATGAAACGGAACGCGAAGCTCTTGATCTGTTGCTCAAGGTCCTGCATAAGAAGCGCAAGATTGTGATGATCGTGGGTGCAGGCATCTCGGTCGCAGCCGGCAGTAAGTTCCCCCCAGCTCCCCGCGTCGCGTCGAGCTCCCCGTTGAAATGTCGCAGTTCCCGACTTTCGCTCGTCCAAGGGTCTTTTCAACACGCTCAAGCAGCAGCACAACCTCAAATCCTCCGGCAAGGACTTGTTCGACGCCTCTGTGTACAGGGACCCCGACACCACCGCGACGTTTCACGAAATGGTTCGGTCGCTATCGCATCAAGCCAAGCTGGCCAGGCCCACCGCGTTCCATCAACTCATCGCAACACTCGCCGACGAAGGCAGATTACTGCGCCTGTACTCTCAAAATGTCGATGGGATCGAGACGTCGCTGCAGCCGCTGGCAACCCAAATTCCGTTGCCGCAGAAGGGGCCCTGGCCGAAAACGGTCCTACTCCACGGAGGGTTGGAGAAGATGGTCTGTGCGAAATGCAACGACGTGACGGATTTCGAGCCCGAGCTTTTCCACGGCCCAATTCCACCCCCTTGCAAGACGTGTGAAGAGGCGGATCAAGTGCGCACTCTGCATGCAGGAAAGAGGAGCCATGGTATCGGATTGCTGCGCCCTCGCATGGTACTTTACAACGAAAACGGCCCCGACGACGAAGCCATCGGTTCCGTGACGACGGCAGACTTGAGAGCACGGCCTGATGCTGTCATTGTTGTTGGAACGACCCTAAAGGTGCCTGGGGTGAGGCGCATTACTCGGGAGATGGTTAATACGGTGAGAGACCGCAAGGACGGGCTTACTGTCTGGATCAACAACGAACCGGAGCCGAAGGGCGTGGATCTTGAGAACTGCTGGGACTTGGTGGTGCGCGGTCCATGTGATGCTGTTGCCCGTCAAGCCGCTCTACGCATCTGGAACGACAGGAGCGAGACCATGGCCAAGTTCCTCACCGAGGAGGAGTACCGAGCTTCTAAGGAGAAGCCGAGCCCCGAGGTTCGAATTTTGAGTTCCCCACGCAAGGATCGTGTCCTGCAAGTGAAGGGCATCCCCACTCCGGCGTCAAGCCCGAAGATTCAGCCGCAGGATCCCCCGATCGAGGACGAAATTACGGTGGCGTCGAGGCCAAGCACCCCGCCCAAGAAAGCCACGACTCAAAGCAAGGGCAAGGGCAAGAACTTGAGCAACGTCCCTCTTGCTGAGCGACCCAAGCCAAAATCTACCAGTGTGAAGACGGCGCCTAAGAAGAAGGCTGCTCCGAAAAAGAAATCAAACGCATCCGCGAAACCTAATGATAAAATCACCAATGCGTTTAGCGTGTCGAAGCCCGCGGCGCAGAACGTGCCGGAGTTGAAAAGCAAACCGCAAAGGCGTGGGAGAAAGACGGACACGGCAAATGGCCCCATGGCACCAGTTTCGCCGCAGTCGGCTAAAAATAATACGGCGCCTCCTCACAACGACCCGCACACACCCAAGACGCTCAGCTTGGAGACGAAGCAGATCAAGGCAGAAAGCAACGCCGAAGTGGCGACTGAAAGGGGAGGGAGTCCAAAGGAAGTGATTACGCCAACGGGCTATTTGCCGAAGGATATGAAGAGGCTCCTGCACTGACTCGCGAGCTTTGCATGGTTACCAAGTATCGGTCGTGGCTTAGCATCACGAGGGAAACGAAAACGTGAAGGAGTTGAGTGAATTGCTGGTTTCGTTTCTGTTTTGCGATTATTCTGGGGGTCGAGAAACGGGAGCAAGAGGGACGAGGGTGGGCTTCGGGGCGTAATTGCTGAAGACGAAGGGATGGATTCGCACGTACCAACGAACACATGGTTAATGGGCCATTCTGCATTTACACGGCGTATCAGGGGAGATCACAAAGGCAGGACCCAAACAAGGTCCTTGGAAGGCGGAGAAAATACGGGGTGCGTGTCCAATTTTTGCATCAAGGGTGGAACTGGGGGTGAGGATGCAGATTCTCTCCCTTTTGTGTCGATACACATTTTTCTCGTCTACTCCGGTTCTGGTTTCGCAGTTCTTCGATGATACCCGAGCATTCGAACATGGTCGGATCGGACTAGGTACGGGTGAAACTCGCAGAGGCACGGGCGTCGCTGCGGGTTTCTTTTCTTTGGCTTTGGGCTTTCTTTTTCCGGATTTTGCTTGGAGTTCATAGTTGCAGAGTACGCGGTACAGGGGGAAATGTACTCTATGGATTGGTTCTGGCAGGAGGATTTTTCAGTTCTTCAGCCGATGTAAATGAAACACTCACGCGGTAATGGAGTCAAGCATGTGAGAGGCACGAAGAATGATTCAGAACCGGAAGCAGCAGGGCCAGCTGATAACTACTCAGATGGCCGACGATCTCCCGCTTATCGCTGTCGAGGATGAAATGGAGCGTGGCAGGAATTTCACGCCGCCCGCTGTGCGCGCAAAGGAGACTGGGAGCGAAGGCATTGCACACGGAGTGGACTACCGGTAGGTTAACACAGGCCCCGTCTCGCGTGCGTTTTTGGCCGCTTGTGGCGCAGAAAGATGGCTCTTGTCGGCGGCGGGGAAGATTTTGCTTGCTTCCTTCCAGTTCCCACGCACGCGCCCAACCGAACCTGTACGCCAGAGGGAGAAAGAATCGCCTTCTCCACCAACACTCCTTTAGACTCGTCTGAGGTGCATTGCATGACTGCCTTCCGCTCGCTCTATACCCAGCACAGGCTTTGGCATAGCAGGCTAGTCCACGACCGTCACCATGCCCGAGTACCTCATCCGCTGCGTGCAGCAGCATGAGAGCTTTCGCAAGGCTGAGCTGGAGTCTCTGGCCACTCTTGCCGGCGCCGAAATGACTGTTATTTCCTATTCTGAACATGTGAGCCAACATTCCGTTATGCGTTCGTCGTGCATTTCCGTCCACCTCGTCTGTTCTTTTTTTTTTTTCCCTTGCTCCATCTCAGGACCATTATATCAATCGTCTCTTCAACCACGCACCGCAAACCCCAGCACTCACACCTCCCAGACCCCCTTCGCCATCGTCGCCCTGCCCTCGGACGCGGCAGCGCGGGCCGTCGTGTCGCGCAGCATCCTCACGATGGGCATCTACGAGCTCTGGGGCAGCGGGCCCGACTACGCCTCGTTGCACGCGTCGGTGCGGGCGCGGACGGCGCCGCGCTGGGCCGGCTACTCGCAGGCCTCGTTCCGCTTCTCGGTCGACGCGTTCCGGGGCAAGCGCGGCAGCGCGGCCCAGCGCGAGCTGATCGACGGCTTCCGCTACCTGGGCTTCGCCGGGCCCATCCGCATGAAGGACGCCGAGCTGCACCTGTGCATCTTCGAGGAGTACGCCGTGTCCGACGCGCGCACGCCCAAGCGCGTCTTGCTGGGCCGCTGGGTGGCGGACGGAGGGCGCCGCGCGGTGCTGACGTACGACTTGAAGAAGCGGAGCTACATCAGCACGACGTCGATGGATGCGGAGCTGGCGCTCGTCACGGCGAACATGGCCTTGGCGGCGCCCGGCAAGGTCTTCTTCGACCCGTTTGTCGGGACGGGCAGCTTCAGCGTCGCGGCGGCCCATTTTGGCGCCGTGGCGGTGGGAAGCGATATCGATGGGAGGAGCATCAGGGGCAAGGCGGAGGGCAAGGGCGTGGTTGCGAACTTCAGGCAGTACGGGCTGATGGGCCGGTTTCTTGATAATTTCGTGAGCGACCTCACGAACACGCCGTTGAGGAAGGGGAGGTGGCTGGATGGCATCATCTGCGATCCGCCGTATGGGGTGCGAGAGGGTTTGAAGGTGCTCGGCAGGAAGGACGGAGGTGGGCAGGAGGCGGTCATGGTTGAGGGAGAGTGGGCGCATCTGTAAGTGAATCCCCCGATCTCCAGATGAGGATCTGTACTGATCAATGCTTGATGGCACAGGCGCGAGGGATACATCCCTCCAAAGAAACCGTACAGCTTCGAGGCCATGCTTGACGACATCATGGAGTTCTCGACGGAGATGCTGGTTGACGAGGGAAGGATGTCCATGTGGATGCCGACGGCGAACGACGAAGACGTGGAGATTGCAATCCCCTCGCACCCGTGCTTGCAGCTTGTCAGCGTCTGTGTCCAGCCGTTCAACAAGTGTAAGTTGTCTTTGCCCAAGGCTGTGCAAGCATTCCATTCTAACCATCACCCCAGGGTCACGGAGACTGCTCACTTACCGCCGCATCCCGGACGCGCAAGTGGACAAGTCCATAACCTGGACCAAGCGAACGAATGAGCATGGCAGCAACGCCGATGACCTGAACGCTTTCCGCCGCAAGGTACGTTTCAGATCCAATGACATTGTGATGACACGCATCTGGATACTAAGCTGTCCACAAATAGTACTTCCAAGGCTTCAAAACACCAGAGGTCGAGACACCAGCAGCAGCATCGCCGCTCCCATCCGAGGCAGCCGCTGCTGGCGCAAAGCAGGCGACAGAAGAAGTCTCCCAGCAGCTCTCGGACCTCAATATCAAGGGGTAGAGCCTAAATCATAAACGTCTCAACAATCAAACCAACGCCAACAAGAACCCATCCAAGGCCCCTGTGCGTATCGGAAGAGGGAAAGAGAGATGGTCAGGTGCATGCCGGTCAAGGAAAAAGAGAGCAAAAGGACAAGCAAGGCGTGAGGCGCGTCACGTACCATCTTTTTCCTAATTAGAGATCTAATTTCCGGTCCGTGTGTCTGCGCGGTCTGGACTCCCGCTCACCTGAGGCTCGCCGCGGTGTGGGGTTAGATGGTGAGGCGTGGATGACGTCAATGCAAGCTCCCCAGATCCGGAAGCGCGTCATCGTCATCCATTAGCCAGCTGCGAATGAGAAGAGCAATAGTTGCAATTATAAACAAAGCATATCGCCTGCGTACATCCCCTTCCAATACCAACACGAACGCCTACATCTCACAATCCGACCGCAACACCGCTTTGATCCAAGACCCTTCTCCTCCACAGAACCGACACCATGTCTTCCAACACCAACAACCCCGCCTCCAACCCTGGTCTCGTCTCCGGCCATGCCGAGTACGTCAAGGGCGCCGCAGAGGTACGCCAAAAGCATTTTTAATCCCTCGTCTCGCCCTTCCCACAATAAAATCTCGTTACACTCATGCTGATGACATTACCAAACAGAGCACCATCGGCTCCCTAACGGGCAGCAACGCGTGGCAAAAGTCGGGCGAACAGGCCAAGGCGCACGCCGTCGACGCCATGAAGCAGGCCTCGGCGGACCGCGACCCGGCCAGCAGCGGCTACGGCCGCGCCGAGGAGGTTGCCGGCAAGGTGACGGGCTGTGAGGGCATGCGCCAGGAGGGCGCCGCGAGCGCGAACGCGGAGAAGAGGCAGTAGAGGGAGGAAAGAAAGGAATGATGTTTGTATGATATATCATGGTGATGATTATGGCGTTTTGATGGTATGGAGATGAGTGTACCCACAGTGGTCTTGTGCTCTACGTCTTCACTGCCGTTTGATTCGGACTGGTGCAAAGAATCACTGATCACGGAGACGGCGCAACAAATCAAGTGTATTCGTCCTTTCTTCAAGCAACTGTTTTTCCCGTTCTGACGCATCGTCGACGGAGTCGAATGCCTCGTATTTTCCGTAAAACGAAGTGGCTGTTCCCATGTTGTGATTTTCCAGCAACAGGTGGTGGTCTCGTCAAGATGACATGACCTGAAAAGGCCCCAGTACGCCCTAGCAGAAGAGCGTGCCGCATTCTCGACTCTCTGCAACGTGTAAGGCCCCGAGCTCACAGCACAGCTCCCGCTGCTACACCTGTCCGCGGCACGCCTTTTCTTATGAATTTTAGCACTGACAATGGGCTCCCGTCTGGGCCCACGTCGGTCGTGTCCTAGCGTTCACTCCGCTCTTCTCCTGACATTCCTGTCTTGCGACTGTGCATCCGACTTCATGCCGCCAATGGCGCCCTCGACCAACCGCCGCAATTCGGCTTGCGCCTCCTCGCTCTGGTAGTCCTCCCGCGCAGCCAGCTCCTCGATCTTCCGCCTGAACTCGGGATCCACGACATCCTCGGGCACATCGCTGGCCGACATGGTTCCGACATTCACCTTGATGCCATCGGGCAACGGCGGCGGGTGTGTCAAGGCGTCCGCGCCGTCCTGGTGCCACGCAGCCACGTCGGCCGACGGGGCGCCGTCGCCGCCGCCGCCGCCGCCGCCGGCACCCGGCATCCTGCTCCTGAGGTACGCGGCGACGAGGGGGAAGTCGCCCTCGGCGTCGACCTTCTCCTCGGCGGTCTGGCCGTCGTCGTTGCGGGCGGCGACGTCGGCGCCCAGCTCCTCGCACAGGCAGCGGGCGGCGTCGACGGACTCGGCGGCGAACAGCGGCGTCTCGCGGTCCTCGTCGCGGATGTCCGGGGAGACGTTGTAGGTGCGGACGAGGGCGCGCAGCAGGTCGAGGTGGCCGTAGGAGCACGCGGCGTGGGCCAGCGAGTAGCCGTGGGCGTCGCGGGCGCCGGCGAGCTGCGGGTGGGCGGGCAGCGCGGCGAGCACGGCGGCCGGGTCGTCGGCGGCGAGGTTGAGCAGGCGGTCGATGGAGACTTGGGCCATTGCGGGGGGTGGGCGGGTGGGATGGGGTGGTTGTCTCGGCTGGGTTGGATTATTTTTTTCGTGACGATGTCTGAATAATGAGAGCCTTGGGCGGGCAGTCCCGCCCAGGCTTGGCCCGTCGATCGGCGACAGGGGTGCGCAGGGCGCGCGCCCTCCGCAGGGCCGCAGGGCCGCAGCCCTCGCCTCCGCTCTCGTCAAGCGCGCGCGAAGCAGGCGGCCGGGGTTTGAGGACACACGGCCCCGCGGCGCTGCGCTGGCCCAGAGGCTTGCTCGCTTGCTCGCTTGCTCGCTTGCTCGCTTGCTCGCTTGCAACCGTCCCCACGGCAGCCCCGCGCACGGCAGTCGCAGGGGGCGGAGGGCGGCGGAGGCAAGGGCTGAGGGCGGGAGCGGCGTCTGACGCGGGCCAAGGCTTTGGTAGTCTAAGCCTCCTCCCGTGTCGCGTGCCTTTTTCCAATCGCGCCGCGGCGTCGTGGGGGATGCTGTCTCACGGTCCTTTTCTGGGCCCTGGTACCAGCTCCGCCGGTGAAGGGTAAGATTAGCAGCCTGGGCATACCTATGTCGACGTCTTCTTCGCTGCTGCGTCTGTCGCCGCTCCCCGACCACCGCAGCCCGCTGTCTCCCACCACCTCGTCGCAGCACATCCCGCTTCTGCCAGCCATGCCCATCAACGTCCGGGCCCTTGGCCTGCCGTCGAAACGCCTCGTGGCTTCCTACGTCCTCGACTGGATCGTCATCATGTATGCCCCCCTCCGCTCCGTCTGGCTCGCCTGCGCCCGTTCCTGCATTAACACAACACACATAGCGGCATCGCAGCTGTCGGTGCTGGCTGGAACGACATCACGCCTTACCACCGTCCTTTTTCCCTGCTCGATCTCTCCATTTCCTTTCCGCACACTGACCCGGAAACCATCCCGACGTGGCTGCTGGTCGTCGTTGCCCTGGTTATTCCTGCAGCAGCCATCTTTGTCGTCGCCTTGGTTCTCGTACCGGGACCAACCGCGAACCCCTCGACTCCGAAGACGCTGATATGGCGCCGCAAGTTCTGGGAGTGGAACAGTGAGTTCGACTCGTGTCCTTTCCTGCCTCGTATGCTAATTTTGGCATGCAGCCGGCTGGATGGGGCTTGGACTCAGCCTCGCAACCGCCTTCATGCTTACCCAGGGCTCGAAGCTCCTTTTTGGCAAGCCGCGCCCTGATTTGCTTGACCGCTGCCAGCCCGACCTTTCCCGGCTCCAACGTGCCGTGGTCGGCGGCTATGGCCAGGACATCTCGCCCCGCTGGGTGCTTGTCAGTTCCGACATCTGCTCGCAGACTGACATGGACATCCTCAACGATGGCTTCAAGAGTTTTCCGAGCGGCCATGCCTCCTGTAAGTCTCGTCCCCGACCGATCATCTTCATCCCAAGTTCCATCTGACCACAGTCTCTCTCCGCAGTCGCCTGGTCCGGTCTCCTCTACCTCTTCCTCTTCCTCTGTTCCAAGTTCGCCATAGCCATCCCCTTCCTCCCGCCGCGCCCCTACTCCTCCGACCCCAACCACACCGCCCTTGAGCGCGAGCAACGTCTCTCCTTCCCCCTGTCACTCCACCGCCGTAACAGCAACAAGCCCTCCCAAACCGGCACTGGCAGCACGCTCGACACCAACACCGAAGGCGGTCTCGTCGTCCCCATCCGCAACCAAGCCGCGGCGCCGCCGACCTGGGTGCTCGTACTGGCGCTAGTTCCGCTGGGCGCCGCCATCTACATCACCGCCTCGCGCTTCTTCGACTTCCGCCACCACGGCTTCGACCTCATCGTCGGCTCCACCATTGGTATCGTCTGCGCCTGGTTCTCCTTCCGTTGGTACCACCTGCCCATCCGTCAGGGCGCCGGCTGGGCTTGGGGCGCCCGCTCCAGGGATCGCGCCTTCTTCATCGGCCTGGGCATGGGCAGCTACGTTGGAACCGAGGGCTGGGGCAGCGCGAAAGACGATGACAAGCGGGACGATGGACCCGCCCTGGATTTGGAACAGGGTGGTGGTGGCAGTGGCGGTGCTGCGGACATGACGAGGGTGAATGGGCCAGGATTGGATGGACAGAGGGATAGTGGGGTATCGGATGCGTAAGCGGAGTGGGACAATTAATCTCTACGAGGAAGAGAAATGATTGAAATGGAAGGTCATGAGTGTATTTTTAGGGGGATCGGGGACTGGGAACAATTTCACACGCTCTTCAAGGTGTGCGCTGGGAAGGTACGAAAGGACGGAACGCGCGGACATCTACCTACGAATACCCACGAGTCTTGGTCTCGTCTCTATTGTTTTGTCTGGGAGCAATATGGTCTTTGGTGGTAATATCCCAGTGGCGACGCATTTTACTTATTATATCGGTAGTAGCATGAAAACAATTAATCAGAACAGTATCGCTCGTCACGCATCAATCGAACAAACAAGTGCATAATAGGTCATTAGAGACAGGGCGTTTGCGTGGACTCTCAAAGATCTGGAGTTTCGGTCTCTCCCAAATTTTCCCCAAGACATCACTGACGCAAAGCCACATAGGCACATGCTTGCACATGACTTTATCCCTCTGCGCCTTCTCTAGTGGGAGAGTACTGTGTGCGGGCTGCACGTGTCGGTCTCTCGCCTGGTGTGTCCACGGGAATATTCCATAATATAAAAAGATCAGAGGTCGCCCTCCAGATCGAATCCTCTCCTTCACCAACGCCACTGCGTCTCCGACGCAGATCTTCATCGTAGACACCACGTCTTGACACAAGAGCACCGTCGCCGCAAGGATTCCTTTTCCTTAGGAAAATCTCGACAAAAACACCCAAGTCTTGTAAGTCTGTTCAAGATCTTCACGACCACCCAACCGATGCTCCGTCCCCGCCTGCCGCGCTATTTCCTAAACGCATGCGGTTTTAGATCATACAGTCGACTACTTACTACGATGTCCTCCTACAGCAAGTTCGGCGGGGAGAACCCGTACGAGGAGAGCCAGCACTTTCACTGGAAGCCGCAGGGCACCGTCACCGACAAGATGGTCTGGGTTCTCGACAGGTACTCGCGCGAGAAAGCGGAGGCGAAGAGCAAGATGGCGAAGCTGGATAGGCTGCTCGAGATGACTACCGAGATGTTCGACAGCCTCGTGGTAAGCAAAAAAGATCTCCTTCTTCTCCCTCCTCCTCCTCCTCCTCCTCCTCCTCCTCCCCCATTTCCCTCCCTCTCCACCTCTCTTCTCTCCCACGCAAGCCAGCGGCCAGCCAACCATTCAGCGTCCCTCCAACTGATCACCCCCTTCCCGTCCCACAGGCCAACCCCGCCACCGACACGCCCGACTCGACCGAGTTCCTACAAACCTACTACCTCCACGTCCACCGCGCGCGTTCCTTCTACCACAGCGTCACGCCGTCCCCCGAGCAGCAGCAGCAACTGCTGCCGCACGACACGCGCGAGCGCCGCCTCGGCGCCGCCGTCACCGACACGCTGCACTCGTTCCCCGCGCACGTCCCCGGCCGCAGCAACGCCGGCCTCGTCGAGGAGTCGCTGCGCGACATGGACCGCAACGCCATGCGCGGAAGGTGCGAGGCCGAGGCGTATGTGGCCAAAGTGCTCGGATTGGCGCCGGTCGTGGTTGGGTTTTGGCGCGGGGTTTGGGGTGCTGCTGCTGCGGAGGAGGTCCAGGGCGAGAAGAAGAAGAAGAAGGGTGGTGGTGGTGGTGGTGGCGAGGACGGTGAGCTGCTGGAGGTGAGGAAGATGGAGGCGATGGCCGAAAAGATGGAGGGGGAGGCGAAGGGTATTGCTGAGGTGGAGGGTCTTGGCGTGGCTGAGTCTGCGGCTGCCGTCGCCGTCCAGGGCGAGCTGGGAGGAGGTGGAAGGGTCGCGGCTGAGCAGAAGAAGAAGAAGGTGGAGGAGGTCATGAAGGTGGAGGTTGAGGGAGTGGAGCTGGGAGTGGAGGGCCCCATCAACTCGGTCGCCGCCGTCGCCGATCCTTCTCCCGCTGAGGAGGAGAGCGCCGGCTGGATGGCCAAGCTCGTCGTCGGCGGTGATGGTCAGGCGAAGACTGTCTAGACTAGCTAGCTACGAACGAACACAGCCTCATGGACGTGACGTCAAGCATGAGAAGGCTACCTAGAAGTTAAAACCAAGAGATCATTACACACCTTCATATGCTTGGTAGGAACAGCATTGGCGTCGAATCGAGTTCTATGTCTGGATACGTTTTGTCTAAGTCTACGTATAGATGTTATTGTATGGAAGTATATTGTTTAGGCGGCAAAAGTAGCACCCTCCTCTAGTTTCAAGGGAAAGGCCAATAGACGGATACCACTAGTAGCTGTCTATTGTCACCACTCACCGATTGTAATCGAATGTCATTTCATGTGATGAGGGAAAGCGCAAGTGAACTGGGGCGGGGAAGTCGCGGGTTCCGTCGGCGTAAGCAGCTGGGCCCCACCTTCCTCGTCATGACGTATGCGGGGCTCCGTCTCAGCCAACGCATGCAGCAGACGGGACCGCGTCAGTCACAGGCAGCAAGGCACGGATGGGAATCGCATATAAAGACACGCTCTGCACCCTACTGCCTGCGCACGGACATCCACCCCTCCACCCCTCCACCGCACAACCAGCCAACCAACCAACCGACCAATAAACACAGCAACATGCCTCTCGTAGTCCCAGGCATCAACTCCACCGGCGACAAGACCGAGGAGTGGACCAACCACCTCGTGGGCAAGAAGATCGGCGACTCTTCAGACACCATCGTGAGCCTTCTCCCACCATCACGCCACCTTATACAGGAGCTGACGCAGCGCCACCTCTTGCCAGACGTTCGCGAAGAAGGACCTTCCCGAGAAGCACCGCATCCTCAAGGAAGGCGACGCCATGACCTTCGACCACAACCCAGACCGGTACGCTTGCTTGCGCCCTCTCCCCCCCAACAACCCAGCCGCAAAGGTGAGGGAAAAGAAAAGGGCTGACAAGTGAACCTCGTGTCCAGCCTGAACATCCACGTCGCCGACGATGGTACCGTCAGGAAGGTCACCCACGGCTGAAGCGTCGTCTTTTCCTCATTTCGTGTATTGACTTCCCTTCTCTTATCACGACACACGCACACACATACCCTAAAGCCTATCCTTGAGAATGTTTTGTACGCTATGAACGATTTTCTGTTCCCTACTGGCTGGCTCGTCGCCACGAGAGTTTAGATACACGACCATTATATCTCTAGCACAGAGAAAGGAAATGAATGGGTCATGACATCATTGTGTCCCCAGTTTGATAAACAAAACGTGCTGTGATGCAGTAGTCACGAAACAAAGTCTCGCATATGAGAAGAATGCTACCGGGGGCTGATTGGATCAAAAGCGCAGTAACCTAAAGTACAGAGAAGATATATGCCCCCCGTCTCTCTCGCCACTACCAATGAACAAGATGATGAGAACCACCTCGAAATGCCCACTCATTAAAATAGGCGTGTACCTTCGTAGTAACGACAAGACAAGAAATAAAAGGGGGTCCAGCCGCCAAGTCCCTTCCCCGTTCTCCCGCGCAGCTCGTGAAGTTTGTGGTATCAGTTTCCCTGGACCGAACACAGCCCAGGTGTTGTTCGGTCCGTCGTTATCGGTCGTTCCAAACGCCAATCAGTCAGTCAGTCAGTCAGTCCATCACCGACTTCCATACCCGGAAAAAGAAGAGAGAGAGAGAAAAAAAAAACCGTCGTCCGTCCGTCCGTCTTCAGCCCCTCGTCACCATACTCTTCTGCATCCTCCTCAAACTCACCACCACCGCGCTCTGATGCTCAAACGCCAACACGATCGCGCACCTCACATTCAACGCCGTCAACCACCTGCGTTGCCGCCGCATCGCCGCATCGTCATCATCATCGTAATCATCATCATCGTTACCACCACCACCACCACCACCACCACCCCCCCTCGCCGCGGCCCCGCCCACGAGCGTGATCCAATACAGCAACCCCGTCATATCGCCCCAACACTCGGCGAACCCGCAATCGCTCCTCCGCACCGCCTCGATGAGCCGCTCCAACGACACCGCTGCCTCGGGCGGCTCTCCCGTCGAGCGTTCCGAAGCCGGTGTCGTCGTCGATTTACTGACGGCTTCCGCCGGCAGCGACGACAGCGGCCGGCGGTCGACCAAGCTCTCGGCGTGCAGGAGGGCGGCGAGCCGGCAGGCCTCGTAGCGCCAGCGCGCCTGCCGTTCGACGTCCGTGGTCGGCGGTAGCGGCAGCGACTCGGCCGGCGGCAAGGTGCGGAGGTAGTCGAGGATGCCGCGCTCCTTGGACCATGCCTCGGTGGCCCAGCTGTCGCCGCCGCTGCCGCTGCCGCTGCCGTTGCTGTTGCCCTGCTCGAGCGCCGACGCCTCGGCCAGGTCGACCAGCTCCTTCATCTTGCCGACGAGCTCCAGGGTGCGCGCGTCGCAGCGCCGGCTGCGCTCCAGGGTCGCGAAGCGCGTGCGCGGGCAGAACAGTGGCGACTCGGGCACGACCACCACCGCCGGCGTCGTCGTCTGCCTGACGTCGCCGTCTGGATCGCGGTAGACGGAAGCGGACCGGACCGAGGCCGCGTACTCTGCGAACAGCGGGTCCGGCTGGCCCTCGCGGAAGATGGCCGACGAGTAGACCATGGCGGTGGCGACGCCGGCCAGCTCGCCCTGGAGGCCGAGGCGGTCGAGGCCGCCGCGCTCGAGGACGAGCTGGCGCAGCCCCCGCTCGTGGGCGACGAGGCGGGCGGGGCCCGAGTTGACGAGTTCGGAGCACAGGAGCTGGACGACCGTCATGATGGTCGTGTCCTTGATGCGGTACCAGCGCTCGTTGAAGGCCTCGTGCAGGAGGTGCGCCACCTCGGTCTGGACCATGGTGGTGAGGGTCGTGGGCGCGGGCTTGCCCGCCATGGCGTCCTGGTGGCTGGTGGCGATGGCGAGGGTGCTGAGGAAGGACTCGCGCGACTGGATCATCTGCGGCAGCCAGGCCCGCGCCATGCCTCGCGTGCCGAAGTACAAGTGGCCTGGGATGCAGTCAGCGGGGGAGCAAGTCATGACCGGTTCGTCAGTCATATGGACAATGCGTACAGTAGTACTTGACCGCTGGCATGTCGATGTTGCTGCTCGGCTGCGGGAGTGCTAGGAACGGATCGTGAGGAGAAAAAGGATTGGAAGGTGCGGGCGGGGCAAAGGCGGCGAAGGGTCCTATCATCTGGAAGGCGGAGTCGAAGAGCGGATTCAGCCAGACTCTGCCGCCCTGCGGAGGTTGGACCAGCATCTGCTCGGGGTGCTGCTGCTCGACGAGGGGGGCGGCCGGCGGGGTGGCTACGAAGCCCCTCTTTGGTCTCTTCACCATGCTCGACCGCTGGGATTCCGGGCTGTCGGCGTCGGTGCCTTGGTCGCTGCGCGGGGTGCTGCCGGGCAACGAGGCGGTGGATCTGGGGACGCGATATCTCTGGAAAATGTCCAGGGCCTCCTCCCTCGCCATGATTTGCGGATTCTCGGGATTGGAGTCGGCGGCCGAATCGAACCTCGTCAGGGTTGGTGTTCTCTTCTGGCCCAAGCCAGTGCTGCTGCTGCTGCTCTCCCCGCGCGTCGAAGCACCCAGGGGGGCGGCCGTCGACTTCTTGGCTCGGGGCGTGACACGCTGCCGGCCCTCGACCACGCCAAACATGACATGCGAACGGACGGTCCGCATCAGTTCCGGATCCTTGAATTCCTCGGGGCGGGTGGCGGTGACAAACTTGAAGCCGTTGCTGGTGTCATCGTTGGTGGGCGACTGCGACGAGAGGCGGCTGCCTGTGCGGCGGCGTGATGACGACGCAGCAGGCGGAGCTTGCGGCGCGGCAGGAGCAGTGCGCATGGCAAAGGGGTCTGCGAGATATATATGTCAGTCGGGTGGGGGTGCTGGCTTCGTATCCAGGCGTGGACGGCCCACCTGGCGAGCTCCAGGAGAAGTTGGTCTGCGGCATGGCGGGGGTTGCGAATTGGATGGCCATTGCGGGGTGATGCTGGGGCGGGGCGGGGCCGGTGGTGGGCTGCTGGAGGGCGCGATAGCTCTCGGAGGAGCAAGCCATTTATTCTAGCTCGGGAGTGCAGGCGGTTGGAGGCGCGTGGTGGGAGAGTTCATATTCATGCGCCGGCTGCCAAGAGATGAGCCTCTGCGGGAGAGCCGGGCGATCAAACGGGGGAGCACAGGGCGGGATGGGGAGGGTGGCAAGTCGGCGACAGGTAGCCATGTATAAGAGCCGGCAAGTACGTCCGTAGGCCCGGGGCAGGGCGCCAGAGAGCGAGGCTGTGTGCACGCTTAGTCTTGGGCGAGTCGGTGAAAGGCAGACAGCTTCGCGCCCGGCTACGTCAAACAGCGGCATGGCTGCGCAAAGAAGCACTAGGGTGTGTTGACTGCTGCATATCGCAGGCTGTGCGGGGCCCGTGCTGAGCCCTCTGCCCTACGCTCTGTGGAACCACACCCTGAACTTCTGAAGTCACGCCCGCGTCCGTCGCTAGCGCCGTCAGCATCTCCGCGCCCATGCTGATGGCTGCCCTCTCCTGCCTGAGCGCTGACGCGCCCGCGCCTGAGGCATTGCCCATGTTTCTCGTCCGTACGCGCCCGCGCCAGTCGAGCAGCCCGGCGCCTGCCGTGGGCGTGCGTCGTACGAAAAAAAAAAGAAAAAGAAATGGAAAACGGCGCTGCCGGCTTCGCCGTTCCTGTACCTCTGTGCGGGGGGTACGAGTGCCGGATAGGGCACCCTCCAGCAGAGCTCCTCGCCCAATCAGCGCCCGGGGTGGGGTCCTTCATTTCCACGCCGAGGCGCCTGGCACGCATTTTGCAAAAGCGCGCGCCCTCGTCAGGCCGGTAGCTAGGTACATGGGTTACGTACCTGCGCCCGCTCTCCACCAGACCGCTCCGCTTATCACTGCTAGTCTGCCAGAGCCACACGACCCCCCTGGCACACTGGCCATGGCTCGTTCCGCACACCGACGAGGCTTATTATCCCCCCGGTGCTTCGGTGCTTTGTGGCTAGCTGAGCCAAGCTCACGCCTAGGTTCAACGGCCCTCGGAATCCATCGCCGCATCGCCGCATCGCCGCGCCCACCCCTGGCCGCGACCCTCGGTCTGTGCGAAGTTGCTTGTTGACGAAACCGCTTGATCATTATTGTTGCTCCCTTCTACTATTAGCCGAACCCTGACGCGAAGTAGTCGTCATTACTGCCCGTCGACGCCCCGGCTTCGTGGGTCGCTGCTGCGCTACTCGATGCCCTGCCGTCGCCATTCGTTACCGCGCTCGCGGGACTGTGGCTGCCCATGCTGCTGCTGGATCCCGCAGCGAGGTCGATCCCGCCTATACCGATGCCGATATCCCCGACCCCGCTGCTGTCTCCGTTCCTCCCGCTGTTGCGGCGCGGGATCGTGAGCCGCGACTCTTCAAACATGAAGCTGCCCGCCGCCGGCTGCTTGCTGCCGCCTTCCGTCGGCGACTTGAGCTCTGCCATCTCCAGCGCTTCCCTCAGCGTCTCTCCCGTCTCGTCCAGCGCCATGAGGAACCGTGCGAGCTCCTTGCAGATGTCCCAGTCCTGCTCGAGCTTGGCTCGCTGGAGCAGCCGTATCAACTGGTGCGAGCTCGAGCTGAGCTCCTCGAACGTGTGCAGCACGAGCAGATAGCCGCCCGCCGTCTTCAACGACCCGCGCTGCAGCGACTGTTCGAACAGCTCTTGAGGCGGAGGCAGGTGCGCGAACAACGTGCGCCACGACCGCACTTCCGTCTTGCGCGTGCACTGCACCACAATGTCGAGATACTGCGGGAACGACGAGAGGAACGACAGCACACTCGGCAGAAGCGCTTGCTCCGGCGGTGGGGACGTGTCCACCTCGTCGTCCAACACGTCATGCAGCAGGATCTCCAGTGCATGCGGGAAGTACAGGAGATGCTGGTAATGGTGTGACAGATGCAACGCTGCGGGGGAGTTGTACTGCGCCAAGTGATGACGAAGCAGCGGCGGGAGGAAGAGGTGAGTCTGGGTTGGTCAGCTTGCGCGCCTCTCCCCGTGCATTGGGCGCCGTCACTTACCCTTGTAGCAAAGCGGAAGTAGGCAAAGCTGATGTCGCGTCTTTGCACCAAGTCTGACTCCACGCCGAAGAGGATGCCCTTGTTCAACAACGGCGACAAAGGGTAGAAGTCGACAGGTATGCTGACTGTCGCCGGAAGCTCCCTGCCAAGCTCCATCGACGCCGACACCAAAACGTCCTGCGCATCCGTCCAGAGTTTCATGTCTTGCCCGTCAAAGTACCACAAGGAATCACGCAGGTCGTGGCCCTGGAGGCTGTTGTTCGGCAGAGCAGCCGAGGGACTAGGTGGCAGGTAGTCTTCGTCATCCGCAATCTTGAACGACGGATGGTCCCGCATCAGCGCGTAATACTCCACATTCTGTGCTATGATGCGCATTTCGTATTTCAACATCCCTTCCTCCGTGGTTGTTGGCTGCAAAAGAACAAGCTTGCCGTCCACCAGGAACAGGATGGTGGCGACTGCAACATCCTGTGAGGGATCGCCGTGATCTGATTTCGGTCAGCACAGGGATCGGGACGGCTTTCGGTCCCACGTGGGACTTACCGAGCTGATCTTCCGGCAAGATCCAACTTAGTGCTCGTACTCGTGGAGGCGCCCGGATGATGCCATGAAGGGCAATCTGTCCAACTTGCATGATTCTGACCGAGGAATTGGCAACGTTGATGATGAAGTGGTAGAGGATGTTTTCGTATGTGTAAACCAATAGGGAATCATCCCCCGACGGTGCAACTAGAACAATGGGAGCAGGGAGCCGCTCCTTGTGCATCAGTTTGCTGTTATCCAATTCTTTCTCGCGCGAATAGATGCGGAGCTACGCCAGCATTAGTTGATGACTGCGTGTGATGCACGACGAATCTTACCTCATATGAGCTGTCCGCCTCGACGGCTGCGATCAACACATGCTGGTGCCAACACATGCCGCCCCGGACTGTGAATTCGTTCTCCATTTCAGGATCATCAAACGTTTTCCATCTTCCGCTAGTGACGCTGTAGTGCGCAAGCCCGCGGCGGCCCGCCACCGCCACGTAACGCCCGTCAGACGAGATCACTGCGCTACGTATGGGCCATTGATCGATGAGATACGGGGCAGGGATTTGGACGTGATGCCAAAGCGAGACTTCCGCGGAAATGGCCGTCAAGTCTGGCATGTCGTAGCCGCGGTAAATCATGAAGCCTGCATTCGTCTGGAGGAGAGACCTGGACACGTTCGCAGAGGAGAAGCAGCCGGCAACAGCACTCCGTGCCATCTCTAGGAGCCACAGCCGGTTGTCATTCTTCCCAAGAAGGAGGATTTCAGAACCGCCGCCAATCCAGAATCCGTCGCGAGCGCTAAGGAGCCATCTCTCATCGTTGTTTTCAGACATGAAGCGCGTCGAAGTGAAGCTGCTTGCGCCTGGCTTGCCGTAGACACTCCACATCATCCACCCCTTTTCGTAACCGGCAAAAAGACAATATCCATCTGGAGAGTACGTCAGGAAAGTCAGTTTTCCCGATGAGGCCGAGGTCAAGCCAGTCTGCAATTTGTGCGACAATGGAACGTGACCGTCGTAGTCCCTGGCTGTGTACACGTGTATCTCTCCATTTGCACAGCCCAGTGCAACCAGGGAGAAGCGAGCATTGATTGCGGCCTTGACGGCGTGGGTATCCTCTGTCCCTGGCTCGTGGAAGCAGTAACCTTTGAACAAAGCCTTAGATGCTTGGGCGTCGGCGGAACTTGAGGGGAGCCTCTGGACAGCATAGGCCTTGCCGTCGCTCATGACCCAAGCATACAGATTCATGGGCCGATCGTTCACTATGTCAACCACGGTCGTTTTCCTGCTGAGCCAGGACATCTTGCTGAGCAACTCGGTGCTGGTCTGGTTCCCATGGCTGTCGGGTGCCCACCGAATGCACTGAATGGCGGCGGGCTTCGCCGTCGCCACAACCAGTTCCTCGTCCAGTGCGAGGGCTTTCGCAATGCCGGCGTCGACTCTTATGACCATGCGGAAGCGGACACTGACATCCTGAATGCCGCCACCCTCGCCCGGACCAGCGAACTTGTCTCCGGTAACATGGATCCTGCTGCCGGAAATGCTTTGCCGGCGCGAATGGCCATGTGCGTTGGGGTCGAACTGCTGGCGGTAGACGCGGGAGTTGGGGTCGCTGGCGAGCGAGTAGGTGATGAGGTAGCCCAGGGCTGTCTGCACGACGAATATGGCGGAGTCGGGGCGTAGCAGGAGCGATACGTTTGGACCGTAGGTTTTGAGGGAGGCGGGCGAGCGCAGGACAGAGGCAAGTACTGCTGTGGGCTGCGGCTAATGCGTCAGCTGGTGCCAAGGCAAACGGACGCGGCTGGCTGTGAACTCACCTTTGTCTGCCAGATGGTCAGTGTCGAGTGTGTGATGGTGGCAAACAACTGGCCGCTGCGAGCGACGCGCAGGGCGATGATGTCGCCGTCGATGTCTGTCTCTGTGTCGGTCCCTTGCAGGCTGCCGTTGGTTGCGGTCGACGTGTGCGGCGCGGAGCCGTTCGGCCCTTGCGTCACCGTGGCATCGTGCTCAGCGCTGTCATGGTGGGGCTTCTGCTGTGCGGCGCGGGCGTGATGGGGCTCGTGATGATTCCCGTTGACGGCCGCGGGCGATGCTTCGTGGTTGAGGCCGTCGTCGGAGATTATGCGACGCTCTGGAGGCAGTTGGCGCTGGCTGGTGGCGTAGACTCTGGGGCTCCCAATGGGCCAGAACATGGCTTTCTAGGTCGAGCAGTGCCGGCATTTGGGAAGCTCCATTTCAGTCGGGGTTGCGGAGAGCTCGAGAGCCGGCGAGGAGCAAGCTCGGGGACGTGTGATGGAGCTGGCTGGGCAAGGTGGCTGCCAGGATGACTGAGGATCCGGGAGCGGGCACACCGCACGCACGAGCCCCACGTCGCCAGGACGCTGACGCCCTGAACCAGCCAAGTGCCGGCCGCCGGCCCAGCGAGGTCCATGACCTGTGCCCTGACACCCCCAGCCACGCTAGGCCCGCCGCGGAAAGCGCCTGCAGCCATGTCCATCCATCCATCCATCCATCCATCCATCCATCCACCCATCCATCCATCTTCAGGCGTAATTATTATTCTCATTGATCCAATCTATGATACAACGAATCGAAGCTGTCGTGTTAGCAATTTCCATTCCGTTCCTTCGCGTACCGCCTTGCCTGAAGCGACTGCCCAACTAACTCAACGACGCCATGCCCTGTCCCAGCGAACGAAGCGCTTTTGCATAAAAACAGAAAAGACTACTAAACAAGCCGTAAACGCATGCAGAACGAAGAAGTCGAAACGCAAACGCCCTCGATGATGCCGTACCCACCTTGCACTCAGAAACCCTTACCGCAATCAAAGACCGTTGCTCCAAGAAACACCAATCCAGCTTGTATCTTACACGCTGACGTTGCCCGAATCCTCGTCCACGATCGGCCCGTCTTCCCATCCCGCGAGGACCATGCCGTGGCCGAGATCGCCCTCGCCGAGCCGCAGGCCCTCGCATTCGCCGCGCTCGACGTACCCCTTGTCTTCGTTCATGTCGCGCCATATGCGCTGGAAGTACATGCGCAGCGTCCGCAACCCGCGCAGGTAGCCCTTATCCACGCCATCTGGGTCCGAAGGTGGACACGAAATATCTTCCGGAAGCTCGTCTTCAGCCGTCACACAGTTGGCAAAGTCGACGATCTTCAGTTTGATCTCAGACCTTGCCTTCTTTTCTTGCTCCAGCGTGGGCCTGTTGTCCTTGTCTTGTGATGAGCGGCGGCTTCTTGGAGGCGAGGGCCCTCCTTTTGGGCTGTCGCCCCGATCGTACAACATCAGCAGACTGCTTGCGTAGAATCTGTATCCAGGAAGCCGACGGATCATCCTCTCGAGCGTCGAGATCTTCTCCAGAATGACGGGAATATGCTTGGTTGCACTCGTGTAGCCGTGGCCATCGAAGAAGAAACGAGTGAGCGCATCTTGGAACTCTTTGCCGGCCTTGAGGTCGCGGCCAAAGTACTTGTCTTCGAAAACGTACGATTGGGTCTTGACGTTCCAGACTTGCATTCCACAGACGCGCACGCCGAGCTCACGCGACGTTGTCATCTGACACTTGCGTCTCTGCGAACGCTGCTTTTTCTCGTTTGCCTCAATGCCGTACTGGCGTGTTCCCATTTTCAGATCGAGAACGCAGGGCCGAGACATGCCTGCAGTGAGATCCTCAAGCAGGATAAAGTGCTGCACACGTTCGTCCGGCTGGGCCGCTTCCTTGGGGTTTGATGGATCTTCCACTGTGGGAAGGGGGGATGTGACTGGGTTGGCTACTGGAGCTGGAAGCATAGAGCCAGTGCCGGTGCCGCCGCTCGGTACTACATGGCCATTCATTTGGTCAGGTTGTGTAGGCTTAGCATCCGTAGAGTTTTCTTCCGTGGCTTCTGGCTTCTTGTCTTCATCCATGGCGAAAACGTCCTCCTCACCATCCCCTCCGTATCCATCCTCTTCGTGGTACTCAAGGTGGCCCCGACCTCCTTCGTCCAGCTCAGTCGGCCGGCGACGAAGTCCACCACCCGAATGTCGGCGCCGCGGCTGTCGTTGCTTAGCTGGGATGGTCTCTTCGACAACGTCTTTTGCAGAATCGAGACCGTTCAGCTGCGGCAGAGAAGGATATCTTTCCAATGATCTGCTCTCCCCGGAACCAGGCTGGTTCAAGAAGTGGCGTTCAGCCTCGGACTTGAGAACTTGCTTTCGTGGGCTACCGCCCTCATCAAGCATGGATTCTCGTCTTGTCGCAACATCCGCACTCCCTCTTCGAGCATGGGGGTTGCCACTTGATGCTGCGTCTGGGGCGAGGGAACATTTCCTACCGGGAAGGCTGTGGTGGCTCCGGTCGTGACGAAAATGGTGGTGAATGGTCGGAGGGGTGAAGACTTCTTTGAGAACTTGCTCACGGAGCCTCCGGTTCACGGTGGTGGCACCCCAGCTGGGATGGTGCTTCAACTCAGGTCGGGTAGGACTTGTGCCAGTGGAATGTTTTCCCGTGCGATTGGTAGCATCTAGGCTCTGATGCCGGCGATACTGCTGCGAAAGCAGGGAAGCGTCTCCTGTGTGCGGCCTGGGCAATGGTGCTCGTGGCGGGAGGCGGAAGAGATTATCTGGGATGATGTGCATGTTGTTCTCAAAAATGACTTGGGGAATGGCCGGTGTCATTTGCTGCGAATGGCTCACGAGCCTTGGCTGGTTATCGGATGAGCTACCAGTAGGTTTCGCTGGAGTTTCGAGTTCGGTGGAGGCCTTCTCGGACTGGTCCTTGGCTTGAGGCTCGATCTCTGACTTGACACCATTTTCTAGGTCTTTGGTACTCTTTGTCGCCTTTCTCTTCTTGGGAGCCTTCCGGTAGGTCACGTTGAGGACACCGATGTACCTATTATTCACAGTTAGCAAAATTCAAAGATCGACGTGGAGAGAACAGGGGTGCGGGCGGAAACGTCTTTGCTGAGATTTCAGCTTGGAGGCCAAGAGTAGCACAAGGGCGTGGTCTTACCTCGGTAAGAAATCCAACAGCTCAGGATGATTCCGTTCAACCGTCTCATAGAATTCGTTCTCACGGTTATTCAGTTGCTTGCACACGGCGCGCCTCGAAAACCGATAGACGGTACTATGGCCACCGACCTGATGATCATAAGGCTTGAGCTCAACAGCACCAAGTGGTGCCGTTGGTTGGTGACGGTGATGGTGATGATGATGTGGCTTCGGAGCTGAAGTAACCTCTTTCTTGTAAGAAGTCTGGGTAGGAGTGGTGCCCAATTCCTCAGTTGCACTGTCGTAGCCTTGTGTGGACTGAGCAGATTCATCGCAAGACTCATACTCCGAGCCAAAATCGGATGCGGTGACATCCGACTCGGACACAAAACTGAGATCTGCGTCTGGCGACCGTGGTTGGGCCTTGAGGTCACCATGCAGGTACTTTTGCTCGTCCTGTGTCTGCAAGGATATCTGGACTTCATCTGGAGTCGGGGTGGTTTCTTTATCCCTCCAACCTGCAGGGAAGCCTCGCGTAGAGGACCTTGACACGATTCTCTGCAGCGGAGACTCTTCCCGCACCGGACTTAGTTGCTCAGGAGTGGACTTGGTTGGCGTAAGTTGACGGTGAGGGAAGTACAGCGCCGAAGAGATGTGTTCCCTCTCCGACTCCTCGTCTTCGTCGGAAGCGACAGCCTTGCCTTCCTGAGCAGTATCAGCGTCTCCAAAGTAGTCGCTCGGCTCTTTGCTTGGGGCATCTGAGGTCGGTCTTGCACGCTGGGATTCGGCTGTCGACAAAGCCTGGGAAAGCGGAGTTCCCGGCTGGCCACCAGGAGTGAGATTATGGAAGTTCCTGATTTCCTCCAAGAGGTTTATTGGAATGCCGTGAGGCCTTATCGTGATAGTTTCGTCTTCCTCGGCTCTTGTACGACTAGGGCTACAGATCGGCTCAGGCGGCACTTGTGGCTTTCTTGGCGAGGTTGATATGTCTAGGCGCCGATCTTCGCGGATGGGTGTGCCGACAGGATCACTTGTCTTCTCGGCCGCCGGTATCCTCAGCTCTGTTTCGGCTGCTGCAGGATCGCGGCCATCCTGAGGCGCGACTTCCGCCAAACGGTCCTTTGCGCGCTCGTCCCGTTTCTTTTGCTCTTGCGCCGCTTCGTTTTCCTTGAACAGACCCAGGTAATGGCTGGCCTTGCGACTGCGTGCAGCAACGGTGCTTGGCTCTGCCTTGGGAAGAGTGGCTTCGATCTTCTTATCGACGCGTGTGTTGGTCGTCTCCTTCATATTCTGGTGTGCCGACACACTCAATGTGGGTTTCCCTTCCCGCCACGACCGATAGCGTACTCTCTCGTCCGTGTCAAATGCGTCGGGCGTGGGTGGAGCGTCGCGAGGGGTGCCGGTGTGTTGGTGAGGGGAGTCAACGGCGGCGGCAGCCGTGGGGGGAGTGCTATCTTGCTTTGGTGGAGATTCGGTCCTGGCGCCACCCAGAATCTGCGTTATGAAATGCCCCTTGGGATGCTGCTGTGTATTGTTAGTATGCAGGGTAGTGCTGTTTCTGTGCATGAAGTTGTGATAGTCCTCTGCGAAGGTGGAATGTTCCAGTGGCGACGAGGCATTGGCGGCGGACAAGAGGTGGTGGTGGTGGGCTTGCCGAAGCAACGGCGGGTCGACAAGCTTCCGGATGGGCGAAACCTCGGCCATGGCGGAGGGTTGGTCCTGCTCTTGCGAGTCGGCGGGGCTGGAGGAGGAGTCGGGTCGTGGCTGCAGTCGAGGCGACTCGGCCGGACTGTCGGTGGGGATGTAATTTGTGGCGAAGATGCTGTCGCGCTCGGACAGCTGGGGCCCGGCGGCGGGGTACAGCGACTCGAGAGAGAGCGGCGCGGTCCTGGAGCGGCCGGTTTGCGAGAGGGTCTTTGGTGTCACCTTGGAAGCGTCGTCGGGCGAGGGCGGCGACGAGGCATTGCGACGATCCTGGGAGATCCTGTTGGACCTCACCGGGGTGGAAGGCGAGGTATTATCCGGAGCAGAAGGCGCGGATGACATGGAGCGTACATTGGTCAGGCTGGCCGGCGCTGGGCGTGGGTGCTGGGGGTGGGCAGCCGCCGTGGTGACGGGGACTATGATAGCACCGCCCAAAAGAACTGGGCCGGCGCAAGGAGCGCCGGGATGCAGCAGGCGTGAGCGCACAGGGCGGGGTGCGGGCAGGCGGGCGCGGAGCGTACGAGGTATGGGGGCTCACGTAGCTTGGGCTGGGGCGCTGGCGGTGCGGGCGTGCTGGGGCGGGCGTGCTGGGGCGGGCTTGCCGGGGCGAGGTTGGCGATTTGTTAGAGAGCAGCGTTTGGCGTCGCTAAGTCGACGCTGTGAGATCAGCACAGCCCAACCACACACCACGGCAGCGCAGTCGCCGGCTCGGGCAATCGGCGCCTTGACGATCAGGGGCGCACGCCGTTAGGCTGCTGCTAAGTTGCGCTGCACCACGGGCTCGTCTTTGCGCCCGCCTCGCCGCGGCGCCGCGGAAGCGCTTGCGGTGCCTTGACGAGCCCGGCCGGGGCGCGTCGTCGGCTGCCCTGGAGCAGGGAGCAGGGCGAGCAGAGCTGCGGGTGCGGCTGCATCATGATGGGCCTCCAATCAATCATGCAGCGCGCCGCACGTTGTGGGCGTGAGCGCAAGGGCCCATGCCTTGCCGATCGCTCTGTAGGAAATCCACGATAATCGTCATAGGATACGCAGCCCACTGGCCCGCAGCATGCGCGTGGCCTGGACGCGTCCGGCTGATGCGTGCGGGCGTGCGGGCGTGCGGGCGTGGGCTCCGTGGAGAGCAGCGTGCGCACGCGCAGCCAGGGCGGCCCACCGCCTATCTCGAGAGCAATGGCGGCCGAGGGGCCAGCGGGTTCAGCGGGTTCAGCGGGCTTGCTCGTCTGCTCCAATCGGCAGCCATGCCAGGCGATTGGTGCCGCCGTTTCAACAAGGCTGATGAGCACGGCCAGAGCGACAGAACAACCCTCGCTTCGTTTCGCATCCTCCCCGATCAGCACCCACCTCGACTCTACTTGCGGCGCAAAAGCAACTGCAACTGCAACGCCCGCCGCGTCCGCTGCGGCATGTCTCGGAGCAGGTGCCTGGGCCGCCAGAGATGGGCCAGAGACGAGCCAGAGATGCAGCAGTCTGTCCCCTGCGGTACCGAGAAACCCTCGGCCGCCGGCGCACGGCGGGAAATTTGGCGGGAGCCCCAAGCCTTGTCATCCGGATCAAACCCACCCACGTGGACCGATTAGCTCGTCCCCAATGGATTCCGCAAAGCCGCGGGCAGCCTCTAGCTCTTGCTGCGGAACGCCGACTGCGTCTGGCCGAGGCGGTGGACGGTTCAGCACCCCCCGGATACACCGCCCCCTTGCGCACGTCGACTACTACGTGTATGAAATGACGTTAGGTGTTACGTGAGCGGCGAGCTCCACCGCACGACCGCGTCCAGCGGCCCGGGTACGACGGTTCGAAGACGGCAACGCACATGCAAAAGCAGAAACAACACCACTGTGACTGCGTGATGGTACGACGTGGGCGAGAGAGCGCAGCGCTTCGTCGCAGGCGCTTCTTCGGTCACGTACGCCCTGCGCATAGCGACGGCCGAAGCCAATGCTCTGCACCAGCTGCGGCAGCAGTGGCCCCAGTGGATGGGGATGGGGATTGTTTCGATTCGAGAGGCCCAAGCAGGCAGGTCTGATCACCTTATCGGCACTGAGCACTGGCCCACCACCGCCGCCGTTGCAACGGACAACGCAATGCAACGTCCGCCGTGTGCTCTCGCCTTGTTGCTCTTCACGACAGCAGCCGCTCGTGCTTCGGCAACCGAGCTCGAAGCCGGCGGTGGTTGATGATGAACGAAGCTGGAAAGATTCTCCGACATCGGGCCACAGGGCTGACGGGGAACCGGCCCCGGACTGTCCCTCGCACCCCTCGCACCCCTCGCACCCCGCATCTGCACTGTACCATGTAGTAAGCCAAGCCAAGCCGTTGCCGTCTCCTTGGCACCGCCTTCTGCGCTCTGTACGGATTACTGCACAGTCACATCCCAGAAGACCTGCCTGCCTGCCTCCGTTAACCATTATTGACTCAGAGCTGTTTAACCATTGCTCACTGTTAGCAGCAGCTGATGTTCTAACAGGCCGCTGTGTTTGAACGTGCATTCTTCGATCCTCGCTCCTCGTTCCTCGCTCCTCGCTCCTCGCATCTTGCACTTGATCATCTCAATCCATCAGCGGCCTCTGTCCTTCCGTGTCCATTCATCTCTCAAGCCTCTTCTTCCATCAACCATGCCCAAGTTCTACCCCTCCCTGTCCGCCGATCTGGCCGAGTGGCTCCTGGCACAGCCGCTGTTCTTTGTCGCTAGCGCTCCAATCGCGGGAGCTCACATCAATGTTTCCCCAAAGGGCGACCCGTCTCACTCCCTCGCCGTAATCAACCAGAACCAGGTTGCCTATCTCGACGCCACAGGCTCCGGCGCTGAGACCATCTCGCACATTTACGAGAACGGTCGTGTCACCCTCATGGCTTGCAGCTTCGGCACCTCGCCACGCATCATGCGCCTGTTTTGCACCGGCCGCGTCGTCGAGAGCGGCAGCCCCCAATTCGATGGCTGGGTTGCCAAGACGGGCATCAAACGAGGCGTCAAAGCGTGCAGAGCCGTCATAATCCTTGACATCTTCAAGGTAACCACCCTTCTCCTTTCTCTCCCGCCCTTGTAGTGCCACTCACCACAAACCACCTCAGGTCCAAACCTCCTGTGGTTATGGCGTCCCCGTACTGTCGCCCAAGGCCTCTCCCTCCCCGGAGCTTGGCCCCACGCAAAACCACGACGGAAACGCCGACCTGGAGTCTGACGCCGCAGCCAAGTACTGGGAAATCCGCGACACCATGTCTCACTGGGCCTCTAAGATGCTCGCCAAGGACGGCGCCATTCAGGGCTACCGGCGCCAGAACAACAGCTACAGCCTGGACGGCTGCCCCGGTATGAACTCTGCGCGCAGGGCTGGTGGCGAGATTGTGCTGCTGGGGAACGCGAGGGCCATGGTCAGGCGAATGGTGGTTGGCGAGTGGGGCGCGATGGTGTTTGGTGCGTTGTTGATGCTGTTGGGCATCACCATGGCAAGGGCAGCGGGTTTGGTCGAGGTCACTGTGAAAATCTAAGGGGGGAAATGCAAGTGTACTGGTAGGCTTTAGTCATTCTCACCACAGCCCAGTTTCCGTTCGATGGTGCACGACGCCAGCCGCCAAGTCAAACCCATCCAGAGGAAGCATGAAGCAGTTCTTAGATTTCGTATGTTTCTCAAACCGGTTTGGGCGTTCGTGCTGACAAAGCATTAGTTCCACGCCCTCCATTTACCTACCAGGAAGAAAGGTCTCAAGTTTGAGCGTTCAGCCGAAGACACCCTCGTGGCCTAGTTGTATGAAAAGCGTCCATGTGATCATCCCTGGATGTGCCGTAGCCTTTCATCTGGGATACTCCAACCGTTCCAGTCACTAGCGCTTCGGTCACCCCTGGCTCTAAAGTGCTTGTAGCAGCTGGTTGGAAGGAGATTGAGAAAGTGGCGACTGTGGCGGCCGTGGCGGCCCTCTTTGAAGATGGTACATAGCTTACCAATAGATGGACGAATGTGTTCGGGCCTTCACAACGTTCCCGCTATGGACAGTCGCCGATCACCTCAGAGCTAAGTGCGACTTCAGCAGTGTGGTACTCATCCTTGACTAGAAGGAAACCACTCGGCGATTTCACGGACGAGCACAGCCGACATGCCACGAGGCTTTCTCTACCTCTCACCCAAGCACGTTTACAATGGCGGGCGTGGCGGTGGAAACCGGAACAAGGTGCTGCTGCCTCCGATCAACTTCATCTTCAAGTTCCTTCAGACGCATTGTTCCTGCACCTCCGACAGAAGGACAACGTATCATACCAGAAAATCCGAACGAGGAGATGGATATCGACTGGTGTCCTGGTATTGAGAAGATCAGCGGCTGTCAGAATCCCGACTATCACAAGTTTTGAGCTCATCGAAGGTGTTCCCAGGGCAGCCGACATCCGACTGTGTGGAAATGAACGACGACAACCTTGGCGTAAAATCTCCAACAAGACTCAGCCGTTAGTCTATATGCAGGAGGATCCATTGGTAGGTATCTGCAGCTTTTAGACTACTAGTGCAGCACATCACAGCGAGAGACCCCAGATCAATAGTCATTGCCAATATAGACTACATCAACAACTTACGTCTGACGACCGAGTGGATCGTGTTCAAACAGTCAGTCCACAACGGTACGAGAAAAGTCTAGCGAAAGGTATAAAAGTGATTCGGACACGAGCAGCAATGACAGGCTAATCACCAAGGAGTTCTACTTTATTTCAGGCATTATTTAGGACACAGGGAATTCAAGAATCACTGGGGATAAACTGTTAGCCCGAAGTTTAGCTAGGCCGCCACCTGGCTTCTACAACCGCAGCTAGCGCTCTTAGATATTAGAACACCTCACCCCTCTCAATTACGTTACCAGTACGATGATCCTTCACACCCTCTCACGACCCCCTCTTCACCGCCGCACATTTTGGTGCTCAGAGATCTTAGCACCGTAAGCGATCAGACGTCCCATTTACTATCTGGTTCTGGTTGTTTGAACAACAGTCCTGAGCAGACAAAAGCAGGGGTCAGCTTTCGGCGTGGGCAAGCCTGCCCTCGGACTCCCCTTCCCCAGAGACCACAGGGGGCACGTCTGAACCGCCACCCACTTCATGACAACTCAACGACGTCACATAAAGTTACCAAAAGGCCAGGCCCAGCCCGCCAGCAAGACCTTCACCATGTTAACGCGCCGTCTATTCAATAGAACCGCCGTCGTAACGGGTGCTTCAGCCGGCCTCGGCCGCGCCATATCCCTTCGCTACGCGGCCGAAGGTACCCGAGCCATCTATGCAGATCCGACGCCCTCGACCCGGCTCAAGGTCTCTGGGAGCATGGATACCGAGACACATGAGTTTATCAGGCAGCGCGGTGGAGAGGCTGAGTTCGTCAGGACCGACGTAGATGTTGAGGCAGGGGCTGCATCATGAGTCAGAAGACCGGGGGTGGATCGTAAACATGTCTTCCATTATAGAGCTATTACGGGACCACAGAGCCGTAAGAGTATCCTCATGCTGAACATCCGAGCATTGCTGATTGAGAGGGCTGGAAGCCTCGTACTGTGCGTCGGAGGGTGTGGTGACGAGCTTGACGAGGCAAGCTGCGCTTAATTATGGCGTAGAGGACCGTATTCATGCAACGCTATATGTGGAAACTCTAATGGCTGGCCAAGCAAATGAATGTGCCACATGGAGGCGTCGTAGGGGCATGGAAGAAAGGTAGACATTTTGCCAGTATCCGTATTGTACATATTTCTCGCAGATGCCGTATGGATGCTTTGCATGCCGCTGAACTGACTGTTATTTCGGAACTTACAACAATGTTTCTCTTTGTTTTTAACGAGGTCCAGGAGGTAGTTAACGTGCTCATCCTGCGCTTCAAGCCTTGCCAGTCCAAGTATACATGGACGGAACTTTCCAGCTGATACCTTCACTGGTGTCATGTTTTCAGGTCAAGCATCTGAATCAACAGCCTTGCACGCGATGCTACAGCGGACGTGGGATGTGGCGTACCTCGGGTCGGGCAAGGGCTGAACTATTTGCTGGCGGCTTGACCATTACAAACTGCGAGGTTACGAGACCCACTCCACCGAAAAGACAGCGCAAAAGCTGAGATGCTAAGAAGAAAACTTCAGCCACAACGCCACATGCGTCAATCAAGTGTCTACGTCGTATGTACATTAGAAGACGGCTCTAATTTTAGGGAGCGAGTGATGCACGAAACTTCCAGAAAAGTGGGTTGCGAAACAATTTCTCATTGCCATCATCCTCGATCAAGCAAAGCGTGCGAGCTAGCTATCGTGTGCCCTTGGCGTTGCGTGTCGACCTGAAGCTAGCCTTTGCGGCCTCCCGTGTCATCTCAAACCATCGGCCCCTCCATCAACTGTCTTGTGTAAGGATGGAACTTGACCGCATTTATCCGCGGCTCGTGCTAGTTTTAGTCCCTTGGCCCCGCTTCTGCACTCTCCCGCCCTGTCTTTAGATCGATCCGAATGGGTGCAGAGACGGATGTTGAGAACCCGAAACAACGAGACATGAATGCGATGAGAGGTGGGCCTTTTAGATCGAAAATGCACATGTTCTTGCTGTCTTCTGCTTGCAGAGCCCTTGACCCCTCTTCTGTCAAGCCTGGCCATATTTTCCCCCCGTCCTACCCCCCACCCTAGCCTAACCCAAAATTTTCCATCGATTGTACCAACCAAGGCCACAATAAAGCACCACCCAAAAGAACCAAACGCCCTGAACCAAATGCTTGTATCCCTGCTTTGGCATATACAATCCCACCTCCACGATCCTATAATAAACCAACCCTTCCCAATTAAAACGCCGTGCTGATGCCATTAAGGCGGACACTGCGTTCCCAGATATTCCATGCCATAGTATATACAAGGCGCTGGAGGATCCAGGCTGACGCCTATCCGGTGTGCTAGTGCAAGGATGCTCGTACATATAGCGACCGGCGAACAGGAAAAGAAAGACATGAAAGCCCCTTGGAGCAATAAAACAGTGTCAGATGCCCAGTGACAATACTCGCACTGTCCTCGACAGCGTATTAGGCAGAACGGACCACCGCCTTGGACGATTACACCTGTTCTACGAAGCTCGAGACCCGCGAGTCTGTTTCAGAAGGTCTTCTCTTCTTCTGCAGCTTCTTGGGTGGTTGCTGAGCCCTCAACGCTTCCTCCGTGGGGCCAACAGAGAAGGTACCGGGCCGCAGAATCTCGAAACCCGAGTTGACTTTGCGCAAGACTTGAGAGTCTTGCGAGGAGTAGGCCTGTGGCGTGTCGTCATCGAAATTAGGGCCGCGCGGTTGGTACGTTTCGAGGAGCGGCACAGCGTGCGCGACCGTGTTGTCGGGGTGACTGTCGCGAGTAGGACTGCTGACTGATTCGAGAGGAGCTATGAACGGGTTGGGGCCTTGAGCGATCGGAGGAGTAGGCGGCGATGGCGGATCAGATACCGGGCCAGAAGGCGGCGAGGACCGACCCGATGTAGGCGCAGAACGGCTGTAAGGCGCATCCATGGACATGTTGCTCCAATCTCCGCTGCGGCCAGTGGGACCAGGCCGTTCTCGGCGGACCAAAGAGCCGGTCTCTGCCACATGCGACATGCGGTGGCTCTGGAGCAGACGCAGGTCGGTGCGGGGGTCACGAGAACGCGGAGCAACCACCATCGGAGCCTTGCCCGTTACCGTGGACCCGGTGGTGTCGTCGTCACTGGAAGGGTGCGCAGGGTTGTTATCACTGCTGCCGCTTGACTTGCGAGAAGAGCCGTTGGAGCTGAAGTTGTAGCCGTAAGGGTTGGCACTGGCAGAGGCTTCAAGAGCATGTTAGCTTTGCGCTACGAGACATGACTTCGCTTCCACTTACTTGAGCGCTCGTGCATCGCTTGAGCTTCGGCTTCATCGCCTTCAAGAGTATCCAAAGTTGCCGAGTGCCTCAACATGCTGGCTTGGCTATAACGGGTGTAGGCCGTTGGCGGAGGGCGATGGGCGCGCGCACGCTGACCAGAAGCACTTGAACCAGGCGAAGAATCACGGCTGTGGCTTGCGATTCTCTCAGCAGAAACGGCGCGATCGAAGCTGGAAGACGGGGGGCCACGAGACGAGGGGCGACTGGAAGAGCCACTAGATGGGCCAGCCATAGCAGAGCCATGAATATCGAGGGTGCTCATGGGGCGGGAGTTGGAACCAGAAGCTTCGGGCTTGTCCTGCGCCGACTGAGTGGGACTGCCGGGAACAGGTGTGTTCGTGCCGGAGATCCAGATGCCGTCGACCTCGATGCCACTTTGGATTGCGCGAATACCGAACGGAATATCGTCGCTAGATTTCCTTCTCGGTGCGGCGGCGGCCTCGACCATCTGCGGCTCTTGGTCCGCTCTTGCGCCAACCGGCTTGGTCAACTTCTTCATCTTTCGGTTGGTGTGGAGAACCTTCATCCAGCCGATGAAGATGGTGAGGACCTGTGAGGATTAGCTACGAGCACGGACGGTGACGCATGGGGAGAGCTGTCGTACAATTGCGCAAGCTAGCACCTGTCACGGCGAAGTGTTAGCCGTCGGAAGGGACCTCGCAGGCGGGCGCGAGCATGAACTTACGAAGGTCATCTTCTGCCATAGCGCCCAGTCGACGAAAAAGACTTTGCCCATGTTGGCGACAGGGTCCCGGTAGCGATAGCGACAGTGGGAGGGCTAGGTTGTCGAGTAGGTGGCAAAGTGCAGAGGCGCAAACGCGGTGGCGGAGGAGCGGGGTGTAGGAAGAAGGGAAGAAATTGGCAACGAATGGACGGCAAGCCGCAACGAATGTAAGGTGGCAGCCGCGGACTCGGAGAGACAAGAGTGAGGGTGATGAACTCGGGTCTTGGCGACAATGGTGCGAGCAGGCGGTTTGCTTCTCTTAAGGAAAGAGCGTCCCGAAGCCTCAACGTGGAGCACCCCCCGGCGCGGTTCGTATTGCGGCAGCTGGAGCTTGGCGGACGGGCTGGCCGATCCAGGAACAGGAAAGAGGAGGATTCTGGGGCTGATCGGGGCGGGAGAGAAGCAGCGGCGGCGGCGAAAAAAGAGGGAAAGCTGATGACGTGCGGCCAGGCGACGTCTCACAGAAAACGAGCCCCGTGAGCTGGAGGCGTGGAGGAAAGAAGGCCACCAGGGCAGAGAAGGACGGATCAAGGGTAGCACAGAAGGGTGTCGGCTGCCATGCTACGTGCAGAACGGCTGCATGAAAAGCTTCTCGCCGCCAGTCGGGAGGCCGGCGGGAGGGCTTTATTGGATGGCATACGGGCGAGCCAGGCGCTTCGTGGCCAGTGGTTCCTCGCCTTGGCTGCGAAATGGCCGCCGGGGCTCGCTGGGCAGCCAAGCCGACAAACACGGAAGCCCAGGGCCAGGATGCTGCTGCACCATCCAATACATGCGACAGCAGCGCGTCCCAATCGGGCGCCTGCAGCTGTGCCTGGCCCGCGAGCGCGGCGGCAGCGCGTCGCCCGCCAGCTGCACGCCCGCAAGCGCCGGCACCAGTGCTCGCTTCTCCGGGACGCCCCGCCGAGCGGCGCACGCCTCAGCAAAGCCCGCCGTGTGTGTCGCTGGGCAGGCGGCGGTGACGGCGGCGTGGGCTGCAGGCGCGGAGCCATGTTGGCTAGCAGACGCTGTGAAACATAGCCGTGGGACGTTTGGACGCCCGTGGCTTGTCGTGGCGCCCGGTCCCGATGGATCAACTGCTGAGGACGCCAGCCGAGCCAATCGCCCGCCCGGCACAGGACCCCCGCCGTTTGATCACCGCCAGCGAGGGCGGCACGGCGGGGGCCTCCTTGCGCGCGCGTCGTCGCCCTCGTACCCTCATCTATTTTCTGCGACTCGCCCGCCCGCGGATTGACAGCCAGCGCCCGCACGAGGAGCCCGCTTGAAGAGTCGGGCGCCCCCTAAGAATAGCCCGCCTAGGTCTTGCGCTTATGTTGCGTCATGTACGTAGGTAGATGTTCTCATCATGCCGTGTTCGCTCGCTTTCGCGTGTGCCACTGGCCTTTCAGCGCCTGCAGGTCAGCGTGCAGCCTGCGCAGCCCGCGTAGCCCGCGTAGCCCGCGAAGCCCGCGAAGCCCGCGAAGCCCGCGCAGCCGTCGTCTCTCTCAGTCCACCCGCCGCTGACATGGCGACACATCTGCAGCTTTTGTTCCATTGCAGCCTTCTCTGCACCGAAGCTACCCAAAGCGGCCTCAGCCCTCTCACCCGCCGTCCGATGCGTCGGCCATGCTCGATTCAGCCCCAGTGTGACACGACCACGCCCGACGCCTCCCATTGATCCATCTTCTATTACGGGGTCCTCCAGCCCGCCGTGGCCGTGGATCCGTCCGTATAGGCAGCCAAGACCGAGCCATCGTTGTGCCATCGCGCGTTTTACCTAATACGCGTCATTCCGATGCTGGACAGAAAAATCACCCGGCTGCAGCGTGGCGACTCCTGCAAGATTGTACTCGACGACCCGTCACGCCGTCGTCCAGACCCTTGGTCGTGGAGTCCAGACCCAAGAACCGTATTGTCGATCACGCCGTGTTCGTTGGCCATGTGCCGCTGTAAACGGAGCTCGTGAAAAGCGGGTTTACACATCCGTGCTTGCCGTCCAAACTTAAGTATAACAATCCCCTCTGTCGGCGCCTGAGACCTTGACCTCCTCCTCTGCAGCTTCGACAAGAGGCTGCGATGCATGCTAACGAGTAAGGAACAGCGCAGAAGTGCCACATCACCGGTCCCAATTCCTCCCATGGCTGATTTTATAACCACATCGTACGTGCGCACGCTCGAAGATGGCGTCACAACGGGCTGCAAAAGAATCGAGCCCCACCCACTTCTGGCTCACAGACATGTTCACGCGGGTAGCAGAGTCCAACATCTGCACGAAACCGTCCTCCCTCGTCCAGGACCCACGTGTACGACCGGACATTAAATTCAAGTGCCCCATGTAGCAGGAGTATAGTGCCCTTGGCAGAGGTCAGAGGGTTCAGATCATCTGCAGCCTGCGGTGGCGTGCTGTTACCTTCCCCGAACATCTGATAGTGGCAGCCATTGGCGGCTGCGGCGTCCAGGCTTTTCCGGTGTAGACGCTTAACCGGTGGCGCGCAGTGTGGAGAAGCGCCACATGGGCGCAGACCACGAGGACTTCTCGCAATGTCGGCTTGTCCGCAGCCCTCCGGTCGTATGTCCAACCACCCAACTTCTGTCGCGGTGCATGCCCGATGGGGCCATTGTGGGATGGTTTTCACAGGCCCGAGGTCGCCATCGTACGAGAGGCCGACAGGGCCGGCGGCGGCACAGCACCGCTCCGCACTCGGCCGGCTCACAAGCGTCGGATATCGGCGTGATTTGACGGCATCACGCATGGCGGACACAACCGCGGGCGCACGGCGCGCGCCCGAAGGGATGGACATGTACCTACGGGAGTCAATCGCAAGGCAGGCCAGATCTGGGCAGGTGGGCTCAAGACAAGCGCATCGAGGCCAATAAGGCGCGCCCGCCGGTGGGCTGGTGGGGTTACCTCTGCCAAGTGTGCCAGCTCCTCGGCCCTGCTCTTGTCGATCATTCCCTGCTGCCGTGCCTGCCGCCCCCGGCAGCGACGGCTCCGGGATTTGCAAGGCCCGGACACATCAAAAGCAGTCGTGACGCTTGCTCCGCGCCCAGCCCAGTTCAGCCCAGTGCTGCCCACTTCTTGACAGTTGCACCTCCCACAGACACGACTCCTACGCGCCCCACGACTCCCAGCTTTCGCTCCACCATTGCATCCATACGCTCAATTGCCTACCACCATGCCTATCCGCAACCCTTTCAGGAGAGGCCCCGGCGGCGTTGATGTCCAGGACGAGAACCAGCGCCCGAGCGTGGCCCGCGCCCGCAGCGAAGAAACCGGGTTCCAAAAGGCGAAGACTACTGGATCGAAGCCCATCGAGATACAGGAGAAAGAGTACAAGCTGAGCGGTGAGTTGCCTCGTCCGCCCGAGGCTCCTTGTCGGGGGCCGGTTCGGCGCACCTTGCACGTTCCTCCATGATATCATGCGCGATGCCGGGAAGGCTGTCACTACAGAGCGCAGCAGCTGACATGTCGCAGAGATCAACGATTCTGGCGTGTTTCTGCCGGTACGAGCACACAGTCCTCCCTGCGCTACGACCTCGAGTCAGGCGAATTGCGATAAGAACATCCCCCGCTGACATCACTGTTCCAGCCCTCGCCAACCGAAAAGAGCACTTTCTGGGGAGGCAAATCGCGCGCTTCCACCTCGTCAAACCATCGCAGCGTCCTGAGCGAAAACGAGCCGTTCAGCATTTCACGCGAGTCTTTCGACTCTTACCGCCGGTCCTTTGTACGTCTCCCTGATCGGAAGCGTCCGGTCGCGATATGCTCACAGTGACGATTAGGATATATCTGCTCGGTCGCCCATTTGCGAAAACCTAGATGTGCGGCCTCGTCAAAGCCTTGACTCCCGCCGCCTCCCGCGCTCTTCCCTGAACGAACGCCGTTTCGAACGACCGATTTCCACGACCGAAGAAGACTTCGAGGACGTCGGGCTCAATGACGAGCCGCGCCCCACGGGCGAGCCGCTGAAGCAGAAGAAAAAGAGCTTCTTCGCCCGGTTTGGGGACTCATCGGAGAACCTCTCAAAGCCTGATAACCGGCCATCTTCGGGTCTTGGCTTCCACCTGGTCGGAGGGAGGAAGCGGGGCCAGAGCGGCCAAGGCGCGGAACTCAGTCCGATGTCGCGGTCCATGGACGGTATGAACCAGGTGTCGGTTGAGTCGAAATGAAAGCGCGATGGCACGGATACGATGGGACAAATGGTGGGGGTGCTTTGGATGGTATATATAAGGTTTTTTTTGGTATGGGCTTGGCGTTCTATGGAAAGTCCCAGCGTGTTTCACGCGGCAGAGGAATACGGGTTCTCACGATCGTTTTGACTGGCTTAGGCAGGGCCCGTATGGCACCTCGGCGGGGCGATATACAATGTAATATATAATTAGAGCTGAGTCTTGTACACAGGCATTCGATCAGCATTGGTTCAGGCACCAACCCCTATCGAGTGCCAGTCAGCCCCCTATCTAGACCCTGAGATCTGAGACAACCCTGTCAGCAGGCACATGCCCCAGGTCCACAGGCATCCGTCTGCAGATTCAGGCCAGTACAGATGTATATAGCATTCATGGTACAGCCAAGGCGATGAAACACCCACCACAGAATTCATCTTGGTCGATCGGCTCGGAATTGCGTCTCTGCATCCACCACGTGACCCGAAACGTTGCACAGGTGCGTTGTTCTGTGACTGGACACGTCGGTGGTTCAGTTCTTAGGCCCGGCGCCATGCGGATCCTGGCGGGGGGATTCGCACGAGTCATTCGTCGTGGCTGCCGGCCGCCACCGCCCGCCAGACCGCTTGATCTGGCGCAAAAGATTCTGAGCCAGCAGGAAAGATAATCTTCGGTTCGCGAGCAGAGTGCAATTCCCTCACACCACACGCAAACATGGCCGGAATCAAGCGCAAGCAGACCGAGGCGCCCGCCGCCATCAAGGCCTCCGGCGACAAGAAGATCAAAACCGCGAAAAAGGCCTCGGCCGCCAAGCCCGTGAAGGAGGCGAGGAAACCGTCCAAGAAGCACGCGAAGCCCGCCGAGCCCGAGTCGGAAGAGGAGGACCTCGTCGAGTCGGACACAACTGAAAGCGACAATGGCTTCGCCGGCTTCTCCGCGAAGGAAGGCGACGGGGACGTGAGCATGGCGAGCGGAAGCGACAGCGACGTGGAGATGGAGGACTCGGGTGCTGCGAAGAAGGGATCCAACGCAGCAAAAGCCGTGACGGAGAGCGGATCGAACGGTATGTGCAGTCCTCGGGCTCCCGCTGAACATGCGGCTGTCCTGTTCGAACCGCCCGGAGTGCTGACGATAACGCGCCCGGCAGGCAACTCGAGAGAAGCGCACCAGAAGCAGAAGCAGCTTGCGAAGGAACGCAAGATGAACAAGCCGCTCGGCGACGAACTCCACCGGTCGAAGAAGATCTGGGAGCGCTTGAGGCTGAAGTCGCACGTCCCGAAGGATGAGCGCAAGAAGCTTGTCGCGGAGCTTTTTGACATCATCACTGGAAGGGTCAAGGAATTCGTCTTCAAGCACGATTCGACCCGTGTCATTCAGTGCGCCCTGAAATACTCGACACCGGAGCAACGCAAGATGATTGCGCACGAATTGAAGGGCGAATACAAGGCTCTTGCGGAGAGCAGATATGCAAAGTTCCTGGTTGGCAAGATTCTTGTGGATGGGTAAGCGCTGAGACTTGAAGCTCAACCCTCAGACCGTTTACTGATTGATGTCTAACAGTGACACCGAAACCCGCGAGATGATCATCTCTGAGTTCTACGGGTCAGTCAAGCGCCTGATCAACCACCCTGAAGCATCCTGGATTGTGGACGATATCTACAGAGGCATGGCAACGAAGGCGCAGAAAGCAAGAATCTTGCGAGAGTGGTATGGTGCCGAGTTTGCCGTCTTCAAGGCTGGCAAGAACGAGGACGTTACCGCGGATCTTTCCGAGATTCTCCAGGAGTCGCCGGAGAAGCGGAGACCCATCATGGATTACTGCCGCATCATGATCAACTCGCTCATCCAGAAGAAGATGACTGGCTTCACCATGCTCCACGACGCCATGCTGCAGTATTTCCTTGCCACCAAGCCCGGCAGTGAGGAAGCAACGGACTTCCTCGAGCTTCTCAAGGGCGACGAGGAGGGCGATTTGCTCAAAAACTTGGCCTTCACGAAGAACGGAGCTCGCGTTGTCTGCCTCGCTCTTGCTTATGGAACCGCCAAGGACAGGAAGAACCTTCTGAGGATGTATAAAGAGAACATTGAGATCATGGCCTTTGACGCACACGCTCATCAGGTTCTCATGACGGCTCTCGACGTCGTCGACGACACTGTTCTCACCACCAAGCTCATCTTCCCGGAACTCCTGTCTACCAATTCCAGCATCGAGGTGCAACAGGAGAAACTGCTGAACCTCGCCAACGACAAGATCGGCCGCATCACCATCCTGTATCCCCTCTGCAGCCGCGCGAAGTGGCTCTTCCCGAGCCCCGAGGACCTGGCCCTCCTCGACGAGGTCCACTCCATCCGCAGCACCACCTCCAAAAAGGACTCGGAAATCAGGAGGAAAGAGGTCGTGAAGGCCTACTCGGCAACCATGCTCAACGTCATCGCCGCCGACCCGTCGGCGCTCGCCCAGTCGTCCTTCGGCTGCCAATTCATCACCGAGGCGCTCCTCGGCGCCAGCGCCGACGACAAGGCCGCGGCGGTCGAGGCCGTCGCCGCCCTCGCCGCCGGCGACCCCAACGCCGAGGACCACCTCGCGCAGACGCCCCACGCGGGCCGCATGTTCAAGACGCTCGCCACCGGCGGCCACTTCGACCCCAAGACGAAGACGACGACCCTGGCCGACCCGCCGCTCGGCTTCGGCGACGCGCTCTACGACCAGACCAAGGACCATCTGGTCGAGTGGGCGACGGGCGCGGGGTCGTTCGTCGTCGTCGCGCTGGTCGAGGCCGAGGGCTTTGGCAAGAAGGAGAAGGTGCTCAAGGCGCTGAAGAAGGAGAAGGCGAAGCTGGAGAAGGCGGCCAACGGTGACGACAAGAAGAAGGAGAAGAAGGAGGAGAAGAAGAAGAAGGGGGAAGATAAAAAGGATAAGAAGAAGGAGGCGTCGGCGAAGAAGCCGAGTGGCAACCCGGGATCGAGGATATTGTTGGAGAAGTTGTAAATGGGCCGACGCGAGAAAGAAGAAAAAGTTTTTTTCTGTTTTGGAGGAGGGGCATTTCACTGGCGTTTTCGGCGCGGCTGCTAGGAAATATCTATACATAGTGTCCCTTTCTCAGTGTGCGAATGATATGGGCTGGGCATGAATAGTGTTCTGGCAATTCGTTCTTGAGGGGCGCGTGTGATATGTTGGCTTGGGTGAGAAGTGATGCCCAACATCGCAGAACGATGGGAACAGTTGAGCGTATCTTGACATCCAGCTAGCGTAAGCCACCGCCTTCGCAATACGGTAAAACGTGAAGGCGATAGCCCAGCCGTATTGTCTTTGTCTCTATGAAGCCCTGAAATATATCGACAACACCCGGAGTCTCGCAACGGTACATTCTGGTAAATCTCATCGTGTACACCCCACCTTCCCACTAAATCAAGAAACTCATCTGAAAGGATCAAAGAACTTCCAGCAGAAGAATACCTACTTCCCAAGCAATAGAATGTGCAGACGAATATGCATGGGGGCTGCTCGGCAAAAAAAAAAAAAAGGTAGCGTAACGCACGGGCTACAAAAGAAAAATACAAAACGTACAACAGCCGGGATTCCCCAATGGTCACCCACTTGAGTACTAATCGGCCGGTTCGCAGCTTGAGTACGGCTGAGCGGACGGGAAGCCCTATATTCTGCGACCTATGGTCGTACGTGAAAAACAGCATTGCAACTAACGTTTATGACTAGAAGTTGACTGGCTGTCCACTGTCACTCAACCCCCATACTCTGTCCAGTAAGTGTCATGTTTCTGACGTATCACCCACTGCACTATTCTGCTATCTACGGTGGTGACAGTCTTCGCTTGCATGATCCATAACCCAGCAGGTCCACCTGGTGTCCCGCGTTCTTGAGCGCTGTCTTCTCGTGCGGCTTTGCTGGCTGTGTGGAACACCCGCCATTGAGACTTACTGTTCCTTGCGGGTCTTTTAGCAGAAACATGAAGTTTTTGTGTCCTGATAGTCGTAACACGCTACCGTTTCGAAGCGAGCTAGTAAGTATTGTAAGGGAAAAGTTTAAAGTCGTTTCATACATTCTTGGAGGGCGATGTGCGCCTACTTATATCATGATATCAAGGGCATTATTCTACGTTATTGAGTACAGATCCAGTTGACCAAGTGTGGTGCCTATGGCTATGCACGACAGTTCGTCTAGTGTTCCGTACGTGTAAATCACCCGCAACGGTCTTCCCGGCAGTTTTGGGTTTTAGTCGTGTCAGCCTTGAGCCTTTGACCCTTGTGAGAAATGCACTCATGCGTATGACACTGTGACGCGTGTATCATTGCAGACCCCGCCCGCCCGCAAACTTTCAACTGCGTTGCTGACCGATGCTCTTACATCAAGGTTACTCCAGCGGCTCGCACCCCACCCCATAGGAAGGCCAAGAGCAGGAGGTTCCAGTACGAGAGGTGAATACGTTCCCGAAACATGCTGGTCGACTACCAGAGTCTGCATCGAAACAGGTCGATATTGGAATGTTTACCTCAGCGCGAGAGCGAGTCACACTTTGATAGAACCTTCCCTTGAAATCTTATTTTTTCTTACTCCATGTTGCCGGCCTTAGGGTCGGCACGAAATCAGGCGCAGACAGTGCAGGCCTGACCCCCACACACCGCAATCATCACGAAACGAACGCCGACATGGCGCCCAGCTGCAAGGGTCGGGATCCCTCTGAGATGATTTTGAGTGTATAGAAGTACGCAGTGTGATCTGTAACTGCTGCTGTGCTTGCAAGTAAACGCACTCGGGTTACTTACGCACCTCATTCCTCTATCCATTTTGTTGCGGACATCCTCAATCAACGTTAGCATGGGTGTCGGTCTGCAGGCTGACTGGATTAAAGCGTGGTCTAGGACCGTGAGTCAATTTTCCCATGTCACGTGGTACACTGTTTGAAGCAAATGAGGGCACACGTGGTGCAAACGGTGAAGACTATGGCAGGACCGAAAGCACGGGAAGAATTGCGGCGCCATATGATGTCCAACAGGTGGATAGGCTCTATAAGGAGATGAAACCAACACGAGTGCTGCGCTTACGGCGCGAAACAACCCTGCTGACGGATTAGCAATCAGCAATGACGCGAAGGATTCGATCCCAGGAGACTCGGAAAGTCCCAGCGGAGGCTCAACGATCCCGGGTGCCGTTTGCTTGGGACGTGAAGCGAAGTCGACCTTACGGAGGATAAGATCCGCGAAGGATTCTCTGGGCAAAGCAGCATTTTCTGGGAATTCAGAGAGGTTTCAGGCGGTGTCGGAGAGCTCAGCCTTCCGCCTATGATTACTTGGGCCAAAATCAAGAAATCGCAGGTTGAGGCGTTAGCATGGCATCCACCAACACTCGGTAGTGCTGCAGTGGCGCGGCACTGTCCGAGTCCCGCCGCAACTTGTAGACCACTTCCTGCACACTCCTCTGATTACTTGCAAAGGCCGGGCGAAGACTTGGCCGGATAGAAGACAAAGACAAAGATCGGTACATGCCGGATGTTGGGTTCTGAGTTTTGCGGGCGAATGAGATCGGAAGGAGCTGCTGCAGGGGACGGTGGCGTCTTTTCATGACTTTTTCCCCTCCCCTGCTCCACGTGAGCAAGGCACAGCTGCATCCCCGCAGACCGAAGATGGACCATTGTTAGCGTGCAGCTTGCGGATTGCTTGCCATGGCGCTACTGTACACTACCTGCCGGGGTGGCGTGCGGCGCACCGCTAAGCGCGACATAGAGGGTGGAAGTGAAGTGAAGTGCTTGAATAGGAAGTCTGTGATCGGCAAGCCATGTGTAGCAGGTCGATTCCCCCGCGGCTATTTTTGTAGTTCAGAGTGGAGATGGAGAGAGAGGAAAAGGCGGTCGCGCTTTGTCAGAAGCTTGGGCCGGGGAATGGGCGCCAGGTAGAGTTTGCTGAAGGATTCGAAAAAAAACCACGGACGTTGTGGACGTTGTGGACGTTGTGGACACGGCGGAGCGACTGGAGGAGCAGAGGAGACTATCTTATGACACCGAGGACCGACGCTGCATGCGGGCAGCGGGGAAGGCGTCGTCAACCTCTTTGTCACCCTCTGACGCTGCGCAAGAGGTCGGATTCGGATTGCGCAATGGGGAAGAGCAGGATGACTCGCGCGTCAGCAGGGAAATGAACCAACAGACGCAGCACCGGGATCCCGAAAATCAGGAGAAGCGGCCGAGCCTCGCGGATCTCGAAGTTTCGCGCAAATCATGCTCGCGTGGCCCACGCGGCTGGCTACGCCTCACGCCTCAGCGCGCCGGGCGCAGGCATCGCGAGAGCAGCGCTCTGGCACCGCGACAACGGCCCCCAAACTCAGGGGGGGAAAAGGCAGAGAAGCGCCGAAGAGGAGCGCAACGGCGTCGGCAGGGAGCGCGAGGGATGATCGCTGCAGGCGGGGTGGTGTCGACCGATTCCAATGGCATGTTGACGACGAGGTGTTGGATCGAGTCGGTGAGCGGCCGAATGGCGTGGCCGCCGACGACGCGCGCACAGCCTCGGCGCGCACGAGCTGGATCTGCGCCCGTCGTCGAAGCCTCCGCGCTCGCTTGTCTGCTTTGCGCAGCGCTGCGCCGCCACCAGCGAGCATGACCGAGCACCACCAAGCTCCAGCAAGCACCAGCCCGCACCAGCCCGGGGAAGCGCAATCTCCAATCTCGCCGTGTTCTGCATGCCCGGCCGCAGCATGTCATCATCGCGCCCCAATATTTGACGTGATTGGACGCGCATCCGTTGAGGCTTGCGCTGCCGGGCTAAGATCAGCGCTACCTGGCAAGGCTGAACCGCTCACTGGCGCGCAGGCATCCCCACGCATCGCTCCGGCCTGCTTCTGCCACCGCCAGCCTGCTCGTTGCTGTGTGCAGTGTCTGCGCGGCCACGCCCAGCCTCGTCCTGCGCAGTCCCGTCATGCCGCCACGTCCTGCCGCTCGACCGTAGAGGCAAGAGGCGCTGCCGCCGCCATGGAGCAAAAGAGACGGCGGCCTGTGTGTTGTGGGATGCGCCAAGCTGGCATGTGGATGGTCTCCTCTGTGGGGCGTAGCAGGCAGCCAGAGGGGTGCGTTTGCTGGATGGTGACCTGTGCTGCGGACGGCCCGTTGCGGCCCTACACTCTCCCTCCACCTCGACGCCGTGAAGAGTCAAGCCGCGACGGGGCCTCTCCCCTGCCTATTTTTATCCGCTCTCGTGGTCTATCGTGTCTCTGATACTTAACTGCCCGGGAGGCCCTGCTTAGCAAGGCTTTTCCAGGCACCATTTGCATCCACAGTAAGACCTTCCCCGGCCGACTGCAGTATTAAGCAGTGGCTGCTCCCTCTACCTTTCTCTTCCGCGTGGTTTGCCCTCTTCCGGTTCCCTTCTCTCCCACATAAAATCCCCCAAGATGGCCGGAACGACCACAACCGCGGACTCCGCTGCCACCTCTGCGGCAGCCTCCTCAACTGCGGCAGCAGCCTCCTCAACAGCAGCAGCCTCGTCTTCCGCTTCCGCCTCCGCCTCGGCTTCTGCTTCCTCATCTTCCGCTTCTTCGAGTGCTGCCGCATCGTCAACCTCTTCGGCCGCTTCAAGCTCCACTTCCTCCTCTTCGAGCTCAACAACCTCCTCCTTGTCCAGCAGCTCTACTTCCATGTCCAGCTCGTCATCATCCGCAAGCTCGTCCACAATCAGTGCCAGTGCCAGTGCCAGCGCCACATCGACTCCTTCGACGGGTGGAGGCTCATCAACTACCACCATCGTCTGCGCTTCCATCTTCGGTGTCTTCGCCTTCGCCCTCATCATCTCTCTGATCGGCATCTGCCTGCACAAGCGGCGCCAGCGCAAGAACCGCGCCTCGTTCGACGCCGAGAAGGCAAACATCACTCGCAGCTTCTCCCACCACCGGGGCGACTACAAGCGCGTGCGCAGCGTGTCCGACGTCGCCTTGATGCAGAGCGTCAGCAGCAACAACAACCCCTACGCCGCGGGCGCCCTGTCGCCACATGTCACCTCCGTCAGCAACAGCCCGCTGCCGTCACCCGCCATCACGCCTCCCGAGCGTGCCGCCCCGTCGCCGCCGACGCGCAACCTGACAAACGCCACCGACTCCACGTACTACACCACCGAGGAAGGCTCAGACGACACGACGCCCGACATCAGCGCCTTCACCATCGTCAACCCCTCCTCAGCGGCGAACCAACCCACCTCCCACCCGGCCGCGATCCCCACCTCTCCTCCGCCGCAGTACCAACAGGTGCAGCAACAACAGCAACAACAACAGCAGCAGCAGCAGCAGACGGACCCCTACAACCAGCCCCTCTCCCGCGCCCGCGCCCGCGCCACCTCGTCGAGCAGCATCCAGCTCTACATCCCCTACTCGCAGACCGCTCCGACCGTCTCCCCGCTCGCCCGCCTCTCGACGTCGACCCTCGTGCCCCTCCAGGTCCAGCGCACGCAGTCGCCCGAGAACCCGACCCAGGGCGTGTCGAGCCTGCAGGGCTCCCTCCACAGCAGCGAGTCGTCGTCGGCCGGCTCCGCCGTGCGCGACCGCGTCCGCAACCGCCACGCCTCGGCGCCCGTCATGCCGCCGCCCGCCATCATCCTCGAGACGCCGAGCCCCTGCGTCGGCAACGACGAGCGGCGCGAGCACGACGCCGCCGACGGCAGCGATGGAGACGACAACAACAACAACAACAATAACAACAATAACGGCAACAATCCCCGCCGCCTCTCGCCTCCCACGTCACCCAGCAACAGCAGCAGCGGCGGCGGTGGCGGCAGCACAGCGACCGGCCAGCACAGGCAGTCGGCCTTGTCGGCGCTGACGGCGGCAGCCGCCTACTCGCCCGCGGGCGCGACGACGACGGTCGCCGCCGCTGCTGTCGGGAGGAGGGCGCGCAGCGCGAGCGGCAGCTCGCTGCCGCGGTACTACTCGCCTCAGTCGTCGTTCGACGACGTGGCGCTGCGGACGGTCGAGGACGTGGGCAGCGAGACCGAGGCCGCCGAGAGCGAGGCGGCGGCGGTGGCGAGACGAGGAGGAGGACAGCGGCCGACCGTGGCTGAGGCGGCGCCGTTGTTTGGCAGTCGGGGAAAGAGGCCGAGGTTGAGCTCCATCGTTAGGCGGAGCTACGGACCTTGAGCGTTGGAAAAAAAAAAAGCTTCTTTATCTTCTTCCTTTCTGTTTATTTCGGCTGAGGAGGGGCTCTTTCTTGGTTTGGTGATGATAAGATTTCTATCTGTTTCTCTTTCTGTTTTATTTTGATGACGATATTCGGGAGGGAGATACCACGGTTGTTTCTGTTTCTGTTCCTGTTTCTGTTTCTGTTTATTTGCTTTTATTTTCTTTTTTGCATCGTTTGCAGCTTGTCGATATCTGCCGCGAGCGCCACACGGATTTTGAGGAAGGAAGAAGAAGACTCTGCAGTGTCAGCTTCGATACCCCCACATTAGGCCGGAATTTGATATGAGAACGAAGTAGTACGAGAATGAAGAAAAAAAGGAATATTTTCTTTCCTTCTGAAATAAGCAGCAATTGTCCTCATTGGGCTTTCTGAAATGAAACCTGGGTATATGCCGCCATGAAGGACGCTCGCCAATTGTACTTATGCCTCAGGCGCGCCTGGTTGGTCTGCCTAGAACCACTTATGGAAATCCCCAAGTTGTTCTCTCTCTCTCTCTCTCTTTTTTGTATACCAGACCGTGGAAATGATTCCTTTGAAAACCGTTTCCCATGATATCGAAACCCAAGACGCAGCTCACTCCTCGCATTGGGATGACGATCGAAGGACGAGAGACCCGGAATTTAGGTCAATCCGGTAAAGTTTGGGATCCTTGTTCTTCCCCGATTTTCGTTTGCAAACCCCACACTGAGAAAGAAGGAGGAGTGAGTCCCTTTCTAATCTTCGCCGCTCTTGTCGTTCTTGCCGTCGACATCCTTGGCCAAGGCTCCGGACTGAAGCTCCCTGCCGAACTGCTCCAAGCGAGCCTTCTCCTTCGCCTCGTCATCCCTCTTGCTCTTTTTGAACAGCTCCTTGCCGTCCGCGATGTAAGCCAGGACCGTACGGCCGTCGAAACTGCGACCGTTGAAGGCCCTCACGCACTGCTTGGCCGCAGCCTGATCGGTGAACTTGACGGTCACAACGCCTGCAGGTTCCTCATTGAACACGTAGAGCTTCTCAACTTCGCCGAACTTCATGGCTTCCTCCATGATGTCTGCCTGAATGTCGTCTTCGGCCTCGGGGTCCTCCTGTGGGGTGTCAGCCCTGCTACTTACTTCATGTTTCCCCCAAAGGCCATACCTCAAGCTCGTGGAGTGTGAACATGTGCTTCAGGATGACAGTCTTCTCCCAGCGCGTGCCAGCGCCATCAGAAGCAGTGGGAAGCTCGTAGCCATCATTGTCACCCCAGTCGGTCAATTTGCTATGAGGTGCCGTCAGCATCAATGTGACCCGAGACTGCAAGAATGTAGAGCATACTCCTGCATCTCCTTCCTCTTTGCATCAGCCCTCTGCTTGTCCGTCTTCTTGGGTGCCCAGGCTGGCTTTTCATCGCCTTCGACCACCTTCTGTTTCTTGAAGGATGAGTCCGCGACCTGAACCCTCATATTGCCATTGGCGCCTTGCTTGAAGTCGAAGGCAGTGTCATCTAGCATGTTGATGACCATGGGAACAGACTCGGGGCGGTAATAGATGATCAGAGCCTCGCCCTTGAAGTTGCCTTGCTCATCGGTGTACATCTTGATCCTCTTCTTCTCGCTGTCCGGGCTCTCGAGGATGATGCCATACTTGGAGAAGACTTTGTCGATGTCTTCGTAGGTAGCATCCAGGGGGATGGACGTAGCGTAGACGGCGGAGCTGGCGCTGGTTTGGGGATTCTTCCCCTGACGCTTTCGGCGTTTGCGAGGCTGGTTTAGCTGGGGGGCAAACGCACTCCTAAGACGGGGTGGGGATGTGACTTACACCCTCGCCTCCGCCATTCATCTTCCTCTTTTTGGCCTTGATTTGCTCGCTGACATCCTCAGACTCGTCGACACCAGCGACCTGGTAGGCTTTGCCCTGCTGTTCCAAGAGATCCTTGTCCACCTATTTCCGGAAACCCATCGGTTAATCTATTCGGCCCTCGACAATCTCACACCGGCAATGGTGCGCGCTGGGCAGCCCGTTGCAACCAGAAACCAGACAAGCCAGGGATGGGTTTGGGCTTCGCGGAGAGGATTTTGATTTCCCCCAGTGTCCGCGGCAGAGGGGGAAGCGGGGCGTCAGCGTACCGTAGGGACCCATCTCTTCAGCCTGTCGTCAAACTCCCACTCGTTGCCGTTGGCCTCCTCCAAGATGAACTTATTGTCAGGCTTGGACCAGGAGATGCGCTCGTCCGCATCGAAGTCCTCGCGGTTCCTCGGGAACTCGTTGCGAGCGTTGGCCATTGTCGGTGTCGGTGAGCGGCGCGACCGCGCGGAAACTGACGCGATAAGGCTGCAGAGTTGTGCACACAGCCGCGAGCTCGGCGATCAGAGCGCGGTATCCAGCACGGCCGTTAAGTTGAGAGGTGAAGCGGACGGATCGTGTCGTGGTTTGGAAATCCGACCGGTGGTGTCTCTGGTGAGGGCGCATGGAGCTCAGTCGCGGAGCTCTTTAGCGCATTACATCACTAGCGGCTTGGCGCTAAACATGCACGCCCGCCGTTGGTTCACGGCACGTTGCAGAGCACGGAACGCGATCGCTATGGCGCCCGCTCATTGGCTATTACGTACTCACGTCTTCCACCAATGCTGGCTGCTGGCCTGAGATTATTATCTACTTTTTACATCCGCCCAAATGCACATCTAACCAAAGACCGTTTGCCAAAAATGCGGGCCAAGCAGCTACGAGAAAGAAAGGAAGGACGGCGACGCGTTACAGCCTCGCCGAAAGGGTATCGAGCTTGCCCAAGACCACCAACTGACGCCCCAGGTCGTTCCAAGGTATCTACAGCATAACCTGTGAAGCAAGCCAATGGCACTCGGGCATAATTGACCAACTGAAGAAAAACGCCTAGTGGAGGGGTTGCTGCGAGCCCATCGAGTCATGGTTCTTCTCGTGGCCCTCGTGGCTCGAAGTGCGCACAATTGAGTGACGAGACATGGCGTCATCATCCTCAGGGGTCTTGGCCTCACGAGCAAGCTCAACGTAGTCGTACGCGAACTCACCGATCTCGACGTCGTCGATACCGAGAATTTCCTCCTCTTCGGTGGCACGGAGCCTCAGGGCTGGGATCCAGGTGCCCAAGAAGCCAAGAGCACCCAAGATGATGCAAGTTCCGCCGAATGAGTAGGCGCCGCCTGCGACAGAGTCGGCAAGCTGGTAGCCCAGCTGGATCCAGTTGTGGTTGAGCCAGCCACCATCAATCTCAGTGGTGCCATCGAGGTGAGCGATGTAATCACTATAGCACAATTAGGTTGTTTCACACAGCGATGGTGAGGAAGCGGGGAAACTTACGCGGCAAAGAACGCAGTGAGGATGTTCCCGACGAAGCCGCCAACGCCATGGACGGCGAAGATGTCGAGGGCGTCGTCACAGCGGAGAAAGTACTTGAGCTTGGTAGCGTAGTTGCAGAAAGCCCCGCCGCACACGCCGAAGACAACAGCAGCCCAAGCAGGCACGAAGCCAGATCCGGGGGTAATGGCCACGAGACCAGCAATCACACCGGAGCAGAAGCCGACAGTAGACCACTTCTTCTCAAGCCTGTAGTCGACCAAGCACCAGGTAATGCCACCAACGCAAGCCGCGAGGTTGGTAACAACAGCGGCCATCACAGCGCGGACGTTAGCTGCACCGGCAGAACCGGCGTTGAAACCAAACCAACCAACCCACAGGAAGACGGTGCCGATGACGATGTGAGTGACGTTGTGGGGGCGGTAGTTGAGCTCTTGGGTACCGTGGCCACGCCTCTTGCCCAACATGTAGGAGTAAGCCAGCGCAGCAGTTCCGGACGCGATATGAACGGGAGTGCCTCCAGCGAAGTCAATCGAGCCCATGTTCGCAGCCCACCCAGATGGGTTCCAGGTCCAGCAAGCAATGGGGTCATAGATGATCGTCGACCAGATGAACATGTAGATGACGCAGGGGAGCATGCGACCACGCTCAGCAACGGCACCGACGGCAAGCGCAACACTGCCAACATTTCATTATTTTTCGGCATTGCATGGGGACGGTGGTTCGTAAAAACTTACGTGATAGCGGCGAACATGCCCTGGAAGATGGCGAAGAGGAGATCCGGAATAGTGGCAGCCGCAACGGAAGGAGCGCCAAGGACGTTCCTGAAACCAATGTTCTCGAGGTTGCCGATGTACTTGCCTGCCGAGTGCGAGAAGGCCAAGGAGTAGCCCCAGAAGAACCACTGGAAAGACACGACGGCGGTCGCCATGACGGAGAGCCAGATCAAGGAAAGCGCCGACTTCCTACGAGCAAGGCCGGAGTAGAAGAAGCTGGGCAAAAATTAGCGAGGCGAAAGCTTAGCACTGAGATGCTACGTACCCGACACCCGGAATCATGAGCAAGACCAGAGCGGTCGAGGTGAGGATCCAGGCAATGTCGCCCGACTGTCATGATGCGCATCAGTACGGGTGGCTTGCCAGTGGGGCCCGAACAAGGTACTGACCTGGTAGTAGACATTGAAGTCTTCCGTCAGACTGTCGCCGCCGGTGGCCGGGGCATCGGTAGGGAAGGCCTCGAGCGGGACGTAGGGCAGAGCGGAGGTGGCAGCGGCGGACATGGTGGATGGTGCTGGCGCGTGCCGGTTCAGACGGTCGGGTTACGAGGAATAGGGAAGGCAGCGGGAGCTGGACGAAGTGGTTCTTGCGGACGTCACGGACGCCGGGAGGCGGGAGGCAAAAGAGTGGAAGGGTCGGAGGCCGCAAGTGGTGTCGAGGAAGCGGCTTTGTGGGGGAGTTAAAGAGCAGGCGTGGACGTCGATCGCGGTAATTCGCTCCGGATCCGCGTTGCGGGAGGCGGCGGGAAAAGAAGCGAGCTAACGAGCTTGACACGCGAGGCAGTAACGGGCGCAACTGTTATATGAAAGGGCACCTCTGGTGAACTAGGAAGCTGCGCTGCAGGGCCTCAGCTTCCGCTCATTCCTGGGCGCGGTGCCCAGCCCGCTAGGCCGCGGTGGGAAACGGGGTCGGACGCACGAACGGGCGCACCGCAGCCACAGATAAGCAGTGCTGCGAGAGCCAATCGCGGGGCCGTCTGCGGCGCAGGTCGAGCCACCCCCGTGGGATGGCCGATATGGCCGCAGCTCATCATTCACTTTTACAGGCACCAAACCACCACGCTCGATAGCACCTGCCACCGACCTCGACGACGAGCCGCGGCCCAGACATCCGCCCTGTGCTTCGGTCCCGGGTGTCCACTGCCCCTGCCCGCGCTCCCGCGACGAATCTGCTCCGACGCACTGGGCCGGCGATATGATGCCACATGCCGCTGTACTGCAACCAGGGCGCGCAGTTGCTGCCGCCGCCGTGGGTTGTGCTGCGTCGTCTGCTGCATGCATCCTTCGCCGCAACGCCCGTGGTCCTTATCTCAGCCGGCTCCGCGCGGGCAAGGCGGACGCCCACGCCGCTCGCTCCACGCCCTTGCTTAAGGTTGGCCGTTGGAGGCGAGCGCCCGCGCCGCCGTTCCAGGCGCTCTCGGCCTACTGGCAACCACCGAGCGGCGGGGCTTGAGCGGGTCGTCGGCAGCGTTCCATGCAGGCGAAGATCATGGGGATCAGGCTGCCAGCTCGCCCGCCTGCAGTCTCTCGTGAGATCTGCCCGCCCGCCCCCATGTCTTGGAAGTCCTGTGCATCCTCTTGTTCCGCTCGTTTCTACAGACTTTCCCTGCCCAGCGCCGCCAAAACGCCGCCCGTCCCCGACTGGGCCACTGTGACGCCCTGACGTCTGGGCGCTGCGCGTCCCCACGCGAGTGCTTACTCGGACCCATGGCCGGCTGCTTCGACTGGGAGGGCCCAAAATACCACCATTTACGTCCGTACCTGTGCCCCTGCATTGGATGCTGCTCTAGCTGATGGTTCGAGTCGCAGGTTCTGCACCTGTTCTGCTGCCCGGCACCCGCCGGCTTCCCGTGCGTGTTGGGGACACGCGCCTCTGCGGCACCACAAATCTCCGTCCAGCCACTGGCGCAAGGTGTTGCGACTCTGATCGAGGGCTTACCCTGTCTGAGCCATCTACGCCTTGGTAAGCGAGGGGCACAGCTGATAACCGCGGCGACGGTGATTGGCGTACGCCATCGAAAATAGAGCGACAACCCCAAGTCCGGGGCTTTCCTTGGCTCCAGCTGCTTCTTTGCGATAGTTCCCCGTGGTGCCTCGTGTCCATCCACTTCCGGAACCCCGTTGCTGGCTGAAGTAAATAACTGCACGGGCAAGCCATGCTTTTTCCCGCCCGCTGGCGAGACCGTGCTGCCCCTTCATCAGGCGAGTCTTCACACCAGCCGTCGCTGGTGGAAGGGGCATAGCTTTGACTCCTCTTTACCGCTAACTTAGAATGCCGATGGGGCCGTCCGGCACTGACCTTGCAGGAACGTCGTCGCTGGTCCTGAATAAAGAATTGCAGAAGGCCGTTCGTCAATACACCATCAAGCGTACTTCTCCCATCTCTGGCGGGAGACATCTCCCAGAGACACGATCCTTCGCTTTGTCCGATGTCTGTTTTTCGAAGCGGTGAAGGTCTTGCAACCGAGGAGTTGAGGTCGCACAACACTGAATCAGATCCGGCAACACGGCTGCGACAATGTGGACCCCCCGTGCCGCGGCGTAGGACACAAAGACCGGGGACTGTAGCCACCCGTCACGATGCTACTCCCTCCCGCCCATCGATCATGTTGATTGGTTGGGAGAGGTTCCCTCGTTGTCCGCGTATCAAGGCCCCGCCACTCGGAGTGAACTTTACTTCTGGCGTCTGAGGTCAGCAGAATTCCGCGTGGACTCGTCACGTCCAATCTTGTAGCCCAAAACTGCGAGTTCCTTCTATATTCTTCATTGACACCGTCAAGCCCATCTGAGTTGTTCCACGGCGGTTGGCCCCCTCGCTGACTTGAAGGCGCTACGCTATGGCGGCGCTCTTGAAGTCTGCTTTACTGTACCCTAACAATGTCGCACAAGGAAGCGCCTGCCTGAGGTTTTGCTTGCATATGCGACCTTGAACACAGCATTGACGACGACACTGCAGGAGGCGGACTGCGTTGTTGCAGCACCACATGCGACATCTGCCCTGGCATGACGTTGATTTCCTGCATTTATTCTTGCTTTTGCTGCAACCAGTGGCAGTTTGAGATCAAGGGTAGCCGAGCCAGTTTTCGAGATTGTTCTTCTCATTTATCGGGCATTTTGATGGCAGTACCGGGCAGCTAGGAACCTGTCAGCTCGCGTGCGCCCGCCATGTAGTAAGCGCTGCTCCTTGATGCTGACCCGTAGCGTCTCCTACTAACGGTTTTTGACTTTACTAGGTAGACAAGGAGAAACGGTTGTCTGCGTGCGAGCGAGTCGTTGGATGAGGATCGGCCAGATTCCCTAAAGCAGCAAGAGATCCACTCCTTGTACGCTGGGTCGGGCCAATGGAGCGAAACAGTACCAAAAGGCAACTAGCGAGAGAACCCTTCTCATGCTTCACAGAGTACACTCCTACACGAAGCCTCTTGCACCCACCAGGGGACAGCATGATACATTGACGTGTCCCACGCGGCGGATGAAACCCCAGACTGGCTCACGCTGCTCGAGCAACGTTTAGCAAAAAAAAAAAAAAGATTGCATTTGCGGGGAGTTGCTGGGATGCGTTCGCTGTCCAAAGAGAGCACTTGTGACCCAGAACAACCCCCCTAAGCGTCTTCCGTACAAGGCTCCCAACGCTTGTCCCAACAGCTTATAGGCACTGGCGGTCCGTAGAAGTCAACCGTGCGCAGCTAGTTCTGGAGCCATGTAGGATGGCGACCGGGGGAGTCGGAGGTAACTGCTGCGTTCATGGAAGACATTGCACACGGTAGTTTTCCATCCACAAGCGTGCTTGAGCTTTCCCATGAGTCCCACGCTCTGCGAGACGATTGCGTATTACCGCATGAGATCGCAACGATCACCGAAGGCGTCTTTCATGGGGTGGGTGCTGGCCGTGTCCGGCTGACTCCACTAGCACGCCGATGCTGCTAGCCGCGAGACAGATGGCAAGATCGCGACAGAGGCGCTGGATCGGAGTTGCGGCGCGAAGCCGGGGGAAACAAAGAGTGCCCGGTGGCGGCCCTGGCGGACGGAAGAGCGGACCATGGGCGGAGGCGTCAGCAACGCGGTCTTTCGGAGGCTCTCACGGCAGGCTTCACTGAGGGCCAGAACGGGGGATTTTGCTCCAACCGCGGCGGAGGCTGGGGATCCACGTGGAGAGCGGGTCCTCGGAGGGCGACCGGCGGGCGAGGTGCCCCAGCCGCGGCACGCACCGCAGGACTTGGGGCGGGCCATGGTAGGGCTATGGTAGGTTGCGGTGATTTGACGGCGAGTGGTGCCGTGTGGGCTGGAAAGGAGCCCCGAGAACCTGCTTTCGCCGGGCGCTGGCAGCAGGGCACAGACGGGCGCGACGGGCGCGACGGGCGCGACGGGATCGTCTGGTTGCGCCGCTTGTTTTTGCGCGTTGGCAGTGCGTCCCATCGCCGGCTGCGTGCTCTCGCGCCCTCTGTTGTCTGGCTTTGTTTAATCAAGCAGAAACCTGAGCGTCGCTCCAGGCTCTGTCCGCGCACCGCCACACGCCGAGGCTCTGCTCCCGTTCCCGCGCGCCGGAACCTACGCCCAGGGCCGGCTAGCTCCAGGCCGATCGCCTGCACTCATGAGCTCCAGCGAGCCCACCCAACGAGGCGTCCGCTTCACGGAGCCCGAGCATGACAAGAGCCAGCCCTCCGCACCCGACGACAGTCTAGCAGCCGCTGCTCCTGCTGACCCGACCATGGACGCACCTGACCTGCCGCGCCACGACTCGTCGACCTCGGGCTCAGGCTCGAGCGGCGAGTCGGATCCAGAGCGCGCACTCGGCGAGCGCATCGCCTACGACGACGACGACGTCGACGGCCAGTACGAGTTTGCTCCTGCCGTGTCGACCACCCCGCGCGATGAGGTCCCGCCCATGGCTGGTGCCGCCCCGTACGGCTACGCTTCTCGCTCGCGAGGAGGCAGCGGCGGCGCCCCGAACGGCGTGGGAGTGTACGATGCCGCGCCGAATGCCCAGCTCCAGCCGCCCGCCATGAACAGCGCCCGCCCGCCTCGCCCGTCGGCCGTCCGTACCCCGTCCAATGCATATGCCCCTCAGCGGCGTCCCCAGCAGTATTCGCTGGGCAGCAACGGCGCCCGCCACCGTGCCTCGTCGACGAACCGCGGCAGCCGCCGCAACCCGAATGCCGAGTACCGCGCGCAAGAGAAGGCCTATGTTGAGCGGATACGGCAGGACGCGCCGGACAACGACGATTTCTTCAATCCCGACCTGCGCACGCCCAGCCTAGGCTACAGCACCGAGGACTCGGAGACGGACGACGAGTCGCCGTCCACCACCGACTACCTCGAGAACGACCCCTATGACCAGGAGACTCTGCTGTACTATGGCAACGACGACCTCGAGCCGTCGGTGGAGGAGCTCAAGATCCCCGAGAACAGGGAAAGGCTGGAGTGGCATTCCATGCTGGCCAGCGTTTTGACGGGCGATGTCGTCAAGCAGGAGAAAAAGCGTCTCATCGGCGGCGGCGAGCAGCAGGGAGACAATACAATCAAGACCGAGATCTGGATGGGTGTTCGTGCCAAGTGTTGTGGACGCACTCTGCAGGCCCAACGGCGGCTCATCGACGACGGCCGATCGAAGGCCAAGACCCTGATTGAGGGAATCATCACCTTCGAAATCAAGGGAGAGGCTGAGGTCGGTCAGACGGCTGCACAGCAGGTTGCAGATATGGTCCAGAAGATTGGGAAGTGCGAAAGCCTTTATCCTACCTGGGAAGCACTGGAGCACGCTCAGCCTCGTGCAGCCTCGGCAGCCTTCCGTGAAAGTTGCGATGCTGTCATCTCGTGGCACAACACCACCCAGCTCATCAACACGGAACTTTCAATTCTGAGGAGCTGGGTTGGCAATGATGAACTGGACTTCTCGAAGAGGAGGGACCGCATGGAGAGAGACAACCACCTCACTGACGACTCCTCCTTCATTGACCGGATCCTGAAGGAGGATGGCCTGAAGTCTCTTCAGAGCAAAGACAGTCTTCTAGTTGGCTTGAATAACGTGATCAACAAGGCGAAAGCCACGTTGATCGCCAATGCAAGTGCCTTCCAGGAACGTCATCTTCCCCCCTATATCGAGGAACTTCTTACCCTGATCAACTTCCCATCACGCCTGGTGCAGGAGATTATCCGCATGCGCCTGTCCTACGCTAAGCGCATGAAGGATCCCGCGCAGCAAGGTGTGATGATGGCTGAGCAGATGATTGCTCAGTTCCAGATCCTGCTCAAGTTGGCCATCAGGATCAAGGAGTCATACACCGTGGTCTCGCAATCCGAGCCTGGTTGGGATCCTCCGCCGTGCATAGAAGAAAATTTCGATGCCGTCGTACTGGACGCGCTCAAGTTCTACTTCAAGATGCTAAACTGGAAGCTTTCTGCAAACAAGAACACTTTTAAGGAAGCCGAAATCCTGGAGCAGGAGTGGGAGTTTTCCAAGACCCTTGGAAAACACCTGGAAGGTGGCGACGTGGAAGTTGCCGAGCAGTTCAGGTAATTATCTTGCGTGCCGGTGGTTTCGTTTCTGATATACTGATCATTCCCAGTTACTTGACGCAAAAGTCTCTCTCTCGCCTCACTGCACATTTCGAAAAGGAACTGCAAAGACGTCCAGAGGAGGTTGCTGGAGCCGAGATGGATAAACGTTACAAGCAGATCCTTGATTCCGTTCGTGTCCGTCAAAGGAAACTGTTCCGATTCTCTAGGATCCTGACCACACGGTTCGAGAACTCCACCGAGTACAACATCAGCCTTGTTCCCGAACAGGTGCAGGATCTTTTCGAAGCTCTTGAAATGAGCGGACACTTTCTTGTGGAAACACAGACAACAGACAACAAGGGCTTGTACCTCATTGCTTCCCCCGTTTTGTTGGACCGACCACAGGACATCCAGTCTCTCCTTGGAACTTGCTACCACACGGAGGAAGTTACGGAAGATCCAACCAATCCCTACTTGTTGATTCTTAGGCCAGAAGACCCTCTGCGCTGGCACGGACCTACATCCCAGGCCCAGTTTCGGACGCCGCACCTTGATGTGAAGATCGGCCGCATGAGACTCGTTGCCGATGGCGCACAGACGCGTCTGGCTAACGCCAATGCTACCTTCTTGCAGTCAGCTAATGTCGAGCTGACCAAGATCGTGGACCAAAGAGCTAATCTGCCTCGTGTCAACGTGGAGCTGCAGCGCATCAAGAAGGTTGCTTATAAGCTGTCAAACACCATCATGGACAGTGTTGAGATCATCCGGAGACAAACCTTTGGCTTGGAATGCCAAGAGCTGATTCAAACCTGCTTCGCCTTCGCGACGGAATTCGGACAGCGTTCCGTTTACTACATGGACTTCAATCGTCGCGCTCTAAACAACCTCAAACTTACCAGGCTTGCCCTTGACTGGGTAAGCTTCATTTGTGATGACTGTATTGCGTCTGATCGGAAGACGTTCAGATGGGCTGTGGTGGCACTCGAGTTTGCTATGATGATGACGCGAGGCCAGAACATCCTGTCGCTAAATGAGGAGGAGTACGCTCGGCTGCGTGCGAAGGTTGCTGGGTGTATGTCTCTTCTGATTTCTCATTTCGATATCATGGGAGCGAGATCGACCATGGCGGCCCAGGCTGAGAAGCAACGCATCGATGCGATGTTGGGCAAGAAGCAACTGGACATCAGTCGCTTGAAGAATGATGAGGAGTCAGCAGAACTTGTCCGTGAGGGATGGCTCGAGCAGCTTGCGGAGATCGACGAGATACGGAAGGTCAAGGAGGCAGAACGACAGGCTCTTGGCCGCGTCCTGGAGGACTCGAATGAGGCCGATCGCGCTCTTACGTACCTGTCTTCCTCGGCAACCAACGTTACCCTCAGATGGCAGCAAGGCCAGTTCATTGGCGGTGGTACCTTTGGATCGGTCTACGCAGCGATCAACCTCGACTCTAACCACCTGATGGCCGTCAAGGAGATCCGTCTTCAGGACCCCCAGCTCATCCCGACGATTGTATCCCAGATCCGCGATGAGATGGGTGTCTTGCAGATGCTCGACCATCCGAACATCGTGTCTTACTACGGCATCGAGCCTCACCGTGACAAGGTCTACATCTTCATGGAATACTGCTCTGGGGGCTCTCTTGCAGGCCTCTTGGAGCATGGCCGTATCGAGGATGAGACTGTTATCATGGTCTACGCTTTGCAGATGTTGGAGGGCCTGGCTTATCTCCACGAGAGCAGCGTTGTGCATCGCGACATAAAGCCAGAGAGTAAGTTGGATCTTCTTTGCGCCATGGAAACTTGCTAACGAGGTGCAGATATTCTCCTCGATCACAACGGCGTCATCAAATTTGTCGACTTCGGAGCGGCCAAGGTCATCGCCAAGCAGGGCAAAACGTTGGCTGCGGAGCACGCGGCGACACGTCAAGGCAGGCAGAAGTCGATGACGGGCACGCCCATGTACATGTCGCCCGAAGTCATCAAGGGCGAGAACAAGGGACGCCTGGGTGCCGTCGACATCTGGTCTCTTGGGTGTGTCATTCTCGAGATGGCCACTGGACGACGACCATGGGCTAGCCTGGACAACGAATGGGCGATCATGTACAACATCGCCCAAGGCAACCCTCCTCAGCTGCCAACGGGAGATCAGCTGAGCGATCAGGGAATCGACTTCCTCAAGGCATGCTTCGAACGCGACCCTGGCAAAAGAGCCACGGCGGCGGAGTTGCTGCAGCACTCGTGGATTATGATCCTGCGGAGCCAGCTTTCTCTGGAGCCGCAGACACCGCAAACTCCGCTCAGCGAGACGTCATCGGGATCCGGAAGCTTGCATGCGTCACGGCAGAATACCATGTACTAATTGACGGTGACTCATTTCCATCCTGTCTTTCCTTCCTCTCCTCCGGCATGGTAGCCGGTCTTTACTTTTCCACTCTCAAAAAGCAAGCACAGCTGTTGTCATGACACGCGGGAATTATGTTCCAGCAGCCTTTTCTTTGCATATACGATGGTTTGCATCAGCGAGGAGTACACTTGGACGGTTTCTAGCACGGCGCCTTTGTTGCATGGGTAGATATTGTACAGTAATTCAATGTGCACACTCGAATAGGACTGGGGCCGATAGGCGTGAATTGTGACTCGAATCGTGCTAGCATGGACAGCGTGCCGGGGACAAGCTGGGGCGGCACTGCAGGCCGAAATTTTTTCGGCGGGCATGCGGACTGTGAGCCAGTAGAAACGACTGCGATGCCGGAGCAACCGCTAATGCCGCGGGGATGCGAGGGCGGTGAGGTCACGCCGATCAGCGCGCGCGATAACAGTCAGTAAATTTCCAGCTCTCAAGGCTGCCCAACACCAATCCATTCCACCTCACACCCTTCTCCCAAAGCAATTGACTGCCTCCGCTGTTGCCCACTCCGCCGCATCTCCCTCGAGCTCTTCCATCCTCGACTCCATCGCCTCCAACCGTCACAATGACCAAGGGAAAGGTAGCAAGCACACGCCGCCCGTTGCGGGGTTTGACTCACTGCGGCTTGTACTGACTGTTGCGATAGGTCTGTCTCGCCTACAGCGGTGGTCTCGACACCAGCTGCATTCTGGCCTACCTGCTCGAGGAGGTGAGTTATCATGCTGTCCTTGCTGGAGCTCCCGCTGACTGTCAATGCAGGGCTATGAGGTCGTCTGCTTCAGTAAGCTGCTGCAACCCGCCCCGCGCCCCGCATACCGCTAATATGACCCAGTGGCCGATGTTGGCCAGGAGGAGGACTTCGAAGCTGCCAAGGTCAAGGCCAAGCAGATTGGTGCCTCTGCTTGCTACGTTGAGGACCTCCGCCGCGAGTTCGTTGAGGCGCTCTGCTTCCCCGCCATCCAGGCCAACGCCATCTACGAGAACGTCTATCTGCTCGGCACCTCTCTTGCCCGCCCTGTGATTGCTCGTGCTCAGATCGCCGTCGCTCAGAAGGAGGGCTGCTTCGCTGTTTCCCACGGCTGCACTGGCAAGGGTAACGACCAGGTCCGCTTTGAGCTCGCCTTCTACGCTCTCCAGCCGTCCATCAAGGTTATCGCCCCGTGGCGTGACCCGGTCTTCTACAAGCGCTTCGCCGGCCGCAACGATCTTCTTGACTACGCTGCTGCGAAGGGCATCCCTGTCACCAGCACCAAGTCCAAGCCCTGGTCCATGGATGAGAACCTTGCCCACTGCTCGTACGAGGCCGGCATCCTCGAGGACCCCAACACCACTCCTCCGGAGGACATGTGGAAGCTCACCACTGACCCCACCAAAGCCCCCGAGGCTCCTGAGGACTTCACCCTCTTCTTCGAGAAGGGTCTCCCCAAGAAGCTCGTCTACAAGAAGGATGGCAAGGACACTGAAATCACCGACGCCGTTGAGCTGTTCCTCACTGCGAACACCATTGCCAGGAAGCACGGTGTCGGCAGGATCGACATTGTCGAGAACAGGTTCATCGGCCTCAAGTCCCGTGGCTGCTACGAGACCCCCGGTCTCACCATGCTGAGGGCTGCTCACGTCGACCTTGAGGGTCTCGTCATGGACAGGGAGGTCCGCGCTCTCCGTGACCAGTTCCTCACCTTCAACTATGCCAAGGTAAGATAAGACGCACTTGGACTACCGAAGCTGGCTAGCGCCGAAGACTGACTGAACTCTCTAGATCCTCTACAACGGTCTCTACTTCTCTCCCGAGCGTGAGTTCCTGGAGGACTCGATCGTTTCCTCGCAGAAGCACGTCAACGGGCAGGTCCGCTGCCGTGCCTACAAGGGCACCTTCAGCGTTCTGGGCCGCTGGTCCGACACTGAGAAGCTGTACGACATGAGCGAGAGCTCCATGGACGAGATTGGCGACTTCGAGCCCAGCGACACCACTGGCTTCATCAGTGTCATGGCCATCCGTCTCAAGAAGTACGGCAACAAGAAGGCCGAGGCTGGTGAGGATCTCGTCAAGCCCTTGGTGTAAGAAGATTTTGTTTCAGGAGTTGGGTCGTGTGGGGAACTATAGAACCAAAAACTTTCCGGATGTTTATGTGGATCTGGAGTGTTAGTCAGGTAGGAACTTGTATATCTAGGAAAGGTTATGACAAAATGGATTAATGGTCAATGCGTATCGCGGTTGGTATTGGGTGACTCAATCGTTTGTTGTGACGTACTGTGCATGCCAGGATCTGGCACACCTTGTTCAAAGGGCTACCTCCACCCATGGTTCCCATTCGGGGATTGTCTTGAAAGTGGGCACCAGCCAGACAAGTCCGCCTTCCCAACCACCCAGATCACCAGAACCAAAGATGCTGATCCCGGCTTGTTCAACGACGCTCTGAAGCTCAGCCTTTTTCTGGTCCGAGATGGGCATGTTACCGCTGGAAAAGTAAAAAGTAAGCATGAAAGATAAGGGAGGAAGAAAGGGTCCAAACACATACTACACCAGGCTGCAATGGGGCCGATAAGCCCTGTCCAGCCACGTCTCCACAGCATCCACGTTGCTCCCGCCCTCGACGCCGTGCAGGCGCGAGACGCGGGCGAGCTCGCGCAGGCCACCTTCTTTGAGCACGCGCAGGGTCAGCTTCTGCACGAATTTCTCGCCGACGTCGAGTGTCTCGAAGCGCACGCGGACGTCACGGCCAGCCGGAAGATCGGCCAATCCCTCCAGCCAGGCTCGAGCGTCGCGCTTCTGCTGCTGCTCGTCGGAAGATTTCGAAAAGACGTCAGACTGGACGTCCGAGGTGAGTGTCACGTGGGGGACGAATCTTGGCGGGGGAGGCTGCTCGGTTGGGAATTGGGCGGGGAGGGATTCGGCGATCAGCGCGGAGAGGGCGGCGCGGGCTGAAGAGGCGACAGGGGGGACCAGCCAGAGGGAGAAGCCTGAGAGCGGGGAAATCCTGGTGAGTTGCGCGCTTGGTGTGTTGTGATCTCTGGTGACCCTCGGGGCGAGCGCCAAGGGCTAGAGGGGCTCGGTTGTTCCCTATTTCTTTTCTTTTTTTTTCTGGCATGCATACCTGGCATAATGTCTGTTTTCGCTCGTGCAGGTCACTCGGACAGGAGCGGGTTCGGGGGTGGTGTGAGCCGTGGGGACGGCGGACGGGCAGAATGATGGGGTGGGTTAGGTAAGTGACGTACCTGGGGCTGGAGGGGCAACTGGCCTGAGCAGCGCGCGGAGCACCTGCCACTGCGCCCAAGCGCGTGCCACGGTCGAAGCGTGTGACAGCACAAGAACCCTGACTATCCAACCTCTCCCCACACCTTGCCTGCCATCGCCTACCGCCCGCTCCTAGTGCCTCCGCAGCTTATTTCCTGGTCCGATGCGTTGGCCCAACGCCGGATCCCGCCATGTCCGACTCCAAGCTTCTCGAGCTCATTGAACACGCCTCCCGCGAGTCCGAGCGCGGCGGCTACCAGCGCGCCGCCGAGCTGCTGAAAGAGGCCTCTTCTATTGACGCTGAAAGCCCGCTGCTCAAGGACGAGTGGCAACGCCTGCAGCGCGAGGAAAGCCGCGGCCCCTGCGTGCGCCTGGTCAAGAGCTATGTCAACGCCAAGGACGAGACTGACGGCTCCGAGGCTGCTCGCCTGGTCGAAAACACCCAGCTCGCCCGCGACGTGGCCGAGGAGGTCATGACCGTCCTGATGGACCTCAGCGGAGAGGACCACCTTGCCGACCGCATCACCGGAGCTCTGCTGAAAACCCAGCTGCACGCCCGCCAGTACCTTGCCACCCAGCTCAAGGAGCATCCGCACGTCACCTTCGAGCGCCTGTTCGACCGGGGTGACCAGAGCATGGAAGGCCTCTTTGCTGTCCTCCTGGACACCGCCTCCTGGACCTTCAAGGAAAAGCGTATCCAAGCCCTGAGGGACATCTTCATGCTGTCCCTTGCCCAGATGATGGAGGCCGGATTGGCCCATCCCGAGCGTGCAATGAAGGCCATCGCCCGCGCCCTGGCCGCCGAAGCAAACCACCTCAACGGCATCATCGATGCCGACGGCTTCGATGTCATCCTCTCCTCGCTGGACATCCGCCAACCCGTGTCCCTCCGCAGCCAGGCCACCCTTGCAACCGCCAAGCTGCTCGAGCTCTCGCCTGACAACTCGCAGAAGCTGATCACGCGTTATGTCACCCATAAGGTCGCCGCACCAACGACCGATTGCCTAATCCAAGCTTATTCTGCAGCTGCTGCCATTTTCCCGATTGCTCCCGCCCAGGCTTCCGCTCTGTTCTTGACCCAGGGCTTCCTGGAGACGTACGTGGACACCATCACTACCCGTGGAAGCCAACGGCTGGAGCAGGCCGCGTTGGAGCTGCTGAGCGCAGCTTGCATCGAGAAGCACTGTCGCGAAGCAATCAATAAGAACTGTAAAGAGTGGCTGGAGGACCTCTCAAGATCCAGCAGCGACAGGAACAGATCAAACAAGGCTGCACTCATCCTTGTCAAGATCCACGATACACCAGTCGGTGACGACAGTGCCATGACTTCAGCGTCTGAGGATGAGCATCAAGATGAACTGGTTACGAAGTTCAAGAAAGTGGTGCTTGACTCCGACAACACGGTGAAGCAAGAATCGGTTGAAGGACTTGCTTACTCGTCGCTAAAGTCGAGAGTCAAGGAAGAGTTGGCACGGGATAAGACCTTCTTGAGGGAACTGGTCAAGGTGATGAGCGGCAACGGAGTCCCCAAACCGCTAATATTTGGCGGCATAACCATCTTCAGCAACCTCACAACCTACCGTCCTGTTCGGACGGATGAGCAGAAAAGAATCGCTCAACTCAAAGCCTATGCAAACACCAAGAAACCAGCCCCAGAGGATCCATTGGAAAATGATGCAGTCGTCACAATCCGCTGCGCAAAGGTATTGCAAGCTGGCGTAGTGCCCCTGCTGGTAATGGAGTGCAGGAGAGCTTCCCCAAGTGTCTTGTCGCAAGTCCTTCAAATTTTCCTCAATCTGTCCAAGGAGCAGAAGCATCGTGGTACCATGGCACAGCAAGGTGCCGTCAAGGCGCTGATCCAAGTCGCCGAAAACGTCAACAAGGCCGCTGTCCACACACAATCCTCTTACTGCCAGGCGAATCTCCGCACCGCCGCCCACGCCCTCGCCCGCATCCTCATCTCCGTCAACCCCCACCACATCTTTGGGGCTTCCAGCGCCCTGCCCATCACCTCCGCCGTCCGGCCCCTCGTCCAGCTCCTTGAAGTCGATCTCACGGCCGACCAGCGCGACCTGCTCCCGGTGTTTGAGTCGCTCCTTGCATTGACTAACCTGGCGTCCATGGACGACGACGCACGCGATGGCATCATCAAACTAGCTTGGACACGAATCGAGGACTTGATGCTTGCCAACAACCCGCTCGTACAGCGTGCGTCCGTCGAGCTGGTTTGCAACCTCATGGCCAGCCCGCAGGGCGTCATGCTCTTCGCGGACGGCAGTCCACAGGCGAGCCAACGCCTGCACGTTCTACTCGCGCTTTCCGACGTCGAAGATCTTGCTACGCGGCGCGCGGCGGGCGGTGGCCTGGCGATGCTGACCGAGTGCGCCGACGCCGCCGTCGATGCCTTGGTCAAGCGCGACCGCGGAGTTGAGATCTTGCTCGGGCTCGCGGCAGACGAGGAGAGCGACGAGCTAAGGCACAGGGGCGTTGTATGCATCAAGAACTTGGTGGTGGCCGAGGGGGACGTCGGGGAGAGGGCGAGACAGAAGGTCAAGGAGGAAGGGGGCGAGGAGGTGCTCAAGCAGATGCTGCTCAAGGAGAACAGCCCGCAGGTCTTGCAGGAGGGGATAGAAGCCTTGAAGGCACTTCAGTAGTTTCAAGGAGGGGGTTTTTTTCGTCTTGTTGAAATGACGAGGGTCACCATTGGCTGTACCGAGCTTAACGGTCTTTTCTTCTTTGAAATTTCATCCGAGAAAAAGAAAGCAATTGCAGAACTGATGTATTTCACTATGAGCTACGACCGGCTTTCCTTTCTTCTTTGTCTTTTCTTCGGCGCAGGTTTCTCGGATACGGTGTCTTTGAAAGACTTATGCTTATTCAACTAGTGCGCTTACGCCATTCTCATCCTTTCTACTGAAACCCTAATTCTAGAACTCTACTTGGGAATTTCTTTCGTACAAGTGCTGGTGCATGATTGATCAGCATGTGTGCTCGCGAACGATATAGTCTACTATACCACGAGTTACTGGGGTTTCTCGCGCCTGCTAATTTTGTAGCGTTTCACTTGAAATGTTCCAGCATGACTTCTGAACTAAGTGTCGACCGTAGATAAGAATAACGATAGGTACGACGCCTTTCTTAACTTAAATAAGGAAGCCGCCGGGAAAGGAAAAATGGGTATGGACCGATTATAGGTACACATTACTCACTTACCGGAACCGGCCGGATTAAGTAAAGAGAGCCCCTCCCCAACTCTATAAGCCTCACTAGTACTTTACCAGCACTTAGAACCTATAGATGAACCCGTTTTCTCCCTCCCGTAGCCGCTCTGGCAATAGAAATCTTTTCCCTTCCAAACGCTACTGTATATATAATGACTGCATTATTTCATTGTTTAAACAGGTCGCTTAGCTCAGTTGGTTAGAGCGTGGTGCTAATATTGGCAGTCCTCCCAGAGGACTAGAAGTTGACGCCAAGGTCGCGAGTTCGACCCTCGTAGTGACCATCCTGTTCTTTTTGGCTTTTGGGCCCCTGTTTTGCCTTGGTTGGCATGGCATGAGCTCAATGCGCGAATGGTGAGACGGGTGACGATGAGTGTTGGATTGTCTTTGAAGGTAGTGGCAGGAGGTATTTGCGTTCTTATTTTATATATTAATGTACTCCTTTTGTTTTTGACTCTTTTTTTTTGTTTCCCCCAGGGATTTATGATACCGTGTGGTGTGAGTGAGGATGGTCTTTAGGGATGTTAGTAGCGTTCGGAGGCTTAGCCTGGCTGATTCCTCTTGCATATATTTTACAGCTAGTGTGCTTGACGTTACTCCGCCCTGCATGAGAAAAGAAACAAAAGTCCAACGAATAGCAATTAGCTGCTCGAGATTGTGATTTGAATGCGCAGGTAAGATATTGTGTCCAGCCCTTGAAGTGTGCTCGTTTCATTCTCTTCTTCTTAAGAGTGTCTATTGTATTCAAATGTAGCTCGACGAAAGGGAATAGAGGAGTGTTGACGATGTGGTTACTCACGTGATCGCGCGTTTGGCGGGGCGTCATTTCCGCGGGCGCGTCTCCGCCATCTCCACTTGCGACTCGTCCGCAACATTCGGCGCAGTGCACTCCAACATTGACCATGGACCATGGTGCGCAACATAATCGAGGACTCCGATGATGAAGGTGGCTTCGGCGCCCTCTCACCTGTCGCCAGCAGGGACAGCTCACCGGCTCCTGCCCATCCGCCGAACGAAAAGATCCCCGCCTATTCCCAGAAGTCCTTACCCGGCACAGGTTCAACGGGTATGCCGGCTGCCAGTTTTGTAGAGACAGTGATTGGTTAACATATTGTAGAAGAACTGCGACGCGAGATTGCTGCTGCCCATGAGGACGTCATAGCCAAATCGGCTGCTCCGAACGGAACCACAAATAGTCCAGATAGCACCACTCGCTGGGACTCACCCACAGGCTCGCACAAACGCAAATCCACTCTTTCGAGTCTCGATAGTCATGCCACATCGCAAACAAAGAGACCCGACAGAAGGAAGTCCACAAGGACATACGGTCGGTCAGACCGGGGGGACTACAGCTTGTTCGGTGAAGGAGAGAATGCCTTCGAGTTTATGAAGCAGGATGAGACAGTTCGACGCAGGAGCGATCGCGGAGATTGCGCTCACCAGAATGAGGACGAGCCGCCACCTCAAACTTCTGGAGAGTATTCAGCCGTGAACCAAGCTACTCTCCCCACGATGCCTTCCTTTTTACAGGAAGATTTCGCAGGACACGAACCCGCTGTGATGTTCCCCATGGCAATGTCTAGCACAATCCCAGAGGCGACTCTAGATCAAGAGCGGCTTCTGGAGGCCGCTCGCGCAGAGTATCAACAGAACCAATACCATAATTCTCCTAGGATTGCGGCGTCGAAGTTTATTGAAAATCCGTCTGTTTCCTGGTCCGACTCACTTGAAGGTAATGAGGTGAGTAAACTTCCACGTGTACGTTTTTCTACGTTGCTTAGATGCTGACTGAATATAGAGAGCAATGCGGTCTAGCCAAAATAGCAGTCGGAAGTCACAGCAACCTCATCCTGGAAGCACAAACCGAAGCCAATCACTTAGACCAAATGAGTCTCAAGAAGTAGGACCCCAGCCATTGAACAATGAGAGCAACTCTTTCCCAACACCAAGGTCGAGGGTGGCAGCTAAGCGGTCATGTTCACGGACGTATCAGTCAGATTATGACGAACTTGGTGAACGCGACGAGCTTGGTGGAGACCCGTTGCCCGACATCAGCATAGCTTCGCTTCGACAGGAGAGACAGTCTCAGATTGAAGACAGCCCTACGAAGTCGCAAAGGGCGGTCGACCAGTCGATACAGGAGTCTATACGTGCAGTCAGAGCCTCGAAGGCCAAGAAAGAACGGGAAACTAGCACCAGCGACGCGCTGAACAGTGAGGATCGTGCGATCGGGTTGCCAAAAGAAAGATACGTCCCAAGACCGAGCCGTTCGAGGTCTATACGCTCACCCATGGTTGAGCCTGCCTACTCGGTGATACCAGAGGAGGCAGCAAAGCTAAAGACGAAGCGTCGCAAGACCGGTGATGTCATAACAGTTCAGGGACACAATAACACCCAGCCAGAATCAACATTTACCAAAGAGACTATTGCGCCGGCGACAGAAGAAAGCGCAGCGCCACCGGTTGACGTGCCGTTGTCGGCATCCGAGAAGACTCAGATCGATGCACCAAGGCAAAAACGCAAAAGGGGAAGACCACCAAGGAAGCGTCAAGCGGAAGCCAACAACACGATTTCAGATGAGCAACATGTTACTAGCATGACAGAGGAAAGTCAGATAGACGAGGTGGACAAGCGGCACCAAGTCATGCCATCGGCTAGCGAAAACCAAGACCCGGAGGAATTGGTCACTCATACCGGGCAGTTACTCCATGATCCTGACTTTAGGGACGATGGTCTTCACGAGAGGCTTCCTTCGCCCGTGGTTCAGCCGTCTCCCGCCAGCCCTGCACGCGCGGTTGGCGAGGTGCAGCAAGTGGAAGAGCCGAAGCAGAAAAGAAGAGGTCGTGGCCGACCACGGTCCACCCAGAATAAGGTTCGAGGGCCGGCTGCAACCGACGTGGACGAATTACGGACAGCCGTGGAAGCCCCTCCGTATAATGAAAACGAGAAGTGTCAGGAGATGCAGCCAAATGCGGGCTTGGAAGACGGCAAGTCGCATGACCTTCAGAAGACAGAAGAGGATGTGGAAGAAGCGACGCTTGGCACTGCAGGCAATGCAGGCACTGCAGACGACGCGGCCCCCGCTCTTGGCTCTTCTAGATCATCAGAAGAGCCGAGCGAGCAACACGAAGTGGGAGCGAACCAGAAGGTAGCAATCAAAGGAGGATCCGCGGAGCCGTCGCCACTGCGCAAGGGCAAGGTACCGGTCCGGGTGGGACTGAGCCGAAAGGCGAGAATCGCACCGCTATTGAAGATTGTCAGAAAGTGAGCCACGTCGAGGTGCATTGTAGCACATACGCGTCGATGGATGACATTGTCTTTGGCTCGCGTGAGTCGCACAGGACTGAGTGGCGGCGAGGAGCGTGCAAGCCACGAGAAGCAGTGTAGCCGATGGCGGGCTGTAGGGCTTTCGGAATATTTTACTGGGCGCAGGTATACCCCATGGCTAGACTTCGGGCGGGAGGGGACTTGACGTTTTGCTCGAGCGGACGCGCTCACAGGCTAGTAGGTGGGTGTGGAGCGGGAGAGTCCCTGGGATGCCCCAATGGATTTTGTTTACATGCTACAGCATGCACTGCATGGCATTAATTGGGCGAAAATGGGTTCCCGAGACGGCCCGGCACTGCGGCGCATGCAAGTCACCACTGCGCGTGTGTGCCTGGGGCCATGGAGCGATGGGGGCAAAAGCAAGATTGGCTCGGGAGACCAAAGAGCCTTCCTTGTCAATATTCCGGCCGCAATTCGCCGCCATGCGCCTACTATACCGGCCTAGTCAGGCGACGGGAAGCAATGCAACATGGCCTGCAGGGCACAGCAGGCGAAAGAAGAGAAAAAGGAAGTGTCGCTATAGCCTCGTGGCTCCCACCGCTTGGCCCGAGTATGAGCGATGCTTAAATCCGAGAAGCTGCCCTTTCTGGCCGGGGGTTTTGGATCGAAAGGGGCAACGACTGACAGGCGCATGAGCAGTCAAATTGGACATGCGTAAGCTTGCAGCGCTCAGCAGCGCTCAGCAGCGCCCAGCAGCGCCCAGCAGCGGCATCTCTCACGACGCCGCGCCCCGTGGTTCCCGTTGGATCGGCTCAGCAGCGGCGCGCCCCGTCATGGCTTTAGCGCACTGGGCGAAGAAACAGCCAGCGGTGAGAAGACAGAGGGGAGTGAAACGGAGGGGTTGCGGGCGACGGCTGGCTGCGACACGCGAATGCCGAGATCTATTGTTTCACCGCGTCAAAGCGTAATTGAACTCTTGACGTCGGCCGGCTGTCGCGCAAACGTCACGGACTCAGCAACGGGGCTTCGAGGATGCCGGAGCAGGGCACGAGCGCAGAAAGACGCGAGGAGAAGACGTAGGTGTGCATCCAGCACCCGGCACCCAGCACCCGGCACCCAGCACCCAGCACCTTTCTTTCCGCGGCACTGCATGCGCCTGTTACCTATCAAGTGCAGTTCCAGAGTGGAGCATGCGCTTGCTTGGATGGAAGCACGGCAGGCCGAGCGGGCTCTGCGTCGCTGGCGAGACGCACGACGATCCCAGACGATCCTGTTCAGATCGCGCGGAGTGGAGTGGAGAGACTGGACGGATCTGCGGCAGAGCGGCAGACAAGGTTAAAAATAGAGGGATGGGATTGCAGGAACGCGCTCGGCAGCGATCAAGGCGACGACAACGAGAATGGCGAAACGAGCCGCGCCCGAGCTCCGCGTCCGCCTTCGTACTTCGTACCTTCGAATCTCCACGACTGCCGACACCCACGGCACCCGCGGCGCCCACCACCAGCCCAAAATGGCCGCACAGCAGGAGTCCCACGTTGCCGGCGCCGCCAACCCCACCGCCTCGCCGCCTCGCCGCCGCGCCGCTGCTGGCGGCTGCAGGACCCCGGCCCCTGCCAGCGGCAGGCTTGCAAGCCCTGCCAGCTGCGAACCGGGGCCGTGGTCGTATATGCAGCGTGCGCCGCGGCATCGGTGGCTTGGCCTGCGGACGGGCCTGCCCAGCCCGCGTTGACTGGCCTCCAACGCGCCCGTTGTTTCAACGAAAGAAGCAGTCCAGCGGCCTCCACCGGCCGAGGCGCCGCAGCACCAGCCGCGCACCAGCCGCCTTCAGGCATGCCAGCTCCGCGCTGGCAGCCCACTCCCTGCGCACATCCGCCTCGTTCAGGCGCTGCCCTGCCCGTTGCGGCAATACCAGCGACCACCGACAGCGGCCATCTCCACATCACAGCTCTTCCCGGCCCCTGCATGCATCATTCACTACCTGCCCGCCTTGGCTCTATACTGCCGACCTTTCGTATTTTAGATATAACAATGCGCCGCGCCGCGCTGAGCTTCTTGTCCCCATCCTGTCGCTTGTGCCCATTCGTCCCTCGTTTTTCTTCTCGCCGGGCGCGTAGATCTGCTGTACGCGCGCGCTTCATCATCAATCGCTTTTCTTTATTTCGTGAACAATTCGGATCGAACCACTCCCTACCGCAATCATGCACTTCACTTCGCTGCTCGCCACCACCGCCGTCGCCGCCGTCGCCTCCGCCCACGGAGATGGTCCCGAGGGCATCCCCAAGCTCTTTGGTCGCAGTGCCATTGCCGACCTGAAGGCCAGGAACATCTTTGGTGGCATTCCCGCCCAGCCCGATCACCACCACGCTCCCATCAAGCGCCAGGACGTCGGCGGCACCGATGGCCAGTGCGGCGAGGGCTATGGATCCTGCAACGAGGGCTACTGCTGCTCTGCTGCCGTGAGTTGCACAACATCCCCCTTCCAGACGCCTTTTCCTCTGACGTAGCATCAGGGTTGGTGCGGCGTCGGCACCGACTACTGCATGTCTCCGGATTGCCAGTTCAACTATGGCCCGGCCTGTGACGCCAATGCCATGCCTGCTGGAGACAACACCACTTCCGTCACCCGTGACCTGAAGGGTTCCGTCGAGTATGGTGGCGCTGGTATCTACGACTGTGTCGTGAACGGCCAGGTTGCCCTGACCTACGACGATGGCCCGTACATCTACACCGACGGCATGCTCGACGTCTTGAAGAAGTACAACGCCAAGGCTACCTTCTTCATTACCGGCAACAACAACGGCAAGGGCGAGATCGACAACGCCGCCTACGGTTGGGACACCGTCATCAAGAGGATGTACTCCGAGGGCCACCAGATCGCCTCCCACACCTGGAGCCACCAGGATCTGAGCGCCATCACCTCTGCTCAGCGCAAGGACCAGATGATCAAGAACGAGATGGCCCTCAGGAACATCCTCGGCTTCTTCCCCACCTACATGCGTCCCCCGTACTCTTCTTGCACCGCCGAGTCCGGCTGCGAGGACGACCTGAAGGCTCTGGGCTACCACATCACCTACTTCGACACGGACACCGATGGTACGCTTGGAAGAATGTGTCTATCATAAGCTATATATGCTAACGAACATTTCAGACTATGACAACACTACCCCGGACAAGATCCAGAACGCCAAGGACAACTTCTCCAACGCCCTCTCTGGCAAGGACGCGGCCAGCAACGACTTCTTGGCCATCGCTCACGACATTCACCAGCAGACGGCCCAGAACCTGACTGAGTTCATGCTCCAGACTCTTCAGGCTGCCGGTTACACTGCCGTCACCGTCGGCGAGTGCCTTGGCGACGACGAGGCGAACTGGTACCGTTCGTCCAGCGGCAGTGTCTTTACCTCTGCCACCTCTGCTGTCCCCACCGCCACTAGCACTACTTCGACCGCCCCCACTGCTACCGCGACGAAGATCTCCGAGGATGCTACTTGCGGTGGCACCACTGGCTCGACCTGCAAGGGCTCGACTTTTGGTGACTGCTGCTCTCCCGCCGGATGGTGGTAAGTAAATCGTGGCAAGGCGTCTTCAGTGAGCGATATGCTGACCCATACCAGTGGCTCGACTGATGCCTACTGCGGCGCTGGCTGCCAGTCTGCCTTTGGCACTTGCGGATCCACCACGGGTCAAGTAAGCTCCATTTCTGCTGTTTCTACTACGATCTCTTCCGTTTCGTCATCTTCTTCTACTTCTGGGGGTGCCTCGTCGCCAACATCTGGTGCCAATCTCAAGGTGTCTACCGATGGAACCTGCGGCGGAACCACTGGTTTCACCTGCACTGGTTCGACTTTCGGAGATTGCTGCTCCGCTGCCGGCTGGTGGTAAGTTCTTCCCGACCCTTGAAAGTTAGTTGGTACGACATATGCTAATTCAGCCTTCACAGTGGCTCCACGAGCGACTACTGCGGCACGGGGTGCAACTCTGAGTTTGGCACCTGCGGCACCTCCTCAGTAACCCCTTCCAGCCCGGCCACAGGATCTAGCACCGGAGCATCGACGCTGACAAGCTCGACAGTAAAAGCATCGTCGCCCGCTGCCTCTTCCAGCAGCATCGCCACGACTGCCACGACCTCGACGGCTATTGCTCCCACCGCCACGTCCAAGGCCAGCACCAACGGCCTCTGTGGCTCGCGCAACGGCGGCACGACGTGCGCGGGCTCCAGGTTCGGCGGATGCTGCAGCATCCTCGGCACCTGTGGCTCGTCAATGTTCTCTTGCGGCCTTGGCTGCCAGAAGAGCTTTGGCAGCGGATGTTATTTTTGAATAAGAGAAGACGCCGAGTAAATGTCTAATCTCTTTTGGAAGTCTAAAAAGAGAGGGGGAAGTGATCTCATGTCATTGGTATTTTGTAATTCTTGTATCCCAAAGTTTTGGTGGAACGAAAAAGGGCGCGAGAGCTTTTCGCAAACGAAAGCTTCCTGTGCATGTTGGTTAATAATAGTTAATGCCCTCGGCTGCTCGACACAGCGCTGGGCTGAGGATCCAAATCCCATGATTTCAAGAAGATCTTCAAAAGATGATGAAAACGACTGTCTTTCCCCCCTGACTTAGGCCACGCACTTCCCCTCATCGTGGCACTTGGTGCGTTGCGCGTGACTGCCAGTTTGGTCGGATCCTTTGATCCATCTAAGTGGAATGGATGTACGGTCGTGGTGTTATGCTTGCTTTTGTGGATTAGTAATGTTATAATGTACTACCGAGCGTCAAATGTAGCCTCCTAAAATTGATAGTTGTTCCATTGGCTTGTGAGCAGGTCTACTACAGAGTACGGATACTATCTATCCCTTTGCGTGTCGTCCGTCTTTCCGCTCTTTCGTTCGAAGATTCGCCCGGACAGTGGTCTTTTCATTCTGTATTGAACAGATGGAACGGGAGTCAAACAAGATAAACTTTTCAACAACAAATCAGCCGTCAAATTCTCAATCAACCTCTGCAGCGTATCAAATATCAACCACCACCGCAGGGCTTCTTCGAACCACAAAAGAAATCAGTCAATGCCCATCTCATACCACCCACCATACATGACCCACCCGTAAAAGGGGGTGTGGCCAAAAACAAAGTCAAAAAGACCATCTCCATCCAGTGGACCAAAAAAGAGAGCAATGTCTAAAACAATTGCGCAACGCTTCCGGCCGTCCCAAAAAGCAAAACAAGGGCCAAAAAAAAATCAAAAAGAACAGGATGGTCACTACGAGGGTCGAACTCGCGACCTTGGCGTCAACTTCTAGTCCTCAGGGAGGACTGCCAATATTAGCACCACGCTCTAACCAACTGAGCTAAGCGACCTGTTTTTGAGGTGTTTGGATGCCACAATCGAGACCCGGAGATGCTCGGTGTGTAGGACAACGCCAAGTGAAAGATGTTATATATGGTAGCTACTTGGAGGCCGAGGTGGTTGGACAGACCAACGTGGAGGGTTGTGGTTGTGGCTGTCTGGTAAGCAAGCAAACCTGGAAAAGACGAGCGGGACCGTGGCATTTACTGCAACGCAATGGTAGAGTAGTAGGCTGGCGGGTCATGTTCAAAATCAACACGCGGCTCCTCGTATTCTTTCGCGTTTCCAACAGCTCATGGGACCGGGGTATGAATCGTGTTGCCTTCTGGGTTCGCTGGCGGCGCTACAGCTCATAATATGCAGGAGACGCTGGGCCAGTCTCGCCATGGCGAGACTCACCGGTTTCCACCCTCACGCAGCACCGCTGAGCCACGTGGACGCCGATGGCTCAGCGCTGGCGGAATTGGAGTCTGTGTGTCGACTTGGACGTCGGGGCCGGGGCTTAGAGCGGCCCATACGTCGTCAGCAGGCGACGGCGGAAAAGTGCGCGGGGCGTGTTCGGGAGATGGTAGGTAGTAGGTAGGCGGATGTGCAGGGTCAGGATTGTGTGGGAGGTGATGGACGGTGGGGCCCGGGGGCTGGTGCTGGACCCTTAAAGACGCGAGTCGTGCTTTGGTGTGCAGGATTTTCAGCGGGCCAGGTGGACTCAAAGAGTTTTCGCAAAGTGGCCAAGAGGAGGCGTGGTGATGTAACTCCGGACACGATGCAGCGCGCCGGACCGGTGAGAACAGCGTGCGAGGAGGGAGGGTGGGTTGTCCAGCGTACGTAGTAACCATGTACCCCGGTCCCGCCCCGCCGTCTTCTAGAAGCGCTGCTTGGCGTCCAGCACCGCCGCCGTCACCCGCCGTCGGCCAGACCGCGAGCCCGCATGATGCAGCAGCCAATGGCGCGCAGCACGCTGGGTTGGGCAGTTGGTCGCGTGCAGAGTTGCTTGTTTCTGTGTTTGCCGGGTGCCAGGTGCCAGGTGCCAGGTGCCAGGCCGCCGCGGAAGAGAGGGGTGCAGTGGAGGGGCGCATGCGCGTGGACGGACAGCAGCAGAGGAACGGGGAGCATGATGTCCTTGCCCAGCCAGTGCACGCCGGGCCGCGTCGTGGCGGCGAGCCGTGACTGGGCCGTGACTGGGCCGTGACTGGCGGGGAGGGCGCCATGCGCTATGGATCCGCGCAGTGCAGCTGGCCATGGCACTAAGCCGCACAGAAGCCGCAGCTGTGCCATGCTGTTGCCGACACGGGCTGGCTGATATGAAGCGGGAGAAGGGCGCGCGAGAGCTGGCAGCTCGCAGCTGGCAGCTCGCAGCTCGCAGCTCGACGACCGCGGCTTGTTGGCGATAAGCCCCGCGATAACCGCTCCTGCCCGCCAGCCTTGCACCCGCAGCCGTCGCCGCGTGCACCGCCCTGTGTTCCTTGACGGATTGGTATACGGATTACAGCTGTGCCAGACGGTGAGCGCGCCCAGGGCCCCTTTTCTTTATAGCAGCCGGAGCTGCGCCGCCCCATGCTCGTCACTGACATAAGCCTTGCTCAATGCGCGCCAGACCAGGGCCCGGCGCTGTCGTCCAGTAATCGTCGCCGCTCCGAGCACGACTCTCCACCACGCTCACTCAACCCTCCAAATCCGTTGCCACGCCACCTCTCGGAACTCCAAGGTTGCCTCCCTCCCTCCCGCGAACGGGCCTTTGCTGGCGATCCCTTCCACGCGCTCGAATGGCTCTGACAAACCTCCCCCGTCCCATAAACAGCTCCAGCTCCCGCTCCCCCCCTCTGCGCCGCGCCCGCCTCTGCGACTCTCTCCTTGCCCTGTACCCCTCCTTGAGCGCCCCGCGGCCGCCATCCTGCCCCACTGGACCGCCAGCCGAGCGGCGCCTCGGAACATAACCCAGCATGAAGTTCGGCCACAATCTTGCCCGCAACCAGGTCCCCGAATGGGCTTCCCACTACATCAACTACAAGGGCCTGAAGCGGCTCGTCAAGTCGGCGGCTGAGGCTGTCAAGAATGGAGCAGAGGCCGATCTGGCGGGTGAGCATGCGCCGGAGCTTGCATAGAAGCCTGACTCGCCGCAAGGCCCATGTGTTGCGAGCCCGCTGCTAACCCTGTAGGGCAGAATTTTTCTACTCGCTCGACCGCAACCTCGAAGATGTCGACGGCTTCTACAACAAGAAGTACGCCGAGTCGGCGCGCAGGCTGAAACTGCTCCACGACCGCTTCGGCCGCGCCACCCTGTTCTCCGACGGCATCGACAGGGATGAGTTGGAGGACCTCGTCGGCGCCCTGCTCGAGCTGCGCGGCCAGTTGAGGAAGCTGCAATGGTACGGCGAGGTCAATCGCAGAGGCTTCGTCAAGATCACGAAGAAGTTGGACAAGAAGGTGCCCAACTCGTGTACCCAGCAGCGCTATCTGGCCACCAAGGTTGACCCAACCCCGTTTGCTACAAATCACAAGTTGCAGCAAGACATGAAAGCCATCAACGACTGGCTTTCCGGGCTTGGCGAGGCCAAGGTGTTCGACGACGCCAGCTCCGTCCACTCCACTGCCTCCCTGAAGAGGGTGTCGTCGAAAGCCGTCCTCAACCTGCCCTCGGGCCTGTTAGATACCCTAGACCAGGCCATCCGGAATGATGACGCCTCGAAGCTAGAGGGGCTCCTTCAAGACGCGAGAGCGGGAGAGGACACGGGTAGTCCTGCTTATCAGAAGCTGCTCCTCAACCTCCTGCAGCGCTCCCTCTCTTCCAGGTCCCGGCAGTGCGTCCAGAAACTGCTGTCTCAGCTCACATCCCTCGATGACGAGGACGACCTGAACAAGCGGAACTGTATTCATAGACTGGTGATCGCTGTCGGCCGTGCAAAAACTAGCGAGGCCCAGAACGGCGGCCAAAGCCAGAGTGCGGGCCCTTTCCTTGGAATTCCGAACGATGCCGCGAATTTCATCTCCCCAGCCGAGTCTCCAGTGCACCTGCCTCCGACAGTCTCCATCACCGAGCAGCAGTCGAACAAGCTGCTGGCTGCCGATGACGAGTCCGTCCTTGTGCTCTCCTTCCTCCTCGACAGCTTGAAGCCTGAGCAACGCTCCGCGCTATCAGCTCGGGATTCCTATGGAAGACTTCCGCTCCACTATGCTGCCCAGTATGGCTTCGTCGTCATCTGCAAGATCGTCATCGAGCACATGCAGAAATGGGGTCAGTTCGACGTTTCCCGTGGGATTGATTCTCCCGAATGGCATGACTCGGACGGTTACGCGCCTCTCCACCTCAGTGTCATTGGTGGTCACCCTCTGACGACGAAGACGCTTTTGGACTCGGAGAGATGGCAGGACTCTGACGAGAAGATCTCCATCCGGAAGTCGGTGTCCAAGTCTGGCGCTGTGTTGTCGCTCGCCGCAAAGTCCAACTTCGTCCAGATCGTAAAACTTCTGGTCGATGCTGGCGTGGACATCAACTATCAGGATGAGCAGGGCGAGACTGCCTTGCATCTGGCAGCTCGCTACGGCCACACCGAATGCGCAAAGACGCTCATTGCCGGGACTTCGGATCAAACGGCCAACATCGAACTTGCTGAGAACGCTTTTGCCTGGACTCCTCTTTTCATCGCCTGCGTCGATGGCCATTTGGACGTCGCCAAGCTGCTCATCGAGGCCGGAGCAGAGTTGGACAAGGCGGATCTGTCCGGCTGGACACCCAAGGAGCATGCTGCCTTGAGAGGTCATTTGGATATCGCAAACATTTTGGCCGAGCTTACGCCTCCCCCCGCTGCAACGGACGAGCAGGAGCAGGAGAAGGGGCAGCAACCGCCTGTTCGCTCGGAGTCGCCGCCACAATCTTCCATCGAGGACAGGCGATCTAACGTGAACAAGGATCTCCGCATACCGGAGCCTATCAAGACTTTCGGCCATCGGTACCTGCAGAAGGAGAGCATGGTTCTCGTCAGTCTTGGCAGTATGGACATGCGGAAGCATGTTGAGCCCGTCAAGCTTGACGACATCCACATCTCTGATGCTCACGCGACGCAGCTTGACACTGCTCTCTCCGTCGTTGTCTCTGCTCAGGGGGCGTCTGGGGAACCAACCGTCATTGACCTCCCAGTTCAGGAGAACATCAGTACCGACCCCATAACCTTCTCGACCATGGACGCTTCTAGGGTTAAGCTTCTTTTCGACATCGTCCCTACCTATGCTGGTTCGAAGGAGCGCGTAGTCGGACGTGGTGTTGCCATGCTGTCAAGTGTCAGGCAAATGGTCGGCTCTGCAAGGATGAACCTCAAGGGCGACATCAGCGTCCCAATCATCGCTGCCAACACTTTGGAAGTCATTGGAACCGTCAACTTCAACTTCCTCGTCATTACGCCCTTCTCCCATCCCAACCTGTCCATCACGGAGAATCAAACGTATTGGAGGAGTATGGCGTCGACCATGGTCATTGGACACAGAGGTAAATCCGACTTTGGTTTTCTATCTTCCTGCGTATTCCTAACTTGTTTGAAGGTTTGGGCAAGAACCTCGCATCTCGGAAGTCCTTGCAATTGGGCGAGAACACGCTTCAGGTAGGGCATCTATCAGATACAGCGAGGATGGGAACTGACGATACACGTAGTCTTTCATTGCTGCTGCCAATTTAGGAGCATCTTATGTTGAGGTATGTTGCACACGCACCCGTTCATGTGGTATTTCGCTGACTGTACATAGTTTGGTATGACTGCAATACCTGCACCAAAAGTTGTTTGTGCTAACGATCTCAAGATGTTCAACTGACCAAAGATCACGTCCCTGTCATTTACCACGACTTCCTTGTTAGCGAAACTGGAATTGACGCACCGGTGCATACCTTGACGCTGGACCAGGTAAGTAGAGGTGGTGCGTATTGCCTCAGATACGCGATGGCTGATGCTCTGTCAGTTCCTCCATGTGGGCGAGCAGAAGTCACCTCGTTCCTCAAGGCCGTCGTCTCCTGTTGAGGCCAAAGCTGAGAACAAGGATCTCGCCAAAGTTCGGGCCCGGCCACGCTCGTACTCCGTCGATGTCAAGAAGGAGAGTCAATCCGACCTCAACGAACGCATGAAGCATACCCGCGATTTCAAGACGAAGGGCTACAAAGGCAACAGCCGTGGCAACTTCATCCAGGCACCCTTCACCACCCTTGAAGAGATGTTCAGGAAGCTTCCTGAGTCGATTGGCTTCAACATTGAGATGAGTGAGTACATACATAGCATCCTTTGTTGAACCGTTGCTAAAATATGCTAGAATACCCAATGTTGCACGAATCTGAGGAGCATGACATGGACACATACGCTGTCGAGTTGAATTCTTTTGTGGATACGATCCTCAAGCAAGTCTACGATCTCGGCTCAAAGCGCAACATAATATTCTCGTCCTTCCATCCCGACATCTGCCTTATGCTGTCCTTCAAACAGCCCTCCATCCCCATTCTCTTCCTCAGTGACGCGGGTACCTCCCCCGTCGGAGATATCCGGGCCAGCAGTGTTCAGGAAGCGATTCGTTTCGCTTCACGCTGGAACCTCCTCGGTGTCGTCACTGCAGCGGAACCCCTGGTCATGTGCCCACGCCTGGTCAGAGTCGTCAAGGAGTCTGGTTTGGTTTGCGTCAGTTATGGCACACTGAACAACGACCCCGTAAACGTGCAGGTAAGCGTCAATATCCTTACCTTCCCTCCAGGAAACTCGGTACTGAACGGAAACCTCCTCAACAGCGGCAAGTCAAGGAAGGCATCGACGCCGTCATCGTCGACAGCGTCCTCGCCATCCGCAAGGGCCTCACCGCGCACGAAGAGGAGAAGAAGGCGAAGAAGGCGAGCGCCGCCGCCGTTGCGGCCGCCCAAGCGAACGGCGCCAACGGCACCAGCAGCGGTGTCGCCGCTGCAGCCGACGCAGCCGCCGCCGCCGTCGCCAAGGAGACGCAGAGCAACGGCGACCTGCCCCCGGAGATCGCCCGCATCGTCGACACGGTCAACGGCGTGCCCGTCTACGCCGCCCCCAAGGGCGATGCCGCCGGCGGCGACCCCGTCAATGGAGCTGTTTTCTAGAGGTAGAAGAAAAGTGGTTTAATTCTGAAGTCGTGTGGGTTTCCTCTTTTTGGCTAAAAAGGCACTGTGAACCTCTTTCAAGCTCTGCTCCCTTTAGTGAGCGTGGATCCTCGAATGCATTTTCATCTTTTTTTTCTCTTCTTGCTGGCGGTTGCTCCTCATGATTGTTGGTGCTGATTCCTGCTCGATATACCCTCAGCCCGCTTCAACACGCGGGCGGAGCTGTCCTTTTGTTTTTACCGGGCCGTTTTTACATCTGGGGAGGGATACCCTGGACTTTTTCTAACGAGGAAACAAATCCTCTTGTCCCCTCGACACACATTGTCATGAGCGAAGATGGAAATGAAGTGCATCTGTGATGAGCGGTGGTAGGCGTTGGTTGTCCCGGCGGTCTTCTCTCTGCTGTCCACGGAAAAAGAAACGAATATTTATGGCAATTTGATGAAAGCATTCTTCACCCGTTTTATGTGATGCACTTGTGTAACCAACTGTCATGCTCTCCCCCACTTCTATGTTCTATATATCTGTATGCACGGTCGATGCCTCTACGCCTCTCCTCTCACCGGCAGAGCGAATCGAAATTTTCTATGAATGACAAGTCCGGAACCCACAGGAACGACTCCCGGAACGACTGCGGCCGCCATCAATCACATTCTCTGCCGTTATGAAGATCACGTCGATGACGCTCATGTAGATCCTGAAATCAAAGCGAAATATGGAGAAGAATATTTTAGGAAGCAAGCATCCATCCAACGCCATCCGTGCCCACGCCCAGAAGTCCAACTGAACCCGTGTACGCTATGCAAATCCGGGAGGATACACCCACAAATGAGAGAAGGAAGAAAAAGGACCCTTGATAAAACGCATTTCTGCAAATGAAGTCTGGTCATCAAATCTCGCCGTTGCCCAAGCCCTCGTCCTTGACAGGCGATGACACTGGCGATTCGTATGCGACTCCAGCCTCAGTCGGTTTCGGAATCCAACCGAAGCGCTCGTCGATCTCGTCGCGGCTCATGGTTCCCACGAGGGCGCGCTCGATGAAGGTGTACCAGACATGGTGCTTCGGGCCTTTCTTGCGGTGCTTGTTCTTGTTCTTGTTCTTCTTTTTCTTTTTCTTTTTCTTCTCGGCGTCGATGTTCTCGCCTTCGTCTTCATCTTCGTCTTCTTCCTCGTCATCGTCGGCTTCGTAAACTTCGTGGTACTCGTCATCTTCCTCCTCTTCGTGCTCAACCAGCCCATGCTCCCGCTCGTCTACGTTGCTCCCAATCAGCTCGTTCATCACATCGACAACATCCCCCAACTCCACGTCTTCAACGCCGCCCAACCCCTTTGTGTTCTTACTCTTCTTGTTGAAGTTTCCAATCCTCCTCGCCAAATCGATGTAACTCCGCATGGTCAAGTCCTTCAACTTGAACGAATCACTCTTGTTGTGAGTTTGGTAGAAGACCTCGAATTCGAATGGGAGCGGGTGTGGAGTCGGATGCTTCGGCTTCTTGCCGTGGTGCTTGCCGTTGCGCCAGCGCTGGGCACCGAAACCGTCGCCATTATCCGCATCGTCGCCATCCGTATAGTCAGCATACAGAAGGGAGGTTGGATTGACGGTAGTGTTGTCGCTGGCAGCAGAAGTAGTGGTAGCGAGGTAGGCGGCCGACTTGAGGAAATCATTGTTGAGACGAGTCAAGTTGGCGAAGTACTGGGTGTAGCCGAGGAGGGACAGGGTTTGCGGCGAATAGGCGGGACCCGGAGGTGAGGACTTGGAAGGCGGCGTGGGAACGGTGAACTTGTACTTCTTCTTCTTGTGCTTCTTTTTCTTCTTGGAAGACTCTTCGTGCTTGGACTTCCTCGTGGGGAAGAATTCGTCGTCATCGCCCTGATCCTGGTACGCATCTGCCAAATCCCTCTCAAAGATTTCTTGAAGACGTTCTCCGGGCAGATGTCGAGGATGGTCCAGACGCCCGAGACTTTCCAAGCCTGTGATGTTGTAGTCGAACACTCTCAGGGTTGGGAAGTAGTTCGGAACAATGGAAGGGCCGATGAGGGAGTAGCTGAAACGCTCCCCCCAGGGTCCGCCGATCTCGTCCAAGAAATGTTTGTTTCCCTTCTTCCCCTTTTTCAACCCAAAGAAATCCTGGACCTTTTCGAACATTGACTCATCGTCATCCTCTTCTGCCGCAGTCTTGGCGCTCTTCTTGGGACTGGGCAGGTTCGCCCACTCATTCCGCAAGTCCATCAAGTAGTCAGGTGCGCCCATTGTCGAAACCTCGCCCTCGCTACTGGGATTTAGGGAGATCTTCTGCTTCAACGAACCCTTCATCTTCCCCTTCTCGGTCGACGGCCTGATATCGTTGAAATCCTGCAGCTGGAAATGGTCGATGTTCATGTGGCCATACAGCGAGGCGACTATAACGTCGCGGTACTGGCGCTGCCACAGGGCATACTTTTGCCAGCAAGTCTCATCCCAGCTCTGCTTGTTCTCGGTGCGGGCGGGCGGCACGTGTCCGATCAGCATGGCTTTCATGCCGCGCTCACGCAGGATCTGTAGCTGGATGCGCAGCCATTCCATATGCTCGTAACCCGGTTCAGACTCCATGGCGCAGCCGTCGACAGCCGAGTTGGAGTCGAAGAAGTACCTTGTCTCACGTCAGTTGTCGAGCGCCATAGGCTTGGTGATGCCTTGTGCAACCGGACTCACATGGTGTTCAGGCTGAAGACTGCCAGTTTGTTCGGGATGACCTCGACCTGGAACCAACCGCCTCGCTGGAATTGATGCCTTTGCTCCTCGGGAATCATGCTCCGCCAAAGATCCAGATAGGTCGAAGTCCAGTGGTTGGGGCCCTCGAGGAAAATGTTATGCGGCAGGATGTCATTGTTTCCAAAAGTCGGGACGATGGGTACGATGAAGTCGTTGGTAGGGTCGTCATCGTCATCGTCGGAGCGAGCAAAAACCTCTCTGAACTTGTTGACGATGAGCTGGTTCAGCTGGATGACCTGGTCATTGCTGCGCGGGTATTCCTCGTCGTTGTCGTGGCGAGCCGAGTCGCCGGTCCAGACGATGAAGTCGATGTCATCGCGGATGTTGTCGCGGATCCAGTCAAAGGTTGCGTTCACCAGCGTCAGCGGGGAGTCGCAGCCCGACGTCTCAGCGCCGTAGTAGCCTGCCGGGCCATGGCCACGGTGGCAGGCGCCCTCCTTGGCGGTGCTGCCGTAAGTCTTGTAGAAGGGGTCGGGGTGGAAGTCTACATGTCGGAGTCAGGATGCGAGCGACTGGCGAAGACGGGGGGTGGCCAATTGCGTACCGGTAATGTGGAGAAATTTGCCGGTTAGAGGACGAGAATGTGACGACGAGGGGAGAAGCGAGGCGGGCGGGTGGTTGCCGATTGCTGCAGGTACGCTAAAGGCGCAGGCTGGCGAGGCAATCAGCGTCGAGGCGAGGGCGCAGGCCAGCGGTAGGGCAGGCCGCACAATCATGGTGCAAGGAGAGGCAGGAGGACGAGAGAGCAACCAGGCGGCGGCTGAAGGCTGGTCGCACGCGCTCTATATCGGGTTGCCCGTCGGCGGCGGAAGTGCGAAGGCCAGGCGCAACTTGGCAGGCGCGCGAGGCACGTCTCTTCCTACGACACGAGCATAGGGCAGGCGCGGTGATTGGCAGGCCGGGCCCATGACGTTGCGGTCAAGGCCAAAGCCACCAAGGTGCTCATTGTCCACCGCTCGCTCTCGCGCAGCCCAACGTCGCGTGGCAACCTCCCGTCCGGTCGTGTGATGCACACGCTGCTGCACTCGCTGCCCACGCTGTTTCTGTTCCACCCGGCCAGCAGCACGCGAGCCTGCTTATTCGCGCAAGTCACACGGCTCGGCGGACACATGTTTTCCTCGCGAGCCGAAGCTCGAGAGCCGAAACACCCCCTTATTAGCACGAGCTGCCCGTGAAGAAACGCTGGGGAAAACACGCCCGACGAGGCGCCGACAAGGCATCAACACCCGGGAGTTCGGCATCACCACCACCGCAAGCGGCCAGCTGTTCCGCCCGCTCTTTTGGTGCCACGCACCCTCATGCTCCACACTACTTTGGCTATCTCATGCTTACGTTGATTCTCGCCGCTGACTGTAGCCCGGAAGGCGGAAAACAAACACGAAGACGTCTGTCCGATTGTTACGTTTTCATTACACAGGGCGTTCAGTACCACGCCTCGCCCCTCGAGACACCAGACTAGCTGGAAAACTTTTACCCTGCCTGCTTACCGCCTCACAAGAACACCCCGCAATGCTTCCTTCCCCGCATTTTCGCCGGCTTATGTGCGTGAGCGTGACGCGCCTCAAAGGCCATTGTGTCATCCACGATGCACCCTGGTTGGACCATGATCTCTTTTACCATGCAGCTGATCCCACGCTCGTGCTGAGGCGTTTCACCCACCTCTCGAGAGTTCTGGCGCACCACCGACGACGGACGAGTCTGGGCTGGAAGGTGTGAAAGCCTCCCCGCCAATGACCACGGGCAAACCAAGCACGGCGGAAACGCCGACGTTGGAAAAAGGGCGCAGGGGAGATCAGCGAACGCATGCATGAAGGTCACAAGCCACTAAGAATAGAAACGAATCGAAGAACCGCGGGCAGACGGTCCCTGCGAGTACCTTTGCCTACTCGAGACCGCGAAGCAATTCTCGCTTCTGTTCAAACTTCCTTGGGGCACCTTGAGAGTACTTGTTGATAGTATGTATTCGTGAGCTGTGTCATGGAGAACATGATTCGAGAGGCCTTAGGCTGCACCCATCTGATAAATCCCCACGTTCTATGTAGTTTTATTTTTTACTCCTACGTGGAAAGGCTTCTCGGGATTTCCAAGTTGCCCTTCTGTCACACCGCCCTCTAGCGGGAGTAGGTACCTAAGACTGTATCATAACCCTATGCTGAATGAGTCACCTTGAAGATAAAAACAGTAATGCTGCCACATATGCTTGCTTTCTGCTCGCCCTGTGACATTTGCGCAACCAGAGGCTAGACAAATAAGAGAAAAATGAAAGGATAACGAAAATCACGTACTCGGCCTCGCCAGGCCCCTTTCCCATCTGTGCCGAGCGCCTGTCAAATATGCAAGCGACGTTGGGGTCGTGAAGCCAACTAATGATGCAGCCCATCAAACGAACGCAATCCCGACGGAACTCCTTGATAATTTCCACCACGGGGCTCGGCCCGCAAATAGAATCCCACGAGGAAAAGAAAGCTGGAATAGACCAAGATACCCAAACACCATGCTATGCTTTGTGGATGCAGAGATCAATGGCAAACATGCCCCCGCCATAGCTTATGAAAACGCCGTTTCCCATGCCTGTGGATCTCAGGTGCCACTGTCACGTGGCTTTTGTTTCTTCCCCGTTCGTCACCTTGTCTTTCGACTGCTCCGTACTCGCGCCTTGCCCCTTTTCTTGAGACCCAGGCTCACCCCTGCCCTTTGGCTCCGGCTTGCCGCCCGCCTTGGAGTTTTGACCGTCGACCTTGGTCTTGTCGTGCTCGCCACCCGTCGTCTTGGCCTTGTCTTCGGATATTTTTATCTTTTGATACATGTCATTCAGCTTCGAGCCTTCCACACCCTTGCTGGGCCAGAAGTTGTTGGCAATGAAATCCCTGCCTCTGGTTAGTCATTGCATGGTTCCGAAGCCGAGCTGATTCGTCTTACCATAAACGAGCCTTTTCCGTTGGGCTCGCTCTGTCCCGCAAGCCCACTGAAATGAATTGTCCGACCTTCTTGAACTCCTTCTTCAACGACAAAGACCTTTCCACACGGTCAGGCATCTTGACTGATGTACACTTGACAAGCGCATCGAGGTTCTCTTGCACAGGCTTGAGCATCTTCGCCGACTGCATGTCACGACCGGAATGACCATTCAAGGCGCTTGATTCGCGACGATGGTGACTCTCGCTGGAGTTCCGAGGTCGCTCGTCAGGCCGGTGGTGCTTGTTTTTCGACTTGTGCTTGTCATCAAGCTCACCACTGGCCTTGCGGCGGATTTCAGGAGTCCCGTTTCGGTCGGGCTTCTCTGAACGACGATCCAAACTATGACGATGCTCGCCGTGACGGTGCTCGCCGTGACGGTGCTCGCCGTGCCGGTGTTCATTGTGACGATGCTCGTGACGATGCTCGCTGTGGCTCTGGGTGCGGTGACGAGCCCTGTCTTGCTCGCGGTTGACCTTGCGCATGTTGGCAGGACCAGGACTGGCAGAAGCACTTCCTTGCTTCTCTGGACGACGCGAAGCGCTCCACTTCTTGTTGTTGCGATGATGGTTATCCAAAGCTCTCTTCGCCGCAGCGTTTGTGCCGTTGGAAGCCTTATCCTTCAGGACGCTGATGAGGTAATTGGCTCGGCGAACAAGGTGGACCGCGCCTGGTGATTTGGCGTTCTTGTCTTCGGCTTTGCTCCGCTCCTCTTTCTTATCCACGCGGTGCTCCTCCAAGAAGAATTTGTCTTGCATGCCAAGCTCTGCATCATCGCGAATGGCGACCCACGAGCCATAGCCATGTCTGGAAATCCCAACCGCAAGCATTCCATCCTCCCGTGCACCCCAGGGACACGTGTAGTGGGCAGGTTTCGAAGCCTCTGGAAGCCGGAGGTTGCGCCAGTCAGAAGCTGCAGCAACAGCCTCTTTGATGAGTCTCATCTCGTTTGGCCGCTCCAAGATCGTCTCGGCATTGAGTCTCTTCACGCCCTTCCAGTCGAACAGGATGGCCTTCTTATCCTTCTTGGTAAGGATCTTATTGTTTTCACGTGCCATCGCCTCGTTCTTTGCTTGTTCTTCCCTCAACAGATCTCGGCAGTGGTCCATCACTTCTTTCAAGGTTGCCTTCACAACATCTCTGTCGCGATTTGTCAACCTGGCTTCCTTGATCATTTCATCGCCACGTTCCTCAATGGATCCGAATTTCTCGTGCGCTCGGATGAGGTTTCGAATCTCTTTCTCAGACAAAGGCCGTTTCGGATCGTCGTCAGGGCTGGATTCATCACCCGATTGAGCAGCTTCTGCAGCCTCTTGAGCAGCCTGGCGAGCTCGCTTCTTGGCAGCGCGTTGCTCACGCTCCTCGTCGGGCGCCTTACGCTTCCTAGGCTGGCTCTGCTCGATTTCCTTGGCGAGAAACTCTTCGTCTTGCTTGCGCTTCTCCTCCGCTTTGAGCTCCTCAAGTTGGTCTTTGGGAATGATGTCGTCCCACTCAAGGTCGAGCTTGACATCAGTGTACTCAAAGCTCTTAAGGAACTCCTCGCCACCGTCAGTGGTGATGCCCTCAGGCTGTTCTGTTTTGTGCTCCTCGGCATTCTCCAAGACGGCGTCAATGTCAAGCTCTTCCAGTTTCCTCTGGTTTCCAGTTTGCTCGAACATCTTCTGACCACGTTTCTTGAGGATGCGGTTGATGTCGTCAGATGAAGTCGGCTCTGCGACAGCCCTAGCAGCTCGATCGAAAGCCTCTTTGTCGCCCTTGTCTGTGACGGCGCGCTGAATGGTGATGTATTCGAGCATGAGCTTGTTGCGTGCTCGCTCGAGAACTTCCTCTTCAACAGTGTCCTTCGACACAAGTCGGTACACCGTGACGGGGTTCTTCTGACCGATACGGTGAGCACGAGCCATAGCCTGAAGGTCAGCCTGAGGATTCCAGTCGGAGTCGAATAAAATGACAGTATCAGCTGTCATCAGGTTGATGCCAAGGCCACCAGCTCTGGTGGAGAGCAAAAAACAGAAATCCTGACTCTGAAAAGCATTGAAGTGGTCGATAGCCTGCCGTCTTTGGCCGGAGGTGATGGTACCGTCCAGCCTCTGGAATTGATATCCGCGAAGCTGCAGATAATCACCGAGAATGTCCAGCATCTTGACCATCTGACTGAAGATCAGGACACGGTGATTATCTTTCTTCAACTTCGTCAACAAACGGTCGAGAAGCATCATCTTACCACTGCTTGTAACAAGCGCCTTGAGTTGCTCTTCCCGGCGGTAGTTACCTGCAAGCATGCGTTCCTCAGCACCAGCAAACATGTAAGGATGGTTGCTGGCCTTCTTCAATTCCATCATGATGTTGAGTAGTGACTGCTTTGGGCCCTTGGCACTTGCATTCAGGGCGGCATAGTTCCTGGTCAGGATGTTTTTGTAATACTCGAGTTGGAGATCAGAGAGTTCGACGCGAATGATCTTCTCGGTCTTAGGCGGCAAGTCGTTCTCTACCTTCTGCTTGGTCCGGCGAATCATGTACGGGCTGATTGCATTAGTGAGCTCGGCAATCTTCTGACTGGCAGATTCTGACTGCAGGTCAATGTTCTCATCGACTTCGATCATCCCGGGCATGATAAAGTCCATCAGGGCAGAGAGCTCGCCCAATGTGTTTTGCATGGGGGTACCGGTGATGAGGAGTCTACTTGGTGCCCCGAAGTCCATCAGCTTGGCGTATAGCTGAGACTCACGGTTCTTCAGTCGATGAGCCTCATCTACGGCCATGAACTGCCACTTTATCTGCGAAAGGAAAGCGGAGTCGGCAAGAACGAACTCATACGTCGTCAGGAGCACATGGAACTTAGTCCTCTTGGGGTTGCCGTCGACCAGCATTTCGTACTCGCGGATGATCTTCCGAGAGGCTTCGTTGCCGTTGTAGACAACATAGTTTATGTCAGGTGCCCAGTTGTCGAAGGTCTCCGCCCATGCAGGCAGGGTTGAGAGTGGGACGACTACCACAAACGGCCCTTGTTGGTTACGATCATGTCGCAACCAGTTCATGAAGGACACTGTTTGCACCGTCTTGCCAAGACCCATTTCGTCGGCAAGAATGGCATTTTCTCCTTTGCACCAGTGGTACGCCAAGAAGCTCACACCTCTCAATTGGAAGTCTCTGAGCTGGCCGAACTTAATGTAATCGGGTTGCTCGCGAATAGCGACGTACTTCCGACGCGTGGCGATGCTGGACTCACGCTTGTCGGAGACGGGAACTTTCGAGGATCTGTCGAGGTACCGGTCAATCTGCTCTTGTGCAAGCTGACCGACCAATGAGGCCGGCTCCCAAGTAGATTCCTCGTACGGGAGAGCTCTCCCTGTAGCAATATGTCAGTATTTAGAATTACAGGTATGTAGGGGTTGCAAATACATTTCACGAGGTATTCCGTTTCCTCCTCACCCTCCTGGGAAGCGATGACACGTTCAACGTGCTGTGAATCCGCGTGAAGGTCTTCGACCTTCTCACGGTCGAGGTTCCACTTCTCCTTCTCTTCGGAAGGAACCTCGGGGTCACCCATTATCATGATCTCTTCCAGGACGATCTTGCGAAAGTAGTTCTCGACTTTCCTGAACCCTTTGTATCCGGCCAGCGAGTTGAACTCCTCATACGTTGCGTGAAAGGGAGCCTTGCCAACCCATTTGATCTGCTCATACAGTTAGCAGGAATGGCTCGAGAGATCATAGACGAAGGGCAGCATACCAGGTACTCGAAATCATATTTCGTCAGGCTGTTCATCTCTCCATCTAGTCGACAGTTAGGCATGCAGGTCCGAGGGGGTGTACCTGGTACTGACCGGATTCTTCTCTTCGCCGATGGAGGATGATTCTGTCAATCTGCGGACTGTCATCCTCCTCGGTAGCGACCCAGTAATTGGGCGTCATCTCCTCTGATTCCTCGCTGAACATGTCGTCGTCATCCTCGTTATAACTCGTGACCTTCGCGGCATTACGCGTTGAGAAACGAACTTCGGCCTGCGAAGGTGGTGCTCGTCCTGAGGCCACCAAGTGTCGGTGTCTTCGTTGTTTCTTGGTGGGAACTTGACGGCGACCGCCAACGTAAGCGTCAGAGTCAGACTCCGACCCAGAAGGTGAGGGAGGGTCCGGCGAGGGGCGACGAGAGCCTAAGAGGAAGTCAGCTTGGCCACGAAGTTGAGTACTCGACTGGTCCAGTGACAACATACCTCTAGCAGGAGCAGTTGTTCTCCGCTTCTTCCGGCGGGAATTGACAGCATCGGAATCAGAGTCATCTTCCTCGGAGCTGCTGTCAATCTGTGGAGAGGTGTCAGTGGAAGTGAAACTAGAGATGCATGCGCGGAGGATAACATACCACGCGACGGTTTGCGCGAGCGCGGCCCTACGGCAGAGTTCAGTGAAGAGTCCAACACGATTAGTTATGAGAACGCACGCTTCTCCTGAGACCGTAGAGCTCTGGATTCTGGTTTATGTACTCATCATCTTCAACACTAGCTTTCCGTTTCCGGGGTCTCTGCGAGTCCTCCGATGATGACCGATCAACTTCTTCGTTGTCTGACTGGACAGGCGGCGTCTCCGACTCGTAGTCTCCGTCTTCTGAGCCCTCCGCATCTTCGCTGTGGGACGAGTCCGACAGCGCTTCTACCTCGTTATCCTCATCTTGTACGGGACTCTGGGCATCGCTGGATGGCGATAGAGCTGCGGCGGCACGGTTCGTGGGGTCGGACAGTTCGCTTTCGCTGGGTGCGTCTTCGTCGTCGGCGTTGGTCACATTGTGTGCTAAGGGAGAGCCATGACCGTTGACTATGGGCAGAGAGGTGGTCGGATTACCCGGAGAGTGCATGAGGATGGACCCGGCTGGATGGAGGAGATGGTCAGCTCGATTTCTCGATGGAAACGTGGCCCGGCGGAGTGAATCAAGGTGCATTGGAATCGGCGAGGTTACGCGACCAAGAATCTTCAAAAAGCGACTTAAAGGGTCTTGACGATGAGGAGAAAACAGGGTCCGACCGCAAAATGATGGTCGTGATGACTTGAGGCTGGGAACGATGAAGACGTGTGAGGAAGGGGTCAATGGGGCGCTGAGGGGGCTAGAGCAGACTCTAGGGTGGTAGAAAGCCGTAGCGATGAGGGTATACACCAGTATACTCGACTATGCGAGCATCTGAGATGACGGCATGGTATATGAGGTAGGGTATGATGGCCTTCGCCGAGCGCTCCAAAGGCAGCAGGGCGGGGCGACGTAAAGCAAGCATGAGAAGGGCAGGGTGACAGGAAAATCGGGCACGTACAGGCCATGGCTCGAGGCTACCGGGTGGATATGCACTTGGCGCGGGAAGGTGTCGTGGTGGGTGGTGGCTCCTGGTGTCTCTCGTGTATGGAGTGTGAAGACGAGCGGCAAGATGAGCCTTCGCCGACGCAGCAGCCCTATGGAGCGCGGTCAGATCCAGGCCACCCAAAAATAGCCTAGCGCGCTCGCTGGCTGGAACTCGTACCGGCAACTGAACGCAAAAAATCCGCTGGCACCGGCGCCGGCTGGCAAGATGGGGAGCAGAGTGCGCTGGAGCAGGCGTCTTCGAGAGCGTGCAGGTGCAATTGCGGTCGTGGCCTTGGAGCCTGGTCGACAGCTGGTGCTGCGTAGCACGCGCCCGCGCTCTGTACTGCCGAGTCCACGCCCGCACGCGCTCGAGGCGGCCACGACTTTCCGTGACGTTGACCACCCCGGCCACGCAGGACCAATCACTTGCGGGAGGATAAGCGTGCCCATTCACCGACAAAGCCACTCGCGCCTGTCCACTGCGACCCTCCTGCCGCTGTCCAAGCATCCACTTGATCGCCGCAGCGTTGCGCTCTGGGACGTCTCGCCCGTGGTTTTCTACGGCCTCCAACGACCCCCTCGTGTGCCGCCGCTTCGACGCCCTCCCGACTCCGTTTCATCACTGCGCGCACGTCGCACTTCGGCTCTGAAAAACACACACGCCCACCAGGCACCGGCCGCACACCATGACGGACAAGCTCACGAGGTACGCACACCGAAGCCATTCTGGCCGAGTTCGTGCGAGACTGACTCTGCGTTCAGAATCGCTATTATCAACAGCGACAAGGTGCGCCACGCCGCGCGAAAGCCCCGCCAACCCCGCGGTGGCAGAATTTTGAATGTTCTCGCACGCTAACTGCAGGTGTCGCATACAGTGCAAACCCAAGGTACGAGCGCACCCCGCCACGCGCCGCGACCGTCGCTGACTCTGGCCCAGAAATGCAGGCAGGAATGCAAGAAAGCTTGCCCCGTCGTGCGCACTGGCAAGCTGTGCATCGAGGTCGACCCAACGTCTAAAATCGCCTTCATCTCCGAGCGCCTGTGTATAGGATGCGGTATCTGCCCGAAGAAATGCCCGTTCGACGCGATCAACATCATCAACTTGCCCACGAATCTGAACACCCAAGTCACGCACAGATACTCGGCGAACAGCTTCAAGCTGCACAGGCTGCCTATGCCCCGTCCCGGCCAGGTTCTTGGTCTTGTCGGAACAAACGGTATCGGCAAGAGTACTGCGCTGAAGATTCTCAGTGGCAAGTTGAAGCCGAACTTGGGCAGATATGACAACCCGCCTGACTGGGAGGAGATCCTGAAGTATTTCCGTGGCTCAGAGCTGCAGAGTAAGCGTTCAGTCCGGCAGCGAGCAGCAGTCGATGTGCTGACGATGTTTAGACTACTTCACGAAGGTTCTCGAAGACAACCTGAAGGCCATCATTAAGCCCCAGTATGTCGATCAGATTCCCAAGGCTATCAAGGCCGCCGACAAGCGCGTGGGAACGCTCATCTCCGGCCGTGCGGCGAACAACAACCTTGACGAGGTCCTCGACGAGCTGGAACTGAGGCACATTTTCGACCGCGAGGTAACTCAATTGTCCGGTGGAGAGATGCAGCGTTTCGCCATCGGCTCTGTGTGCATCCAGAAGGCGGATGTGTACATGTTTGACGAGCCTTCCTCTTTCCTCGACGTCAAGCAGCGTCTTAACGCTGGTAAGATGATCCGCAGCTTGCTCCGTCCCGATGACTATGTCATTGTTGTCGAGCACGATTTGTCTGTCCTTGATTATCTTTCGGATTTCGTTTGCGTCCTCTACGGCAAGCCCGCCGTCTATGGTGTCGTTACCATGCCTTACTCCGTTAGAGAAGGTATCAACATTTTCCTCGACGGCAACATCCCCACGGAAAACCTCCGCTTCCGTGAAGAGTCCCTGCATTTCCACATTGGTGACGCGACCGAGGACTACTCGACGGACAAGTCGCGTGGATTCAATTACCCGGCCATGGAGAAGACGATGGGCAACTTCCACCTTGCGATCGAGCCTGGCAGTTTCACCGATTCGGAAATCATTGTCATGATGGGAGAGAACGGAACTGGCAAGACGACCTTCTGTAAGATGCTTGCCGGTGCTCTCAAGCCCGACAGCGGCAAGACCGTTCCCCCAATGAACATCTCCATGAAACCCCAGACCATCACTCCCAAGTTCCAGGGCACCGTCCGCCAACTGTTCTTCAAGAAGATCAAGGCTGCTTTCCTCAACCCACAGTTCCAGACCGACGTGTACAAGCCCCTCAAGATGGACGACTTCATCGACCAGGAGGTTCAGAACCTGTCTGGTGGTGAATTGCAGCGTGTCGCAATTGTCTTGGCCCTTGGTATCCCCGCCGACATTTACCTCATTGACGAGCCCTCGGCGTATCTCGACTCTGAGCAGCGTATCGTCGCCTCCCGCGTCATTAAGCGTTTCATCATGCATTCGAAGAAGACTGCCTTCATCGTCGAGCACGATTTCATCATGGCCACCTATCTTGCCGATCGCGTCATCGTCTTCGACGGCAAGCCTTCGATCGACGCTCGTGCGAACACTCCCGAAAGCTTGTTGACTGGCTGCAACAAATTCTTGAAGAGTTTGGATGTCACCTTCCGCCGTGACCCCAACTCGTACCGTCCCCGTATCAACAAGTACAACTCCCAGATGGACCAGGACCAGAAGTCGGCCGGCAACTACGTAAGCCAAACCCCTTCCCCCTTCAATTTCATCTCAATTTCATATTCACTGACATTCCGAATCACAGTTCTTCCTGGAAGAAGAGAGTTGAAGAGGCTGTCCCAAAGAAGGACTACAAGCCGCCTCATCGTCACGACCACTTCCCACCTCCTTCGGTTAGCAACAATGGCGTTTATGGGGACGGAGCATTTTTAGGCAATCGCGGCGGCGGAAAAAAGAAAGCGAGCATACAGAGGCGGGGTAAAAATGGGCTCCCTGAGGAGGAGAACGCGTCTGACGAAGATGACGATGACGACATACACCACCTGCAGCGGTCTACCTCCTGTGGTCGCGCCTCGATGGCGTCATTCCCACTGCTGCCGCCGCAGCTACCTTTGCCACCGGGATTGTCGGTCTTCGTGGTGGTGTAGTTCGTGCGCGTGCTGTATGCATAGGGAGTATTTGCGTCTGAGATAAGAGGTTCCACTACGGGTCAAGCTAGGTGACCAGCTGCTTTACTTAATCGTCATCATATATTATTTCTCTCCATTTGACGTCCATTTGCACGAAAGACCGACCTTGCGCATAATTCATTAAAGGAGAGTTCAAATTTGCATTGTCCTATTTTATGGGAAGTGCTAATCCAATCAAGATGCCTAGAATGGGCAGCACCGTATTGTACACTGGAAGGGTTTCTTCGTGATCTCGGTGAGACAAAGAAGGGCAAAGTAACTGCATCGTAGTTTATAGACAGGAAGCCGCCAAAATCAAAAAAATGCTTTTGACATACCAGGCTGTCCTTGCTTCTTGATGATGCGAGTTTTTTTTGGGGTCGTTCTCTTCCCGAACTGCGATGAGAGTGAGGATAAATGTGAAACAGATGGGATGAGGGGACGAGGAACTGTTAGCGGCCAGATAGCAATCGAGGAGTATGTAACTCGGCTCCGGGGGGAGTAGTTGCCTGAGTGTCGCTGCACTCGTCGTGCTGCCAGCTGCTCGTGCTGCTTAATCCTCCTCAATCTCACCCTCCTCACTGCCCGAGCGAAGAGCGGCGTCCTCTTTGGGCGGTTCGGCAGGCTGGGCCTTCTTCTCGGGAGTCCTAGATCTGTGATGGCGAGGGGAGAAGGTACGCTCACGAGTTTCCCTACGAGTTCTCTGTAAAATCCATTAGTATAGCCCATTCTTCTACCCGCAGACGGCGGTGGCGGGATGAATGCACTGACCTTGGCATCCCGCTTGTTCTCCGGGCTCTCGCTGTCTCTCCTGCGCCTCATGCTGCCAGCTCTGCTGTCGCCGTAGTCGAGTTCGCTAGCCTTCTCACGCGGGTCGGCACGGCTGATGTAAGAGCGTTCACGCTCGACATCGCGCTCTCTGCGTTCGCGATCATAATGGCTCAGGCTACTGACCTCTCTTCTGTCGCTAACGTAGCGATCGCCACGCCAATCTCTGCTGCGCGGCGGCGGCGACAAGCCAGTCAGGCTGGACTTGCGGTACTGGCGCTCACGGTCCGCTTGCGCTTTGCGGCGATCCGCCTCGTAGGCATCCGGCTCGGGGGTGCGGGTGCGATGGCGGCGGCCATGGCCGTTGCGGTAGTCCCGGTCGCGATCCCGCTCACGGTCACGGTCCCGTTCTCGATCACGTTCACGTTCACGTTCACGCTCACGGTCGCGATCACGCCTGCTGCGGTCGCGTTCGCGCTCGCGCTCGTGGTCGTCCTCCTTCTCCTTCAAGCGACGCAAGTGCTTGTCGAAAGCAGTGCGACGCAGCTCGTCCGATTCCAGCAGTCGAAATTCTTCGAACTTCTCAAGGCGAGGACGTACCTGCTCCCATGTGTCTTCCAGAGTGACCGGGGGCTCCAATCTCTTGATACGAGAACGCAGATTATCAATGTGCCGGCGCTGGACACGCTCAGCTTGATGTTTGTTAGCTTCGGAACGCTGCTGCTCCTTCTCCTTTAGACGCTCAAGGAGAAGCTTAAGGGAGTGGTCATCGAGAGTTGCTGTACGCCTTTCAGATCGCATCAGTGGTATAAACTCATCCAGAGTGGTACTTTGGGTGATCTCGAAGCGACGCTCCTATACGTTGTCAGCCACAATATCTCAAGAACAGCTTCTTTGCGGGGGAAACTCACTTCAAGAACTTCAACGACATCATGTCTCTTACTCCGCAAGAAGCGCTCTTCTTCCTCGACAACATCCCAGAACAAGTCCAAAGGAGTTGAGCCCGCCTGGCCCAGCATTGCAACGTAGCGGGGGTCATTCTCGAGGAAAGGGTGGATCTCTTTCCACTTCGTTTCAGCTTTGATCTTGCCGTCACTGCGGAGCTCTTTGAGCAGCGCGATGAATTTGTCCCGGTTCTGGCGCTCACGCCTCGCTCTGGATTGCTTCTGCTTCTGGCGAACCTCGTTAAAGCTGCGCTCAAGAGTCTTGATGTGGGCCTCGAAAGCCTTCAGGAGATCCAACTTGCTCAACAACTCGAACTTCTCATCACCCTTGAATCGCTCGTGCTCTTTGATCACGTCCCGGACCTGTGTCCAACGACTGTACGGTTCGAGCTGAAGTTCGCCAAGCAATGACGAAAGCTCCTCACTGGCCTGCTGGCGACCCTTGGCCTCAGTCTCGAGGTGCGTCTTGTAGAGCTCGCAAATGTACTCTTCGAAGAGTTGCTTCCTCTCTTCATCGCTCTTCGCAGAGCGGTAGATGGTCTCGCCCTCGATAATTGGCTTAGCAGTCTTCCAGCGAGTGTAGTACTTGATCTCTGGGTGGCTCCTTAGCATTTTATTGAAGTCATTGCGAAGCTTGGCAAGCCGCTCCTTCTCGCGTTCCTTTTCCTGCTCGCGCACCTCAACGACGTATTTCTCAAAAGCCGCCTTGCGATCCTTAGGGTCCTTGATGGCGCGATACTGGTCGTCTCTGATGGTGGCGCGCATTGCTTGGTCCCACGTCCAGTCGGGATGGACACCGGCACGTTTGAGGAGCTTCATGAAGGCGGCCTCGGCATCGTCGTAGGAAGAGTACTCAGGGCCGGTCTTTGAGTCGATGGATGGCACAGAGCGCAAGCTCTCCAGCTTCTCGGACTGCGAGTAGCCTATCTGGCGGTCGGCAGGCGCGCGGTCGGGAGCGTCTCTGCTATAGCCATGTGAAGCAAAGGTAGGGGCGGCGCCAGCTACAAACTGGGAAGCAGGCGCTGCGGGCGGACGAGCAGGGGGCACGGATGCGAGAGCAACCTTGAAGGCCTCGGGCATTTCCCATGATGACTGTTTGGTCTCGGTGTTGTACCAGTACTTCTTGCCGCCGTCGGCGGTGTATTCCTTCCACGGGAGATCTTTGAGGGCGCGCTGCGGGCTGTCAGTTTTGTTGAGGGCAGAAGAGGTGGGGGCACCAACCTCGACGGGGGTCAGAAGCTCGTCCGGCTTCGTCCATTGGGTGACCTTGGTCTGAGAGTTGTAGTAGTAGACGCGACCTTCGGCGGTGCGCGCCTCGGCCCAGAGACCTGGCATTGGCGGAAGACCGTTCATGGCGACAGCAACCCGGGGGCAGGCGACGTTGTGACGGGCAGCGCGCGGGCAGACGCGTCAAGAGTGGAGGGTGGATGGTGCAGGGCGGGCGAGTCGCAGTGACGAGCTTCCAGGCGCGCGGCGCTGGCTAGTTTTGCGCGGGCGGTGAAGGCGGCGATCAGCGCGGCGGGGCTTGGCGCGAGCGTCAACACCGCTGCTGTCCCCTTACCATCACCCCGGCTCGACACCCTCTCGCTGCTTGCAGACTGCACTCGAATCAGCTCGCCGGCCCGAGGAACCTGCCCCCCGCGCAATTCCGCCCTCCCACTCCCCTTTGTTGTGCTTTTGCCCACGGGCTGGCGGCGAGCTGCACATCCAAAGCTCCGCCCTCAGCCAGGCCAGCTCCCCGTCCCGCCTTGCATGACAGGAACACAAGATGCACCATTCTACATAAAGCACCGGCATCCCAATCAACCATGACGACAGCCAGGCTTCCGGGCCACTCGCGCACCACCAGCACTGATTTTTCTGAGACTTCCCTGGTCGAGACCGTCGTGCCTGCTGCTTCGGCCGCCGATCTGCAGAAGTCGCTCGCTGCATGGGACGGCGCCATAAACGAAGCCAGCACCTCGATCCTGCCTTTCCAAGCCCAGAGGCAGTTTCTCTTCTTTGGTATGTGCTTGGAACCGGGCACAGTCCTGAAGCAAGCTTCTTACTCATTCCTAGGAATCTAGATGAACTTGTCCCGGTCTACGTGGTCCTCCGCACGCCGACCACCGATGAGAACACCCTCAAGTCCTACCTGGGCCGACTTGCCATCAACGTCGAAGCTTACGCTACGTCGACGGCTCCTCTGTCTCACGCAGGCACTCCGCACGCACCCCCGCTAAAGGAACTTCTCCATTCTGCCTCCGTCCTGAATCCAGCAGAGCCGGTTCTCTTCTCTTCCAAGGGCGTCACTTACGAGAACGGCAATTCTCAAGAGTATTGCTATGTAGCTTGGAAGGTTGAGGTCTTCATAGGTAATTCCAGCACTGAACGACTCTGCAGATCATGTCTAACTGACTCTAGGGCACCCGCGATCAAGACTACCGAAACCGGTGGTTTACTTCTCGGTAGGGGCGTCTCTAAAGCCTGTGCAGCAGGTCAAATCCGAGGTTCTGGATGACGAGTATCTACCGAGCTTGGCTCCTCTATCAGGCAACCTGTTAGAGGCTTTTGCCAGAGACCCTGCCCTCCGGGGGGTAAAACCGCATCTGTCCGCCTCGCGCATCACCAAAGTCGCCCCGGCCCCGTCGGTGGAGCGCGACCTTTTGCGCCCGCTTCAGAATGCCAGCAGGCGGACTTTTCGGGCGTTTCCGGCGCTTGCATGGAGGATTCGGTACACGAAGAGCTACGCTCCAGTGTCAGACCTCTCGATTTTCGCATCCTTCGATTTTGAAGTAACCGGAATGGCTGGCTACAGCTTGAGCCTGAACGAGGTTGAGCTTGCTCTTTCGGATGGCCGCGTAGAGTCGTGTGGCGAGAACCTCGGTGGCGACTACGAGCATGTCTACAAATCCGGCGATCAAGTTGCCCTGTTGTACAAGCTGATACCTAACGATGTGTCCAAGGATTACACAGTGCCCATGAACATCCACGCGTTGGACGTCAGGATAAGAGCAAAGGTGCTCCTATCAGAAGAATGCCAGCCAGAAGTCGCAATCGACTGGAGGACAAACGTAGACATCGCCCACGTGCTCAAATCAAAACTCCGGGTCCCAGACCATCTCCTCGGACGTTCAGCGCACCAGAGGAACCTGAGCAGCATTAACTCTACTTCCTCGTCGAGGCAACTAGGACCCGATTCTCTCCCATACATGGAAGGCGGCCAGCAAGATGGCTCGTCGGCAGGCATCATTGACGTCGCAGTCACCATAGTGGGGCCGGAGCGTGTCTACGTCGCGGAGCCCTTCGTCTGGGACGTATTCATTGTCAACCGTTCTGACAGGGAGCGCAGGCTGGAGTTCCAGGTCGTATTCAAGGATCTCGCTGTCGGGAAGTCGCCAGACTTACTTCTCCACACGTCGAGGGGGCTCCATATTGGGTAAGTCATTCACTATCCTGTCTGGTGGCGGAGCTGTGCTGACTCGTGGTCAAGTACGCTGGGGCCATCCGCGTGCAAGAATACGCAGATAGAGCTGGAGCCATTCAAAGATGGGATACTCAACCTGGAGGCTCTGCGCCTAATAGACCTACAGACGGAGGAATACACGGACATACATGACCTCCCAATCATTGTGTCATATGAACGATCTGGCGGAGCATGAAATGCAGACGATAAATGCTGCGATTTGCAGGAAGATATGTCGGAGGATGCTCTTGGGATCAATGCATTGGACGCGTTTCAGGCTTACGCATCCCGTGACTGTTGTTGGGGCGGGTTGAAACTGGCAGCGATGCCTCAGATAAGATACCTAGATGAATAGAAATAATAAAGAGATGCGAAGGAAGACACGGCGCAAAGGTGAGTCGGCCTTGTCGAGTGTTCGAGTGCTGGGGAGACAGGGTTGGGTGGGGAATGCAGGGCTGGGATTGGCAGCTGATTAGAGCAGAGCCAGAGTAAGGAAGCGCGGGACGAGCGACGACTCCGCCTCGCAACACCACCCTCCGGCCAACTTGCGTGCTGCACCGCCCTCCTGCGCACAATATCCCTTGGACCAGCACCTCAGCGCAACCGCCGCGATCAGACGATACCCATTATCCGTGTGCGGCGACACAGAGCGTTGGCTGCACCTCCGCCACTCAGCTGCCAGCCAGCTTGCCCTCGCCCAGGAGCGCATTCGCGCCTACCACCGATCCTCACAACGACGTCACCACAAGCCGGGTGCTCCACCGCCGCCACACTTTTCACAATGATTGAAGGGCAACGACGTCGCCTTCTGCGCACTCTCAACAGTCGCTATATCTACGGCAGTATTGTACGTGCTCCCCATGGAATCCCGGCGAACCTTGCGCCGTTTCTTCCGCTGCCAACCTGGTGCTGACTCTGCCGGCCGCAACTCCAGCCTCTCCTACACGCTATCGTCTTCCTCCTCCAAATGGCCGCCGTATCTATCCTTTCGCGCAAGTTCAACACTTACTATGCGAACCGACCGGGTAAGTCGACGCTGAAAATATCCGGCATGCGATGCGCCGCTGACTAGCTGCGACCAGTTCTTACAACCATGATAACGAATGCCGTACGTCATCCCTCGTCTCACCTGGCGCCCTGCCACGATGCGATACTGCGGTAGAACCACGATGCTTTTAGGTACTAACGCGGCGATAGGTCCTCGGTGGCATCGCAGACACAGTGGCACAGTCTCTGACAGCAATCCGAGAGCGAGCGGTGCGCAAACCAGGAGGCGTCGACAAGGATGACTTCTTCGCCATTGAGATTCATGAGCTCGACAAGAAAATGCCGTACCCTGACGATGAGCTCATTCCGGATTCAAGGCGCCTGCCTCCTCCATTCGACTTCGAGAGGTTGACGAGATTCATGGCCTATGGTTTCCTGATGGCGCCGGTGCAGCACAAGTGGTTTGGTTTCTTGTCAAGGAACCTCCCCATCACCAAGACTGCTAAGCTAGGCCCGGCGCTGAAGCGTGTCGCTCTGGATCAGTTCATCTTCGCACCGTTCGGTATGTGTCTGACAGCTTGCATCATGCCCATGAGAATATGGTCACTGACCGTATCTGCTTCAGGTCTCGGATGCTTCTTCACTTTCATGACTGTTGCGGAAGGCGGCGACAAGCGCGCAGTGTTGCGCAAATTCCAAGATGTCTATGTTCCATCGTTGAAGGCCAACTACGTGGTGTGGCCGGCGGTACAGATCATCAACTTCCGTCTAATGCCCATCCAGTACCAAATTGTAAGACGCCCGCAACACCAATGTCCAGGACAACTGCTAACAGCCCCCTTTCCATAGCCCTTTGTCTCCACCATTGGCATTGCGTGGACCGCATACCTTTCTCTGACCAATGCCTCCGACGAGGCCTAAGCGAGATAAAGCAATCCTAGACGCTTCCGGACTCGATCCGAGTCCCCACAAGCAGCTACTTTTTCGACTTCCGGAATCGAACCAGGTTCCTTTGCACCTTCTCCTAAGATGAGTTACAGCGTTGGGGGAGGGGGTTTGGACGGGGTTTGCTCCAAGTTTTATCTTGCAGGGTTGGGTGCATTTACTGGGCGCAAGGGTTTGTCGTTGGTGGTTCTCATACCGTACTGCTCTTGCTGCAGTTCTTACGACCGTGTTGGCGTTCTCTTCAAATTGAGTCTGTGTTTCGATACAAAGAATGGTCGCTAGATGATGCATGCATGTTTGTGAAAGGAGATGCAAACGTTGATGCAGCCACAAAGCGGGCCCATGGAGAAGCCAAGACCCAAAAAAAAAAAAGCTTATTAGGAAACCTCGAGGATATAGCCATGGGGCAGAACAGGGGTGCACCACTCGCGGTTGGTGCAAAAGTGCCAGGGAGCCATCAGACGCGGCGCGAAACGAGCGCGAGCGCGTCACCCGCGCGCCAGGGCGCTTCGACCCTCAAGCAACACGGCTGGCTTAACTGCGGCTGTCGCACCGCAGAACGAGCCCCAGTAAACAACACATTCCCCTCCACGACCGCATATCCGACCCTCATCTACCACAGCATTCTTACGCCAATCCTCCTCTGGCTGCTTGCTCCTATAACCGTATCTCTTAGGATTCCAATCGCATTGCCTGTCTTTGCCACTCAGAATGAACTCGCGGTCGCTCCGACGCCTCGCCGGCGACCACGCCACGCTGCACGCCGACCTACCGCCCAACTATCTTTTCGCCCCGCACACCGACTCCTCGGACGACCTGACGCAGCTAGATGTGCTGCTGGCGGGACCGGAAGGTACGCCGTACGCGGCGGGCGTGTACCGGCTCCACCTGGAGATGCCGGCGACATACCCATCTGCGCCACCGACGGCGCACTTCCGCACGCGCATCTGGCACCCCAATGTCGAAGAGACGACGGGAGCCGTGTGCGTCGATACGCTCAAGCGCGACTGGCAGGCCGGGCTGACGCTGCGCGACGTGCTCGTCACCATCAGCTGCCTGCTCATCCAGCCCAACCCCGCCAGCGCGCTCAACGCCGAGGCCGGCGCGTTGCTGCAGGAGGACTGGGACGCATTCTGCCGCCGGGCGCGGTTGATGACGGGCATCCATGCGCAGGTGCCGAGAGAGCTGCGGCAGTCGGTGGAGGAGGCGAAGGCCCGGGGGGAGGAGAAGTTGGAGGAGAGGAGCGACGCGGAGAAGGATGCCGCGCAGAGCGACATGGCGGCCGAGGAGCAGCAACGGGCATGGGGAAAGGGAAAGGGGAGGAGGAGCACCAAGGGCAAATCAAAACCGACGCAGAAGGCGTCGGTGGCTGCAGCAGCGGAGATGGAGGAAAACGTCGGATCGAGGCGCGAGTCGGACGACTGGATACCGGCACCGGCCAGCCTCTCAACACCGGCGCCGCCGGCCATCAACACTGCGGGCACGTCGGCAGCGGCTGGCTCGTTCGAGATGCCGAGCACTCCTCTCGCCAGCATACAGACGCCCGGCACTGCAAATGCACCTGTGCGCATCACCAGGCATACCGCTGCCAGTCTTGCTCAGCAAGCCACGTATCAAACCCCACAGCTCGCGGTTCAGTCATCGCATAGCCCGGAGCGGCCCTCCTCCAGCTCGTCTTCGCACGGATCGCTCAATGGCCGCTTAAACACTTTGTCCTTCGGTTGGGCGCCAGAGAAGGCTGCTGGGGCGCCGAGATTCTCGCCAGAAGCGGCGCGTAGGGAACGGCATGAGATGCGGCGCTTCAAAGCTGCAGGGTATTGTTTGAAGAGGTACAACCGTGGGGCCTTTGGACCTCGTAGAGGGCTGAAGAGATTGTAATGCGGGGTTGTCCAGTGCGGCTTTTTGACCTGGAGTTCGGCTGGGGGTACTGTTTCTGGCGTTGCATGACGGACTGGGCGGTGCATTAGCGAAGGCGCATGTTAATGTCTTGAAATTCGGAGCGGCGTGTCCTGGAGCTGACGCACTCTTAATGAAGAGGGACCTACGAACAACGCAAGGCTGGCTGTGCGATACGATACCTGAAGAACCAACCAACCATTCCTACGAAACGTCTCTTGATGTGCTTGTGACGGTTGCGATGAGCTGCGCAAGCGAATGCATCATGCGTGGCATTATTGTCGTCTCAACCGAAATAGTCGCAACCATGGTCGCCTGAAGCGGAAAGCCCGCACGGACCGTGTTTGATCAGTCTACCAGTGACGACACCCACCCTCTCCCACCTTGCAACCTAATCCCGAAATCCGCCAAAATGCTCGACATCGCAAATGACAGCGCGCCATCGGCCAAATGCTACTTCACGCATGCCATGCTCGGCGAGCATGTGAGCGAGAAGCATCCGCCGACCAAGAAAAAACCTTTCAACACCATCTTGGCTCAGCCTTTCTCACACACCGTTCGTTGCTGGACGCCCCGCCGCCACGTGACTTTGATCGTGCTAAGCTGAGGGCAGGCTGATTTGATCCTGCCTGACGACGTCTGTGAATCGATACGACAAGAGCTGGACGGTGATGCGGCCAAGTTTCACTATGCCAGAGTTTACATGTCGCTTGGCCAGATCATCGACGGCGACTTCTTCAACCACTACATCAAGACTGGTAAATGCAGCTGGCGCCTTTTGCCGGCTATTCGCACTTACCAACACCATTTGCAGGGAATGTCTTGATGATTTCCGAAGGCCGCCGTAAATTTGATAATGTCTTCTCGCTCCGTGAAGGTATGGCTCTTCTTGCAGATGGCGGGCAAGTGGGATCACGGCGTTCTGACATTGTTCTCAGGCGTGTTGAGGCTGGAGCTCGATCGCGTAACATACGAACAATGCGGTCTTGTGGGCAAGCCGATCCCTCATGGCGGCAGAAAGCACACCAAGGAACGATTCGGTATGCAATCCACACTGGCTTCCGTGACTTGAGCACAGCCTACTGATGTCGCCTAGCCATTGAGTTGGAGCTTCGCCAACCATCCATGCTGCACGGAAAAAAGGGCTTCGAGCGCATTGTATGGGCGTTCAAGAATGTGTTAAACCACTCTCTCACATGGCTCTTCCATGATGTCCAGAGCCCCCATCAATCTCCTTCAGGTATGGATTCCCCATGTCGATGACCAAGAGCGCCCTAACACCCGTGTCGCAGGCCCGATTCTGGCGCATTCTCCGCAACTCCTCACGGCCCAGCCAGACTGCCTCAAACTACCCCAGGTCAAGGTTCCTGCGTTGACCTCTAGCGCTGACCTCTGCGACCCGGAGTACAGTACCGAGGTGCTGGAATGGCTCGGGATGGTCAGCCTGGAGTCGCCACGTATCAACGCCAGCGACGACATTGACAGCTTTCTGAGCCGCTACGAGGTGCCCATGCCGTATCGCTCAGATGGCGACGCGGATGTGCCAGCTACTGAGGATTTGACCAGGCTGCGGTGGCGTGGCCTCATCCCCCCGGCTTTCCTACTACGACTCTGGATGACTGCGAGGAGGGGCGTTGCTGGTGGCAGCGTTGGGGCGCAACGGGCTTGGATGGCGATGACTGTCGCGGGTTTCGAGGGTGAGACGTACACCATGCTCGGTATCGGATCGCGAGATGTGCTGAGTTGGGAGTGCAAATGAGTACGTGATGGACACGGTACAGGATTGGAAAACTCGAAACAATAATCGAGCGCATTTTCGGCTACATCTGGCTCACTTTGCAGTTTCGGGTTGGTAGGCAGCCACCGGGTTTTCCCTTTTGGGCAACAGGGTCTTCACACTGGTGTGGGTGCCTTGACCAGCTACCGCCGCCGGTCGCACGTGCAGGTGACTCATTCACATCAACCGCTAGCCTACTTAAACCCCCCTTTGCCTTCTCTTCCTCTCTTTCCTTCCTTACCATCCAAACTCCTCCGGGAGCCTCAACTCACTGACTGACCGACCGACCACCAACCGAACGAAGGAACCCCGACAGAACAAACGAACAACCCAAGCGACCACAGAACGAACGAACCCATCGACAAACCCGAAAACAAACCCATCGATCTACTGAACCGACCGATCAACCAAGCCAGCCGAGCGAGCCTCCCTCTCACCGAACGCGCACCCTTCCACCGAACCTGCCACTGAGCGAATTTACCATCGAACGAACGTACACATTACGGAAACCAAACCCAACCCAGCACAGAAACTATAACCACAACACGACACGGCACCCTCAGCACACCACACCACAGTACGACATCCCAACCACAACACAACATCCCAACCACAACAAGACATCCCAACCACAACAAGACATCCCAACCACAACAAGACATCCCAACCACAACAAGACATCCCAATCACAACAAGACTCCCAATCACAACCAGAAATCCCAATCACAACACGACTCCCAATCTCAAGACATCCCAATCACAACACGTCCCAATCACAACACGACATCCAAATCACAACACATCCAAATCACAACACATCCAAATCACAAGACATCCAAATCACAACACGACATCCAAATCACAACACATCCAAATCACAAGACATCCAAATCACAAGACATCCCAATCACAACACGACATCCCAATCACAAGACACCCAAATCACAAGACATCCCAATCACAACACGACATCCAACCATAGCACAACACATTATAGCACGACAAGCCATAGCGCAGCACATCAACCATACCACAGCATGCCAGCACACGGCAGAACACGTAAATGGAAAACAAAGCGTACGGCAAGAGGAGGGACACCAGCTACCGAGCTCGCACTTCTACGTAGTGCTGGTGACTAGTAGCCGTTGCGATCGCATCGGTCGATCGGGAGACGGCGAAGCTAAGACGAGCTCCTATATAGTCTCTAGTGTGTTTGATTGAATTTGAATTGTGTTTTACTTGGTGGTCACCGTGATGAAAATCTGCATTGACTTTGGCACCCAGGGAAGTATTTCTTGCCCACTTCATTGACTGCGCTTTTCCTTGAATCATTTCCCGACCACCACGTTTCTCCTCCCGTCCCCCATACACCTCTACCCGACCGGCCAACCAGCCAAACAATCACACCTCAGGATACACATCCGTCCTCCTCAACAACGGCACTTCCTTTCTCACCTTCTCCAGAAACGCCAGATCCAAATCCACCAACGCCAACGCCGGGGGCGGCTGCCTCCCCACCTCGTTGTAACCGTCGAGCGCGTCGAAGCCGCCCAGGTCGGCGACGACCTCGCCCCAAGGGGAGACGACGACGCTGTGGCCGTAGGAACAGCGCTTCTCGTTGTGGAAGCCCGACTGTGCCGCGGCGATGACGTAGGATTGGGTTTCGATGGCGCGGGCGCGCAGCAGAGGCTCCCAGTGCGCCCGTCCGGTCGGGACGGTGAAGGCGGAGGGGTAGACGAGGACTTGTGCGCCCTGCCGGCGGAGGGAGAGGGAGATCTCGGGAAAGCGGAGCTGTTTTGGGTCTGTGGTTAGCCGCCCTTGCTTACTTTCTCCTGGCATGGGACGTGTGTGTGTGTGTGTGTGTGTGTGGGTGGGTGCTCACGTCAAAGCAGATGGTCATGCCAACGCAGCCGACCGGTGTCTGAAATGGTGCCGAGATGGAGCTGCCCCGTTCCACGCTCCTGTGCGGCAAAACAACAAGTCAGCCATGGCCCGAGGATGCATGGGGACGAAGCAACGCTGTATGGCGGGGAAGACGCGTACGTACTGGCTCTCCTTCAGGGTCGGACCGCCCTGGATATCGACGTCGAAGAGGTGCAGCTTCTGGTACCGCTGCACGATGTCGCCGCGCTCGTCGATCCAGATCAGCGTGTTCTTGATCTTGCCGCCGCTGGCGCCATCGACGCCCTCGGCGGGCTCGTGGATGCCCACGTTGATGGGCAGCTTGGACCGGCGCGCTTCGTCTTGCAGGCCCCGCACGAATTCGCTGTCCTGCGCTGACTTGCAGAGCGAGACCGTCTCGGCGGGCGAGGAGCCGATGTAGTCGCTGGCTTCGGGGAGGAAGAGTGCCTGCGGCGGTGGGTGAGTAGGGTTTGCCTTGTGTGGTTTCGGGAGTGGGTCTTTTGGGGCAGCATAGAGGGCAGCCTGACCTTTGCACCTGCCGCTGCTGCCTTGGTGACGAGCTGGCTGCATTGCTTGAGATTATGCGCCATGCTCGCTGTGGAGCATATTTGACCAACCGCCTGTAGGATGAAAGGTCAGCTCCCCGGCACTACATGGTGCGTGCTCGGATACCGAAGTGAGCAAGACACAAGGATGCCTTCCTGCTGAACGGATTGTGACACCCTCGTCCCAAGTGAGCGGCCGAGAATCGAGAGTGGGGGTCAATTCGTTCCGAGAGCAGCAGTTGGGACATGTATCTCGACCGCTGCTTCCTTGTTTACCAAGACCTTGAGACCAAGGCATCAAGAGAAAGCCTCAAGAAACGACACCATTGCGGTAACGAATTGGCGAGCGCTAAGAGGAGCAGGGCTTTACTTACAGCAATAGCCATTGTGATTGCTCGTGGGTGTCTCGCACAATAATAAGCTTCCTCTCTACTTCTCTCGTGTTTCCTGGCTCTTTCTAGCACAAGGCTCCCGGACTCTCTCTTCGACAGTTGATCTCTCTGGCTGGAGCGGAAGAGCTGACGTTGATGACGAGCCGATCGTGACCGCGGGGCAGATGAAGGTACTTGTTCCTCCGAAGGCCCCGAGCCGACACCGACCTACCTCACCACTGCAGTCCAACCTAGCTTTAGCACGATGAAAAAGTACTTCAGATCTGGAGGAATGGCGCGGACAATGCTGTCTCTCTTCTCTACATGCCTTGTCCTTATCGGTTCTCCCACCACCGCCAGCGAGCCACGCAATCACCTCAATCTCCAAAACGATTGCGCAACGCTTCCGGCCGTCCCATAACGCAAAAGGATTAAGAAAAAAAAAGAACAGGATGGTCACTACGAGGGTCGAACTCGCGACCTTGGCGTCAACTCTTAATCCCCTGGGAGGATTGCCAATATTAGCACCACGCTCTAACCAACTGAGCTAAGCGACCTGTTGCTGATGTGTTCACAGCTTGTTACCAAGCTGGTGATTGAAGTAAAGGAAATTTTGTAAAATCTATATACGCAAAGCATTTTGCCCGAGGATAAATATTAAAACAATCGAAACGAGATGCTGTAGATAGTTTCTTTTTTCTAATCAATCGCCTGCCTTATAGAAGGTGGCGGAGTAGTTGAATCGTCCGAGCTCGTTTAAGTGGTTGAATTCGGCGTATTGACGCATTTGTCCGCATTCAAGACTAATGTTCACGCCCGGGCGCTGGATTCAACTACGAACATTAGTAGAATTCAGTATCGTTGTGAGACGAGCGTGCCCGGGTGAGCTCAATACTTCCGTCACCAGCTGTGTCCCCGGCAGGTACGGTCATTTACCCGGTATTGACACCAATAATGACTACCAAAGCTCTCCTTCGACCCAAGTAATTTGTCAATGTTCTTTTGAGGTAGACATCCTTTGATCCGTCATCGCATCATGTGCATCATGTACTCGTCTGATGAAGTCTAAAGGTGGATCCATAGCCTAAACGGCAAAGATCACGGATCCAGGCCTATTATACTTCGATATATCCGGGCGCGTTTCAGGCACCGCCACGTCTTGGCTCAAATGTCTAGGCTCAACACGAGAGTTCTACAGCTCAATGGACGACACCAAGCTCGTCCAAGCGTCCAACCAAGTGCGGGTAAAATGTACGGGTAAAATGAGCCATCCATCACACCCTCGCATCAAACCACTGTATAGTAGTGGCGATGGTATTTCCCGACATTTCTAAAATCTGGGGAAGCTGGAGCTACTCGCTAAGGTACAGGCTGAAATGCTTGGGTGCCCCACGCTCTGTTTGGCCTCGTAAGAGATGTACGCGAACCGACGGCCCGCAGCGCCTTTCTTAGGGGCTTCGACTATTGCAGGACTTGGATGTTTCTAGTAGATTCAATACCTTTTTCACTATAAAGCTCGAGGTGGTTCTCAAGAATTGTTTCCAGCCATCCGACCAGACAGCCTCTTCATCGCCTTTGCACATCTCATCACTCTGTCCAACATCAGAATCATGCATATCTCCACAGTCCTGACCTCCGCGTTCGCCGTGCTGGCCGCGGCTACCCCGGTACCAAGCCCGCTCGAGGCCTTCAAACGCGCTGGCCCAGCAGCCGGGCAAGTCATCACGAAGTGCTCTTCTCCAGGCATGTTGGCGTTGGCATTCGACGACGGGCCATACCAGTACACGCAGACTTTGGTTGATACGCTCAACGCAGCCGGGGCCAAGGGGACCTTCTTTGTGACCGGCACGCTTTACGGTGAGCATTTTCGATGCTTTAGGAGCTCAGCTGCAAGTCGTGCAACCCCAGCACCGGCCATACGGTCCGAAGTGAAACAATGAGATTGCAACACTATCTTTGGATCAGCTTGCATCTGTACATACTTGACTTTCCTGCCGGCGACCAATTCACGCGGGGGCGAAAGAGCTGACACTTGCTTTGCAAATGGCACCCAGGCTGCATTTACAACCAAAAGACGGCGCTGCAGAACGCGTACAGCGCCGGCCACCAGATCGCCTCGCACAGCTGGAGCCACCCGTCGAACTTCGGCTCGCTCAGCGCCGCCGACCTGACGACGCAGATGCAGAAGCTCGAGGGCGCGCTCGTCAGCATCATCGGAAAGAAACCGACGTACATGCGTCCGCCGTACCTCGCCACGGGCGGCAGCGTGCAGTCGACCATGGCGACGCTCGGCTACCGCATCATCACCGACGACGTCGATAGCGGCGACTGGAACGGCTACAGCGTCGCTCAGAGCGAGCAGCAGTTCACCAACGCCGGTGCTTCTGGCAACGGCCATATCCCCCTCATGCACGAGACCTACCAGTCCACCGTGACCCAGCTCGTTCCGTGGCTGATCAGCTGGGCTAGCCAAAACAACTTGAAACTCGTGACTGTTGGTAGGTCGATTCTACTTCTTTCTCGGTGTGGACGAGGGAGTGCTGATTGCGACTAGCCGAATGCCTTGGCGATGCTGACGGAGCCTATACGAGTGGCACTCCGGCTTCTTCACAGACTTGTTAAACACGAGTTACGGGTAGGAGATGGACCGGTATCGGAGGATATTGGATGTCATGGTGGATTCTAAGTACATAGTTGACGAACGGTACCAATATGACTTCCATTTCCTCAAGGACACGTGTGTTGACGCTTCTTCGCTACCGCAATCCTCTTCTAAATTCAGAAAGACAGTCCATTCCGCAAAGCTGGAGGCTAAAGTTCGTCAGCCGTATAGGCGTTTGATAGGCGAAATCCGCTATGATGATGCGGGCGACGGCACCCGGTCGCCTGAATCGTGTAGATATTGTGCGCCATTGTCGTTCAAGTAAGGCTGATCTCGGTATTCAAAGCTGTCGAATGCGCATAGACTTCGACGGCGTAGATGGTGAATGGGCTCAAAGGTGCATCGTGTTGAGGATTCCCTCAACGCGGATGATGACGCAGATAATGATGACTGTAATGGTGACGAGGAAGGATAGGATGAGCATAAGAAGGGCCGATTGCAGTTGCGCGTATCGGAGTTCTGTCTTCTGCTGGGAGAGTTCCGTTTTGTCCATGGTTCCTGCTGTTGTTGTGCTTGATTCCGAGCGCGAGGGTGGTCGAGTTGATTTTGTAAAGGTCCACGAGGGAGTTTGAGATCTGATTCTGCTTTGTCTCGTCTTCGGGTTGCGGTAACAGAGAGATTTATATTCAGTGCTGCGGGCTTCTTCGGAGGCAAGGCTGACCAGTGGTACGCTACCATAACGACCTAGCGAAATCCCTTTCGTGGTACTCAACATGGTCTATGAACCACAAACTTGTCTTGGCCGGCGAGGTCCAGAAAAAGAAGTGACCCTTGACCTTGGGAGAAGGCCCATTGTCGCCATAGGCCGAAACATGGGTGCTGGAGAAAGGCAAGGCTGAGGCATTGCTTGTGAACCCATATGCCCAGTAGACTGGTAGCTGCCTAGGGGCGGCCTCTCCGGGAGCTGAAAAACTTCCTTGGGTCTGTGCATGGAAATGGGGTCCGCTGAGGCGCAGCCGTCTCTGCCTTCTGCCCCTGCGATGCTGTGCAATACCTTCGTTGGACAAGCCCGCTTTTTTGAGAGCTCACTTTTCCAGACCCCGTGCCTTGATGAATCTGTTGACCTGGTCTTTGCAAATCTTTTCGTTGTACTGCTCCCAAACCTCATACAGTGATACCATCTCCTGGACGCAGTCGGCCACAGCCTCGATGTCCACGGTTGAATCTGCGAGCCAATTCATCAAGTGCTGCATCTTGACAGGAGATGCCCCGCCAGTGCCGGTCTGTTGCTGGGCAAGGCCTGACATTGCGCTTTGCATGTTGGCAGCAGTCAGCATGTTGATGCCGGCTTGCGTGGGCCCAAGTGTCACGGCAACGACCATGGCAGCGATTGCAATGACATGAGGCGGATGGAGCAGGGGCAGATCTGTCAGATAATGGTCGTTTATGACGTATTCGGCCTGGGCATACTCCTCATGGGTCAGCTTGAAGCTGGCTTGGAGGTCTAGCAAGCTGCGGTAGGGATGGTGTATGATGAGCTGGGAATTCATCTCTGAGATGAGGCTGAATTCGCACTCGCCGAGCTTTGAGGTGTCGGGAAGGATGATGTCTGTGGGGGTTAGTTGGAAAACGACTCGCAGTGAGGTGAAAGTTCACTACCTTGCCACGCTTGACGGGCCTCTCCAAGAATCACGCGGATGTGCTGGGGGCTCTCCTCCATCTTGCAGGCCAGATAGAGGGCAGTGAGTATGACCAGATTGGAATTGGTCCTCCGGATCTCGATCTTGGTGTAAACGCGGCGAATGTAGACCTGGGCAGTGGCCACGGCTTGCTGGGACAGTTTCAACCTGCGGACGAGTTTGCTGAGCTCTGCGAGGGAAATGAGCATGTGCATGGCGCGGCAGAGCTGGGACGCGTACGGCTGCAGAAATAGATGTGCAGGAGGCGGCGGTCGGGAAGAGGGTATTTCTGAACCAGTTCCTTGTTCTCATCCTCGAGGCTGCGGCGGATCTGGGCCAGCTCCGGCTTGGTGTAGGTCCAGAAGCGGCGCTGGGAGGAGCTCCAGTAGCTGGCAGACATGGCGGCAGGCGGGCAGCTGTCACGGGCGGAGATGAGCCATGCCACGGAGGCCAGCGGTCGAGGAGCTGGCTTGGGGAGGATGTGGAGCCGTGCGGTCACAGAAGGCGCGCACGGGCAGGTTGCAGAGCCGGCGGGAACGAATCGGGGCGCGATTGGCGCAGGGGGTGGGGAGGGCGGGCTAAGGGATAGCCTTTGGTGTTGTGGGTACCGGGCGCGGGCTCGGCTTTTCGCGGCCACCCATTCGCACGCTGGCCTTTGTCAGACTCCGCTGCCTCCAAATCCCAGCAACGCCCCACCTCACCCAGCTTCCATGCGCTTTTCGCGGCCTCAGCTCGCCGCAAAGCACTCCCGACGTCTCCCTCGACCGCCGGGCCCTGCCTCTCTCCCTGCGTGAAATGGCCTCGCAACAATCCAGATAACCCCCCCGACCGACCATGATCCTCGAAACCGCCAATGCCCAGGATGCGCGGGTTGAGGCGCTCTGGAGCCAGCTCGATACCCGGAAGCAGGGCCATCTCGACCTCAACGGCCTCAAGCGCGGCTTACGAAAAATTGACCACCGTACGTCGCCCGCCCGCTGCCCGCCCGCCCGCTGCCCTCGCGCCCGCTGACCCTCCGACCAGCGCTCAAGAACGCCGACGACCTCCTGAAGGACGTGCTGAAGAGCGTCGACGCTGACGGCAACGGCGAGATCTCCTACTCCGGTCAGGCATATCCCTCGCGCTCTCCTGCCCGTGGGCGACACTGACTACGGCCCCAAAGAATTCCACCAGTTCGTACGGCAGACGGAGCACGAGCTCTGGCAGCTCTTCCGAAGCATCGACCGCAACAATGATGGCCGGCTGGAAAAGAGCGAGCTGCGAGCGGGCTTCCTGCGCGCCGGCCTCAGGGTGCCCGACTCCAAGCTGAACCAATTCTTCGGCGAGGTCGACAGCAACAAGGATGGGGTTATCAGCTTTGAAGAATGGCGGTACGTTTGCGCGAGCGAATTGCGGCTCCGCGCATGCTGACCACGGCCTGCACAGGGACTTCCTCCTGTTCATACCCGCCGAGACCCCCAGCCTGAAGGCGGTCATGTCCTACTACTCGTCGACTGTGCAGATGAACCCTGAGGGCGATGTCGGAGTCAACGACGAGCTCATGAACGGACTAGGTACTTGGCTACTCCACGCTCTCTTTGGCTCACTCATCGGCATTGCAAAATCCCACTCCACCTCTTCCCTGCCCCCAGTCGAGCGCGAGAGTGAGACTTCTGCATTGATGCAATCCGGCCCGCAGCGCCCAGCCACCGCGCAGCCGCCCCTCCTCCCGCCCGAAGTAGGCCTCGGAGCCTCGACCGCCACGCCCGAGAGCGCCGAGAATTTATGGCAAACGCATGTGGAGCCGGTGCTGACTGCTTGCGTCCCGAATCCAGGCTACTTTGCGGCGGGAGGTGTCGCTGGCATCGTCTCTCGTACAACAACCGCTCCCCTCGACCGTTTGAAAGTGTACCTCATCGCGCAAACCAGCACCGCCGAGACTGCTGTAGCCGCTGCGAAATCCGGAGCTCCCGTCGTGGCGGCCAAGCAAGGCACCAAATCTCTGGTGATTGCCACAAAAGAATTGTGGGCTGCCGGCGGAATGCGGAGTCTCTACGCAGGTATGCTGGAAAGCATCCAACATGGGTCGCAATTGCTAATTGGAGCGCAGGCAACGGTTTGAACGTGGTCAAGGTCATGCCTGAATCGGCCGTGAAGTTTGGCGCATTCGAGGTAGGCGCGATGGGAGAGCTCGGATGAATTCTACTCACAAGGCACAGGCATCGAAACGCATGTTCGCCAAGATCGAGGGCCACGGAAATCCGCGAGACATCCACACCTGGTCGAAATTCATGGCCGGTGGCTTTGGAGGAATGGTTTCCCAGTGAGCATAGCCTGCCTACCTTTGAGAAGGGGAACGAAGCTCCTAATTCGTTATCAGGGCCGTGGTCTATCCATTGGACACCTTGAAATTGTGAGTAACCAAGCGTCCAGGAGGTTTGGCTGGGTTGCATCAGGACTGACGTCATCGCGTAGCCGCATGCAATGCGAAACCGTCTCCGGCGGTCTTCACGGAAACAAGCTAATTATAGCAACCGCCAAGAAAATGTGGATGAAGGATGGCCTCCGTTCCTTCTATCGCGGTCTGCCAATGGGTCTTTTCGGGATCTTCCCTTACGCGGCCATCGATCTGGGAACGTTCGAATACCTCAAACGCGCCGTCACGACCCGCAATGCCGAGAAACGCGGTTGCCACGAGGAACAGGCCGAGCCAGGCAGCTTCATGACTGCATTCATCGGTGGATTCAGTGGTGCCTTCGGCGCCAGTCTTGTCTACCCGCTGAATTTGCTCCGCACACGACTACAGAGCCAAGGCACGGTCCTGCATCCGAGGACGTACACTGGCATTATGGATGTCACGCGTCAGACAATCAAGGGTGAAGGTGCCAGGGGACTCTTCAAGGGCCTGACGCCTAACCTTCTGAAGGTCGTGCCGGCCGTGTCAATCACCTACGTGGTGTACGAGAAATCTAAGCAGGCCCTTGAACTTCATTGAGGATTCTCCAAAACGAACTAGAAAGCAACAGCACCGGCCAAACCGAGAGCTGCCAAAGAAAAAAAGAAAAAAGCATTATGACCAGCCATAGACTGCTGCTGGACCAACATCAAGCTCGACATCCAGAGATGATCCAATGCGTCGCTTCCAAGTTGAACGCGCAAATCTTTTTTCTTCTCCGAGCAGAGATACCCCTTCGGCTCCTCCACCGAGCCGTTTCGTTCGTCCTACAGCCACAGTACGATTTTCAAAATTTTAACAATCAGGACATGATGCTTTCTTGGGAGTTTACTCGAAGGGGAGTGACTTGGGATGGGAGACTGGCTACACAGAAGATGGTGACCTGAGGATGGTACAGAGAACAGTCTTTACCAGGCACATCTAACGTTTTCTCATAATCACTCATTGTCTCTTGTCCCTCTTGTACCTCCGGGGGCCCGGCGTTTTCCCGGCGTGTGCATTGAGTGTGCGAGCGAAATTTACGTCTGCCAATTAGACAGGAACAACGGGGAGGATGGAATCATTACACTGGGCCTTTTCCCTTTGTCACTGGAGTCGGGGGATGCCGTTCACGGAACGGCAGATTGTTTTCCTGCACCTTTGGGTGAGACAACATGGGCGGGATAAGGTGTATGGTGGGAGGGACGGTCATCTCAAAGCGGTTTAGACTAGTGGTCTCGACGACGCCCTTTCTTCTAAACAGGAGAGAGGTGCACGAGTTTCGTTCCCTTTGTAACGAAAGATTAGACGAGGGGGAGGATTAAAATACAAGGAACCCGCACGTTGACGATTGAAATATATCTTCGCACTGTATTACTGATGTGTGTTGATTTACCTAGGCCATGGAGCCTCGCGCCGGGGTTACCACGGAGTTTATGCTCTCGTCCAAAATGAGGGAATTCCCGCTTTCCCTTTTTTCCCAAAAGGTGTAATCCATATCCCTTGCCTTTCCCCTTCTCCGACCAACCGTTTGAACGCCATACCCCATGCCAAAAACGAGTAAAAGTAGCAAGACTAGTAAAGGAAAGAGAGGAAACGAAAGAGGACGACAATCAGATGCCCCAATTGTTTGAGGTGCGTCAATCCCACATCTGCCTCCGACCGGTCTGGACTATTCAACAAGAGGAAAACGAAATTCCCGGTGCATGGTCTGTCAGAAGGACCAGCATCCGTCGTCTATCAGACCTCTACATCTGAATAGCACGCGCGCAAAAAAAAAAAAAGAAGAAGAAGAAGAAGAAGCCTCCTGGAAAGCGCTACATAAGAAATAGAATAGCGCAGCGATTACTTCCATTCAAAAAGAACAAGAGGGAAAAATCATTTGGTAATGACGATCAACAAGACCAGAATCACGATCAAGACTACGATCAGGGTCATGCTCCAGTTCTCGCGCGCGCGGCGTCCGACCTTGGCGAGGCGCTTGCCGGCGCGGTCGAGCTGGCTCTGGTGGCGGTCGACACCCTCGTCTACCTCGTCGAGCAGCAGGACGTGGCCCTCGAGCTCGTCGCCGATCTGGATCGACAGCTCGCGCTGGCGGCCGATGCTCTCGCCCAGCCGGTCGAGCTGCTCGTCCTGCTGCGAGATGACCTGCTGGTGGTACTCGTGGATCTGCTGATTCGACAGCTCCGAGTGGTCGGCGCGCTCTTCGTCCGGGTCGTCGCGGTAAGGGAAAAGGGCGGCGCGGTTCACGTCGTCATCGTCGTCGTCTGCGTCGGTGAAGCGGACGGCTTTCTTGTTGGTCGTGCGCGCGGGCTTCTGCGAGCTCGCGGCGGCGAAGTCCGCGGAGAGCGCAGGGTCGTTTGGCGAGGAGAGGGTGGCGGCGGCGCTGTCGCCGCCTGTGGTGCTGAATTGCGCCGACAGATCGTCATACTGCGCGCGCAGGCGCGAAACTTGGTCTTGAAGGGATCTGTGATAGAGAGAGGCTGGGGGTCAGCAGGGCGGCTCGTCCGGCAAGTAACGGTCGTGGTGGTGGCTTGCGTGGAACGTAGGGAGTGTGCATCACGGGGGGGAGGGTGGGCGAAGAGAGGCGGTGCCATGGTGCTGGGAGGGTGGAGGCTGTGGTGGTGGTGGAGGTGCGGCGGGTGACGGACTCGTCCGGGTTCTGGGAAAGCTGGGCGTCCAAGGCGTCGATGCCGGAGGAGAGCGACTCGAGCGAGCGCGAGATCTGACCATCTTGCGAGTTGGGCGACAGGTTCAAAGACACGGCGCGCTGGCGCTCCAGGAGCGACAGCTTGATGTGGTCTGCAAGGAGCAGCAGCTGGGCTGGGTTGGCCATGGCCATTGTGGCTGCGGAGCGCGGGGACGGCAGTGGCAGCGGCAGTGGCAGCGGCAGCAGCAGCGGCAGCGGGATTGCGGGCTGGGGCCTGGGCTCGGCAGTGTGGTGGGAGAAGGAGGGCGATGGCGCGGATGCGGGACGGTTGGAATGTTGCAGCAGAATCGGCGGCTCGCAGGGCTTCGCAGGCGCGTTGCTCAGGCTGTCGTTGCGCGGCGCCGCCCGCCCGCTGTGAGACGTCGGGGATGCGCACGGGCGGCCTGCGCTAGCCCCGGATTCACCCGCCCGCAGCAGCTCGTCGAGTTCCAGCAAGACACTACTCGACCAGACGCATTCCTCGCTCGTGCGACCCTGTCACCGCCCGCCCGCATATAATGCCCAGGTGCCGGCCAAAGTCGACGCCGCTGCTGTGACGGTCCACCCGCTCGCTCCCACTCCGACACGCCAGCCTGACATGGCCGATGACAGCCGTCGATCCAGCGCCTCCAGCCGCGCCGACACGCCGCTCCTCCAGGCCAGCACCGCGCTGACTCCCGACGCCGACATCACCGCCCGCAACCTGAACACCATGGACCGCCAGCCCGAGCTGATCATCGGCGGCCCGCCCAGCGCGCCCTCGCCGCTGGAGCTCCGCGCCTTCGCTTCCCAGCCCCAAAAGAGCCGCTTCGCCAAACCCGTCGAATTCCACCAGCTCGAGCTCGTTTCGCCCTGCGACAAGAACCTGTGCTGTCTGATCTGCATGGAGCCGTTTGTCGACCCCAAGCGTCTGCTCTGCGAACACACTTTCTGCGACGCATGTCTGAGCAACCACATTCGCTACGCCGTCGGCCAGTCCTTCAGCTATCCCGGCAGTGGCGCCCGCTGCCCGACCTGTCGCCGCGAACTTAACATGGACACCGAGCCGCGCGCAGTCTCGAGAATCATTACCAACATGCTGGACGAGCTGCTCGTCAAGTGCCCGAACAAGGCCGAGGGTTGCGACTGGCAGGGCCAGCGCTGTGAGGCCCAGGACCATGTCGACTTCGCCTGCGAATACCGTCTGGTCGAGTGTCCTGCTCGTGCATGCTCCCATCCTGTGATGGCCAAGGATCTGGACAAGGAATGTCTGCACAGCTATGTCAACTGCGAGTACTGTGAGGAGACCGTCATGGTCATCGCACTTGAGGTGAGGAAACTGTCCCCCCGCTTCTTACCTTGGCTAACTAGGCTCTACTGAAGGCGCACCACCTCAAGGCTTGCCCTTTCCGCATGGACGAGTGCCGTGACTGCAGCTCCGAGGTTGTTCGCAAAGAGATGGAAGTGCACCGCTCAAACATCTGCCCTAAAGCAATCATCAACTGCCCTGCCCTGGACTTTGGATGCGACCACAACTGCCAGAGGGATCAGATGGACGAACACAAACGCGGTTGTACAATCGCCAAGATGCTGCCCGTCCTGCAGCGTATGAAGACGCGTGAGGAAGATCTTGAGGCTGAGAACAGCCAGCTTCGTCGCCAGGTGTCGTGCCTTGAGCAGGGCCTCAATGCGCTGCAAGCCATGGTCGCCCTCCCTCCAGGAGCTACCGCCTACGAGGTCCCTGGTGCTAATGACCTCAACCTCAACAATCTTGCAGATGCCAACAACCAGGACATGATTGCGCAGCACGAGTCCTTGCGCAACGAGATTTCACGCCTGAGCAACATGATCGCCGAGGTCGAGGCCCGCACCAACATTCAGCTCCACAACGAGGTCCTTCGTATCAACACCGACATGGCTCGCACCGATGCCGCCCTTGGTGCCATGCGTAGTCAGCAACAGTGGCTCATCAATGCCCGTCTTCATGCCCTCACCCAGATGCGTGCCAACGCAGCTGCGAATGCCACTGGCGGTTCCACTTCCAACACTACTGCAGGCGCTGCTGCTGGCTCGACTGCTACCGCCGGCGCCAGCTCCCGCGGCACACTTTCTCCACTTGTTCCCACTAACGCCCCCGCTGCATCCTCTTCCTCCACACGTCCGGTACGTCGGTTGAGCGATTCAACTCGCCAAGGCACGAAATTATGAAAGCCATGCTGAATTCTCATATCCCCATTTGCGTTTTCTTTTCCGTTTTTACTTTTCATTTTAATGTAACACATCTAAACACGCTGTGCTAGGGAGACTATCAGTATCGGTATGGTGCTCGTTATGATTCCCGTCATGGAGGCTCTACTGGTGGTGGCCATCTCAGTCCTGGCCCTTCGGCTCGTCGCGAGAACAGTGACGGCCATTTCTCTGCCGCGTGCTACCAGTCCGATGGTGCTCGCTTCTCGCGGCTCACGGAACTCCAACGTCAGCACCAGTAAACGGGTTCCATCTTCTTTCTGATTCTTTTCTTCTTTGTTTGCTCCAACCATGGGCGCAATACTGGCGGACTGGGGCGCTTGACGGGGTCAACCGGCGAACTTGGGGCAATACTATGGAGGAGACAACCGGGAACTTGGCGTCTTGAGAGTAGATTGGGTTGTGCTCCTTTTCCATTTTTTTCTTTTTCCCTCCAACCACCCCTTCTGGAAGGGGGATCTGAGGGTCATCAACTGAAGAAGAGAGTCTTTTTTCTTTTTTTTTGCCATGAAGTTTCTGAAGCAAAACCAACCAGTAGACCGAATTTTCTACAAAAACAAGCTCTCGCGGGCTTCACACACAGACAGACAAAACACAAATGTTCACAAAAAACCTCCCCGAGAATTGGGATCTATCATGTCAACCTCTTTTGACTTTGTGGTTCGTGCGTGGCAAGCTGCGTGCATGTGTGACGACGGGCCCCGCAATGCAACGATATTTGGCAGGAGACGGGACACACCGCTTCAGTCAGTGTGTTTGTAAACTTTGGATCTGCGCTATGTGGATCGCGCGCAAGCTGCGCCTTCGCCTTTGTCCCTCTTGCATGCATGCAACTTTGCATGCATGCATAAGAAGTAACCTTCTCAGGGGACATGCAAGGTGGAGAGCGATCCAGACTCTCTCGCTTCACCCTACATTCCATCGGGAGGAGGCGGGATGCGTGGGCGGAAGGTGAGGCAGAAGAAAGAAAAGTTGGAAAGAAGAAAGAGAGTGCCATGTCAAGCATGTGCATGATTCAAAAACGTCCAAGTGTGCACAAAGTAAGAAGGGAAAATATTAGCTTTTTGCTCCCTTCCTCCTTCTCTGTCGTCCGTTCCCTTCCGTGTCTCAAAGTCTATGCTAAACTGTGATACCCTGGTATCCAAGCCAAAAAAAAAAAACATAAAAAAGAAATTCGAAAATGTCAGGCCACTGCTCGTTTCTTCTTTCCTCCATCATTGATACGCTGCTTTTTCCCAGGGTTCGCGGTGAAACCCCATGTCTCTCATCGCATCAGTCAGATTTACAATCATTGTCTTCCAAACGCCTGTATGTTCAACCATCGATATATTTCAGACCCTTTCCTTTCCTCTTTCTCTTCCTGTTTCCAATCAAGTCTGCTCCTCCGTCTTCTCCTCTTTGTGATCCTCCTCATAGCCCTCGGTCTTCATGTCCCGCAGGCCAAGGTCCTCCTCCTCCTCGGCGGTGCGCTCGTAGTCCTCAACCTTCATCTGCGCATCGGGCTCAGGGGCGGAGAAAGACTGGACGTAGCTGCTGGCGAGCGGATCAGACAGGACGATGGTGAACTTGATGCGACCCTCGATAGCATCGTCGAGCTGGGTGAAGAAGGCATCCCACTTGGCGCGGGCGGCGGGGTCGACCGAGTCGTGCTTCTCTTCCGAGTCGCCGAAAAGGTTGCTGCGCAGGTCCTTGCGGATGTTGGTGAGGAGGCCCTCCACGGTGGTGAAGCGGCCACCCATGGTGCCGGGTTCGACGAGCAGGCTGAGCTCTGGGCAGTTCATCGCGCACGACTCGGACTTGAGAATGTCGCGCGAGAGGTCCTCCTTGCAGCTCACGGAGAGGGTAATGCGGCGGCCCTGCTCGGGGACCTCACCGCCGGTCTTGACCTCATTGCTGCGGTAGCCGCAGTGTTCGCAGACGGTGGACATCAGGACGACCTGCTTGAAGTAGGGAATGTTGACCATCTTCATATTGGTGGTGCAGGGCTTGGTGCAGCCAGGGCAGCTGGCAGGGAACGAGTAGACCTGGTTCTCAACAATGTCCTCGTCATCGACGTTGTTGACCATGGGGCGCTCAGGCGCCTGAGGGTACATCTGCGTAGCTTGGTATTCGGGGCGCATGGCGGGCTCGGGTGCCTCAACTGGGCCAGAAGCTTCGGCATTGGGAGCCAGGCCGAGGGCAGTGTTCTGCTCGGGTGTTCTTGCGTACTCGTGCTTCGAGAACTTGGCGCCGGTCTCGCCGACTGAAGGTTCAACCCACGAGTTGCCAGCAGGGTCGTCGACGGTGATGGTGAAGGGGAACTTTTCGCCCAGGTACATCATGCGCAGATTGTCCATGACCTCCTGGATCTTGACCGCAACCTCAGGCACCACCTGTCTCCGCTCCTCCTGCTTCTGATCGAGATCCTGCTGAACCATTCTCAGAATACCCTCTACGTTGCTCAGTTGGCCGCGGCCTGGAGGGATCTCCAGATCAATATCCTCGATTCTGAAAATGCAAGTGTCGCTCTTGACAACCTGGCGGTTGAGATCGTCGTCGGTCTCGACCTTGAGAAGGTATTTGGCGCCGCGGGGCTGGATCTCTCCGGCAGGTTGGATTTCGGCGTTCTTGAAGCCGCAGTGCGGGCAGTCGAAAGACATGATGACGATCTCCTTGAAGAAAGGAATCCGAGTGAGGAGGAGCTTGGTGGTACCCTATTGTGCGGTTAGCATTTTCCTGTGCGCGCACTCTTTCTTGGAAGACTGACATCGTCATGGCAGTTCATGCACAAACTCTCGATTTCCTCAACGACCTTGGTGGGCTCGCCATCCTCGGTCATGGTGGAGGCAGCGTCCTGGACCTTGCGGCCCATGTCCTCGAAGAGGTCCTTTGCCAGACTCATGCCTGGGACCGACATGGTTGTAGGGTTGTGCTTGGGGCTGGCGGTTCGTTGAAGGCCGGTGGCTGTGGATATGGCGCGAAACAAGGTGCGCAGGAAATTCGTAGGAGCGGCGATTCGCGTGGCTGGCGGCGAAGTATTTGCGCAACGAATAGTCAGAGGATGTGGGGGTGCGGTGGTTGCTTAGTCGGCAGAAGCTGCTCGAAAAAAAGTAGGCGGCGGCGAGTGACGAAGATTTGCCCCGCGGCCGTGGACCGTGCGCTGCCATCCGTGCCTCAGCCCTACACAGGATGAGGATCATTGGCATCCGAGCCGACCGCCGATCAGTCGCTGCGCATGAGATCCATCAGATCAAGGCCAAAGCCATTGGCCGGTTTTGTCTCCTTCTTGCTGTTGGCAAGCAGTGCCTGGAGGCCTCCTTTTCGCGCTTTCGCTCTTTTCTTACTGCTGACATTGGCTGCCGCAGGCGCAGGGCTCGCCGGCGCCACAGCTGGGACTGCAGCACCCGATTCCACAGCTTGAGTCTGTGTGCATGCTGCCGTTGTCAGGGGCGGCATCGCCACCGCTGTAGCCTTCGCCGGCTTCCGCGCGCCCATGCGTGTCTTGCTCGATGGAACCTGCAGCCGTGTTTTGCTCGAGCAGCGAAGGCATGAATAGGTTTTCATCTTGTAGCATTTGCCAGCCTCCGATGGCTCGGGCTTCTGAACCTTGCTGCCTTTCTCCTTGGGCTTGCGCGGCCGGGCCTGCTCCTGCGTTACCGTGCATAAAATCCCGGGAATGAGAATGGTGCCACAAGCACCGCAGACCTCCCTCGTCCGGGACTCTGGCGGATTAAGGTCGTTCTCTGCCAGGAGGTGGCTGTATTGGGATTCCAGAAAAGACGAGGTTTCCGGGGAGGCAAGGGCCAAGACGTGAGCCGCTCCATCGAGGTGTTTGAGCCTTGCAGAGAGGTCTCTTGCTTCTGCCGCTGTCCGATCCATGGTGACGTCCGATGACGGTTGCGCGTCGGAGAAGAAGACGTGGGTTTGCAGGGCTGATCTTTCAAGCGACGGGCGAGGAACGCGCGCGCACGTGCTGCGCGTCGCGTCCAACTACCTTCCGCCCCGCGCCTTCTCTCCTCCGCCACCACCTTCCTCTCCCCATCCGCAGCTGCAAAAATGGCGACCGACCTTCTCGTGCGAGGAGGCCTGCGCATCGCAGTAGAAGGGTGTGTAAGTATTCGCCCGCACTCTCTTGGTGCAAACGCAAGACTCTAACAAGCTGCGCAGGGCCATGGCACTCTTCACTCAATCTACGCTTCGGTCGCAAAGGCGTGCGAAGCCAAGGCCTGGCCTGGCGTCGATCTTCTCATTATTGGCGGTGATTTCCAGGTACAGTCGCTCTCTCGTCTAGACTGAGACAGCCAAACGTAACTCACGCTCACAGGCAGTCCGCAACGCCTACGACCTGAACTGCATGTCAGTGCCCAAAAAGTACCGCGAGATTGGCGACTTCCACGAATACTACTCCGGACAACGCACGGCGCCCTACCTTACAATCTTCATTGCCGGCAACCATGAGGCGAGCAACCACCTGTCCGAGCTGTACTACGGTGGCTGGGCTGCTCCCAAAATCTACTACATGGGTGCTGCGAATGTCCTCCGCCTAGGCCCGCTGAGGATTGCTGGCCTGTCAGGGATATGGAAAGGCTACAACTACAACAAGCCGCACCATGAGCGCCTTCCCTATTCCTTCAATGACACCAAGAGCGCCTATCACGTCCGCGAGTACGACACCCGGAAATTGTTGCAGCTCAGGACGCAGGTCGACGTTGGCTTGAGCCACGATTGGCCGAGAGGTGTTGAGTGGATGGGCAACTACAAATGGCTGTGGAGAAAGAAGGACCAGTTTGAGGTGGATGCAAACAATGGGCAACTGGGCAGTGTCGCTGCCAAGTATGTATTGGACCGCTTGCGACCTTCCCACTGGTTCAGCGCGCATCTTCACATCAAGTATCCCGCAATTGTCGACCACAAGAACGGTGTCGCCAATGAGGCCTCCGCTAGTGCACCTAGTGCACCTAAGGAGCCGGAAGTCGAAGTCAGCCCGCAAAAGAACGAGGATGAGATTGACCTAGACATGGACGACGACGCGGAAATCCAGCAAACGGAACCCAAACCAGCCGTTGACAAGTCGCCTAGCACAGCTGCTCAGGTGAACACAGATGAAATCGACCTCGGACTGGAAGACGTCGAGACCGGTCCGGCCGCCGCTACGTCTGCTCAAGATACTCCGGCAGAAGTACCAGGGGATTTGATTGCACAGCTTCCCGCATCCTTCGCTCCTCATCCCGAACATCCTAAGCCAGCCGGACTGCCCTTTCCCGAAGATATCAAGAACGAGACCACGAAGTTCCTGGCACTGGACAAGTGCCTTCCCAGGCGCGACTTTCTCCAAGTTCTCGAGATCGAACCCATCAGTGTGCAGCCCACAGACGCTACTTATCAGCGTCCACTCCACCTGGAGTACGACAAGGAGTGGCTCGCCATCACCCGCGTTTTCGCAAAAGATTTCGTATTTGGTGATCCTGACGCCACCGTTCCCCGTGATCAAGGCGAAGCGCACTACCGTCCTTTGATCGAGCAAGAAGAGGCGTGGGTTGAGGAAAACATCGTCAAGCCGGGCAAGATGACCATTCCGGAGGACTTCGTCCAAACCGCACCGGTCTACGATGCCGCCTTCGGCCCGCACGTCGACGGTCAGCCGATGGAGTATACCAACCCGCACACCAAGACTTTCTGCGAGATGATGCAAATCCCGATTCCGTTTGACGCGACGGCAGAGGAAAGGGCTGAGCGCATGGCGAGGGGTCCGCGGAAAGATGAGGATGCAGGTGCCTACAGAGGCCGAAGCGGCCGCGGCTTTGCTGGTGGCGGCGGTGGTAGGGGCCGTGGCCGTGGCCGTGGAGGCGGAGGCAGAGGCAGCCGCGGCAAGTGGCGTGGTGGAGGATAAAGTCTGTTTGGCTGGGTCGGTATACTCTTTGGAGCCAAGCACTTCATACTGATATTCGGCGAAGGAGGGGGCAGCATTAACGAGAGATATCCATAAGGCAAGCGAGAGAAAAATAAGCAAAACACCTTTGGTTCGTGACATCCGGAGACAGTCATGCTTCACGCTCGAAGGGTGAGAAAAGCTATGGGAATGAAGGAAAATGAATGAGGACTTATGTAATTCGAACAGAGCCGACAACTGTATCTTGCGAAGAAGGTATAAGAACGCCTGTTGTCATGACCAACCACCACACGCCAGGTACCCCCGAAAGGGGTGAGAAGAAAAAAAAACAATTTGTCAACGACATCAATCAATCAATCGACCACCATATCCGCCTCCGCCTCCCCATACTCCCCCCTCGCCTCTGCCGCCATCCTCCCCAGCGCCGCCAGCGCCTCCTCGATGACGTCCAGCGCCTGCTGCACGCCCTCGACTTCGCCCGCGCACAGAAGCGTCTCGAGGGAATGCGCCAGCCCGCTCCACGCGTTGAAGTCGGTCTTCCGCCGCGACTTTGTCGGCGGCAGCGCGACCGAGTCGGGGAACTGCAGGAAGCGCGGCGTGTGGTTGTAGTGCGTGAGGTGGGCTTTCAGTTGGGCCTTGGTGGGGAACGTCTTCCAGATGGAGGCGGGGCAGAAGGGGCAGCGGAGCTTGGGTTTCTTGGGGAGGGTGTTGTTGGGATTATTGTCGGTGTTGTTGTCGTCACCACCGACGGGGACGTCTGAGGGAGACGAATCTGCCACCACTCGATCGCACACGGCCTGGATCTCGCGGTCTGACAGCGCGCCGGCGCAGGGGTCGCGCGGCGTCGCGCGGAAACGGTGCTCGGGCAGCACGCAGGCCTCGAGGCGGGCGGGCCCGCGCAGTGCGTCGTTGAGCTCCGCCAGCGAGATGCCCGACCCGCATCGCGCCGTCTCCAGGTGGTGCAGCAGCGCCGACACGCTGGGGAAGCTCTTCTTCTCTTTGCTGCCTCCTCCTCCTCCGCCTTCTCTTGCTTGATCCTCCTCCTCAACTTCGCACGGGCCGCCGTTGCCGGCGAAGGGGCAGGTGATGGCGGTGAAGGGGTCATGCCAGCCGCGCGTGCGGTGGTCGTGCAGCGTCTTGGGCGAGGTAAAGTCGCAGCCGCAAACGCGGCAGCGGAGGTCGATGTGCAGGAAGTTCTTGCCGCTCTTGAAACCGCCTTTGAAGACGGGCGTGGAGGAGGAGGGGTCGTCGAGGAGCAGTGGGCGTTCGTCGCCGGCGTCTTGGAAGACTTCGGCGCGCGGCAGCTTGTGGTACTCGAGGAGGTGCTGGCGCAGGCGGTCGGGCGTCATGAAGTGCTGATCGCAGGCGGTGCAGTGGCAGTGGCCCGTCGCCCGCTGATGCGCCATCAGCCGTGTCTCGCAGACGTAGATGCGGTGGCAAGCGATGCACGGGTGGTGCAGGTAGAGCTGGTGCCGCCACATTTCGCCCCACGTGTCGAAGTCCAGGTCGCAGTTTACGCAGTTGAAAACGCTGGTTGACGGCTCGTACGTGTCGCGTGCGGGGCCGTACTCGTCCCGGAAGACGCGGCGGCATGCGTCACACTGGAGTGGCTGTTCTGGCTCTTCGTTGTTGTTGCTGCTCTCGTCATCCAGGATCTGCCCCCCGCAGGGACACAGGACTTCATTGAGCGTGATGCTCTCCATGGCGGTCCACTTGAGGGACCCCTTCTTCGTGTCGCGGTACCCCGAGTGATTCTCCAGGCGTTGGTGCGAGAACAGATGCTGCATGGAGCCGAAGATCTTGTCGCAGGTGCACCGCACAGAATGCGTCCCCTCGTAGCGGTGGCGGTGCAGCTCCGGATAGCTGGAGAAGTTCTCCCCGCACACACAGGCGCCGTGGCCGGTGGCCTTTTGGTGACTTCGCATGTTCCTTAGCTCTTTGAAGTAACGGCCGCACACGCACTTGTGTTCCATCATCTCGATGTCTGGGTGCATTTCGTGGAAGTGATCTCTCAGCGCTGATTGGTGTGGCCGGGGATCCATCTCGGCTGGAGCATCATCTCCAGTGCTCAGCGGGATGAAATCCGCCATGAGCTCGTCATCCTGGTGTTGTGCCATTGTCTGGAGACGCCCTGGGGCACAGTCTGGGTTGGAAACGTAGAAAGTTAGAAGTGACCGCAACGGTGGGTGTCTGATTTTTGACAAGGACCAGGGACTGCGTCGAATTATGACTGTACAGGAAGGATTCCAGGCAGCCTTAGCGGTGAGCGCAAGGTTTTAACAAGTTCAACTACTCTCCAAGCCTGCAGGGAGCAATTGTAGGGCGCTTAAACTTCTAAACAGGTGACTCAAGTGCATACAAGCGCCTGCGGAGCGTTGTTGGACGTGGCGCAGGAGAAGAAAAAGCCGAAGCACCGAACCGATGGACAAGTGCGGCTAATTATCGGCAGATGCCGCATGCATGACGTAGTTGAGCTTCTATTTGGGAGCTTTTACACGTCTTACATGCGCTGGAAATTGCTCTCCATTAGGCTACCTTCCATCAAAGACTGAGTGAACTCGCTTTCAGTTCTGCGCCAATCCCGTTCGATATCAGGAAAATCTTGGAGTATGTCTTTTGATTGGCTCAATATCGTGATTCAATGTGTATGCGGCGACAGGAACGGTGCCTACATATCTGCAATTAGCATCCATAGTTTGCCATCGATACATTGGAGGAGACGTACCCTCAGCGGAAACAACATCAGTCAAGCTAAGACTATCAGTCGCAAATTCCTGGCAGAGACCTTGAAGATGAATGCGACTCATCTAGCCCGGTCCATCGCTAATCAGAATGTGCTTGTTGACATTCTTGACGGTGGATTGCCAGTACGTATTCGCCCATTAGAAAAGTAAATACCCCGGATAGCAATCAAGAGACTCCAACCGCATGGCGTATAGTCGGTTTTGCGCAATGGCCTAAATTAGAGGCGTCAACGTGCTGGGTTTAGGCTAGCGTAAAGCCACCCGCTGATTCCTCTCTAGCATGGCCAGCGCATTCTATTAGATATCTTATATCCGGGGTAAATAACAGTGTATATGACGACGCGGCTCTCGGCCAAAGATTAGCAACGCGGACTTCTCAGTAATGTCGACCAGCCCAGCAGGAAAACTCGATGTGACGTCCGACGGCCATTGGTGATAGGTAACCTTGCGGCAAATCCGGAGGACCGATTGGTAGTAAGGGCGTGACGTTGGTGTAACTTAATCCTTCGTCATGCACTAAGCCGAGGTAACGGAACACCCCGCTCCTCACATTTCTTACACCTCACCTCTTGTCTGACACCTGGTGAAGAACAAGTCTTGCGTGGCGTCAAGTTACTCACCTCGATTTCTGGACCCTCAACCTCACCATCATGTCTCCATCGCCATCGGCTTTCAACATCAGCGTACCCGACGAGGCGCTTGAGGCTCTGAAGAACAAACTTTCCGCTGCTACCTTGCCGGATGAGCTTGAGGCGCCCAACGAGTGGCAGTATGGTGCTCCACTGGCTGATGTGAAGAGACTTGCCGCACGTTGGCAGGACGGATATGACTGGAGGACTCATGAGGCGAGGCTAAATGAACTGCCCAACTTCATGGCGCAAGTCGAGGTCGAAGGCTTCAGGCCCATCGACATGCACTTTGTGCACCAAAAGAGCAACTCGGAAAAGGCAGTTCCACTTCTGTTCGTACATGGCTGTATGACACCCGCAATATCTCAAGTGTACTGCTCTGACACGCTCAAGGGCCGGGCTCCTTCATTGAAGTCTTGAGGCTGCTGCCACTGCTGAAGTCAGGCGCACCTGCTTTCGACGTGGTCGCTCCCTCTCTTCCCAACTTTGGCTTTTCCTCTGGCATCAAAGAGCCAGGGTTCTCTCTGCAGCACTACGCAGAGGCTTGTCACAAGCTGATGAAACAGCTTGGGTACGATGAATATGTGACCCAAGGTGGAGACTGGGGCTTCTTCATCACCAGGGCCATTGGCATCCTGTACCCTGAGTCTTGCAAAGCAAGCCACGTCAACCTCATCAAGGCCAATGCTCCAGAGTGGAAGAAGAACCCTCTGCTTGCGCTGCAGCACAAGCTTTTCGCGTACACGGATGCCGAGAAAACCGGGCTTGAGCGCTCTGCGTGGTTCCAGGCCGAAGGAGCTGGCTACAATTTGCAACAAAGGACCAAACCGCAGACGATCGGATATGCGCTTGCCGACTCCCCGGTTGCTCTCCTCGCGTGGATCTATGAGAAGCTGCACGACTGGACTGACAGTTATGCGTGGACAGACGACGAGATCCTGACTTGGATCAGCATCTATTGGTTCTCCGCCGCGGGTCCTGCTGCCAGTGTACGCATCTACTATGAAACCATCCACGACTCGCCCAAGGCCACGGTGATTCCAAACAGATTACGCGTCGAGCAGTGGGTTCCGAACGTCAAGCTCGGCCTCGCGTGGTTTCCAAAGGAGCTCACTGTGCCGCCAAAGACGTGGGCCCGGACATTGGGTAAGGCCACGTAGTCCATTGTGTGCATCGTGTGTCAACAGCTGGGCTAATGCGCAACAGGCCCGGTGGTGTACGAGAGCGAGAGTCCGCGGGGAGGACACTTCGCGGCGTGGGAGACTCCGGACGTCATCGTCGGTGACTTGCAGCAGATGTTCTCGAAAGCCGGGCCTTGCTACAAGATCGTAAAGGGCCGGAGCGGCTACGATCGGGGTGCGCGTGCGCGTCTGTAGTCCGATGCCATGTCCGGTGTGCTCGGGCGCCGGGGCTTTTGCTGCGGCTGCACGTGCGTGTAGTGCTATTGTTCCTGCGAGTCAATGATGCTATAGTGGGCGCGCGCGGCCGACGTTTCTTCTGAGGTGAGGGTGCATGTGAGGTCGCGGTGTCTGGTTCCCGGCGGGGCAGTGACGTGCGCAACCCGTTGGCGATGAGGGAAGGGACCGCTCGGGAAAGATTACGGGCGGCCCAGACTTCGTCCTAACGGCTGGGTTGCATCGCCGAGTGAGGCCTCTGTGGATGCCCCAGCTGCGCAGCTGAGCGGCAGTCCTATTGTCCTCCTCTCACCACCGCACGCGACCATCCGGCCCAGCTCTCACCCATAAATCCTCCCTCATCCCACGAGCAAGCCCCTCCTTCCTTCTACAACACCAGCCCTTATCCCCGAAACATCCCATCGCGTCCCCGCCTTCTTGCATCCCGCCTCCACGCATCTAACCCAGCACCGCTCGCACCCATGGCCACCGCCTACGAGCAGTGCATCGCGGCGAAGCCCAAGGCCTTCCAGATCCTGCCAGTGGAGGTGAGTCTTGCCCACACTGGCTCACAGCCAACACCACCGCTGACCGTCACTCGCAGCTCAATCAGCAAATCGCCTTCTACATTGAGTACGACAAGGACTTGGCCAACCTTCGCGCCTCATGCCGTGCCATCAGGGATGCCATTGATGATGGCGATTCTCTATGGTTCAAGAGGTTCCATGCGTTGTACGATCCTCCCTCGGGCTTTGAGACCAGCTCGCCAGGCTACAAGGCCCTGCTCCGCGAGCTGTACCAGAAGCGCGCCAGGCTCCTCTTTCACCCCACCCGCTTCAGGATCGGCAACACGAAGAAGGAAAAAGAGACTCTGAGGCTCGTCGCTGGACTTCTCAACGGTTAGATATTCTCGATCCTCCTCTCACTTCTGCTCCCTCTCCATACTGACACGTCTCTGCTAGACTCCTACAATGGCCCTTCCACGGTCCGTCGGGTGTACGACAGCGGTGAGTCGAAAATCACCTGCCACAACATAGAGGTGTTCAAGACGTTCGTCGGTCGCTCGGGCCTCATCGAGCACCTGTTCCGGCCTCGTCCCACCAGGAACCACAAGGCGAACGGTAACTGCGATCCGGCAACGAACAAGTACAGCCATGCCCTTGCCGCTGTTCAGCTCATGTGCGCGCCTACGATCCTCAAGCACCCTGGAAACATCTATGGGTTCGAGGACTCACAGGTTTGGGCATACGCCACCATCAAAACCGCTCCCATCTTTGGAGGCTACAACAAGACTATGATCAACATGGAGTGGGTTCTTCACGTCATGAACTTCTTCAAGTTCCACATCGGGAAGTCTGATGAGAACACTCTCTTTGACCCTTTCAACAGCCTTGCGGCGTCTGAAAAGCCTTCCTACTGGCAAGGTCCTCTCCACAATGGACCTGCGAACTTGGGTGTCCACTGGAAGGGCACTTACTCTTACTTGGATCGCGAAGAGATGAAGCAGATTCGCTCTGGTATTCGCCAGGAAAGAGTCCTCATTGATCGCAACGTTGACCACGGCGAGGCCGCGATTCAGGTATGCAATCCGATTCCACAACGCAGTAACATTACCAAGCTGAATTTGTATGTGCAGACCATGAACATCACCTTCCCTGACAGTACCAACTTCCATTGGCCTGATGTGTTCGAGCACCACCTGAAGTCCATCACCTCCAACGACCAGCCCCCTCGTACCCGTGCTCAGCGTCGTTCTGGCGAGGACTTCCAGTTCCAACGCTTCAACCAGCGCTTTCAGGCCGTCGGCTACGACGATGAAGACTTCGATGCCGCCGGCTGGCTGAACGAGCTCCCCAATCAGCACGGAATTTCTGGATGGAAGCGCATGACCATGATGAAATACTTTGAGGACGGCAATGGCGGTTGGGACAGCAACGCACTGTGGGCTTATGAGGGTGTCGTGCTCCCCGGCGGCCGGATCATGCTTGGTCGTTGGTGGAGCCCCGAGAGCCCCGTTCCGAATCGCGAGGTGTACACCGGCCCTTTCATCTTCTGGAACACTGACGCTGCCTGTGATCGCATCGGCTGCGATTTTCACCACCCTTGAGCCATGGAATTCCCAAGGACACCAGAGACGTACCTCTACTCTTTCGACCGGAACGTCGGCAAGAGCAAAAACCCATCCCATCCTCTAATCGCGGACGACCTGCCATCTCTCCTTATATTGAAAGATTTTGATTCCGATAAATGCATTCATAGGGTTCTTCTTTGGCCTGCTCAGGTAGCTTCTCAGCACATCTAGTTCTCCGACCTTGACACTCCTTTAGCTCGGGCGTTTGGCCCCTTCTTTCCTTTCTTTGTTTTTCTTGCGCAACGGTACTCCCACATTCATTATCAATTGCGTTTGGCGAACGGTTTCCTAATTCCTCTCTCTCCACCACCCTTTTGCGTTCAAGTTTCACTTGCAATTGGGATTCGGCATCGCCCCTCACGTGGGGTTCGATCGATTGGGGCTTTATGGACTGGGCATAGGGTGGCGCCAGAGACCCTTCCCCAGTTCCCTTTTCATTTTCTTTTGCGACTGTCATCGAGTATTGATAAGTATCGGATGGAGGCGGTGCATTAGTGGTTTCTTTCTTTCCTTAATCATCTTTCCGAGGTTTCTTTTTGGTTTAACCGGGGCGAAATGGTTTCAAAAAGGGAAAGGGATGGGTAGACAGCCTCACTGCTGGTATTTGCCAATGGTGCTGCTTTCTGGATCACTACTTTTTTGCATTCGTAGAAATGAATGAAAGAGAAAAGTCTCACTGGAACTTGAACACATTGGGTACTTTGATGAGTTGAAATATGAGGTGACAACCGTCGTTGTAAGAACAATGACCGTTACCAAGAGGAGGGGCACGCAGACTTGCGGGCTCCCATACAAGTAGGGACATACGTGCAGAATGCTTCGGAGAGCAAGAAGCGCGATAAACTGACGCATGTACCGCGCCAGACATTATATTCGTCATCCGATAACTCTGCTCTGAACAAAAAGGGGAAAGGTGCATGTTTGGGTATGCGAACGTCAAGACCACTTGTGTCCTGGCTCCACTCCCGCCATCAAAAGCGTTCTGCTTCCCCGAACCATCCCGCCAGGTGCGCTTTTTGGCTTTCCCTTACACTCGATAAACTCCTTCTGATATTATCCTGAAGGATATCCACTGGTAAGACAGCATTTCGGTAGAGCAGAAAGGGTCGCCTTTTTTCAATCATTGTCGATGCTACGAGCTTAGTATGGGGACTCGATCGTTCATTCCGTAATCGTCTTGATGCACTCCCAGCCGCCGGTCAGCTTCTCCTTCCACAAAGTGACCTTGTTGTCGCTAGTGCTGATAGCCAGAACGTTGCCGCTCAAGCTCCAGCTCGCGCGCCAGGCAACACCATCGAAGTTCAGGGTGGTCTGCTGCCAGTCGCCTGCACAAAGAATCATCATTAGCAAACGCCGACCTGTGAGCGAAATGGGGGGCTTTCATACCGAGCGAAGGGTTCGTGCTGGTCCAGATCTTGACGGTCTTATCCTGCGACGCGGAGGCGATGTAGGCCTTAGACAGCACCGTCGGCGACCACGCGACGTCGCGCACCCAGTCGGTGTGGCCTGACAGCTGGCTGGTACAGGTGTAGGTGCTCGCGTCGGCGTTCCACTCCCAAACCTTGACCAGGCAGTCGCTGCCGCCGGTGACGAAGCGGCGCAGCGGGGCGTTGGAGCCCTGCTGGGCACTGGCGACGGCGCCGGGGGCGATGCTAGGGGCCCACGAGACAGCGTTGACGCCCAGGCCGTGGGCGGGCAGGATCTGGTGTGCCCAGGCGCCGTCGCGGAATTCGAGGACGGACACGTTGCCGTCGCTGCTGGCGCACGCGAGCACGCAGCCTGCGTCGTGCGGCGCCCACGACACCAGGTTCACGCTGGCCGAGTGCAGCTCCGAGACGTGCACGCGCTGCCATTGGCCGTTCTGCTCGCGCCAGATGAAGACCTTGCCGTCGTAACTGGCGGATGCGAGGATGTTGCCGTACTTGGGGTGTGCCTGTACGTTTGCGCGGCGGTCAGCTGTTGTCGCGACTCGCTACCGTGGGAAGCGGGAAGGAGATGTACCCAGGAGACACACCAGACTGCGCCCTCGTGTCTGTGCTAGCCTTAGCCAATGCGCTGTTCATCCTCGCTGTTGCTGGTATCCCGCGGCGGGTTGCTTAGTTGCTTACCCCTTCAGCGTGTCCGTGAGCCTGTGGCTGTCGCCCTCGACCTCGAATATCTTGATGGTCTTGTCGGAGGAGCAGGTGGCTAGCCTTCGGCCATAATAGTCCAGGACTGCATCGTGCTGTTCATCGAGAGGGCGAATTAGCGGAGGTTCGTTGCGGAAGCGGCGGTCGGAGAGGAGCTGCGGCGTACAATCATGTCATCGTGACCGGAATTCTGGATTACTTGGGCCTGGAAATGATCAGCGGAGCTCTAGCGGGACCTCTGAAGGAGATCTCACCATGTTTGCGGGGGTCGAGGAGGAATTGGTGGTGATAAGTGCCTGGCGGGAATGTCAAACGTGGAAGCTGCCCGAGCCACTGCGGCGGCGGCGGCGGCAGGGTGCAAAGCGGGCAAACACGCCAAGCGCGCGGTCGCTCCACAGGCTCCACAGGCTGACCCACCTACGGCACCGGCCTACCTCGGCGCAATGCGGGGACCAGGCACCCAGGCACCCTGTTGCCGCCGGAGCGTTCACATGGCCTGTTCCCACTCTGACGACGACGCTGCCCGCATCTTTGTCCTATTCTAGTTTCTCCCTCCTACGTCGCCAGACACGTTGCTGTTGCCATGGCGGACGCTCTGTGCGGACCCTCCAACGCGCTCCAGAACTTCCAGAAACACTCGTCCGTTGATCGGACTCTGCAGCAGGACCGGCTGGTCTCGCGCCAGTCGCCGCAGCAGGTACGAGCGCTCGCTCCACCGAGCCTCCGCAACCGGCATCCGAACCTAACGTTGGGTGTTTAGGATTTCAGGACAGGACCAGGCCAGCATGCTGGCGCGATAGACCCTGAGTTCGAGGCCTTCCAGGCTGGCCATCCTCCGCAACCCGAAGCCTTCCAGCGCTTCCCCGCCCAACATGCGCCTCCGCCGAACTTCGCAGGCCCCGCCGCCCTGCCGGACTGGGCTGCCGACTTCCAGCGCATGCACGTTTCCTCTCCGCCGCCGATGCAGCAGCAGCAGCAGCACATGCAGTCGCAGCATAATCACACCGCTTCGTGGCACCAGGACTTTATGCGCCAACAGCAGCAGGCTGCATCGCCAGCCCCACAGGCGGGGGTGGCTCCTGCGAGGCCAATGTATTCTGGCGCACCCATGATGGGATATGGTGCAGGCCAGTTTGCCCACCAGCAGCCTTTCATGGCTCAGCAGGGCATGAACGAGCAGCCAAGGCAAAAGGAGCCGGTCTTTGACGATGCCGCTTTCGCCAGCGCATTCGACGCGGCAGCGGCAGAAATGCTGCACGCCGAAACAGAAGCTCAAGCAGAGGCGCAGACCGTGCAGCAGGAAGCACCTCAGAGACCGGCAATGTCAAATTGGGAGACGGATTTGGACATGTTGCTCCCACCGGAAGACGACACTGTTCTAGCGTTCATGAAGGAGCATGCTTTCAGTAAGTACTACGCAGCAGTGAAGTCCCTTGGGCTGACCATCATCCAAGACGAGTACTGCCGCCATCAAATGACCGAGTATCTACCACGAGCCAACACGAGGGATCCCGCCTCTGCCCCCGACCACAGTCTGGCATCACTCTATTTAGGTGCACTGGAAAAACTGGAACCCAAAGCGTTTCTGGGGTTGCCGCCAGACCCTCTCTTGGAGCGCGTGTTGGACGAACTGGTAAACTCACAAGACGTCGTCTACGATGAACAGTTCATGTTCAAAGCAAGAGCTGCAAGACTTCGCGATCAGATCAAAGCCAATCATCCACGCTACTTTGATCCGGAGGAGTCGCAGAAAGCCAGGGAGCAGGAGGACCCCCGTTTGAGGACGGCACGATTGAGGATGTTCCAGAATTCTCTACAGAACCAGGACTCCATATCCGCGGCAGACAAGCAACAACTTGAAGCTGCAAAGTTCAACCAACTCGTGGCAGACGTAGGAACCGAATCAAGACTCTTTCCGGTCGTAGCGAGCAGCACCATAACGGCAACAGACATTCGAACAACCATCCGGTCAGAGATGTCCTCCTTGAACCAGCGACCGGAAGAGCTCCTCCGGAACATGAATCCTCCCGAGATGGTACTTAACGAGACTCCCCAACCTCTACAGCATTCAGTCCATGAGCAACAGCAGCAGCAGCAGCAGCAGACTCCCCTCAACAATGATGACGAAGAGTTGGCGAGAACGGCTGGCCAATTGGTGGATAGCGTCTCCCACGACACGAGTCAGAAATTCGTGCAAAGCAGGTTCCTGGCCTTAATGAGGCAACTTCGGGATCACGAAGTCCGTGTCGACGGAGACAAGATAGTCGAAGTTAGTGAACCCCTTCCTCCCCTTTCGTCAGCCGCAGGAGAACATGTCCGGATGTTGGACGCTTCAGTAGAGGAGGCACAGCAGCACCTTCACTCTTCTCCGCATGCGGAGCACATGACCTGCAAAGTCTTTGGGTGTCCCGTTTGTCGATGCAACACAACACTCGCTGACTCATTCTATCTCTCAATGACAGACCACACCATCGACAATTCCAGCCAACCAGCAAGACCTGGACCTCGGCCGCAATGGGGGCGACGACAGCAACAGGACCATGACCGGAGCCCTACCGACAGATGGCAACGATGGTAACGACGTTGGTGAGTTGCGCGCTTAAATACTCTTCGCCTTTGCCTCTGGATAGCAGCTCTCCGAGAGTGATGTTCCAGACGGAGTTTTTCAAGGCGGCAGTGATGATGCAAAAAGAATCCAACGAACATTCTGTACATCATTGTTACCACCGCCTCCTCCGCATGGCGCAAGATGATAGGCGGTCGGTGGCTGCCGGTCCGCCGGGCCGGTTCGAACAGCCGTCTCCTTGTCGCATATATGACAGTTGGATGGGGAACAGAAGCTGATTGACGGTTTGGGGAGAAGCGCGCCCATCCGAAAGATACCCTAGCCCGCTGCCGCCAGTTGACGGCGGAAGATCGTATGTGAACGGGTGCTTCTTCCGAAGAGATGGGCAGTTGGTATGATGTCGTCCTGTAATTTGGTTCATATGCGCAAGCATTCCACGGTGTTGAGTGGCATACGTTCTGGCGACTAGGGATCGCACAAGACTATTGATGGGCAATTCCACAACGCCAAACCCACAAGTTCTGATCTAACGTTTTGTCAACACCTGTACATCGCCGTTGTGATCAACGTCAAACGGTGTTTGCGCCATGATGGCACTTCGCCCCACGCTCTGTGGATCCGGCGAGTGACTCAGCCACACTGCGCCTCATCTGTTGTAGACCATCACTATGATTCATTTCATGGCCTCGAGCAAAGCGGATCCCGCCCGACACTAACAAGCACCTTTGTTTATATAACATAGCTCGTGGCCCTCCACCTACTGCACTGCAGCCGTCAACAGAAAAAACATTTCTTCTTACCCCACCACCACAACCCTGACACGAACCTGATATCAACAGCTTCCCTGCAACCACCCCGTCCACTCCTACCACCACGACGAAGATGCCGTCGTCGACGCGGCTTACGGTCGCGCTCAACAGCAACCGCAACACCAAAACCATCATCCTCGTCCCCAGCAACTCGCCCGCGGACCCGGACGCGCCCGACTCGATACGCGCACACGTGCTCAAGTCGGCGCACTCAAAGCTCCGCCTGAAGCTCAACAAGAAGACGAAGAAGAAGCCGAACACGCCAGGCGCGCGCTTCTTCGCCGCGCGCACCGGCAGCGAACTCGTCACCGCCGACGACTGGGCGCGCGCCACGAGCACGTCCGACGCCGTCATCCTGGCGTCGGCGGGCGAGGACTTCGTCGGCGGCACCGTCAAGGCGTCGTCGTCGTCGTCGTCGTCGTCGTCGTCGAAACCCGAAGCACATGACGACGACAGCGGTAGCAGCAGCACCAACGCCGCCGCCGCCGCCATCGTCACCAACCTCGCGCACTCCGCCCACGTCGACGCGCAAGCGCTGGCCCAGCTCCACGCCACGGCGCAGACGCTGCTCCCGGGCATCGCGCTCGCGGTCGGGCAGCCGGACTTGCACCCCGGCAGCAAGTTCCCCGTCGGCGCGGCGTTCGTGTCGCGCGGCTGGGTGCACCCGCCGCTGATCGGCGGCGACATCGGGTGCGGCATGGCGTGGTTCCGGACGGCGCTGTCGGCGGCGCAGGTCGACGGCGAGAAAGGGGGCAGGAAAGTCGCGGAGCGGCTGAGGGGGTTGGAAGGCCCGTGGAGGGGCGCCGCGGAGAGAGAGGCGTGGGTAGGTGAGGAGGGGAGGGCGGGCGGGGAGTGGGATCGGAGTTTGGGGACGATCGGGGCGGGGAACCATTTCGCGGAGATTCAGGTCGTGGAGAAGGTGATGGAGGGGGGGCTGGAAGGCGGGCTGAGGGAGGGCGAGGTGGTGTTGCTGGTGCATTCGGGGTCGAGGGGGTATGGCGGCGACGTCCTGAAGCGGTACACCGGCGACGGGAAGCGCGAGTCGCTGCGCGAGGGCGAGGGGCTGACGGACAGGTACTTGGAAGAGCACGATCGCGCGTGCAGGTGGGCCAAGGCGAACCGCGACCTCATCGCCCTGCGCTTCCTCGCCGTGTTGGAGCCCGGCGATGAACGCTGGGCGCTCGGCAGCAACAACCTCGAAGATGTCGACGCCACGGACGAGACGGCCCTCAAACAGCTCGTCCAGCGGGCCCGCGAGAAGGTGCTCGAGCGCAAAGTCGTCGACATCTGGCACAACAACGTCCAGCGCGTCCCGTGGCCCCTCGACGTAGACGCCTCCGCTGCTCCCGGCCTGGACACGGCAACCGCCTCACCCAGCCTCTCGAATACAAACGGCCAACAACGTCGTCGTCGACAGCACGCCTACATCCACCGCAAAGGCGCCGCGCCCACCCTGGACCCGGACTCGCTCGCCCCGCTCCCCTTGCTGCCGCTGCCGGGCAGCCGCGCCACGCCGACGGCCATCCTCGCGCCGACCTTCTCGCCGCGCAACGCGGCCGGCGCCGCCAACGCCTTCTCGCTCGCGCACGGCGCCGGCCGCGCCATGTCCCGCGCGAAGGCCTTGCAGAGCTTGAGCGCCAAGTACCGCGGCGACGCGGACGCGTTGCTGAGGCCTGGGAAGGTCGCTGCTGCTGCTGCTGCGGCGGCGGCGGCGGCGGCGAAGAAGGAGGTGGCGGGAAGGATGGTGGATGGTGGAGATGGTGGTGGTGGTGGTGGTGGCGAGGAGCCGGCGGTGATGGTTGGGAGTGGTGCTGAGAAGGGGGCGGGGACGTGGGTCGTTTGTGAGGAGAAGCAGCTGGTGTGGGAGGAGGCGCCCGAGGCGTACAAGGATGTTTGGGCCGTGGCGGCGGATTTGGTCAGGGCGGGGGCGGCGGAGGTGAAGGGGTGGTGCGCGCCGAGGGTCAGTTATAAGGTCAGGAGTAAGTAAGGGTGGGTGCAGATCTGAGGTGGAAAAATTTCCCGTAGCGGTGATTGCTGCGAAGTGTAGTAGATAGAGCCATTGCGTAGTAGCGGATGTGGTAGACAGGAAAAAGGGTGGCATAGGCTGACTATGAGTTAGAACTCTCACACTAGACACCACTTCGAGCTCGAAATCTTTTTCTTCAGTTTTGACATCGATACAACACTAAATCTAGTTCGAGTTGCACATTGTGAGTAGACCTTTGCTACCACTCATTCATCCCCCCCC